AAGAAGTTTAAACTTAGGTTTCTTAAACTACTATTTTTAGGATTTAGGGTCTAGGATTATATTCTTATCCTAAAGTGTAGTTATTAATAGTAAGATAGGGCTACCTTTTAAGAATAGATTATAATTAATTATAATATAATCTTAGGTAAAATATTATTTAATCCCTTAAGAATTAGTAGTGGATATAGGGACCTTCTATACTCTATATTTTAGTATTTATTATAAATTAATAGTATAGAGATTAGGGGCTATAAGTTTTACTTACTATAACTTTAATAAGTAGATAAGATAATAACTAATAATATTAACCTTAGCATAGGTGTCTATATTAGTATAAGTAAAAATATAATATTTTATTTAAATATTAATAGTAAAATAAGTAGCTATTCTTATAAAAGAGTATTTAGCTAAGAATAGGAATATATCTCTAACTAATTATTATTTTCTAAAGTAGTTATTTTAGAGTTAGAAGAATTAGTTAAGTCTTACTTAGTAATTATCTCCTAAATAGTAGTTTTATGCCTAGATTTTAGTTTAGGATAATAATTAGAGAGATAAGTATTACTTTAATAATTATAATAGTAGAGGATATTTCTATTTTTATTAATAAGATTTTATTAGATTTTCTTAGAATTATTTATATTATTTAGCTAATCTCTTATATTCTAATTAAACTTTTTATTTAGGTAATAAGTTTTTAAAATAGGACTAGTATTATTCTTTTATAATAGAAATACTACCTTTCTTATAAAATACTAATATTAATTTACTTTTACTACTATTTCCTCTTAGGTAATAAGTAGTTAAGATATAGTTTCTTATATCTTTTAGTAAAGATTAATTTAAAGCTTAAAAAAAAATTAAAGTATATTACTCTTTATTAACCTAGGAAAAATAATATTTAAGGCTCTTAAAATAACTATTAAAATCCTAAGAATTTTAATTAATTTATTATTAAGTATAGTTCTTTACTATTATAAGATTAGAATAAAGAATTATTAAGTTATAGAGTAAGAATAATATCTATTTCTTAAAATAATTCTATATTTTAGTTTTATTCTAAAGACCTCTTACTATTTTTTTTATAATATATTAATACTACTTTCTTTAATAAGTATTATCTATTTTATTCTACCTAGTAGTAATCTTACTATAATTAGTATTATATTTTATAGGGGTATATTTAATAATAGTTTTAATATTTATAAGCTATTCTTCCTATTCCTATAAAGTAGTTTTAAGTATAAAAGGTTTAATATACTTAATCTTAATTTCCTTATAATAAGNTAAGTATCTTAAAGGTTAAGCTTAGTAAAGAATTTAGTATAAGCTAAATAATCTAAAATTTCTAAAATAAGTAGTAGGGGGTATTAATTCTTTATAATAACCTTATTAAGTCCTTAATAATTAATATATAATTAAAGACTACTATCTTTTTTAGGTATAAAAAGAATTAGAGCCCTTATAGAACTCTATAATAGTTAAATTCACCTAGAAATAATAATATTATTAATATATTTATATAAAGCTTTAAGTTTAGATATTAATAAAAGATATATTAGTCCCTAAGAAGATTTTATCTCCTATTCTAAAATAATAGTATATTAACTCTTCTTAAGTATTAGAGGGGATTTTACTTTAGCCTTATTAAATAGATTATAAAACCCTTTAAATTCTAGAGGTAATTTATTAGGCTTTAATAGTAGTTTTAAATCTAATTTATTTTCTAAATTAAGAGAGAGCTATACTTCCTAAGGTAATTTAATAATAGTAAATATATAGGCTTTATTTTAGTAGGCTTTTATAAACTTAAATTTATTAAGAAGTTTAAACTTAGGTATCTTAAACTACTATTTTTAGGATTTAGGGTCTAGGATAATATACTTATCCTAAAGAGTAGTTATTAATAGTAAGATAGGGCTACCTTTTAAGAATAGATTATAATTAATTATAATATAATCTTAGGTAAAATATTATTTAATCCCTTAAGAATTAGTAGTGGATATAGGGACCTTCTATACTCTATAAATTAGTATTTATTATAAATTAATAGTATAGAGATTAGGGGCTATAAGTTTTACTTACTATAACTTTAATAAGTAGATAAGATAATAACTAATAATATTAACCTTAGCATAGGTGTCTATATTAGTATAAGTAAAAATATAATATTTTATTTAAATATTAATAGTAAAATAAGTAGCTATTCTTATAAAAGAGTATTTAGCTAAGAATAGGAATATATCTCTAACTAATTATTATTTTCTAAAGTAGTTATTTTAGAGTTAGAAGAATTAGTTAAGTCTTACTTAGTAATTATCTCCTAAATAGTAGTTTTATGCCTAGATTTTAGTTTAGGATAATAATTAGAGAGATAAGTATTACTTTAATAATTATAATAGTAGAGGATATTTCTATTTTTATTAATAAGATTTTATTAGATTTTCTTAGAATTATTTATATTATTTAGCTAACCTCCTATATTCTAATTAAACTTTTTATTTAGGTAATAAGTTTTTAAAATAGGACTAGTATTATTCTTTTATAATAGAAATACTACCTTTCTTATAAAATACTAATATTAATTTACTTTTACTACTATTTCCTCTTAGGTAATAAGTAGTTAAGATATAGTTTCTTATATCTTTTAGTAAAGATTAATTTAAAGCTTAAAAAAAAATTAAAGTATATTACTCTTTATTAACCTAGGAAAAATAATATTTAAGGCTCTTAAAATAACTATTAAAATCCTAAGAATTTTAATTAATTTATTATTAAGTATAGTTCTTTACTATTATAAGATTAGAATAAAGAATTATTAAGTTATAGAGTAAGAATAATATCTATTTCTTAAAATAATTCTATATTTTAGTTTTATTCTAAAGACCTCTTACTATTTTTTTTATAATATATTAATACTACTTTCTTTAATAAGTATTATCTATTTTATTCTACCTAGTAGTAATCTTACTATAATTAGTATTATATTTTATAGGGGTATATTTAATAATAGTTTTAATATTTATAAGCTATTCTTCCTATTCCTATAAAGTAGTTTTAAGTATAAAAGGTTTAATATACTTAATCTTAATTTCCTTATAATAAGATTTTAATATAGGTTTAACTACTCTTTATATACTTAATAGTTTAGGATTAATTAAAGTAGATAATTATTAAGAAAAAGATAAATATTTTAATTAACCTATTTTTTACTAGAGGTTATAGATTTTTTACTTAAAATTATTAACTTATTTAAGATAGTTAACCTTCTATTTTAATTTATTTAGTTATTTCTTTAAAATAGGCTCCTTAATACTATTTTTATTTATTATAGAAGATTACTAGGGCTATATTCTTTAAGAAGATAGAATTTATTCTAATACTTAAACTTTACTAGTAGGGTGACTTAATTATAACCTAGTTAAAGGGCTAGAGGAAGGGGATAATAAGAAAACTATAATAATATTATAAGTAATTAAAGATAAAGAATTAGAAATTATAAAAGTTTTAAAGAGAAGTTAATTAGGTATAATATTATTAAGGTAGATATAGAATTAGAATAAAACTAATTCTTACTTTATAAGATATCTAGGACCTTTAGGGGACCTAAGTAACTAGCTATTAAAAGAATAATATTAAGTTAAGATCTCTTAATCTCCTTAGTTAACCTCTTAGCTTACCCCTTAGGTAACCTTCTTAGGTTATGTAAGTAGATTAGCTAAGTTAACTAAGTTAATTAGTTAACCCCTAGCTATTAGCCCTTCCTAATGAGCCTGATCCCTTAGGCACCTCATGTACCTGAACCGTTCCAACTGGGGGCCTGACCCTTCAGGCATCTAGGCCGCTCCGACCGTGACAAATATCCTCTCTTTATAAAGGTAGACACTTTATAACTTAGTATTAATCTATAATACTAACCTAACTATTAATTTATATATTAATTATATCTTTTATACCTCTTATTAAGTGCCTTTACACCCTTTCACACTTATTACAACCCCTCAAGGCCTCAGGTCCTTATACTGAGGCGCCTGCTGTGATAATATAAAAGACCCTAGAAGCAACTCCTTATTAATCTTAAATACTATTTATTTAAAGCCTTTTTCTAAGTTTTAAAGAGTTGAAATAAATAGTTATAATATTCTACCTTAAATATATATTTTAATATAAGTATAAAGTATTAAGTAGGGTATTTTAAAAACCATTATAGCTTAATAAATAATTAGAATTTTATATTTATCTAAAGCTTATATTATAAGTTGAAACCTTCCCTTTTACCTAGCTAAATTTAGACAAGGTTAATGTAGTTTTTATAGCATAGTTAGTAGTTAAAAAACTATATATTAAACTCATAATGATTTTTCTGGTAGGTGATTGGATTAACCAGGGTAAGCAGATTAATCAGGAATTATGTTATAACTTAGGATTTTAAAAAGGTCTAATATTATATAGTAAGTAAAGTTATTACTATAATATAGAAAAGGAGTACAAAGTTATAGAAATAAAATAAATTTATAAAGTAGGGGCTATTTAATAATTATATAATTATAAGTAGTTTTAAGGCTAAAGGGCCATAAACTATTAAGGTAATAAAGTGCTTGATTCTCTATATATAGAGCTGCAGAGGTGGATCTATTATAGAGGATTAACACACGACCTCGCCTTCAACGCTGGTGCCTCAGGCCGCCATGTCAACATCAAGCATTTCCCCTTGATATTAATCTACTATTCTATCCTTATTCTTAGAATTAGACTATTATAACAAGGTCTTTTATCCTATTACTACCTTCCACACTACTTGCAAGCCTCCCAAAGGCCAAGGGCCTTTCTCCCTTAGTCACTAGCGCGGCAACACTTTTGGTGGTAAGCAGGCTTATCTCACGCTGCTAAAGATGCCCCACTTTCTTAGTATCAGATTAGTCATCGTATAAATTATTTGCGCAAACTTCCAGGCAAGCACAGATCAAAGCTATCAACTCACGACGCCTGGAAAAGAAGAGATGCCGTTGCTCCATAATGCTGGCGATGTTTTCTCGCTACCACTCGCAAAGCGGCAGAAGACCGTACTCGACGATGCCAGTCAACGGGAATCAAGGGGTGCTGGCTCAAGGATTTTCTCTCCCTTCCGCGTAAGTGCCTGCTAACAGAAATTGTCCGCCCTCCTTTCTGACCATTTTTGCTAGACAATGGGATTGGTCTCCCCCACGTCTGTCCCATTTACATGCGCTCGACTAGGCAAAGCCACTTTTCAAGTAACGACATCCGTTGGGCGCTGTTTACACACCTACGACGTACGGCAAGGGCTGAAGCTGGTTTTCATCAGCCGCCCACAGACGCCAGAAGACATCACTGCGAGCTTTTCATGGCAGGATAAAACATTCGCAGCCTGGGGTGCACCCGGTGCAGGATCACATGGCGGTATCTGGGTATTCAAGCGCGGCAAAAAGCTTGCGCATCTCTCGCAGGGCGTTGGTTCTCCCGAACCAATTGAACGGCTTCTTGTGTTCGGCTCATGGATCGTGGGCTGTTGCGCAAAGTCCATCAAGATTTGGAAAAATGGATCCTACGAATATTACACGACACTCACCTCTGCGGGTAGCGCGGTCACCCAAGTCTGCAACATGCCAACCCACCTCAATAAGATCTTCGTTGGCAAGTCCGACGGAATCGTGGAAATTTGGAACGTAAAGACAGGCAGACTTGTTCACACCATTCTTCCGGCATACCCCAATCCCGGCGCTGTGATTGTGCTCCAGCCGAGTCCTGTTCTGTCAGTCATCGCAGTTGCCTACAAAAATGGGACAGTCTCCATTCAAAACGTCGAGACCAGCCAGTCTATCTTTTCATTCACACACAAGCAAGCTATAACGTCCATAGCCTTCCGGAGTGATGGCCTCGGTGGTGGGGAAGACGGTCGACAGCCGGGCGCGATGGCGACTGCAAGTGTGGATAGTGGTGACATTACACTTTGGGACTTGAATCGCGGTGGCCGGACTGTTGGTGTACTCCGTGGAGCTCACAGAGTTCATCGAGATGATTCTGGATCCGGAATCAACCACATAGAATTCCTCGATGCGCAACCAGTGATCGTATCTAGTGGAAAAGACAACTCGCTTCGCACCTGGATATTTGATGAGACTCCGTTTTCCCCAATCCCCAGACCGCTGCACGCTAGACGAGGTCATGCGGATAGCATAACTACTGTTTCGTTTTTGCCCTCGGCCTCTGACGGATCTGAATCTACAGCTAAATGGTTACTCAGTGCAAGCAAGGACTGCAGTCTCTGGGGATTTAGTCTGCGAAAGGATAGCCAAAGTACCGAGATATCCCAATCCTCGGGCAAAAAGAAAGGTGATGCGATGGGGAGCAATCCTTCTGCGAATCTCAAAACACCGGAAGTGACATGTATCGCATGCTCTCTAAACAGGGACGGTGGAATGGGAAGCACGACCTCCGGGCCAATATGGTCGAATCCCAGAGCAACTGACACGAGCACATCGAACAAGACGGGGTGGGAGAGTATAGTGACTGGACATCGTGGAGATAAATATGCTCGGACCTGGTTTTGGGGGAAGAAGAAGGCTGGGCGCTGGGTTTTTGAGACGGGCGATGGCACGGACGTCAAGGTAAGGCTTGCCTCGGAAACTCGCCCCGAAATATCTAACATGGAGCATTTACTAGAGTGTCGCTATTTCACAATGTGGGACTTTTGCATTAGTTGGGTCGGCGGGGGGTACTATTGGCGTCTTCAACATGCAGTCTGGTCAACATCGACTAAGCCTGCCTTTGCAAAACACAAAGATCAAACCGGGCCGTGGTAGCGAAGCTTTACAAAGAGGTCATAAACATACAAAAGCGGTCACTGGTCTGGCACTTGATGCATTGAATCGGACCGCCGTTAGTTGTGGATTGGATGGTAAAGTCAAGGTGCGATATTGAATGCTTGTGCTATGATATTGGGATTCCAGACTAATATGATGTGCTGTAGTTTTGGGATTTCCGGACTGGTCTGCTTTCCACAGAGCTTGACTGGCATCCAATGACAGCAATTACAGCACTCCGACACCACCACACTAGCGATCTTGTCGCTTTTAGCTGCGATGATCTTTCGATACGGGTCGTTGATATGGAAACAAAGAAGGTTGTTCGCGAACTATGGGGATGCGCAGGGCAGATCAATGACTTTACTTTTTCCAACGACGGTAGGTGGGTGATTGCTGCTTCAATGGACTCTGTGATTCGAGTCTGGGACTTGCCAACTGGTCATCTCATCGACCTGTTTCGTGTCTCCAGCACATGCACTTCACTTGCAATGTCTCCAACGGGGGATTTTCTCGCCACAGCTCATGCAGATGGCGTGGGCATAGGCCTCTGGTCGAACAAGAGCCTGTTCATTCCGGTGTCGACACGGAACCTGAATATAGAAAATATTCTGGACTCGACTCTCCCAAGCTCTTCTGGCGAGGGTGGTGTTGGCGTTCTCGATGCTGCGTTCACGCAGGACGATGAACACAGCGATAGCGAGGGCCCTATCTTGCCGACCAAGCAGCTCAGCCAAGGTATGTTGACGCTCAGTCTTGTTCCTAAGAACAAGTGGCAGACTCTGGTCCACATGGACCTCATCAAGGTACGAATCACCCTTAAAGTGGCAGCTTATCCCGATTCTAACTCTAATATAGGAGCGAAACATGCCAAAAGAGCCACCGAAAGCGCCGGAGAAGGCCCCGTTCTTCCTCCCTACGCCTTCGTCCAACGACGAACATATAAAATCAACGCTCGAAGATAAAACACGTACCGAGTTATCCCGTGTTGGTAAGGTACAGTTTTCCGCGAGTCACATCGCAGGCTCTCGGTTCACAACACTGTTGAACGCAGGTTGCCTGTCTGGAGATTTTGACTCATTCTTTGATGAGGTAAAACTTATGAACCCATCAAGATTGGAGCTTGAGATTAGGTCTTTGGACCCGAAAGTCCAAGGGGTCCAATCTGAAATGTCAGCGTTTGTTCTGGCGTTATCGAGTCGCCTCGCATCGGGAAGGGATTTTGAGCTTGTCAATGCTTGGATGGCAGTATTTTTACGAATTCACTCCGACGTTGTTTCCGAGTGCTCGGCGTCAAGTCTGGATGCAGACGGCAAGTTGCGAAACTCCCTTTACAGTTGGAGTTGCGTACAGCAGCGGGAGGTACAGCGTCTTGCGAGCCTTGTAGGTTATTGCCGAGGTGTTGTTGGGTTCCTAAGGTCTCCACGCTAGAAATATACAAGGACAATTGTTGCGTTAACTTGCATGCCATGCTCATCGTCGTCTCTGCTGTAGGCTACCTGTTTCATTGCTCATCGAGAATTTCATACATGTTGATTGATAGATTGCGTGGACGGACATTCGCCTTTTGGGTAATAGATCGCAGTGACCCTCGTATAGTCGAGACATGTCGACTCTCTAACGGATGATGCCGGCTTCTTACCATACTTCCTAGAATGGTAGACAATTCAATGCGTGCACCATGGTCTGCGCATTCACCTCGATGTGAGGACTGTATCATAAGGTGTAGCGGTGGAAGCTGTTCAAGTGTGGCCATCAACTTCAGGGACACATCATCATCAGAGCTGGATAGTTCAAGAAGTTGCTTCAAAACCCGCAAAGAATACAGGATAGCCTGGATCTGCGCAGTGAGATGAATGTCCGCCCACTCAAGCTGCTCACCCATATAGCCAAGTTCAAGAAACTCTTCCAATTTCTGGACATCACGTTGGGTGAGTTTGATATCTAGACCGTACGACTCTAGCAATGCGAATATCTTCCAGAATTCCCGCGGGCTACTACCCGCTCGTTCAAAGCCGGCCCGCAGAGAGTCCACGCGAGCGCAGAGTGACTCCATTTCGGCCGAAACGGAATTGTGGTCCTGAAGTGGTATCCTATCGTCCGTGATCCGCTGGCCGCGCCGGACAAATTCAGTTGTATACCAGTACCTTTCACTGGTGGGCCGGGAAAGGTTCAAGATGGAGTACCCAATACTCCTATATGAGCGGCCCTTGGCCCATGCGCATCGCTTCGTATGGTCCTCCAAGAGGACCGGAAGATAAACTTGCGGGTTATCTCGATCTGCATATTCTCCTCGCATCACATATTGCCAATATAACTCTGAAATCCTGGTATCGAGGACTTTGAAGAGCTGTGGTTGCAAACGGCAAGGATCATTTGTATATTCTGCAGCGAATTTGTCGTAGGTTTCCCCTTCATGGCCGTATTTCGTCCTTTGCAGAAGCTCTACCAATCCAGTATCTGGTTGGTTCTTCAATTCGTATGCTAATGGTAGTAGGTCGGTTATTCCCAGCCGACGCGCAACTCGAGAGGGGTACAGTACGGCGGCCCTTATTTCATATTCCAATGGTTCGATCGAGTCCCACTTGCTTAGTTCGACCGAGTCTAGAAAGATGACAGAACCGGACTCTCCGAGGTTGTACAGAATAAGATCCGAGTCATTTGTAAGTACGCTGCTGCCCGTAAGGTTTGCTGTATGGGCACAGTAAGTGTCAGCTTCTCCAGGGACCATGGTCGTTATATCTGCCCAGAGAAAGACATCGCTATTGGGCGACATTAACGGCAGGGCTTCACCAAGAGCAGTTGCAATATTTTGGCCACTCCAGCGGCATTTTAGGTCCTCAAATACCGTGGGGACGATAAATGGATTGATAGGAACATTACTACATCTAGAAGGCAAGGGTCGGCTGCATAAAACGGTTTCCGGGCCTATGCTCCGAGGGGAGCTGAAAGATGTGCGTTCGTGAAATCCGTAGTTGGTTGCTGCGCAAAAGATCTCTAGCTTCCGCCTCTGGCTCTCAAGTCGACTGAGGCGGGTCTCGCGCTTACTTGCCGGCAAAGCGCCATCGAAATAAATGGCTTGACTAAGATCTGTCAGCTCAATTGATCTTCGGTCTGTGATTGCCTTGTGCGCGTACATTTCAACACCGAGGATTTTCAGATGCAGCAAATATACCATAACCCCACGACTTACTTCATCACAGGTCGGCAATGCATCCAGAGTGCAGGGATTGGAGACTGAAAACCAGGACAATAACCTTGAGTAGATATTGTAGACGAGACTGGGTCCGTCGATTACAACGGAGTGTACGCATTGCAAGCCATCCTCATCATCAGAAACTCGGACTTTCCGAAGTACTATAGTCTCGGAAAAAGGAAGCAGGTGACGTCTCAGCCGTGGAATACCCATTTCGTTGTCGACCTAGGGCTAGGTAACCAAGCTTCTTCTTGCTTATCGTCAACAAAAAAAAAATGTGACGATCAGGGAGTCCACCAATTGGACTTATAGAGAATGAGTGACAGTGCGAGCCAGAATTTTTTTTTTTTTGGATGAGATTTGTCGGACTTGATCCCGTTGGTCAGTCAGTCAGCCTAAGCTAGGGCGTCGGGTCGGCAGTTATCCGATCGACTGTCTCCGTCGCCCCGAGAGATGATCTAGGTACGATTCTCCCAAACCTGAGAGTACAAAGTTACCTAAGTAAGACCACATTTGATTCAAGAAATTAACCTAAAGTGACTACAATCAAATACCCTCGAGCTCGTCAAGAAGCTTCTTTACAGCTGACAGCTCATTTTCATCGTACTCGCGAAGATGTGGCTCTTTGGAGTTATTCGTTGAAAGGGTCTGCTCGAGCCTTCTCCTTGCCAGGGCATGCAGATTGCCAAGAGTATCTTTCCCCACAGTGCTCCCCAAGTATGTCAGTTCCAAAGTCCCATTTACAAGAGAAGGTGAGGTCGCCTAATTTGTCATATCAGCCAAACTCTCTTCAATCTGAGTGATCAAAGTATATACCAAGGCCAGGCCATAGAAGCCCCTTAAGTAGTCGTCGCAGAGCTCAACACTCCTACAGAAATGGCGGATGGATAGTTGTAATTGCTTGCGCATAGCATCACCTTCTAGTGAACGGGCGTAAGTGTATAGAAGCTCGCCTAAGCGAGCATGAACCTGTACCGGATGTCAATAATTTCCCAAAGAGGAGTGAGGGTGCGCGCACATTCCAAGCATGTGGTACAATCAACAATGCTTCCTCGAGGCTGAAGATTGCTTGTGGGCACATCCCCTGTGATTGATATAATTCTGCGAGCTCGCACCAGGCTTCCACATCTGTAGGTGTCGCGTCAAGGAGCTGTACTAAACTAGATATGGCATCCGAAGTTTTCGATAACGACCGAAGAAGGGCAATGCGGCGCTTAATGATCGGCTACGACAGGCCGGTCAGCTATCGGTCTCCAGTGAAGATATGCGGACGAACCAGGTTGACAGGGTCTTGCGAAAGTATGTCATCATATCTTTTCAAAGACAGCTCTAGGCCAGCTTGATTTTCCGCAGTTGCCTCGTCGTATAGGCCGCGCAACGCCATAACCCTCTCATTGGATGAGCCAAAGCGTTGTGTCAAGCGCTCGAGACATAGCAAAGCAGACTCGTCGTCGGTGGACTGAATGCATGAGAAGAACAGCTTCTCTAGAGCATCGAAATCATCAGAACCTCCCTGGGATGACGAATGCAGCCGAGCAAGTAATCCGCCAGAGGATTGTTGACCTAATATGACTGGCGCTTGCTGCGAGCGATGAAAAGAGGTCTTGAAATTGGACCTGTGGCTGTCACCAGGTTGGCCAATACTGGCAGCCATTGAAAGACCGATAATGTAATTGATGATATGCTGACGCTAATCTGAGAGATTATTGGGTAGGTCGACAACAGTACTGGTGATCTTTAAGCAAGCTTCAAATGCGTACCTATTTGAGTTCGGTCCGCGGCACAGTCCATAGTTCCCGTGACTTTTGTTTCGTGACTAGCCTGACGTAATCTACCGGGCTGCTTTGACTGCTCCGCAAAACCTCCGAACCCATTGTCCAGAGCAATGAGACCTCGAACCAGCAAATTGCTCCAATATTCTAAGAGTAAGTGCTGAAAGTATCTGTAACCCCAAGGCTGCTTTCTGATGGTGAATCATTATCTAGGCCTCCGATGACCTTTCCCTCAATCATCTGCCGCAAAAGAGGGGTATCGCTCGGCAACTGGGCGATCTGGGACCGATAATGTTCGTTATATACCTGCCAGGACCATTTCGGACAGTGTTTGACCCTAAATAGGTTCGAAAAGTCGTTGTATGACCTTATAAAAGGTCTAAGAAATCACAAAGGTGCTGAGGAGGACTATATCCAAGGCAGTCTTCGAGAATGCAGGACTGAAATCCGATCCCCGGACATGGGTGCGTTAAGATTCTAGACATTCAGACTATTCGGGATATAGCTCTGAACTAATATAATCTAGATAAAAAGGCGACGGCTCTTTTGAAACTGATCTATCTCGAAATGTTCGGCTATGATATGTCCTGGGCATCGTTTCATGTCCTGGAAGTCATGTCGTCGTCGAAATTCCTTCAAAAAAGAGCTGGGTACCTTGCCGCCTTGCAAAGCTTCAGGCCCGAAACAGAGGTTCTCATGCTTGCGACAAACCTACTCAAAAAGGTCGACCAACCCAGAACGATTGACTGCTATTGTGCTGATACTGTGTATAGGATCTCGTTTGTCCCAATCTACAACTCATTTCTCTTCCTCTGATAACGCTTCCAAACATTATAACGCCTTCTCTGGCCATGTCATTACTTCCGGATGTTTTATCTAGAATCTCCCACTCCAGTCCGTCCATTCGGAAAAAGGCTGTGGTCTGCTTATACAGGCTTGCGTTGGTCTACCCCGATGCTTTAAGATTGGCATGGCCCAAGTTGAAAGACCGCTTGATGGATGACGAAGAGGACAGTAGTGTTACTACGGCTGTGCTCAATGTCGTATGCGAGCTTGGGTGGCGGAGGCCCCATGATTTTCTCCCGCTTGCACCGAGGTTCTTTGAGCTCTTGGTGGAAGGTGGTAATAATTGGATGGCGATAAAAATCATAAAGCTTGTGTGTTCAAAATTACTGTTATACTGAAATAGCGGACCTGCTGACCCGTTCTAGTTCGCAACCTTGACCCCCCTGGAGCCACGATTAGTTCGCAAGCTTATCCGACCACTTATTAACATAATCCAGACCACCACCGCCATGTCCCTGCTCTACGAATGCATCAATGGCATAATCCAAGGCGGAATTCTGGATGGAGAAGGGTCGCTTGAGGAAACACATGAGATCGCCGATATCTGTGTTGGGAAGCTACGAGGCATGGTGGTGACAGATTTTGATCCCAACCGTGAGTGTTTGCTCCTCCTTTAACAAGTACAACGCTGATAGGCGACCCAAAAAAAATAGTCAAGTACGTGGCGTTGCTCGCATTCAGTAGGATCGCGGTGTTCTATCCCCATCTGGTTTTGATGCACCAGGACGCCATAATGAATTGCCTAGAGGATGCGGATATCTCAATCCGCCTCCAGGCACTTGAGCTTGCGGCGCGGATGGTTACAGAAGACAACTTACAGCTCGTCGTGGACAGGCTCATTGGCCAACTTGAGACACTTGATCACACCAAGGTAGATGTCGAATATGCCATGGAGTCGGGCGAGTATGTGGGACCAAAACAAGCCCGAAAAGACAATGCGTCAATCTCTGTCTCCGAGGAGTATCGCGCCGAGGTTTTGCATCGAATTTTAGATATCTGTTCTTACGACAACTATTCTAGGCTGGATGATTTTGAATGGTATGTCGGCACCTTGATACGACTGGTGAAGCATCTTCCTACGGGTCCCGAAAAGCACACTGCGTACCAGAATGACGGAATGGAGAACGCGGCAAGCAGGATTGGTCTCGAACTGCGAAATATTGCTGTTCGTGTCAGAAATGTTCGAATGGAAGCGACAAGGGCCGCCGAATACTTATTGTTAATCGACAACAGGCACTCGCTATTTGCCCACGCAGACAGCGGTATACTAGGTCCGTTAGCCTGGGCTGTTGGGGAATACGCCGAATATCTGTCTTCTCCAGGCCAAACGCTTCAGTCGTTGATTGATGTGTCCAACACGTCCTCTACCCCAAGGACCCTTTCTCTTTTCATTCAAGCTGCACCGAAAATCTTAACCCGCATCATTCGTGACAAGGGCGAAGCTTGGAGCGCGGCGCAGAAAAGTGAAATCTCGCTGTACTTGGCACGAACCGTGGAATTCCTCGAGCATTTGGCGGCCCACCCTGACCTGGACGTGCAGGAAAGGGCAATCGAGTTCTTGGAGATTATGCGGCTGGCCGCAGATGTGGTGCGGACAGGGACACAGGAGGCCCAAATACCCTACTTACTGTCTTCGGTCATTCCGAGCCTGTTTTTTGGGCTGGAACTCAACCCAGTAGCGCCGAATGCCCAGAAGAAAGTCCCCATACCTGATCAACTGTCTCTGGACATTCCGCTCAACAGCAACGTTCGCGTCTTGTTCGAGTACAGCCAAGAAGGCTCAATCGCTCCGCCCAACGAGTTTTACTACGCCCGGGAATCTCACTCGCCGAGCAAGCATCAGAGTGAAGTTGGCACAAGTGGGATAACCTCGGGTCTTCTATATCAAACACACGACGCCGCGGCCGACTCGGCAGGAGCGTCACTGGCGCAGAAAGTGGAATGGAGACAACGCAATAGAGAAGATCCATTTTACATCGGCACGGATGGGCAGAACAATGCGGCTGCCGTCCATAGCGGTGGGAATCTAGACCTCGACTCGATACCTATCGTTGATTTGAAAATAAGCAGTCTGGAGAGTAATAATACGCCTTTCACGCTACCCCACAACAGTGATGGCAAGCAGCCTAAGAAATATGAAGTTATTCCCGACGAGGTGATTGGGCTCGAGGAAACATTGAGTGTTACCGAGGAGCCTGTTAGGGCCAAAAGGACCCTCCTGCAGGTTGATTCAAGTGGCCTCAGGGATTTTACATTGGTTGGTGAAAATCAGACCCTCACTGGGTCTGATAAGGTTGAGTCTAAAAGGGTTGAAGACGACATGGAGATGGCCACAGCAATGAAGGAAGTCGAGAGGATACGTTTGGAGATGCAAAGAGCGTCCGAGCGTGTACACCTCGAGGGAACCCCATCCGATGGAACATTGGTCAAGAGAAAGAAAAAGACTAAGAAGAGTGGCCATAAGACTCGAGGAGCTGATTCTGGAAGGCTGGAAGAACAGAAGTCATCTTCAGGCCAGAAAAAGTCCAGGAAAAGAAGACAAGGCACTTGAAGGATTATTTCGAAGAGGCTCGAACTAATTAGTTTTTCTTGGAACATGAATATACACCTTCCCTCCCGTTCAACGGGCGCACTCTTTCCAGTACACATGCTTTGATGCTTCCATCGACCCGACCAGCCAACCTGACTGGTCTTGCTTTAGGCGTAGCAGATAATGGGCGAACATCTTGTGATAGGATATCGTATCATTATAGCCGTTGGTGATGATCGTAGTGGTGGTGCTGGAACAGCTTGGTTTATCGAAGGAAAAGTGGATTGTGAGAAGCTCGAATGTAAAACGGACCGCTCTATGACAGCAATCGGTTGAAGACGGAGACTATCGCAGACCAAAGTTCGGGGACAACTCTCAATAGCTCAAAGATGAGCCCGCCGCAGACCACGAAGGCGAGAAGAGCTATTGAAAAAGTTTTAGTCGCGCATGTTGCCTCAACTGCTCGACATTGATGTGGACATACCGACCCAGCCCGTTGACAAGGTGGGCTTTGAACTGTTGTTCTTGCTTGTGGTGGCTTTCGACTTTCCACGCTTCGCAGCTTCGTGCTTTGCGTATTTCTCATTTGCCCTCCTCTGCTGTGGTGTTTGAGCCTAAGCATGAGGGTGAGCAAGCATCCACTGTTACCCGGAGCAGGGCAGGATAAATACCATTATTGTGTGATTTTCAGGAAATATGTAGTTGGGATGAGATAGCGACTAATGCTTGACGGTTGTATATGCGCTCAGATTCTCTGTTCGGCCCGCGTGTTGTGAGGACGTTGGAAATTGGTGGTGGTTGTAATTGGGTTGGAGAGGCCACGTTGTAGCCCAGGGGTAAATGGCTATTTACCACCACTCGAAATGAGGCCGAAGCACAGGCTTCGCTGTGTGTTCAATTCTGAGCCCATTGTAGCAGGGTTTCCGTTGCTCTCAACTGTTCCTACCGACTGCCTTTGCTTTAGCTAACTGCTGTTAAAGGATAATCAACTATTCGCAAGATGACGTATCTCTACTTGAAATATACTACCACTACTACTAGTAGCAACATTACACATGTACGCAGGCAGCATGTGCTATGCAAGGCTTTCATGCCTTCTACGGTGTGTTGTTATAAGTCTAAGCGACTCTATTAGCTATGAAGCTCTTGGGTTGAAGGGAAAAGCCTCCTCGAGTCTCTGTATAGGAGTGGTGTACATAGATATGTAGCTCTAAGGGAGCCTGTGGTATCTTATCACAGGTGCCCAGAGCTTTCAGTCGATGCTTATTATTGGATGATGAGCTCACCGCTCACTGCGACGGAGGGGGCCGCGCACATACACCCACGTGACTGTCCTTTCTTCAACCCTTGCAAATGAGTGGGAAAACCATGTGAATAATAGACCTTTATACAAGTAATGCCAACTACATGGGAATCTCCTGGAAATTACAGCGCATGGCTAAATCAACTGGGCTGCCTTTGAAATAAGTTGCGTTGCAGCCTCAATTTTTTGTTGTTTCCAGTCAAATGATAACTCAAATACCGTTATACCTGATAGTTTCTATTGGGCTATTCTTAATCGCCGCCAGTCGTCATAAATAATGGTTCCAAGCAAGCATACTCTCCTAAGCGTCTGAAAAGTGCCTTACGACGGCCCAGGTATAATCAGATCGAATGACAACAAATAGAATATAAAGAATGCAGCGCATTCCAACCGTAGAATTCCCGAGAAATGTCTCTGGGGCGTCATGAGCGGTGATTGGGCATTGGGCAGCAGATTTAGGTAGTACTTTAGGTACTCTTCTGCATTCTCGACCCTGCCTCCCTTCGGCTGCACAACAATCACAGCGCAAAAAGGTGGTGGCCAGCGCAGCCTAGCCTGACGATTCCATCACCGTCGCCGATAGGGCTTCCTCCTACTGGTAAGCCCATGCCCAAACCCTGTTCCTAGGCCCAATAGTGAATCATCAGGCCGTCAACTCCCCTCCTTACGTACCCCCTCTCCCCCTCATATATTTTTTTTTTCGGTGATCCCAGACTTCCTCGTGATTGAATTCTTCTCGTTAGCAAGTTTGTATCTGCTATTACCATCCTTCCGGTGCGCTCGTCGTTTCGCCTTAAGGTTTACCGTAAATCTTTGTCCGACTTCGTGGAGGTTTCGACCAAGCACGTTTCCGACTATGAGTCCAGGTTCGAAGACAGAAAAACTTCTGATAACCTAAAAGCCTATATTCGCCTTCACTATATACCACACTTTTGACGCGGTTTATACCTAGAGCAACGAGAACCTCGAATCCTGGAACCGTTCAACATTCGACCAACAACACCGGGTAAAAAACAAAGCAGAGCACAGTCAGCCACCAGGGATACCTAGGTAATATCAATGACGTGCGTCACGATGTACCTCATCAGCATCCGCTTGATACTCACGAATCGGCAGGTTCAACATCACGATTGATCCGAACTCGGACGACTCCTCTTACTCCGACGAGGAGGACTCCTCTGGAGTGCAAGTCTCGCCGCCTTCTGGATCGGAAGGCCATGGGCATTATGAGCTATATGATGAATGGACAAATCTACCTTATCCTGATGAACTGAAGCCGTCTGACTCAGCCTCTCGAAACCGAATATCGTATCGCGCCCGGACTCGCAACCCCGTCCATCCCCCATCCACGTCTACAAGCCGCCGTCGCTCAAGCCGCCATCACTCGGGGAGGCGTCAAATCGAGTCCTCTCGCCGCTCTCGCCGCAATCCCTCACCCGAATCACCCGAGAGTATGGATTCAGCAGACGAGTTTGGGGACGTCTATCGTCATAGGTCTCAAGAGCGGTATTGGCCGTCAGTCGCCCACAATCCGGGCTACGCCCACAGCCCTTCACCAGGACCCTCATATGTTTATCCGCATGGTGCCGCTGCTCATACCCCGTTTGCTCCTCCCGCTGGCCAACATACCCCATCAGACCAATTGGTCAGAGTAGGTCCTCACAGTCAGGTCGGCCCGCCGAACCCTTACGGCCACCCACTTTACGGGTACAATCAACAATTGCAACAACAACAACAACAACCCCACCCTCAGTACTACCAAGATCATCTTGGACATCCGGTTCCTGGGGGTGCCCATAGGCCTGACGGACACAACCACCCGCCACAGCATCATCCCTTTCCCGCCCCCGGGCCTTCTCATACTGCCTTGCCATTTGGTGGGCCCCAAATGAACCCGCACGAACTTGTCCCTTACGGCTCGCAGCCATACTATCCGTTTCGGGAGCCGTACGGAATGGTTTCAGCGGGGATGATGTCGCCTTATTTCGCCCCTTATCCACGCCCACCGTCTCCTCCAAGCCAAGTTGAATCAGCTGGAGCACCGGCCTCACCAGATCCTGCTCCGGCACCTGCACCCGCGCCCGCGCCCGCGCCCCCACCTGCAGATCCTGCCAAGGATGAAGCAATTGCAAGACTTGAAAAGCTGATCTTGGAGGAAAGAACCGAACGTGAGGCTCGTGAGGCTCGCGAAGCTGCGCGTGAAGCTGCGCTACAAGCAGAGGCTGCTGCTGCTGCCGCCAAAAAAGAGCGCGCTGCCCATGAGAAGAAAATCGTCGAGGAAGCAGCCGCCAAAGCCAAGGAGGAGGCGGAGAAAAAGGCTGCTGATGAAGCTGCCGCAGCGAAGAAGGAGGCGGAAGAAGCCGCGGCGAAAGCTGCCGAAGAGGCAGCAAAGGCTGCTGAAGCCGCCGCAGCGGAAGCTACCGAGAAAGCCAAGGCAGATGTCGAGGAAAAGATCGCAGCAGCTGTAGCGGCCACCAAGCCTCCAGACAAAAAGAAGCCTATCAAATTCAAGGACGCTCTTGGTAGAAAGTTCAGTTTTCCTTTTGATTTATGCTGTACCTGGAAGGTGAGTCTTTGACAACTAGCACCTGATGATCCTTCTGACTTTTACTAGGGAATGGAGGAGCTTATCAAGCAAGCCTTTCTTCATATCGAGGTCATCGGACCGCATGTTGCCGAAGGACACTATGACCTAATTGGCCCTAATGGGGATATCATACTTCCTCAAGTCTGGGAGACTGTCCTTGAGCCCGATTGGAACATTACGATGCACATGTGGCCGATTCCAGAAAAACCAAAGGATGAAGCTGCTCCGGCTGCGGCTCCCGAAGCACCTGCTGGCGACGCGGGAGCGCCTCCTGCCGAGCCGCCAAAGAAGCAAAGTGGGTTTCATGCACTCCAGTCCAAAATATATCATGGTGCTAATATTACTCATAGACCCTAAAAAACCGCGGAAGAAGGGTGATCCTAGCCCGTTTGCCATGTGGGTTGTGGGAGGCCCAAACAGATTCGGAAACAAGGCTTTAAAAGCGGGAAAAAAGCCTAAAGCAGCCCAGCATGCCGCACTGGCCCGTGTTGTTTAACGGGATGTGGGAGCTCGTACTCCGGTCTGATCCTTGTGGTCCCAGATATCTTGTCTTGATAGGCAAATCGGTCTCTCGGCCTGGAACCGTTGTTCGTAGGGGCGCCATCGCGATTCGCGACTTTTATAGTCTTCGAATGTCACTTCGGAAAGCTCCTCGGCAATTGGTGGCGGACACCGGATTTTGGGCTTACCCTGTGCAGCTCTGCTTTAGGGGGACATGGCTTTTCCTCTCGTATACACGGGATTGGTTTCTCATGTCTCGGGGAGGTTGTTTTTTTTTTTTCTCCCTCTCTCTCTCTCTCTCACTCTTCCATATTCCGCACCTTTGTGAGCATCAAAAAAAAAAATATTTACTGGAGTTGGAGAGATGATCTGGGGGTTTCAGAATATGTATCCGACATGTGTCATGACTTGCTGATATACCCATAGAGCTTTGGAAGCGACTTTCTGTTTGGAACTGCATCGATGTATATATATCATGTTCTTTAATTTTATCTATATAATACAAATTGTGTCTTAGCCAGATGACACCAAGCCTCTTCAGTTTCTTCGGCTTATCTCGTGGGCATCAGCTCGCTCATGATTACCACGTCCACCAAGGCGTTGCGAGTTTTGTTTTGGTCGTGTTTTGGTCGTATAAAGGTCTATCGGGTGAGCCAGTCTGGTTGGTCGAGAGGTAGGCTATTATTGAGGAACAAGGGGCTTCCAGCTAATTTCCTCACCGAAACTATCATCGAGCAGGCCTTGAGCAACCGGTCTCATCGGCTGCTTCACCTCATCGTCGTTGAAAGGCAAAGCAAATCCGCGTCGGTCACTGTTTCGCCGCTTTGGTGAAGACGAATGTTCACCCAATACAGAAGAGACTCTCGGGCTCGTTGATAACGAGCCAGGAGAGCCTCTATAAGAGGATATGTCTGGCGTATTTGGATATGTGCGGCTCGTTGAGGGACCCTTGTTCAGACCGAGTGAGCTGGGCTTTGGAGGAACCGGGGGAGCGGGTTTATGCCCGCCAACTTCTTCCGTTTGTGACGCATGGAGTACCAGGCTTCTGAGGGATGGTTTCCCAGAGATGACTGTAGCAGTTTCTTTTTGAATCGCGGCAATGGAGACCCAGTTGGGGCTCTCTCTAGCGGAGAAGGGATTTGATGTACGGTGGACATCCAGCGTGTAATCCTTGGTGGGAGGGCGTATAGATGATTTCACGGGGGCACCTGATCAAATGGTCAGCGAAACGAAAAGCGAAACGATGCGTGGACAGTGTAGGATAAGCTGCAGTATTCCGCATGATCTCAGACAAACGTACCATTATCGAGCCACCATTTACGCTGGTCCGAACTGGGAGGGGGAAGCCCCGTGGCGATTGGTTCAATGGAGATGAGATCCCCGCTTCCATTATTTATACGCACTGGCTGTGTCGGTGCCTCGAGAACATGGGCAGCACCCCATTGTTGAGCATAAAGGTCCTGTCGGAGCGTTTCTTTTTGAATTTCGTCGACAACGCTAATCGTACACTTAAAGCTAGCCCACACTGGGCGGTGGTCTGAAAGCCGCAGGTTTGCAACATTGTAATTGAGCTGTCGAAGGTCTGGTCCTTTCCACAAGATCCTGTCGCACCATGCAGGGATACGCGCTTTTTCTCTTCACAATCATTAGTATTAGTATAGCTCATATGAAAAGATGTAGCAACATACGATGTGTCATAGGTGTCCTTGCCAACGTCATATTTGTACGTCGGTGGAAACACCACGACGCCCTCATTATAAAACTGAAATGCCCTGCCTGCGAGCATTTGAAGGTTGAGCTAGACGGGATATCATTAGGTGTGTAATAGTAGACGGGATGAGAACTGACTGACCTGGTCATTGGCATAAAGCTTTTGATACTTTACTTGTTGCACAAGATCTCTAACAGTCTGGTTGGGAAGGCCGATTCGATAATTGAAATCTCCCATCCATATGATAGCATCATGATCTTCAATGGACCGGTTCCTCTGAAAGCGGAGTCCTCGATAAATTGTCTCATAGTCATTATTCCGTTCATCGTAATTTGCAAAGCCGGCAGCCAAATGAGCTGTCACGAAGCATATCCTGGTGTTTGAATATTCGAAACGAACAGCACATCCTCCCTTATTACCGGCAATTCCTGAAAGTCCAGTCTTGCAAATTATTAGCGAGAGCGATATGATAGTTTTGATTGGTGCTCACCTTTTTCACACTACCCTCCACATTCTTGATGTCTTTGAGGGCATCTTCACGCACGTAGATCATTAATGCAGCACCAACAAGTTGGCCAGACCGCAAAAGGACATATTTTGGAACTGCTCGCGAAGCCGAACGTTTATTCAAACAGGCTAGCACAGCCATCTCCCATGACTTGCGGGTTGTAGGATCTGTGGACATGATTTGTTGGGGGCTTAATGCAACAATCTCTTGAAAACCGACAGCAAAGATGGTTGGTTCGGCGTGTTGCTCACTAGCCTCTGGGAACAGCCAAGGGTCGAGGTCAACGTCAGATCCGTGAATACGGCCGTTTACATTGAATGTCCCAGTCCAGATATTGGTCGTCTTCTTGGAGGTATATTCCGATGCCCTTTGCATCAGTTCACTCGAGACCAGGTCATTGATTGGATCATATAGGTGTACCGGCGCTTGATCTGGCAGGCGACCTAATAAGAGATCTATTGTCCTCTGGCGAGCCTTGTCGGAGAAATTGTTGATGTACAGCCTGGCCGCAGTTTTGCGTGCGTCAGCCAACGCGCCAGCCAAGGACATCTTGCCATGCCGTGTATACGAGCTTCTTAGAGCACCAGTACCGGCATAGATCTTGGATAGAGCGTCGCCATTATCGGCCCAGAGAGTAGAATGGCGTAGATGGATGTCTGAGCCCGGCGCCCCCTTATTCTGGTGCAGCAAAAACGATTCAAGCGCCATTGAGCTTATGATGGTCTGGACCAGATTGGTACGGTCAAGACAATCCAGGCAATTGGTACGAAAGACACCCTCCTGCTGTAGAATAACAGATGTGCCACGCCTAGAAGGCGCACTTTCAGATAGAAAGTATGCAAAGCCATTGAGTGAGTGCAACAGCTCATGTTTAATTTCACCTCCAGCCCCATACCCCAAGGGACCCCGAGCTTCGGCGTGAAAATCAAACTCTGTCGCCCTTAGCAAAGCATGGTCTGAGTCTGCTTTCTGATTCAAGAGATTCCTTTGTATGTGTTGACGGAACCTCGTAGATATCTCTACTTCACCTGGTCTGAGTTCACTTAGAAGGTTGACCACATGAACGGCGCCATATTCTAGCTCGAGCGACTCGATATGCTTATCGAAGGCATGTTGTGTAGCCTCAATCGAGCGCGTTACATCGATCTTTTGTTGTCCGGGTAGGAATCCAGTGGCTTGTTCCCAGAATATTGGGACAGAGCCACGGACCTGGACATAGGAAAAGGCGATGCCGGGTGGTACCCAGAGGATGGTTTCAGTCTCTACATAATTCGCCACATTGCCATCATCATCTATGCCACGAGCATTGAATCGCGTGCCTGCGCGTCGAGAAGACAGACGGGAGATCAATGTCAACATGGAAGGCATGTTTGTCCGCACCGAAGATAGAATGCTGACCGAGGCAGGAATAGTCAAAGTTCCACAGAAGCCTCGTATAACACACGTCAGAATCTGAGAAGAATCAAGAAGCTGCTTGTCGTGCGGCGATAAGTGGGACCGAAAGTCAAGAAGAGGTTCAATCATATATGCGTTCCATAGCACATCCCTATCAAGAGACGTAATGTCAAAGGCCGTAGATTTGTCGGAACTATCGAATCATTAGTTGTTATTATCTACGTTTGCCCTTGAGGTAACTCACCGATCCTGTAGGCGATCCGTCAGGTTGAAATCAAGGCTGTAGTAAAAGCTGCCATCGTTCAAGAGCTTTTTGAGCGCTAGAAAAGGATGGTCTGTTAGCCCTGGCCGACCCTCGAGACCAGAGTCTTCGCTTGCATCCCCATCATAGTAGAGGCTGGATTCATATTCCGAGCGGTTTAGGCAATCTTCTTAGGTTAGATACGACACGAGATTTCTTAGAAGAAAAAAAAGAGGAGGTCTTACAGAATTCTACGTCTTCAATTCTCAAGACGGTTTCTCCAGGCCTGACACTGGCGGCTTGGACGGACCGTGTGACCACACAAACAAAGACGTCGTGGTCTAAAGTGACCAAACCAAGGGTGCCGTAGCCAAATCCCAAGGCGCGATAGCCTGTCAGATCTATAGAAGATAGGCCAGCGAATTCAACCAGACATCGTTGTGTATCATTACTGGCGGGTAAAGCACCGGTCCTGGACTCGCCTAAGGTATGTCTGAAGATCATTGCATCTTCGGAAGTGGCCAATATTAGACTGCGGACAGGGTGGTCCCGGCTCAAGACCCGTATACTAGGCATTATTGTTCAGTTGTTCGGATTCGCAGATTGCAGCATCAACCATAGCAAGTGTAGAGCGTTTAGTTAATCAGTAACTAGTGGTTGGCACGCCTTGAGTAGTTGTGTGTAGGCAAAACAAATACGTGACGAGCGAGTTATAAAAGTGCAATACGGATAAAGGTGCCGATAGAATAATGCAATGAGTGATTGTTGGGAAACGTATGCTTTGTTGATTATCACCAGTGGCTGTTCGGGATTAGAACGAGGATGCCGCTCGACATCCATGAATGAAGGCAAGTAGGGCAAGAGGGTGGTCGTTTCAGCCCCGCTTGCTTGATCCGTCGTAGAGTCATGTGAAGACATCAACTATCTGCATCGATATTCGAGCTGGACGGAAAAAGAGCCGCAAGTCTCGCATGCGACACAGTATCACACAGAAGGCTGATGGAACCCAATTTGTCCTGCTCTGCTGAATGCGGGTACCAGTTTAGAAGACGCTAGCTATTAGTACTAGGTAGCGAGGTGCTTCAGCCAGCTTGAGTTCCTTGGCTTCATACTTGCGAATAATAGTAAAATTGCAGGCTAAGGCGCTTTTGTCGTGTACTTTTGGGAAGATCCAGCGCCGTGATAATCACGTGAATGGTTATCTTCCCTCAGAAGGCGGTCACCCATATCTACTCTAATTTTTTTTCTCTGCCTAGAAACATTATTTTGAAGAAGCGGTTCAAGGTTTTCGAGGGTGTCTCATCGTTTCTCTCTTTTTGCTCTCTCTGACTTTCTTTTTATCCGATCGCTCACTGGCGCCCAGCCTTGTACCTTTGTTACTGCGTGATTTTCTCTGGAGAATGGGTTTGGCAGCGCCCCGCAAGTGAGTGATTTCTTGCTCATCCTTGATTGAATGCTGACGAGGGCTCTTTTAGGAGGACGAAGATTTCCCAGGATCCGAACAATACAAATTGGTCGCGGTCGACAACCGGATTTGGACACAAGATTCTCAGTTCACAGGGATGGACACCCGGAACATATCTTGGAGCCCGCGATGCTGCGCATGCTGATATGTTCACCGCCGCCAGCGCGTCGCATATCAGAGTCATAATGAAAGACGATACTCTCGGCCTCGGTGCACGATCTAAGCGTGCCGCTCTTGACGAACCCACTGGACTTGACGCCTTCAAGGGCCTGCTCGGAAGATTGAATGGGAAATCCGATGCCGAACTGCAAGTTGATCAACGAAAGCGGGATGATGTAAAACTTGCCCGATATGCTGCCAACAAGTGGCAAACGGTTCGGTTTATAAGCGCAGGTCTTTTGGCCCAAGAGAAGGACGAGGAGTCCCAAAAGCCTCCAGCGGGTACGAGGAGCTCATCCCCTCGCACGTCGAAAGAGGACGAAGGTCGCAAACTGTCTGCAACCGAGGAGACAGGAACAAGCAACGAAACCGAGGGTTCCGAATCGCGCAAGCGAGGAGACAAGAAGAGCAAAAAGGAGAAGAAAGACAAGAAGGAAAAGAGGGAGAAGAGAGATAAAAAGAGAAAGCGCGCGGAGCGGCAAGAAGGCGCCGAGAGCTCGCAAGAGTCGTCATCTACCGAACTCTATATAGGTGCTAATAAGACTGAGCTGGCATTGAAAGTACCCCCCGCGAGGGAATGCCGGCCGCTCGGGAGACATATGATTCGAGGTCGACACATTGCCCAGAAAAGGAAAGCGTTGATGGATGAAAAGTCTTTGAACGAGGTAAATCCATTCCCTAGGCGCTTTGTTTCCGAGCGACTATGACTGACCAAGCCAGATTTTCATGATAAAATCGTAACCTTGGTTTCTCGCACGGTGATGTATACCCTGCCGGTTTTGATGCGATTCAGACCGTGTCCATACTAGTACATGTAGATTAGCGAGGCGTTATACTGCATAAATGGGATGAATGATCTAGTAACTGTATGTACTGTACATGCACTTTATGCTGGCAATCAGCTGAGAGTGGGCCTTGCTAGCCGTTGTGCTTCAGAATGCGGAGGTTAAGAGGTATGACCTCACTTGTCCTCAACCTCTCTTCCTTGCTCTTCCTTGCACTCGCTCCCATGCCGAATAGAATCTATCTGCCGGCCATACGTTCTCAATATATGCCCAAATCCGTGCTTATTCCATACTCACCCATACAGTTCGCTTTCTGAGCGCTCAGTTTGCGATGGACGCCGCAGCTTCTAACAAGGAGAATGCGGCACAACATATCGCCCCAGAAACAGGCCCCGCACATCAGTCATTGTATACAAACCATGATAAAACCGAGCTCCCACAGCGTGAACATGGAGTGCTCAAGAAAGGCAGTGGGAGTGTTGTGAACGGGGTCCGAAGGACCACAGACCTTGTACACAGGACAGCGAAACAGCGTGGTGATCCTGAGAGATCCTCCAAAGGCTATGAGAAATATGGGTATGTCGCTCCTTGTCATCAGCTGGACGTTCTGACTCTCAAAGCATACACTGGGCGCCGTTGAACATCCGCCTTGAACGACGGTTACAGACTTTTGTGGTCTTGTGTCATACCTTGACAATCGCTATCTGCCTCACGGTCTTCTTTTTCACCTGCGCCATCCCTCTTTCATGGCCTCTCTTGCTACCCTACCTGATATACATTTCGCTATTCTCGAATGTGGCCACATCTGGTTCGTTGAAATATCGAAATGACTTTTTGCGTTCGCTCCCTGTCTGGTCGCTCTACGCCTCCTACTTTCCGGCCCGTCTACATCGGTCAGAGCCTCTCCTACCAACTCGGAAATATATATTTGGATATCATCCACACGGCATCATTTCGCTTGGCGCTTTTGCAGCATTCTGTACGGAGGCGCTTGGCTTTTCCAAGCTCTTTCCCGGTATAACCAACACACTACTCACGCTAGACTCTAATTTTCGCATTCCCCTATACCGAGAATATGCACTCTCAATGGGACTTGCTAGTGTCTCACGGGAATCATGTGAAAACCTCCTTACCAAAGGTGGGACGGATGGCGAAGGTATGGGCCGTGCCATAACAATTGTCATAGGTGGTGCCCGCGAGTCCCTCAATGCATCTCCAGGCTCACTACGTCTGGTTCTCAAACGCCGCAAAGGATTTATCAAGCTAGCTATCCGTACGGGAGCCGACCTTGTACCGGTGTTGGCTTTTGGTGAGAACGATCTCTATGAACAAGTCCGCTCGGACAGCCACCCCCTCATCCACAAGTTCCAAATGCTCGTCAAGCGGACACTAGGATTTACCATTCCGCTTTTTCACGCCCGTGGTGTCTTTAATTATGATGTTGGCTTGATGCCATACCGTCGCCCATTGAATATTGTCGTTGGCCGTCCAATACCCGTTGTTCAACAGCAGGACAGAAACAAAATCGACGACGACTATATCAACCAACTCCACTCTGAATACGTGCAAGAACTCGAAAGATTATGGGAAGAGTACAAAGATGTCTATGCCAACAACAGGGTTTCTGATATCGAGGTGGTCGCCTAATGGATATAGTGTATTTTCTTGTCTGATAACCCCACACACATGCACAAATTTCAGCAGTTTCAGCTACCCTTTGTATATCTAGTGCTATGCATATAAAAGGTGCTGGCAATACACAGCCAATAGCACACCGTATCAGAAGTAATGTCAAAGCCTACATGTTCGACTGAACCTAAGTCATAGCGCCTATAGACGAGACGTAAGTAGCTATATTCAATCCACCTTGGAAGATCTGAATAATAGAGCTGGATGGATAACGATAAATATGTGGTCATTGTATTCATATGTATACACTCATCTTCATCTTTCATCACTAGCAAGCTCGCAACATGGAAATGGCCATCAGAAACATAGTAGTATAAGAATAGAAAAAACACCCATCAAAAGCCATTAACCCAAGGAAACAAAGTCAAGACAAGACAATCTGGGTATCTGAGAAGAAAGCGCAAATTTACAAACACAAAGTTGAACACTGGACAGGGCCAGAGAGATATTCGTCACGAACCAGGAAACGGCAACTAGGCCATCATCTGGAATCCATAGCCGATTTTACAGGACCAGCGACATGGAATGGCGGAAAGGGTTTAGACGTCCAGACTCTGACGTGGATGAACCGGAGGAGGAGGGGGAAGAGGATGAGAAGGGGGAGGTGATGCGCATGCCGTTACCGCGCTGAGACCAGGAACGGTTGGATTTGATTCTGACGTTCGTCGGCTTTCTGGCGCTACTCGGACACTTCCGCGTGAGCCCTTGATCAAATGTCCGCTTTCCACTCGATCCTGGATCATCTCGTCGAGAATGCGCGATACCTCGTCCATGCTCCTCCTTTTCACAGTCGTTTCTATCTCTGCAGGGCCAGCAGATACTTTGGGAGCCGCACCCGGGGAAGCATTGCCCGCCGACTGTTGAGTTTGAGCTGGGGTTTGTGTAGGAGGCACCGAAGTTTGGGTAGGTGATGGAGTCTGTGTCTCGATGGAGAGCTGGGCTAGGTCCCGGTGACGAGCAGCAGAACGAAGCGCTGTCAGCATCCGATCCTTGTCGTCAAGCTGAAGCCGAAGTTCGTTAATTTCCATATCCTTTTCTCGTAGCTGGGCCATGAGCTCAGAATTATCATGGGACCCGCCCGACTTGATGCCCATGGACATGCGCGAGTGGCTGGATCGTCGGGCTTGAAGTAGGCGTCTTTCCAACGTTGCGATATAACGATTTTTGTCATTGAGGTCCGCCTGAAGAGCCGAGATTTGTCTCTGAGCGCTTGCTTTCCCATCTGCAAATTCGCCCATCATATCCTCGTCGTCCTCATTACCAAGAGGTAAATTCATGTCCTGGCTGTTGACGGAGAGGAAGGAAACCGGCCGATGAATGTTGAGCGTGGATTGACTGACCGAAGAACGTAGGGAGCGAGAACCGGGGTCGAGTATGGAAGACATCCTCGATAACCGACCAAGGGCAGAAATAGTGCCTTGAGTATTGACACCTGTGGACTTTGAGCATAAAATAAGGCGATTCAGATGCTCTATACGTTCCTTTAGAGCAGTTCGAGCTAGCTGCATTTCCAGCATCTGTTCTTCGTGTCGTTCGTGAGCTTCCTGCTCGAGCTTTTGCTCTTCTAATTTCATCTCCTTTTCGGCCTGAACCTTTGTTTGACTCTCGAGCTGGCCGCGCAGAGCTTGTATCTCCATCCGATAGCGCTCGAGCAGGACACGGCTGCCCGCGTCACCACCACCTCCGCCAAACGCTTCATCTGCTCGTTTGGCGTGGCTGACAATATTGTTCTTGGCTCGGGCGGCAAACTTTAGGGTATTCAGGGTTTCTCCAGAGTTTGAATTGACCGAACTGCCCAATTGGACAGTACAAAGAATACTGACAAGCGAATTACCGGACAATGCGGGCTGCAGCAATCTCGTGAGCTTGCTGTCACGATAAGGCAAGTGTTTGTCCTTTGTCTCTGAGGGACTGTCCTTTGTCTCCGAGAGTCTGGAGATGATGTTTCCCAAGGTAAGAAGACTCTTGTTGATATGTGCACCTTCGGTGCGTCGCTCCTTGTCATCAGCGGCTCGCTCTGACCCTGCAAGATCAATCAGGCTTAGAGTCGATACTCGGACTCCACCGGGGGCTAGACCGGATCTCCTGTCCTGCGTTGTCCCTGTAGGAACTCGCTCTCGACTCTCGACCACTATTTGAACCACTGCGTGACTTCGGGAGCTGCGAGCGTTGAATTGAGTGCTACCCGTCCTCCTCGCATGGTCACCTCTTGCAATAACGCGGAGAAGCTGTGTGGGGCTTTGCACAATTTCTTCCTTTAGAGGGGTTGCGTAAACGCCCCGTTTACTGTCCTCTCGCAGCTTGATTTCCTCTTGCGGGCCATTAGTGGGTCCGATAGACGCCGAAAGAAGGTCGTGAATCTTTTCGTTGTAGATCTCCAGGTAGCTGACGCGAAGTAGGAATTCTCGATGAGGGGTTTCTCTGATAAAGGAGAATATATCGGTAATGGCCAGAGGTATTACTCCGGGAGACGTCGCAGTACCTTGCATAGAAAAGGTTTTGCCAGTTCCCGTCATACCATACGCAAAAACAGTACCATGGTACCCTTCCATTACCCTTCTTACCAGGCGTTTGGCAGCAGAATCATATACCCGGGCATTGTTTTCGTGAGCCGAGAAGAGGTTATCTGCGACGTTAGCTAAATCTTCAAAAAAAAAAAAAAAGGTGTAGTACCGTAATAGTAATCGCCGCCTTCCTTCCCATTATAAGCAAGTAGACCTCGGCGAGCATCTACAACCCACTCGGAATTGGCTGAACCTTCACCATTGACGTTTGGACGTACCCTGACGCTTACGATGACGTTGCCCTTTATCTCTTTGGATTTCGCATTTGATTTCGATCCGGCTGAATCATCGCCATCTTCGAAGGTGGTGGCACTTGTTGAATATGAACCTTCAGCCGAGGAACTTCTGCTTTGGGAGGGCGAACCCTCCAAATCGGCGTGTGAGATCGATTTAGCGTCACCACCAGCACTGAGCAAAGAGTGCGTCTTTGAACTTCTTTGGCTGATGGCCCCCATGCTTGGTCTGGAACCCCTCTTCGACTTGACGCTTCCAGACGACTGTAGACCCGGGCCGTTCATTGAGGACGCGGTACCAGGGCGGCTTCCGGGCCGTGGAGGTTGCGGAAACGCAGCGATGCTGATCGTTCTTCGTAGGGACTTCTCTGGACTACTGGGCACCCTGGCCCCCGACGCTGATCTGGTGGAGCTAATATTGGTGGTAGAGTTGGAGAGCGGCGATTTGAGTGCTGGTCTTGGACTAGAGGGAGTGCGCAACTTGTGTGGAGAGACCGCCCGTGAGGAGTCTGATGAGGCAGGCATACTCTTTCGCGATTTCGGGGCAGGCAATTGGGGAAGCGCCCCGATGGGCGGGCCAGCGGCGGGCCTGGACGGTTGTGGTAGTGTAGACATGGCAGTCGTCTCTCAAACAAAAATCACAGGCTGACGGGAGTGGGCAGTGTGACGGAGTATGCGTTTGACGACAAACAAGGGTCGTGGCCAAAGACATGGACCGTGTATTTCACCGCAACAAGCTACAAGAGGCGCAATGTTAGCTGGACGGAGAAGATCAAAAAAAGGACAGCTTGTGCCATGTGCCGATACTGTAACTGCATTGGATGCATCTTGCCGATACACTGCGTAATGCAACTGCGATGTATTTTGAAATAGGATGGTAGAAGAGAGTTCAGGGTCCCGACATTTTGTTACACTCACCCAAAAGGCAAACGCGACTGACAAAGTCAACCAAATACACCAAACATGCGCAGCATGTATCCGAATGCAGCCTATTTCAAAACAACGTTGTCGATCGGCTATGCGCTACTGGCGGCAGTCGGTCTCTAGGCTTTTGCGCTGCGGTACTGATGACTCGAGAAAACAAACGAGGGCGGGAAGCGAGGAGACTGAGGGGTGCGTGCCCGAATAATGTATGATATTGGCGACAGGAGACGATGATGTTTGCTCAAGCAATGAAAGTAGTACTTCTCCTGTGACTGGTAGAAGGAGGTGCGATCTCCTCGTCTCGCGCAATTTCGCGAGTGGGATAAGAGGGCGCCCCTGGCCAAGGGTAACAGAGCGAAATCTCTAGGGGGATTCGCGTCAAACTCGCAGGGCAATGGATGAAGAGTTGAAGGGAGAGGAAAACAGAAGCAAGTTGATTGACAACTCTGCTGGCATCGCTGTGAGATGTCCAGAAAAGAGATGTGCTTGTCACCCCACACTCGATGGGCCGTCGACGAGCTGGAGAGGTCGGCCCCAATGATTTGTTGGATTGAGATTGTTTCCCCTGAAGTTTGTAAGATTTGTTATGCTACTGCTACGAACTAACTTAATTTTACACGCAGTGCCTATTAGCCTTGTTTAGGTATGGAGCGCGTCCTTTAAATGAGAAGTATTTCTCCATAAATTTGATCGCAGTTCACTACAACTGCGGACAAGCTTCTTTCCCATCACAGGCACGGCTTGGTAAGATTTCGGTCATGAAACTCCAGTCGTCGCCCCAGGACAAGCTGCAACTTGATTCTCCATCCCTAGGATCTGTTCGACTCGCCGATGCCGCTCCTTGCTATGTACATATCGCTGATGCCTGAGCAAGATCTCCGACCAGTAATCATTTGATCTTGGTTCCAACTCTCAGTAATCTGGTTCGCGCATGGGCCTGGGCTCGGTGAACCACTTGAAAGGCTCGAAGTTCATTCGTGTCTCGCTGAACTCTTGAAGTGGAAAGCGGTGGACAACAAACATGCAAACTCTGTGGGTTCGAGTCCGTCTGGTTCCGTTCATCCTGGCGTCTTGGAAGTTGCACCGTGCCTGAACCATTGAGATCATTCATTGTCTTGTCCTGAAGGAGTACTAGTCGTAGCTTTGTTGATCACATTACGGAGTATGTTTTCACAAAGTTTTTCCTGCCCAGGCCAATGGGAGCGTCAATCTGCGGCGATAAGCCCAATTTTACCCCTGGGAAGAGAGAAAAGGGGGCCAATCATTGCGCTCCCCCTGTGAATGAGCCTCCCGCCGGAACCCCCAGGCCCGGCAACGCTCGGGAGCAGTTGCAGCGTAGCACCCGAGAAGCTTGGGCGTCATGATCGGATATGACATGATTCCCTTTCGCAGAAATACTGCTGGGGTCAGAACTTTGCTGGATTCTAAAAATGGCGGATTCGTTCTGACTCCGGACCACATTCATCTCGTGTTCCGTAGGCGGCGCGAGGGGCCTCCTACAAGTTCATACAAGGATGTTTAGCGTAAGATGACCTCTCGATCTTCCTCGGGGTGCAGCAGCAGATTCACTAAAGGCAGTGATGCTAGCCATTGACGCAACGATTGGTTCTGACGATTATGTGGCGACGCCGGCTTTTCGAGGGAGGTTGCGCCTGAGGACATTGCTCTCGAGTCAATATACACATTGCAATCTTATGCCTTCATCGCAGAAAAGTCCAGCTGCCGAGCAGCATTCTTGAATTGGTCGTCAAGCTCGCCCCCCCGCCGAGTCAAGTCGTCGCCCATTTTCTTGGTGCCGCCAGCTTTTCGAGGGAGGTCTTGTTTGTTTGTCGGCCTAGGCTCGGTAGTCCACCAACTGTGCCGGAGCGCTTGGTATGCCGTACTTCGTTTTCTTGGATCCAGCGTACACATTGACATTAATAAGTCTGCGCCGACCGGACCAGCAGTTGGAAACTGCCGGAGAAAAAAGTCTCGGCTTTGCACGGGAACGAGATGACTTGCGTCTGCTGGGATGTAATTTGGCAACTTTGATACACCTGGCCAGTTGTCTTCGGTTGGTGTCCCAAAGGCTTCGCAAATTCTGGTAATTTGGTCAAGATCCGAGTTCCCTGCGACAAACGGGACCCGCAGAAGAAGTTCAGCAAACACCATTGCGACAGACCAAATGTCAACGGCACCAGAATACTGGCGCGCACCATAGAGAAGTTCAGGCGGCCGGTACCATCGTGTGATAACCTGATGCGTCATGTTCAGATACGGGTCCGCGAAGGACCTAGCCAGACCGAAATCTGCTAGTTTGACCTCCCCATCGGAGGCAATGAGCAAATTGTTTGGTTTTATATCTCGATGCAAGACAAAGTTCTCATGACAAAACCAGACTCCTCGGATAAGCATGCCCATCCATGCCTTGATGTCGGCCAAACCGTAATGTATATTGCTGTCCTTGATGAGCATTTCTAGATCGCCGCGTGGTAGATACTCGAGAACCAAGTTGAGATTTTGATCCTTGGATGAGAATACATCATGAAGCGCGATGATATTTGGGTGAGAAAGCTCTTGCAAATACTTCACTTCGCGGATAGCGTCCATCGACAGTCCGTCTTTATATTCCGTGTTGACCTTGATTTTCTTGATGGCCACGAATGAGGAAGGATCGGTTCGAAGGTGGCCGAGAAAGACGACAGCATAGGTACCCTCACCTAGTTTCTTAGCTACAGATATGTTAGTCTACTGTCTGCTATCGAGCGGGACTCTGGGTATACCTTTGATGTACTTGTGTCTCACTTCATCATTCAGCTGTTCTGTGATCTCGCGATCCGCACCGCCCTGTAGCTGAGGGAAATACTCGTTCTCCTGCACGGGAGGCGCGGGCCCAGAAGCTGTACTCTTTTTTAAAGGAGCTGTTGCTGAAGGTGACAGGGCGGCACCCAGTGGCGAGAATGCCATTGCTCCTCCTGCTCAAATGAGCCAAACTGGTTGTTGACTGTAAAGCTGATTTCACTTTGGAAATGGTAATATGCACAGAAATAATTGTGAGGATGTGATCACAGAGTTCAAAGCACGTAGATGTGGGTGTTGTTGCTACTGGATGCTGATGCGGAACAGCGTCGGAGTTTTGTTAATCCTGAAAGATCGTGAGCCTCGCCGAAATTTCCCTCCGCATTATGATAGTATTCAGGAACAGCAAAACGGCCCGAGTCCGTCCCTCACCTACTGGCCCTAAGAGCTCTGCCAACATCGCTCGCGCCTTATATATCTCCGAACCTTGCTTTCACCTTACTCGCCAACCTTGGGGCTGATCAAACATTTGCCTCTCATCCGCGAGCAGGGAATTCGACAATAGACATCCGTCGTCATGGCGTTGGGAAACCCTTTTTCGATCACACGGGCAATCAAGTCATTTCAATTAACCCGACACTGCCTCCGCACAGTGCATCAAAAGTCCGCTGCGCCCTCTGTCCCATCACCAACGCCCTTCGTCCCGGACGTTGAAACCTTCCTCAAACTCATCGGCCGCGACATGTCAAAGCATGCCAGCAAGCTACCCTCTTGGGAGCAAATGTTCACTCTTAGTTCGCCCGAACTCCGAGATCTGGGCATTGAACCCGCACGTCAACGGCGCTACCTGCTCCGGAAACGAGAGAAATTTAGGCATGGCATCTACGGAGTTGGCGGAGACCTGGAGCACGTCGTGGACGGTGCTGCGCAATTGCGTGTGGCCGAAGTTCCTATTACGATAAAATCAAAATCATCTGCGAACGGTGAAAAGAACTTTTCAGTTAACCTGTCCCCCGGCATGCGACGGGTCATTGTGAACCTCCCGCCCAATGCTACGGAATACACGCACAACCCGTCGAAGCCGCTGAAGAAGTTTGCGCAGATGAAGATTCACCGTGGGATGCTGATTAAGGGGCCATACTTGGAATATATCAAGGGTACCAATGGGAGTGCAGCAATCATCAAGGTTCAGGAGGGGATGTGGGAAGACAAGCTGGGACACAAGGTTGATGGTGGTGAGAGACGACAGGCTGAGGTTCGGGCTAAGAAGAGGGCCGAAGAAAGGAGGAAGCAGGCATAAACTATGCTGTTCCTACGTCAGGCTGTATAGCCGGAGTATCCTTTATCTGTATTATAGCTTTCTGGTGTATTTGGTAGTGCATTAATGTAGATTTTACATTCATCGATTTGTAACTCTGGCGCCACTGGAGCAGTTAAAACACTGTAGCGCATGAATATCTATAGTAACTGCTATAAGGGTATGACTCGTAAACATGGCATTAGAAAATATATTCGGCAGAATTAATATGTATAATCTAGAAATGCAGGTAGCATAATTTACACTGAAAGAAGGTTTCTGCCGTTCAAACACGTGAACAAAAGAACCAGCTTCGCCGACTGTTTTATCATAAAGCTTTCTTCAGCCGAGGGCGATAGCATAATCACTCGGTTTCCGAATCCCGCTTTTCATATTTCACGAATGATTTACCGAGAGGCCTGGAGAACAAGGACTGCAAATTCAAGTTAGTCGAGTTGACTCTTGCGCTGTTTTCCAATAAACTTACCGAGTAATCTGTGTCTGGGACAGATGATGCTTCAGAGTCAGTGACGGTGTTGAACTTGAACAATCTCACGAGGCCAGCCGTGATTGTCGCGAGCTGGACATACGCAAATTGCTCGCCGATACACCTATGCCGTCCAGCACCAAACGGCAGATAAGGGCTGTTGGTGCCCTTGCTGACGAGACCGTATCCATAATCAATCTTTTCCTCATCCTCAGCAGACTCAGTATTGGGCACCGCATCTCCATCCCAACGGTGGGGATCCCACTTTAACGGGTCCGGGAAGAATTCCTCGGACCGAGCGGTAACACCAGGAGATGATAGAACATTGTGGGAAGCGGGAATGACATATGAGGTACCAGGAACGGGCATCGGATTCTTGACGGCACGAATGATCGAATGAATAGGCGCATGAATTCGCAGTGTCTCCTTGATGACCTTGTTGTGAAGGTCGAGCTTTTGCAAAGTCTCATACGTTAGATGCATATCAGGGCCGAGAACATCAAGTTGCTCCTGGTATAGCTCCTTGATGATTTCGGGGTTGCGCGCGAGACGAAGGAGGATCCACGAGAGCGTCGAGGAGGATGAGTGCTGGCCAGCCATCAAAAGCGCAATCATCATGTGGGCGATCTCTAGGTCGGGAAGTGGGACGCCATTCTTGTACACGCATGACATGAGGTTCCAAACCATATCTTCATCCCCAGAAGCCTTTTCTCCACCAGCCTTGCGACGTTCTTGAATGATTTCCAAGTAGGTTTCGGCCATTTTTCTTTGAGCGGCGTCCCGTTTGCGGTTGTGAGGAAGAGGAGCGTGAGGTAGCATAAAGTTGATCGGAGCGAAACCCATATCGAGATCATGGTACAGCTCGGCAAATGTAGAGTCGAACCTCTCGCGAACTTCCTTCCCTTGTAGCGAGCGCGAGGCCGTGTAAATGGTGATTTCGGCAACGGTTTTCGAAACATCGAATACACCTTGTGAGTCCTTGAAGACCGGAGACTTGCGAGCGAAATCTTCCACCTCGGCCGTAATCAAGCGGACATAGGAGCGTAGCGCATCGCTGGTAAGACCGTATTTCACGAACTAGATAGTCAGTATACAGTCTGTGCTATACAAGCTAACTAGAGCTTACCTTCTTTTGCTCCATGAGCTTCGCGTTAGGACAGTCATAAACGACATGGCGCCCAAAGACAGGGGTCGTGAGAGGAGAATAAACCTCTTCAGCACAAACGTCCTTGAGTTTCCCATTCAGAATAAAGTCGTTGCCTTTGGTACCAAGGTATACAGTGGTCTTTTTTCCGAGAAGGATAAAGGTAAAGATGTCCCCGTACTGCAACGGAACGTGCAGGTCAGCCTAGAGCCAGCAGGAAGATCAGGAAACAGAACGACATACCTTAGCGCGACAGTTGAAGAAGAACTTGTAAGGATCAATTCCGTAGCTAATGGTGCTACCGACAAAGGGGAACCAGTGGAACACAACAGGGGGCTCATTGGGGTTCTTGAAGAGGATCTGTCGCAGAACATTCCCAACCACAGCGATAACAATTAAGGAGAGTAGACCAATTCCAGCGAGCGCCCCGTTCGACAGGGTCGAGCAACGTTCGCAAACGCTCTCGAGGACGTTCGCGACTAGGCCCATGGCTGGAGGGAGATAACAGGGGCACGGCTGAGAGCAGGTCGGAGACGTGTAGCGGAATGGACAACACTGCAGAGTCTCTCAAAAAGAGGCACCTCGCCTTGCTGGATCCTCGAGACGTGAATGACAATACCAGCAAAGGACGTCGGGGTAAAGGTAGTTGTTGGCAGAGGGAGCTTCATGTGGGAAAAAAAAGTGTCTCCAAGAATGAATGGTGCGCCACACATGCTCGGGTGCCCCTGGGCCCGGCCGCCGCCGCCTCCTCAATACCAAGGGGCTCGAACCACTTCGTGGAGAGTGTTTTACTAATAAAAATTCCACCGGCACCAACACCTCTATTTACTAGTTATGGACATTACGTTGTATGACATATACCAAGGGTTAATTAGTATCGTGTTTTGTTACTTTCAAACTCCTTAATCCTTGATAACCGGGAGATGAATAGCTGGTCTCCCTTCTTTCCCAATTTACACAAATTCCAGACAATCACCAGTGCTCAAGAAGCACGCGCAAAGTACTACAAACTGTCAAATACAAGTTCTCCAACCTCTAATTGTAGCGGCTTGTCCGGTCTTCTTCAAAGAGCACTGGGTCGCCGCGCTCTCCAAGATTGACAAAGTCTTTCGGACCGCTATTGTCGTTGGGCGAGTTCTCGTGGTTCCGAGTCTTCTTTTTGTTGTGCATGCGCTGACCAGGAGTGTTCTTGTGAAAGACCTTGACTGGAGCTCCACCTCCTGGCTTCTCCTGGCTGTATTGCACATCATTGATACTGCTGAGGAGTGTGCGCTCCCGAGCAAGCTTCCGTTTTGAAAAGTCCAGTCTTCCCAACGCCCCTGTAAGACCGTCTGTGCTATCGGCAACGCTTGGGTATTTTCCTGTGAGCCAAGGGTGTTCTAGGCATTCTTCCACCGTGATGCGCTTATCAAAATCAACTGTAAGCATCCGGTCAATAAGATCCAGAGCTGGATCGCCCACAGAATCCCAATAAGGTGATGGGTAGTCAAAACGACCCATTTTGATTTGTTGTGCCAAGGTATAAGGGTTCTCGGGCGTATAGAGCTCGTCAGAAAACGGCGGGAAGCCGCAAAGACATATGTAGAGGACCACACCAAGCGACCAGATGTCTACAGCTTTGGTATATTTGCGGCGACGGGTCTCCTGCAGTATTTCTGGGGCGACATCTAGGACAATGAGCACGAAAGTCAACGACAAGGAGGGTCTACTTACAACTTGGCGTACCACAACTGTCGCCAGCGATATTTGGTCAGTTACAGCCGGAAATCATGAGGATTGCAACCTACAGGGTGGTAGTGAATGAATCTTCGCCAATTATCTTCGCCAGGCCAAAGTCACCAAGCTTTACATTCAGCTTGTTATCAGTGACGAGAATATTCTCAGGCTTGATGTCTCGGTGGACAATTCCACGGTCGTGCTGTAGCATGTTTAGTAGAAAAAAAAAGCAAAGTGTGGCTGCGACATACCAAGTACTTGAGGCCTTCGAAGAGTTGGAGGAAAATATGGCGAGTTTCATTTTCTGTGAATTTTTGTTTGCTTATAATCATGTTGAAGAGCTCGCCTTCTGGAGCAAGCTCCAACACAAGATAGACGCCATCGCTTTCATCAAAGGTGTCCTTGAGACACAGCAGATTCCTGTGACTGACACTCATCAAGAGACCAACCTCTTGCATAAGAGATTCATTCTGAGACTTTTGTGAATCACCGAGTCGCTTTTCAAACATCTTCACGGCGTATTGCGTCCCTGTAGCGCGTTCCACGCAGAGATAAACTGTTGCAAAGTGGCCTTTTCCAAGCTGATGCAAAACTCGGTACTGTTGCCGGAATCCATTTATATTCTTCGTTCGAGGATATCTGTAAACGAATCGCGCTTCGTCGAGAATAGTCACCTCGTCACCGTCTTCAAGCTCACGATGTTTGTTTCGGCCAACAATTGCATCATTAACAAAGGTGCCATTACTCGACAGATCCTCTAGAATCGCCACGGTGTCACCCCTTTTATTCTCTGGGAACACCAGAAAGTGGCGGTTAGACACGGTGGGAATAGTAAGAACCAGGTCTGACATGTTAGCATATTCATCACATACTGCAAAATAAAACTTACCACATTCCGGGTGTCGCCCGACTAGATAACCCCCAGGACGCCGGCTACGCTTCACAGAAGCGTCTTGCTGCTTCTGGGAGCCTTTTTTGGTACTGGATTTAGGACCGGATGTGCCATCTTCACAGCCACCTCTCTTTCTAAGGACAAGCGTGTCCCGCACCTTATCATCGAGTGGAATGAGATAGCCCCAGACTCCTTCCGCAGATTCATCTTCAACATCGTCGGCAAAGGCTCTAGGTGGGTAAACAAACTGAGAGAAGGCTTGTGTGTCACCGGGAGGGGAAGAGAGCGGTTGGTATATGTCAGAGTTCGAGGGCGAGCGTAGGTGAGCTTGACTTGGAGGGGTGGCCGTTACATCTTTTCGAACATCCGTAGCTGTAGAGTCATGATGCGTGAGCGGAGTGGGCAGATAGTTTTGTATGACAGGCGTTTGTGACTGCTGCTGTGAGCTTATTCTTTGGGACCGGCGAGGCTTCTTCTGGTCTTGCAGATCGTGGTCTGAGGTAACCTACTTGGATGAAGTTTTGTTAGTAACTCAAAGGATAGATTGGGATTGGAAGATCATACCCTGCTACGCTTCAAAGAGCTTTGCTCAGTGCGTGGTACCATTGTCCCACTATTCGGATTCTAAGGCTGCTGGAACAGAACAGGTCAGGTGAATCGGCGTAGAGCGGAATTGAATTAGAAATTAGGAAAGACAAGGAGCAAAACAACAAGACAAAAGACGCCGCTGGGAAGATAAAATCAATCCAGAGAAGTGAAAGGAATGAAAACAAATTCCAAACGGGGCAAGAGCCAAAACTCGAGGTGCTGGCCAATCTCAAAGGTGCGAGCGGCCGGGGATTTGGAGGAAGCGCGCTCCCGCGACGAGGCTCAATCTCTCAAGGAACAAGGTTCAAGCCTGGACCCATGGCCTGTTTCTGCTATAGTCGACCGATCAGGAGGATTCGCGAATAGACCACGGAAATAGAAATGATTCTGTTGGAGCTACCATTATAGACACTAAATCTTGATCCAGCATTTCAATCTCTTCGTAACTTTATTTCATGGTTAATTATCAATTTCCCTTCCTCAAGTTCCAACTGTGACGTAGTCCGCAGGTTCCTCACAGGGGCGCTGTTCGTTGACCTGCGTTGACGAAAAATCCAAGAGGCAAGAGAATAACGACAACAGCAACGACAACTATGTATAGTCTTTGAGAGATCTTGTCTGTTTAAGATTGAGCTCGATCTCACATGTTCATCTACCACTGAGATGCAACAGGAGTCGGGGCTTGATATCTTGTTCTCCTGACCGAGGACCTAGGCCGTCAACGCCCCACGTGGATCTCACACCAGCATATCAGTCTGGGATTCCTCCTCAATCAAACTTTAAGGGGTGCCAAGATACCCAACTTGAACCACTTCAACGATACGGCACCTACATCATGGACGAGTGTGTGATCCAACTCACATTATTTCATGTTGCTGACCGATAAATAGATTCAGTCCAAGGATTCGGACATCCGCCTTGGAGAAACTCGCGAAGTTGGCTGTAGATGCGCCGGAGAACAATGGCGACTTGGAGATCAATCAGCTTACTCGCCAATGCCAACATCTATCAAAGCAGTCAAATGGCTTGCTCAATGGGGTTTTACACAATCAGTGTCCGGTGTCCCGGGTGCCTATGGTTCGTCCCTGATTCTCCGTACTAACAGAGCACGACTGACCTTTTGCAGGATATTCGAGAGCTCAGCGTTCTCGTCGCGCTATGCAAAGCCGCCCCTTCGGTTGCCAAAGTCGAGCATGCATCACGGTTGATTTCGCAATTGTCGCAATACCTCCCGGAATCCCATGGCCAGCTCTTCCGCCCATCGCCGTTCTTGCACGATATCAAGCCGTCACCGTGGGAAGCACTCTCCTATAACCTCACATTTGCTCTTCTGAGCCTGGGGACCAAACACATCTCGTTGCGCGACGACGCTCTCAGTGCGATCAACGAATACCTCTCCAACTGTGTCGAGGCTATAGATATCCTGATATCTACTCACAGAGCTAGCTCGGGAGAGAGCATGCTGGGTACTGCCCACGAGTCGGTCAATATATTGGCTATTGGCGTCTCGATCGTTGGATTTCTCGAGGCAGCGGCGAGATTCAGCTCGTTTTGGTCTGCCAAGGAGAAATTGCGCATGGTTGATAGCCTGCGGTCAATACTTTCAGAGAACTTTATGGTGGCTATTGAGACCGCTTCGTCTACGGTGCGCAGTGCGAGTACCTTGGACGGAACGCTCCGCAATTGGAGGAGGTACGCGCGCCGTTATACCAACGACGGGCGTCCGCTAGGAGCAATGCTTTTACAAGAAGGTTATATGCGTTTCATCAAATCATGCGTCACCTCTCTTATTGGAGCGCAGCACATGTCAGATGACGAACTCTTGGACGACTATGTGGATGGCGTAGGTATCGCAAGAAGCCATGATGAGGCTGAAATTGCCCTTGTTGATCGCTTGACCGGAATCATCGCCGAAGAGATTCAACTTGTCGAGGACGGCTCCGATTACTTGCAAGTTGGCTCACCCTGGCAGCAACGGATTGCCTTTTCAGTCAAGTCCCTAGCCCTAGTAGGCTATCTTAATTGCATTATTCTCAGCCAGGATACAACAAATACCGACGAGTTCCTGTCATGGCTGGAGGACACACTTGTGGACCCAAATCAGATGTCCTCAGTCGAACTTGCGACAGTCACGTTAAAGTGTATAACAATTGTTTCGAGAATGTCCATCAACAGTGCATCCCATGGAACCCGTTCGCTCCTTCGATTCATCGTCGAGGGTGGAATACCTGCAGGAAGCATAGGCTCGGTTGCTGCGCGATGCCTGTCACGGGTTCTCGGTGTTCTCTCCCAGGACTCTATCATCACAACTCTCTATTCCTTGGGAAATGTCCTAAGCCCTGGATCTGGTACCGATAAATCGTACCCAGGGCAGCCCATTGGAGAGCCGACTGCACTTACGTCCACCCCATTTCAACAAGCCAAGGACGATAGCATACCCTCTCTTGCAGTCAGTGAGACGGAGGACAATACGCCATATCGAAGCGTAGTCCATGCTATCGTCACGATTGCAGCGAGTTGTCATGATGAACAGATTAGCGCGCTAGCGCAGTCGATGCTGCTACAAAAAATAGGAAAGCTGAATACTATGGTGGATGCCTGTATAATCAAGGAGGCAGCAGCACTCTCTCTGACTACTGGCCAAGCTGAATTTCACCTGCTGCTCAAGTTCTATGACCGTGTCTTCCGAGACGGCATCGCCAAAGGGTATAGCAATGTTGTGAAAGCAGTCCTGAGCGCCATGGCATTCCTCTCGGTCTCTCTACAAAGGGAATCCCCTCTGTACAGGCTTTACTTGGTCCATCTGTTGGAAAGCATCGTGAACAAAGGAGATGCAACAGACATCGAGTATGAAAGACACAAGGATATTACCTTTGCACCAGAAGATATCAGCCCACTTTTGAAACCGTTGGCATTGTTAGTCTCCTCTGAAGGGGGCTCCAAGACTCCTGGAGATTTACTGCACTATGATCAGGACGTGTCTACTCTTTTCCGCGATGCCTGGTTCAACATTGCAGTCCATGGAATCTCACTCAGCTCAGTCGTTGGACGGAATCACCTGGCAGAGTTGCGCCTGCTTGCCAAATATTCTCCCACCCTTGTTTCCGAAGACCGCATGGATTCGGTCGAGAGCGATGTGGAGCTCAATACGGTTCTCAGACGTGGCTCGGGGCCTCAACGCCTCGTAGAGCAAAAGAGGATTTTGATCAACGAAATACCCCACCGAGAATCTGAGATTAAGCGTTTGAGTTATTGCAAGGTCGTTTTCCTCAACGCTGCACTACTGGTTGAGAATCTTCGTGCATTCTCAGGAAGCTGCACCAAGTCATTGAGTTACTTTCGAGATCCCGCCCTGGCTGCTAGCGAGATGGCCAGTTGTATGACTGCTATCACGGAAAAGGTCGTTGACTGTTACCTTGCCTTTACTCTCTCTGGAAGGCATGAGAGATTTTCGGTTCCTTATCTATCAGAAGAATTGGCGGGATTCTTCGTGGCCTGCTGCCACCGCATAGAAAGAGTTCAGAAGGTGGCCATCCTCTGCGCGAATCGGATTATACAAGAATGCCCATCAGCTCTCTGCGAGAAACACTCTCTATTCGCTCTGCTTGAACTTTTAACGGTTGTGTGGAATTCTTGTCTCGAAGAAGAGCTCGATGAATTTGAATGGAAACCTTCATTCACTTCTCCTATAGGCATTGTCAAGGTTGATCTGCCCGATAGCTATGGCTTCAGAAGGAAAACTCTAGACTCACTAGCGGAACGAGCAAGGGCTTGGGTGATGGCAGCCATGGAAATTGCTCCTCTCGATATCAAGGGTCTGCTTCAGGTATGCATCTTAAACAGCTTTTTCTGGAGGTATCAGGCTGATTGGAAGTAGACATATCTGTCCGCGTCGAATGATAGCGCCGCAAACGGGGATATCTCAATGGGTCGTTCGTTTGCGCTCGAAATGGGATCTCTTATCCCGCAAAGCGATCACCGACTAGGTAGCCCCAAGGCTTTTCTCCACCATGTCAGAGCACTTCTAACGTCAAAACTTGTTTAGGGTCCATTGAAAGCTACGGGGCGCCCAAGATCAATATTGCATCGGACTTTATCGCCCAACATACTACCCGTCAAATTTATCGTCGCACCGACGATGATCATACATCAGCTCTGTCATTGCATGAATCGAGCAAGAGAGTGGAGAGCCTGCTACTAAACATTGACAAGGCCATCAGATCCGGAACTCATGTCACTCTGCCAGAGGTACGCGATGCCTTGCAGCGCGCTGCGAGTCTACTCTGCAGCACAAACGCACCCCATACCGCCATCTCTCACCATTTGGTCTCTTTACCCTTTCGAATCTTTACTAGAGAGTCTATCAATATCGGTGTGTCCCTTTGGCTGGGTGTGATCCATGAGAATCCGAAGTTGGAGCCCAGAATCCTATTCGAGGTGGTCGAAGAATGGGAAAGCACAATTCTACGTCGACAGGGGCTATTTGATCCTTCGTTCAAGTAAGTAACTTGCAACCGATCGTTTCTATTCGAAATTGACGAGTGCCAGTCATGTCGACCCATTGTATGCCAAGATCGAGCTTCTACCAACGGACAAGGATCTCATGCTTCAACAACAACGGTCAGCGCAGAATATCCTTGCGCCACACTTGAAGATCATACAGTTCTTTGAAAGCCATTTCAACGCAGTCAGACTTGGCAACGTTCAAACCCAACGTCTATTTTGCCGTTTCGTTGATCGTACGACGGCCGGCCTTTTGTTCGCTAGCAATCATCCTCTAGCACGAGAACTGCATTTCCGCATTGTTTCGTTCTGTCTGAGAGTCCTCAGGCATTGCACCTCACTTGATAATGTCACGCTTTGGAGGCTCAAGCATCAGATACTATCTGCAGCTCTAAGCTGGTTCAATGAAGCCCCTCGGTGGTCATTTGGAGGCAATCGGCTACAACTGAAAGCCGAAGACAAGATACTAAGCGATGTTATAGCTGCCCTGACCAAAGTATCTCATGTGGGCTGCAACACCCGGTGGCCATACACATCTTTACAGGCGAAACAGGACCTTCTTCAGGTTCTTTTAGAAAACGAGAGATCTCGTCTCAAGGTCTGGCTGTTCCCACTGGAACCCGATCGGAAACACAGTGCATCCCAATCCCCTCTCAGCAAGCATCTCACAGAGGTAAGTTTCGGGAAGTCTTGCTCGACCGAGACGAAGCTCTAACTTTTTTTTTTTTTTTTTTTTTTTTTTGGTAGGAGAATATGCTACGGATCGCTTGGGCAGAGAGTCCAGGGTTAGCTATCCAACTTTCGACTCGGTTCACGTCTGGAAAGCTTAGCAATGACGTTCGAAAGCTACTCCTCAGCTTTCCTGAAAAGGCCATCAATGAGCCTAGCAGCCTTGAGATTCTGTTTGGCTCTGCGCTGCCGGCCGATGTTTCTTCTCAGTTAAAGGTTGGTTTACGAGTCCACCCGCACTTTTCTGGTCATCGCTAACTGTTTTCTCAAGTATCTGCTCTACTGGGCTCCTGTCAATCCCATTGAAGCATTGACCTATTTCTTGCCCGCATATGGCAACCACCCATTCATTTTGCAATACGCGATGAAGGCTTTGGAAAGCCATTCCCTTGACGTCCGGTTTTATTTTGTTCCACAATTGGTGCAAGCTCTCAGATACGATGCTCTTGGCTACGTCGAGCGGTATATCTTAGAGACTGCAAAACAGTCCCAGCTGTTTTCGCATCAAGTGATATGGAACATGAAGGCTAATTCTTACAAAGACGAGGATTCTCAAGTGGTAAGTAAACACTTTTCCATTTGCGGTTGCACTGGCTGACTTGAAATCAGCCGGACCCTCTTAAGCCGACTTTGGATCGCTTCATGGATACCTTGGTTACGAGCTTCAGCGACGAGGAGCGCGACTTTTACCAACGGGAATTCTCATTTTTCAACGAAATCACCGGCATTTCGGGGAAGCTCCGCCCATACATCAAAAAGAGCAAGTCGGAAAAGAAGGAAAAGATTGAAGAAGAGCTCCGCAAAATCAAGGTCGAGGTTGGTGTATATCTTCCAAGTAACCCTGACGGTGTCGTGGTTGGGATCGATCGCAAATCTGGAAAGCCTCTACAGAGTCACGCAAAGGCGCCTTACATGGCAACTTTTAGGATCCAAAAGACTCGTACCCGCTACGATGACGATGATGCGACCAATGGCATGAACCATACCCGCTACGATAACGAGCTAATCAAGTCATCGCAAAACCGCCACTCCAACTCGCATCAAGAAACTTACGAGGTCTGGCAGTCGGCCATTTTCAAGGTTGGTGATGACTGCCGCCAAGACATGTTGGCATTGCAGATGATTGCTGCGTTTCGGAGTATTTTCTCCAGCATCGGCCTCGATGTGTGGGTGTTTCCGTACCGGGTGACTTCCACGGCGCCTGGGTGTGGCGTCATTGATGTTCTGCCCAATTCAATTTCCCGGGATATGCTCGGCCGTGAAGCCGTCAATGGACTGTACGACTATTTCGTCAGCAAGTACGGTGGAGAGGATTCAATTCAATACCAGGAAGCCCGGACCAACTTTGTCAAGAGTATGGCGGCGTATTCCGTCATCTCCTACCTGTTGCAGTTCAAGGACCGACATAACGGTAACATCATGCTTGACGATGCTGGCCATATCATTCATATCGACTTTGGATTTTGTTTCGATATCGCACCTGGTGGTGTGCGCTTCGAGCGCGCCCCTTTCAAGCTCACATCGGAGATGGTAGCTGTGATGAGCGGCACCCCGCACTCGCACGGCGGCAACCACGGGAGCTCGAGCGGCGGAATCTTACCCGGAGGGTCTCATAACCCGACTCAGACGCAGGCATATCGCTGGTTTGAGTCACTGGTCGTCAAGGCATTCCTCGCGTCTCGACCGTATTGCACCAAGCTAACCCACATTGTATCCTTGATGCTGGACAGTGGGCTGCCATGCTTCAAGCCGGAGACACTCAAGCACTTCCGTGACCGGTTTGTGCTGGACAAGAATGAGAGGGAGGCGGCAGAGTATATGCGCGAGCTGACTCGCAAGTCCTACATGAGCATGTCTACCAAGGGATACGATCAGTTCCAGCTCTTTACGAACGGCATCCCCTACTAGAAAGAGTGGAAATAGTTTTAGAATCAGAATGGATAAAATTGCCGAGAACGGCATCCCTGGAACTCATTTTGACGTCACGACTTGGACTCGTGCTGCAACAGCCAGTGTGCAAACCACAACCACGAATCAACACAAGAGCACAAGTATTGGCCTCCGTCATCGCAGGCACACACGCCCGCCTCTTCAAAAATGACATAAATACCTTTTGGTGGAATCTCCTGCTGTGGATTGTAGTTGTAGAAAATAATAACCATCATCGAGAATGAAGCGACTCTCAGCATATCTCCCTCACAACCGGTTCGATGCGGACCAAAGCCGCACCAGCCATTCCTCGGATCTAACCGATCGAGAGAAACAGCATGGCTACACCGACTCTCCCGTCCCTTTTGTGACCTGGCGGTCTCTGGCACTGGGAGCCTTTGTCTCTATCGGTGGAATCATCTTTGGTTACGACACTGGCCAGATTTCGGGGTTCCTAGAGATGGAGAACTTTCAGCGGCGGTTTGGCCAGCTTCAGGATGACGGATCGTATAAGTTTAGCAACGTGAGGTCTGGCTTGATCGTTTCTATGGTATGCAAACTGTCTTGGCCATGCATCATTCCGATTCTTATACTGTTATAGTTGTCTATCGGTACTCTTCTGGGAGCCCTAATGGCCGGTCCGTTGGCAGACCGCATTGGCCGCAAATGGTCCATCTCGTTCTGGTGCATTATCCTTCATGTTGGGCTTATAATTCAAATCTCCTCGCCTCATCCCAAATGGTACCAGTTCATGATGGGTCGTTTTGTTACGGGTTTCGGTGTCGGCGCGTGCTCACTCTTGGGTAAGCCCAAAATTCACCACCACCACCACCACCACCACAACTGCGTGAGCTAACGTTCAAAAGTGCCATTGTACCAGGGTGAGACGTCCCCAAGGCAGATCCGTGGTGCCATGGTCTGGTGAGTCAAGTCGCAGACGTATTTATTCCCCACCTGACAGCAACCAGTTCATATCAATTATTCGTTACACTCGGTATCTTCGTTGCATACTGCGTTGGTCTATCCTCCCTCTGGCAAGGACATGGCTGATCCTTTTGGTAGATAAACTTCGGAACAGAAAGCATGAGCAGCTCTGCTTCATGGCGTATCACACTCGGAATCACATTTCTCTGGGGTCTGCTCCTCGGTATTGGAATCATATTCTTCCCAGAAAGCCCCCGATACGATTATCGCCATGGGCGTATCGACAAGGCCAAAAGCACCATGGCAAAGCTTTATGGCGTGCCTCAGACACACCGAGTCGTCGTTCAAGAATTGGCGGAGATTAAAGACCAGCTAGAGGCCGAGGGCGCGGCCAAGCGAGGCATCCATGGGCTCATTGAGATGTTCCAGGGGCCTCGCATGCGGTACCGAATCATTCTAGGCGTTACCCTTCAGGCTCTTCAACAGCTGACTGGCGCAAACTACTTCTTTTATTACGGTACGTGTCGCGGAAAGCCCTGAGTCGGACAGATATACTCATAAATATGCCTAGGCACCGTCATTTTCCGCGGGGCCGGAATCAGCAATTCATTTGTCACTCAAATGATTCTTGGTGGCGTTAATTTTGGTACGACATTTGGCGGTCTGTACATCGTCGAGCACTTTGGCCGGCGCAAGTCCCTCATCACAGGCGGAATATGGATGTTTTGCTGTTTCATGGTATTTGCGAGCATTGGACACTTCTCTCTAAATATTGATGATCCCCCTGCTACTCCAGCGGCTGGAAAGGCAATGGTAGTCTTTGCATGCTTGTTCATCACCGGTTCGTCGACCCCTCCCCGGCCCACCACGCCCCAGGAACCAACCCCTCTATACTCCATTAAACCAGAAGCTCACGTATCAAGGATTTGCAACCACATGGGGCCCGATGATATGGGCGCTAATAGCTGAAATATATCCAAGTTTTTGCTCCCTGATCAACATATTTGGTTGGATGCTGACCTTCTTTCCAGCTAGATACCGTGCAAAGGGAATGGCGCTGGCTACAGCCTCTAACTGGCTGTGGAACTTCCTTCTAAGCTTCTTCACCCCCTTTATTACCGGGGCCATTGACTTTGCATATGGCTACGTGTTCGCGGGCTGCCTCTTCGTCGCGGTCCTGGTGGTATACTTCTTCGTGCTCGAAGGCAAAGGCAAAACGCTCGAAGAGATAGACATGATGTACGTCATGCGTGTACCGCCCTGGGAAAGCAGCAAATGGGTTCCACCTCCTCCAGAAGAGCGTGTTACAACGGCGAATGTACTGGATCAGAGGGCAGCGAGGAATATGGCGGATGAGGAGGAGCAGGGTAAGCGGGGACAGTATGGGCCGGGACATCAGCATATTGATCAGGATGGAGCTGGCCCGTCAGTATCAGGAACAGTGTAACTGTATGGAGTGTACATTCGTGTGGTTGTTCTGTCTATACCGGTGAGTTCGCGATGCCTAACCCTAACAAGCTGTCTGGAATGGGCATCTAGGGTTTTCGGGGGCGATTGTCTGCCATCGGCTTTAGAAAGGTCTGATGCTAGACGGATATGTATTATACTTGTATATTTTCTCTTCGATGAATTCATTGTTCTTCTTATCTCGCCTTCATTGTCCTCCCATAGATGGGAATGGCCAGCCGTGAGGATGTCTTGAGCTTGGCCTGAGAACCCGTGCACTGCTGGGTCCTGTCCGATTTAATCCAAGTCTGACAACACTCAGACTCTTAGCCTTGCTACACCTCACCTTGTCAGCATCTTTCGCTCTTGGGGGCGATCAATATCAGGCATGACTTGCAGCACCCTCACATGATGTCCCGCAATGGCTTTCCTGGCAATTGACAAATGTGGTTTCTCTCGGTGGAAAGAAAAACACTGGGCACATTCGCCCCTGGGAACCCATCCTGAGCCATACCACCTTGCATTTTTGGCTCGGCTATCATTGGTACTGGACCTTGATGAACTCACTTTCTTGGGCACTGCTGAGCGGTACTCGGATATCTTTCTAGCTCGGGGGTTACGTCACGTACGACTATACCTGCCAATCGATAACATTGATCTCCAGCAAAAACAGTCTGGAGGACGATTCTCTTTCTTTCCCTTGGATTTCTTGTGTCAACCACAGCTTTTGGAAGGGGTAGCTTCACTTGAGAAAGGTCATCTAATCTCCTGTTCATTTCTTTGCTTCATCTGTCTTTTTCGAAGAATATATCTCTCCAACTTTAGCCCATTCGGCAGTGGGTTTTACCTTCCCTCGCTATCTCTAACCTACACGCTTTCTTGTTATATCCTGCCTCGCTTTAGCACTCTCTGCCGATAGCCGGCTCATCACGCCTTAGAGGCCGCTCTACTTACGAACGACACAAAGATTCTGCTTGGATATAGCAAAATGCGTTGTTTCAGTACTTCAAGTGACGATTGAGCAGCTGTCCCACATGAGCAGCAGGGTGACTGACAAGAAACCTGGCCCGTTATACACCATATCTTGCTTATGAATGTGAGTGCTTTGTCCGGTATAGAACTGATGGTTTTCGATAGACTTGCCTTCTGCGGAATACAAGCTGATTTGCTCAAGCCTTTGAATTTGCCCATGTAATCAAGGCAACAGATATGATTATGTACACAAGTCCAACCATATCTGGCCTTTTCTTTCAAAATTGGCTAACGCGGCTCCCCCAGCTGAGCAATATACTATGCTTCAGATATAATGGCAGCCCAGATCGATTGTGGGATACCCAAGGACAACGACCTCTACTAGAAAGTCTGCGAAACCACTTACTTACCACAATCTAATCGTATTTCTCTCACTTGCGCCTCATTATTCCTTCACTCTTACTTGATATTGGCTTCATGATGTTCCCACTTCTCCTCATATTGACGCTTTTCTATCTGCACCTTTGTCCTTATTCTCTCTACTAGTACCCCCTGCCGCGTTTCGTTGATGGGCAATCGATAATAATTTAGCACCATGGCGTTCTATGCTAGCAATCCCCAAATTCGGGAGCGCTCCGGTATATACCCCTAATGTTCCAGCATTCCGGGGCTAGGTCACTGCGATGCAATGAGACCCACACCTCTACCTCTTAAAGTGAATAGTCTATATGCCCCTCTGAAGGAATCGCAGGCTCGTACGTGTTGCGACGGGTTGATGCGCCTCACAGAAGGAAGAGCTGAGACGGGGCCTTCTTAATTGGAATGAGTTAACTATACTGCCTGTCTCTATGAATCTTAGTTCTCTGAAGTCATGAGGATTAAGAAAGGGATGTATGTTAACGAGACTGTATGATTTCTGCGCGTCCGGCTCAGAAACCTAGCCCTAAGGTGTCCACTCATATCACTTCATTAGTAAAGACGCCTAGAAACTCAGTCTACACAACCTGCGCTCGAACATCTATTTAGGGTTTTGTAGTGGCAACAGATATCGTTCGCTCGCAAAGTAATACCATGCAAATATGTATTATGTTCACTTATTTCCAGCTAGCTTTGGCCCATATTGATGAGAACCATATTCATGGAGGAAAAAATACCACAGCAGAACCCATCCCTGACCGATCTGGTTGGCAATTTGGTGGGATGAAAAGCAAGAACCCATTCCATAAACGACCGACATCATCATCATCATCAGCGCCAACCAAGCCCAGTAGATCAATAGATAAAACACAAAGGTGAAGGAAAGCAATATGCCTGTCATGCGTGACTTGTTTCTTCTGTCCAGCAGCAATATTTGTTACAAGTCGGAGATATAGATAGCGAGTAAAATCAAAGTAGAGTCATCACAAAGGGATCGGTGGAAAGAAAAACGCATGCGCTGGGAAAGAAATGGAGTTTCCCAGCTCGAAAAGTCATAAATAGTAAGGCGAACAGTTGAGTTCGCGTCGTACTGCATGATGGCGTGGAAAAAGACGCCATCTGCTATGTTTGGGATTCATCGAGGAAAGCAGCGGGCATTCGGCGAACGCGCTTGAATATCATGGCAGGGATGACTAATCCATAAAATCACCCCTGAGAATCTTCTCCTGGAAGAAATCGGGCTTATTATCCTGTTTAGGTTGCTTGGGCATCTCCTTGACGGGCGGCTCCATGGACGCAATGGATGCTGCGCGTCGATGGTGCCCCTGGCCCTGGCCCTGACCCTGACCCTGCAAGGACTGGGCGGAGCCCGGAGAGATAGGACCGCGTTCGGCCCTTGTCCGAAGAGCTTCAGACCAGTTGAAACCCTCGCCTATTGGTCGCCGAGACGTGTCAGATCTATTGTTCTGGGGGAAACCTTTATTTGTACTTGCAGATAAAGATAATGATGGTCCTGAATAGCCAGTATTGGCCAGGAAGCCGGCGGACGATGCAGTCCGGCGGTTCCCTGCCGCTGGCGATGGTGGTGACACGGGAGGAGAAAGGTGATATCTACCATTGCCAATGCTTCCACCGCGCGCGTCTCGCAGAGCCTGCGCGCCAAAGGAGAGACGGCGAGCAAAGGGCGATCGAGGCATGCCGCTGCCGCCGGGAGGGGAATTCTCAAGATCCTCTGCGACGGCTTCCTCGGTGTTGCCTGGGCTGCTAGACCCCACTGAGCTGGAGATGCTGCTCTGCCGGAAGTTGCGGCTGCCAAATGGCAGGGGTTGGGTTGGCGAGCCGGAGAGGCCCAGGGTTGTGATGGAGAGCCGGCGCCTGTGGTTCGATTGAGCATTGGCCATTGCACTTGCCATGGAGCCGCCGGTCGCAGGGTTATTCAGGCTCTGGCTTCCTGGCTTGTTCTCGGGGAAGGAAAGTCCTGAGGCTATGGATGCTCGACGCTGGCGCGAGGAGGTGGGCGGGACTGAGATGGGAGGGGTTGAACTGTGGTTTGACATGATGATTGAAGGAGAAAGGAGAAATGGCTGGATTGCTTGAGTAGACAAAGAGATAGAGATACTGATGCTAGGCCCAGGTCGGTTGGTTCAAGAGGGCATCAAGAATCGACGTCGACCCAGGCAGTGAGATTTGGGATTCGAGGGGTAGAGAGAAATGGTCGGAATTGAAAGCAGGGAGTTTGTGTGGTGAGGTCAGGAGTAGCTGGGTCAGTGGGCGGCAGTTAGCTGGATTGACTTGGTTAGGTGCGTGGCGTGATGTGACACAGAATGTCAATCAATACAAGGGTAAGGGAGGGGGAATGCAGGAGCGGGGGAGGGTGCTGATCAGAGAACAAAGGGAGTTGAAATGAGACACGACGGGGGAGGCGAATTGAGATAATAGGCTATGGATGAGTGATACTTAGTAAAGTGATTGGCTTACGGTAGCTTCTGTCCCAGGGGATCAGGAGCTCGGGAGCTCCGGACCAGCAGAAGAGGAATCAGGATGGATCAAGTTGAATGGAGCGAGCTGAGAGATGAGAATTAGAGAAAAATGGTTTATTGAAGAAGAGAAGAGGACAGACGAGAGCAGCAGCACCAAGAGGGGGTGAGGTAACGTTGAATGAAAGCTAGAGTCACGGACTTTTTACCCCACAAAAGAAGTGTGAAGATCAGAGCTGACCGTGGGCCAGAACGGGGCTAGTCTTGGTTGAGTTGGGCTGCAGCTACCAAAGTACGTCAGGACATGTTCATTTCGTCCACACGCCGCGCAGACCAAGCATCGACTGCTCCAAGCCGGCAGACCGACATCATGGATTCTTCTATCCGGATCTATACCTCATATACTGTATATATCTCGTGTGCTATGTACATTTGTTGCGCTGCTGCACCCGTCTATATTCCCTTTTTTTAGGCCGTATTCGTGTTCGTGGTCTTCGTTTTATACCGTTCATTTCTTGTCGTGTTTCAAAGAAAATGCAACGCTGGTAAGTGGTAAATTCGTGTGCGTGTGGTGGAGTGTGGTGTGTTTATGGCGTGTATGTAATATGATGAGACATCATCCCGACGCTTCGGGATGGAAAAGAAGCACCAGCTTCTCTCCAACGGAGAACTCTAGCTCAGTGCCGTCGCGGGCGATTTTGACTTCGCGATTCGCATTCCACGGGTTGCGTAATCCCCGCGTGCGGTGAAAGGGGACCCTTTCGGTGGAGAGCCACCGGATCCGAAACGGCTTCCCGATTAGCTGAAGCTCAGCGGTAGGAGGAGCCTGTTGCCGTTGATCTTCCGGTGCAAGGTATGTGCCCTTTTGCTGCCGCGGGTTTCCTTCCTCGTCCTCCGATGTGTCTGCTTCCCAAAATATTGTCCCTCGCGCGACGTCGTTTATGATGCGCCCATTTGGTGCGGAGGATGACGCGGGCGTCGGTATCACGTCTGGGCTGTCGGCTTCATTGGAGGAATTATGATCCGGGCGTGGCGGCATCTCGAGGGTCAGGCTTTCGTCCTCTTTGATACTTGACATCATGCGGGCATATCCGTAGTATTCGCCCGACTTATTCGCCGAGAAGATCAGGTAGACGTTGTCTGCGTTCTATAATTATCGACGATTGAGTTAGCTTCCCGACTGCTTTTCCAGCTTTGCTGATACCTTTCCGGACCACTCACCTCGAACGCCCTGTTTAGGTTCTCCTCGTTCTGGGTCTGCGTAGCCCAGATGCCGCTCTGCCGACTGATCCCTAGATCCTCAACCGTTAAGCTTTTTAGAATAAAGTACCGATTGGGCACCCGCGTGGAGTATGACCCTTCCCGCCCCTCGTCCTCTGTGGTGTTTGTTTTGCTCAAATCCTCCGCCTCTCTCATTGACGGCGAGTCCGGCAGCCCCGTAAATTCGCTGTGTACTCCCGGCGACATCAGGCCCCGACGTACTCGACAAACGAGTCGCGCCCCGCGGAGCCTAGTGTCATGAAATCGGGACAGTGCCCTCAGACAAGCTTCTTCTGATTTATAGTTGACGAATGCGCAGTTGCTTCTTGAGATGAGAAAGACGCTCTCCAAGTCCCTTGTGGCATCCTGTGAAAAGTGATCTTTGAGTTCCACAATGTTCGTCCCGGGAGCAAGATTGCCCACCCAAAGAGCGTTGCCAGACTGTTTTGGTTTTCTCGGCGGTCCTTTGGACGTCGTTGACTTTGATGGGCGCGACGCGGAATCTAAAAATCACAGTATGAATTAGTTAACCCGCTATCGTCAACTTAACAGTCCGGGTAGTATGTTTTACACAACTTACCAGCCGAGGGACCCTGGGTTGTACCTGACCTCATATGTGTCGATCCGTCAACTATCGTTAGTCTCTTCGGATTCTCCCATTCACGATCCTCGTGCCCTTTGGGCGTGCTCGAGTGCGATTGGCTACGCGGTTGGTGGGGGAAGATCGAGGGTCTTGAGTGATGCCCCTGCGCCACGGGGTACATATTTGGGTGAAAGTAACCTTGTCCGTACGCATCCATTTGGTTCGAAGTAGATGCGGGCTGAGTGGGTGAGAATCCAGTCCCATCAGGGAGCTGGGACCCCTGTTGCTGCTGTTGTTGTTGTTGTTGTTGTTGCTGTTGTTGCGGCTGTTGCTGCATATATGGCACGTACATATGGGGATACGGAGCGTTGTAAATCATATTTGGGTTCGCCGGTGCCGTGGGAAACGATTGATACGGAGGCACGCCGTACACGAAGCCAGGATTTGCGGGGACTGGTACAAACTGTTGCTGTTGCATAGCTTGGTGGTCAAATCGAGTCGGGTCGGACGGGTAATTGGACAGTGCAGATGCCATATTTCCCATACTCAGGACCGATGGCGACGGTCCATAATTTCCAACGGGCGGCACGTAACTGTGCTCTGGGTAGTGTGGCACATTTTGAGATCGAGATGATGGACGAAAAGACGCCGGCCCTATATCTACGGTTTAGCACTGCTATGCTATGTTAGCAACAGGAAGAGAGAACGTACTGGAGACCCCGAGCGCCCCGCCAGAGTCGTTGACATTCTCTGGCTCCGGCGGTGCCCTGCTTTTCCCCTTGGCCTCTCGAGCTGGTTTTGGTCGGTCTGGGGGAGTACCGCCTTCCATCGATTGAGGCCTATGACTGCTCGAAATCGATAGAACGTGCAGGCGATCTAGATATGATGGTGTGTGTTCCCAATAGCCCCGCCGAAATCCTTTGTGTTTGTAAGCGACAAACAGCAATTACCCACGAAAGCCTATACACCTTGTCAAAAACTGCCCTTGACAATATCACTCCTTATAGAATGCAATCAAGCCTGACTATAAAGATGGAAGAAAGCTTTTTTAGGCCATGTTAGTCCTGAGTCAATAGAGACGAGAATAAAAAGGTTGTTCAAGCGTGCATGTGGTGGTGTGCGCGTTCCAGAAGGCGGAACATGAACCCGGGGAAAGAGACAAATCAAATTTGGCCTGGGAATGAAGCTGATGTTGTAGCAATGGCAACTTCTCTCGACAAAGCCTGCTTTGACCTTGATTGCCTCGATATCCTGCGGGAGATGGGAGGAGAGGGTTGAGGAAGTAAAGAACAGGGGTTGAGGATATAGAGCACATATTGAAAGACTCGCACAAATTGTAGTGTAAGGTGTGAAAAAGAAGTGGAGAACGAAAAGAAAACACAGGGGGACATCAATGGGCTAGTTGGGTGTGAATTGCTCGCAAGGAGGGGCATGACTGCTGCTGATGTGGCTAGAGAAGCCACGAAACAGAGCCAAGGGAGAAGAGACAGACACGAAATAAGGAAGAAAATCCTCGTGAGTTCGCGGGTCTTCTAGCCATCCAGTCTGGGTATAGTATTAGAGTCACATCTGGCAGAACGAGCCGGAGCCTCTGGGGCCAGCAACTCGGAACCCGCGAGTTGCTTGGCCCTGTTGGTTCCCTTGCTGAAACTTGGCCGTCAATGATGGCTCAGAGAAGCTCCAGAATAGGCACCTGCAGGAGTGGTGCTGTCCGAATATGGAAGACGGGGAAAAGCGCCATAACTGCTTGGGAATAAGAAAGCCCCTATAACCAAGGACAGAGCAAGAGAGTCGGGGGTTGTGTGGGTGCGTGACAAGGATAGAATGAAGGAAATTTTTAGCCAGAAATGGGGAGGGGGAGGGGGAGGGAAAAAGAAAAACAATGTACTCACCTCTGTCTACTAGGAACGAACATGAAAACAAGCAAGCGGATAAACTAAGTAGTAGTAAATCAATCCTCTGCCCTGCGCAGGATTTACCAAGGATCAGTAGTATGCCGTAGTGACTTACAGGACAAGCGGCGTGTGTGGTCTAGTTACAGTTCGACGAGTTCAAGCGGCCAAGAGCTCGAAATCAATCTCATACCGAGCGAGCGTCGCTTCCGAGTAAGTGCAGGAGGGTATGGAGGTTGAAAAGGGCCTGTCGTCGACTCGTCGGACTTTGCAGGCCCAGGCAGCGCGGCGGACTGATTCGTCGAGAGGTCAATGGCTGGCAAAACAAGCCCTGCGCATCCGGAGTGGATAAGGCTGGAGGGACTGCCGCGGATAGTGAAACCCAGAGGACAGTGGTATTAATAACGGGCCTTGTTCGGAGGAGGAGGAGCTCTGGAGCTGATGTACCCCAGTGATGGGGCTGGCCCCGTGGTGGCGCACAGAAGACAGCAGATGCGAAGAGGCACGCAGATGCCAGACAGAGTCTTCTGATCGGTGTTTGCGATCTCGTTCTCCTTTTTTTTGTGGCTGTGACCCGTTCCTGGATGGAGAAGGCTCATCCACACCCGACAGCTTTAAAAGAAGATCGGGGGCCCCGTTTTCAGACAAGGATTCGTCTGCAACGGTCCAACCACTGCTCACATGCAGCGGTAGTCAATTGCCATGAGAGGATCGACAGCGCTGGATCGACGGTGTTACAGAGGATTTGGAGCCTGGTATAGATACCGTATACCTCGCTAGCAACAATCGAAGACGACCGATAATGGTGAAGCGCAACGCAACTATTTGACGGCGAAATAGTCTGCTGCATGGAATATTCCTGAAGAGTTTCGATCCCCCCCAAAAAAGTGACGCAGGCGCGAAACACTCAAAAAACAGACGGAACGGCCCTGAAGCGCGGCTTTATTATTACGCCTACGTCCGGGTCTGATAGGCGCTCTTGTCCTGAATAATGCAGCGAAAAATTGGCAACATAGATGACTGGATCGTAGGGGCGTGATTGGGTACCACGAAGTGCGCGGTCTGGCCTGGTTCGCTCCACGCGCCATCTTTTGACAGATTATTTAAGAGAGGAGATTTGAGAAGTGGGCCACTAAGGGAAGACAATGGAAGATCGGGACTACCGAGCCATAGGAACAGTACTCGCTGTGGCTCATGAGGGCACACGACGGTGGCAATCCGCGAGCAATGCGTTCGGGAGGACGTGGAGCCATGTTGTACGCAATCAGGAACGGAGATTAGGACTGTGGCGAGTTCGGGTGGCCATCACTTAGGCATCTCTATATTGATACTGTGTCCGATCTGGCCGATGGCAAAGAATGATTTGGTATCTTGAGCGGCGATGCCTGCCCCCTTCGTGTTCCTTTTTACGATATCGGATATCCAGAGAAGCTGCACGTGTCCATCAGCCTCAATCCTGCTGCAAAACTCAATTTCATAACAGGTGGAATTAATAAAATGAATAAAATAATTCACTGAAGGGGAAGGCGAACCAAGATTGAAGGGACAAAGCTAACCATGGGGCTCGGCGGGTGGATACTGGATACTGCCACAAGAATCCCCGGTAGTAGTATAAGCAGAACAGAAGCAGAACGATATATGGACGATACGAGGGTCTTCCAGAATCTGTGTCTTATTAGTGCGCATTATTCCCCCTGCCTGCGGAAGCGAATTGAAGAGGAAGTCGAGCAAAACGGTTCCATGTCCCCAGGCGCTCTGAGACGCAGTGCAATCATCCAAGAACGCCATTTCGGGGAATAGAAAGTGGGGTAGCATGATGACGGTCTGGACTCTTGCTTGTTGCACCTCACACCGCCGGCGATGGCCAAACGAGGCATCGCAAGAAGAGGTCCTTTCAGATCATATCATGTGGCAATTGTCAGAATAGAAATGACCGCAGATGAGGTAGGACAGAGAACGAATGAATGGGTGTGGGAAAAGAGAATCCGATCAAAGATGGACACTGTTGGCGGCAGGGGTCGTCTGCTAGGGCTGGTTGATCTCCATCGATCAATCTGGCCACAGCCTGGCGTGCGACTTGAAGCATCTGATCCTCGTCCACTGCCGCCATTGGTGGGTTGAAGGCGATAAGTCAGTCGTCTGCCGTTGCAGAAAAGTAAATAAGCTCGGAAGATTGGGCACAAAATGGATTGAGGTGATGGAGACCGCTCCGGACTCTGATTTGTGGCCTCGGTATGAGATGCCAGCCAATCAAAGCAGAGTTTACCACTTAGGCCTCATCCTGTCCTAATGGGGAAATTCTAGCTCCCCGCTTCCGGCGGTGGCCAATGGCAATACTCCACAAGCCCACTGCTACTGCTGCCGGTGGGCCGTTCTTAGCTGAGGGTGCCGCTGCACTCCATACAAATGAAACTTTTTCTCCAATGTTTCTCCCCACTGCTATGGGGTTACGTAGTAGTACGGTGAGACAGTTCCCGAGAACACGGCACTGCAGGCACCAGGCACGCCGCACGCAGCGTCATCATTGAGATGAAAATGAGACTGATTTGAACTGAGATTTCCGTTTCCCTTCGTGAGGAGCGCGGGCCAGCTGTAAACTGCGCCACAAGGTGGGATGTTGCATGCATTTCTGCAAGACTCGAGTCGTGTGTGGATTGTCCTTCAGCCACCGTGGGCAGAGTCATTTCATCTCCCTCACAGGTGCGGATATACTCCCAGAGCAGAGCAAAGGTCTGTACTTTGGGAGTCCACGGTACTTACGGAGGATATGACTCCGTACTACAGGATGGTCTGTGTAACTTAACTTTCAAGCTTCGTCGTGCTCAACAATCTGCCAATCTGCTGCCCTGTCCCTTCAGTGGTAATGGATTCTTTATCCGCACCTGGCCTCTGGCTTGTCTTACTACTAGAGTTCGGAGTATATTTACAACCCATGCACTTTCTCAATCAAAGGTTCCTATTCTATTTCTTCCCCCAATGTATGTCAATTACTCTTCAAATCTTCACTCCATTAATGATCAGTGGAGCGCGCCATGACTACGGAGTACTCTGGCGTGTACTCCAGCGGAATTTGCCACACATCTGGGGACTCAAAAGAGGCGCCCTTTCATACCGGGGCATCTCATTAATCACACCCCAAGCCACTGAGGTAACTGGCGGACTGGAATGGGTAGGATCATCTCATCCGCGCTGCGCTGGCCACCTGCCACCAGACGCCGCGTCAACAGTTCTCACCAAGATCAGTTGATCACGGCTCATGAAGTGTGCCTCAAAAATGAGCAGTGCCACAGCGAGCGCCACATCCATTGTTCTTTGGGTATACTCATGACGTCACCACTGAGGCTCTCTCAAACTTCCGAACTTTGGCTGTTGACGTCATCTTCGAAGTTCACATCCCCTTCCAGACCTTATTTCTTTACCCTAAAAGCACCTGGAGCAGTCAAGTCGTGATTGGCGGGTTCACCCGCTGTACCTTTGCTTAACCAAAGCCCCCCACCGCTTCCTTTTGGCCCGTCGAGAGCCGAGATGGCGGCAGAGATTTCGCCAAGGGCCTGGGACACTTGCGTCTTAGGGAACATGCAACTGCGAGCGACTGCAAGCGAGGCCGAGATCCCAGGTTATTACCATCAAAATATCGGCCCATTTCTCCTCTTTTTGCGAGTCAGCCTCGAGATCAAAGTAGAGCAGGTATCTACCCGACGAGACATCCATGGTACCGCTCCTGCGGTAGCCGAATTTGCTGTGCGGGTCCAGCCGGCATGTCTTCCGAGTCGAGGGTTCTTTGACCGCGGCAGTTCATCCCAGACCTGCCCTCCAAAGGATTCTCCAGACCTCCAACGAGCTCCCGGGGGTTCCCGAGTCTCCCGGTGCAAAATAGGACGATATGGCACCATCACCAGCCGCAGAGTCTCTCGAAAAATATATCCGGCTTGACTCCGCAAGACGACAATGTTGAGAACTCAGGCAGAAAGTCCTTTCTACACCGGACCGCGATACAATATAACTGACAGTGAGAAAACGTGGAACAGAACAAATATGTATGCGCTATATGCAGGTTAAGCAAGCCCAAGCCGTGACCGCCATTCGTTCATTATTATCAACTCGTCAATTGTCTGCACTTGTAAGTTCAAAACGCTTCGCAACCCCTATGAATAACACAGAATAAAGATACGCTGGGGAATCCTTCCTCATTAACAATGATCATGTCCGACCGAATCCCTCAATAAGTATAACCAATGTATGGATAAAATGTCAAAAGACCCAATCCGCCAAACCGATACAAAGACAAGGGACGTGAATTATTTCATGAGTGAATATAAGTAACAAGTGGGGGGGTAAAAGGAGGGTTGGGATCACCGGTCAATCCCTAACGAGGCAACCTTGCCCGCAAACCTAGCACCAGCGCTTCCTCTCTTGTGAAGCTTCTCGCGCTCCCTGCTGTCCAATGTGCTAGGCGTGTGTTCACTGCTCGCCCCTGGTCCGCGGATAGCCGGCAGAGAACCCAGCGTATCAGGCGGGGACGCAGCAGGAGCAGGAGCACTGAAATTAGACAGTCGCGCGGTTCGCTGGTTGAGATATAACTGAGCAGCTGGTGAAAGAGGAATCGGCGGCGGCTGGGAGGGGATTTCGGCACCGTTCTGGACCAAAAGTTCAGCGACCGGGAACGGAATTGCCTTGACAGAGGTGCTGGGCCGTGAGGAGATACTCGAGGGTGTTGACCCCGGTGCGGCTGGGTCTGCTGCTGCCAGGGCGAGGAAGACGGCGTGTGTGCTGCGTGAGCGATCGGCAATGTTCACGTTGGCGCGGAGGGCTATGCCGTAGAGGACACCCTGGATATCATTCCTCTTGATTGAAGCAAGCAAAGTCTCGTCTGGGGTGGGGAATCGTGACAGAGGAGATGGCAATGACTGGACGAATGCTCGGTCAGCGTATTTGGCGGTGATGAATCTCAATCGTTGTTCTCGAGTTGACGAGGCTATTGGCTTCTGAGATTGATCCAAGGTTGCCTCCCAAACCATGTTGCTGACGCGGTTCCCGACCTGCAGGAGGATCTCGACAATGTCGTTGGAGAAAGAGTGGACATCTAGCGTCAGAGACCGAATCTTGGAAATGTGCGTTCCCAGGGATCGGTGGATGCCACTGCACTCGATACACAGCACGATCCCTAAGTTGATAGAGACCCATTCGACCTTTGATGTCGAGTTACAGTCCGCGCACCAGTTGTTGCCTTGATCCGCGTCTCGCACTGCTTGCAGTAGCTTAGACGGGTTATCCTCATAGCCTTGGCTGTCATTTCGAACATAGCTCGGTCGTGCACCAACAGTGGTGCGTCGGGTCACATTGCTTGCGGCAGATGAGTGGGAGTGGTGGGAAACCGAGGAACTCTTCCCGGTAAGGACGGAGCCAATATCACGCCTGATGGATGGAGTATCCGCCTCAGACGACGTTGGCGGCGGTGGGTACATGCTAGTACGTCCCTCAACGGCGCTCTGTAACGCGTTGTTAATTGCGCGAATCCAGTTGCCCATGTCGTCCTCCGAGGTGGCTTGATATATGCGCTTGAATTGAGGCGTGATGACCTCGAAGCAGAAGCGTCTTTCGGCGTTGCGGGCTTCGCGTACTGAGGCCATCCGCAGATCGATAGGTTCCATGTGAAGGTCAAGCTTTTGCTTCCAGTTGCTATACTCTGAGAGCTTTCCCTGGTCTAAGACAATCCAGAATCTATAGCGCGTCAGCCACTCTGCAATCCAGGAATCTTGGAGCAAAAACGCACTTGTGCCACGCCTGCTTATTGATGCCCTTGGGATCAATATGAGAGCCGGGCCGTGATAAAGCCCAGAGAAGTCCCTCTTTTCTTTGTTGGCCTGTGGCGGTTAGTTTATTATCACTAGTTTGGGTAGTGCTACATACTACTCGAATTCACGGCCGAGTTGACAGATGTTGGAGCAGGATTCGTCGACGTGGCAACCTGGGTGGATGTGGACGAATTGTTGCTGGTAACACTCCTCAATTGTGATCCCGTACTGTCGGCACGGCCCAGATCTCCCTCTGACTTTTGATTTCCGCCACTACTGCTGCCAACAAGGGTTGACGCCGCACTCGAAGTAGTCAAAGCGTCAGGCTCGAGGTAGGTATTGCTGCTCTTTTCCAGCGCCCTTCGTTTCTCCTCCCGTTCAGTTCTTTGGAATTGGAATTCTTTGTCTGCCTGGCTAACCTCATGAATGAGGGCGTCCAGCTGTGGGACCATATCATCCACGTTTTTCGCCGCTGCCAGAAAGGTCTTTGCTTGTGTGTCAGCAAATCTTGTGAGATGGGAGAGAACCTCTTGTTCTTTGCGGCCACCGTGAAGATCTTGCATAAACGAAGAGTAATCGAACCGTTTCAGTTCAAAGTTGCGTCGTTTCGCCTGATACTTGCTGTCACTCTCGGCTCGTTTCTTCTCCTTGAGAGAGTCCTGTCGCTGTCCTAGGTAGCGACCGACGTAGGCGTAATAATCCCGACTCTCTTCTTCAAACTCCTTCTTCTTTGCCTCGGCTTGTTTGATGTCATTAGTATAGAGCTTGAGCAGTGGCTCAATGACCAGTCTTTGAAGTTGTAGAGCATTTAGCCGTTCATAATTCAGTATCTGCCGTGAAATCTTCTCAAAGTAGTGGTCCAAGGCTGGTTGAATCGCATTCGAGTTTGACGTAGACGCTTCGCCAAGAGCGCAGAGAAACGCTTCCACAGCCTCATTGCAGACCATTTGGGCCTGGTATGCAGCCTCTGCTTTTTTTAATACTTTTTTGATCTTGGAGCGCATGTTGCCCGTCTTTTGTTCCAGCGCTTTCATCGTGGCACGGAATAACGGGCCATCCTCGACCACACTCATGTCTTCACCCGGCCGCGAATGAGGCAGGTCAACTTTGACGGGTGCCGGGGCAGATACCGTCACAGATGTATCGATAGCCTCCGGCGGCGTTCCTGGAATGACGACTTGGGTGTTTGATGTCGCATCTGCTTCGCTAGAATGCGATAGCACTGACTGTGAAGAAGGAACGCGGTTGCGAACAGGGATATGAACTTCAAGGTTCGGCGAGGAGATTTGCGGGCTTGGGAGCGAGCGAGCAGTATTTTGCACCCAAAACGCAAAATAAGCGAGCGTGTTTAGTCGATTCGCCCTTTGGTCGTAGTCTAAAAAGCTGCAGCTGTTCCTCCAGCCCCCGCCTTTATCTTCAGGGCCCTTTGGAGGCTTCCACCTCCAGTTCCAATCAAATTGTACCGATGGACTGCCCCCAGTTGAAAAGTCTCCCACCAGCTGAACATTAGAGTTGTTTTGCAGGTTCGGGTTTGCGTGAAATTCTCTGGTGACCAGATTATCAAGCTCTTTCGGATTCGGCGCGTGCGCAAATGTGAGTCCGGTCAAAACAGTGTCGGCCAACTCGGGTAAAGATGTCGAAACACCATTGAGTGTGGAATTCGTGACATTGCCGGTTTGCGTTTGTCTGAGGATGAAGGTGAATTTGAAGTTGAGCTCGTCATCGTTTGTCAGGCGCAGGAGGAATGTAGGTGCAGGGGAGGAGGGAGGCGAGTCCGGGTCCTGTATGGTCAGCAAACAGCTAAGAAACACTATCCAACATTTGACCTACCTGTATATACTCGATCGGGCTGTCATCGCCGAGATCGCGCTTTGCATTATAGCGTGTCGCGGGAAAGGCATTGGGAATGAGATTCAAAAGGACGCGGCGAGAATTTGATACCGTCACGGATGCGATCGTTACTGGAACAGTAAGTCAAGTGCGTCAAATCACATGCCAGAGACTCACGTTTGTTCTGGTCCTTGAAGTACAGGTTCCCCGAGTCATCCAGGCGGCTTCCGACAATCCCCATGGTAGAAATGCTGAACCTGCCAAACGACTGCTCGAAATATCAAAGCCGGAGAAGGAACCGGGGCAGGTAAAGGTGACCATCGGCGAGCTTGCGCACCTTTGGATCGGGAGGATAGACCGAAATGGCAGTCGACACGGATTGCGAGCAGCTGCCACCCAACTCAGAAATGAGCGAGTGGCCCGTAATGGTCAAAGCAAGGGCAGGTCGCTGCGAATAACGATCGACGGGGATGTGAAAAGGCAGGCGGAGAGGAGGGTCGGTCGAGATAAAACGAACAGAGTGGGGAAGATGGAGCCACACGCCCGGTGTTTCAGCGCTTGACCCCCTCGATAAATCGACGACTGGACCTTGGTTCTAGAGACGATTGATTTCAGACTCGGACGAGAGGAGTGAGGTCGAAGAAAGCAGGCGGTTAGGAGGCTGGTCAAGGATCGGAAAGAGGCTCCACGGCCCGGAGAGGAAAGCAGGCAAATTACCGGATGGTCGGCGATAAGGCAGTCGGCAGAGCGCGGTGCCTTTGGTGATAGGGAGTGAAAGGTTGTAGGTGGCAAGCAGAGAAGAGGGAGTTGAGATCGACTTGGAGGGGGCTGAGTGATTGAAACTGTCGAACTACCCCTCGATCGAGATACCTGAAGCGGGATAGATTGCTCTCTTAGCGCCATGGATGATTCAGGTATTTTTCCGATGCGATCTCATGATGACAGTCCAATTGGCATGTTTCAACTGTATTCTGGATATTACAAACTGGGTACTACCAAGTTATACCAATTCTTTATTGCCGGCTTCCTCGTGACTGCTAAGAACCTAAGAGCCGCCACAGTCAGCTGGTACAAGAGCGCTGATCAAATGATGCGGTCCGAGCTGTGGACTGCGGATTGCGGAGCCCCGAGTCGCTGCAACCTGCAGGATATGTATATATATAGATAGCTCGGTGCCCCCTTGGTATTATAGAAACACCGCGTCTGCCTGCTGAGTATTCCGGTCGTTTGCCGCCCGCTAGCGCCCGATGTTTGACGTTTTCATGATGTACCATGCATTCCATTCGAATAAGAACTAATAATAACATTAACATTACTCCACTATAAGGATAACCGTCGACGGTATATAAGCATAAAGTCGTGCCAAGCAGTGGTGAAAGTAGGAGTATCAAGTCCGCAAAAGGCGGAACCAGATCGTGGCAAAGCTCCCTGGAGCTACCTAGGTATAAATACCGCAAAAGGGCAATGACATCAGTGCTGTTCATCACCAGTATGTGCTGTCCTCTCCGTCTGGTCGGGAGGCCGTGTCTGGTCGGTATGCGACGACGAAGCCTTCAACTTTGTCCCGTCCGGCGGCAAGTCTTCATCGCCCTGTGCCCATTTCATCACTTGTCCCTTGACGTCACGCATATCGTGCACTCTTTGCGCGAATTCTCCTCTCTTCTTTTGCGCCAAGCCGTTGCGCTCGTTCAGCTCCTCTTCGTCAGAGCTGGATATGGACAACGAAGACGAAGACCTGCTCCGCTGTTGAAGGAAAGCCATTTGGCCTCCAACTCTGCTCTTAAGCTCCCTCTGTTCAGTCTTGAGCTCATCCATTCGCTCTGCATCCGCCTGGCAATCCAGAGTCGTGATGTGGAGTTCCGGAAAGTTGGAGGCGAAGAATTGCTTCAGCAAGGGGAGGTATTTGGCGTTTGGACGGTAGGTACCGCTATCATTGTCTATGAACAGTTCATACCTGCTGGGATCTGTGGACACCTCCATTTCTTCACCGGCGTGGTCGATAACGTACTCTGTATCTGACCGATTGGAAACTAAGGAATGTGATCGACGATGGTGTTTGCGTCGTCGAATAAAGAATTCCCCAGAGTAAGCAATATAGACCGACACATTGCTATGCATTGTATGCTTGCTTAACATGTCAATCCCGAATTCTTTGCCTGTTTCGGTGAAGCGAAATTGGCCATCAAGAGTGAGTACATAGGTAAATATCCTTCCACCTTGCGCATAATGAACAAACTCGAGGAATTTCTGCGTGAGCTCCACGCACGGTGACTCGAACTGGCCATTCAAAGTTGCTCTATCAAAGTTGTAGATTCGCTCGTGTTGATGGTGAAGGGCTCTGTTGAGTATGCGGCCCCGGAGAGTATGTGATGTAAACATCCCCGCCACGAAAGGCTTAAACTCCACATATCGATGATACAGTTCAGTGGGAACAGGGCCCTGTAATTGTATTTGAATGGCCTGGAAGCTGCATGACTGTTAGAAAACGAGAGATAGAAATAGAGATCAACGTACTTGTAGCGATTGACGGTTTTCCTGCCATCTTGGCTTTGGACAGCATCTTTCGTCCCTATCAGCCTGCCGATCAAAGGCGAGAAATGCTTAAACCAATAATTTGGCCCTAGTGTATACACTTGCGCGCCATTAGTGCCTGGAGTCTTACCCAAACATTCCACGCTGATGACTATATGTGAATCAGTGTCTAGCCGCCGCGAAGCCAAGGCGGCAATGTTCCCAAATAGATAAACTCGCTTGCTTCCCGTATGCTTCTTGAGGCGAAAAGGCTGTTCTCGAAAACCGGGCCAGGATGTGCTCATTGAATCTGCTTGAATGTAAGCATTTCCGAGCTTATCGTCGTGATCCGCTGCATCCTCATCGTAAACGCGGCATTTTAAGCGGAACCCAGACTCGGGGACATTGGCAACAACCCAAGTGCTCTCCCAGACGGGATCTCGGTTTTTGCGCACTGTCGGTGTTCTGAAAGTAGGGAGTGGATCTTGCTTATGGCGCTGGGGAACATCAACGGTGAGTGTGGCATGTATATACGGGTCGGATGAAAATGAGCCAAAGTCTGCGCAGGGGAGGTTGACACCACGATGGAAAGTGAATTTCAAGGTATAGCCGGGCGGCGCTCGGGGAAACGGGGTGCTATCGAAGCCCCCCGGAGGCTGGGACGATTCACCCTTTGCGCCAGGCTTCATAGCGACCGCCTGATGGTGTAATTTGTCTGCCTTGCCGACGAGTCTTGGCCCATACTTGTCGCCCAAATGCTGAGGCCGGACTTGCGACAGTGAATCCTCCATTGGCAAGAAGCGGGGGAAGAACTGCCCAAGGGTGTTTTGCTGTTGCCTGGGGAGAGGGAGAGCCAACCAGAGGCCGAACTCTCGGAGGTTGGAAAGGTGAAAGAAAGACGGCGCTGGTAGGGCGAAGAGATAAATACAAGCGAGAGGAAGAAGCGCAACGAGCTCCACGCCTCCTATTTAAGGGTAATCACTCGGCCCCATTGCTGGCCAGATGGCAGGGCCGTCTGGTGGAGGTGGGAAGAGCTGAAATGACGACCCCGTCCACGGAAGGCGAAGTCCCACTCAGCCTTACCAGTCGAATGCTAAGCTTTTGCCAATTCACTCCGGGTAAATCACATGGCAGCGCCCACCAGGCACGAACCAAGAAGTCCTAAAGTTAGAGAGTCGAGACCGAGAGATGTTTGTCTGGAAAATGTAAGCTGATTGGATAGCTACCCCTAGTACATAGATGTATGATAACCTCAAATGCACGCTGACGCCTCGCATAAACCCCTCGGGACGTGCCAATCTCTCCAGCCCTGGACGCCATTTTGTAAAAGTATCCGCTTCCGAGTCCCCACCCATTATCGCTGTTGCCTAAGAACCACAGTTCGAGAGACCGAAAAAAAAAAAGAATCAAAGTACGTACTGACAGCAGGGCTGAGCGAAGTTCGAACCAGACTGTCTAAGAATAGAAAGCGACTCTACGATCCTCGGAATAAGAACTGCATATCCTCCGGCGTGAGTTTTTCCAGTGCCTCTCCCTGGTCCTTGTTGATTGTCCCGTTGATCATGTTTGCTTTCTTCTCCTGGAGCATGACAATCCGAGACTCCACCGAATCTTCGATGCATAGTCGCGTGATAACGCACGGTCGGCGTTGGCCGATTCGATGGCATCGATCGGCGCTCTGCCACTCTGCAGCAGGATTCCACCACCTAAACGTCAGTTAGCAAAAGTTCACAAGTCCAACAGTATCAGTGACATACGGATCAACGATAAAGACCCTCGAGGCTTCAGTCAAGTTCAGGGCCACTCCACCAGCTTTGAGAGAAACGAGAAAGACCTCGACGTTCACATTGTTCATGAAATAATCAATCGACTTTTGGCGTTGAGCAGGTGTCATGGTACCGTCGAGCATGACCGTATTGAAACCAGCCCGTCGTAGACGCCATTCCACTAGTTGCAACATCGACGTGAACTGCGAGAAAACAATGGATTTCAACGTCTGCTTCTTGCTTCGCAGTTTGTAAAGTTCGTAAACGAGCATCTCGATCTTGGTGGAGGAGGTCCAATCCTCCATTCGGATCCTGTTGACAATCGAGTTCTTCTTGATATGGTCTTCGTGTTGCTCGATATCAGGCTGCTCAAGGTCAATTGAAAGAGAAATGTGGCATCGTGGACAGTCAACGATAGAATCAGCGTCAAACGACCGCATGTAATCCTTGACGCAGCGCCGACAGAAGTCGTGATGGCAGCGGGATCGAATTGCTTCTTCCGCGGGTTCATCGCATATACTGCATACGAGAACATTTTGCCCGCCGTCGGCATGTTTCTTTAGAATCAAATCCGGGTGATTTGAGACTTGTCGCATTTGCATAATAAGCCCGAAGATATTGGCGTAATTGTTTAGCATTACACCGCGGCTTACGTAGGTATCAAACTGTCGAGAAGAGTTTGTCATGATACTCCTGGAGAAATCACGTTCGATTTCGCCAAAAAATTCATTGTGTATGATCACACTGTCTTGTCAGTATCATGCTGCTAGATGGTACGTGTACTAACCGTTTCGGGGGAAGCTCCATCGAAGCTGTATGATCTCGCTTGACTCGCCGTAGCATGATCCTGTCTGTAATCAGGCGGAGCTTAGCCAAAGCTTCCTTTCGCGCCTCAGGGTTGTCTCGCTCCGTGACTATTACGTGTTAGCCGTGAGTTCAGTATTTCGTGGGTACAGCGACTTACTAGGGTTGAGTATCTCCTGATTGAAGACCGAGACGTGACTAAAGCCACTATAGAGCTGTCAATGCCAGATCTTAATAGATAGTCAGGACAGATATACCTGTGTTTGCATTTTGTGCACCGCTTCTCAGCATCCTGTGACCAATGGAGCTCCTGGCACTTGCATTGCTTACAAAAATAGCATGCAAACGGACGGACCTCGAGAAAACGCAACAGAGAGAAGAATTCACCAATCCGGTTTTGAACCGGAGTACCAGAAAGGCACCACTTGTAGGTGGACTGAAGTGCGAAGCAGGCACGCGCAACACTTGTCGTACGTTGCTGCTGAGGTTAGCAAGTACCTTGATAATGTGCGCAAGACATACCTTGATACTGTGCGCTTCATCCAAGATGAGTCTGTGGAAGTGAATTGAATGGATGACGCCTGCAGTGATTAGAAATAATGAAGGATAAGAGTACGGCCAGAACTTACTATCTTCTTTGACAATACCATCGTTGCGGTTCCACCCCTTCCACTCTTTCCGATGCATGGACTCGAGGCCAGAATCTTGACAGCGTTAAACAAGCACATGTGATAGTAGTAGAAGATTTCATACAGGATATCATGATGACATCGTACTTTAGGAGGTCCTTCTTGCGAAGCGTCTTCACCTTGGTATTCGAGTTGTGGTAAACAAGCACCTTGAGTTGCCCACTGGTATATTCCTACGCGATATCAGCATTTACGTATAGAGACAATTGGGACAGTTGCAAACCTTAATCTCCGACTGCCATTGCATCAGAGCAACTGGAGGTACCACAACCAATGACGGCTTTCCTACGGGATAGTCGGACATAAGGAGGGACACTGCTTGAATGGTCTTGCCCATGCCCATCTCATCGCCCAAAAGGCCACCCTTGTACTGTGTCTGCTCTTGTCGCGTCATCCAGTTCAGACCTTCAAGCTGAAACGGCTTCAACGTTCTGGAGATGCCTGGAGGCTGCATTGCTGGCACAGGTAAGATGGGAGGATCATTTTTCAGGTTTTCCCACATGGATAAAATGCTCGGATGCTGCTTCTCAAGTTTCTGGCGCTCTTTGACGGCCTGGATAAGTCAATACGTAGATAAAAGTGAAAAAAAAGGTTATAGCTTACACGGTAGCTCATCCCCGAAGCAAGCGCCCTGGCGGCAGCGGAGCCGCTCCGTTGTCTTCGGGACTGTGATCCTCGATTATTCACCACGTTCTGGACCCCTGTGGCACTCTGCACAACTGGTGGCTCTTCCTCACTCAACGACGAAGCTGAAGCGCTTGAATCAGAAGCATCTTGGTAAACGTCATCTTCCGCAGAATCGTCCATCATGTCGTCACTGTCAAGAACGACGCGACTTTTAGTTGAGCGTAATGAGACTCTGGCCTTTCTTTGAGGGGCCGGCTGGTTGAATAGTTCCCGATGAATTTCGTCATCATTCAAGTCAGACAAGTCGTCGTCATCCGTGAAGCTTGCGATATCCATATCATTCAGAGTCTTTTGGCGCTTGGAACGAGTCTCTCCGTACTCTTGCATCTGTAGGCTCCTAGCCAAAGCTGCATCTGCGCTCTCTGTTGTAAAGAATTCATCGGCATCCGTGGCCAAAGGCCGCTTCACCCCCCTTCGAGCACCAAGAGACATCGTGCTTGAGCGCAAATCCCGAGCCCGGGCAGATGCACTGACTCTCTTTTTGGGTCCACCGACATCCGACTCGGCGGGCGTGACGGCGACACTGGTTGCGGGAGTATCGTAGCCAGTCCTCCCATCAGCAGATGTATCCTCGGTGGCAACGGACGAAGAGGCCGAGCGGCGACTAGTTTTCTTCAGCGGTATGGCAACTTCCAGCTTCGAGAGACCGAGCTCCGCACGAGGCATCGGGGTCTTCAAAGACATCATCTCCTCCTCGGTATCAGCAAACTCTTGCTCGTTTTCGATAGGATCGGGTTTTGGGGAGAACGTCTGGGCTAATCTCATCGATTTCCGTCTGGGGAGAGAGAAAGGCAGAGGGTCCGAAGCTAGAATTGAGATCGCTTTAGCAAAGTCCGAGAGTTTGCGTTGATTGGAGTGAAGCTGGGTCACGATTGATTGTAGCAGCTTACCAGTGAGAGCAGCAGACCCCTGATCAACGACCGATTTCTTTCTTGCCATGATGGAGGATGAATCCCACGAAATGGAGTGAAAGTAGAAGATAGTCGAAGAGGAAGTAAGAGAACCTTTCAAGGAAGGCAAGAGCCCGAAACCTCAAGTCCGATGGGCGATTCGTGGAAAGCTACTCCGTAGGCTCCTTTCCCAACTCGCCAGGCACCTACACCTCGAGTCCGGTTACGGGAAGGTAAGGTTAATAATCAAGTCACCAAGTTTGGGAATAGGAGAAGAGTTTTCCATGGATTATTCACAGTGGCCCTGTTGTCGCCGCCAAGGGGACTCGGATTAGCCACCTGGAAGTGATTCGTCGAAAAAGCTTTCTCATCTCTTTCACCTCCCTGTTCCTGTGAGGTCCAAAACACGAGGGCGGGTGGCAATCAAGTTTCTCGCGTTAAGTGGAACGCGAAAACGGCACGAGTCCTGTGACTTGAGCTCTCACATTGCCCAACAGACAAACATCTCACCAAGGCGGTATTGTCCTCAGCGCTATTGTCGTCACTTTTGAAAGTGTCAAGCTCGTCAATATGTATGGAAGAACCTTCTGCATGTTGTTATGTCGTTACTGATCTCTCTCCCAGGGCAAACCGGAGGCAAACAAGGAACCAGATAAGGGGCCCGTATGTCGCTACCCACGATTATCTCTCAAGGGCGAAACTAACAATCTACCAGGCACTCTGCCCTTACGGACTTTTTGGCTGTAAGTTTCTCCCAGTTTTGCTACAAAGTATCAACATTCACCATTTCTAGTCCAACAACATCTCTGCTGCTCAAATCCATGACGACCATCAACGTAGACTGAGAGAGGCGGAGCTCCAAGCGAATGAGGAGCAGCAAGAAAATGCTGAGCAAGGAAATGCAGCCGACAACGACGAGTATGAAGACAATGTCGGAGAGAGTCCCGAGGAAAAGAAGAAGCGCAAGCGAAAGGAGGCAGCTACACTCGCGAAAATCAAGCAGAGCAAGGAGTTTGCGCGTCGAAAGGCCCGCCGTATTGGCGAACCTGATGACGATGATGATTTCATTGCGCGGGAGATGATGGAGGAACGCTCCCGGCCTCTGCCTGGCCAGCTGGACAATTGCGAGATTTGCAGCAAGCGCTTCACAGTCACTCCTTACAGCAAAACGGGGCCGAATGGCGGTCTTCTTTGCGCAAAATGTGGCAAGGAGCTCGGTGACAAGGAGAAAAGGTCACAGCCTAAGAAAAGGGGACCGCGAACCGCGCGCCGGCAGAACCAAAGTGACCTTCTTGATGGAATCGCTCAGGAGGGCGCTCTCAGTCTGGTGGAAATGTGTACAAAGGTTTATCTCCTTCTCTGATCGTATCTATCGAGAAGCTAACAACCATTAGAAAGTTGCGGATAATATCAATGATATTGACGAGTTTGGGGACTTGCCGTGGCAACTCCTGCGCCGGTTGAGCCAGATCTTGTCAAAGAGACGAGCCATGACGCCGAGGACATTGAATCTCTTCCTCCGACCTGACCTCGGCTTTATTGACATCTACGATTCGGGGAGTATGTATCCCCAATCATTATGCGTACAAGGGCTGACTTTGTCCAGAACTCGAGACCGACGACTTTCAAAAGATCTTCACCTTTATGCCGGCTCTAACGCACGTCAATCTTCGGTTCGCCGGACAGTTGAAAGATCGGGTCATAGACTACGTGCTCGACCGGGACCTCAAGATCAAGCACTTGCAGCTAGATGCCGCGAACCTCGTGTCAGATCAGCGTTGGCAGCAAGTGTTTCAAAAGCTGGGCAGCCAACTCGAGACTTTGCGGCTCTCGAATATGGATTTTTCCTTGGACGACGAGACTATTGAAGTCATGTCCAAGTCCTGCACAGGTCTTCGGCGGTTGAAATTAGAAGACTGCTGGAAGATGTCTGATCGTTCTCTTCAGGCGATCGCAAACCTTCAGTCACTCGAATATCTATCACTGAACCTCATATCGGAGACCCAAACGGAGAATCTCCTCGAACTCGTGTCCAAGATAGGTTCAAACTTGCGGACACTATCTCTGCGAGGATTTTCACTGGCTGATGACACAGTCCTTGAAATGATTCACGACAAATGCAAGGTCTTGACGAAGCTGAGATTCACCGACAATTCCATTTGCACCGACAAAGGGTTCGTCAAGCTCTTTGACAACTGGTCAAACCCTCCATTGGAGTTTGCCGACTTTTCCTCAACGCGAGACGTGGATAACTCGAATCCTGATGGCCCTACGGATGCAACTGGACTCGCGTCAAATGGCTTCGCTGCCCTTATGCGTCACTCTGGCTCCATGCTACGAAAGCTCAATATCTCTTCGTGTCGCCACATCTCTTATGCCGCTTTCGACGACGTGTTTGCGGATGGTAAAAGTTACCCTCATCTGAAGGAGCTGGACGTTTCGTTCCAGACTGTCATGGACGACTACCTTGTGGCCCGTATTTTCCGGTGCTGTCCTGCCATTCAAAAGATTGCTGCATTTGCCTGCTTCAATGTGCGAGACGCTCGAGTTCCCAGGGGAGTAGCGCTGATTGGGGGTTTGCGCGCCCAAGATCCTCTCGCGTAGTGTTAATCAACATCTGCCGCGAGGAGGTCTGGTCTTTAGGCTTAGCCTTGTAGCGGCGGGCTTTTACGATTGACTATGGTTTGCTTGGTTCATTCTGGCGTCACCGGGGCCGGGGTGGTATTTGAATTCATATGGGTAGCGTTCATAAGGTAAATTCGCTAGCGTCACAGAGCAATAGCAGTTTACAAGCCAGTTTCAATCCCTGCTTCTGGAATATGCCTATGTAGTTTTATGCGGTCAGGCATGTGGTTTATGCAGTATCGCTTCTAGTAGCGCACATAGTTCCCTGAAAACCTAGCGCAAACGCCAGCGGCATCTTAGCTGCATCTCGGGCAATCTGTAGTTGTATGTACTCCGTAGAGGAGAGCACTCCCAGCGACTGGGTCGCACTTCAGGACCAAGGCCGCAGCTTGGATATCCCAGCTTTTCATAAATCCCAAATCTCGAAAGATAAACCGTCCGGACAGCCATTTAACCTTCGGAATAGGCTCACCATCAGCAGGTTAATGCATCCAGCATCCCTCCTTGTCAGCGAGTCAAGAAAGCAGGGCGACGATAAGAAGATCTACAAACCAGGTTGGCGTTGGATTCTGGGGAGAATGGACGGAGTGGACCAATGGAAAATCGCGACTCTCACATGAGCACCGAGGCAAGGTCCAACTTGGAGCGCTCCGCTGATTGAGAATTATTTAAATGGAATGATCAGAGTGACAGAGAGATAACTTGAAATTTCAAAAAAAGTTTTCTTTACACTTTTCATGAAATTTCCATGATATTTTCTTTTCAAGTGAAATTTCATGCCAAGAACTATACGGCTTAGTAAACAAACTACCCGGCAGGATCAACCAATTAGAATAGCTTATCTTACTACCGCCTAGTAATTAGCTAATCAGACCTCCACCAAATTTATTTTTATACTATATGTCAATTTTTGTATACATATGTATAAATCAATAATATAGTATTTGGTGTGGTTACTTAATCCCGCCTTGGTAAGGGATACTGCCGCTTTTTACTAAAAGTTGAAGGCGGTAGACTTTCACCAAGTTTTCACTCCAATATTTTCTTTTCAGTGAAAGCCAAAAATCACCAAAATTACTGAAAGTTGAAATTTCAATATGGATCCCTAATGACAGAGTCCTTCGCAATGGTTTTTTATTTGATGGTGCCACTCAGGCCCATAAAACTAGGGAATTAGCTCGATGTGCTAAGGCTGACTGAGAATCTGAGCTCGATAACTGTTTTTGTGTCGTGGGGAAAAAAGAGGCAGCAAAAGTTGTGCAAAAAATCCAGCACGAAAAGACACAGAGATTGTGCGACATCTTTTTCCTTTTCGAGAGGGCGAGACTCGAGAGCGAAATGACGAAAGCCCTATCGAAATCTGGAGGCATGATGTCTCGGATGAAGCTGAGCTGTAGCCACATTCTGTACCTTTTTATAGTTGAGACAAATTTAGCTTCGGCTTCCCCTGAGCAGTCTCGTCTTGGGGTTCAAACTCTGGCAATGGTGGCAAAGAGCCAGGGCAGGAATTTTTGGTGATTATTGCAAATAGCAAGCCCAAATCACTCCTCCAGAGGATAGATAGCGGATGACCAGTACCATGGTCTCCCCTTTTCCGACCGATTTTACCTACTGAATCAGCTTTTTCTCGGCGATCCTTCAAGGGCGTCTCGCCGTCGACCATCCGGACATACTTTGGGCCTTTGAATCGTCGATGTTCGCCGGCAATAATAATAAGAATCAGATCAAGAGGCGTTCTTGTTCGTCTCGTTGCGATGACGCTGCTGTAGATACAAGCGGTGGCCTCTGTGGATTTTGGAGAGATAATTGGATACCCAAGCCAGCGATGTGGAGAAAGTCGTCAAGATTCTTTCTGAAAGGCGTCAAATTTTCGGACCTGGAAACCGGCTGCGCCGAAGCGATAATGGACAGGAATGAAACGCGATGATCACGAAGATCATAAGAGTCCTCGTCTTTGAAGACTTTTATCGTACAACATTGCCAGGTCAAGTTGGTGGGAAGATTCAGAAGAATGGCAATCCGCAGGGCTATCTAACATTGTGAAAGATAGATAGAGTGGCTCTTGGTGCTCCTCCTCTTTGGAGCTAAGGCTGCTAAACTAAGGCCAGGTCCACTGTTCCAGGCTCAGACCCAAGAGGCTCACGGCAGCGCTTGGGCGGTGTTTTCTTATTTCCTGTTCTAGGACCTCAACGATGGCGGGCCTGAGTTGTCACTCTTGGACCTAGAATTATATATGCTTCTCTGAGATTCTTCTCCCAGCTGCGAGTCTGCGACCGCATCTTGTAAAGATTGTTGACTGATTGCTCCTCGGCCCAGGGGCCGCTTTTTCTATATTTGGGACTAGTGCAGCTGCTCCACCAGCAACTGAACAACATCAATCAATCCATCCCATTTCAAGGGTCCGTCCGGCTTGACTCTGTCTTTGCTCGCTCTGCATGGTTCCTCAACCCATCTATCCTCTTCTTCACCCTTCGGTAGTACATATTGATTTTACTCTTATTCTTTATTGGTTTCTCTGGCTCAGTGTCTTTATTAGGAGTATTGTTTATATCATTCCGCAGTCGCTGGACCTTTGCTCTTCTAATTTTCTCTCTCCTCTCCTGCCATCCATCGCCGGCCCCCTCTCCTCCTCGTGAACCGCCTCGCCTCTTCCTCCCTCTCGACTGCGTTGCTTCGTCGCTTTCTTTCTCAAGACTTTCGCCTTGTTTTCATTCGCAGCGACGAAACTTTCCCATTACAGCAATTCAATCCCGCGAGGCACCGCTACCCCGGTGGTATGTGATCGCTCTGAGCAGCCGACGCTTGACAGAATTGCTCGGTACAGCAGAATTGTCCTCCTGACCACTTTGTCGATAGCATTCTCGTGAAATACCCCCCTTTATTTATTGAATCGCCACGCCTTCCAGCACGACGAGACGTACAGAGCAGAGTCCATTCTTCACCGTCATCCAAACACAAGCCCCACCGCGTCGAAATTCGAGCGATCTGAAACATCCAGCTTTGGGCCAGAATCATACTCGGAATTACCTTTCATCTCGGCTGAGAGATATCGTTTATGGGAAGGAACTAGTGCAAGTGGGGAATTATATTGGCACTATTGCAGCCACAAGGGAGCTGGTAAAGCCGGCTATTTTCCATCGTCGAAAGTCGCCCCAGCGTCGTGAACCGCTGCCGTACGCCCAGTACAGATGCCGATCAAGCTGCCCAAAGGTTTCGCCCGACGAAAGTCGTCCGGTAATGCTCTCGAGGAGTTGGAAAACCCACCTCAATCATCATTTCGGGTCTTTGAACGCCCCTCCGCCGAAAGAAGCTCCTTTAGCGATGGAAACCTAATGACTCAAAAAGCAGGGGATGGGCGGCCTTCATATTCTCCAGAGGACGACGACAATATCTTTGCGAGGTCTGATGGTCCTGCCGTGAGAAATCTGTAAGAGCTTTGCTGGCGCTGCCGTCGACAAATTGTGCTAATAGTGTGGCTTTAGTACTGGCGGAAATACCTTGGAAGGTCCTTCAACTCGGTTCAGTTCCTCAGGACGCCGTTCGACAGACCTACAGACCCAATTCGATTCGCATTCCCCGCACTCTCGAAATCTGCACGATATTCCTGCTCCGCCTTTCTCGAGTGCACTACGTGCTGCTGGCAGGACATTCTCTTTTGGTGGGAGATTCGCGAAAACGCCTGCCCAGGCGCCTCGTCCCTCGTCTCCGGATACAACCAGGAGCAGAGCAACCACTAACAGCACGACAAGCACGGCTACACCACCCAAACTTCTGGAGAGCGAATTCCAAATTGGTCGAATGGACGACTTCGGAAACATGTTTGATGATATTGGCAAACAGGAAAGACAGGACACGACCGTACAGGTAGGTTTGCTTTTTTTCTCTCTTAGTATATTTTTGCTAAGAAAAGTTCATTCTTAGAAACCTATCCCGCCGCCACACAAAACCGCCACCTATCCGAGAGAGGAGGAGAAAGCACGGCGTCCTGCGCCTATAAGCACGGATCGATCGAAAGACATTGAGCCCTCTCCATACTCGTGGGGCAGCAGACACTCCGAGGAAGGTCTTTTAACTGGTGTAGATTCGCCGCAGGAAGATACTCCTGCTCTGCGGGATGTTTCAAGTTCGACACCAATGCCCACTCCTCTAAGCTCTCGGCGAAGATCGATACCAATGTCCAGCGCGGTTCCGGCCAATACGACCACACATCGCTCTCTTGAGAAACCGAATATGGCGACTGACAAGGGCCTACGCCGGAGCATCCTGTACAGCACGAAACGCGACACCGTCGCCATAGACGACGAAGATGCAAAGATGGTCATGGCCTCTTTGAATTACAACAAGAGGATTTCACAAGCTGTCTCGTCCAACTCCGAAGCAGACGATGACGTTCCTTTGTTCGCCCATAAACCCGCCGTTCCTCAACAACAGCCTGTGCCAGCACAAAACGATGACAGTCTGGAAAATTCCATCGCAGCTAATGCACGACTAGCTGCAGAGTACGAAAGCAAGCCCATTCCTGCGTCTTCTTCGAACAAGGTCATGACACCATCCCAATTCGAACACTACCGGCAGCAGCAAGAGTTGAAACGAGCAAACAGTGATGCGTCGGACAGTGAAGAATCCGCAGTAAGCGACTTTGATGAAGAGGATGAGGCGGAGAAGAATCGCGAGACGGAGAGGCAACGGCGGAAGCAAGAGGCTCACATGTCGGTCTATCGGCAACAGATGATGAAGGTGACGGGACAACAAGCTCCTTCGCCGTCTCTTCGTCCAGAAACGGATAGGGCCAGTAGCAGCACCCCGAATTTGGCTACTCTATCGCTGCACCCCGGTAGTAAACCCGCCGCCGGAAGTGGCAAAAGCAGCGAGGGCGACGATGACGAGGAGATTCCACTTGGGATTCTGGCAGCCCACGGATTTCCTAACAAACACCGTCCTCCGAGCCGCTTGATGTCTTCCAACTCTATGCAGAATCTACGTGCGTCATACCAGCAGCCGCCACACCTGGGATCCGCGGGATCGGATTTTGGCGGTAATCGGAGCAGTTTGCCCGTCTTTGCCAGGAATCTCCCACGAGATCCCTATTTTGGAGCAAGCTTAGTCACGCCATCGAACAGAGAGTCCCTCGCGCTTGGAGGAGGAGGAGGAGGAGGAGGCGGCTCTGTATATGGTAGCCCGTCGCCTGCTGTGGTAGGACCATCTCCTGCTCTTCCACCCGGAGGGTTGGTAAGTGTTATTGCCACCGAAGAACGGGCCAGAGCTATGCGGCGAGGAAGCCCAAACACGCAGGCCATGTATGACCATCAACCTACTCTTCAAGGCCCAGCTGGCAACGTGGGTGGTATTCCAAGGCCCTACACCATGCTCAACATGAACCAGCTAAGTGGACCACCACCAATGTCTGCCACGGAGCAAGCTCAAATACAGTTGTCTCAGCAAATGGGCCATATGATGGAGATGCAGATGCAGTGGATGCAGCAAATGATTCAACTACAGGGCGGCGGACAGGCTCCTCCACCGCAGCTCCCGCCTCTTGGGAACCCCCAGCTTTCCTTCGCAGTAAATCCTTCGAGACCGTCATCGATGCCGGTTCCCAATGGAGCATTTCCCAATGCTCCTCCAGGATACGGGGGAAGCCAGAGAACTATGAGCATGCTCGACCCCAACGTTTCGTCTCGATTGAACAGTCCGGCCATGCCACCCTTTGCCTCCGGTGCGAACAGACCAGGTACGCCAGGAGGGGGAGGCTACGCTCACTCTCTTGCTCCTTCGGAACGGAGCAATGTCGGATTGGCGCCTCGCTATAGACCTGTGTCTACCGTGCCAGTCGAAGCCGAATCCACAAACTTCCTCCCTCTAAACAAACCCTGGAACGATGAAAACCGGAGAATGTCCACTTTACCTCCTCCAAGCAACACGAACCCGCCAAACTCAACCATTCGGCCGGTGTCAAGCTACAGTAGAACCCTCACAGCTCCCTCAAAATTAGGAAGCCATGTCCAAGTCGAAGAAGAAGACGACGACGAAGGATGGGCCGAAATGATGAAGAAACGCGAGAAGAAACGAAGCAACTGGAAAGTCAAGAAGGAGACGTCAAGCTTTGGAGACTTGTTGAACGCGGTACATTAACGAGTGCAAGTAAATATCCATTTTTTTCCCTCTTGTCTCTTTTGTTTGGGGCGTTATCTCGAGACGTTCATTGTTCGCTGCTTTGTTTTTCATGCATACACACGCACACACATACGTTGTTTTATAATACCTAAAGACATTTTTTCATGGCCCTTCATTTGGGGTCTGGCGCATATGAAGAGCTGGTTCTGTATACAAGACTCCTTTTCCTCGGTTCCTTGGACACTATCTGTTAATCAAAGCTAATGTGCACACACCTCATGTACACTCTGACACTTCTACCTTTGCATAGATACGGCGTCTTGTCTGGTATGCTACACGTGTAGAATGGAGTAGATCATCTCTCGAGTTTCTTTTATTATACTGAAGCAGCCTTCAGTATATACTTGCGTATTGGCATTAATCCTTCAAACGCCGTATAATGTCCTGCGCCTTTTGGATAACATTCGCTATAATTTCAGCAGCTCGAAGCGTTTCATTCACAAGGCCGACTCCAGTGCCAGCATACGTCGTTAGCCTAGCATCAGGCCCCCATCCCAAGTCGCCTTTCTTCAGCTCTTCCTCGTAGAGTGCTTTGTTTTCTTCATCGCTCATACCGTTCATGGCATCAATATAGCTCTTGTTTATGATTCCTCGCCCGTCATATCGGGTCGGCCAGCTCAGTATGCCCCGTATGCGGTCGTACACGGTCGACCGGACACTGCTAGTACCGCCGTCGGACGCCCGAAGGACTTCATCCTGATACCCTCGAGCAATATTTGCCTCAGACGATGCTAGAAATCGAGTCCCCATCACCGCTCCCGAAGCCCCTAGAGCAAGAGAGGCGGCCATTCCTCGCCCGTCAGCGATCCCTCCGGCGGCGAGAAGGGGTATATTGGTCTTGATCTGTCGCTTGGCAAGGGCATCCTTGACCTCTGGCACCAGTGTGATAATCGACGCCGATTGAGCCAGGCCATGGCCACCGGCATCTGACCCCTGCACGACCAATACATCCGGGGAAAGGGCTTCTGCGACGGCGATCGCTTCGTCTACTGTGCCTATCTGCACCCAGATCTTGGTCTTGCCGTCGGTCACGGTGCGCACTCTCTCAGCCCAGGGTCGAAGGTCATCCGGGATAGACTTTGGTCCGAAAAGCCAGGCGGCGCACGGTTGGTATTTCTCAATCGCGGCTATGGACTTGGTGAGGTCGGCGCCCCAGTTTAGGAAGCCTACTCCGATTGGGAGGATGCCGGTGCCGGCGTAAAATTGCTCTAACTCAGTTGACTGTTTGACGAGCTGGACCGCTTCTTCAAGGTTACTCTCCAAAAGCGAGACATCAAATCCACCTGCGAGGAAACCCAAGCCACCAGCCTCCGATACTGCGACAGAGAGGGGCGCCGTAGCGACGTTCAGCATTGGCGCTGATGCTACTAGAGGTGTCTTGATCCATGGATAATCCGCTTGTAAATTTGAGCCTTGAAACATGCTGTGCTGTCAATTTCGCTCTTGAAACGCACCGATCTGTTCGTTTAGAGGCGGCTTTTAGAGTGATCGGCTGATCGGAAGCTGGGATTCCTCGGATATATTTATATCTCGAAGCTCAGTTATACCCGAGAACGAGCAGCGCGATATAACATCATCCATATCCGAGGTCCAAGGCTCATGGAGAATTAGTGAAGACATCTAAAGGCCTGTGCATAGGGAAGGAGAGAAAGAGTGGCTAATCTTAGAAAGGTCCTTCACCCACCAAGAGGTAGGGACCTGTCACGTGCTTTATTGTCACGGGAGGCGGAAGATCTTCCACCACTCTTTAGTAGTCTCGACTTTGATATAGCCAGCCTCTTCACTCTTGAGCCGCTCTCATCCCATCTTTTGATACTTGAAAACCAGACCATTAGCTGGGCGAGAGCCGTCTCAGTTATACATACGCTCTCTACTTGAACCCAGTATCCTTATCTCAGTCTTTTCTCACCCGATCGGCTGCAGTCACGTCTTCGAGGTCCTGGGGCAATTTCTAGCCACCGTTGTGTTTCGGACAGTGTTCTTTCGCGAGCATTTTTGAATCCTCGTCGACCAGTGTTGCATTGAGGATAGTGAAGAAGAGCCCATATCGTTCTTGGATATTCTATCAAACACCGACACAGCGCATCCGCCAGTCTGATATTGGCTCAATTTCTGGTCTTTTGGATTATTCGAAATAAGGCCTAAGCCGACAACCATCTTGCGTCAAGATGAACGCACCAGATAGGTAAGAATATGCCTTTCAGACAGCAAGCCCGCAGCTGCACCTTCCGCTTGTATCTTTGCTTGGAAGCGTTTGCAACTTTTTTCTTTCTTTTTTCAGTATGCTTCTAGTGATAAGGGTTACAGGCTCTGGCGCCTTCTGTATTTGGATGGGAGGATTGCGTATATTCTCTCTTTTCATACTCAACTGTTGCTGAGTTGCCATACTGTTGTTTGGTGATGGCGACTCAGCAACAGTTTCCCACTGAACTCTCCCTCATTTTGCATCTCTCTTTCCCTGGTCTACCCCTCCACCTCTATTTCATGTTACTACGCCTCCTTCCTCCATTTCTCTCTGCCTGCCTGTTAGTTTTGCCCCCAGCATTCTATCTATCAGAATGGTTCCTCGCAAGGAGCACGTCGAGCACATCTTTCCAATGGAGATCCTGTACGCCAGGAACATCAATTCAAACTCAACCCGTCACGGCTGCCAATCACGCGTCCAAGTTTCCCATGACCAGCAGCCTAGGTTCGCTTGTATTCGTTTTCCAATTTTGCTTTTTGATGAGTCATCACGACTGTCGCATCTTACTGACTTGACCTTGAATGCAGATATGAATCTTTCGTCCTTGCGAATGGCGAAAGCAAGGTTGAAATGGAAATTGATACCCGTGAGTTCTCTGAATCATTATCATCGCATCGTCGTCTCTGATTTTTGTAGGCATTCCCTCGTCCGCCATCTTCACCTTCAACAAGGAGGACCACACTCTCGGAAACCTGATCCGCTCCCGCCTCATGCAGAGCTCTCATGTCCTCTTTGCTGCATACAAGGTAACTGACCCTTGCTGATGGTCTGGCCGGAAAGACGGTTAACGGTCCTAGGTTCCTCATCCGCTTGTCCCCAAATTCGAACTCCGTGTTCAGACCGACGGTGACATCACTCCCAAGGACGCTGTTATTACTGCATGCCATGAGCTAGTTCGCGACCTGGGCATTCTGTCTCGCGAGTTCACCAAGGAATATGAGCTACGTAAGATGGTTGGAGCCACGCAGCAGCAGCAGAACGGTGCCTCGGATGGTATCTAGCTTACGCTTTTTAAAAGTTGACTGGGCGGTTTTTTCTCGGATTAGGTGTACGCAGCTGGCTCTGTGTCCTTTACGTGCTTGCTTGTCCTTCGGTCCATCCATTTTCCTCGTGATCGAGTGCGGCCGCTGATTTCCCGTTGTTATCTAGCTGGATGCTCATGGCTGAAATGGTATGAATGATAGGCCGATGGTTTAATGATAATATCTCCTTCTGATACCTGATGCATGGCGTTCTTTCGAGGATAAAAAATAGCAAAGTACTACCAGCTATTCTGGAGTTAACTAACTAGTTAACATAAACTAGTTAGTTAGTTAGCGTCTGGGTCCGCTGACTCAGCACTATTATTGGCTAGCGCGGGTGCGTGTCCCTGATTCCACTCCCACACGAGGAGCCCGCCGGCGTCACCAGAAGCTCCTGAGCAGCCGTCGTTGCCTGCCCCCCCATCCCCTCTCCACAACTCACCTTTCCGTCTGGCATTGTTCTGTTTCTTGAGCTTTTCGTGTGGCTTACTTACCACTCTGATGCGTCTGAAATTCTTCTAATGTACTCATCCTCCAATAACTTCCTGGGCGGCGCAAACAGCGCCCGTCCGGGACAGGTGCCATACTCGCAATTCCCAGGGAGCCAACAACAACCCCAGCCCCAACAGACGGGATTCGCTCCTCAGCCGACCGGCTATGGACCTCAATTATCTGCGTTTGGAGGACCCCAGTTGCAACCACAGGCAACGGGGTTCCCCACGGGACAGCTTCAAGCTCAATATACCGGATTCCCCGGTGCATCAGCGCAGCAACAAGCGCCTCCGCAACAATCGCAGCCCACCGGCTTTCTCGCCGCGCCTCAGCAATCCCAATATGGCGGTTTCCCATCTCAAAGCCAGGCCCCGCAGATACAAATTTCGCAGAGCCCTAGTCTTCCCCTTCGAACCGGTGCGCAGACATCGTCTGAGATAGCCAATTCGTTCCAGGTTGGATCTGGCGCCGCCCCGACGCCGCCACCGAAATCCTCTGGGGGCAGGATTCCCAACATCCGCCTTTCGTTCATTACAGCGCAGGATCAAGCAAAGTTTGAACAGCTCTTCAAGTCTGCTGTCGGGGATAGTCAGGCCATGTCTGGTTAGCGAGCAAACAAACATGGGCTTTACACACACAGTTGGTTGTGCTGACACAATAATAGGAGACAAAGCAAAAGAACTCTTGCTCCGATCGAAGCTTTCAGGAAGCGATCTGTCACGGATTTGGTAAGCGGATAACCCGAGAACAAACCTGATGAAGCTTACACTTAATAGGGTGTTATGCGACACTACAAAGTCCGGACAGCTGTTGTTTCCCGAATTTGCTCTAGCCATGTACCTCTGCAATGTCAGAATCACGGGCAAAGAGATACCGAGTGCTCTCCCAGAAACGGTCAAGAACGAAGTTTCGAGTATGGTGGACATTATATCGTTCCAGGTACCCGACACACAACCAGCCGCAGCAGCAACCCCTAGAACGAATGTTCCTAGTTTCGATGCGCCTCTACTCGAGAACAAATCAGCTCCGCCAGCACCCCAGCAACCTCAACCGCAACAGCCTACCAACTCACAACTCCTCTCTCAGCTCACGGCGCAGCCTACCGGATTTCCATCTTTCCCCGCCCAAAACCAGGGTCTGGCCCCACAGGCGACTGGATTCCCCGGACAACAACAGCAACAAAACCTTCAACCTCCTCAACTGGGACTCATGAACAATCCCCAAGCCACGGGCTATGCCGGCCCTCGTCCCCCAATGCCACCAATGCCTACTGGCTTCGGATCAAATCTCAGTCCCTCACAGACTGGTGGGTTGGTTGCCCAGCCTACCGGAATTCCTGGCCAATGGGGCTTTGTCAATGCTCCCTCATCGGGTTTGCCAAACATCGATGCCTTGAAACAGCAGCTGATGCCCCAGCCGGGTCGTGAAGGTGGATTCTCCACGGTCGGTCTCTCCGGTAATGCACATATTCCATGGGCTATTACAAAGGAGGAGAAACGGATCTACGACGAGCTCTTCCGTGCATGGGATGGTCTGCGTAAAGGATTCATTGGTGGCGATACTGCCATTGAGATCATGGGTCAAAGTGGTCTAGAGAGAAAGGATTTGGAGGCTGTTTGGACGCTAGCGGATCCCCACAACCGCGGACGTCTTAATATGGATGAGTTTGCGGTTGCTATGCACTTGATATATAGAAAGCTCAACGGCTATCCCGTTCCCAGCCGACTGCCGCCGGAGCTCATCCCTCCATCCACGAGAAACCTGAATGACTCGATCGGCACCATCAAGTCAATGCTCTCTCAAGATGCTGAGCACCGCAAAGCGACGGGTGCATTCCTGCAGCCGCAAAAGACGGGCGTGAGTTATCTCAAGGACCATTCTTTTCGTGGCGGGGCAACATCACCTGGATTCGGCCGCAAGGATGCTACACTTTTCAAGAACAATGATGACGCTTCTGCTGGTTATCGCTCCAGCGCACGTCGTCGCGTTGGGAACAACGGGCGTACCCCCTCACCTGCTGCTTCACAGTCTTCTGAGGAGGAGCTGTCGGTTGAACAGCTAAAGAAGAAGATCCGTGAAACACAAATCATGCTAGATGCAGTTGACTTTGAAGATGAGAATCGCGCGGAGGAAGAGGATGCCTTAGATAGGCGTGATCGTCGGGAAGCGGAAAGCCTCATGGACAGGATTCGACGTGTGCAGGATGACATTGATACCCATCCAAATGCATCACTTCGGAACCTTGACACTGGGGCCGAGAGGAGAACTCTGCGCCGCCAACTTCAGGCTTATGAAGATCAGGTGCCTCAGGTGGCGTCGGAAGTGAGGCGTGTGGAGCGGGAGATCGCCGAAGCTAGACTGGAGTTGTTTCGCCTGCAAGACGCCAAGGCCCACCCGAACAGTGCTTTGAACATCGTCGGCACTGGGCCAGGTGGTGCCGTTACAGAGGCCGATAGGATCAAGGCACGTGCTCGTGCGAGAATGCAAGCCCGCGCTGCCGAACTTGCTGGAAGGCCGGCGCCTTCCACACAGAATGACGAGGAGGCTGCTACCCGCCGCCTAGAGGGAGAGAACGCCAAGATCAAGGCGGAGAGAGAAAAGAACGATTCCATGACACAGGATGTCGAAGAAAGTGTAAAGGATTTTGCTCGAAGCCTAGAGGACAGCCTCAAAGAAGGAGGCGAAACATCTGCTCGTGAACACGAAAGGCGTCGCTGGGAAGACGCTCTGGGCGTCGAAGACGTCATTCGTGACTTTATCTATGACTTGAATCGCGGACGACGAACAGCGTACGCTCGGAAGGAGGAGGAGTAAGCCCTCCCGCCATTCCGCTCATTGACATGCTTATAAACTTGCTAATGATTTTAGGGACTCAAGAGCATCTCCACTCGACCAGCGCAAAGAGTCCCCGGCCTCTAGCTCAACCGCTGCACGTCCGCCTCCGCCGCAGTCTGCTGGCTCGTCAAACCCCGTGTCTGGCAACACTCACGAAGACCGTGTTGCTGCTGCAAAGGAGCGCGCCCAGCGGAGGATTGCTGAGCGAATGGCGGCCGCCGGCCTTAAGCCTCAAAGTGACGCTACCGAGAGCCTTCTCCAGCGCCAGGAGAGAGAAAAGCGAGAGCGCGAGGAACGGCTGAAGCGGGCAGAGGAAGAAGATGCCAAGCGTGAGCAAGAAAGACAACGTCGCATTGCCGAGGAACAACGTCCAGCTCCCATGCAAGCAGAAAAGCCCGCCGGCAAGAAACCACCGCCGCTGCCACCCACGCGCAAGGGTCGGACGGACAGTGCTGGCCAGGCCGATGCCAAGAGAGCACCTGAAGAAGCCGCAAAGGCGGAACAGGCGGCGCGTGGGCAAGCCATCAAGGAGGAGCAACAAGCCCAGGAAGAAGAGACAAGACGTCTAGAGTACGTAACCCATCTTAGGCATGTAGAATACCTACTTACACTTTTACAGAGTCGAGGCTCAACAGCAGGAAGACGAATTTGAGAAAGAACAGAAGGCGCAAGAAGCACGTCTTCGTGCACTTGAGGAGCAGGTCCGGCAAGGGAAGATCAAGAAGCAGGAGGAGAAACGCAGGAGAGAAGAGGCAAAGAGAGCGGCACAGGAACAGGAGGCTAGACTTGCTCGTCAACGAGCAGAACTGGAAGCCGCCAAGGAACGAGAGCGGCAGCTTCAACGAGAACTTGAAGGTCTAGATGAGAGCTCTTCGGATGATGAGGGTCCAGTAGACATCTCTACGCCGCAGCACAGCACTCCTACGCAGAGCCAGGTTCTATCCGCGGCAACCGCTCAGGCTCCTCAAGCTCCTGCTAGCCCTGTTGCTGCACCACCCCCCCCACCAGCTTCTGAACCCGAGCGCACTAGCACTCCCAGCTCTCCGGTCAGTCGAGCGGTGCCGCCCAGTCTGAGCCCGGAAACCGAATCCAAGAACCCATATTTCAGGAAAAACCTGTCACAATCCTCAGACTATCCGGCTGCAACCCCCCTAGAGGCTCCTCAGGCTGCTCCCGCTGCTGCTCCTCCCAAGACGGAGTCTACCAATCCTTTCCACCGTCTGGCCCAGCAGCAGCAGCAACAGCAACAGCAGGAACCACTCAGACCAGCATTCACCGGTTCCGTGCCCCTGCCTCCCAGAACCCGCGCTCGCCCAGAGGCCGACGATGACTGGTCCGCAGCTGGGTCTGACTTCGAGTCTTCCGATGACGAGGACGATGATCGTGCTGGCGGCGGAAGTGCCAAGCAACTCGCAAGCATTCTCTTTGGAACCATGGCTCCTCCAAGGCCTTTGAGCGCTATGGACAATCAGTCTCCATCCAAGTCTGCTACTCCAGTTCAGGATAGTCCTGTGGCTCCTCCGGTTCCCGCTATTCCCGCCGAGTTTGAGCCCGCCGTCCCTGGCGGAGCGCCACCACCGCCTCCACCACCACCTCCTCCACCTGCAGCAGCAGCTCCCCCAGCTCCCAGCTTTGAGGCGCCGACCGGTGCACCCCCTCCCCCTCCTCCGCCCCCTATGGGAGCTCCTCCTGCTCCACCACCACCTGCTCCTGGCCCGGCTGCCGCACCCGCTGGAGCTGGTGATAGGAGTGCATTGCTGGCCTCGATCCAGGCAGGCAAGGGGCTTCGAAAGGTCCAGACCAATGATCGGAGCACCAGTTCTTTCGCTGGTCAAGTGTTAGACTGAGCGTTTGAGCGTTTCTTTTGGAAACTTTGCATTTCGTATAAATCATTCTGCCAATCGCCAAGTCATGGAATCTTGATCCACAATGTGTACAGCTTTTGTTAGCTCTTAGTCTCCATTATATTCAGTATCAGTCAGTTGCTAACGGATGTTTATTTCAGTACATGGGTATAACTACAGGCGACGACCCTTTTGTACAAGTATGAAGTAATCGTGTGCGAATGTCCGTCGAGCTGTAACAAGATGTCGTAACAAGAACCTACGTCAGGAAATATGTACGAAAAGGCAGAATACCCTGCTTCTAGTAAGAACCAAAAAGGGGAAGGCTGAAAGTGCAAAAGGCAAATAGGTATCTTGTCCAAGAATCCAGAAAAGAAAATGCGAAGCCGCCATAAGCCAAAAAAAAAAAAAAAGTAAACGAGGAGGATATAGAGCTCTTCGTTCAGGAGACGATTTCTGCAATGACGTTACCCAAAGTACTCACACACCAGAGGACGATAAGACCGCATCCAATTTTGCGGTCCATGCGCCAATTATTCCAGGGAATCACGATCAACAACCCGACTAGAGTCACTAGAAGGGTAGCGCCGCTAATGATGAGGACTTTGGAGACGGCAATGTCATAAGTAATGTCAGCTGCGGCCATTGATTGCGACTTTTTCGAATGCAGTGTCATGTATAGCCCTCCGAGGCCGATACCAAGGAGGATATTGAGCATGGGCCCGCCGAAGCAGGCGCTCAGAGCCATGACTGGGTAGCCCAGGCGGGCGACGGTAATGTTGGCGACGAGGTCGCCGAGGGAGTTGCCGACAGCAAAGACGGTGAGACCGAGGAGGGAGTCGCTAATGTTGAGAATGACACCAAGGGTCTTTAAGAGGCTAACCACTTCCGTGGCAATCGTTGCAATCCAGAAGATGGCGACAACAAAGCCTAAGAAGGCTAGGATTGGGCGCCATGATTTGGGGGGTTGTCGAAGGGAGCTGCGAGCTTGGCGGATGCTGACGAGTAGGGCTCCGAGGCAAATCAGCGAAAAGAGGAGGCCACAAAGCGAGAGGAATAGAAAGATGCGTCCCGTCAGGTCATCATCTACGGCAGACCATGCGATTAAGGCAACGAATTGAGGTCCTGCAAAGAGTTGAAGATGGACTAGCCAGAGACTCCACTCTCTGGTTGCTTGAGCAGTTGAGTCGATAGGCTCTTGTACCGCAGGGAGCTCCGAGTCGTAGCGCTGCCTGTTCTGATCCGACGGAAGTTTGTTACTGTTGCCAGCCGGTGTTACTGAACTCGCATTTCGAGGCTGGAGAAGTGGGCTCTCCTCTGGCAGGCGCACGATGGGCGTAGGGGAGATTGAATCATCGGCAGAAGTCACTATGACTGGTACTGCGTCGGGCTCAGGCGGTGATGGATCAACAACAGGCAAAGTGATCGTTAGGAGAAACACGCTAGGAGCTGCAACGACACCTAGGAGCTTCTCCCAAACGGTCTTGCTCTTCCATCCGTCCAGAGTGGGAAAGAGTGTCGCGATGATTGGCTCCAGTACGGATTGAGACCGAGGCCAGCAGTCCGTCGGTGTAGAACGTCGGCTGTTTCTGTCAAAAATAGCTTCCTGGAAGTGTAGAGACTCTGTTGGGCTCGATGGCTCGGGCAAACGTATACTCGGCGGACGGGGGGACGGTGACCTAACCCCATCATGAAAGGGAGGAAAAGGACTGGTGGGGCTATTTAAGCTATCCGGACCCCCTGCTGGATACTTGGTACCTCGAGGAGATACTTGTTGCGGGGAGTGCGGATGTGCAGCCCCATCCAAGTAGTTGGGAGAATGAAAAGCACCTGGGGGGGCAAGCAACGCGGAATTTTGTAGGCTAGAGTCTGGTCTTCGACTTGGGCTCGGACTGCGTGAAGAATAAGTACTTGACATTGGGGATTGCGTCAAATCAGTGCCATAGTGGGCCTCCATTGTCGTGCTAGATCCCTCATCGATGGATGGTCTGCTAAAGGTTAATTGTGGTTGCGCTGTAGCATCAGGGGAGAAAAGATTCGTATCCAGCTTCAACCCCATAGCATCGTTTGCAGACACCGCTCGAGTGCGATTAGTTCCGTATTCTGGTGATAGGAGATTGTTGGCACGGGAACGGCCGCTTTGAGGATGCGATGCAATGGAAATATTGTCCGGCTGTGAACGATGATCCCGTGGGGCGTCCGAATACCTCTCAAGGCTTATCGAATGATTGCGGTGGTGGCTTCTCGAGCGTTGTAGGGAAGAAAGAACGGATTGAAACTCCAAAGCACCTACCAAGCTTGGTCTGATAGGGTTGAACGTGTTTCGTCTCCGCGCAGAAGGTCGGTATATGCGCATGTTGTCCCGAATCTCCGCGAGATGCCGGTTGCGGGTTTCATCGTCCTCATCGGCGTCTTTCCAGGCCGGAACATCGGCGCTTTCTAAGGCGTTGAAATCTTCAATAGTCGCCCCACGCAAGAGACTAGTAGACTCGGAAGCGACTCCGGGATCATCATCTTCCACCTCCTCAATGTCTAATTCCTGATTGTCCGGGATATGAAAATGAGCCCGAGCGGCCATATTCCTCTCCTGAACGCGCCGCCGTCGCACAATATACCAGTGCCACGTCACAACAAGTACAACGTAGAAGCAATACAGCGCAACCATGGTGGCTGCCTCCCAGACGTGAAGGTGCCCGTCGGCCAGAAGAAACATGCTGAAGCTGATTGCGATGACAAAGTAGCCAACATCACGAACAAAGCTTCTGCGAGCGACCTTGAAAGGACGTACAAGGGCCATTGACCCAGCGACCACAGAGGTAATAAAGCCCGCAGCCCCGATAAGCTCTCCGATGGCCAAGCTTCCGCTGTTGGACCTCATGGCAGCAAAGGTTGAAAATACGTCGGGGCTGCCATTGCCAAAGGCGAGAAAAGTCACCCCGGTCAAACTCTCACTCAGCCCGAGGAAGCTGGCCAACATGCTCAAGTCAATGCATAGAAAGTCACTTGCCGCGATTCCGATAGTACTAAAAAGTAGGGATAACCAGAGTACGATGACCGTGAAAGCCAGGGGTTTCGCATCTGCAAGGGAGCAGTAGTAGAATTGAAGGTAGGAGAAGAAGCCATCTTCGTGATCGAGGCAATTCGCGCGGACAAAGGCACATTTATCGTCTGCATTCCGAACTAGGCGACACTTGGATACATCAGCATTTGCAAGGAGGGGATTCTCCGAAGGACTGATACCTCTGGTGGGTCGTCCCGCTTCACGAGCAGAGCAGGACCGGCCGCCATACCATTGTTCCAATGTCCCAGCACCCAGCTGAGAGTCGCAAGGATGCTGAAGATGGCCAGAGACCAGTAAAACGGCCTGACGGAGTACGGAGGCCGTCGCCGAACCGAGACTCGGGGAAATATGGCCGTCAGTTTTTCGAACATGATAAAGGATGTGCTGGGAGCATCGTGGATGCTAAAAAACGGATTCAAGAACAAAAAGGAACAATGGCCGGCGATACAGAGAATAAAGTCCCGTCTAACAGGCAGCAAAACAGAGCTGCTGTGGGACAAAGGTCCAACCACAGTGTGGAAGTGGCTGTTGCAGCGCCCTGTGATGTCAGTATTCTGATTAGAGGAGGCTGTGCAGCTTATCTGACCATACCGTACTTATCGCGTATGGTAAGATATAGCCTGTGGCTGCGCAGTCATGTGATATTTACGCCTGAGGTTGCTGTGGACGGCAGAACCACACTTTCTTGTTTGTTGACGGTGTTCCTGTTTGTTCGCAACAGGAGATCTCGACCAACAACCACGCCGCGGCATCCAACAAGACCATGGTTGCTTCTACGCATCATCTTTAAGAGTCGCTTGTATTGTTGTTACTTGTCAACCTTTAGTACCTTATTGCGACTTCATCTGCGTCGCGACGACTGCGTGTGTCCCTTCTGATACGTCCCTCTTGCTCTTGCCTTCACTACGAAGCGGCATCCATCATGCCCCGCGTCTCAAAACATCGCCGCTCAAATGGCGCCGCCACTCCCCAAAAGAACTCACCCCTCAAGTATGCCCTTTTCTAGTGTGCGCTTTGGAGCGGCGCTGATAATTGGTTAGGATACCTCTGAACGATGATATCGGGGAAAAGGCGGCTCGTATGGAGGCCAGACAGGCTCGACATGACCGCCAGATGGACCAAATCAAGGCCGCCGTAAAGACACCAATGCCGCCGCGCAGGTATACCACCTATGATCGTTCGAGCATGAGTCCTTCCACACCTCAGGGATCCGGCCATCGCAATCGAGATAGTGATGCTCACGGGCGCCGAGGGGTGACTCCCATGAAGCGCGTACCGATCCTCGCGAACTTCGAAGAATGGATGAAAATGGCGACCGATAACAAGATCAATGCCACGAACTCTTGGAACTTCGCCTTGATTGATTATTTTCATGACATGTCACTTCTAAAGGAAGGTGATAGTGTGAATTTCCAAAAGGCTAGCTGTACATTGGATGGCTGCGTCAAAATTTATACTAGCAGAGTCGACAGTGTAGCCACAGAGACTGGGAAGCTTCTGAGTGGTCTGGCTGATAGTAGGGACAAAAAGGCCCGCGAGACCGAGGCGGAAGGCGAAGGTGCCGAAGATGACGAGGAAGATGGTGAAGAGGGCGGTACTAGGAGGTCACGACGCAAGGTATGTATTCGCCAGACCTCAGATGTCGCATAGCTAACAGTGTCGCCTGATGTATAGCGCGCCCACGAGGCTACCCTAGCCCCTTCGTTTTCCTCCCTCCAACTCAAAAAATTTGAACTCGAGTTCTCGGTTGATCCGCTATTCAAAAAGGCGTCTGCGGATTTTGACGAAGGTGGTGCCAAGGGTCTACTTCTCAACCATTTGTCCATCGATGGACATGGTCGGATCGTGTTTGATAGTAGCGATGACGCCGCGGAAGCTTCAAAAGATACAGAGGATACTCGAGCAGAGTCCGAAGCCCCTGAGCAGGCCGAGTCTACTCAGCCCGCGGAACAGGCCCGTGACGACTCCTTCGACGCAGGCGTGGAAATCGATATTGCCCCATTGGCCAGCAAGTTCTTTCCAAATCTAGATCTTCTTGAGTCGCAAGACATTTGTCCTTCTTTGAAGAATTTTGATCTAGGTGACCCAAGTGGCTCGCTTGATATTCCACTTTTGAAAGCACCTGAAGAATGGCGCCATGACAAGGGACAGGAGGAGGGGCACCCGTCAAACGAAGCATCCGGAATCATGCTAGATGATGATAATGCTGTTGGGTTCGATGACGATGACGCCAGTCTGGCTGGTTTTGACCTCGGCGGTGACGCTGGGTTCGGCGATGGTGGCGAGGCTTGGGCTCGTGAGGCCGCCCTCGAGCCTATGCTAAAGGTGCACCGCATGGATATTGAAGGCGAAGACGCTCATGATGGTGGGGATGTCGATAACGATGATGCCTATGCTATCTCTCTTCGCCATCAGCCCGATAGCCGGGATCACGAGAACATTCTCAGCTATTTCGACAATGCCTTGCAGAAGAACTGGGCTGGTCCCGAACATTGGAAGATTCGCCGAATCAAGGAGACTACCGCTGCGAATTCAAACACAGTACCCAAGCAACGAAAAGAAAAGGAGCCATTTGAGATTGACTTTTCCGCGCCACTTGATCCAACTATCGCCGAGCTGATATACACACCAGCCAGCTCCAACTCCACCATCTCCCTTCCCAAGACTCAATGGAAGACCAAAGGCCGTAACCTACTCCCGGATGACAAGCACTTTAACTCACGGCAGCTGCTGCGTCTTTTCCTCAAACCAAAGGCAAAGATGGGTTCAAGGAAGCTGACAGGCCCACGTAACTTCAATCAGCGTCGCCAGGAACAAACTGCTGGCAATGGTGATATGGATGAAGCATTCTGGGCAAACCACAAGACTGAAGATAATGCCGGCGAAGAGGAGGCAGCTCCTGGGGCGTACGATGCCAACTTTTTCGCAGATGATGATGGACTTGCATTTCCAAATGGCATTGGACTGGGTGATGATGACGATGACAACCTTCCCTTTGCTGACGCGAGAGAAATGCTGTCCCCTGCGCCCGATGCAGGTACAGCAGCCGGGGAGGCTGGTGGGGCCACGGGCCTTGCCGCTTTATTGAATATGGTCGGCGCGACTCCTGGAGGTCCAAATCAAGGCTTTGGCTCACAGTTAGTTACGCAAGGTGGCCGTAGAGCACGACCTGACTACGTCGCATACGCGCGAGTCGCGAAGAAGGTCGATGTTCGCAGGCTCAAAACAGAAATGTGGAAGGGTATGGGCAATCGTTTGATATCCGAGATGGAATCCCCACCCCAGTCCGTTCCCAATCCACCTGAAGAATCCCATGATACGGATGACGATGGCCCGCCGACGCCTACGCCAAAACGCCCCAGACTATCTTCGGACCTGGAGGATCCTAAGGATAACGGAACGTTACGATTCACTGACATCATGAACTCACTCAAATCGGTCTATGCCCCAGAGACGCTGCGTGATATCAGTACATCATACGGATTCATCTGTCTCCTTCATCTGGCCAACGAACAGGGCCTCGTCTTACACAATGATGACGCGTCTAATGGTCTCGGGTCAGGCCGGCTTGAAGAGATTTTCGTCAGGAAGGATGAAAATGCCATAATTGACGAATCAGGTGCATAAGTTAGAACAGCTGCGCTTTGGCCCTTTCATGCGTGTACAGTGAACATTCTGATATCCCTAACTTTCAGTATTGGGTGTTACGAGAGGCTATATGAGTCAAGTCGTCTAGATCTTAAGTTATGGGCTTGGATTCATCTCGCAGGAGTTTGGTTGGTGGCTTGGTACGTTCTTATGGTAGCTCTAGGTTGTTTATTTTGGGGCCAAACCCCTTCTACTTCCAGTAAAGATTCAACTTGACTTGCCTCTTTGCGTTGATCTGCTGCGTAGTGAGCTACAAACAGTTGAGGCATAGTTAATAGCTGGTCCCATAGACTAACTCCTGCGATAACATTGGGAGTCTATAGTCTAACTGACCCTTCCGACACCCTTCACGATTCTGAAAGGCCTGACTCTGAAGGTTAGCGGAAGGGTCAGTTAGAGCTACGCAGACTACGTTAAGGACAACTTGACCTATGACAGTTCATATTTCATGGTTAGAACATAGACCTCGTCGTAATCGATGTAAACGAGCGGAAGCTCCCCAACGTATTGAAACCAGGTAAATACTTCCTGACATTGACTTGAAACTCGACTCGCTCAGTGGTATGATATGATTTGGTATATAGACATAGACATAAAGAACGTAAAGAGGGAGGATTGGAATCGTTAGTCTTCGATATCGACATGTAACGGCACCCAAAACAAAAAGAGAAGTAAAAAGGGAATATTAGATAAGCGTAGCATATCGGTCGTCCAGATCCAGTCAGGCTTCTTCCTTTGGCTTCGTTCGGTAACAGCAATGAGAGAAAGGATATATATGCGCCGCCAATGAACTCCAGAATATACAAAGCCTTTGGGCCCAATCTGCTAGGGTCTTGTCCGGCCGACTCCACCTGCATTTTTAAAAGATCGCTGGTAGTTTTCGCATCAAAAGGTGGTGACCTTTCAACCTACTAACTTACTGGCGGACCCCTTGAGGAAAGCTAGGTGTCATCGGGCTGGCATAAGCCCCTGGAATTGGGACAGCCTCGTATGTTCGCTCGCCTGGTGCAGCGGCCATGTGTTCCTGGGGAGGAGTCGGGGTCGGAGAGGGAGCGGAGAACTCCCCTTGCTCCGTCTTGGGGGTAGCATGCTGCACACGGATGGGAGGCGGCTGGAGTTGGAAGGTGGGCTGGGGTCTCGTTGGCGAAATGGGAGTCGCAAATTGCGTGGGCGTTGCTTCTCCCTTTTCTGCTGCGGAGTACGGGTCCTTCATTGTTGTTGACACCCACGGTGACTTGGGGGTGTATGGGAAACCCGGGGTATTGGGGGCGGATTGAAGTCGAAGCTGGGCGAGATACAAGTCTGATCGAGCCTTGTCTCGACGATCCATGGACTTGGCGAGACGCCGCTTAGACCAGAATCGGTAAAAGACAACAGCGTAGATGAGAATGATCAACACCTCGATAACGACTTCAATGACTGCGCATACCAACCCCCAGTCCTGTGATTGTTAGCATACTTGCTTGAGTGCGGAATGATGGGTTGCCTACCTGTAGACGACAGAGTAGTGGGTAGTCAACATCGTTGGCATATACCACCGACCTTTGATTGCCCGTCTTGCATGACCAACCCCACAAGTCTTGACCGTTTCCGTTGGATTTCGAGTGTTGGTAGATTGCTCCTACCACGACCCATAGGATGAGTGTGAAGCCAAAGAAACCGACAGAAAAGATGGAGTAGTACACAGCAACCTTTTCCGCGCGTTTGTGGCCACGTTTCTTCCAGGTCCAAAAGACAACCAAACAGGAAAGCACCCCCAGGGCAGCAGTCGCTAGAAGTAGGTACTGTGGCCAAGGGTTCGTGCCAACAGCCCACGGCGTGGTGCCGCTTCTCGAAGGCAGATTTCGGGTTGCATGGAAGACGGCGAGTGTCGTGCCCAGAATAGCAAGGATAATTATGCTACAACCGAAGCTGACGAACCGGAGGAAGATCTTGGCGACTCTGACACGTACTTTGATGGCCTAGAGGGGTTAGCTTGGTATACAAAGGAATGTTGAGAGGAGGCTAACCAGATCCTTTGCGTTTGCTTTCTCGGCCTGTCTCTCTTGCTTCTCTACGGCAAACTCCTCCCTGAAGGTCGGGCTCAGTGGGTTCAGGGTACGTGCTGGCGTCCCTGGTACCCTCAGAGCGCTCTTCAAAGGCGAATTGGGCACTGCGTGATGGGGGATGTGTTGAGCAGGGTCTTGCGCATTCACGTATCCGAACCCAACGTCGGAGACAGCATGAGTGTTTTGAGACTGGTTTGGTGGATCCGCAAATGGAGACCTGCTACTCTCCGCCGCAGTAGGCGAATGGATGGTAGTGGCTTCCGCGAATCGAGCTGACCGGGGGCTTTTCATCGGTGCGATCACTGTTTCGGGAACCTTCTCGTCGCCGATAATAGTATGCTGCGTTGACGATGCCATTGATCTTCGATTGTTGCCACCAACAAATTCCCTAGGAGACGTCGGCTCGTAAGTTTGAGGCGAATTGTTTGGGCTGTCACTGGAAGTGGACATTGGATCTATAGTTGACGAGGCGGAACCGCTGCGGAATAACAATTGCGACGAGAGCCAGCTCTCAGTCTTATCTCCCGTTATCGTTCGGTGAAAGCTGCGCTGAGCGAGGCGAGTAAATCCAAATCAGGCGAAGGGCATCGAGCGACGATGTGGCCTGGTTGTGTCGGTTCGGCCCTAAATCTGTCAACCTTGGCCCATGCAATGGAAAGCCGTTGGGCTCGACGCACTGTAGAAACCGAGTTGTAGTTGATCTTGACGGACTATACAGTAGTTCCGTCAGCTGCATTCGCCTGATGAAAGTCCTAGGAAGCAAACCTTGCTCGAGTAAATCCTCTAATAACCTGCCTTTTCGTTCTTATAACTGGCCTGTGTATATGGACTCTTGAAGACGGAGCGGCGAACCCTGCGCTGCTTGTAACAAGAGGCAAACCAGTGGTCAAACCCAGAAATGAATGTTGCGTTAAAAGCAAGAGGAGAGACGGAGGAAAAGCGACAAGATGGTTTGGAGAGGCGTGACAGCAACGATTATCTATGCCGGGCGGCAGTCACGGTTTCGCAGCGAGTGGGGAGGGGAGCCATGCTCGAACAACATCCCATCCAGCCGTGCGAAATGGCAGTAAGCGCCCAGCAATATGCAGAGCAACGAAGAGTGTGACGTTGATTGGCCAGAGTCAAAGTCAATAGTTGGCCAGAAACATGGGCAGCCGGTCAAACTCGCAGGGAGGTATGGGCAAGCAGCGCTGTGACTGGATAGCCCGCTCATTACTAGAGCAGCTGCCCTGGTCTATCACAGTGGAGATTGCCGGGAGTCACCCAGACTCCAGACGGCCCCAAGCCCTTTAACCTCTCGGTCCTCACGCTTTCGATGCAGGTCTGTCACCCCAAGAGCGAATGAGCGTGGCGGAACGGGTTGTTTGGTGCTTCAACTTAGCGCCAGGGTTGATCGCCTCCTAGGCCAGCCAATGAGGCGTATACTAGAACCGCTGGCATCGAAGAAGGTGGTTTCCTCGGTTCTTGGTGAGGCCGTTTGGGAGAGCAGCTTCGGGGTCCTGACACGGAACCGATCTAAAGATAGAATTGAAGTCTTATTATTAACGAAGCAAGAACGTGAATCCGAAGAGCCGAGTTGAGATGAGAGATGTGGAGGTGTCGAAGTCGTGAATCGAGGCAGGCGGTGGTGCCTTAGGCCCGTTCCGGCCGGCCAACTGCAGAGTTCTCACACTTCTTGTTTGTTCAAGCGTGTTTGCCTGCAGCTAGCCTCCTGGAACTGAGTTGTCAATTTATCTCTAGATAGGCAGATTGTCCAACACACCGTCCATGTCACTAGTCAGCAATTGTCTTCAGTTGGCGATGGAAACCACTCCAACGACGAGACTACTAGAAGAAAGCCAGCACATCCCCCGGCTCAAGCCTCACAACAAGTCTTTTCTGCAGCAAGATGAGTCGAGACTTGAGACTCAAAACTTCCGACGATTTGTAGTTTAAATGCATTACCTTTGAAGATTGCTTGAGGAGCAGAGTGCCCTGTGTTATCACCTAAGAGGCTTTCGCCCCAGGTTGGTCAATACGAATCGAGTATTGGAATCAAGACTATCAAGGCTTATTATGAGCCAGAGAATATGATGCGACTCGAGTCGGTTCAGTGAAAGAGCGCGCCACTCCAATAGTCAAGATGAAGGGTTCATGAGGCTTCAATCTGTCGATGATCCCTCTCCCCTTGGAGAAGCTGACAAGGGGAGCTGTCAATCGTCCCACGTCTATACGAGCGATCCCTGTGCCCCATAGTAGTATTTAGTATTCAAGAGATCTCATTTCTCGAGATCGAGTGAAAGCTCAGACTGGGCTCTTGGTTGAACTCTGCAGGGCATGGAGGGGCCCAAAATCCAACAGATGGTGGCACAGCCTTCAGGTCGAGGTCGCCTCGCTCAGCCACTCGCTGCGTCTGAGACTCGCCGTAGCCATGCAAGAAACTCCGTATGGTGGATGATCATTGGCGACAGCTTTCGTACGATTGAATCCCCCGCCACAATTCAGGTTTCAGCATCTAACACCGCCTCGCTGTGCTTCCCTGATCTTCACCGTTCAAACGATGCTTCGCTGACGGTCTGTCATACAGTGCCTCTCCGTGCCACCTGGGAAAGGACTCAATACGATAGGTCGTATTAACCAATGAGAGCTTGGGTGGGAGTATGTGAATCTGTGATCAAGCACGATTATATTATTTGCCCGGGCCTGAGAAACAGTCTGAGAGTCTGAGCGAAGCGCTCTGAAGAAGCAAGATCCCTGGTTCGGGATCTTTTGTTCTTGCCACAAGTTCCACATTTCTAAATCGACGCCTGATGGCATAAGGAATATCAAAGCCTAGTCATGTGGCTAGTGACGCCGTAATTGCTGGTGTCTGATAGCCTGGAGCCTAGGGGTCTGAAGCGAGGTTGCATTATTTGACCTGGTAAAGGATGGAATAAACTTGGAGCGATTTCAGGAGGACATTTCGAAGAAACATCAAGCTCCCCGGTGCGTAGAAAGGGCCTATATCTTGATTTTGAATTCAGGCGCTCATCAACATTGCACCTTCCTTGTTCCTGGGTTTGAATGTGGCAGTGGCTGGGCAACCGGTAATTTATAAATTACGTCCGGGGTGACCGCCTGCCAGGGCCGAAGGATGAAGAGCCGCGTGTAATGAGGTCACGGGCGGTATTGGAAATTTGACAAATTGACGACTTGCTTTCCTCGTGTTAAGCTGTCCCCATCATGCGCCAGTCCAGTTGTTCCAGCTCTCTTCTCTCTTCGCTCTCCTCAAGAGCTTGATTCGTGGCTCCTGGCTATCGATCTCGCACGCCTATACCACTCGCATTTACTTTTGTTTCTTTTTCTCTTTCTCCACCATTTCCCCCAGCTCCATTTGCGCTGTCCACCACTGCCATTTATCTGCAAATTACCCGACGAAGACCCATCAACCGAAACAGTCCGTCTCGTCCTTGACCTTGCGACCAGCCGCCGAGCTGCTGCTCCAATTACTCCTGCATCAATCCGGTCACCAATCCATGCCTCCCAACCCACTACCAGCTCGAACGATTGTCCATCCTCTTGCGTCTCTTGGTTGCTACTGCATACTGTAAATATTCCCTTGATCTTCCATCGCCAGAATCCCACATATCATTTGTTGTTCCCAGAAGCTTCCTGGCCCTTTTCATATTCTATCGCCTCATCAGTCGTGCTATTTTGGTTCAATACCTTCAGCAGCAGCCTTCAGGCTCATCGCTTACCAATTAAGCGCGTCCCAGTGACGGAGAATTGCATGTTCATCCCCTTGACTACCGTTTGTCGCGGCTCCTTTCTTGCTCTGCAGCCTAGTTGAGCATCCCGATCCCACCGCGCACCCGCCACGATCTCAGAAGACCTTCCGCCAGATGGGTTGAACCCACAACACGCTCTCATCGAGTGGATAGAAAGGCATTCCAACCCTGTTTGCAAGGCTAATCGCTATTTTTACCCGCAAGGCCCATTTTCCTCGGGCCCAAGTGTCTGACTGGACATTGCAAAGGCTGAACATCCCCGTCAGCTTGCGCCACACTCGAGTTTTGGTGAGCGCCCCACGCGACAGTGCCTCTCATACATCTCCTCCACTCCCCCCCCCGACCTCATCATATCATCTTACTTGACTTTTTTGTCCCTTCCGTTCTTCGTCCTTTAGTATTTGTTCCGCCCTCACTGCTTGTCCAGCCAATGGTCATCCAATATACGATCATCCTGTTACCCTCAGCCAAGAGACCTTACATCCAGCTGACATGATTTCCGTACACGCAGCTACTGCATATTCTCATCAACCATTCCACGGTAGCGCGAAGCATCCAGGACCCATGGCCGCGTTGATGCAGTCGAATAACGAGCCCGTCGCTGTCTCTAACCCTTTGCCTGCGCCTTCGAACCCCTCGGATTCCGTTGCTTTCCTGAAACAATCCAAGCCCGACTCGAGCCTCACCTCGATTGCTAGCGCTGGATTAAACGTCACCCGCTCGAAGGAGTCGTTGCCTACCATGTCGACGATGGCGACAAATGGCTCTCAGCCGTCTGAGCCTCAGAGAGAACAGAAGCAGAATAGCTCGCAGGTAGCGCGAGAAGCTCTTGAGCAACCATCTGTCCCGATCAGCGACCCGCTTCCTTCAGACCAGATGCAAGTGGATGCTCATCCAGTCGCAGGGGACGCGCATGAACCGGTCTTCAATACCGCAGATAACGGCACATCTCTAATGAACACCTCGACTGTAGCAAGTCCCGGCCCTATAGAAGATTCGATCTCACAAGACGGTGACCGTCCCCGCCATCGCCATGACAGCGAGTTACATCAAGACAATAGCAACAAAGCCTTCTCATACCCAATGCCTACAGGGGGCTTTAACGATCCAAGACGTGGGCTCAGTTTGCCAAGCTCAGGCTTGAACAAGGCTGGCCAGCGGTCTCCATCTGCCAAGAAGCACCGCTGCCCATACTGCGCTACCGAATTCACAAGGCATCATAATCTCAAGAGCCACCTACTCACGCATAGCCAAGAGAAGCCTTTCGTTTGCCAAACCTGCCAATCCCGCTTCCGAAGACTCCATGATCTCAAACGACACACAAAGCTTCATACAGGCGAGAGACCGCATATCTGCCCAAAATGTGGTCGCAGGTTTGCCCGTGGCGACGCTCTAGCCCGTCACAACAAGGGCCAAGGGGGATGCGCTGGGCGCAGGGCAAGCATGGGGAGCTATGCGCCTGAAGATGAATACGGCGACGGCGGTGCAGCAGGCGCCGAGGATGCCATGGACGGCCTCATGTATGCCGAACCGGAACGCATGGACGAGGATGAAGAACGGCGATATAATATGCCGAGCATCAAGAAACACGACCTACCCACGGATTCCATTGCCCGTTCCAACAGCGCAAGCAGCTACCAACCGCGTCAGACAAACACATATCCTCCCATCGCTGCTAGCAGACCGTCCCCTGGCGGACTCTTTCCTCCTCCTACGAGCCATGGCGGCTCGAGTGGCTCGCCATCTCCCATTTCACAGGCGTTTCCTTCCACGAATCCACCAACCGGCTTTGCGCCTCCAAACGTGACGGAGAGCCCAAGACCACTGTCGCCGAATGCTCTGTCTTCCCATCAAATGGGCCACGGATCGGAAAGCAATGTACTTCACCACCGTCCTCACTCACCCGGTATCACACACTCGTTTTCGCAATACAGTCGGGCAGGTCCCTCTCAGCCCACGCCAAGTTTGGGTCTTCCTCCTCCTCAACCCGGCGCCCCTCAGCTACCTCCACCACCTGGTCTGGGATCTTCCGAGCCTCGCTTCTCCCTTCATGCACAGAGCTCAGTGCAACCGCCCCCGACTACTGCCAAACATACTCCGTCACATAGCCACTCGAGCAACCATCCTCCGCCGGAAACAATCATTAACCACGCTTCTCACGATCCGAGTCTCTTTGAACAGCAGCGCGATCAGGTGGAAAAACTGTGGACGTATATACGATCAGTTCAAGATGAAGTGACCGGGCTCAGGGCAGAGTTGGCAACTCTGAAAGCGCAGATGGCATCTACCAGTGGGAATGCCTTGGCTACACCTAGTTCAGGTGTTGTACAACCCCAGGCCGAGGGGACGACAAGTGCCGTGCAACGGTAAGTTAGTGCACTTTTGTCATGTAAAGCAACATCCCTCGACAGAGGCTACATGTTAATAGGGGCATTTGTCCTGACATAATACGCTTCCAAACGGCCATTACCTTCCCATATGTGTTCTTATTTGATGCCATTATGACACGACTTTACTGTCAAGGCAGGGTACTATCGTTGTTCTATACCATGGTTTTTTATTTCTATTATCTTCATCTTCTTCGGTAACTATGGTGTATGGGAGTTTGTGTTCGATACTTCATCCGAGGGGCAGTCTTTTCCCCATGCTTTGTATACTTATTTCCAGGCCAATGGAATAGGAGTTTAGCCAAAATCTTTTCTTTCAAAGGGATAATTTCTACGATTTTATTCTGTATTGTATCAACAAACAAAAAGAGTTCAGAAATTGTCTTTTCACTAGTCTTACCGAGTAGATGTTTCTGAAAATACTTGGAAGATTGGGTGTTGCAGGGAAATTTCAAGGTCAGGCAAGGATGTGGAGCGGGGCCCAAGAAATGACATCGGATTCGGGCCTCTAGTCAAATATGTGGGCATATTATTATTCCGAGTAGCGCGCTCTGTAATGTTCTGGATGCCTCTCGAAAAACAGACCTCGAAAAGCGATTGACGGAATCCATACCGAGCTGTTGGCCTTGCCGGTCCTGTTCCTTGGTCGAGCTTGGCTGGGTCCAGCGACAAACAGACGATTGAATGACGTATCCATGAGCCTTGACATTTCTTCACCTCAGTCGCTGCTTATTTTTTCCTTCCTCTCGGAGTGAACATCAATTTGCACTTCATGAGTAGTTCCGAGCCCTCTGATTCCTCCTCCATCATTTATTCCCTCATATAAGGGCCTCCTAATTTTTCCCCTAATATTCACCTCTACAGCTGGTCTATCCTTAGACACAACCACTTCAGGATGACCGTTTACATCGCTTCATTGTACTAGCCTCCCCACCATTCCAACGCAATTTTGTTCTATATCTGCTAACTCCCCTAGATTCCTTCCTTATACGGTCAGCTTCAGCTCGCCAGAGTCTCCTCGAGAGACCACATCAGCGAATCTGCCAGAGAAGCAAACGCAGCCTGAGCCCGTGGCCACAACACCTAATCCTGCAGTTAGCTTGTTTGAGAAGCGCAACGAGACATCTAATGTTGGTCTCACTCCAGGCGCAACTACAGATCATGAACGCATTTTCACTGCCGACCTCAAAAAGGCTGACGCGCACCAGTCCGAGTACCCATTTCCGGAGCCTAGCACTTACAATAAGCATGATTTAACTGAAAGCGAAGCCCATTCCCCCGCATGGGGTGTCAGGACTACATTAAACCAGCCCAAGCCACAGTCGGCATTTGCAGCGTCCCCTTCTATTTTAAAACACCAGCAACTGGCACCTCCTTCAGAGACGGCTTCGGTAAAGGAAACCGGGCCAACATCGCAGCCTCCGGTCAGGCATGCGAGAAAGCTTTCTCGTACGCATCATACCAGGAAACCGTCTTTCTCAGAGACAGAGTGGAAGATTACGACAGCAGAGCAGGGCAACGGAGGCTTGCGCAACGCCGTGCGGTCCGCCGCTGAGAGTGGACAGCTTGAGGACAAAGTGTGGGTGGGCACGCTAGGCATGCCGACCGACGCATTGACCGAGTCGACAAAGGCGGCCATTTCCGAGAAACTTGAAGGCGAGTACGACAGCTTGACAGTTGAAGTCAACGATAGCGATTTTGACGGTCACTATACGCATTTTTGCAAGACGATCCTTTGGCCCGTGTTTCACTATCAGATCCCCGACAACCCGAAGAGCAAAGCTTACGAGGATCACTCGTGGGTCTACTATGTCAAGCTCAACCAAGCCTTTGCAGACCGCATCGCCCGTAACTGGAGACGAGGAGATACCATCTGGGTTCAAGATTACCATCTACTCTTGGTTCCGGCGATGCTGCGGAAGCTACTTCCCGACGCGCAAATAGGTTTTTTCCTTCACGTTGCCTTCCCGTCGTCAGAAGTGTTCCGATGCCTCGCGCCTCGCAAAGAGCTTCTTGAGGGTATGCTTGGCGCAAACTTGGTGGGTTTCCAGACGGAGGAGTACTGTCGGCATTTCCTTCAGACGTGCAGTCGCATTCTGAGCGTCGAAGCGACCAACGATGGTCTGCAGCTGGAAGATCGCTTTGTGAACGTAAACAAGTTCCCAATCGGTATCGACCCACTCTCATGGGACAAGAGGAGAAAGGCAGCAGATGTTGAGCAGTGGATAAAGACGATCTCCGACCGTTACGCAGGCAAGCGGCTCATTGTGGCTCGGGACAAGATCGACTCTGTACGTGGCATCCGGCAGAAGTTGTTGAGCTATGAACTCTTCCTCAACACGCATCCGGAGTGGCGAGAAAAGGTGGTTTTGGTCCAGGTGGCTACCAGCACAACGGAGCAGCCAGAGCTGGAGGCCATGATCTCTGACATTGTCATGCGCATAAACTCGACACACTCTACGCTTGCACACCAGCCTTTGGTCTTTTTGAAACAAGATCTTGCTTTCCCACAATATCTTGCTTTGATCTCGGTCGCTGATGCGATGATGATTACCAGTCTGCGTGAGGGTATGAATCTGACGAGCCACGAGTTTGTTTATTGCCAGGACGGAAAGTATGGCGCCCAGAAGTATGGGTCCCTAATTCTTAGCGAGTTTACTGGCAGTGCGTCTGTATTTGGCAACCACGCACTGCTTGTTAATCCCTGGGATTATCACCAATGCGCAGATGCAATCAACACAGCCCTCTCGCGCAGCGAAGACGAGCGCCAGCGCGTGTGGACACAATGTCACCAGGCTGTCCTGCAAAACTCAACCTCGAACTGGGTCAAATCATTCAGCGAAACGTTAGCCAGGGTTTGGCACGAGCAATCGTCGCGGGAGATCATGGCAGTCCCGCGGCTTCCGATGAATAAGCTCGAAGAACGGTACCGACATGCGAAGCGACGGCTCATCATTCTAGATTATGAGGGCACCTTGGCGTCCTGGGGTTCTCCAAAGAGTATCATCGTTACGACGCCGCAGCGGGCCATCACGACCCTAGCTGACTTGACCGAGGACCCAAAGAATGTGGTGTACGTGATGAGTGCGCGGATGCCCGAAGAACTGGAGCGGCTCTTCCGCCTGGTTTCTGGGTTAGGTTTGATAGCGGAGAACGGATGCTTTATCCGCGAGCCTTATTCAGAGACGTGGTCAAAATTGACGAATCAAGTGCAAACCGATGCATGGAAGACAGCGGTCGAGCATATCCTAAAGTACTACAAAGACCGTGCAGAGGGTAGCTGGATTGAACAGCGCCACTGCTCGCTCGTCTTCCATTACGAAGCAGCAGAAGATCGCCCAGCAGCCAGTCGCCTAGCCTCCGAGTGCGCAGACCACATCAACGACGCGTGCGCCAACCAAGGAGTACACGCTATCCTGGTCGACGGAGTTCTTGTCGTCGAAGCAACAAGCACAAACAAAGCGTCTGCCGCAGAACTCGCCTGGCGATCCTGCCTCAAGGAAGCAGACGGCAGAGGTAGACCAGACCTGCTCCTAGCCATCGGAGACAGTCGTGACGACGAGCCAGTCTTCCGGTGGGCGAATAAGCTAGAGTGCGCCCACGCGGTCAGTTATGCAATGACGGTTACACTTGGGTCAAGGAGCACTGAGGCGCGGGCGACCTTGACCCAAGGAGTTGCAGGTACGCTCTATCTTTTCTTTTCCTCTTAACTATTTGAATCATATGTTAACGTGCTACAGGAGTCCTTACCTGCCTAGAGAGGCTTGCAAAGACGTCGGCTAGGGGTTCGGCATAGTCAGAAGAACACGGTGTTGATGCTGCGAGGTTTGTAGGTAGACGTTAATGAGTACGACGAATCATACACGGTACATTTCTACTACATATCATCATTACTATAGCATCAGGAGCTATAATCAACTTAAGCAAGTAATCCAGGTCGGTTGTAGGGGTTCCAGCCTGGCCACACAGACACCCCTGGAGACCGTAGGGAAGTGATTTCCGGTGTTTGGAATTGTTGTATTGAGTAAGGATAAGGACGGACGGGGAGTGTTAGGGCTTCATCTCCTGGACATGATTGCCGGTCCTGGACGTTCTGGAGCTAGTCGTTTCTTCATACCAGAGCCTTCCGCTACTGAATGATGTATTTTGGTTCGCAAGCATTTGCTCGAAAGATTGAGAGTAGTAATGTACTTTCTCTTTGCAATAGGTTAGGTTGATATATATATAGTTCGGGTAGTCAACCCAATGAAATTGTGTTCATGTGTAGAGAACTTTGACAAATGAAGAGATCGCTGGCCTGACTGTTAGGCATAAGGTATGCAGCAAGAGATATACTCAGCTAAGCTGGCAAATCGACTGTTTATTACCTGCATACAAGTTCTCCCATCAAACATGGGGTAACCGAGTGACCCAAAGCTCGGCAGCGCATGAGCCGAGGTATTTACTCCTTAAAGATTGCGGAGTTGAACACCACCCATTGTTCAACTTCCCTTGTGTTTCTCTTGTTTAGATTTTCTTCACAGTCGCTCGACGGCATACCATTGGCAAAGATGCCTGAACCTGCGCATGGCGCCTTCTTCGAGGATGCCGTTACTGTTAAGCCCCTCGGCGACAATCGCTACTCCGCATTTCTCCAAGATGCTTTCTGCATCGGAACAGGTCCGCCATACGTCCCTAAACACTTTACTTTGGATTATTGTTGTTAACAGTATAGTCCCCCATGGCGGCTACACAAGCTCCATTCTCTACCGCCTCGCCCTAGTCCATTTCGCCTCCGCGCATCCATCGCTATACGAGTCCGAACCCGCAACCCCGATATCGATGCACCTGACATTCCTGCGGCGCACGGCCGCCGGCCCTGCAACACTAAGAGTCACCGATATGAAACTGGGCAAGAGGACGAGCAGCATACACGTTGAACTCCTGCAGAATAAAGACGCTTCTTCTGCAGTGGGGAAAAGCGGGGAAGATGCAATGGAAGTCAAGGTAGCCGGTTATATCACGGTGAGCCCCGCAAGCGCAGAGGTGGGCGTTTCCTCAAGCACGGAATGGGAGCTGCACCCCGCGCCTGTTCCCGGAAGTGCGAGCGATGGGAGCGTGGATTTGCGCCGGCTAGGCGAGACAGGGGCTGATGCGTCGTGGGCTCGACTCGATGCGCCATTCAGTGAATTCCGACGCGCGACAACGCAGGTCGAGCTATTCGGCGTCGACCCAAAAAAGACGAAGCGCAAGAACGGGATCGTGGATCAGTGGGCGCGCCTGAAGCCTAATGGGCAGGTTCAGCGGTGGAGCAACGAGGGTGTTGTCTTCCTTACGGATATGTTCCCCATGGCGCTGGATGGGATCGATACAATGGCATCGGGGACCACTGCGTCGGAGAACGGGGCGGGACCGACGGCGAAGTACTGGTTTCCAACGGTGACGCTGAGCATTGATCTCAAGAAGAGGCTGCCATTGGATGGCAAGGAGTGGCTGTATAGTCGGGTGGTGACAAGACAGCTCCAAGACGGGAGAACAGACTTGGATGTTACTGTACTGGACCAAAAGGGAGAAATCATAGCGTTATCTACCCAGATTGGCCTTGTTGTTAGCGCAAGTCGCAATATCGGGAAGAGGGGAAAGTCAAAGATTTAGATGTAGATATATACACTTATTTACCGTATCTATCAACTCTATGTATACGAAGACAACTATACGGAGCATACCACATTACAAAACACTCTTCGCAGCCGGTGCTGGAGCAACCAACAACCAAAAAGCAACAGCATCAACCATAATCTCCCCGCCCTGAACAGCTTGCGCCTTCACCCACACTTTTTTCCCGTGCTTAGCCAAAACGCTCACCCGAACCTCCAAGTGCCCCGGAACAGCAACAGGCCTCTTATACCGCATATCCAATTGTGCCGTAAACATTTTCGACCGAATGCGGCCCGACTTCCCCGCTTCCCCAGCCTCCGGCGCATATAGCGTAACGCCCAATGACATGGCCTCATCGATAATCGTGGCCAGCACGCCTCCATGCGCCGTATCCGGATGGCCGCAGACTCCCGGTTTCGCGAGCGTAAGATGCATCAGCAGATCGGCGCCGGGGACAGCGATTGGAACTGGTGGGGTGGTTGCGGAGGGCCATGAGGGTGGCTGGGAGGGGAGGCTGGGTTGGAGACTCGTCAGGCGAAAGGTGCGGACACTCGGGATTGTGACGGCGGATGCAAGCGTCTGGCTGAAGAAACCATCTTCGCCTGTTTCTGATTTGAATTTGCGGGAGTAGGTCGGGATTTCGATGTAGTCGGTGCTGTACAGATGGGTGTCACTGGATGGCATTTTTGATGTGTTTTTGCCCTTTTAATTTCTTTCCCCCCTCTTCAATTATCCGCTGAGTTCCATCGACTTCAATGGGTTGTAAAAGACCAAGTCAAGCTGTCAACGTCCGAGAATTATTGGTTTAAAGGTCATCTAAAGGAGACGAGGAACGGTGGAGAACCTCGGCTATAGTACGTAGTGTGCTGAACTGATACGGAAGTATGGAGTAATATCTCCAAAATTCAAATTATACTCTTATCAACAAGAAATCTGGCTGCATAGAGTTGAGATTAAACAAGGACAATAAACTATTTTAGCCTGTTTTTGAATTCCGCGCCTTCCTTGAATTGCAGCAACAACGCTGACAGTGCCGGACAACGGACTATTTATTGGTGTTTACCCCTTTCATTCCCCAATTCTTCTCCTCTTGAGTCTTCGCCTCCATTACGCGTCAATTCTCCAATTTCTGCAGGCAGAACTCCGCTGCGAAGCACGATTACAATCTCTTGTTGTTTGTGATTTTCATCTTGACCGGTCAAAATGATCTACACTACGCTTCTCCTCTCGCTGGCCGCCCCCATCCTCGCCTCCAACTACACCTTTCCTACTGGCTTTAACCTTGGCCTCGTCACCCAACAGGATAGGTGTACGTTCTCTCCTTTTATAATTGGCGAAGAGTAATAATAACAGAATCAGCTGCTTGGTGTCTTGGACAGACCAATGCCTGCCCTCAGATTTGCGGCGGTGCTGCCAGCGCCAATCGCTGTGACCGCGTACGTTTTCCTGTGGTAGAAAAAAAAACTTTCAGGAACCGATTGTTGATATCTTCTCCACAGACCACTCTTGACTTCAGCTGCACCTGCGCCAACGGTACAGACGCCAATGTAGAGCCCTACATGAACACCATCCCCTACTATGTTTGCCAGGCCAACTACGGCCAGTGCATCAACCTCTCAACCACCCAGGACGGTGATGATCTTTGCACAGAGGGTCTGAACTCGTGCGGCACTTTGAACGCCTCTGCGCCTACCACCACTTCGTCCTCGACCACCAGTAGTACTACCTCGGAGCCAACCGAGACCAGCACTTCCACCAACGAGGATGAGGCTACAAGCACGCCCACCACTACGGACTCGGCTGACAGCCCCGATGAGACCGATGGGGCAATGAGCTTGATGCAGAACTTTGGGTTGGCTGGATTTGCGACCGTGGTGGTTGTCGCTTTCGGCATGTTGTAAGAGTTGCATTCGCTATGGGCGAAAGTTGAGGAAGGAAGAAGCCTGAACATGATTACGATAACGAATGTTTAATATATTCCTTAATCAGATTACGTTGAAGTATGTACTCTGGCTTTGTTGTTGTAGCAGTAAAATGCAAGGCAAGGCGAGTGCCAAGACTTGATCCCACAGAAATTTCTCCACCGCCAAAATCAAAGAATCTCAAACTCGATTCAGGCTTCACTTCAACCTCCTCTCTCCGATCAGTCATTCGCCATGCCCGCTCCTTCAACCACCCTCTTGATTGAGGGCTCTTTCTCAGAACTCTCCGAGGAGTTCGCTGCCTACCTCGACGCCCTCAACAAGTCCGAGGACTCGCCCATCCAGACAGAGCTCGCCCCGCTGCTGCAACCCCTCCGCGAGCAGGAACAGAATGATACCCAGATCGACCAGAGCAAGCGCGATGAGGTCTTGAAGAAGTTGGTTGGCTCGGCTGCCGTGCTCAGCACAGCGCCGGAGAAGGGTGCGCCTGTTTTCACACCTGGGGATAGGATATTCAGTAACTGACTTCGACGCTCGACAGAGATCACACCTGCTTATAACCTCCTCATCCACCTCGTGCAGCAGGCTTCCGACCCTGACATGTTCCTCTCCCGCATCTGCTCCTACCTCGCCAAACCCGTCACATCCTCTCCTCAGTTCGGTGCCTCCCTGTCCATCGCCATTCTGTCCACAATCTTCAACACCCTCGCCCCCTCCGACTCGAGCCGATTCCACGTCCTTTTGGCCGTTGTCGCCGTTATCCGTCAGTCTGGCTCATCCGCCGCCTTTGATGCCCTCAAGCCCCAGTTGACCGCACAGCTGCCCAACTGGCGCTCCGCCTGGGAACTCGACGACGAGGAGGCCCGCCGCCTGCACCTGGCCATTGCCGACGCCGCCCAGGCCGCCGGTGACCTTGACTGGGCCCAGTCTCACATTGTCGAGGCCCTGCAGACCATCCCTCCCGCCGAGGCTTCATCCAAGGCCGCCCGGGATCTGGCCGTGCGTGCGCTGACCGCGGCTCTCACCCACCCCGCCGTCTTCGACTTCACCACGTTGACCGCCGCCGACGCCGTCCAGGCCCTTCGCTCCAGCGATGCAGCCCTCTTCGAGCTCCTCGAGATCTTCACCGCCGACACCGTCGACGCCTACGAGGACTTCATCTCCACCACCCCCGTTGCCAACATCCTCCCCGACAACGCCCTGGTCCCGCACGCCGACGCCCTGCAGACCAAGATCCGTCTCTTGACCCTCGCCTCGTTAGCCGCCGCTGCAACCACCACAACCGGGCCCAACGCTCGCTCTCTTTCATACGAGACCATCGCGTCGTCGCTCCGCGTGCCCCAGGAGGAAGTCGAAAAGTGGGTTATTGACACTATCCGCGCAGGACTCGTCGAGGGCAAGCTCTCGCAGCTGCGAGGCGAGTTCCTCGTGCACCGCGCCACCTACCGTGTCTTTGGCGAGAAGCAGTGGGCTGAAGTGCAGGGTCGTCTGATGGTGTGGCGACGAAGCTTAGAGAATGTCCTTGGAGTTATTCGCAGCGAGCGGGAGAGGTTTGCCCGGGAGGCTGCTGCTGCTGCCGCGGCAAACACAGAGGAGAAGAGCGACAAGAATAAGACAGAGCGCCGACGTCCCCAGGAGGTGGCTGCGGCTGAGTAATGGAATGTCGTACCAAAATCATGAAATAAAATGTAATGACTATTCAAGTTCATTGGTTCTAGAGTACTGAATAACAACAACTTAACATTCCATAGAACTCCACACGCAGTGCAGTACAGTATCAGCTCTTCGTATGCACAAGTCTAACTAATATATATATATATATATATACTCAACAGTCTCCCAAAGTCATGAACCTAGCAAGGGGAATTAGAAAGAAGCAGGCCTAAGACCCCTCGCCTCAAACCCAGCCTGGATTCTCGCATAAACCTCCTCAATAGTACCCGTAGCCTCAACCTTGATGACCTTGCCCTGCGCCTCAAACGCATCAACAACAGGCATGCTAGTTTCAACAAACGTCCGGAACCGCTTCCGAATGGACTCCGCATTATCATCATCCCGCCCACTCGTTTCCCCCCTCTTCAACAACCTCTTCTCCATAACCTCCTCGGAGGTATCAAGGAACAGCGTAAACTCTGAAACACAAACCGTCTCCTCAAAGAACACCGCCTGATCTAGCTTGCGCGGGAACCCATCGATGAGGAAGCGAGCCTTGCCGCCGGTGCCCGCAGCAGAGGAATTGCTCTTCTCGTTCTCGGCCAGTTTCTCCGCCATTGCGTTCGAGAGCAGCGCGACGGTGATCTCCATCGGCACGATCTGGCCCTCGCGGATATACGACTTGATGAGCTCGCCGTATTGGGATTCGGGGCGGACTTGTTCGGCGCGGAGGAGGTCGCCGGCGGATAGGTGCGTGAAGTCGTAGTCGCGGACGAGGTTTGTGGATTGCGTGCCCTTGCCTGAGCCTGGGCCGCCGAGGAGGAAGACGACCGTTGTGGTTTCCGGGGAGAAGCGAGACATTTTGATGATATTATTTTTTGGTTACCAAAGTTCTTTGTAGAGTTTTGGATGGTTATGTGTTTGAGGGTGAATTGAGTTGAATTGAAACGAAAGGAAGGTTCAAGTGAGTTGTGGGATGGTGGTAAAACGTGGCGGGGTTATGCGATTTTATTGTTGGGATCGGGGAGCTGCAGATCGGCCACCGGCGCGGGACTTTGCGAGGAAGATGTAAGAAGCGGTGCCAATGGCGATGATTGTAATGAAAGGCAGGATCTTAAAGTTTGAGCGACTGTATTGAGACGATTGAGGAGGTTTGTTCGTCGGGGGAGAGGTGGAATAGGGGCTGCGCTGGTGGTGGATCGACATTGACAGACTGAATTGACTGGTGAGGGAAAAGAGATGGTGTGAGGGTGAGCTTGCTCTGAGCTGTGACTTGTGATGAGGTGAAACTGAGGCAAGCTGCACCCGGCAGGCAGGAGCTATTTTGAGTGCTCTGGTGTTGGTAAGGGCTGTATTTGTGTTACGAATATTACATATCTATAGACCCTCTCTTAACACAACTCTCACAAGACAACTTCTCTCCTACAACATACAACATCCTATCTATTTCTCACATTTTACTATTAAAAATATCATAAGCATCGCTCGAGATGGAGCTCCCACCCGAGATTCGAAACCAGATATACAGCTATCTTTTCCTGCCTCTGCGCCTCGAAATCATCCGAGCCAAAGAACCCCAGAGTCGCTACTACCGTCTCTACCACCACCAGTTGCGTACACGAGACCCCGAGAATCGGTACATTATGAGCTGCTGTCGAGACTCTGCCCCGCAAGACTCGTTCTCAACTGCAAGACTGTCACTGTCGGAGAAGCCAAGGACAAAGGGAAGGGGAAAGGGAAAGCCCCAAGCGAAGGCAAACACTACGAACAAAAAGCCCAGGAGATGGCCCCCTCAGCTCGCTCTCCTCTTCGTTTCAAGGCAATCCGCAGTGGATACAGTCGGTCTGCTGTACTCCTGCACGCAGTTCGTCTTTGATTCAACAAAGGCCATCTCCAGATTCCTTGACTCCGTCTCACCTATTGCGAAAAGCGCAATCAAGCACGTCGAACTGCTTCACAGAATGTACAACGAGCCTCGCCTCTCACAGTACCGCCCCATCAAGCTACGGAGTGATCAAAACTGGTTTGTGGTGTGTGAGAGAATGGCCGACGCCTTGACGAACCTGAATGTGTTACATGTTCACATGGCCATTTTTGATGCGCCTATCAATCTCGAAGTCGGGGAGGATTGGTCGTTGGCGCTGTTGGCCTTCAGCGGAAAGGGCGGAAAGAGAGGAGATGGTGGAGGGTTGCGGTTTGTGAAGGTGAACCTGGGGTATCCCCATGCCTCGGAGGAAAAGATTCGCAAGGTAGAGGCGGAACTTGAAGCGAGGCTTATGGATCCGGGTGCGCTGCAGGTGCGCGAGGACGAGACATTGGCAAGGGAGATGGCTGGGCATATCAAGGCATCGAAGGTGCTTAGGTTGTTTTTTAACTGAGTTGGCGAAGCTTTCTGGAGCAGAAAAGGTGCCAAGAGGCATTTGAAGGTCGCTCTAGAAGTAGCAATGGGTACGTAACTCATAATACAGAAGTGAAGTTTTACAGCACGAATATGGGTATCATGAAGGGGCCAAAGGCTCGTGCTCGGCCTCGTCCGATGGAACTTCGTAGTATGCGCGCGAACGGCGTCGTTGAAGGTAACAGTAGACGCCGGCCAGGAGTCCGGCCAAGGACCAAGTGACCAGGATGAAGATCAAAAGCCCACCCACACCGCGTACCATCTCAAACGCCTTTTCGGCCGCCCTGGCTGCTTCCTCGGGATCAAGATGTGGCTCTGTGTCGCCCATATCATGCTCATGCCCTTCCTCATGCCCTTCGTCGGCCGAGCGCAGAGCCCCTGGGTCGTTCGGCTCGGGCGTGCTTCCGCTGTGAAATCCGGCATGTTGCCAGTTGCTCGGAGCTGTGGTTCTATGTACCTCTGATTTGCCTAGGTGGTTGCCGTCCCTGTCAACTGCTTCAACGGATACCCAGTCTAGGTATCCTTCGGCAATGTACATCGTCTCGAAATCCGTCTTGGTTGTCTCTCCTACCAACACCGGGGAACCACCTTCAGAAGACCGTGCGTAGAATCTCCAAGACGCGACATCAGTGGCACCGTTCCAGCTAACGTAGAAAACAGTTGTCATATCCATCTCGCTCGTGCCGTATACCGAAGAAACAACATCAGGCGGAGAACTAGGCCGTCCCGTAAAGGGGTATTTATACGAACGGTACGATGAGAATCGGGGGGATGCAAACTTGGCCTCCATGAGGAGTTTACCATCCGCGGCATGTTCGCTCTGGTGGCCGCGCTCACTCCACCCGACGAACGTATTGCCATTAGGCAGCGCCTGTACGTTACCGCGTAGACGGGTGAGGCCTTTGTCGGGCCGAATAATGCGCCTAATTACTCTCGCTGTCATGGGGGAGGCGGTGGTGTCAAGCTGGACGTAGAGGGCTGATGAGAAGTCCTCTTCATTTTCACCCTCATCCGAGGCATTGTTCAGGAACGAGACGAGATGGTGCGTCCCGTTAGATTCCAGAAATCGCGCATGGTGCTGCTTGGAAAAGGTGAAATCCATGTCAAAATCAGAGTACTTCCCACCCAGCCGCCAGACAATCTTGCCTTCTTTCGAGATATAATAGAGCGTGCTCGTGAATCGGCCCGACAGAAGATAGTCCCCCAGTGCGTTTTTGTCAGCTGAATTGACGTGGATATAATCCCATCCCGGACGGTTACCACCCGGCGAATCACTGTGAACCTTGACAGACTCGTCAACCAGGACATTGTTGAAGGAGCTCCATTCAAACAAGACCTCTCCGGTCTTGGTGTCTAATTCGACCAGGCCACCGGTGAGGATCCAGCCATGATCCTCAGGGCGGCTGAGAGCAGACAGATCCGTGTACTTGGAGCGGTACAAACAGGCCAGTGCCGTCATTCCACCGTCTAGGACATTGAACTCATGCATATTGAACGCTCCCAGGTTGTTGGTCACGGGGACCTTGTATTCTTCGTTGTAATTCTGGTCCAGGATATAACCATAGCCTTTGTCTGAGCCGTCGTCGTGGTATGCATGTTGTAGGATGAATGAAAGATGAGACTGGCCGTCGATGTTGTTGGCCGCTTTGAAGTCGAAAACATTCCGGTTGTCAAACATGCAAGACCCGGCCCAGATTAGCATTCCATCCGCATCATAGATATATGGCCCTATTTGACAGGGCTGATATCTATTTGTTGGAACCTCTGGGTCGATGACCCCGTACGGCGCAACAAACCAGTAGCCCGGAGCTACAGCGTCCCGGTCTTGGTATGTGATGTCAAACTTGAGCGCTCGTACATTTGGAAGGGTGACAAAAGACATCAAGTCATCGTCGTGTTCAGCTTCTGCAAAGGCATCGCCAAAGGCAAGTGACACAAGCATCGAGGCAAATAACATCGTGAGTGAGTGGCTAGGATAGCTCCTCTTTGGAGTCGCAAAATTATGCATAGAACGAGAGATATACTTTCTATGCACAAGACCACCAAGTCATGACCCGCTCGTTCAAAGGGCCTCAGGACCGGGATATTGACAGAAGAGTTCAGTTTAAGACCAGATATGCTCGAAAAGTTGGGCAAAGCGAAGTCAAAAAGGAGAAACGTCTTCAGACTCCGCAATCTCCGCAAGTAAAAAATAACCACTGACAACGCAAGCGCTGATATGGAAGCTGACGAACGAATGGAGCGGACGCGCTTGGCAACATCCTGAGTGGGGAGACTTGGCCTGATAAGTTCGTTTTCTGGCGACTTCAACGGCAGGAACCAGGCTTGAAACGACCACCCGGCGTCCACGGTCCTGCGATGCTGGCTTCAGGCTGTCTCGAACTATCCCCATCTCTTTTGGGCCGAATGCGTCGTTCTCAGCTTCACGCGTGCTTGCCGAGTCAAGTGCCCCCCCCCCCCACCCAAAATCGTCGAGTATAGTCGATTTCCACGATTGAGGATTGTTTGTGAGGTCTTGGCTAGTCAATTCGGATAAATGACCGAGACTTCTGCCTCTAAATTAATGGGTCCATTTTCAGCGCCTGAGGAGTCGAGGACAAGCATGTGGCTTGGGAGGCCTCGTGGAGGTGTCCACAGAACCAGCGAACCGTCCGTCTCGAGGCTGCCCTCCTGGTGAGCAAATAAGAATCGTGCAAAGCGACCGCTCGTGTTCAGTCAACAGATTGACTGTATCTGGAGTTCCGGGCGAAATGACAATCTATTTAAACTATTTATCGACCCACGGAGATGGTTTTGGGGCAAACGAGACGAGGCGTTGTCAGGATTGGAGCGAACTTTCAGTCTGTGAGTCCATCTGAGTCCTTTGGCAGGTTGCCGAAGAAGGATTCGAGGGAACTAGTTATGGATATCGTTTGCCTTGGCGCAAATCTTGAGCATTTTCGAGTTCGCCAGATGCGAGAGGTTGCATGCAAGGTAAAAAAGTCGATCTCACCCACGTAATGCTTTTTTGCTTCTTCCACTCCTAAAGCTTAATCCTAACGTCGAATGCTGTTCAGGACAGGCAACATCGGTTATAAAGTCAGGAAATGAATATCATCCAATCGCGACATTGCAGCCTTATATGACGAAATGATCCACTCTGTGAGCATATCACAGACAAGCTCAACCCTAGCCCGTCCCGATCAGCCTCTATTTACTACTTACCCTTTTATGACAGGTTATTCTCTTGATTTCTCATACTCACCGGCCCTTGAGCCTTGTGGGCAGTGACTTGCCAGCCTTCATTCGAGTATCGCATGCGGGCGCGAGCAAGCATACGCAGCCTGTATTAGCAGGCTTTTTCAAACTTCGGACTCAAGGGATATTTGAATTGAGTGACAAAACAAAGTTCGTTCTTCCCTGTCCGTTAAGACGCCACCAAGCTGCGATGGAGTTGAACCAACACAGCGCTCTCGATGTTGGCGTAAGAGATGTTATCAAGTCGCATGGCGGATCACGTGGACACAAAGCGGGATTGTACTTCGTGCATCCCCAATGCAGATCAAGCATTATGTACGTGCATAACGCAGACCAGTCTGTGCCTTTGAGACACCAACCTTTCGAGCATTGAAACTTCGCCCACGCCATCACTGCTCAGAATATGCACTTGGGATGCATGCTGATCGGATATCTGCTGATCACGAAGTGACGGCCAATCCAAATCAACCATTACTCGGCAATCCGCCCCGAGACCGGAAACAGACAATGACATTAAACTGTCTCTATATGGAATTATAGCTGGCGCTTTTCACATTGGTGAGTCTGACCCACGCGTCAACCAACGGACAGTCCGGCCCGTGATCCAGATCGTTTCTTCTCAACAACACCTGGTGAAATCAGCATATGGTGCCTGGACTAAGCGCCCTGGCACTAGTTGTGTTATAGGCTTTTTCGCCTTGTTAGTATGCAAAGAAACGAACAACTTGGATTGCGCTTATTGACATACAATGCCCTGTTCGCAAGGCCAATGCTCCATTGATGTATACTCTTGATGGTCTATGAATCCTACTTGGATTGATGACTTGGTCCAGAAAGTGCGAAGCATTGCTGACTCATAGTTTCTGCATCGTCAAGCGACTTGAGAGGCGAGCTTGCATGTCCATCGTTCTTCACGAGCCATTCAATGAGGATTATTGAGGCGCTGCTCGGTTTATTGTGCCCCAATATACCAGACAATCCGATACACCAGCCACGTACGAAGACCATAAAAGATTCACAACCTTCTCGGCTGTCTTTCAGATTTCCACGAACCTCACCCTGGAGGTACTGGATATTGAGCTATGAGTCGATTGACGAATAAGCACCTTTCTTGCTCGCTTCAAAACTAGCTCTTGCCCACGTACTTCCATGATAATGTTGGAAAAGAACTGCTGCACGGAATGCCAAACATCTAGCCAAGACGAAATTGAGGTTGGATAAGGGGAAACACTGAACGGAACAAGGCTGACATGATGTGCTTTGGGGTAGTTGATAGGTGGAAAGCACCGCGGACGCCAAACAGCCTACTGAACATCTAATGGTACAGAACTCTGAATGCCCGCTGCATGCACACTCAGCATTGGCTGATAGCATCTATCTACCGAGGTACTACTATAACTGGGCCCAGTGAATCGATGCAGGTAATTGCGCTATCTCATCAATTATGTAGTAATTGAATCTGAATCATGTACCGGTAGGAGACTATGATACAGCCGCCGTACGCTTGACCTCACTCATCCGGCTGTGTCTTCTCCAATGTCCCCGGATTATGCGCGACTCGGTGACCATGTTGATCTTTATAAATAACCTAGGGATCACACACGGTTGGCTTGATTCCTATAGAGAATTCGAGAACGGGCCTGGTCATACCTTTGGAGGATTCTTCACATCTTCCTTCTCTGCTTCTTCTTCGTCGGTGACGATCTTCTCGACCTGTTACCGACCATCAGTCATCACCACGAATTTTACTGGTTTAAACGCAGCAGAGGAGATCCAGAAAGCCCGGAGAACGACAAGTCACTACTACTGCCGGTCGACGCCTTGTTCAAACTAGTCGTAAGTGCCAGATGGAATCGTACCTTTCCCTGGTGGGAACCTCCGCGGATTCTCGTGAAGACGTAGTCGCCTTCATGGATTTCTTGGCCGTTCTTGTCCTGGACCTTTGATGCTGGCATTGCGATGGGTGTATGTAGAATAGTGCAACTACTTAGCTGTGTCGCAAAAGCTACAATTGGTATATTTACTACCGGATGTGATGTCATGAGCTCGTCATCTTACCAAGCACAGAATGGCTCTGCGAGACACTAATGTGCTGAAACTCAGAAGCATGATAAAAGAGAACCTGCGGAGAAGCTGTACGACCCTGGGGCAGAAACTCGATGAATGTCTTGGTCATTATGGCACACAATGTTTCCAGCGAGAGCACAGCAGACGCCAGAAATCCATCCTGCCTGAGAAGACAAAACCATACACAAACCACTTTGTGCGAGACACTGTGTGAGCCTGCAAGGCACTATGTGACTCGGCGCAACCCGAAGCCGGATGCTACAGTCACCAGCGGAGGGAGTCGCGTGGCTATATCAGTTCATATCGAATCAGGGCTTGGCAAGGGATCTGGAATGAAGGGGTTAAGCGTCCGACAGGCTCGGTGAGGCCCTTGAGGGGTAATTCCAGCTTTCAAGGGGAAGCGAGCCACTAGATCGCATGGACGGCTGGACGGGATGGCGAACAGAATACGTGGAATGAGGAATTGGCTCTCTGGAGTCTTGGATTATATGCGATTCGCAACGGCAAAAATAGAGTGAAGCAATCGGAAAGGCTGGGCGGCGGGGGCCAGTGTAACAGTTCCCGCAATATTCATCCTCAGACCGACTACCACCGTTGCACCGAACGACCTGACTGTCGTTGACACACCAACACTGAGCAGGGATGGTGCGACAGGTGGTTGATCTCGCAGCAAGCTGATTGATCCAAGACATATTGTCTGATAGCTCCTCCCTTAGAGTCGTACCTACTTACTTTTTGCGACGCGCTGGATGAGAAACCATGTCAACTACCATCCACCCCAAGAAAGCCAAGTTTTCAGTTAATTTCTTCGGCTGAGGCTGACATGGCGAGATCTGCGGAAATATGATTACGGGACAGTCTCGAAACGGTATATTTGCCCCTTCATTGCTGATCGGGGGTGGATGGGTGAACTCCGCGAAACGAACTTGGTAATTACCAATGCAACTCTGATGGTCCATCTCAACAGTGGCCCACTCATTCTTCAATTTTAAGGCTCGAGGATCGCCGCTCATGATGTCGGGTTTTTTGCCTGAGCGGGAGTCTAGGGTACAGAGCACAAACATAAAAGATATTGACCCGAGAAAGCGAAGCCCGCGTGACTGATGAGGATACTCTGCGATAGCTCTGGTTTGAGATACCCGAGTATACTAAGTTGCCTTGCCTTTTCTAGGAAAAGCACAGCAAATCAAGGCAGGCAAGGTAGCAGTCTGTTTTCTCCACAAATCCATTCTCCAGTGAGCGGTAATTACCGTACGTGACTAGACAATAACCTTCCTCTTGAGCAATCAGTGCCACCTCCAGGAAACATGGGAATGGAGGGATGAATTCCTTTCTGATCTGCTTGTCTTCTGTTTCCTTTCCTCTTCAACTTTTTGCGCTTGAAACCGTTTTCAATTACCTTGTGCAGTCACCGGGAATGGAGACGCGTTGATCCATGCCTCCGGTGTCGTCCATGGTCCCATCGCTTGCACTACCACAGAACACTCTTGCTCCTGACTTATCAAACAACACTCCGGGGGTGAGATCGAGCAGTACTACGACTAAATACTAATAACAATACGACGCCTCCCTGCTACGCTCGACCAGGCCCCGAACCACACCCACATCAGCCACTATCAGATCTCGCCTCTCGGCGCTCCAGTCTCCAGCAGCCCAGCTCCACGAGGAGACACTGTTTCAGCTTGACATTTGCATGGTCCATTGCTGCTGTCGGTGTTGTTTTTCCCAGTTCCCACCCAACCCAGTCCCACTGCCGACTGTCTCTGTATCTGGTGGTGTTACCTTGGGTCCCAGGCATACGCTACTACTACTTTACTTCCAGCTTCCGATAACCTGTTGATATTTTGTGCATCTTCAACGCCCTTAATATTCCGATATCCGTCCTCATGGCCCTCTAGATTGTTCGGTGTGCGCCTTGATAAGCTTATATCAACTTTGCTTCTCAACCATTGATCAATCCCAACTTGCATTGTCAATCTGATCGCCCTCTTCTTCTTAATTGGGAAGTCGCCCAATCAACGCCTTCCTTCACCATGTCGACTGCTTTAGCCAAGGTCCTGCATAGGATGCAGGCTCTATTCTCGAATATTGTTGCTGCACTCGAGGCAATGCTACTATTCCCCTCTGTATTCCGCGACCCTTCACATATGGCCCGCAAGTCAGCTCGCGCGGCCTTTCGGCGCCGTCGGGCTCTTAGTGCCTTTGCTGATGAGATCGATCGGGCGTTTTCGACACCCTTGACTTTGCAAAACATGCTCACAATGTCTGAGAAGATCCGTGAGCAGTTCAGGACAGGCCTGGAGTCTAGCCCGATCTGTATGCTGCCGTCATATAACCATGCCCTACCATCCGGAAAGGAGGAAGGGACCTTTCTCGCGCTCGACGTTGGCGGCTCAACGATGCGGGTGGCCTTGATTGAGCTTCGTGGGCAGGGGAAGATGGAGATTCTGCGTGTATCCTCCTCACCGATAGACAACGAGGTGAAACTGCTGGAGGGGACCTCCTTCTTCGACTGGATGGCCGAGAAGATCGAATCAATGCTGCGCGAGGTCGGCACGAACTATGGACGTGAAAAGATTCCGCTTTCTATGGGGCTGTCATGGTCATTTCCGATTGAACAGACTTCGGCTAGCAGTGGTCTCGTCATTCATATGGGCAAGGGGTTCTTATGCTCCATGGGTACTGTTGGGCAGGAATTAGGTGCGCTCATCGTTCAATCGTGCAAGAAGCGCGATCTCAATGTACGAGTGGATGCCATCGTGAACGACAGCTCTGCTGCATTGCTCTCTCGAGCATACGTCGACCCAGCTACTCGCATGTCTCTGATTCTCGGGACCGGCACCAATGTGGCCATCCACTTTCCGGTCCATGCAATTGGGCTGAACAAGTTTGGCACGCGACCTGCCGGCTGGTTCGACTACGCCAAGCACGTTATCATTAACAGCGAAATGAGCATGTTTGGTGGTGGGGTTTTACCAATGACTCGATGGGATGACACTCTGAACCGCACTCACCTTAGACCCGGTTACCAGCCGCTGGAGTACATGGCTACCGGCCGGTACCTTGGTGAAATCATTCGACTGATCATCGTCGAGGCTGTTGAAACCGCACACCTCTTTGGTGGGGAACTGCCACATTCCATGCGTGACGCTTACTCTTTCGACACCAGTATCGTTGCATTTATTGAGGCCGATAAATCGCCCTTCCTGACTGCATCTGCCGCTCTTCTCCAGAAGGAACACACCTTCTCCAGTGCGCCGTCTCAGGAGGATCTCAAATTCCTTCTCAGAGTGTGTCAGATAGTCTCAAAACGTGCGGCGGGCTATCTTGCTACGGCAATTCACAGCATGTGGTGCCTACGCAACGAAGCTGAATTCCCAGACGTGCCACCCACCCCATCGTCAAGTAAAGGGCCGGTTACAGTGACTGAGAGCGGTGCCAACCCTGAAAGTCTCTCAATCGCATGTGACGGTAGCGTCATCAACAAATACCCCGGTTTCCGCGACCGCTGCCAATCCTACATCAACCAGCTCACCCGAGAGACGAGCTTGGCCAAGGTATCGCAACACTCGAGCGAGGAACCTTGCATCCGTCTGGAGCCCGCGCCTGAGAGTGCCATCCTCGGCGCTGCTGTTGCCGTTGCGGTGGCAGTGGCTGATAAGCAAGCGGAGTCCACCATTCTCTAGGTTCCTCCATATGATCATAACATTTGCATTGAACGGTGTTTATAAGCCAGGGTGGGAGATTGTTCATGATTCCGTGCTTTTGCCTTTTTGCGCATTCTTATGCATTGTTCCTTTTAGTAATGCAAGGTGTGACCTGACCACGCTATTTGCATACACGACTCGAGAACGGGAGCATTCATCTTTTGGCGACAGGATTAGAGGGTAGTACTTGGTGTACATAATGATAATTGAGCATGATTCTGCCATTACTGTGCAAGAGTAATCTAAATGTGAAGACCATTTTAGATGATTGTCTCGTGCTGAATGATGATATATGACAGCCACGCCCAAGTATTCCTTCCCTCACTCCTTGCATAAATCTTGCAATAACTCCATCATCCTCTGTTGAAGTGCCGACAGTTCATCCACGGAGATACGACCCTGGCTATCCCCCGTGATACTTGCATGCCCCTGGCCTTGATCGCCTTTCAGGTCTGCAATCCCACCCACAACAAGACTCTGCTTTATGCAGAAAAACGGTACATGCAGCGTTTTCAGTTCAAGGGTCATAGCATTCGCCATATCCTTCGACGCCTTGTACACCTTGCCGTCGTAGTTTTTTATCTCGGCCGCGTCCTCTTCAGCCGTCTATATATAGATTAGTAAACGTACAGCAGAGTAGAACAGAGGTACATTACATACCGAAATATTCCTCTCATCAACCGGCGCACCAACAGAGCGTCTACCTTGCATTAGCATGCTTGCCATATACATAGTGCACTACAAATTCTGAACAATAAATGAATGATAGGGGGACAAAGCATACAAAACCTCATCCAACTCCCTTTTCTTCTCGACACGAGACTTTTGCTTCTGAAGCAACGCCTCGCGACCCTTCCACCACTGCCGCTCATGGTCGTGCTGCCGCTGAATAAGGAACCGGATCCGCTGCTGGATGTGCTCGTTTGCCGCGACGGTGCGCATGACTTGCTTTAGGGCCGCGGGCCATGTTGTTATTGTCGCTGCTGGGGAATCCTTTGGCTGTGCTTGCTGCTGTTGTTGGGGTCTTGATGAAGATGTAGGTATAGGTGCTGGTGCTGGTGCTGCGGTGGAACTTAGGAGGGAATGATGTGCTGAGGATGAGGATGAGGGTGGATGGGAGTGCTTAGGTAGAGGTGGAGTCACAGCGTCCGGTGGTTCGTAGTCATTATCCTCTTCATCTGGATTGATGAGTGAATGATGGGCATTATTGTTCGCTGTTTGACTGGAGAATGCGGACAGAGTTTTGAGGATAGAGGTTAGATCGGCTGAGTTGTAGTCTTGCGACATGACTATTTCGACGAAATCTAATCCAGATTCGGTATGACGACAAGCAAGCAAATACTGTGAGAAATACAGACGCGAAGCAGAATGGTGGTCTTTGTATGTGTATGAGGCGGATGTCTTGGCGCGGCGGTCATCCCATCGGCCCATCGCCTGGTTGGAAGTTTGGCTGAAAATTTCCCGGAACCTCGAATCCCATAGCTATCGGCATCACCACCACCATCCCCTTGTCCTTCTATGAGCATTGCCAACCGGTAGTGTCTAATTGGGTGTACCGGTTCTCTTTTTGGCTCTTCTCTCTTCTCCTTCTTTCTCTCTTCCTTCTCTCCCCTCCTATCCACAGACTCAGTCCACCATGTCCCGATCCGCCGCAGACGCAACCCGGTTCACGGCCACAGGGCCGTACGCGAGCGCGAAACCCAGCGCCTCCTCTCCGTACAAACTCCCCGAGTTCCTCGCGAAGTCGGGTTCGAATCCGCAGAACAATGGCAGCGGGAATGGACCCAGCGCCGGCCGGCAGGAGACGCCCAAGGAGAAGGTTGAGCGGCTGCGTGCACAGGCTCGGGCCGCCCGGTTAAAGCAGTCAACTTCGCGGGCGGACCAGGTGATTGATTTCGGGCGGCGGTTTGCGAACAAGGCTCACAAGGGGATGGTTTACACGCTTATCACCGCGTCTGGTATGTCGCTCTCCGTTTGAAGTTACATGTCCTCGAAGTAGCGGGTTGAAGCTGTGCACCAGTACAGAAGGCTAACGGATGGCCCTACAGGAATTTGCGGCGCGCTTACTGTCTACTCGATGATCTCCCTAACGCTCTATAACCGCCGCCAGCGTGCGCTATGGATTGAAAAGGAGATGCAGACACTCAAGGATGCCCAGACGGCATATGTCAACGGAACCGCGACAACGGAACAATTGGAACTGTTGAAGAAGGAGAAGATTGGCGAAATTTTCAAGCAGAAGAGGGAAGAGGAAAAGGCCAAGCGGCCATGGAACCAATTCAAGGCCTACCTATTCGGTGGTCTGAAGACTGACGTGACACCATTATCCAACGCGACTACCGTTAACTCCGAAAGCAGCAAGCCTGCAGTTCTCGAGGCCCTCAACACAGCTGAAAACAAGCTGAGCCCAGCGGTTGCTTCTTCGCCGCCGGGGCAATTGGATGTGCTTGCTGAGAACGCGGAGACGGCTGCCAAGCAGACGACGCGAAGCTGGAAGAGCTGGCTCACCGGACGATGAATGTTCGAAAATGGAAAGAAAATGGTTATACACTAGATCTTTTTGGGCGTTCCACTCTGGGGTTCGCTCTCACTTCCCCTCTTTCCGTGACCTGACGAAAAAGATCGGTTGTCCCGAGTGACTAGCCGATTCTCTCTTGCATCGCATTCATCCGGTGTCATTATCTTCCATATCTTTGTAGTTTATACTCGGGTTGCGGCGTCATGTGGGTGTCTTTGTTGAAGTCTTTTGAGCCTATGTACTATTACCGGGTCCATTTGTGTAATGTACATATCAACCTGTCTCTCATCTTGGTTACAATTCATCTCTCCCAATCCGCATGTACATAACGGCCGTAGGGCTGGCGGGGACTCCGGCAACCGGAGCATGCAGAATGTCGTTGCCTGCCGGTATTGGTAGTATCCCATCATCAAGACCTGCTTCAGCCACGTTCCTGGAGATCGATGATGGGCTTCGATGGAAGCGATATCGAAGCTTTCCGAAGGCGCGGAAGGACCTGACGAGGCTGGAGATAATAATAGCAGAGCGCACGATGCTTCCATGGTAGGCGACTGTCATTTCGAGCTCGAGATGGTGATGAGAGAGACGCGCGGGCATCTGACTTAGCCACAGTGGCGGTGGCACAGACAATCGCCGTGACCCGCCCACGAGGAAGATGCACTAACGTCATTTCAACTTAACCCGATGAAGATACTCACAGCGCCGCAATCAAAATGATGACGCGAGACGGATCCCCCGTATCTCCTCATCTTCCTGTACGGAATAAGTAGGTGAGAACCTTCTGTAAAATTACCAAATTCGGGACTCAACTCGATGATCGATCTGCTTTCGTTGGCTGAGGGGCGATTTCTCATTGTCTCAGCCCTGCGTGGTGCGGGTCAGAGAGGGGCTTAGAACAACAATCCCCACCGCCCAGTGTGTAAGTGTAAAACGGCAGCCTAGCAGGATTACGGACGAACTGCGCGCTTAGTCGAGCGCTCGACTGCTGCTGCGCCCGTATGAAGGAGGTAACCAGCATCGGTAGCGCCGGAAAAGCAATGTCTCGGCACGAGTTTGCTCATTTCTCAGCCTTCCATGTGGTGGGGTTAAACTTACCCCTCCCAGTCGTATAAAAGGCAGGTGCTGACCCAGGTCCAGCTCCTTCCTCCTTCATCCATCCACACTACTCAACCCTAACTCATCGCATCAAATTCATAACTGATATACCTCACTTCATTTACACTTTAACCTCTCGATACACATATTCATATCGCAGCCATGTCAGGACCGTATGACAACAACCAAGGCTACTATGGAGGCCAGCAGCAGGGATATGGCGGATACCCCCAGCAAGGAGCCGGATATGACCAGTCTTATAATCCTCAATATGCTCAACAGCACAGTTATGGCCAGCAAGGCTACGACCAGAGCCAGAACCAAGGCTATGGCCAGCAGGGCTACGACCAGAGCCACAACCAAGGTTATGGTCAGCAGCAGGGCTACGGTCAGCAAGGCCAATACGGTGAACCACACCGCGGGGCGAGTGATTATCATGGACAACAACAACAGCATTATGATCAACACCAACAATCCCAGTGAGTCCTTCCGCTATCTTCCAATATGAATTACTGCTAACCAAGACAGGTACGGACAGGAAGGTGCTGCCCCTGGCGGAGCCCAAGAGGGTGAGCGTGGGTAAGCTTCCCCCTCTATCTCGCATAGATCCTCAGCCTCTAGTCCATGACTCCATATTCCTATTCTTTTCCAACGAGACTAACCGATAATCTCAGTCTTGGCGGAGCAGTTGCGGGCGGGTTAGCTGGTGCTTTCGCCGGTCATAAAGTTAATCATGTTAGTTCCCCAACTCTCTTTCCCAGGCCTCTATCCCGACCCTCTATACCGGGGCCTCTATATCCGAGTCTCGACCTATATTTCCTCTTATTAACAACCTCCCTAGGGAATCCTAGGCACGATTGGTGGGGCCATTGTGGGTTCTCTTGCTCAGTGCGTACACCTCTTTTTCATTCCGGAGCGAACGTGTCTAGGCAGGCGAAGTAAACTAACAGAGAAACAGAGATGCACTGAAAAAGAAGGATAAGCACAAGGACGATCCAAACCAAGGTTATTATGACCAGTCCCAGTACGGAGGCTCCCATCACTCCGGCCAGTCAAAGATGGACTCCCTCGGCAGCTTCTTCAAGAAATAAGCGCCTAACTTCACTTTCCACCGCCGCATGACTCGCTTCTACCTGTGTTATTTGCTTTGTCCTGTCGGGTTGCTGTTGCCTAGGCATTTTAGAATGATTAGGTCGTTTATGGTTTTCCTTTGGGCTGTTCTCATATTCTCCTTATGTGGATATGCGTATTATGATTATTATGACACCGACGCTGTTTCAATACAGATTCAATGAATGCTATCGTTACAAGATACGAAAGATGCTGTTTTGAATAAGTAAGACTACGTAGTGAAGTGGTGAGAGCGATCCGCTGACATGGATCCGCCCAGCCGTGATTGATGGAGTGCTCTAATCAATCGTCTGGGCGTCTCCTGATAATTCTCCAGTGCCGGGTGATGCAATATGCATTTGTTTTCTGAGGACCAGTCATGGGAGCATGTCACGGGAGGCGGAAACCCAGCCCCTACCTTACACCATGACCGAGTACTAGACGAGTAGTACGGTCTACCGTGGACCAATCTCGACTATCTAACAAAAACATTTCCAGATTATCAGATTTTAAGAAAAGTCGGAAGATGTTGAGATAGAGCGCGGATTCTCTTGGATAAACACGTAAAATCCCTCCTACCCAAAGAAACCTTTCCGACAGGCTCCGAAGCACCTTTTTCTGAGTGTAGAAATCTCAAGGTCTAGACGAGAAAAATTGGACTTCTAAGCCCTCCTGAGAGTGGTATTTGCTAGCTCAGGCGCAGCCCTAAGTCCCCCTACCTCCGAAGTAACCCTTTAAGAGCCACGCAATGTACGAAGCATAGAACGGGGATCTTGCAAACTACCTTCACATGGAGCATCTAATAAAAGATCTGTTAGTACTGGAGTGGCAGGCTAGGATGTACTGTAGTGACTTTCTGGAGGTTCGCTTTGGGGTGAGCTCGTGACAACCTACTGAACAGCCTCTTCATCTATTACGGAGCCTCTTTAGTAACAAATATCATCACTACCACTATGCATTAGTCTATCAATAGTTTAATAGAAAGTTGTTCCGTCTTGGAACCATTTAAATCCGAAATTCCTCTACAACTTTAGCAATTTTATCTACCGCACCCCTTTCGTGGAATCTAGGATTCAGATAGTTCCAAGAAGGGATGCTTTCTATTAAACCATTACTGTATTAATGCATAGTAATAAGGATCATACTTGTTAATTAAGAGGTCCCGTAGTAGGTAAAGAGGTTGTTCAGTAGGCTGTCATGAGCTGATGGATTCTTCGGCATTTAGGGTATATTCGGACAAATCGGGCTAAATATGTGCCTCAGGCATCAGCGCCAAGCCCGCATCAAAAGTTCAAGCCGAAGAAACAGTCTCCTGCGAGAAAAGCTGCTGAACATTCAGTCAAGTCAATTTCCACTCCACGACATCATGATTGTGCGACAATTATATGCGCGGCAGGGTAAGAATATATGAACTCGGATGATGGAGTTATGAAACAATCTTGACTAATTCCTTTGCTGCAGGCCGTCAGCTTCTCTCAATCAACCGCCGAGCCTACATCTTGAAAAGGCTTCAGTCGACCGAGACGCAGACACCAACGACGACAGTCGAGACAGCAGTCCAGGACCAAAGTGAAGAACCCGTCATTCCAGTCCCTACCGAATCCGCGCTCGATGCCAGCACAGCCTCCGAGTCAATAAGACTCGCTGCAGTCGAGGCATTCTCGAGGCAGAGGGATCAGGGTAGGCTCTCCTTTTGTCGAAAACACCGGTCACCATCTCCAGGACTAACAACCACCTGCAGTAAAGCACTTTAAGAAACTCGGAAGTGTCGTCAGAGACAAGTATTGGCCCGATGCCCTCATCGAAGACCCCCCTTTACCCTCCGAAATCACCCTCGAACTCCTCCTCGCCAACCAAACCCACCTCGGCCACACAACCTCTCGCTGGAACCCATCCAACTCGCAATACATCTTCGGTATCCGTGACGGCATCCATATCATATCCCTCGAATTAACAGCTGCCTACCTCCGACGCGCCGCTAAAGTCGTCGAGGAAGTCGCCGCGCGCGGTGGTCTGATCCTCTTCGTCGGCACCCGAGATGGCCAGAAACACGCCATTGTCCGCGCCGCAGAACTTGCTGGGGGCTACCACGTCTTTGACCGATGGATTCCCGGATCGCTGACCAACGGCGAACAGATCCTGGGCACATGCGCTCGAAAGTTCGTCAACGGGCTGGACGAAGAACTCCCCGGGTTGGCGGAACACCTGGAAAAACGAGGCTCCCTTAAGCCCGATCTCGTCGTTTGCATCAACCCACTAGAGAACGCAGTTCTTCTACACGAGTGCGGATTAAACAACGTACCGACGATCGGAGTTATCGATACGGACGCCGACACCACAAGGGTGACATACCCGATCCCCGCAAACGACGACAGTCTGCGTTCCGTGGGCCTTATCGCGGGTGTCTTGGGCAGAGCTGGCGAGGCTGGTCAGCGGAGACGGGTTGAGTCGGCGAAGCGCGGTGTGTTGGGGTACCGTCCGGTTTCACTTACAGCCGAAGAGCTGAATGATCAAACTGTAACAAGTGATGGAAGTGAGGATTTAGAAACACCTGCGGAAGGTGCAGGTTTTTCTTTCAACAGTGTTGGTAAACAGGGAAGGGGGCTGTGAGCAAGCTGCACACTTTTTTTCTTTGGTTTGTTAAGCTTTTTAAACCTGGGATTGTATGTATAGATATTGTATGGTCATTGTATTAACAGAATATATTGTTCTTTTCAATCACAAGAACAGTCGCGTATCTATGAGATATAGCCAGCCTTCGTCTGTCAACTAGATTTTTTTTTAACTGTAAACGTCACTAGCAGCTAAAGTGATATGGAACTGGCATGTCAATGTCCGCATAACCGACTAGAATGAGGGGCGCCAAAGGTCTAGGATGAACTTTTCCTCGTCATCGTTGAGTGAAGCCCATGTGGATATCAAACAGGAAAGGAAATCATTCTTTATATAAGCCAATGTATCTAACCCAATGCTCTCATGGTAAGTTCCACACTAAAAGGAGTTAGTATGGTTTCAGCTCCAACACAGCAGGACTGCATAATATACAGGGGGTAGAGAAGCTTACACTGCAAATGTCCCTGCGGAAACAGGCATGGCCCTGAGTAGGGTAGGGCCCAGACCCTTCCAAAATCCCAATAACCCCTCGGCGGCATAAGTCTTCTTGAAGCAATCGGTCATGCTCTTGAACTGCTGCTGGGCGCCGAAACCATCGCACTGCATCTTGCTCTTGACGACATCGAACGGATAGCTAGACAGCCAGAGCGCTTCACCCGCTAGACCCCCGTACGCGGCGACTTTGAGGCTGGAGATGTCCTCGCGCTTGATGTTGTTGCGCTTGGCATCTTGATTCATGAGGTACTCAAAGGTCAAAAACCAGACTCCATAGGCTTGAATTTCACGGAGGTATGTGACAGCCTGACCGCGGTAGAGACCTTTGAGAACGCCTCCTTGCGCTGTGAGCTTGCGAATGCAGTCGACGGGCCCGCTGTATAGTCTGTCTGCGCCGTGGGGTTGGGTCTGGAGACGGATACGGACGTGTTCGATGGGGCCGGAGAGGACAGAGTTGGTGATACCCGCGAAGCCGCCGGCGAGGTAGTACTGACCGTAGCTGAGGCTGCTATCGGCATATTTCTTCTTATTTAGTTCCTCTAGGCGTCGCCGGGCTTCGTGGAAGGCTCCGAATTGAACACTAACCTAGGGAGCGTTAGGGCGGTCGTCGAAAGTTAGTGGCGCGAAACTTACACAGGCGCCAATTCCGATAAGGGGAGTCAGGGTTCCCTTGTAGAAAGCAGAAGGTCCTTCATTCTTCAAAATCTTCGAGGCGCAGTCGAGGGCGCTGGAGTATTGACTGGTCGTTTGTAGGCGCACCTTGACAATATCTGTGGAGGTTAATTGACCATACAGCAACTTAGATGGTTCGAGTACAGACCAAAGGGTTGACCTATTGAGCGGTTAGCAACACTTTTGATACAACATCAGAAGTTGCGGTGACGGTAGCCGAGCATGAGCAACTCTCCGCACCGCATTTCCTATAGAAGAGGCTCTTCGTGAAGAAGAGGGTGGGGCTCAGCCGAATCAAAGAAATTACAGCAATCAAGGACAATCAATAATGGTAGCATGGCTTGGTAAACCAAGAGACATTCACATACCAAGAAGCACCTGTGCAATACCTCCAGCAGCACCCGCAGTCAGATCTTTGACTGTACGCAGGGCTCCTCCGTGCTCCTCCAACAGCTCGGCCTCCATTGCTGTACGGTACTTACTGGTCTGGGAAATTCTGACGCTGTTGGAGAGGGAGTGGCAGCCTGGGAGGAACCAAAGAGACACAAACAAATGATCGAAAAAACGAGGGAATAGAGCTTCAAGAAGGGAAAGAACCGAAATGAGCTGCTTATCAGGAATTATCTCCTCATCGCCCGCAAAGAGGAACCAAATGCCGGCCTCCGATTCGCCCGCACGTGAGTTGGAGGCGGGAAACCAATCCTGACAGCGGAGTCTTGGGCCAATTCCCCTGGCGCTTTGCCGGAGGTCTGGAGTTCACCCCGAGGGAAACGACGACACTTTTGGAGACATCATGCACAGGCGGACTATCGTGCAGGTACGCCTCAGTTCCATTTGACCATGAGCCAGACGATTATATTCTATTCCCGCTGACAATTTACGCGCAGCTCTCCCGTCATCATGGTATCGATTGGGCCAGTAAAGCTCGACTTCGAGATACTTTAACACATCCTCCGCCACGGCTCTTCCATTCCTCCCCGAATAGCCTTGACTCTTCCGACCCTTTCTCGACGAAAGATGCAGACACAAACGACAATACCTCCGCTTCCTCGAAGCCCACACCGAATTTTGGTGGTCGCTGGGGAAGCAAGGCTGCGCAACCCGCGACCCTAAGTTCCTCGGAACTGGCCATTCGAAACGCCTTGATGGGCCAAACAGTCAGAGCGCACCGAATTCCACGACAGGAGCGGAACCCAGAAAGATCGCAAGGGCGCCAGCGATTCGACAATGCGCAAACACCAAATTCCTTCCCTGATCCTTTTGGGGAACATGATCGCACAGAACATCAACAGCCGTTTATCGACAAAGGTGAACGCAAGAGAAGACATCCGCCGAACCGTTTTTCCTGGGTCTGTCCCAACTGTGACTTTTACTGTTCCGGCAAGCACTCGGCTTGTCCGCAATGTGGGACTGACAACCCACATGCAAAACCAACGCCTCAGCAGCGCATTCAGGATTGGAATTGTCCCAAATGCCATTATTTTTGCTTTGGTAAACACTTGTCTTGCCCAAAATGCATGACCAAGCGGCCGCCTCCAGAAAAGGTCGAACGAGCACAACGAGCACCAGAAGAAATGCGTTATAGGGATTGGACATGCCCCAGGTGCTTTTATCCTGTTTTTGGCAAATACAAGTCTTGCCCAAAGTGCGGTGCCAGACGAGCGGCTATTGAGATGTCATCTCCCGAGCCTACCTATGCTGAGGGGTCCATCGGAAATAAGATCAACATCCGCAAGCTGGCCAGCTCCGAAGATGTTGGGTTGAATGAAGAGGGGCCTCGAGCTAGAGCGCTCCAGAAGCATATCGCCAAGCAGCAGAGCGACGTCGAGCGTCAGGAACAAAAACTGAATGGAACAAAGGTTCGAACGGATCCGTGGTCATGGGATCCTTCTTCTTTGGATCAGATAAAAATCGATGATGGCGAGATTGTTGACCGAGGTAAAACGCCCAGGCGTCGGGATGGCCGACGAATGCAACAATCCGAAGATCGGGGCGGAGAAACGTTTGATGAAGAAGAGTATCGTCGGCGCCGTGAGGAGCGCAAGCGCTTGAAGCAAGAAAGAAAGGCACAAGAAACCGAGGTTGAACCCGCGTTGAGCCCCTTGTATCTTCCAGAGTTTATTAGCGTGAGCAACTTTGCCGATGTTGTGGGCATGCGGCCGGCCCAGTTCGTTGAGCGGCTAGAAGAAATGGGCTTCGAAGACGTTTCGTACAATCACATTCTCGATGCCGAAACATCTGGCCTGATTGCCGCCGAGTTTGGCTTTGAGCCCTTCTTCGACACCGGCGCCGAGGATGACCTGAGGGCTGCGCCTGAGCCGGAGGACAAATCCATCTGGCCATCGAGGCCCCCAGTGGTTACCATTATGGGTCATGTAGACCATGGCAAGACCACTATCTTGGATTGGTTGCGCAAGTCTTCGGTTGTGGCGTCGGAGCATGGCGGCATCACGCAGCACATTGGTGCCTTCTCGGTCTCTATGCCGTCCGGCAAAACGATAACTTTCCTGGATACGCCAGGCCACGCAGCCTTTTTAGACATGCGTCGTCGCGGCGCCGATGTAACGGATATCGTGGTCCTCGTGGTAGCTGCCGATGACAGCGTCAAGCCACAGACAATTGAAGCCATCAAGCACGCAACAAGTGCCGGGGTCCCTATCATCGTGGCCATCAGCAAAATTGATAAGCCAGGCATCAACCCTGAAAAAGTCAAGCAGGATCTTGCCGTCCACAACATCCACGTGGAAGACTATGGCGGTGATGTACAAGCTATTGGAGTAAGTGGAAAGACGGGTGAGGGAATGTTGGAACTTGAAGAAGCCATCATCACTCTCTCTGAAGTCCTGGATCACAGAGCCGATCGAAACGGCGCCGTCGAAGGTTGGATTGTCGAGGGCACCACTAAGAGCTACGGCCGTGCGGCAACTATGCTCGTCCGACGTGGCACCCTTCGGCAGGGTGATGTAATCGTCGCAGGTACGACATGGGCTCGTGTGCGCACTCTGAGGAACGAAGCTGGCGTTGTCATTCCCGAGGCCACTCCTGGCATGCCTGTCGAGGTTGATGGTTGGAGAGAACAGCCCGAGGCAGGCATGGAATTCCTCCAAGCCGAGGACGAACAGCACGCCAAGGAAGTCATAGAATACCGACAAGAGAGGGCAGATGTACAAAAGCTGGGCGACGACACTACCGCTATCAACGAGGCCCGCCGGGAACTGACTGAAAAGCGGCAAAAGGATGCTTCGGAGGCCGGCGATGAGTCTGGTGTCGGCAAGACATCTTCCGGACCCAAGGCGGTTCATTTCGTGCTCAAAGCGGACGTTGGCGGATCTGCCGAAGCTGTTCTCAACTCGGTCACGGCAGTTGGAAACAACGAGGTGTATGCCAATGTGCTCCGTTCGGAGGTGGGACCGATCAGCGAGTTTGATATCGAGCATGCGGCTGCTGCCGGGGGCCAAGTCATCAACTTCAACATGCCCATAGACCCGAGTATGCGACGATTGGCGGAGGCCAAGGGCGTGACGATCATGGACCACAACATTATCTATAGACTCGTGGACGAAGTCAAAGATACATTGAGCGAGCAGTTGCCTCCTCGCGTAACCCAGCGTGTCACGGGAGAAGCCGAGATTGGCCAGATCTTCGAGATCTCCCTGAAGAAACGAAACAAAACGTCCATTGCTGGTTGCAAAGTACGGAATGGTGTGATCAACCGAACGAAGAAAGTCCGAGTGCTAAGAGGCCAGGAAACCATTTATGACGGTACTGTTCTCAACTTCTTTTTATTAGACTACATGAGATGCTAACAGGATATAGGCTCAATCACTTCACTAAGAAACGTCAAGAAAGATGTGACTGAAATGCGCAAAGACACCGAGTGTGGTATCGCCTTTGAGAACTGGACAGATTTTGCTGTGGGCGACCAAATTCAGTGCTACGAGGAGATCTTTGAAAAGAGGTCCCTCTAACGTCATCCCTCATCCCTTCTCCGTCTTGTCGACATTTGTCGCTGTATTTTATTGTATCCGACTTCTTTGTACATAAATATATTTGATAGGCGGCGTTGGCTACGAGTATTGTACGATATACGAGCATGACTGCATAACAGAAACTAAAATAATACATCAGTAGACCAGTGGGTATATATCTCTAAAACAGCATGGAGACAAAGAAGCCATCATCTAGCCTTCCAACGAACCCTTCCCACCCATCGCGCCCAATCTCTCACATCTTCCCTTTCTAAAATCCTACCCACCGTATGCCACTCCCTGGCCAGTTCTTCATTGCTCGCCATACGATGCACAAAGCTGTGACACGCCCGGCACAACCACGCCACACTATTTAGCATCCACTCATCGTGCCACCCCTTTTTAATCACCTTCTCATGCACCCCCCTCGGTATGAGATGGTGATAGCTCAGCGGAATCCAATCGCGTTCACAAATCTCGCAGGCGGATTTGCGCGTGTTGGCCCAGACGGGTGGCGGGCGCGTTACACCGGGTATATACTCTGTCAGTGCGCGCGCCAGGAGATCTGGAGCTTCAAGGGCGGGTGTATACGTCGTGAGTGTGTCGGCTATGGAGGTTGGGAGTGGATTGGAGAGGGATTCAAGGTGCGATGGCGTCAGTGGTAGGGAGTACGTTTCCGCGAGGGCCGGGGAGTGTTGGATCGCGGAGTATGAGAGAGTTTGAAGGGGATCTGGAAGGGTGCTGAAGATCTCGGAAGCAATGAACTGTTTTGATTTAGTTGCTGGTAGACTGTGACTGAGCCCGCAGATGGCCATGTATAAATAAGAGGGGATAGTACATCGATAAAATCGGCTAGTTCCTCTGGATTCTCCTCCTCCGCTGCGCTGGAGATGGAATCGGATGATACGTCTCTGGATTCCGCATTATCCTTTCGTCTGGCGCTCTTGGCCTTGTATGACCTGCGCTTCGGCGCTTTGTTGGGCTTGTGCTGGCTGCTTCTTGCGACGATGATGCTTGAGATACACTCGCGGAAGACAGCGTAATTCTCCGCAGAGTCACCGGAGGCCATCTTGTACTCCGTAAGAAATTCGCAACTTCTCCCTCAATGGGGAGGAAGGGTAAAATAGTGGGAGGTTCCCTTGACTTTATATATAGATAGGTTGAATTGACGTGGGTTGAGCATCATGGCATAGCTCGAAGCTATACGCCCCGCAAGCTCGTGTTCATGCCGCCGGCGTCCAAATTCGGAGGCTGCGGGGCACTGGAGCTGCAGTCACAACACTCATGCGCGTTGGCAGGAGAACTATCCAATTGCTACGGCAGGCTTCTACAGAATTCTACAACTCATTGAAGAGTCAATTGAGGCGCAGCAGCCAAGGCAGCGAACACGGTAGAGCGAGTGCGTGGTGTGTACCGCAGAAAATATTTCCAAACGCTCCACGTGGGAGAAGAATTCGGGGTAAGTCAGCGGAGAGTCTCTTCTAACCTTTCATTTCCCCTCCAGAGAATCCATTGAGAAATGTGGACATCAGAGTGAATAGAAAGGATGATCAGTTGAGTAAGAAAAGAAAAAAAAAAATCAAAGGGAAGAAATTTGAGACATTATATAGGCCGGATGTCTCACCGCCTTCTTATCGATAAAGCAGTAGTCGTCCGAGCTCCGCATCCTCACAATAGTAACAGCAACAAGCATCATAGCTTTGGTCTGACCAGGCACCAGTTTATCCTCTTTTCTATTCACACACTCTTCGTCTGTACATTGGCCTCGTACTCTATTAGAACGCTGCGTATCATGGCCTGCGATCTTAGCAAAGCTGCTTGGCTGTACCCTTTTCGCGTATGCCCTGCCTCCTCCGGCTTCACTCCGCCTCAGTCGTTATTGAGTACTAATTTATGCTTCATGTAGGGAATATACTACTTCCTATCACATCGCTTCCTCTGGCCCTTGTTCAAGACACGTTTGATACCGATTGTTCTGCTCTCCGCCTTCATCTACACCATCCTCTTTCTCTTCGCCTATTTACCGCAAGTAGCATTCCTTGCCATCTTTCAAGGAGCCGGGGCGTGGATCAGTGGTGCTTTCTTGGTTCTGGGTGAAGGAGCTGCCGTGGTAGCTGCACTTTTCGAGGCGTTCTTTGTTGATGAGACCCTGGTGGATATATTCGATGCCGTGTTGGTTAGCGAAGGCCAAGGGGAGCTGGTCGCCGCATCTCGCGTGTTATACCCCCAGGGCGACGATGTCGTACAACGACTGGGCAAGCCAACCCAGTCTGCTGTCTACTCGCCCTTCTCGCTGAGGCAGATTTTGGAGTTTATCATTCTTCTCCCGCTGAACTTTATTCCCGTGGCGGGCACTCCCATGTTCCTCATTTTGACGGGATATCGCGGTGGGCCTTTCCACCACTGGCGGTACTTTCAGCTGTTGGGTCTCTCCAAGCAGCAGAGGAAGGAGAGGATTCGGAAACGGCAATTGCAGTATACGACGTAAGTAAATGTTGTTTCTTCATTGCATTGGCCAGACTCTAACGTCAATTGGCAGGTTCGGAACGGTGGCCTTGATCCTGCAACTGATTCCTGTGCTCTCCATGTTCTTTCTGATGTCAACAGCAGTTGGGGCTGCTTTGTGGGCTGTGGAGATTGAGAACCGACGTCCTCTTTTAACCTCAGGCAGACGCTCTGACCGAGACGATGCCTACCGTGATACTATCGATCCCATGGCTTGATTTTCCCAGCGTTCTCGTAATATTGCTTGATTACATTTTGTTGATGCCAATGTACAATTGACCGGAGTGATTTGGAATAGCACGGCTTGGCTGCGCACTCGGCTCGGGGCCCCTTAATCTGACATCTTGCGACAAACTTGTGCACCTTGAAAGTCAATCTGACAGCCGGACAGAAACGAGGCGTTGGTTGCTGACCACAATCTCCACTCTCAAGTTATGCTGGAGCCTTTCTCTCGCACTGTACGTGATGCACTTTCCCCCAGCAACTTATTTCAGACCCAACGTAGCAACAGTAGCGACAGGCCATAGACAGCCCCTTAGACTTTTCAAGGATGAATTCCCCGTTTCTCCTGGGTCTGATTCGCTGACATCCCACGATATGTGCGTCTCACGTGATCTGGACAGTCACTCTAAAGATGGACACGAAGCGATCAGGATGCAGGGCGCATGTCTCCAATAATAATGGTCGCATCCCTGTGTTCTAGTGTGGCAATGATTCGAGGGGGAAAGGCATTCTCTGGCCTTCAGGCTTCTGGGGATACCTTTCCGAATCCCGCAAGGCCACAGAGCGCCGCAGTCCGCACTGCCACAAAGGCAACAGGGTATCTCGGACTCTTCCCCACATTAATGATGCAGATGTTTTCAATTTGAGTCTTTTAACCACTTGAATAGTCTCTTGGGTCTGAAAGGCGACGTTGGGTGCCATGTCTTGCGTGACAGGTTTCAACCTCGTGCGGTCCCGCAGAATTTCATAAAATCGGTGCAGTTGTGCTTGTTGATCATCTGTCAAGAGCTGTTCAGGGGACAAAAAAAGACGCGTTGCAATTTCACAAACCCTTTATGGGGGCAAATCGGTGCCGGAAGCAGCTAGATTGGATCTGCAGCCGCATCGAGATTCCAACAAGCAGCTGCCCGAAACAGAAAGAGTCGAAGCATGCAAATCCTTCGGCGACTTGAAGGCTTCCGTCTGCCTGAGAGCTAAGGCTGGAAAACCTTAATAGATGATGCGACCAAACGTTGTTTGAAAGTCGTGAGAGATTTCCTGGAAGCCCCGATTCTCCCCATCCCAATTTCCCCTCTTCCTCCTGTTTGTTTCTCTGCAGCCCTCAAACACCTCTTCTCACGATGCAGTAATCGGGTTGTCCTCCAGCTACTTCAAGCTGCCGTCGACCCACCATCATGACTCTCACTTGAACGCCCTCTCAAGCGATGGAAACCGCCTCTCGACAATCAGTGCATTCATGGACCAACGAACCCGGCTACAGAAGGCTTGTGACGCCTGCAGTATCCGCAAAGTAAAGGTACGTTATGCGTTGCTCGAGCTCTCTCCTCTCCCCAAAGCTACCCCGTAGACTGACTCGGTGAGCGTGGGGTAGTGCGATACAACCGGTCCCCCGTGTCGGTCGTGCGCGAGTCTGAACATCCCCTGTACGTATGAGAGGCCAACTCGACGTCGCGGACCACCCAATCGCCATGCAGAGGCCTTCAAGAAACAAAAGCTGGGGGATCCGGCTTTCGCTGCTTCGAATTCGCCGTCCCCCGATTATACTTCCCGACCCTCTCCTTCCCTAACGGGGAGCAGCATTCCGGTCGCCTCCAGCACGCTTTCCCTGGAATCCATCGGCGCTTTGCCTACGATTCGACTTCTCATCGATGACTATTTTACATATATTCACCCGCTGGTTCCCGTGCCTCATGAGCCTACATATCGCGCTGCACTCAACCAAAGGGAAGATCTCAACAGTCCAACCTTCCTGGCCTTGACGGCCGGCATGATCGGATCGCTGGTAGCGTCCTTCCCACGAAGGCCTAAACTTCATCTGAAGCCGGAGGAAAGAAAGGCATACCCGCATTCTACTGCACTGGTCAAGCGGTGTCTTGACATTGCCGTTCAAGCGCGAGGATCCGGATATCTAGACCGTCCGCCCACCGTCTATGACGCGGCCATTAGCTATTTCCTCGGCCTCTGCTCAGGCTATGTTTGGAACGTTCGGGCATGCAGAATGTATTTTGCCGAGTGCATGACCATGATTCACGTTTACCATCTTTGCAGCCTGCCCAGTACGCGACTTCCATCTATGGACCCCACGAGTCCGGCTTCCTCGTCCTCAATGCTATCACACGATACACCAAACGATACCCCTTCTAGCATTATCGAGCTGGAGCTCGGGCGCCGTCTATTCTACACGACCCTGGTCGGCTATCGGACCCTGCAGCAAATGGGCTCTCACGATGCCGCAATTCATGTGCCCCCAGAAACCCCAACGGAACGCTACCCACCACTGCCGATGGAGATTGATGATGAATATATATTTTCTGACCACGTGGTTCAGCAACCCGCTCACACGGTCTCCCGCCTTGTAGGCTTCAACGCCAACGTTAGGGTATACAGTTCATATAATCCGATATCGGCCTGGGAAACCGCCTTCGGCGCAGGTCAGATCTTCGACTGGGAGCGTCAGAGGGTCATTATATACGAGTGCTTGCAGAAGAGCAAACTGGCACTGGCGAATGTCCCAAAGGAGCTGTCCTTGTGCACAACGGAAGGGGCCAATCTGGATCAGGAGGAGGATGTCAAGATGGCGCTCGACCACTACGACTCGGAAACTCAGGGGCGTCGTCATGTCCAATATGAAATTCAAAAGGCTAATATATACGCCAGTCAGCTGGCGACTCGATCTTACTTGGTCGAGAAATACTGGAGCCTCTACTCAGCCTGGAAAATGTACCATCCACAACCCCATCTGCCCGCCCCCATCACTTCTCCAACTGGTAACGAGGGCAGCGACTCGGCAGACCATATCAACAATATTATGGTGGATGAGCGACGACTTGTGATTCGCGATCTCTTTGTTCTCCTACAGTCTGTCAATGAGATCAATATGGAGCCCAACGGCGCAAGTGTCGTACGTTGCCTATGCGCCTTGTTCACCCACTCCTCTCATAGCTAACGAAACTCTAGACTTCCAAGATCCGCCTCATCGCATCTACCTTACTCAATCTATCAAATCCTGCCGTTCCAGCTACACCATCAGTAGCAGGACCTCAGTCTCTTACACGACAAGAAGCTGAAGCATACTTGTACAGATTCATAGAGACTCTCGTACGCCTAGAGGGGTTGGGAACATCGAATCAGAAGACTCCCACTAGTCCTCAAACGCAAGGACGGGCGATGAGCTACCTGAGTGACCATGACCGAGACGAAGAGGAATTACGCCAGTGGGCCAGCCTAAAGGCGTATCAAACTAAATTTGCCGAAGCGGGTGGCTTATTATCCGAGCTCTAGACCGCTTAACCTTCTGCGAGTCATTCCACCCACAAGGATGCGCATTCGAACCAATGAATGCAACAACCTACTAGCCTCTATTGCCGCGGTTTACCAGGGAATCATTCAGAATAATAAGGAGCTCACAGTATTCACTGTGTCAAGGTCTGATGGCTGGGATTCCAGTCAGTCTCAGACCTCTTTATGATTGGGCGAACGATCACTTCGGATGAAGTCCGCTCACAACATGAGTGGTCCCAGCACTGCTAAGCGCAAATCCTCCTGGCAAATCCTGCCGGCCAGAGGAAAATAATCGGGCATGAGGCCCTAGAGCTCCAAAATCCGGACCTGAAGCTCCCGGGCTGTCAGCCTGTGGCGGAGGGGGCATAATCCAGTGTATCACCTCTATGATAAGGTTTTCAACTTCTATATATATCCAACATGTACCCATTAATCAAACATAGCCCCAGTGTAGCAGTGCTGCTACGTGCCCACATTGCATCAAATTCCCTCATAGATGAACTCCACTGCCTATACCAACGTCGTGTTCATGCATCTGCCCCATTCGAATTACAAGGACCATCGTACTTTTGGACTCTGGGAGTTGTTTGGATGTCTCATGATCCCACCAATTCTCTGTAAGTTCCGAATGCGGACGGACTGTAGGTTTTCTACGGTCTGACTCATGCATTGAGAAGCCGCAGAGACTTATATTCATATCTGCTATTCTTTCTCATTCTCCAATGATAACCGAAGTATCTCTTTCTAGACGCGCTCGCTATGCAACCTAACATACATACATCCACCTCAAAGAGTAAGTGAATAAAAGAAGTACCAGAGGGAAAAAGGACCATTATTTTGTACTATTCCACTTGACATCGCCCACCTCCTTTAAAGCCTCTCTCCTAAGCCGTGACTGTGACCGTCACGGCCGGCATTTGTAAGGTTGCAGTCACCGTGACCGTGACCGTAGCCAGTCGAACGGGCACAACGTTCAAACCTCCTCCGATACTGCCAGTGGTAACGGCTGCGGCAGTGACGGTGTTCTGATCTTGGCCTGAAGTATCAGCGACAGTGACGGTAGCTGTCTCCGTGGTAGTAGCCGTCTTCGAAAGTGTCTCAGTCTTAGTAGCGGCGATGGTTATTGTCGGCCGAGATGAAGAGTCTGTTGTTGATTCTTGCTCTGCTGCAGGCTCTGGCTCTTGTTGTGGGGTTTCAGTGGGCTCGGGCTCGGCCTCGAAGCCTAGCGTGGATGTCTGTACAATTGTAACTATCTGAGTTACGGTCGTGGTGGAATGTGTGGATAGCGTGGGGATTGAGATGGCGGTCGTTGTGATGTCTACCGCTGGCTCTGGCTCTGGCTCTGACTCTGATTCGGGAGTCACTGAGGGCTCAGCGTCCAGAGTGGGCGTTACGAGAATAGTCGAGATGACTGTTGTCCTGGCTGTGGAGGTAGGTTCGAGTTCCGGGTTGGGAACGGGGTCTGTGGATGTTTGCGTGTCTGCTGATGCTGTATCCGTGTCTTGTTCTGGTTCAGTAGTCTGGGTAGGATCCAGAGTAGACGTTTCAACAAGAGTGGAAACCACTGTCAAAGTGGTTGTGGAGGTGGGCTCGAGCTCCGGGTTCGAACGGGGGCTTGTGGATGTTTGTACATCTATTGATGGTGGTACAATGTCGGTGGAATCAGTTTGTATCGTGAATGTTTTCTCTGTCGTGGTGGATGTGGAATCTTCGACTGAGGAGCTGCTCGTCGTCGAAGTTGGTTGAGAGGTTGTGCTCGGTGTGGACTGTGGCGTAGGCACGTAAGGAGGTACCACAACGGTCGAAGTCGAAGGACTAGAGGTAACGTCACTCTCGGGCCTACCTCCTGGAGCAATGGTTTGACTTGTAGGAAACTCCGAGCCCGCACCCGGTGTTACCACGACGATAATCGGTGTTGAGGCTGGGTATGTACTTGCTGTGCTGCTAGTAGCATCCTCTTCGACAGACGTTGTGGTATTGGTAGGAACGGTAGAGGTGTGGGCCTCAGTATCAGCGGTCGGGGTTTCTGTCGTGCTTAGGCTCGTATCTTCGCTGGCAGAAGATTCAACAGTTGAAGACTGAGTTGCGCTTGGTGATGGCGTACTCTGACTCGTGGTTCTGGTCGTTGTCTCCGTGCCGATGACTGGCGTAGACCCCGGGGCGGAAGTTGAAGATGTCAGCGCCTCCGGGGCATCGCTAGTGTTGCTGTCTGGTTCAGACACAGATGTCGCACTCGACATCATAGGTGCAGGCGAGGACGGAGTATCTGTAGTACTGCTACTGCGGGTCTCGCTGACCGAAAGGGTCTCAACAACGCCTTCTGTTATTGATTCCTCGGCAACAGACTCGGAGGTCGACGTACTAGAACTGGTCGTAGACGTGATCGTGGATGTCAGTAGCTCATCCTCAGTCTGAGTCTCGGCGTCACTCTCAGCGGATGAGGTTGAAGTGGTAGTATCCGTAGAGGGAAAGGCAGTCGGCGTAACTGGCACCACAGTCAAGCCACCATCACTTCTGGGTATGAGAAGGCGCGAAGTAAGTGGAGGATTGGCACTTGCGGCAAGGGTATCGTGCTTGTTGACGGATCTAGGGCTAAAGAAAACAATCGGGCCAGCCGAGCACAAGGACAAGATAATAAAGAAAAGAAAGCGCATCGCGAAGGCTGTTTGAAAAGAACGTAGGAAGCGAACGACAGACTGGACCATGGACGTCATTGCCGTAGCCTTGAAGAGCTGCTTATAGTGGGTTAGAAAGGACGCATCTTGCTCTTGATGCTGCAGAAAAAGAGTGAAGAATAGCAGGCAATTAGGTCCAAAAGACAAAGGAAAGACAACAAAGAAACGCAAGGTCTAGCATAGTAGTTCTGCAGGAAGTGGAGAGCATTTAAGCTGCCGAAATAGTGACCAAAATTAGGTCAGTGTTTCTTGATTCTAGCCTTGATTGGCTGTCGATGAAGCTTCAACTGGCGCGCGTCAAGACGGTGATCGAGATACACCATAAGGATTACCCCTGCAGCAACTTAATTGGCGCCCACAGCTGCCAGGCGCCAAGTTTGAAACACGGCAGTTGCAGAAATAGAAATCGTTTGATTGCCTCGCACTCATTGATAGGCAACGAGCAGCAGACCTCATTAAGCTAAATTAACTCGTACTCGCACAGAAATAGCGATCATAGCATCATAATCATACTCCATTCTTCTCAGATAACAATCGTAAAAGGCTCATCGACGCCCTCGAATGCTTCGATTCTCCCAGTGATGCCTCTCGCATCGCCGTAATAATGGAATCGATAGGTTCCTTCCTGCAGCGGGCTAGGGCTACCAGCAAGATAGAAATCGTTCTCGATTTCCCATTCTAGAGTGACATCGCTGTGCCCCAAAATGGTATTAGTCCTAGTCCATCGGTAAACGAGATTCCAATCGCTGTCAGTTCGCACTGTCTCCCAGTCTCCCGTGTCTGGATTTCGTCGCTCGACTGCCGCGTAGGTAGAGTCTGACCGTAGATTGTTTCTCGGATTAGCTCCGATAAATTTCGCAGTCACTATGTCTCCTGGATGATATTCTGCCTTCCCAGCAGATGTGATAACATCACCGTATGATTTGCCTAGTGGACGGCCATCGTACACGACGGAAGGGATAAAACTTAGCGACTTGTCCGTGTTGATTGGCGGTTCGATCCCATTTGGCTCAGGATAGTCTCCTTGCGCAGACTCGCCAAGATACGAGAGGTAAGTGAGCGTCAAATTGACGTAGGCTGCTAGCGTGTTGGGCCCATACAGAGTCGAAGCTCCCTCGTAGCGTTGTCTCCCATACTCCTCTTCGGTTGTCACGTAATGCGCATAACTGTTGGCTGGGGAGCCTAGGACAACCAGAGGATCAGAGATCGACAGCACATCGCTAGCCGACTTTGCGATTGCTTCTTTCCACCGTCGCCCAGCCATGGTTGTCACCTCGCTTGTCGAAATCACTACCATCAACTGTCCTATACGCAGAAGCTGGATGTCTACCACGTTGGGCGTCCAGGCATACGGTAGGCCAACCTCTCCGACATCTAAAAGGATGTCTTTGGGTTCTTGGCACGTCTTTTGCTCTGGCGTGGGCTGGTGAAGAAAGGCGCGGGCAATATACCACAGCGGATTACGCTCCGCAGGAGTTGTGTCGTTCTGAGTAAAGTCGAAGTAGCCAGGCCAATCTGTGGTGCCCGCAGCAAATGAAAATCCAAGTGCCGCCGAGCATGTGGATAAAATGCTAGAATTGAAAGGAGACTGGAAAGTGTAACCGTCGAGGTTCTCAAACAAGTGGAAGGAACTGATTTGAGAGCTACTGCGGATCTGTATGGCGTCGGTGTCCATCTGTCCGTACAACTCCTCGGCTGCGGCGTACTGCCGGCGTCCAATCTCGAAGCAGCTCTTCGCACCTTCATCTGCTTCCCGGAAAAACGGGCCACGCCCATGGCACGGTGAGGCTTGTCCGCCGCAGGTGCTATCAGAATACTGGCATTGTTCGCCAGATCCATCTTCACACCAAGCTCCCAGAACGTTAGGGGAGGTATCGCCAACACTGGACTGGGAGAAGCCCGCCACGAAGTCATCCGTAAATTTGGAATTACCCCTTGCACTCCTCTCAAAAAGCCAGGCAGCGACACCTTTGTTATCTCCAGTGACTAGCGTGTTATTGCCGTAGAGTGAGGTGCCGTGAACAGGGAAAAATGTCAAGACAGCACTTGTTTTGTTGTCTTTTTCCCGGTCAAACCTTAGGAGAGTCAACTCCGTATCCACATTGGAAGGGTACCGTGCCCTTTCCTCTTCAGGATTTGCATCGTATGAATACGGGCTTCTGTTGATGTTCGCATCTTCGACGTTGATAGTTCCGTATGTAAGTCGTCCTGGCGCAAGGTTCTCATGAGCTCTCCGTATTGAGAGAATGACACCATCCACAATAGCGTTAAAGCTCTGTCTATCGAATCCTTTATTAGGAATTTGAGGAAGGAGGTAGTTGAACCAGGCGCCTGGACCTGAGTGAGAATGGGTTCCGGTGAGGGCGAGATTGCGGTCGCCATATCGTGAGTACTCGCTGCCGAGATTGGCAAGTCCTTGTAGGACCGCGTGACGTACCCCTGTGTCACCTGTAAGAGTGTCCAGGACTATATAGATCCAGGTATCCTCCAGATTGTTAGGATTTGCGACAATAAAGGCCCGCGAATGAATCCTTTGACGCAGGCCCGTCCCAACTTGGTCGAGGTCCGCATAGCCACCAAACCCTATCTCCACAACAGGTCTACAAGAGTAATTAGCGATTTTCAAAAGCATCTCAAACAGCAAATATCATCTAACCCGGTGATGTCCGCTTTACCAGCCCCTAGTAAGTGAATGCTATCATCCCCAACGTAGCCCGACGATCGATCATCCCATTGCGATTTGACTTGGAATACAGGACCTTGATGGGAACCATAGATGATCGAGCTCACTTGCAGCAATACAATAGCCACAACAAAAGTCCCGACAAGGGCCAGGCTGAGCCTGGAGTTTGCCATGTTTACAGTGCGGAAAAGGATGCACTGAGGGCCCTGGAAGAATTTATGACATCAGATCAGATCTAGAGCGCTATCACTATTTATCTTCTCCAGGGGTTTCGCTAGGGAGGAAAGCCTATCGTCACAGACGACCGAGGGACCGAGTTGATAGTGTTTTGGGACGCTAACACCCCGGATGACTCTGAACTTCCTCGCAGAGAGGGTGGTAGACGAGTGCTATTGGCGGTTAAACAGATGAAGGTAACATTGAGGTCTGAACTTGTCCATGCTCTGGCTTGATTGCGCCGTCTTCCGAAGGACCCTGATTGGGTAGGGTGTGATGCCCCGCGTCGTAAATAGAAGGATTCGTCAAAAATCGAAGTTGGGGGTCATATGCTGATCCTCGATCCCCTGAATGCGGAGAGAACAGAAAGGACTGTGATTGCCTTAGCATGTGCCTACAGAGTATGTCCGTGTGTATCCAGTCCGATGACGAACGCAGGGTATTGGCCAAGGTCAACCGGGCCAATTATAAACGCAAATCAATGGTCAAGAAACACGACAGAGCAATAAACTTACTTCGAGGAGACTGGACAGTAGGGGCACGGAGCTTCAGTCCTGCTGCAAGCTAGAAGAGTGGCGCGGAGAGAAAGGGAGTAATGATGAAGAGAGAGCTGGCATGCATCCCTCGTCATCTCACTTGCGCATTCATGAGTGCCTCAGGCCGCAACTGCCCAAAGGATTCCGTATGCCAGCCCCCGCACTTTCCGCTTAAGGCAGGATATGCTATTTGATTACCCATTATGCACGTGATGGACAAATGCTCAGTCTCGCGTTAGCGTCCGTCGCCCATGACCAAGCTTCGATTGAAGATTGTTGCTTCAAGGCTGATTCCGAAGCAAATCTGTCCGAACCAACGGATTAATCCTTAGAATCTACCAACGCCTTGTGCGACGTGCAAAATGCCTCTCATCAACGAGTCTCATGATTCCCTCCCATGTAAGACTCTTTCCTCCACCTTGCCGTACCCAATATTCTAACACAGTACAGATATCGACACGGCGCCTTCCGCTCAGGCTCGCGCCAATGCAGAGAAATTGATCGCCGCAGAGCTTCCCTCAGACTACAAGTCTTCCACCCACCCCCTCATCCCCGACTTCCCCGAGCCGAAGTTTTCGCCCATCGTTCAGCAAGAGTTAGAGCGCAAGGCAGCTGGCCTGCCACTAACTGGGGGAATTGATCTTTCGCGTTACGAGGCCCCCGAGCCTCCTGCTCGTTCCGGACCGGACTCCGCTCCCAACCTCGATGAATGGCGTCAAACACTGCGGAAAGCCTACACAGCTAGCTCCCACCTCTTCGCAAGACACGAGAACCTCTCACTTTTAGAAGAATGCGGCAAGAACGCGTGGTTGATTGGTAATTCGCAGCTCGAGGATATTCTGAAATCTCTTGAGAAGGAATTGGCAGAGACAAAAGAGGCGGCAGAGAATATCAATAAGCAGCGAAAGATCGCTCAAGAGTCGAACCAGGGAGAGCTTGCAGGATTGGAAGAGACATGGAGACGCGGTGTTGGCGCTATTCTCGACGTTGAACTTGCTGCTGAGGATTTGCGAATGCAAATTCTGGAGCAAAGACGCCAATACGCCCAGCAGCACGCGCGGTAGCGAGGCCCTCAATTGCGTTATGTGAATCACGAACACTTAAGCAGGGCTCTTGAGCCAGACTCGGGCAGTTCCTGTGGTGGGATTGAGCATCAGAATCTGCCGTGGGCTTTCCAAGTTTTCAAAATGCATGATACGCCAGAACTCGGCGGCGTACCCAGGAGACTGGAATCCTCGACGGCGAACGAAAGTTATTGGGCCACAATCATGGAGGCACAAAGGGTTTTTGACTTACCCCTCATGGTGCAGGGCGTCAGACTCATGGCTTCGCTTCATGCAAATCATGGTGACATCCGGACTACCCTCTGGGGACGATGCCAGCCGCGAAAAGATTGCTCATTTTCGCGGCGGACCAGTGCCGAAGATCCTCCATTTCTTTCTCTAAGTCTTCAACATCTATATACCCCGTTTACGAAAGAGAGCAGTCCATAATATAGAACAATCTCTCCACGTTTCAAACTAGTCGGCAGTCGAGCCTATACACATACTTAGTTGCGGTCGTCTCATATAGCAAATTACGTAATAGTGATTTCCAATGCAGAGCTACAACCTCTCATAGACGCTTGAACCTAGCTAGTATAAGTCCTCAACCCCTTCCCCACCATGGCCGCTGCCCCCTTCTCAGCAGCAAGCCGATTCCAATGCTCAAGCTGCTTACACAACCCCTCCAGACTCGTCAACGGCGGCTCATACCCCAATCCACCCTGCTCTGGCGCCAGCCTCGCCCGCGAGTCATCAATAACAACATGCGGATTCGAGACGGCAAAAAGCGCCGGCTGCAATTGGCTAATCTCATTCGTCGGCCGGGGAAGCCACGGGAGATAAAAGTGCCGTAGGAGGATGTACCACTCGAATATGTGGGATAGCATGAGCATGGGCAGTGGTGGGATGCTGGGAAACCGGATTGGGGTTGTGGCGAGGGTCTCGAGGAGGAGGTACATGTCCCCAAATGTTATGGCGGGGTTTGGGTCTGTTACTGTGTAGGCAGAACCTCCGATGTTGGGATTGGAGGATGAGTTTGCCGTGTGTTCGATCAGGCGTTGTTCGTAGAGAAGATGAGCAATGGAGACGTTTTCGGCGTTGACGAAGTTTTGGATTGTTGGGGAGAGCCACCTGTGAAACGGGTAAGTACTTGGATGTTCGCAGATCGCAAATTACATACGTTGGGGCGCCACCCATTCTCAGGTACATGCCACTAATAGAAGTGCTTGCTTCGTCGCCAATACCGTAGATCCCATTTGCAGGCCGAATGCAGCCGGTGCGAAAGCCCGATTCAAGGTCATCTGCTGCGCGTACGAAGCGCTCCGCCTCCAGCTTTGTAACGGGATAGTTGCCGAAAAACTGATCATGTTGCTTGGGCGGTTCAGTCGCATCACTGACAACTTGCACGAAATGCTTTGGTATCCTTTCCCAAGGAGCAATCCAGAACCTGGCACGACGAATGCTAACGGAACCCGACGAGGTCGAGATGAAGCATGTGGCGCCAGCCTGTTTGGCTGCATTAAGTACATTGATAGTCCCGCCGACGTTCACATTGCGGGAAAGTGAAAGAAATGCCTTGTGTCGTTCTGTTGGTCGGATGACAGCAGCACTGTGAAAGACAGTTAACGGCAAGCCTGCCAGTTTGGATGGCCATGGCTGCAAAAACGCGCTCTGGACTGCTGCCTGGTCCGTTATATTTGTCCGTACAAAAGTAATACCAAGATCCAACAATGCGCGACTAGGTGGGTTGACGTCCAATGTTCGAATAGCAGCTGCAGTCTCCCCGCGAGCAATTAGATGTGATATTATCCAGTTACCGAGAAGCCCTGAAAACATAGTCAGCAATCACTGACCTCCAGAAAACATATCAACACATCGGTCAGTTCCTGATCATTGCCAACGTACCTGACCCTCCAACAACGATGTAGCGTCGGTTCTGCCTTGAAGGAAGACTTTTGGCCACATCAACTGGGGCATGGACAGCCTGTTTGTACGCAGCTTTGATCTCGTCGACGGTCCAGCGATGAGGAGATAACCTTCGAGCCTCTTCAGGCACGATGCACATCGCACGGTTCACATGGTAGAGGTAGAGGATGCCCAACACCGCAACGCACGACAGAAATGTAGCGAGCATTATAAAATGCGCTCAAGCCTGCCTGTGGCAAGTTAGTTTCATGTGATTAGCGCATTTTGCGGGGAATGTCGATGGCTCTTACGGTGGTTATCAACTCCCAAGCAGCCTCAATGCTGTCTTGTTGTAAGGAAGAAACGCAGAGGTTTGGACACGCCATCTTTAAAGGCGTCGAATTTACAGATCGCCATCTTAAGCGAAGCCATGGAAATAAAGAGACCGCAACGGTTGTGGCTCCAGGTCGTTAACGGTTCGGTTAGAGAGTCGCGTCCCGTTCGCTAAGGAAAAGTGCATGCTTCGTCCAGTCGAAACTCGTAAACTAAGTGGCCACATACGCAGAGCAGCCGAAGCGAGGTTTGACTTGGCCTTTTCATTTGTTTCCCGGTTGGTGGGAGTCGCAGACGGAAGATTGGATAATTTTCCGATGCCCGCTCGAGGTACGGAGTAATCTCCTCGCATTGTGCTTGGGCTCTAAGAATGGGAAAAGTGACTGAGTGGACCTGAGATGTCATAAGTCAAGAATTGGTCTGATTGCACGTGCTGCGGAGAAGAAGAAAACAACCCGCAGCTGCGTTGAACCTCATGTTTTGTCCTAGCTTGACTGCCAACTGAATTTGCTTTCTCCTGCTCAAATTTTAGACTCACAAATTGATGATCGAGTCTCTTCAGTTGGCCATCTCAGAGGCAGCATTTTTGTGAATTCAAGACCGTGATTGTCGCACGTATATTGAACATCCAACCGCAACGCCAATTTATCAGGATTTGATTGTCATTGTAGGGACCAGGCGAGATCTTTTCCTAGAGGATCTTTACAGTGATAGCTTTGCTGAAAATGATGGTGTGTTATAGACTCCAGCACCATCCGCATATCTATGTAGCTCCAGGCGATTGATGCACCCCGGACTTCAAGCCGAGCTTCAAGGACGCAGTCTGGGCTCAAGAACACAATCAGGGATATGATTCCTTGGAAACCGGTGGTCGTCTTAACAAGATGCTCCGAACTCGATCTCGCGAATCCTGTTTGGCGGTCTGCATTTAAACCCCGCATGGGTACCCAAGCATGAGCTTCGAAGCAATTATCGAATGTACTTCTCTGCAGCCTGCTTATCAGCTCATTCGCCCGTGATCCGAGGCAGACGATGATATCGAAGTTTATCACAAGAAAGTGGAGTGCTTGGCAAGACCTTTTCTTTGCAGCTTCGGGAAACCGGCACGGGCGGTCAGCCGATGCAAGTCTTGGACTCTTGGGCCTCTCAGCCCTCTCAGGACTCGACGAACCCCTCTCGAAGAGAGTCGCCAGTCTTGGGTCTTGGGATTATTTATGTACAAGTTGGCGATGATACTTTCAGTACGCAATTCATGCTCCTCTAGAGGCCCTCATTCTTGAGAAGCGGCTTTGTAAATCAACATTACGCGTTGCCATTCTCCGTTCCCAGCATACAAAATTCCTCGGGGATTCCCCGTGGAGTCGGCTTAGGGCCCTAGGCTTGGTGTCCGGGGCCCGATGCCCATGTCCGGGACTAAAGTGGACCTCTGAATCGTGATGGCGCAGCCAAAGGCTCTGTGCTGAGTCTGCAACCGGTCTGGAATGGGCTGACAATCCCATACCGCGCATCTCACATCATGATACATCAATCCTCATCGTTGCCTACTCGGCATTCTGGCCGAATGAAACAAATAATGCTGTTTGCGTCAACGAACTAGGAATAAATACGTATACGGGATTCTTTTCCCAAAGGTGGGGTTCAGATTACTATAGCCTCGGCCTGCGACTCGGACGAGGTTATATTCAGTTCTTTCCTTCTTCTGGCAACAAGTACCTTCATAAATCGCGCCAGATTGAGTGACAGGACCGATGAAGGATCAACAGCTACACCATCCTTTACGAAGCCGGGTTAGTTTACGCCCTATGACTGACTGTAGAACCGCAGTATACCTTATCACAACCCGTGGCGTTTTCCACAATTCCATGTGTGTCGAGCTAGTCCCTGCCTTTGCGACTCCTCGAGCAGATGCCCCACTCAACCCAGGACGTCGTTGAACAATTATTAAGGATTTTCGGCCGCTAAACCATTACATGGGAAATTATAATGCAAATCGTCGCCCCCAAGTAAGAGCTTTTTCATTTTTTTTCCCTTTCTTGCCCGATGATCAAGCTTTTGGGCATCCGGAACCAGTCTATCGCCTTTATATACTAGACTCTTAGCAGCTCCCTTTCTGATTTCACCAATACAAGCTACTAGAACTGTCTATTATTGACTCAGCATCACCAGGCCCCTACCCTACTTTCCGACAGTACAGGAGCGCTAGAATCCAAGTGTGGCGCATTGGATATCCCATAACTTTATATCCTCCATTACATGTTTCTACACGAATCACTGCCGACTAAGCGCATTTGCCTTGACTAGGCCAGCTAACGGAAGGCTTGTTTCAGAAGGTCAACTCAGTCCCAAGCAAGGATGTCAACAGCAACATATGATCACCAAGATCCCTCGAAATGGCCCCGGAAGTCTGAGGGGAGTGCAGGGGGCGATGCGCACTCCGTCGCGGAATCGACCTCCTCGGAGGAGTCCCTTGACCAAATTGATGTGCTAGGGCGTACGATCACTAGTCGTTCTCGAATGTCAGAACCCTCTCTAACAAGAAGAGTAACGTCAATCGGCACAACTGGAACATCAGACCCGAACTATGAAGTCGACTTCGAAGACGAGAAAGACCCGGACAACCCTAAGAACTGGACGCTCAAATACAAGGCCATGGCCATTGCAATGCTTTCTTGGAACACCCTAGTAATGTGAGTCACCCCGATGCTTCTGAGATCGATCACAAAGCTAATGCAGGTTTGACCTTTACAGCGTTCTACATTCAACTTCCTACACATCTGGAATTGCAATCATGGGTGATGAGTTTGGGTCGTCAAACACCATTGTCACATTGGGATTGACCTTTTATCTAATTGGTCTCGCTATCGGGTCCATGTTTATGGCTCCACTCAGTGAGGTGTATGGCAGAAAGCCGGTATCCGTTGTGTGCTTGGGCATTTTCACAGTCTTGATTATCCCCTGCGCGTTAGCCAAGTCTATCGAGGCGCTAATTATCGTTCGGTTCATTGGCGCATTCTTCGGTAGCGTCATGATTTCTACTGCGCCAGGGATGGTATCAGACCTGGTAAACGATGAGCAGCGGGCGTTGGCCATCTCTGTCTGGAGTATTGGGCCCATCAATGGTCCGGGTATGTTTTACTTGATAAATTTCTGCGTTCACCACTGACTATCATAGTTCTGGGACCAATCATTGGAGGATTCGTGACTCAGTACCTCGGCTGGAGATGGATGAATTGGATTGCACTGATCCTATCTGGCGTTGCATTCGGCTTTGCATGCCTCATGAAGGAAACATATAGCCCAATCATTCTGCAAAAGAAGGCTGCCCGTTTGCGCAAGGAAACCGACGATGACCGTTGGTGGAGCCGATACGACCAAAAGGCTAGCCTCGTCGAGCTGCTGAAAGTCAACCTGAGCCGTCCATTCGTCATGGCTGTTGCGGAACCCATTTGGTACGCCATCTTTTTACTTTGTTTCTTTTCATACTAACAACTCTTAGTATCTTCTGGAACCTCTATATCGCCATCGTATACGGCATCCTCTACCTCTGCTTCACGGCGTATCCCATCGTCTTCCGTCAAATCCGCGGCTGGTCGCTCGGCCTCTCCGGCCTCGCCTTCTGCGGCATCGGAACCGGCTGTCTCATCATGATCGCCTGCGAACCTTTCATCCGCCGCCTGATCAACAGCCACGGGCCCGACTCTGAAACGGGCAAAGTTCCCCCCGAAGCCATGGTTTCGATCGTCTGCATTGCCGCCATTCTCATTCCATCCGGCGAACTCTGGTTTGCTTGGACTTGCTCCCCCGCCTCGATCCCTTGGATCGTCCCCATCCTCGCGGGCGTGTTGTTCGGTTGCGGGAACGCCGGAGTTTTTATCTATGCGTCGAACTATCTTACCGATAGCTATGGTGTGTATGCTGCATCTGCGATGGCAGGCAACTCAGTTATCCGAAGTGTCCTGGGTGGTGTGCTGCCTCTTGTTGGGACCTATCTATACGATGGGCTAGGGCCAAATTGGGCGGGTACGCTACTTGGGCTGCTCGAGGTGGCCATCATTCCGATTCCGTTTGTGTTCTACAAGTACGGACACAAGATTCGGAGAAAGAGTGCGCTTATTAGTCGCATGCAGGAGGATAAGAAGAGGTTGGAGCGGAAGCGAAAGCGCTTGGAGCAGCGGCTTGAAGCGGAAGCGGCTGCGGAGAGAAAGGAGCAGATGGAGGTCTGAGTCGAACTGGCCAAGAAGGTAGGCTCAAGTTGGAGCGTTGGAAGTATATGACATCTCGGGGATAAAAGTCATTCTGCACGGTTGGAGTTCGATACCATTGTTTTCGCTGGCTTTTTGCAGGCATTTTCGCAGGCGCACGATAATTTACTTAGTATAGTCCCAGACTAATAGAATAATACACATATACAGTAATCACCCTATGCGCCTCATCCTCTCCACCTCCTGGGCATCATACAGGATCCGCTCATACTCGCCCAGATCAACCGCACCAGCTGGGAGTATCACGACGGCATCAACAGATACCAAGTCAGGTTCAGATAATGGTGATGCAAGAGCAGACGTTGACATTGACGTAGATCCCCCTTTTCCACCATCCCCTGCAGTAGAAGCAGCGCCGGCAGCAGATGAGCCCCTACGCACATAGCCCAGGACTGTAACCCAGGCACCAACACATAGCTGCTCCCACGTTACCGTTTCGAGAACAGCATTAACGTCGACGGCGACAGACGGGATTTCCCGCTTCTGCTGTGACTGGGACTTTTTTGTCGCCCGCGGATAGTTGTGTTCAAGGATCAGACGGCCTGAAGGGATATGGTAGGTTTTGACGCTGAAAGGGAAAATCCCAGGCGACAAGGTAGAAGGTTAGCTTTCATCTCTTTTCCAAGTTAATTTTCAGCCCGAAGTTTCGTTAACTACGCATGATGCTATTGTTTGTTGTATAGATAGTGCTAGGCAGCGATTTTTACGCACCAACCAAGAAAGCGAATCTTTGAGTCAGTTGGGAGAGACGGGATATCGGAGATGAAAGCCCTCGTAGAAGGAAGGGGGCCGTTCATTCTCTGCCGTGTGCATAGTAGGCAGATACGTTGAAGATAGATTGAGTGTTCTAGAATCTTTGATGAGATCGAATCGGCTGGATTTATGTATCTTGGAAGGCGACACGTGACTGATAGGCTGCGATAGGCCTGGTGGCGTATGTCATGAGTGACGGAGCCGACGAGGGGAAAACAGGCCCTCATCCGACTTCATCCTCTTCCGCATCCTGAGTTCTTCGCTGTATTCTTACTCTCGATTCCTGTCTTGCCTCTTCGATAACGTTGCCGCAATATTCTGCGTTTTTCGCCTACTTTGCCAGACGTGCAGCTTTCCGTTCGGTCCGCAGCACGATCTCGCCCTCACTATCTCTGCCTTCCATCTGCATCCCCACCATCTTCCACCGGTTTCGAAGAACGCCCGCAACAGCCACGAACAAGTCATAAGCCCACGACTGAGAGGTTTAATATTGGTTCACTTCTGAGTTTGGTTTCACAAATTTAGAAAGGCTGCTCTTGCCCTTATCAAGATGTTTTCGTCATGGTTCGGTGGTGCGGCCGCTCAGAAGCGCAAGGATGCGCCTAAGAACGCCATCCTTATGCTTCGGGAGCAACTAACCATGCTGCAAAAAAGGGAGAAACACCTGGAGACTCAGATGCTGGAGCAGGAGGCTGTTGCCAAGAAGAATGTTACTTCAAATAAGAACGGTATGGTACCCCGCTACAGGCCTCCTTATTAGGAGAAGAGGACGAGGAAGAAACTAAGTTTTGCAGCCGCCCTCGCCGCCCTCCGACGGAAAAAAGTCCACGAGAAGAACCTCGAGCAGACGCAGGCACAGATCGCACAATTAGAGCAGCAGGTCTACTCCATCGAAGCGGCGAATATCAACTATGAAACGCTCAATGCTATGAAGGCGGCCGGCGCAGCCATGGAGAGGATTCACAACGGCATGACTATCGAAAAGGTTGATGAGGCGATGTATGTGCATTTCTATACACGACTTAATGAAGCGCAGAGGCTCACAAACTTCAAGGGAAAAACTCCGAGATCAACAAGAACTCAACAACGAGATCGCAGAGGCAATCACACGCCCTGCGCTCGGCGATCAAGTGGACGAAGACGACCTGGAGCAGGAACTCGAGGGTCTGGAGCAGGAGGCTATGGACGAGCGTATGCTCAACACAGGCACGGTACCGGTTGCGGATCAGCTCAACCGCCTACCTGCGACGACGACCGCAGACCGTGAGTTAACCTTTCCTTCTCATCAAAGCTCTATACACAACTAACTGATTACGTCTTAGCCTCGAAAGCGAAACAAACAGAAGAAGAAGACGAGGAAGCCGAATTGGCAAAATTACGCGCGGAAATGGCCATGTGATGGGTTCCCGTTTCTCTCTGCCTCTCCCACTACATGCATGTTGAGTCTCTGAACGAACCAACATGCTTTGAAGACTCATCTACAATTAGCCAAGCAGCTGGTCTTTTGTCACTTTGTCTCTGCACCTGGGTGCTATTTCGTCGCCCGTCTACACCTCGTAATCACCTTTTCGTCTCTGATACCACACATAGACCGGCGCAGACTCACGGAGTCGGGCTCATATCGAGGGTGGTGCGGTGGGTAGTGATTGAATTGATACAGTGCCGTTCCTCGTGACACTTGGTCACGTATGCCACAGCTGATCAACGGACTGGCCCCTCACTCACCCTCAGTATCCGATCCTATTCTGTCCTGTCCTGTTTCGTTTCATCGAATCTTAACGGCTTAAATGGAGTTCTCTACTTCTTGTTCTGAGTGTATGCTTATGCTATGCTTTACCATTCTATGTTACGTACTATAGCGCTTGTCCTCGTCCCTCGTGAATAAATCGAGTTGATTATTACTTTCTTTTCTTGGTAGCTGTACATGTTGTATATGAGGGTGGATTCTCTATTTCATCGCCGACCCAAACTCCGCGGCCAGTTCTACATAGTGTGTAAATAGCTGGCATGGTGGGATTTGAATCCGATTATATATAATTTTGCGATTGGTGTCTGGGGAGTGTAGTGTAGAAACCTCGTGTGTCCACATTATTATATGATTACGTTACATTTGAACCAGTAGTTAGCAAATCGTGGCATTATGTAGCTAGTTTAATTCATACCATCAGATAAAATCCGACTCGTACCTGAGTCAAAGGAAGACTTGATTGTAATAGCGAATAACTCCCATTTTCACCTCCTGCACCCATACAGCCGACCCAGACAGAGTAAATAGACCAGAAAGCTAACCCATTGGGACCTTTAAACCCACGGATTGAAACAACCTAGGTATGCGAGATCAAAGAAACAGAAGAGAAAAGTGAAGAAAAATATCAAGGGAACCAAGCATAGCTCTTCAGCGGGACTGTTCTTGCACCGTCGTCCACTTCGCTGCACCACCTTGATTTCCACTCCCACTCGTGGGAGGCGGCTTCGATAAAAGCTTCCCTACATTCCGAGGGAAGTTCTTCAAGGATTTCAGGGCTTACGAATTCGGGGTGCTTCGGGTTAGCAACACTGATTAGGCCGTTTGAACCGAGATCATGGACGTCGCCGTCGGGACCTGGGACGCCCATGTTGGAATATGGGGGGCTCTCGCAGTGAACGTCAAGAATGGCGAACCGCCGTGATAAGGCGGCCGGGATAGTGGAAAAGATGGACGGTGTTTCTTCATCGGGCTTGTTCTCCTGCTCTTCTATCTCCATTTGAACATCCGTATTCTTGTCTTCCGTTGTACCATTGGACAAGGTAAGCGTTGACATTTCTTTTGTAAGCTTGTTTGCTGTCCGTGGGTCGGGAGGAGGTAGTCGCTCCCAACGAGCGTGGGTTGGTTGCATGATTTTGGGATATTGTATGAGGTTGGTGTGGATGTCGTAGATGCCTCCTAGGTTTTGTTGACGTGTATGTGAGAGCACAGCGTTGAAGTTTCTAGTTCGAGTGTTAGTAGAGCCTATAGAAAAAGAATCACTCAACTTACGCAGCTTCACGGGCATGCTCCAGCATCCAATTGTCCCCAGTGACTGTAACCTTGCGCTTCTTCGAATCAACCACTTTGCCAGTGCCGGGCACAGGGACAGAGGGCGTAGTAGTGTGATAGACGCTGCTAGCTCCGTGCCACGCCACGTACTGGTTCTTGTTGTACGGCTCTCCTGGTGGTGGTAACTTGTCCTCTGGGACAGCGAGTTCACCGTCCACGTCGCCGCGCTCTCTCGCAGCCTGCGTATTATAATCATCAACAACCTTCCTGCCGCCGACAATGATCTTCGCGCCAAACTCTCGGAACACAGACCGAGCAGTCACCACACCAATGGCTCGACCCTTGTACGAATGCGGGATAATGTCACGCTCGATCAAATCGCGTTTCGCATCGTCATCGATGATAATCTTGTAAAGCAGTTTGTGTTTCTGGAAGAACAGGTACGAGTCCCTGAAGCCGATGCATCGCGCTGGTTCCGTAGACAACATGTACTGTCGCTCGCCGCGATTGAGGATGGTAAAAGTTCGCACCCTATATTCTCGATCTCCCTTGAGTATACCGTTCTTATCCACCTTCATCTCGCCCTCTGGATCATCCGGAAGAGCAACTTCATCATCAATGACATCCATCATATTACCCTCCTTATCGATAGGCACCTGCGTAACATGAGATGGACCGCGACTCCGGCCCCATCGCCCACCACTCGCAGCAGGACGCCCTCGCCTCCTCTTCACCGGTGTGCTCACATGGATCTGTGGCGCTGACCCATCAGCCGGCGCATCCCAGTCTGGGGGACGGTTCTTAGGAGGACGACCTATGCGCCGTTTGCGCGGAATTGCCGAAGGTCGACCAGGTCCGATGTGTGTTGGTGTGTCAGGTCGCGACGGCGGGTTCGAGTCTTGTGCAGGTGCTTCGACAGGCTCTTCTTCCGGGGCTGGATCTGTCTGTGCTGGGGTAGCAGCGTCCTCATCCTTAGGTGACGTCTCCCGTTCACCTCCTTCCTCATCCTCATCGTCTGCTTCTTCTGGCTCTACGCCGGCTGAAGATTCACGCGACGGAGGGGCTTCGATCATTTCCTCATCCGAGGCATCGAGTGGTGGGGGCACATTTTCTATAGGAAGGACGTTAGTTGGCGCGTTCATGATCACCCATGCCAACGTAATGACTGCAGCTGAACATGGGATGAAGGGAGGAATTGAAAAGTAGGAAAAGTAATTATCAACTTACTGATAGATTGCGCAGCTGCTTGCGCGGCTGCTCGCAACTTCCTAGGCATTGCTGGCAACTGGGCTGAGGCTGGAATGGATTGAACAGAATCTCAACGCCGACAAGCCAGTCAGAATAGATTGACGCCCCTGCACTTTCCAGTGTCCGCGCCGGAGCTGTCCCGGTGGAAATACGTTTCCCCGATACAGTCACGTGCAAGCCATGTGCTGTCGATCTTCAAGAGCTTGCCCTGTGCCCTATGTGGATCTAAAAAGGGCAAAAGCGGTAAGCCGGTGACGTCACGGTACTTGTCTCAAGAGGCGCTGCAGATTGCAATAGAGTTAAAGCTGCAACTCGGGTGAGAACGGCATATCGAGATCCTACTATATCGAATGAGGCATCTTTTAGCATTAGCTTCGGCTCGGTAACCAGTAGCTGCAGCTACGGCCACTCCGTCGCAGAGCTCGCGTCCCTTGAGCTTGCCGGTGACGTATTGCAAGAACAGTTCACATGCCAACGCCTCGATGTCGAGGAACATCTATTCTCGCGATATTTTGAGCATCAAAAGGGAAGCTCAGCATCACCGCTATGCAAGTGGCTCAAAGCGCGGGCTATAATGCGAGCTAGATCCTCAATGGCACGAGGATTGAGAGACAAACCGTGGGATTGAGGAAATAGACTTCTTCCATCGACGTTCTTCATAGAGGTAAGTTTGACAAAAAACTCAAAACTTTGACTCGACACTGGCGTTGAATGACGTACCTGTCTTTCTTGAACAGTGCAAGGGCATGTGGCTTTCAGGTGCATGACCCTCACTCGACAACCGCAAGTGAAAAGAGGAGAACAGCTCAATGGCAACCGAAGGATCATTGTTCCGTCATGGTACACACTCCAGGGTACTCCGGAGTAGGGGTAAAAACCATAATCTTGATTAGGAAACGCCGGGTTCTCGAACCAGTTTTCGATGACGCAGAATGTCCGAGAGCGGTGCAACCACCTCGCAGGGACTGCTACTAGCTTGGCAGGCGATATGCAGGAGACAGAGCTGCCAATGGTGCAATGGGTGCGGAAACACCTGATTAGGCTGTGTACAAACTATGCGGCTATACGCCCAGCCTGGTCTAACCACTTACTCCGGATATAGTAGAGCACCGGAGTTATAAAACACCGGGGTTAGATTCCGCCTAAGGCTGCTCTCGTCTTTAGAGCAATTGTCTCGGAGGTTCGACCCGTCCCGATATATGTACTGCGAAAGACATCAGAGCCTTTGTACTCGGAGTAGAGCACGCCTAAAGAGCGGTAAGGCTGCGCTGCACATCATTTGAAGTAAGCAAGCGCTGAGCCCGCCTCGTCCTGCGCGCGTGCGGTTGGCCTGTAAAGAGTTCCAGCCACTCATGGTTCAAATGTGAGCTGGCGTCCTTGAAACAACAGCACAGGACGCAAGCATTAGTGGGCGAAAAAGGCCGCGTTGAAGTGGATAAGGCAACTCTCATGCAGGCTGCATTGCAATCAGGCAGTCGGTTTCAGAAGTGCCCGCGAGATCGAGAGATTAGCTGCACGGAGCGGTCTTCTGCGAGGGCAACATCAATTGTATCGGTGGACCATACCCCGCCTTTGCTTTACAGACAGGAAGAGGAGGTGGCGGAAAACTCCCAACATGCGAGATAAGACAGGGCGAATTCAAGCGTCGCATCGAGTCGACGACTCATACTGAGCAACCTCAGCGATCTGTCGGACTCGGCATCACCGAAAGGAACCTTCGAAGGCAACATGACAGGATGCCTGAGCAGGATTGTAGGGAGCACAGAGATGAAGGTACACAAAGTCTAAACCCTTCCCCTCATTCCCTAGAAAATTAGAACAGAATTAGACTTCTCCGAGTCGCCGCGCGTGGCACTGCTGCTTGCTGTTCTGTGCATGGTTCGCGGCCAAGGTCAGGTCTGATCTGGTCACATTCATGCAGCAGATGCTGTCACTTCGCACCGGACCTGCGGCCTTGACGCTTATGCTATACTAGAAGCCGTCTTCTGACCTAATATCACTAGGTAATTGTTTCTCTGATTCTTTCTCCTTGTCCTGGGTGTGTTTCTGTACAAGGTGTGTTGAACAATCTGGCTCAGGGTTGGTCTCATCTATGCGATTCTATGGTTCCTTCAAGGCTTCAACCAAGTATTCATTTGCCCAAAACCAAGCGAGTCTCCACTGCTTAGGGTGTTCCATGGCGTAAATCCATCTCATCCGTGGATCCCTTCAAACGTGCCCGCCTCCAATCCCCTTTAGAGGGCGACTGTAGGCATTATAGGCGACGGATACAGCCCCTCATCCCAGAGGGGCTGAAGAGAGGACACAGTATCTGAGTAAGAAGGACCTGAGAGAACAAACCTATAGATGAGACATCAGGCTGAGGCCCGATAGCGTCTAGTGTACGGAGTACTACAGCACTACACAGCCCGTTCAAGTTGTTCTTATGATTCGCGGCTTCAGCGGCAGCTTATGTCGACCGCGACTTCAGCTTTGGGTCTTTTAACGCCACCCTCCCCTCGCCTTTTCGAGTCTCTTATTGCTCGTCTGCTCCTCTGTATCTGTCTTCTTGGTTGAATCACCCATTGGATCCTCTGCTGTCGATGGGTCTGGCTTCTTTGTGATTCTCCTGTGTTCCTGTTCCCGGTTTGCCTCCTCCGCTCCGTGCCTTGCGCTTGATTGTGTCTGGGCTTCCTTCCTCGATCTCTCCCGAACAGTCTTTCTTTCACAGTTCACTCGAGTACCTTCTTCAACCTTACGGTGCTTGATTTCTCCAACTCCAAGTAAATTCCTCCCACCCCGATATCTGCCCTTCAACCCCCACTTTCCCACCACAATGTGTACCTTTCAGTTTTCCCCTCTTGTCCGCATGGACCAGAGTTACCAGAGTCATTAACACGAGGCCCAACGGTGCCAGCCCACCAGGTTGTCAACCCCTCCTCTCGCACTTCTCCGAACCCGAACGGATCCATTTCTCCCGCAAACTTCCTTCGCTCCTCATTCTCCGACATTTACTCACGTCCTTCTTTCTTCACTTTACTCTTTTCCTTCGTGGTGACCTCGATTGAAACCCGCGATTTTTGTCGGGTCTCCGCACCATCCATTTTTTTCTTTTTGTCTTCTACGCCCCACCTCCGCGAGTCCCCGACAAATCTCGAGTCACACCTCTCACCTCTATCTTGGATCCCGGAGTGACTTTGGTGGACGCGCTAGAGTCGGATGGAATCACAATAATGGCTGATGCTCAGAGTGGTTCAGACAATGCGGACTTGTTGAAGCAGCCACTCCCTCAGAAGTGAGTCATTCAAATATCGCTTTGTGTTCATTCGTCCACCTCGGGCAAGATTTGCAAGGATTGTGGGAAGGAAGATAGGACAGAAAGAGAAGCGAAGAGAATTTGAGAAAGGGTGTGAGATTTGGTGGTCGTGCGATAACGGAGCTGGAGAGTTGCAGTGATTGCTCCGAGTTTGCCGTCGCATTGATTGCCAAAGGCAGCCGCAGCGAATTTTCTCATTTAAAGCTTCTCCATCGTTTTCCTGCTTGCTCTTGACCTTTTTACCCTTGCTTCGACCTTCTCCGACCCCTCCACTTTCCTTAGCACCTGAGCATGTCTGCCGCATATCTGGTCCGCACTCTTTCTTGATTGCTTGGCCATGTCGGCGTCACGCTGTATTCCCTTCCTCCCACCATCAAGTCAGCGAACCGTCACGGATCCTGTGTCGCTAACCCCTCTATCAGCAATGGTTTGCAGGAAGACGATACACAGGATCAAATTGGTTCGAATAGCCCGAGTCCTTCTGGAATTGCCACCCCACAGCCCGACCCGGCCGACAGACGTCTACCTTCCATAATGCACAGTTACTTCCAGGTTGGTAGTTCTTCTGCTGTCATGCTCCGCTCCCTCAAGACACGGTTTTCCCTCTCCGAGCCTTCTTCCTCTTCCGCAGACAATGTGCAATCGCGTGCGCTTTCAGATAGGGCACGCGATGAGCAGTTACTTGGCCATTCATCCTCGTCATCTGGATCCTTTGTTATGATGGAGCATGACGAGGCTCGAATCAGCTCCCCCAATGCTCTACCGGAAAAAAAGCTGGAGGCCCAAGACCCCTCGCTGGAGACTATTCCTCCCGCGGCCCTTCCCACCCCTCCATGTTCCTCGGCATGTTCCCTGTTACAGAAAGAGTCGGAAGAATCAGAAACGGGGCTGTCAAGTCCAGACAAGGGAATGGGCTCTATTTTCACCACCTTGAAGAATTACCTCTCCCCCTCCGGAAGCATGTCCTGCTCCGTCCCTCAAACACGTCGTCATACCTCACTTCCCGTGTCGAGCGTCTCTGATGATCCCGTCCTTGCCTCTCATTTCTCCAACCCTTCCCTCTCACATACTTCGGAAGCATTTTGTTTGGCAGAAGCACCCCTCCTCGACCATGAGAAACCGCATGTTTCCACGTCTTCAGAGAATCTATCGAAGCTAACTGGAAACGTGTCAAATCCTTCGCAATTAAAGAACACGCCCCCCCTTACACCTCGAGCCATGTCCGACGACGGTTCCCAGCCCGACAAGAAGCATCCCGCACCTCCTCCCCGCTCATCGAATCCCACTCAGACGCCGTCCGATGATATGTCAACATCCGCCGACGAGATTGCGGGGAAGCTTAACGAGGTCTTCCCGTCTCCGATGGATACCTCTTCCCAGCCTACAGGACCTTCATTGGCACCTATGAAAGGGAAACTATACGTCAAAATATCAGAAGCCAAGGGACTCCGACCCGGATTCGATCCTTATGTGGTTTGTGTCTTTGAATGGAACGAGTGCATCTCAAAGAGCGTTCAGGACGAGGAGCAAGAGTCCATAAAACGGCAGCAGAAGGAGCAAAATCACCGGGACCAGTTAGATCTTGATGCCGGTCGACCAATGGCTATTCCCATGAAAAGCCGACAGAGCAGCCACAACAGTGCACTTGATCCCCCATCAGAGCACAGAGGGCAAGCACCCGTGACTGATCCGCACTGGAACCACGAGGCTGTCTTGTAAGTCTGATATTTGATAATCTTTCAGTGGTGTCAGCTGCTAATTATCTTTAGTGATGTTTTTGGAGATCAGTCCGAAGTCGATGTTTCGGTATACGACCGCAACAACTCCGAGGCTTTCATGGGCCACGTCAGGCTCTGTGTGAATCTCAAAGAAGACAACAGTCGTCTTGAAGGCTGGTTCCCGTTAGCGGCCCGCGCCGCAGGAGATTCCCCGGTCTCTGGAGAGATTCACATGGAGATGCGGTTTGAGAAGACAGATAAGAAACAAGTCGGCCCAAACGATTTCCAAATCCTGAAGCTCATCGGAAAAGGGACATTTGGACAAGTCTATCAGGTGAAGAAGAAGGACACGCGACGCATTTACGCCATGAAGGTCTTGTCTAAGAAAGTGATCATCCAGAAGAAGGAGGTCGCACACACGTTGGGAGAGCGTAATATTCTGGTCCGGACAGCCATGGCAGCCTCGCCGTTCATCGTTGGGCTCAAATTTTCCTTCCAGACTCCCACAGATCTTTACCTGGTTACGGATTACATGTCCGGCGGTGAACTGTTCTGGCATCTTCAGAAAGAAGGACGCTTCCAAGAGCCTCGCGCCAAGTTCTACATTGCAGAGTTGATATTGGCACTGCAGCACCTCCATGACCATGACATTGTGTATCGTGACCTCAAACCGGAGAACATTTTGCTTGATGCCAACGGCCATATTGCGCTTTGCGACTTTGGTTTGTCAAAGGCGAATCTCACTCAGAATGATACGACGAATACTTTCTGCGGAACTACCGAGTATCTTGCTCCAGAGGTCCTGCTTGACGAGCAAGGGTATACTAAGATGGTGGACTTCTGGTCGCTGGGCGTGCTCGTATTTGAGATGTGCTGTGGCTGGAGTCCGTTCTATGCGGAAGATACACAGCAGATGTACAAAAACATCGCTTTTGGCAAAGTTCGGTTCCCTCGTGACGCTCTGAGTACGGAGGGAAGGAACTTTGTCAAAGGCCTGCTCAACCGGAATCCTAAACACCGCCTCGGAGCAAAAGGTGATGCGAAAGAGCTCATGGCGCACCCCTTCTTCCACGATATTGACTGGGAAGCGCTGAGCCGAAAAGAAGTGATTCCACCTTTCAAACCGAAACTCAAATCCGACACCGACACCTCCAACTTCGACCCGGAGTTTACCAACGCCCTTGACAACAGTAGCTCGTTGAACGATCGGGCTGCCGCCCTTGCCAATGGGTTTATGGCTGCATCAACACCCTTGTCCCCAGGCATGCAGGCCAACTTCAAAGGTTTTACGTTTGTCAATGAGAGCTCGATTGATCACCATTTCAAGAATGATACAGGGGATCATATGGATGAGGATACTGAACCCTGGGGTCGATCCCACCGGCCCGGAAACTCTGTGGATCACCGCATGACTGGTGTTCAGAAGACTGGGGATGCAGGCGAGATCTTTAATGTTGACGACAATTTTGACATGTGATTATGGCTTTGATGCATGATAGTGGAGTTGCGATGTCTGCATATATCGTGTTCTCTTTTTGCTTTGTATATGCTCTTCTCGATGACCGGGACTCAAAGATCCATGGGTTTCCATTTTGTCCTCATCTTTAACATACCCCAGAAGATTTATGCTCTATCTTCTTCATCACTATTCATTTCTCTTACAGCAGATGGGAGTAATGGCTTCTTGGTTTCCCCTTGTTTGCTCCCTGCTCTCATCCATATCATGGTATGAATAGAGTTCATACTCTTACCTTCCATCGGTCTCATTTCTAGGCGAATTTTTTTTGACGATGCATATTGCCTAGTTACCCATTTCTCTGCCTTTTTGCTCTTCTCACACTTTTGACTGTCTGTGATATCCCCACCATTGATTTCTATTCCCTACTGGCTTGTATGCCCTTTTATTCCGCCTGTTCCCTGGTGCTTTTTGACACAGGACCTGATGCGTTTTGATTGAGTCATCATTTCTGGCGCAAAAGGGATTGCATATCTGGATAGGACAAGACAGAAGGTTGTGGCGGCATATGGTCGATGCAGTGGCGTTTGTATGGCAGCACTGGCGCAGGAGGTAGTTTGGCCAGCTCTTTACCTTTGCGTGGTAGGCTACAATACCTTGTGAACTACAGAACTTGCTGTTTCAAACATTTACTTCCTTCTGTCTAGACCGTACTTCGTAGAGGCGTCAGCACAGAGCCGGACCTTCACTCCATGGATCATGGGCAGGGGCAGAAGGGGCGAGCGAAATCGTGGGATGCGTCGTATTCTCTGGCTCAGCCTCTCAGGGCAACAACCAACGTGCGGGCGATGCCGACGCCCTGCGCCACCGAGCAGGGCGTTAACGCGAGGGTGAGTGTTGAGGGATGATCGAGCGTTAGCTCTGGGTTCAAGGGGTTGCCTCGTTGATTTAGGTGGATGAGCAGCATTAGACGGTTCCAGAAAATGGTCAATGTACGGAATATGTACGGAGTACTATCCATCTAGCGTACGCCCCAAGACGCTTGAAGAAGAGTGGACACAGCTCTGAAAATAATACATCAATCTCGACAGCTTAAGTTGTCAAGAGGGCTGGTTCGAAAGAATACCGTCCGCCCGCCAGGCCGTGCCATCAGAACTAGAAGCTCTCAATCTCTTCAAAAATTCTCTGGAACCTGAGTGGTCTGACGTATGCATGTCTGCGAAATGTTTCTCAGTTGCCCCAGTCGAGGTTGACATTAATTTAACAAACTGGAGCACTTGAGCCAATGGAACTGCGCGATGGCACGAACTGGCGGTTAGACTGGAGCCAAGACTTATCACGATCTTTTTAGGTGAGTTCCATGTTCAAAACTGCTCAGGGTTGAAAATTACTCTCTGTTTGTCTATTGGCTTTGCGAAAAAATTCGATTCTGTTCAACTTCAGCGGCCAGCTTCGGCAGCAAGTCGTCAATGAGCGCCTTGTCAACAAACATTCAGGACAATGACGAAGAGAATGGGCTGAGCGAGGGTTCTGGACAATTTCGATCTCAGCTTTGATGGAAAAAGCAACAAAGCGCAAAACGAAAAGCAAAAATTCGAGTCAACGCGTCCAAGAAAGGGGTTCTTCTTCGTCTGCTCTGGGCCTCTGGCCAATGTGGCCATCTTCCAAGCGCCCCATCCAAGGAAAGAATGATGACTCAAGACTTGAGCTGGAGGCCACCTGCACCAAACCCACCTAGGTCAACTGGAGTTCCTAGGTAGGTAGTGCGGGCCACCTACCTGCATAGTACTAACGTCTGTGCCCTGTTTCTTAGGTGTCAATTTTGCATTCCTTTGTTCTCAACCTCTCCCATCGCTTGAACCCACCACCCCTGCTGGAGTCTCGTGTCCAACCCGCCCTTCGACTCCACGCTAAGAAGTGATTGGGCCCATGTTTACGAACTCCGTGAAAAGACTCGTCCAGAGCTCTCGGACCTTGCAGCGGTCAGCCTGCAGATGAGATATAGCATGCACTCGCTCTCATCTTTACTTGTTTGGGTTGTTGCCAATCACTTCTTCAGGGAAACTAACTTACACTAACGATTTAGTGTTGATGGCTCTTGAGTCTCCTTTGACAATCATGAAAGTCTATGCAAGTCTTTCGCGTATTCCGCTCTCTATCTACCCCTGATCTCGGTTATCAAGTCCGTCCGCTTGGAACCACCTGGCATCAGCGAAGGGCAACCATGATGTTAATTATTCTCCGGCTTACCTCCCTCCACAGCCCACAGCCCCGGCATCAGTCAAGCACGAGCTGGTTGACATGTTCCTGCATGCTGCATGGGGGTTGAAAGAAGTCAGAAGTCAAGAGCTCCGCTCCATTCCTTTATGTGGAGACGATCAGCCCTCGGGTGCCGTGCCAATCCATCCTAGCTCCTTCTCCTTTCCTCAATTGAGAGATGGCGAATCTGGAAGAGCCTGATACCTGAGCCTTCTCGTTAAAAAAGAGCCTTGCTGTTGATTCTCGAGTGTTTATTCGCGAGGCAGCACTCCTCAACTCAAGACAGGAATCGCAGTGCTTCGCCTGCTCCCTTTCCCGTGAACTTTAGTACCCTGGGCATATTTCCTAAAATAGTCCTGTGCTTCGTTTCTGATGGTTATGCTTTAATCTATTTTCATTTTGACTTTTCCTTCTCCTTGCCTTCCGATTGAATTCACGATCTCTCCTTCTCTTGTAGACAGTTCTCAGGATTGTTTTTGTTGCTTCAACTGTCTCTCCTACTCACCCCCACCATACATCAGCAACTATCGACAGCTTTGGATCTTCAATCGCTTCCGTTTCAGAGTGGATCTTCTTTCGGTGCTCCCAGACATCAAACGCGGCTGCTCCTTCCCCTCCGCCGGTTCTCCCCAAGGGGCACCTTGCCCGCAGCTCCTCCCCTCGCTCGAACCTACTTGATCATCCAATGCGCAGTCGGAGCTTGCTATGACTGCTGTCGCCAGTAGGCCCGAAAGTGCTTCTGTGCCCTATAAAACGATACCACATCAAACGCAAGCTATGCATGTGTACACGGATTCGGGATACGGAGGCTCAGTGCAGTCGATCCCTTCACGATCATCCTCCCTTTCCTCCTTCAAAACCAACTATAGCGTCTCGACGGTCCCTATCTCCTCCTCCCCTACGTCCTCAGCCTCATATCGCACATGCGACTCCGCCGCCTCATTGGACAAGATCTTGGAATCTGTACTCAAAAGGGTCCCTCAGGAAGTCTACGATAATATCCTTGACCAGCTGCATTATCTGCATACTGGCCCCAACCAATCAGGATGTACGACATGCTTCCAACGCGACCTGCATGCCCTCTCCCTTACATGTCGCCCATGGGAGAAGGCAGTTCGGGCTCAACTGTGAGTGGGATTGCTTTACTTGCTTTATACTTGGGTCACTGCGTATTGTGCTTGTCAAGGAAGTATAGAACACTAGGCTGACCATTGTACCCATCCTCAGTTATAACCATATTCATATAGTTGGAAGTGATTCCCCCGCCCAGTTGAAGAAATACCGACTGAAAAGGGGGAGTCGATTGAAGCTGTTAAGACGAACTCTTCGCGAACGGAAATTGTTGGCGAACCTCGTCCTCGAACTCCGCGTCCCGCAGGTAGATCTACTTTTCACAACGGGTAAACATACTGCTCAATGGCAAGAGTACCGAGATCTAGTCGCATCGGTCGTTATGGTATGCCCAAACCTGGAACGATTACTGGGCCTAACAATCCCTTTCAACCACGAATTCGACCGCCTGACGCATGCATTATCCACCCGGCGGAAGCTAAAGGAACACACATGGATTCTATGCGAAGCAACGGAGACATCCGAAGCTTCCCCACGCAGCACTTCGTGTCCTGGTAGTCTTGGGCCCCTGCAGATGTTTGAATTCCTGGATTACCATGCTTCATGGACGAACCTGGAAACCTTGATGCTCTATGGCTTCAACCAAAGTGCCCTTGAGCCGAGTATATTCCTGCGCATGATGAATCTTCTGCCATCATTGCGCAACCTGTGTGTTTCGAATTTCGATGCGGATGCCTTTGCCGATAGTGCGCTCTTATGCCTTCCGCCTCTGCAGACACTCCGGCTAGAGAACCTCCCGGGTGTCACTGATGTGGGTCTAACACAGTACACTTCGCGCTTGGAATCACATACCCTCGAATCTCTGGTTTTGATCGAACCGAACATTGAATCCCTCCTTGTGATTTCAAAGATCTTGGCATCCCTGCGGAACCTGGAGAGGTTCAAGATTGTCCAAACGACCAAATGCCCGACGCTGAACACGGATGGCATCGTATTTCAGCCGCTTCTCGCATCATCTAGTCTTAAATTTATGCACTGGGATGTTGCAAGCCCAAACCCGACCACCGCCCTCACCAGGCTCGACTTTGCACCTTTCATCAGACCTCTCCAACATGTGGAGACGCCCAATTCGCATCTTGCCCAGAGCATTCTTGCTGGTGGTTTCCCACGTCTTGATGCCCTGCGGGCACCATCGGATATTGAACCCCCAGGCGCTCTGCAAGCCGTTTGTCAGCCAATTCCCCGGGGACAAGCATTGTTACAACCGGATCGATACAGTCTTCCCCGAAGCTCGCACGGATCCATTCCAACCAGGCCAATGGCGTTACCTGCAGGGAACAATTTGACTTCGGCACGCATACGGGCACAGACGTTTATTGACATGGCTGCAAGGGACACCGAGAATGGAATGCCAGTTTTTGTCACTGACCACTCGGATTCTTACGTACCAGACAACGCCCTGGAAGGGTCTGACGACGAAGCTGACATGGAAATGGATGAAAGTGGGTTCTGGGAGACACCACTTGACCGGCCAAACAAGAATCCAGTACCGGAGGACCACGAAGGCCCTGTGACTGTTTTCGAGTTCCGAATGCCCTCATACATGGGCCGAATTGGTGCCAAGACTAACGAAAAGGACATTTCGATACCGCGTTTCATACTTCGCCCAGATATCGCTGGACAGGAAGCTGACGGTGGTTTGGTCAGTTGGAACCATGTCTTAACGGCCAATCAGTCTTTGACATTCGCTGCCGGGGTTGGAGTAAATTGCTTCGGCAGCAAGAGTCTTATGAGTCCAACCACTGAAGAGCCACCGTCCCCTGCATCAACGTCAACCCCGCGGTTCGGCTGGGGTAGCATTGGAAGTCGCTCAACTTTGGCCACGAGCCCAACGACACCTAGCACGCCGCTTACACCGATGAGCATGACCATGTCGCCTACCGCAGCACTGCCATGGGATAAGGACGTTTGCGCAGGCTCCTGGAATTACAGCCACAAGGCCGGCCGGGACTGGTGGTTTCATATGGAGCGAGAACGTCCTGTGAATTTCGAACTTTACGACGTCAAGAGACTCCTCTAAGCTATGGGCTCTCGTCTGAGATGACTTGCCTATATCATTGCTTTACCATTTCTTGGGTGATGCACACCACACTCGATATGCATGCATGCACGCCGAAACTGCAACGAACTTGACTTATATATTCCTTCTTCTACCCTGCAACTCAGGCTGGATCTGTTATCACTTCCGCCCTATCTCGATGAAATGGGAGTGACTGCTACTTCCAACATCATCTATTATCTTCTTACTTTGAACGTGCAATACCCCCGCATACTTGATACCCTGCATTATATTCTTACCATATCATTCGAGAGAAAGAACATATTGGTCCAACATATCTTATCCATCCTTACCTGCTTCCTGCTTAATTGTACATCTTCCATTCTCGAAACCTCCTCTTACTTCTTCCCAATTAATTCCCACTATCCCTGCAGTATTCCCGCTTCTGTTCTGGCGTCTCGGCGGAATTGCTTTTGGACTATCGGCTTGGCTTGGCTTGGGTATGAGGGGACTACATACATGCTGTGCACACGGGGTATTACATTGGTTGTTCGCATTATACAGTGAGCAAAAGGGACCTGGGGACGTGCATATATTTTCACATTTCCTCTTCGATCTTTGATTTGGTTACTGTATAATGCATCAGTTATTGAATCCATGGATCATACAAATGACAATTCTTGATACCAGTTAGTATCACCCTCTGATCTCATGATCCTAGCATAGACTCGTGGTGCCAATCATGGAGCGCTGGCTGGCGTACGCTTTGCCTAGAGGAACGGACTGAAAGACTATGATGGTAGATACCGTTGATACGCTGATTATAATGAGCTATAGGTACGTAGATACATATCTGGGTAAGACCAAGAGGAAGAAATCTAAACTAAAACAAGCGGAGTACCACAGCGAGTTTTAGACATAGATACCCATGTTCGTATCCTTCTTCTTGGCCTGGACTTCAGCAATGGCATCGACGTAGTTTTCGTGTCCGACCTTGCTCATTCCTTTCCGGAGCGCAATCATACCAGCTTCAACGCAGACGGCCTTTAGCTGGGCACCGCCAAACTCGTCCGTGCTGCGCGCCAACTCGGCCCAGTTGACCGAGTCCTCGACGGCCATCTTGCGAGAGTGGATTTGGAGGATGTTGGCTCGGGCTTCTTCGTTGGGGAGAGGGAACTCAATCTTGCGGTCTAGACGTCCGGAACGGAGGAGGGCAGGGTCGAGGACGTCGACACGGTTGGTGGCGGCGAGGACCTTGATGCGGTCGTCGGAGGCGAAACCGTCCAGCTGGTTGAGAAGTTCCAGCATGGTTCGTTGCACTTCACGGTCACCGGACTTTTCGGAATCGAAACGCTTGGTACCCACGGCGTCGAGTTCGTCAATGAAGATGATTGAGGGGGCTTTTTCCTTGGCGAGCGCGAAGCAATCCCGGACAAGCTTGGCTCCGTCACCGATGAACATTTGCACGAGCTGGGGACCAGCGAGCTTCAGGAAGGTAGCGTTTGTCTCTGCCGCACAGGCTCGAGCGAGAAGGGTCTTTCCTGTACCGGGGGGTCCGTACATCAGAGCACCTAGGAACACAAACGGTCAGCCAGAAAGCTCAGAACTAAAGAGACTTCATATTATACCTTTCGGTGCCTTGATGCCGATCTTCTTAAACCTGTCGGCTTCCTTCATCGGCCATACAATAGCTTCGACAATTTCCTCAATCTGCTTATCCAAGCCACCAATGTCTGTGTACTTTTCTGTGGGCTTTTCATCAACCTCCATGGCTTTCACACGGTTGTCATATTCAGCCGGTAGGGTATCGAGGATGAGATATGAGTCCTTGTTAACACCAATGAGATCGCCGGGTTTGAGCTTCTCATGGTCTACCAAGCCGATCAGGGGGAGATAGATGGTCTGGCGGGTCGATGTTTTGATGACAGCGGATTTGCCTACTCGCGTAGCATCCAAATCGATGTTGGCGCCCTCCTCAGCAGCTTCGGCTTCGACGTCTAGATCCAATAGCTCGACAACATTCCCGACGAGGTATGGCAGTTGTCTATTAAGTTACAAGTTAGTTCAAGCACACTTGTGAATTCAAATAACAAGCGCGTGTCGGACGGCGAGCTCCAACGCCGCCGGATCGCCATGAGAAGAACTGCAGCACACGAATCGAAAGCTTACCTGTTATTCTCAATCTTCTCCTGATTGTCCTTGACCTTCTCCCTCATCGTATTTTGCTCGTGCGTCAACCGCTGGTATTCGCTTTTCATTATACGGAGCTCGTTCTCCAGCATTCGCCGCCGCTTCACAATGTCCGCTGTGCTTGAACTAAGGATCTCTTCATCTAGAAGCTCCTCCTCCTCATCCTTCTTCTTTGCGTCGGCATCTTTCATCTCAGCATCGCCGTCACCGGGCTGCTTGCCGTCGCCGCCATCACCCTGCTGCTTCTTGTCTCTCTCCTCACGCTCGAGGTCGTCGAGATCCTCCAAAGTCGACATGATCGAAGGTAAAGTTTGCGGGCCGGAAGGTATTTAGGTCAATAGAGCGTAGATGTTGTGAGAGAGACTAGATTAGAGGATAAAGACTTGGGGAAGGTGGTGTGTGAAGAGAGCTGGGTGGAAGCGTCGATGAATGCTCTGAGCTCCTGCCGGCGGCCAAACAACGTCAGCTGTCCTGCCTACATCACGTGACCATTACAAATCTACTCTAGCTAACTAACTGACTGCCATACAACGTAACAAGAGCTTTTTCTTGGAGTAGCACTTCAGCGTGGATCGAGAACTTGAGTTTTCATTATATACAGGCTATTTAAAATGCATACCGGCAGTTGAATACATAGGCCAGGCGCATCTATCTCTGTAACATCCAATGAAGCGTATTCCTGACTATAACGAGTCATGTGTCAAACCAGGACCTCCAAGGCCTCACCTGAGTGACTGCAGAACCGCCTCAAATATAAAAAAATGGATTTGGCGCACTGTGCTTGACATTCCCAAGGTTATTCAAAACGTGTTCTCGCCCAAATTTGAGGAGACGATACCGAGAAAGGAAGTCATCATTATTGACTGCGCGACACTGAATCAGTATAGGCGCCCAGTAAATAAGAAGGCCTTCATAAGCGTTTCGAAAATGCAATGCAATGCAAGTAGCAGATACAGTAGGGGGTATAACTCACTATAGCCACCGCACATCCTTCTTTTCCCGGTGAATGCGGAACGGCCGTGGAGCATTCTAAAATTGTCGAAGACTAGCATCGATCATCAGCCTAGCACTTTGCAACTTGGAGAACGAAGCAACACACTTAATGCTGTTCCCGGTTCCAGCTGAGTCCAAATTTCCATGTCGGGCCGACGGAGAATTTCGTCAAAGTGCCTTGCCGCTTCGTACCACTCGTACTGTTCGTCAACAGACCAATCCCATTTGATGGACCGATCATAATTGTTCCAGCGAATCTGAAACAGGAGTGGCATGCCGATATGCCTATCAAAGACTGGATAATGTTGCTGAGGCGTTATGCAATGGTTTTCATTGCCACTTGCATGAGCTGGTTGCCTGAGTCTCCTTAGTGTTTTAGCATGACCCGGATTCTCCTCTGCGAGAATCTTGGCTGCCCGAAAGCCATCAACAAGCAGACTAGCACCGCCATCTCCGTTCTCATGTGACAGTAGGTGAAATAACTGTAATCGCGCTGGGTCCGTGAAGTATGTATTATCTGTGTGCGCTCCGAGAAACTCGTTGGTGTATGCGGTATCTTTAAAAGCCAAGTCGGCCGTGAAGTCCCAGAAACCACCTATATGGTGTGTCAGTAGTCGTATCAATCATTCAGAGGCTAAATCCGTTTCTACCATAATGAGTGGTCCTGATGAAAGCTATCCGGTTCAAGAGGGCCTCCGTAGCCTGCGGGTCAACAGGCGTGTCTTTGACAAAACAAAATCCCCATCTGTACTACATGAATGTTAGTGAGTAGACATCCAAAGCACAAGAACAGGAATTACAATGTTTTCAAGCCATTCCAGTACTGCTTTATCGTTGGCCATGACTGCAGAGTAGGAAACTGTTGGATACTGTTCTTGTCCCGGTGTGCATGTTTCGAAAGGTCTAATGTCGAGGTCAGTGGTAAATCTGCTACGGGAAGTCTTCCTGTTCGTACCGCCATTGAATATCTCCTAGCTTTGCTGGGTTGCGAGGGGGTATATTCCGCATGCGTCTGTTTAGGAAGGAGAAAGGATAGCAGCTAACATGCCCATCAGACCCTGCGAGAAAGTTTAGCTTTCATTGTTAGACCGGATATGAAGTCCTACATTCCACATTGATGGCCTGCTCTTGGTAGACCACGGCATCCACAATGTCGATATCTCGCGGGATCTAGTCGTTGAATACAATATTCGTCAGCATCTGGCAAGGCTTAAAGCAGTGTCCAGGAAAAAGTATACCGAAAAAGACTGAACCATTCGTTGTTTTGTATCTGGATGGATACATTTTGAGCATTGGCAATTGTCTCTTCCATGGGTAAACGTGCTCAGTTAGGCATATTCGAGGTTCAAAATACTGGGAGCCGCGTCTCACCTTAGCCACAGTTTACCACTTAGAGAATTAGCCACCAAGGAAGTATGCGTTGATCGTTTTGAAAAACTTACAAAGCAGGTGATAATTTCCCATCTGGCCTTGGTAGTTGAACAGTCCGACTGTATGCTGTAGCACTGAGCGATGAGCTTTTCCGCAGATATTGAAGGAGAAGTCTCCGACTACGCGAGGTACGAGGCGATCCAGTTTGGACAGACGGGATCATGAGGCCCTTCTGCCCAAAGGAACTACATTGGTTAGCCGATAGTGAGTATCAAAATAGAGATCAGTTCAAACCTAGCTAGGTTTTGAGACCCGAAGGTCCAGCGCAGAGGTCCCCTAATCATACCAAGAGAAGATTGTTGGAGGGGTAAAAGCAATTGCTTGTTGTGGTACGTTGTCTTCCGTGGTGTTGACGATCCTCCGATCCTCGACGAGCCGAGGGATCATTAACGCGGAGAACAACATACTTAGCGCTAGCGACCCCGCACTGTGCTGCAGGACAGCCATCACGTGTTTTCGTTATACTCCTCGTACTATGTACTGTGCGAAGTAGTACCTAGAGTAGCACTACGTCGTAACACCTCTACTAGTATGGGACCACTTTGACTGTATGAGATCATAAGTCACCAATATGAATGGCTTATGTGTATAAATGCATAACGAAGCAGTCCAAAAACATGATGAGAACGTCGGAGGTGGCTAGACTGAGCGTCGACTCGGGGTATCTACCTGACCAAATTCGAGGAGCTGCATAATCGTCTCTTCTGGGAAAATTTTCTCCGTTCACGCCGAACAATGATGCCATTCCCATGCCGTCCAGAAACAACGCCAAGCAAGTAATAACGACAACCCGAAAGAAAGCAGAATCGTGCAAAGAAAAATATCAGCAACAACCCGATATCCAGACCATAAGTACCATCTATGCTATGCTCCCCGCACGTCAATATCCCTTTGGACTGGCATGCTAATACGATTATGTGCCGTGGATGAAATAAGGATCAGAGATTAACACCTGCAGACATTAGTATTCAAACGGACTTGGCTTGTTTCCTGGGTTTCTTACATCCTGTAGTAGCAGCTACCTTCGGCAGTGCGAGTCTGGTCGAGCGTCTCAAGCTTGTATGAAAGGTTGATATCAAGGTCTCGCTTGTTCTTGTCATTCGGCCTGTTGACTAGCACACCAGACACAGTCTCTTCCTCTTCAACGGTCAGGACGTCACGGAGGTAGAACACAGTCTGCTTCCAGTGAGTGTACTTTGCGTGGGGTCCAGTGGAGAAAGTGATGGGTTTGTGGCATGCACCGAACTCAATATCAAACCACGCAATCACTGCATGGATGAAGTCGCTGCGCTTGACAGTGAGTGAGTACGGGACCTCGAAAGCCAGATCTTCCTTGGTCACAGTGTATAGGTCAAAGGTGATAATTGGGCACGGATCAGTAACGAGAGCCTTGAGCTCAACGGTATCAACGAGAGGTTCGGTGAGGGCGATCTCTTTCATGGGACTGTAGTCGAATCCGTACACATTGTCCCAGACTATTGGTAGTTAGAGACGAGATCAGGGCTATCGCTAAGGTAGCGAGCTGGTAAAGTGCTTCTTACATCCAATCTTATCATCCTTGTACTCTCCATCTTCGATCGCGGCCACGTACATGGTAGCCTTGTCGGGGAAGATCTTGCCTCCGGGAACAAGATACCGGTCGCGGGCGTAGAGAACAGTGTCCAGCATGCTCTCATAGAGAAGGAAATAGCCCATCCACTCGGAAATGATGATATCAACCTTGGGGAACGGGAGAACTACCTCCTCCATTTTTCCTTGAAGAAGGGTGATCTTGCTCGAAAGTCCATTGGCGGCAACAATCTCACGGGCTTTTTCGATGATCGAGGACATGTCGACTCCAATTACGTGTTTGGCGCCAGCCTTCGCGGCAAACCTTCGGACGCAAAAATGTCAGATGAGGGGATGTAGATACCCAAGGGCAAAACATACATGCTGAGAATACCCGTTCCGCAGCCGACATCGAGAACAACCTTATCCTTGAAGATGTGGCGGTTCTGGTAGATAGAATCGCGGTATGAGCGAGTTCGGACATCGTCTTTCTATAATAGCGCAAGGTTAGCTCAAAGACAATTTCGCCGTTGACTCCAAGTTGTACTTACAAGCATCTCCTCATGGATTCCTAGGCGGGGTTGATAATTAGCAATTGGAGCAGCAAACAGGTGATTTCCAAAGGCTCTCACCATGATGATCATAACTATAATTATGGTTAACCTCAGAACAATAAATAAAAGTTAAAAGTGTCCAACACCTACCTTGTAAAGTAGCGCACTTCAGCATGGTCCATGCCAACCATGCGGTCAGCGCTGCTGGTGATAGCGGCAGAGTTGTCGGTTTCGCTCATTTTGACAAACGGCGCTCTGATATGCGGGGAACGGTTTGTTTAAGTCTCGGAGACAGAGACTGTAAAGAGGCGAGCAGGTCGAAGATGGAAAGATCCCAAGTAAATGAAAGGATACAAGGGCAGGAAAAGGTGAAATTGCCTCCTCGAAAGCAATGCGTTTGGCGTAGTTTTTCAACTCTCCCGAGTCTCTCGCTCTTTTTTTTTGGGACTTTTCCTGTATTGGGAATTTCTCTCCACCACCTCTAAACTAGTAAGTTATTGGACTAGCGCATCTTATCTCTTATCTTCATGTGACTATAAAAGCCCTAGGCTCTGATTAGGGCTGCATTTGGAAACATGTAGTCCAGCCACTTCCAGAGTGAGAATCACCCAGTAGATAATACCTAGGCTCTCTGGACTATAGGAGTAAAGCCTTAAGTAACCATAATATGGTACTTCTCTGGGCTTTCAACACTCAGCAGAAATGCAGAAGTTCAGAACTGATCTACACTGCCAAGATGGTTTACTCCGCCAGAGCTCCGAGGGTCCGGCTGACGGTCAGCCCTTAAACTAGCGCGGTTCTCCCTACTTTTGGCTGTCTGCGCGCTTCTGAACACGGGGTATCTGCCCGACAAGATTACACAATGGCCTTGAGACCAGCCGCAAGGAATATTGGGTATTATCTATTTTTCCTTCTCCTCGCAACCTTTGTTCAGAAGTCATCTGCGTCGTTAGGTGACCATCTCCCCGACTTCAAATCATGTGTCAAGGTACATTCAACTCAGCAACGGCGCGCGTGTCCTGAATGAGCTAATGGGAACAGATATGCGAGGCTGAAAATTGCCAGGATGGAGACTCGGCTGTCTGTACGTCTTTATCAACAAGGAGGTGCTAATAGGTGGTGATGGCTGATTTTGAGCACCTTTAGCTTTCCTTCTCCGGCTCATGTTCTGGACGTGCCCTGCCGAATGCGATTACACTTGCCAACATGTTGTGACAGACCGTCGACTCGCTCGTGATCCGCCTATGCTTAGCCCCGTGGTTCAATTCCATGGGAAATGGCCATTTCGCAGAATCCTCGGCATGCAGGAACTCTTCTCGGTCCTTTTCTCTGGCTTCAATTTCCTGGCTCATTGGCACGGAATGACTCGGCTTCGCGACTCGACCCCGTCATGGCATCCGCTACAAAAGTATTATACGGCATTTGGATATAGCGGCCTCGCCGCCTGGACTTTCAGCATGCTTTTCCATGCACGGGATTTCCCCCTGACAGAGAAGCTGGATTATTACGGAGCAGGAGCAAGCGTGCTGTATGGACTATATCTTGCTACTATACGCATATTCCGTCTGGACCTAGAGCAGCCGAGATACCGGCCGACTCTGCGACGCCTTTGGACCACTATCTGCATTATCCTCTACACCATGCACGTGTGTTATCTCAGTTTCTGGTCGTGGGACTACACATACAATATGATCGCCAATATTGTCGTCGGGATGATCCAGAACACTCTCTGGATTTGCTTCAGTGTTGTCCGGTACCAAAAGACTGGGAAGACGTGGACCCTTTGGCCTGCAATGATCGTGGTTTGGATCATCCTGGCTATGAGCCTGGAGCTCCTGGACTTTCCTCCGTGGTATGCGCTTATCGATGCGCATAGCCTGTGGCACTTGGGAACGGTTATCCCATGTGCATGGTGGTACCTGTAAGTGATCCTCGTTGCCTTGTGCGACAGGGCTAATATGCCATACAGGTACCTCATCAAGGATATCCAGGATGACGTGGCTGGAGAGAGATTGAAAGCTTAAAACCTAGCGAGAGTATGGAGGGTGTCGAGTGCTAACAACGCCACTGCATGGCCCTATCACAACATTCTCAGCCGCTCAGGCCAGTAGTGTAGTCAGCTGTGAATGCTCGCTCACCCTAGGGGGCCAGATGACCGGAAGCCCGCTTTGGGGCGAAGAAAAAAGACATAAATAACCCCCGCACAGCCACAGCTGCATGACAGATGGAGATAAAACTCTTCATCGCGCATTTGACCAAAATATAGCATTGCCTCATCACCGCCTTTAGCCAGTAGTAAATAAACTCACATTCTCGATTCCTTTTCTGTGATTTGCTCAGATCGGCAAGCCGTTGGGACTGGGCCAGCTCACCGCTCGGGATTGTTTAATGTTTGGGGCTGTCGCACCAGCTCCGCTGCAACAAGCCAAAGCCAAGGTGTCTCACTCTCTCGCGCTCTTTTCTTTTTCTTTCTCGACTTTTCTCCCTTCCCTCGATTTTTGCTCCTCTTCCTTCTTCTCGATTCTACAGAGTGTTCTCGTACTTAGAAATTCTTTATTGAGCCGAGCTCGCGCCACAATGGCCTCCCCCGAGATTAAGCAAGCCATCTCAGAAGCCGCTTCACAGTATGCGAAGCCTGAAGGGAAGGTCTTCCAGTATGGAACTGCTGGGGTAAGTGATCTTTCAATTGAAGCTCATTATCTCGAGGTTTAAATGCTAACAATTCTTCTTGCTGCGCAGTTTCGCATGAGAGCGTAAGTCGATCGCTCCATCCCTTCCTTCGGGGTTCTGTCACCCCCGCACCGACCATACCCCGCGATTGGGTTGTTTAACACCTCTGACACCCTCTATCTACTAGTGATTTCCTCAACACCGTCGTCTTCGCCGTCGGATTGCTCGCTGGTCTTCGCTCCAAGAAGCTTAGTGGACAATGGGTCGGCGTCATGGTTACTGCCAGCCACAACCCAGCGGAGGATAACGGCGTTAAACTGATTGACCCCATGGTGAGTTCCGTACCACATTAGAGACCTTGTCTTGATATTTACTAACTGGGTTCTATAGGGTGAAATGCTGGAGGTACGATCAATGAACTCCCAACTTATCATCACTTAGAACAATGGTCTCACCATGACAGGCCGAGTGGGAGGCTTATGCGACTAAACTCGCCAATGCATCTATGGAGACTATCGCCGACGTATACGAGGAGCTCATCAAGGAAATCGATGTCAGCATGGAAAACCCAGCGCGCGTGGTCTTTGCGCGAGACACCCGTGCATCTGGTTCTCGTCTGGTTGGGGTACTTGGTGCTGCTCTTACCGCCACGCAGGTCGAGTTTGTTGATTTGAAATTCATGACCACTCCTCAACTCCACTATGTTGTCCGCTGCAAGAACACCCTGGGTACTCAATACGAATACGGCGAGCCTACTGAGCAGGGCTACTATGAGAAACTTGCCGCAGCTTTCAAGAGAGTCATGCGGGGCGTCAAGGTCAATGGAGCTCTGACTGTTGATTGCGCCAATGGTGTCGGCGGTCCAAAACTTAGAGAGCTCATCAAGTACCTGCCCAGCCCTGAGGAAGGTGGCATCGACATCAAAATCGTGAACGATGACGTGATTAATCCCGATAGCTTAAACTTCGAGGTAGGACACCCGACTGGTTCCCTTTGATATCAGTCCTAACAATTGTTTAGTGTGGTGCCGATTATGTCAAGACGAAACAGCGCGCTCCTCCTTCATCGAAAGCGGGCGTTCTTGAACGCTGTGCCTCGCTAGATGGTGACGCTGATCGAATCATCTACTATTTCATGGATGAGAGCAACGTTTTCCGGATGCTTGATGGTGACCGCATTGCCACTCTCGCAGCCTCATTTATCGGCGATCTTGCTCGGAGTGCGGGGATCGCGAACAAGCTCAAGATCGGTGTCATTCAAACCGCCTACGCCAACGGTTCCAGTACCGACTACATCGAGAAAGTCCTCAAACTTCCCTCGGACTGCACAAACACCGGCGTCAAGCACCTTCACCACGCCGCTCTGCGGTTCGATGTCGGTGTCTACTTCGAAGCCAACGGACACGGCACGATTACCTTCTCCGAGAACGCCCTCAAGACTATTAAAAACACCGAGCCCCAGTCCCCAGCTCAGCAGCGCTCTCTTGAGAGCCTCGATGCCCTTACCGACCTGATTAACCAGGCTGTCGGTGACGCCCTCAGCGACATGCTCCTTGTTGAGACCATCCTCGCTCACAAGGGCTGGACTCCGAAGGAATGGCTAGCCACCTATACCGATCTCCCGTCCCGCCTTGTTCGCGTGGAGGTCGCTGATCGGTCAATCTTCAAGGCTTACGATGCTGAGCGCAAGCTCTCGTCACCTCCCGGTCTCCAGACTAAGATCGAATCGCTGCAATCCCGATACAACAAGGGCAGGAGTTTTGCACGTGCCAGTGGCACAGAGGACGCCGTGCGTGTTTACGCTGAGGCGGCCAGCCGATCCGAGGCGGACGATCTTGCCACCCGCGTTGCTAATGCGGTTCGCGAGGCCGGGACCAAGGAAGTCATTCAGTAGTCTAGAACTATATTGGCAATGTAGGAGTCCAAAAAGTAACTTGGCTCTCGTCGAAAAAAACTTTAATGATGACTATTGACGATCTGAACATTTTATCATGCCATACATTATAATATAAAGTATTATTGTCAACCATAATTTGTCATTCGTCATGAAAAACACAGAACCACCAAGAAGTAGTAAATATGGGTATGCAATTTTAACGCTCAACTTTTGCAACATGATAACAGCATCTCAAACAAATAGAAAGCACTAGCCCTCCTCCTGATCCATATCATCCCTCGAGCGCTTCCCTTTCCCAAACTTGTTCTTCCCCCGACTTCCCCTCTTCTCGTCGAAGCTCTTCATCTCGATAACAGCCTGCCTCTGCGCCTCATTATCCCTCTCCGCCATAACCATAACCTCCTCCTTGTCAACCTCGTATTCCGGCAACTTCTTCCCCAAGGCATACTCAATCCTCATGTACACCTCGAAATCATACTGACTGACAAAACTAACCGCTACACCGCTCTTTCCAGCGCGAGCAGTTCGTCCCACGCGGTGGATGTACGTTTTTGAGTCTGTAGGCAAATCGAAGTTCAAGACGACGTCAACGGAGGGAATATCGAGACCGCGGGCAGCAACGTCCGTGGCGACGAGGATGTCTCTGCTCCCCGATCGGAATTTGTTCAGAGCGCCGAGGCGCGCGGTTTGTGAGAGTTGGCCGTGCAGCGGGATGGCGCCGAAGCCGAGAGTGCGGAGCATGAAGGCGACGCGTTGAGTTTCGTGCACGGTTGTCGTGAAGATTATGACAGATTTTCCGGCGAATTCGTTCAATATATAGACCAGATAAAGATTTTTGTGCTTGTGAGGGAGGAGGAGATAGGATGCTTGGAGGGTTGAGACGGTTTGGTATTTGCTTGAGACGGAGACGCGGACGGGGTTGGAGAGGGATGCGCGTTGAAGGGATTCAACCTGAAATATGGTTAGCTATGCCTCGTGTCAAGGAAGATTCTGGGTAATCACTTTTGACGACATCGTAGCAGAAAAGAGATAGGTCCGACGTTCTCGAGGTAAGACTTTGAGAATCTTGTCGAGCGAGTCACCAAAGTCCATATCCAACAGCCGGTCCGCTTCGTCGATGGCGAGGTATTTCAGGTTCCGAAGAGAGAACCCCTTTGTGTTTTCGAGATGGTCGACTAATCGTCCAGGCGTCGCAACGATAATATGCGGTTTCTTCCCTAGGGCTATACTCTGCGCAACCATATCCATACCTCCAACAATGACGGCGCATCGGACGCCAATCGTAGACCCCAGGGATTCGAAATTTTGAGAAATCTGATAAGCCAGTTCACGTGTAGGAGAAAGAACGAGACCGAAAAGCGTCTGGGGCGATTCCATAAGGGCTGGGGCTGTTAGTAACAAGGCGCACAAAAGAGTAGGTGGTGATCCTCACCTTGAAGCATAGGAAGCGCAAAAGCCGCGGTCTTTCCACTTCCTGTTTCTGCAAGACCGATCACATCACGACCCGATAGGGCCAGCGGAATGGTTTCCGCTTGAATGGGGGAAGGGGCCTTGTAGCCCATGTTCTCGCAGGCCTCGCATAGCTGGTCAATGATTCCGAGCTCTTTGAAAGTTTTGGTCGTTTGTTCTAGATCTGCGGATGCGGAATTCTCGGCTGATTTTGGGGCGGGGGAGGATTCTGAGTCGGAAGCACTATCATCTTGCACTTTCTTCGGTCTTGCGGAGACCTTGCGCTTCTTGTTGACGAACGGCATGGTGAAAATTGCAATCTTTTGTTCTTGATCGAGGGAAGCGAAACTCAACTGTTGCTGTTCGTCTGATAAAAATTAATGTGGAGACCCACGGCAGAACAGTTGATCCGGGGACCCCCTGCGGAGCCGGAGTTTATCTTTTTTTTCCGCCTAGAAAAAAAGTAGTCGGCCAGAACAAGCACAACTGAAGATTCAGCAACAACATATATTTACTATTCACGGAGCCAGCTATAAAACATGGCAAGGCATACAAAGAGTCGCACGAAGCCAAAGGTGCCAAGCGGCCCTGCCAATGGCAAAGGCAGCGCGTCCTCAATCGGGAAAACGCCCAAGTCGATGGTTATTCGAATCGGAGGATCGCGAGTCGGGAGCAGTGTTAGCCAGCTGGTCAAGGATGTTCGTTTGATGATGGAGCCAGATACTGCTGTGCGATTAAAGGTATGTTGCATCGATCCAATTGTTTGACTTCGATGATCCTAAAATTTGTACAGGAACGCAAATCAAACAGATTACGAGACTACACGGTTATGTGTGGCCCTCTCGGCGTCACGCATCTCCTCCTCTTCTCCAAGTCATCTACAGGAAACACAAATATGCGCTTAGCGCTCACGCCGCGCGGCCCAACCCTCAATTTCAAAGTAGAAAGCTACTCTCTTTGCCGAGACGTCGAGAAGGCCCAAAAGCGACCACGAGGCGGAGGTCAAGACCACAAGACACCTCCTCTACTTGTTATGAACAACTTCAACACCGCCGACTCAGACGAGAACTCGAAAGTTCCCAAGCGCCTTGAAGGCCTTACGACGACCATCTTCCAGTCCCTCTTTCCCCCAATCAACCCACAAGCCACGCCCCTCTCTTCTATTCGCCGCGTCATGCTGCTCAATCGTGAACCCGCCTCCAAGTCTGACGATGAGGGGTCATATGTTTTGAACTTGAGACATTATGCGATTACGACGAAGAAGACGGGCATTTCGAAGCGGATTCGACGGCTGGATCCGAAGGAGGTCCGGCATAGAGAGAAGCACGGGGCAGCCGTACCTAATCTTGGGAAGTTGGAAGATGCTGCGGATTATCTACTTGATCCTTCGGCTGCTGGGTATACATCTGCCAGTGAGACAGAGGTGGATACGGATGCGGAGGTTGAAGTTACAGGAACAACCACGAGAAAGGTGCTCACGAAACGGGAGCTGCAGCGCATGCAATCGGGAGAAAAGGTCGATAAGAAGACGAGCACGACCGAAGTTGAGAAAAGAGCCGTCAAATTGGTTGAACTCGGTCCCCGGTTACGACTCCGGCTGATCAAGGTCGAGGAGGGACTTTGCGAAGGCAGGGTTATGTGGCACGATTATATTCACAAGTCCGAGAAAGAGGTCGACTCATTGGATAAGAACTGGGACCAGAAGAAGAAGGCCAAGGAAGAGCGCAAGAGGCTTCAAAAGGAGAACGTCGAGCGGAAGAAGCAGGACAAAGCCAAAGCTCGCGCTGAGGGCAAGGAAGTTGAGGATAGTGAGGGTGAGGACGAGGATGTCGACATGGATGATGAGTGGCTAAGCGATGATTTCGATGAAGACGAAGATGTTGAAGCCAAATCAGAGGAGGGGGATGAGTCCATAGAGGAGTAAGTCAGAGTTGACAGGGATACCCTATAGTTCGATATTGGTTCGATGGCCTAGAAGGTAGGTTATATTACATCTCTCTGCCTTGTCGCCATTGTTGGCTGGAGTAAATTGGCATTCTTTCTACGGAAGCATGTGATGCGAGAGTCTAGGATAATGAAGATCCTACTAATTTCATCGAATGGACGAGTTGCTAAATAAGCTGCGTGAACGATCTTATGATGAAGGGCCGGTAACCCTAATTTCTCCGTTGTGCAATCAAAGTGATCATGCAGATCCCTCTTACCAGCCAGCTATCATACACGTAGCTACATGGATTTGGCGGAAACAATCTCGGCATCGACCAGCACTTACAGTGACTCGTTGAAGTATCTTTGAGCTTACCTGGCTATGTACTAGGAACATCTTCATATCCATGTTTCTATCTACAAATACTGGCTTGTCATCTTGAGTGCTCTATCTATGATACAACGCCGTCCTTCTTCAACTGAGCAATCTCCTTCACACTGTACTGAAGGACCTCGCCCAGAATCTCATCGGTGTGCTGACCCAGCGTAGGCGGCGGCGTCCGCACACCAGGTGTCGCATGTGAGTATTTAATCGGTGTATTGACCAACTTCATAGGACCGCACGCTGGATGGTCAACATCTACGATCATCCCACGGGCTTTGACTATACGAGAAAGAGGGGTTAGAGAGACTCGTGCATTAACCAGATTTAGGTTTCTCACCGTGCTCGTGGTTCAATGTCCCTTGAATATCGTTGACGGCGGCATACGGCATCCCACTACCTTCCATGATCTCTAGCCAATGTTGCGTGGTCTTTTCCCTCACGCGGTCTTCGATCAAACCGTCAATTTCTGCTCGGTGCTTCACACGGTCACTGTTGGTAAGGAAACGGGGGTCTTCTTTCCAATCGGGGTGACCCAGGCGATCACACAACACGCCGAAGAGTCTGTCGTTGCCGCCGCCGAAGAGAATGTCTCCGTCAAGTGTGCTGTAACTTCGGTATGGTACGATTGATGCTTCAAGCAGTCAGTACAGCAGGACCGGCAATATGATGATTAATCTGTGGCATACGATGTTCAGTCCCCCATCGCCCCGAGTCCTTTTTCCCACTAATCAAGGCCGAGCTTGCAATATTGGCCAATGTCGCAACCTGGCAGTCGCTCAGGCACGCATCAATATGCTGGCCCTTTCCAGTCCTCACGCGCGCAAGCAAAGCAGCCATAATCGCGTTCGATGTATACAGCCCCGTTGTCAGATCGGTAACGGCGACACCGACTTTGACCGGATCACCATTTCTACTTCCCGTAATATGCATCAATCCGAATTCAGCCTCTACCATCACGTCGTAGCCAGCTCTGTTGCTGTAGGGCCCGGTCTGGCCGTACCCGGTGATACTCGCGTAGATCAGGCTGGGGTTGATTTCTCGTAGTGTCTCATAATCCATGTTGTATTTTTTGAGACTGCCAGGAAGATAGTTCTCCACGAGGACGTCGCATTCTTTGACTAGTTTATGGAGGATCTCGACGCCGGACTTGTGTTGGAAAGAGAGGCCCACGGATTTCTTGTTGCGGTTGACCTGGACGCGAGTCAATTGGGCTCCGACCCTTTCTTATCGACAATGGCCTACCGCTAAGTAGTAAGCGCTCTCTCCGGGGCCTTTTGAATTATCAGTATACTTGGCATGTGGAGGGCCCCATGCACGGGTATCATCTCCTCTTGTCGGATGCTCCACCTTGATCACGTCGGCTCTGTTCCAAGCGAGTTAGGGCCATGTGGTACGGGACAAAGTCGAGCATAGTAGTTGAATTTCAGAGAGGCTCATCACGTACCCTAAGTCTCCCAAAATTTGTGTGCAGTAAGGCTACGTGCATAGTCAGTATATACCCCGCACGAGTGATTTCATACTTTTGGCGATCACACTCACCCCAGCGAGGACCCTCGTCATATCCAACACGCGAATGCCCTGCAAAGGCAGTGTTCCGTCTGCCCCAGCAAGTGGGGTGGAATATGAGCGCCATTGCGTCGCCTGTCTGATTATTATGTTGCTCTTGGTCAATTGTCGGACGTTGGGGCGCTGAGCGATCAACGCCCTCTGTAGCTTAAATGTCACGTTCATTGTGAATATGTGCCACACCTAACACCAAGCGGAGAGTAAATAGTCTCGGAACAAAATCGTCAAGAGGGGGAGCTTAAGTATGAACGAAACTCTCCAATTCGGGGCCTAAGCCGAGGTCGACCCGCCCGCCTGTTCCGCTGAAGCTTGACCCCAAGACTTCTATCGATCGTTCCCCTCCGCAGCCTTGACTTTATCATACATAACTGACGGAAATCTTGCGGAGGTAATTCGGGTCCATTACGAAGCGCAGGGATGTCGTCGGTGCGTGCCGCTGACATATAAAACAATGCAGTTCACCTTGTCGTGATACGGACGAGTCTTTTCTCCCTCAACTCTTTTCCCACCCCTCTTCCGCTGCGGATAACATCAACCGAACATCCATCACTTCCGCCATGTTTACCGGACTTGTTGAGACGATGGGGAGTAAGTGTCCCTTCTCCAGGGAATCGCTATTTGGCGTCAGGACTGATCAGATACTATAGTGGTCTCGGCCCTCGAGCCCCTCGATACCACCGAGAGCGGGGGCGGGGGAACGTCTTTGACCATTACGGACTGCGAGGAGATCCTCACCGATGTGCACCTGGGAGATAGCATCAGTGTCAATGGTACGCCAATTATACCGATAATCCCGGTATATCGCTAAACCCCGATCCATCGGTTATGCGCCTACGCTGGGTATTGCATCATCAATCTAATACCGTTTGCTACAGGAGCCTGCCTAACCGTAACGGCCTTCGAAAAGAACTGGTTCAAAGTCGGCGTTGCCCCCGAGACGCTGCGCCGCACGAATCTCGGCTCCCTGACCGAAACATCAAAAGTCAACCTCGAGCGCGCCGTAAAAGGCGAGACGCGGATGGGTGGGCACATCGTGCAGGGCCACGTCGACACGATCGCAAAGATCCTCGCCGCAACACCCGACGAGAACGCACTTGTCCTCCGTCTACAGCCCCGTGATATTACGATACTGCGGTACATTGTCGAAAAGGGCTTCATTACACTTGATGGGGCCAGTTTGACGGTTACGCAGGTGAAGGATGGGGAGGATGGCTGGTTTGAGATTATGCTCATTGCGTATACGCAGGAGAAGATTGTGACGGCGGCGAAGAAGGTTGGTGATTTTGTCAATGTGGAAATCGATGTTGTGGCCAAGTATGTTGAAAAGGGGATTGAGGCGTATTTTGCGGGGACGGCGGGTGGGAATATGAGCATTCTGGAGAAGATGGTCGGGAGGATTGTGGATGAAAAGTTGAAGCAATAGTTCTAGCCGAGTGGCCTCAAGAAAAGTAGGACACATTGAAGTATAGAGTCTCTATTATTATGTTCCTGTGGTCCATACAGTGAGGACTAGTTAAGGGACAATGCATTAAGACTGTTTTAGATGGTTGGTTGCTTTTGAAGAGAAACCCAGCCATCACGTGACGCTATATAAATCTTGGGTCCGTTCACACGGCTCCTGGCTACAAGATAACGGGTGAAAACCATAATTGACAAGCCGAAACATCCCATATACTGCAGGACATATATATGACAAATCTGCTCGGGGAATGTCCCAGCAAAATGGAGTTCCCTCCTCCCTCGCTCCCCTAGCAGCGCACCCAACCGACGGAACTGCGATCAGGCCAGTCATCACTCCTAACTCGCATCCATCAAATTCGTCCGCGTCGGCTTTTCAAAACCTATCTACGGTGTCCACATCATCGAATCGAAGCCGTCCGAGAACAATCATCCCAAAACTCTCGGCAGCCACGACCGAGCTGCTTGCCCGGTTGGCGGGTAATATCAGAGGGTCGCAGCCGCAGCAGCAGCAGACGCTGCTGGGAAATGATAAAACCCCCAGTAGCCGGAACGGGTTTCCTGTTAATACATCGAATCGAAACATACAAGGTGCCAATGCTCGGAGAGCACGCACCATGAGGGTTTCTTCAGTTTTTATTGACTTGTCAACTCCTCCATTCGTCTACCCAACCAGCGTGGATGTGGAGACGCCGGTGGTCACTACTACTCCGACCTCTGTCCCTGCGCCTGCGGAGCCTTCCACGGCGCTGCCCTCTGATGGATCATCTGAAAAGCCGCCTAGTCTAGCCAACATTGCTCCTAAGCCAGTAGCGACCCCGTCAACTCCTGCATATGTTGCTCCCCGGGTGCCGATCCAAGTACAGCCCCCAGCAGAACCTCAGCCGCCATCATTACCACCATTAGCACCGCTGGTGCCAGCTCCCACAGTATCAACGCCTTCAAACTCTTCTGTACCGAGGGCAGTATCAGCAAAGACAGTCAAAGCCACGTCAGCTCCTCGGCAACGAGCTGTTGCCGGGAACAGAAAAAGCCTGTCCAAGAAACGAAAACGTGGCAAGGGCAGTGACGGTGAAGATGTCATACGAGCTGGAGACTCCAGCTCGGACGAGTCAGACTTCACACCTACCGCAACGCAAACAAAGTCCGGCCGTCAAGTGAACAGACCATCATTATATGTCCCTGAACCTGTTATACCTGCTCTTCCCAAGGAGAACATCAATCCACTCGGGCCTCCAGAGAAGGCTCAGGATGCAGCAAAGAAGCGCAGACGTGTCTCTCGAAAAGGAAAAACCACGACTACAACGTGCAGACATTGTCAGCGTGGCCACAGTGCACCCAGGAACGTCATTGTATTCTGCGACGGCTGCAATCGTGCGTGGCATCAGCACTGCCACGATCCGCCCATTGAGAGGGATGTCATCACAGTGAAGGAGAAGGAGTGGCTCTGTCAGGAATGCAACCCTGTTGAGATAAACATTATTCATCCCACAGTCGTCAGAAGCAACCCAAGTCTAACATGGAATCCTCCTATCTTTGTCCCGATACCTCCGCCCAAGGCTGAAGTCGGGGGCGAACGATTTCCTACGCTTGATCGACGCCAATTTCTCTCAGGGCTATCGCACGCTACCCTCGTCGAGCTGCTTCTTAGCATATCAGACAAGAATCCGACAGTGCCCATGTTCCCTGAGAATATGGCTTCATTGCCTGTATCAAAGTTCCCATCTTCACAGGCCACAAACCATTCATCTGGTATAGAACCTGCTCCTACACTTCCGGTTGCAACGAACAACTCCACCTCAGCCAATCCTACAGGCTTCGCTGCAGGAAACGGTATAGCCACACCCAACCCAGATGCGCCTCAACAGCGCCCTCGCGGGAGATATCAAGAAGAATCATCCGACGAAGAGTCCGAGTACGAGTTCCAAGAGCACCGTCTATACCCACGAGCCGGTAATGGAGTGCGTCTCTCGGCTTTGGCGGAGGATCTCGATATTCTGGCGGAAGACCCGGCTTGTCCTACGTTCAGTTATACTTTGCACGGACCTATGCAGGCTAGCATTGCTGGGAGGGTCTCCGCTTAATGCATCTTATGACCTTTTATGTCGAATAGTTTCGTCTTTTGTTCCATGGGTTCTTGCGGGTTGTTGGTGCATATGGAAGGATTTTTATAGAGCATGGCGTACATTTACCATTACTCGAGTAATTTCTTGAGTATCATATTAGGAAACAAGACAAAGTCAACTTCCATGAACATCAATTTTGGTTAAGGCTATAGCCCCTTTACGGGCTTCGACACCTACATCTAGCTATGATCTCTACTAAACATTGCAACCTGCCAGCTACTCTACGGACGGAAACCCCCAGTCAGAGCCCCTCAACAGCGCTCCCGTTTTCACGCGGCCTCGACTTACAACCGTCCTTGTCGCTTTCGATGGCGGGTCCCAAACAACCTCAGCCACAGTCCTCCTTGACCGAGCCTGACTCTGACCCTCACTCTGGCCCTCACTTTTACTCTCACTATTACACTGGCCAAAACACCCAGTTTCATCTACATCATACACTAGTAGGATATCCGCGCAATCCCCGCATCTCAAACGCACACCGGAATCTGACCTAGACATATCCGAATCCGAAGCGGATGACGGGGATGGAGATTCGGATAACCCAATCGCAGCACGCGCACGCGTAGATACGCATTCATAGAGTAACTCTGCATCAGCGACTGTGCCGGCTTGGTAGATTCCCACGCCTAGGCAGGCTAGGCTTAGGGGATCTGCAGAGCCCCAGGGGGTAAATGCGTTTCCGACGTTATTTACGCCGAGCACGGCGTCGAGGGCGTACTTTTTTATCAGGTCGGGGATAGGAAGTGTCCCTCTTGGGTTGATTTTGGTTCCGCCGCCTGATGGCAAGGGCGCAGCGGCCATGTAGAGATCGCTCGTGGGGAGGCCCACGAAACTCACTGGGAGGTCGTCGTCGTGGATCTCTCTTGCAAGACGAGTCCAGTCTTCTTCTTTGAAGAGCGAAAGACGCGTACAGTGGCCTAGCATGACCCGCCTGCTTGTAGATCGAGACGTCCACCCTTTCTCACGGAGGGTGTCCAGGACATACCAGACAAGTGGCTCGGGCTGCTCCTCCGGCGGCGAAAGGTTATAGTCGAGATGGAAATCCAGATGTCGACGAGTCTCCATCGCCAGTTCAACCGCCCATCCTATATTCCGCTTCGCTGCCCCGATACTCGTCTCAACATACGGCGTCGTCCCCAGGACGCCAACCTGCCCTGGCGAATACTGACGAATAGCCTCTTCGACCAAGGACCTATTCTGCTCCCCAAATTCCGTCGAAAAGACCGGATCCTGCGCGAAGCAAACAAGTTGAATCTCGCACGAGTCTTTCCATTTTTCCTTTAGCGACAGCCCGGCCTCAAGACATGTATGCTGGACGGTATGATCAACTTCGACAAAGGCGCGCATGGCTGTGACGCCTGCGGCGACAGACTCGGCGAGAAGCCATTCCCCACGCCTGAGGAGGTCGGGCCTTGTGAATTGGGCCTTGGCCTGGGTTGTTGAGGATAGAGCTTCTTGGAATGAGCCTGTTTTTGGGAGGAGGGAGCTGTATGCGGGGGTATTGTGGATGTAGGGTTTGTCGAGGTGGATATGCGGATGGACGAGAGAGGGGAGGGCGAAGGGAGGAGAGGGAGCGGTGATATTGGTGTTATTGTTGGGTTTGATAGAAGATATTACTCCCTTTGGTGAGTTTGAGGGATATTCTAATGTGATGTCCCAGGTGGATTTTGGGTCGGTTTTACCTCCGAGTCGGACCCCTCGGATGGTTTGTACAGGAGGTGTAAGTTTGGGAGGCATAATTAACGATGAAGTTCGGGGACGTGGATATGTTCCCGTCGATTGTTATCAGGGGGCAGACTGAATTTACCTTACCTGCTTTATCGTGGTCTGACTGATTACTCCGTCCTGTTCAGCGAGTTGGGGTAAAGTTGCAAATGAGGGGAACCAACCGAGGGACGTCATGCAAACAAATATATATGCAAGGCTGTGGTGGGATACGTAACGAAATCAACAACAATTCAGTTAAACCGACTGTCTAATGATCTCTACAACCTCAATTCATAACATGGATAATATCTCCATCTTGACCATCAGCCAACTGAACGATTGTGACATCTGATTCTAGGCGCCGGCGATTCTACGCTAATCAACCGCCACAGCCAACCCACACTCGAGGCTCGGTTTCTCTCCATCCTGCAACCGAAACAGTGTGAATCTGGTCAACATGGCCTGACAATATTTCTCGCGACTTTCCACACACGCTCTCTTCCTACATCGCCTATTTCTCAACTACAACCTCGACGACTGGACGGATACGATGGCAGACCCCGCACCATCACAACCACCACCAACACCCCGAATCCTTACGACCTCAGTTTCCTCAACATCCTCTCTTCCCCCTGAAAAATGGCACTCCCACATAACATTCGACCTGATTATAACCGTTCTCAACCGCTCAATTTTTCACCCCTTCATCGCCTGGATCGTTGTCCTCTGCCTCCGCGCCCAAGCAACCCCCTACAGCCACCCGGCCTTCCTAGTCGCAGCCGGGTACGCGACGTTCCTCACTATCATTGACGTAGCGTTTATGATCAGTGATAGGATTGCGTTCGGGGCGCTGAGGGAGGTTGATCTTAGCGAGGAGGTTATTGTCATTACAGGCGGCGCGAGTGGGTTGGGGAGGCTGATTGCGCAGATTTATGGGTTGCGTGGGGTGAGCGTTGCTGTTTTGGACATCGCGGCGGAGGAAGATGTGAAGGGGTGGGAAGAGGTTTCGGGGGTGGAGTACTATCAGTGTAATGTTGGAATTAGGGAGGAGGTTGAGAGGGCTAGAGAGAGGATACTGAAGGATGTATGTTTCGGTCTCCCTTTTTCTATTTCTACTGGATGACGAACGCGAATGCGCTTGTCGCGGAGCCTGAAATTGATAATACATTTGCTTGCATTGCTGACTACGTTGAAGTTGGGCGCGCCAACAGTCCTCGTGAACTGCGCAGCCACTAGGATCAATGCACAACCGATTTTGTCCATCTCTGCTGAAGCCTTCCAGAGGACCATCCAGACGAATCTCATCGCTATCTTCCATACATGCCAGGTGTTCGTCCCGCACATGCTATCCGCCGAGAATGGAGGTACCATCGTGAATGTAAGTTCGGTTCTTGGGCATCTGTGCCCTGCTGGCCTCGCGGACTACTCGGCAAGCAAGGCCGGTCTTAGCGCCTTCCATCGCACTTTGGAGACAGAGCTCCGGATGTCAGGGAATAGAGATAAAGTGAAGACGGTGCTGGTAGAACCGGGCCAAATAGCAACGCCTCTATTCGACTTCATCAAAACGCCAAGCGCCTTTTTTGCGCCGGTGCTGGAACCAAATCGTGTCGCGCACGATATTGTCTCCATTATAGACAGGGGGGATAGCGGTATCATTCGACTGCCAACATTCGCTAAGCTCGCCATCTTTTTTGCCGTGCTACCAGTTGGTGTCCAGCGGATTGGTCGATACCTGAGTGGCATTGACGGTGCTGTACCACAGGAACCAACTCAAAGGAAACCCGGGGTGAAAAAGGAGTAGAGCCAAGTCTGGCGCCCTGGCCGTGCCAAGTTTGACCATGTACAGATGTGAAATGAGCTCACGGATATGTTGGAAACTCAAACAGAAATCCCTGCTTAATCATGTGCAATGTCGTGCCTGGGCGCGATACCCCGGGCTAGAAGCATAGTGTAGAACTATTGCTCCTGGGTCAGGATCATCTTCTCACGCTCGTTCTGTCTTGGCGGCAAAGTGCTCTTCTTGCTATGCTTGCGAATATTTTCCTGGCGCCTCTTAATAGCCGCGAGCTCTTCGTTTTTGATCTCGCGAGCCTTCTTGATAGGCCGTGGCACATGGCGTTGACGTTTAATACGCTTGATCTCTGGCATGTGCGAATATCTTTGAACCAAGGCTTGGTCGTACTCCATCTTCGTCCTCTGGCGGGCGCTCTTGATCCCACTGCGGTCCGAAGCATTGGCGCGCCACAATCGGATGTTTCCGTCGTCAGAACCAGAGAGGACGTATTTGTTGTCGGGAGTGAATTTGGCAGAAAAAACACTTTTATCAGATTAGCTCATGTTCTGAAGTAGAGAGAGAGCGGAATACATACCGTTGCATTCTCGTGGTATGATAGATGTCACGGGAGTATCCAGTTGCCCTATTCCACAAACGAATTGTCCTGTCGTACGACGCAGTGACAAGCTCCTCACCCGTAGGGCTGAAGTCAACATCCATGACCGCAGCGACGTGGTCCTTGAGGATGTTCAAAGCGCGGTCCATCTTTCTCATGTCGAACATGTATACGTTGTGGTCCTCATTCGCGACTGCAAAGTTGAAAGCCTCCATCGGGTTCCATGAGATAGCGTTGGATGCGAGTCTGAGAACGAGCCTTGAGAGAGGCGAGGAAGTGCGAAGGTCATAAAGGATGATGGAGCGGTCAAGTGCGGTCGAAGCAAGAACCGAAGTCTCTGTCTGGTTGAAGGCGACGGATGTGATTGTGTCAACGCTTGTGGGCCAGTGTAGTGTCTGGGAAGGTGTTGAGGAAGGTCGGGAAAGATCGTAAATCGAGATCTGCGAAGAAGAAGCGGCAAAGTACGGCTGGTTTCGGTGGTGGGTAAGACTGTTAAAGGATCCTTGACCGAGATATGTTGCGAGAGGAGGAGCCTCAGATGAAGAGTTGTATGGCTCAAACAGTTTTATAGTCTTATCGGCGGCACATGAGAGCAATTTCCGATCGGGCGTCCAGCATACACTTTTCACAATGTTTTCATGTGCCGTAGTGTTCCAGACCTCGCCTCGAGTTGTCAGGTCCCAGACCTTGACCACACCATCACCACTGCCACTAGCAAATCGTTCCAGAGAACCGGGGTCCTTGGCCATAGAATACACACCGTCAACATGGCCTTCACCCATCTGACCTAGGAAGGGTGCCGCAAAGAGGCGTTCCAATTTAACAGCATTCAAAGCTCTCGTGTATTCACGCGCACGCTCAAAAGGGTGCTGAGAAGGATCTAGATTTCGAGGTTGTCGAACCACAGCAGTCCCCGGCGCCTGCTGCGAGGCACTGCTTCGCGAAAGTGCTTTGATTTTCTACGCGGCGTAAGTAAATTGCTCGGTAAGATGATGAGATGCGCAGGGGACCTACCATGGCTTCTCTTTTTCACAATGGTCTAGCCGGAGGAAGACAAATGAAGAAATCAAAATTCTTGAAGCTTGAGAAAGTTCAAGGCGGACCAGATAATTTTCGTCCCATACATTTTTTCGACCGACGAAATCGAGACCGCCGGAGTGTGGGCGGTGTGAGCTTTAAGCCTCAGGCAGAAAGGCTATTGACTTAGTCAGGTGAAGCTCCAGCAACCAAGTGATGATATCCGTCCATTCATCAGCGAACCTCCTTTATTATATCCTTTGCTTTACCTCATAAGCTTCAATCTAGACTATATTCCCTCTCCGGACACCCTCCTTGCTCGAACAGCATTTTTTTTTTTTCTCCATATCCCTCTCACAACACATCGGCTTGAACCATGGCGCCCACCTCTCAGGCCGCCCAGCGGATAGAGGAAGCTCGAGCTCTCGCAAAGAAAGATGCTTCCAAGGCCGAAACAATTTACAAGGACATTCTCGCTCAGGGTCCTGGATCCTCTGAAAGCTCGTCGCGCGATTATGAAAATGCATTGATCGGATTAGGAGAGCTCTACAGGGACGAGAAGAAGCCGCAGGAGATCGCAGAACTGATCAAAACAAGTCGGGATTCGTTCTCTTCATTTGCTAAAGCCAAGACAGCGAAGCTGGGTAAGCTTGATTGAACCTAAGATATAGAGACTAGGGCCAGATAAGGAAGCTAACAAGCGATAATGCAGTCCGCCAGCTGTTGGACCTTTTCAGTGAGATTCCAAACACCCTCGACATTCAGATTGCCGTCATCAAGTCATGCATCGAATGGGCTGTCGCCGAACGACGGTCATTCCTCCGACAGAACCTCGAGACCCGACTTGTGGCGATATATATGCAGAAGCAAAGCTACTACGACGCTCTCAACCTGATCAATTCCCTTCTCCGAGAGCTAAAACGGCTGGATGACAAGCTTATGCTGGTTGAGGTGCAGTTGCTGGAGTCGCGGGTATATCATGCTCTTGGAAACCAGGCCAAGGCCCGCGCTGCTTTGACTGCTGCTCGAACCTCGGCTGCATCCGTCTACACCCCTCCGAATCTGCAGGCTGGTCTGGATATGCAAAGTGGCATGCTGCATGCGGAGGATAAGGATTTCAATACTTCATTTTCCTACTTTATTGAGGCTCTAGAAGGATACAGTTCCTTGGATGAGGGAGAGAAGGCGACGGCAGCGCTTCAGTACATGCTGCTCTGCAAGATCATGCTGAACCTGGTGGATGACGTGACGACACTATTGGGCTCGAAGCAGGCACAGAAATACGCCAGCCCGCGACTCGAGGCGATGAAGGCAGTAGCACGTGCTCATGCCAACCGCTCGCTCGAGGAGTACGAGAAGGCGCTCTCTGATTACCGGTTCGAACTAGGCAGTGACGCCTTTATTCGTAACCACCTTCGCAGGCTCTACGATGCTATGTTGGAGCAAAACCTTATCAAGGTTATTGAACCGTTCAGCCGTGTTGAGTTGGATCACATTGCCAAGATGGTTGGATTGGACACACAGCAGGTGGAAAGGAAGCTTTCGCAGATGATTCTGGACAAGGTGATCATCGGTGTGCTAGACCAGGGCGCTGGGTGTTTGATTGTCTATGATGAGACCGAACGTGATCAAGGATACGACGCTGCTCTAGAAACCATCGCCAAACTGAGTAATGTTGTGGAGGAGCTGTACACTAACCAGGCATCGCAACTGGAGTAAGCTTCTCTGGTTGCCTGGTGGACATTTGTTTCTATACTTTAGAAATGATATAACATCAGAGGCATACACCCGGCGCCTCGGACATACCCTCTTATTCAGAGACTATTCTCAGTTCCGGTAGATCTCATACCATGGTTTCGTAGTGCACCAAAACGATGTATATTACTTGGAGGGAGTGAAGGCGGGTTGTCCGAAACGGGTAAAGCGCGATCGCGAGCAGAGCGAAGTTTGGAAATCCATCGTGATGAATGAGATTCCCATCCAGCGACTTTCGTTCCATCTCCTCGCGCCTTCACTCTCAACAGTCCCAGTTTCTTTACTAGCAATCTTCACCCCCTCGGTAACCTTTTGGATTGCCCACCATGCAAGCTCCAATGCCGCCTGGCTACGGACGTGGCTATCCCCAAGGCGCCCAACGGTCTCCTGCCACGCCTCGGCGCGGACCTCAAGCTCCTGGTTCGTGCCCTTCATCATGCTTGGACCTGTCATCAAACGCTTACTCTACGATGACTTCTAACACCGCGACTCTTAGGCCCCGCAATAGCGGTTCCAATGCCCCAACACGCCGTGCCCCCACAGTACATGACACCCCAGCGCAACCTCGCGCACCAGAACGACGCCGCCCTCCGCCGAAGCCGTAAGCCCACAGACAAGAATATCCCCGATGGTGTCGAAGAAGTAGTCGTCGGAGAGGGCGTCCTGCAATACAAGAGCTTGCGCGACCTGGAGAAGCGCCTAGACGCCGCCGTCGTCCGTAAGAGGTTGGATATTCAAGACTCTATCAGCAAAACAGTCAAGAAATACCGCACAATGCGCATCTGGGTTTCGAACACGGTGGAAGGCCAACCCTGGCAGAACTCTTCTGGTCAGAACGGCGTTCCAGCCAGCACCCCTGGCTCCGGCCGATACAAGGTTCGGATCGAGGGTCGGCTGCTGGATGATGTTAACGACCTCGAGGCATCGGCTAGCGATGACGAAGGTGATGCCCAGGAAAATGGTGATACGATGGAGGAGGATGGTGCCGATGCCAAAAAGCCAGCCTCTAAACGGTCGAAGCAGCGCTTCTCCCAATTCTTCAAGTCTATCACGGTTGACTTTGACAAATCATCTGCGACGAGTCCGGACGAGATGAAGACGATAAACTGGGCCAAGCCGCAATTACCACCGAATGCTGCCAGCTTGCCCCCTACCGCCGACTTCGATTCCGTACAGTTTTCACGGGCGTCGCAGGAGAACCTGAACGTTACGATCAGCCTTGTTAGGGATGAGACTCCCGAGCGTTATAAGCTGAGCAAGGAGCTGGCAGAGGTTCTTGACGTTGAGGAAGAGACCAGGAGCGGGATTGTGTTGGGTATCTGGGATTACATTCGGGCCATGGGACTTCAGGAAGACGAAGAAAAGCGCCTCGTACGCTGCGACGATCGTCTACGAGCGGTAGGTCTACCCCATTCTTTCTCTCACTTCGGTACCTCTAACAAAGTATATAGATTTTCGGCCGAGACCAGATGTTCTTCCCCCAGATTCCCGAAAGCGTCGGTCCACACACTAGCCCACTCGACCCCATCAAGCTTCCTTACACTATCCGCGTCGATGAAGACTTCCACAAAGACCCTACCCCCACCATCTATGACATCCAAGTTGCCGTCGAAGATCCTCTCCGCTCAAAGATGCTAGCCCTCACTCAAAACCCTCAATACACAGCTGGAATGCGCCAAATCTCTCAGCTAGACGACCAGGTCGCCATTATCATCCAGGCCCTTACTCACTCACGCGCAAAGCACTCTTTCTTCACAGCGCTAAGCAAAGACCCCGCTACGTTCGTCCGCCGCTGGATAAACTCGCAGCGCAGGGATCTCGAGACTATTCTCGGCGAAGCAACCCGCGGAGGCGGCGAAGATGCCAGTGGACCAGAGTTCCGGCGCGGTGGTTCAGATAGTGTCTGGGATACGACGGTGGCTCGCGAGGCTGTTCGCTATATGCTTGCCAAACCGGAGGCTACTATGGGTCGATGATTCGTAGAATGCTTTATGGTTTACAGTAACTTGACATAGTGTTATCATTGTTCATGTTTCACCCAATGGGGTAAGATGGTTGGTTGGTTAGGACCTCGAATTTGTAGGCGCTTCTGTGGTGTTTTGCTGGCTTGTCTCATTTTTCTTCCGCACTTTATCCTCGTTACATGATATAATACAAGAGCGAACTTATCGTCGAAGTGGCAATACGAGCCTGTCGTAAGGTTGAGAGAGCAAGCGGTGTTTGACGAGAAGTGGGCAATGACGAACTATTCTAGACCCCTTTCCAGGAAAAATGATGAACGATTGATATTCGAGAATCAAAACTCCAACCTTGCATAATGATATCTTCACCTACGGTGTGTTCCTCAAACGGGTAGTACACGACCAGGCTAGGCAACGCCTTCACTCCGCTACCTGTATTGCCATCCAAACTTTCTCAGTCTTGTTATGTCCAACTTAGGGTCTATACCAAATCTAAGCCCTTCTGTTGCGCAGCTCCTCCGTGAGGCCGGAGTCCACACCCGTAGCTGCTGATTGGGCAACTGAAGCGTTATCGCCCAAGTACAAGCTTCCTTCCTCTTCTCCTAGCTTTGCGGCGGCATCAAGGACAGCCTTTTGGGCGAGGTCCTCTACCGAATTTTCCTTATTTTCTTCCCGCGGGTTGCGTTTCTCCTTGGCGGAGCCAGCGGCGGGTCCCCGGAAACGTTTCATGACAGTCTCAATCATCTTGGAAAACCAGTAGTAGTTGAGACCATTAAGTATTAGGTTGGAGGTGACGTAGGTGAGCACAAGCCAGGTTGGGACACCGCCAGCGGTGTAATGGGAGTATTTGGAGATCTCAGCATTAGCCCTGACGCAGGCCTCGTTGATGCAGAGGGAGCCGTCATTGCGAGCCTGGAAGACCTGAGCTGTAACGTCGACGGGAGTGAATGCGGACGCGGAAGGCGAGGCGGACCAGGTTTGCTTGAGGGCGTTGAACATGTCCATGTAGACATATACGGACTGCCAGGTGCCCCAGATGAGACGGCAGGAGAAGAATACGAAGAGGAGGAGCATGCCGTTGTACCATTGGAAAGAGCTGCCGGTCATGTTGACCTTGTCCAAGAACCAGTGAATATTGAGGAAGGGGCTGGAGAGCTCGTAGAGAATAAAAGTTGGGGCGTAAAAGTTGACAAAGGGCCTCTACACAGCAGATTAGTCTTCTGGTATCCCAGCCCTATATTCTCAGGAGGACTTACGTATCCGAAGCTGAATACCCAAAGAGCAGAGATAGCATGGAAGAGCATGCCAATGCCAAATAACTTGACGTACACGGTGCTGACGATAAGGTCGTAGATAAAATAACCCACGGCAAGAGAACTAATAAGAACACACGACCCAGTGTATCCATAAACCCGTTCCCCTGAGTTCATGGACTTCCTCTCCTCATCTGTGAAGAGCACCCAGAGAGCGACAGCACAGATGAATGTGCTCTGCACGAGTGAGACAACGTGTACGTCCCAGTTGAGCTTGGTACGTTTGTTGAGGGTAGGGTAATGACGGGGAAACAACTTTGGCGACAGCCATGGCGAGAGGACGTAGTGGATTAGCAGGTAACCGACGAAGGTAACGATAACCTCATGAGAGTGATCGGCGAGAGCAGGGAGGTGCAGACGCAGGGCCAAAGGCTCGACAGCCTGCCGTAGCCACTCCGGAGGAGGTGGAATAGGGTCCAGCATGCTGGAGTTGACCACCAAGCTGGTGGGTTACTGAAGTGATGTGTAGATATATACAGAGTAGAGAAGGGAGCAAGGACGGAAAAGAGGGGATCGTCCGCGGCAGACCCCGATATAAGGCTGACTCTGAAACTGTGACGAAGCGCTAGGGGAAGCGAACAGGGCGGGGGTTTTGGAGAGGCTAGAGACTGTCCATCTTGGGGGGGAAACGATGATGCCTGCAGAAGGAATGAGGTGAGCTGAGATTCCCACGTTTATCAACTTTCGATAAAGATGATATAGGGCGGAATAATTACCGGAGAGGGAGGCCAATTGGCCGGGGAAAGGATAAGGGGAGGGATTGTCAAGGTCGCGAGTGACCCGTCTGAAGTGCAGCGGATGCTCCTGAGCTTCATTATCCCATGATTCAAAGATTCAACAAAGGGTGATCGCGTGCCGCTGGATGCCTGGTTTGTCAGGCTGAGATAACTCGTTGGGGAAGGCACATGACTCGATCGTGGCACTTCCGGTTGGGGAAAGTACCTTTGGCGCTGGGCAGGGGCGACCTCGGACCATGTTGTACTCCGTACTAGGGCTACAAGTGTGGGGAAGTGGCACAAGGCGATTTGGAAGAATGGCTTGTTCATTTACATCTAACTAATCATAAAACAACATGTACGTTCATCCGAGATCAAAACAACTCGGGATGCAGGGAAAACTTTCGTAAATATGTAACAAAGGAAAATACAAAGAAAAGAAACCTTGCTTCGCCAAATCCAACCTACGAGGCAGACCGAAGAATCAGCTATAAACAGAGCGGCGCGAGTGGTGTATCGTGAGAGTCATTTTCAATCGGCATGCGGTCGCTAAAAAAAGTCATAAACGGGGGATGGTCAGGTCGTCATCAGCCCACTGTGCTCGTGATCTCTGTGCCGAGTCCGCTGTCGCTGGGTGGTGCATACAGCACCATCTTTGATGACTCTTCGTCCAAGAGCGCTTCAAGCGATTTTGGATCGTCGACAAGGTCGGCTGTCTTCGCTTCTTGAGCCTCTTCAGCCTCCAAGGGCTCGTTCTCGGCCTTCTCCTCTGCTTCGCCCTCCTTGTCGACATCATTCACCACGGATTCTTGGACAAGCCCACTCATGGTGCTGGCAGCGCTGGCGTTACTCACTTGCCGGTTCGTGGAGATGACGCTCCCTGGGCCGTAAGTCATGCTGTCCGCGTAGGTTCCTGTGTAGCTAGTCCTTCGCTCCGTACCGGTGTCGCTCTCTTCTCCACTCTGGTTCTCCTCTTCCTCCGCAAACACTTCGTTTTCCTTGTTGGCCACTGAACTTCTGCCTCCCCATGACGCCTTGCGGTAGGAGAAGTTGGACTTGACTGATTGACTTCGCTTCAGGTTCGTGAGGCCGCCGGTTGCGCCTGATTGCCTGTCGGCGAGCCCACGGTTCCCTGTAACGTGACTAAGGCTGAGGATTCTCCTTTCCTTGCTCGCTGCTGGTGCGTTGGTGGAACCAGCTTGCGAGGCACGCTTCTTCAGTGCCAGGCCAACGCTGCTGCCCAGGATGCTTCGAGTGTCTTTGGCTGTACTTGTGCTTGCAGTACTCGAAGCGCTCATGTTGCGGGCACGGGCGTTGCGAACCCTCTTCATGGCCAGGCCTTGGGCACTGTTGGGGCGGTTGAGAAGAACGGTGCGAGCATGGTCAAGTACTCCTTCCAAGATTCGTTTCTCCAGGGAATCGGCGCGCTCTTCCATGACCTGCATCTCCTCGTGCCGCAATTCGAGGGCCATCTCCAGACCAGAGACTTCCTTGTTGAGCTTGGCGTTCTGGGCCGCAAGCTCATCCTTTTCAGACTTGAGTCTCTGAATCATTGACAGCAGCGAGTCCTTTTCGTCCTTGAGGTTAAGAATCTCTGCCTCGATCTGCTCTCTTTGGGCAGTTCGTCGCTCAAGAGCCACGGCAGCTTCTTCCGCCTCCTTGCGCCTGCGTTCATTCTCGTCCGCCACAAGGGCGGATTGAGCCACGAGCATCTCGTTCATCTTGCGGGACGTCTCCATGATATCCTTGTGCATTTCATCGAGCTTCATCATCTGGTTAACAGAGTGCTCTGTGTTCGTAGCATGATCAATGAGAGTGTCGAGTTTCTCGTGTATGGGGCCCTGGGAGCTCGTGGCTTGGTCGAGTAGCTCATTCAGCTTCTCGTACACCTGTCCATTGGTGCTTGAAGTCTGGTTGAGCAGCTGATCGAGCTTTTCGTGCACTTGGTCATTGGTAACCCGCTCGATGAGAACATTGAGCGCATCCTGCACTTGAGTACCCTTGGTATGTTCCAAGAGATTGTTGAGTTTCTCGTGGACCTGGCTGTCGTCATATTTCTCCGGTTCTGGGGCTGGGAGTGCCAGCATCTTTTCAGTGGCACTAGGAAGCACGGCAAGATCCATCTTGATGTCTTGCGCGGTTTTCTGGGAGTGGTTGTAATGCTGGCCGACGATGGAGAGGATTTCTTGGATGGACTCCAAGACCTGAGGGTGGAATTCATGCAGCTTGGCTTCGACACGTTCAGTGGTAGCGGCAGCTCGCTCAACATCAGACCGAGCCAGCTCCTGCTGTGATTTGACTTCGTTGTGCATTTCCTCCATTTTGTTGTAAGAAACGTCGACTTTCTCGAAGAAGGTCTTTGCATCAGCGCTCATCTTCTCGCATGCTTCGTTGACAGTGTCGCCCATGGAGCCAATGACGAGCTTGATGTCTTCAGCCAGGGCTCTCGTACTCGTCACTGCCTCTAGATTCTCACTCCCTCGCTCCGCTGCTTCAGAGAACTTGGACTCCATCACCGACTGGGCCTCGTCATATTTGGCCATGACTTCACCCACCTTCTCATCGATCTTTGCACCAAGCTCAACGAGAATAGCTGCCTTGGTCTCATCGTGCTTGACAAGAACAGCAGCGTCTCGCTCCTCTTTCTCAAGTTTGGTCGCATCCTGCTCACCGCGTGCACGCTCAAACTCGCGATTGATGAGCTCAGTAAGCTCATTGACATTTTCGACGGTGGTGAAGCTCTCCGCAGAGGTTGCGAGGCCCTCCAACAGCTGCTTGAGCTCGGATAGTCCTTCATGGCTCCCATCGAGTTTGCTTTTGAGCTCATCGCCGAGTCCTTCCACGACGCTCCTAGCTTCGTCAATCTTTTCGGCCAAGCCGGCGTGTTCGATCTTTCGTGCTTCGAACCCTTGGCCAGTCAGCTCGTGGTCAGCTTCGACCTTCTCCTTGAACTCGGTCATAAGAGCAGCGATGTCCTGAATTTCAGTTTTCGTGGGAAGAGTTTCGACATCGGGAAGTTTTAGCTCGTCAATCTGAGTTTTGACCTCGAAAATCATAGCTTCGACTGTCTGCAAGTCTGACTTGACCAGTTTCTCAGTATCGGTCTCGCCTTCTTCCTTGGCTTCTTTGCCTTTGGACTCATCGAGGGCGATCCACATATCCTTCATGAGCGTTTCCAGGGTGCCGATATCAGCCTTGGTCGGGCATTCTGCATCCATGCGGCCGTAAAGCTCAGTCACAACATCCTTTGTCTCTTTGACAATCTCCTCGAGACTTCCCAATTGCTCTGCTCGAGCAATCTCATCCGGGGCGGGGAAGATCATCTCGTCAAGCTGCGACTTTGTGTTTCTGAGCAATGTTTCGATGGCATCGGTGTCCTCCTTCTTGGCCGTTGGTGACGTTTCCTCCGCAGGGTTCTCGCGAGCGACGATCCCGGCTACAGAGGTCTGAAGGTCGCTCAGTCCGAGGAGAATCTCATCCATGTGCTCCTTCTTGAGGAGATCCTCAGGGAGGTCCGGGGCGCGTGGAGCAGATTCGATAGCATCGACTTTGACCTGAATCTGTGAAATGAGAGTTTTGAGGTTCTCAAGATCGGTATTCGTGGTGGTCGACTCATTGGCAAGCATCAACTCCTGTCCTCGAGAAGTGGAGCTTTCCTCCGACTCATTCTGAGATTGTCGTAGCAATTCCACTTCTGCCTTCAAGCTGCCAAGCCCCTCTTTGAGCGTTTCGAGAAGTTCAGAAGCGTCAAATCCAGCAGGAGCAGGTCGCTCCAAGAGCTTTGCAATGTCTTCCCTAACGATACCAATGCCATCATGGAATGTATCTGTGAACTCTGATGTGGAGAAGCAGTTTTCTCCATAGTCCTTTGACCGGTTGTTCTCCTCGTAGAAGGCTTCCAGCGCTGCTTGAACGGCAGCGATAATGTCTTCTTTGCTGATCTCTTCCTTCTTGGTGTCTTCTTCCTCGGCCTTCGGCTCCGAAGGCACGATGCTCATAGTGAGAGATTCCCGGTGGTTTTCAAACTCCTGTTGGATGATCTTGGCGATACTTTCGCTATCAATTGTCGGCGTATGGTTCGCTGACATGTCACGGATAGCATCGATGATTTCCTCCTTTTCTGACGACACATTGCTCCGAATGAGTAATGAGCTCATGGTTTGACGCAAATGTTCGAATTCCCTTTCCATGGCATCGAGGAGCTCGGGCGTGTCTGGGTTGCCTCCAGAGCGATGGGCAATGGCAGTCTCAGTAATTGTTCGCTCCAGATCGGCCTGAAGGAGACGGAATCCTTCCTTGACGGTATCCAAGATTTCATGCTTCCCGGATGCCTCTGACGCAGTCGCGGCAAACCCTTCCACGTCTTGGCGCACAACGGCTATACTGTCCTTGATAGTGTTGAGGATTTGCTCAGTGTCGGTTTCCTTTTCGGAAGGTGGCTGCTTCAGCTCCTCCCTCAGCCCATCGAGCTGGTCTTGGAGTCGCTGGAGGATCTGGTCTCCTAGACCCTGGTTCGCATTGGCTGTTACTTCGCCGAGGCCAGCAGTAATGGCTTCCATCAGGTCGTCCTTGTTGAGTTCGATCTCTCGAGGCATAGAGTTTGAACTCTCAAGTCCTTCGGCGATAGCGGCAAGAATGTCATCGCGAGAAATAGTTTGTGGCTGAACATTGGTAGTAAGAGCCGATTGTTGAGAGAGAAATGCTTCATTGATCACGTTGGCGATGTCGTCTTTTGTGATTTGTGGATTCTCGAGCTCCTTGGCCGCGAGCATGTGCGCTTCAATTCCATCAGACACCGCACTCAAGATCTCGTCCCGCCCAAGGCCCGAGTCAAAGCTATCCCTGGTCAAGGCACTTTGAGAAGTCATAGATTCGGTGACTGCATGGAGAATCTCGTCCCGGACGGCAGCCAGCTGGTCCTGGTCAAAGGATCGAGGTTGGGAAGCTTCAAAAGACTGACTAACTGCCTGGATAATCTCATCCCGGACAGCAGCCAACTGCTCTTGGTCGATTGATCGCGGCTGAGCTTCGAGGGACTGCGTGATTGCGTGAACAATATCGTCCCTGACGGCAGCTAGCTGCTCCCCATCGAGGGTTCGAGGCTCAGAAGCCTCAAGAGACCTGGTCACCCCATCAACGATTTCGTCTCGAACAGCAGCGAGCTGCTCCCCGTCGAGGGTCCGAGGCTCAGAAGCTTCAAAAGATTTCGTGACTGCGTCAACAATTTCGTCCCGCACAGCAGCAAGCTGCTCGCCATCAAACGACCGAGGCTGAGATGCCTCAAGACATTCCTGTATAGTGTGGACGATCTCATTTTTCGTGATCGATGGAGGAAGCTCAAACTGTTGAATTCCGGCCTGAATGGCTGCAAGAACTTGTTCGTAGGTAGCAGCCTGTTCGTGCTGTGGCTGATAGGCTTTCAAGCCCTCCGTAAGACATTCGAGAATCTCATCGCGCTCGAGTCCAAAGTTCTGCAGCTCGATCTCGGGTTTATAGGTCTCCCAGGCTTCTCTCACTGCTTCTAGGATATCATCCTTTTGCATTCGAGCGCCATCCGGTTGAGACATGCCATAATGATCTAGTGCCTTCTTCACGATGGAGTAGAGCTCGGCGCTACCCATTGCAGCCCTAAATTCGGTGAGCGCAGAGGAGTGTTGCTTATTGTCGTTCATTATCGCGGTCAGTTGACCACGGAGTTCCTGAAGGCTGTCTTCAATGATATGGGCGATCTCTTCTGTCCCAGGCGCTTTTGGCGTATGCTCGATAGCGCGAGTAAGCTCCACGTCTTCTAGTTTTCGAGCCAGGTTTCTGCCCATTCCCAAGACCTCACCACGGAGCTCCCGTACCAAAGCCTTCACCTCGTTTGTCATGCCACCACCTTCAATGACGCTGCTCCTCACTCGCTTCATGATGTCCAGCATCTCTTCGGTAATGCGTAGGTCTTTCTGCCCTGCAGAACGCTCGACGGCGCGAGTTTGGGTTGAGTGGAGTACGTCCATATCGGGAGCATACACTTGTTCAGAGTCGAGGGACCTGGTGGAGGCGGCGTTTATATCCGGGTTCGCTGTCGAGCGTACCAGAGCCTTGTTACTCGAGTCCTGTTTCACGATATTCAGGATCTCTTCGAGCATTTTCGTCATCGTGGTGTCAATGTGTTTGCTGGAATCGTCAGACGTCGGTCGAGCCTTGAGTTCGTTCACAAGCTCCAGCAACTTCTCCTGTCCTTCCTTTGTGGCCATCTCACGCAGAACCTTCTCTAGCAAGGCGATACTGGCGGATCCGTCAGAAATGGGGCCGGGCGAAGCGCAAAACTCGCGTTCCATGGCAGCAATAAAAGGACTGGGGCTCTGCATTCTTGGGACAGAGTAACTCTTCTTCGAGTTCGGAGAACTATCCGATTCCGTCTGGTTAATACCACTTTCAGAACCCAGGAGAGCACTGATATCCCACCTTGTGGCAGCCTCACCGTCCAAGAACTTGGACGCTAAGTTCGAGGATAGGTCACGAAGGCTTTTTCGGATATCTTCATCTCGCGCATTAGTGGCGGCTTTCAGGCTGACCAGGTCGGTGGCGTTATCTTTGCTTCTTCGACTCAGCTGTGCCATCTCTCGTTGCAGGCCACTGGCAATGTCTGTAAGACTGAGGATCTGACTAGACAGCGCCTCGAGGCTAAACGAATGAGAGCGTTTCGACTCTGAAGAGGGCTCGGGCTCCGTCGCTCGTGTTTGCGGCTCATTCTCAGGCGGCAATTGCATGTTCTGCAGAGCCAGCATCGTGGCAGAGGGAGGGGTACTTTCACCGAAGATCGGCCTGGAGAGGTAGCGGTTAGAGATAAGCAAATTTGGAGTCTCGTGCTCCTGGTTCTCATGGTCTGCCGGGGGGCTTCCAGCCTTTACGACAGCCTTTTCGGGCTGCCTTGAGCTGTGGTCCGAGAATGATACGCGCGAAGCTCGCTCGGGTGATCTGCTTTCGAGGTAGTTGAGGAACTCTGAGCGGGTGTCTGTGTTTTGCAGAGACTGCATGCGCTTGTGGAATTGGCCCTTGATGAGGGACTTTTCTGGTGACTTGGGCGTCATAGGGTTTGTGGTGTAGGGACTCGGCGAGTTTTCGCGCAACTTCTCTGTAAAGTTCGCAGCCACTGCTTGGATACCGGGCGAGACATTTGATTTCGTGAGAGGGCTCGTGGAGCCAGGGTTCAATGGCAGTGGTGGTGGTGCTCGCTCTGGGTCAGAACTGTCCCACCTTTGTTTTAACGATTTGAGAGTCAGTTTCATCGGCGCCATGCTTTGTATAAGGGATGTCGAAAACATACATGGGGACGGTTTGATGCCTGTGGAGGACTAGCTCCCGATCGCGGGAGGCCTCTCGATTATGCGAAGACATAGTGAAACCTGAATGTTCCTAGATCGACTTACAGATGCCTTTGCAAACACTTCACACAGTGAGGATTGGCCAAAGGCAATTGGGCTGGAATGTAGAGGGGAACGAGGAATGATTGTCGAGGATAAGGTCGTAAAGGCGTATCAATCGTCAAAACAATGAACAATAACAAGTGCACCCCAGACAAAATCAAAGGGTATAGGACTGGGGGAAACAAGAACAATTGCAAGATAAAACAGGTGCGCTTGCTATGAGAAACAATAATCAGGGGGAGGAGGAGGATGGCAGAGCGGAATGCGACGGTACGACCGAAGACCGGGGTGGAAAGAGCAGGTTCTGGGTCTGGAGACGAGTTCCTCGTGAATTAAGTAGGAGTTAGCAGGTGCTCAACAGCCGCTGGTCGATCGGGACAACAGGCTCAGTGGAGTTGGAACACAGCCAGATATTGGTAGCTCATGGGGCATCAATCACAGACCGGCCCAATCTGCGGCGACCACATCTGAGCTGCCTCCATAGCAACGGGAGGTGCTGCCGTTGTCCTGTAAACAGTCCGCGACGGATGACAAGAAGTCTCACCGCCCGAGACCGAGCTGCGGATCGATAACGCAGGTTTTTCCGGACGCCGAGCAGCCCACTGCACTAGTCCTCTTGGAGAAATTGCCCGTCTCTGGATTAGCTCCCAGTCATCGGTAAGTTGCCCAATGGACGTGTGGCACACAAACGAATTTTGCCCTGAACCCTCTTTCAAGCGAAAAAAGAACGTTGGCGCGGAGAACCTCAATCTTCGACCGCAGCATATCGACAACAACCCCATCGACCTGCCGCTCACCGGACTCGCACAATGAAGTGTTAGTTGCTCACCCTCGCGAATGAATCATTGTCTTCGATCCCAGCTGATAGGAATGTCGCGATAGTCATGAAAGTGGGCCGTGTGGCCATCATCACCCGTGGCCGTTACGCCGGTAAGAAGGTACGACAAGACACCCGTCCATCGTTTTTGCGGAGGGAAATGCGCTGGAGAGGAGAGGGATACCGGAGAATCGATCGACGACTCAAGAGGCCTGAAGGCTGGGAGGATTGCGAGCGAATGAAAGAATCGAGAGACTTGGGAAATGCGCTTGGCCATTGCGTGTGGGATATGCTGACGAGGATTGTTTGGGAATCTACAGGTCGTCATTGTCCAGCCTCAGGACACTGGCTCCAAGGCTCACCCCTTCTCCTACGCCATCGTCGCCGGTATCGAGCGCTACCCCCTCAAGGTCACCCGCCGCATGGGTAAGAAGACCGTCGAGAAGCGCAGCCGCATCAAGCCCTTCATCAAGGTCGTCAACTACAACCACTTGATGCCCACCCGTTACACTCTCGAGCTCGAGGGTCTCAAGGGTGTTGTCTCCGCCGATACCTTCAAGGAAGTTTCCCAGCGCGAGGATGCCAAGAAGACCGTCAAGAAGGCTCTCGAGGACCGATACACCAGCGGCAAGAACCGGTGGTTCTTCACTCCTCTGCGTATGTTGCACGACGATATATGGGTTAGGCATGTGCTGACAGTGTGATAGGTTTCTAAACGGGGCAATTCTGGGGCGTTATGTCGTTTGAGCGCGCACGGTTCTTAGATGAGGCAATTGGAAAAAGCACCGAGTACGTCCGGTTCATGAGCATGGGATTTGAAGGAAATATACCATAGCTGGAGGAAGAATTGGGATGTATCGGTGTGCAAGTCAAGGACTTGAGCATTTATATGCAGGAGGCCACCCAGACCCGGCGTCCGTAATGAATGGAAAAACGAACAATTTCTTCTTCTAAGCGTCCTTGCGCTTTTCTTGCATCGTCATCTTGTCTTGATCTCCGAAAAAGTCATCTAATCTACCGGCAACACCACGTGACGACCTCCACCTACTGAACGCAGGTTTAACTCGACGGGTTTGAAATGCGGAAATGCACTCACATACCAATGCCTCCGTAGATGCTTCCCTACACTGGCCATTTCTCGCATACCCCAGATCAACAAAACTGATTATGAATCGCAACTGACATCTAACCATCACAGCAACCTAAGGCTACTGTTCCCCACGTCTCTCCCGCTCAAGTTGTTCGCCCACATCCGGCACCATCGCATACTCCTACATGTTTTGCCTTAGTCAACCGTCGCAAGACGAATAATTCTGATATTCGAGGCACTCACCAACTGCGGCTCCCCCAATATTCTCCTCGCAAGAAACAGCAACGGCTTCTCAAAGTTGTACAAAGACTTGACCGAGAAGTCATAATACTGCAATCCCTTCTCCCGGTGGTACGTGATCTGCGGCGGCTTGACTTTTCGCTCGATATAGTCGACCTTGTTCCCGCAGATCACCACAGGGATTGGGAGTCTGTCTTTGCAGTTGAAGACGGGGAGCATGTTGGCTTTGGTAGGTCGCGTGTTAGTTGTACCACCGGCTTCTATCTAGCGTTTGAGGTAGGGCTGTTAGTAGGATACGTACTGTAATATCGAGGAATACTTTCATAAGTGCTCGGTCTCTGGAGGTCAAACATAAGGATTCCCCCATCGCTGTCGCGAATGAGGTCGTCGCTGGGAATGCCAGGTGGTATGTCCCATATGTCGAATGTGACGAGGGCGTTGTTCTGTTGACTTTGAGTGATGCGGTCATTGCTCATGGACAGGGGCATCTCACGAATTCGATGGCTATCGTGTAGAATTCTGGTTGATGGGATGGGCTATATTCAGCTAAGAACTCACGACGTGCATATCTTTGCAAAAAAGCTGACTATCCATGATGTCTTCTGTTAGTAATCCTCGATGTCTGAGGACGGGGTATGCTCACTTTGCCGACGCGATCATCACCAAACATGACAATCTTCAGCCCTCGCGGAGAGTTCGACATGGTGAGTGTGTTGATGTGATGTTTGCCGCACTGAAACTTCGTAACAGTGAGAAACTTGATGATTTATAGCACTGGTCGATGATCATCGCCATTAGCGGCTGGGATACGAGCACGATGGAGTAAACGAGAACCAAGCTGCTCGAATCATCTTAATTGAGCAACTCAAGGCAGAAATACCACCTATTCAAAGATACTGCCTGTTGTTTCTTCGGTTTTTCTCTCAAATAGACCCAGGACTTTGTGGTCTTGGTATCCTGATTCATTGTTTCAGTACTAACTAACTACCTCCAGTTGTCACATTATTGTCGCTTCGGGTACCCCATGCATCCCCCATAGGTAGTAGATACGAGTATACGCATCAAGAAGCGCGGATGCGGAACTGCGAGCCGTTGCCACTTGCAGTCTGATAGAATGACATCGCCTCGAGAAGTTTGTTTCCGCGAGTACCAGGCAACTTCTTGGTCACCCAGGCCCAATCCCCCACAAAAAAAACCGCTTGCTGCGCACGGGACGTCATAACGTTGACTCTCTGTGTTGTATGAATGAACGTAGGTAGGAAGCCCGTGTTGCGGGCAAACGTCACAATCACTACCTTGGATTCACTCCCTTGTGACTCGTCCACTGTTCTGACACGACAGGTCCTAATATCGGCAAACCGCGGAGCAGCGAGATACCGCATGATAGTCTGAACTTGACCCCGGTAGGGTGAGAGGATCATTATATCTGGGGCGCGAATGCCCCCCTGCCAGAGCTGATATGCGAGCACAAGGGCAATAAGCGCCTCGTGGGTATTGTAGATCGACTTTGAAGAGGTAGAATCAGTTGCTCTTTGTCCGACGTCCAAGAAACCAATCGCGCTGTGGATCCAGTAGCTTTTGCCATCCTCTGTTGGTACAGACAAGCCGTCCCTGCGAAGCATACGGTCGATCTCGGCTGTAGAATCAGGGGCACTGGATTGAACGGTGCCATTATAGAACACGTGGGAAGTCATCTCGTAGATTGGACGGTATTACTGGACGTTAAGCCTGGTAAAAGCAATGCCACGCTCAAGGAACCTAGTGAGAAAAGGTCAGTCAATGCAGGGTAATGATGAATTGAAACTTTACTTACCGGTCATAAAGGGAGTGGCACCACGCTTTCCTCCCCTCTGCGGTAAACGCCAGCGGGCACAGCTGTTTGTTATCGCCTACGAAGAGAGCACGTTCGGTATTCGGAAGCTCCAGGAAGACACTGAATACATCAGGGTCTTGCCAATATGCGAACTCATCAAAGATGATTGAATCAGGCTGAAAGCCCCAATTGGAAACAGCTTTGGCAAGGAACGGTGTCGTAATTACAACTTCCGATTCAGCAAAAATCCTCTCCATGACCTCATGGTAATCTTTGAGAAACCTCTGCCTGAGCGGGGGGTCCGTAATATCCCCAAATTTCCTCACATGCTCAAATCCGTTTCTGAGGGCGTGGTAGACTCTGTTGCCCAAGTACTGTATGAGGTCCTGGCAACGTCCATGGTTATCGGCCGGCTCTGTCGTCTCAGAAAAGATGTCCCCGAACAGTGCTGATTGGCTTTTATACCGAAGGAACCGTATCCCTTCGAAAAGGGGTCCTAGTTTGGCGAAGGTCGCCATCAATGCAGCAGCAGACGATTGGGTTGGTGCCAATATTAATGTGCGGCGCCGGCCACACGGTAGTGCTTGGTGGTGCGCGTAAAACAGCGCACCACACACCACCGTGTGGCTTTTGCCGGTACCAGGAGGGCCCTGAACAAGTGACAGGCGATTCCTAGCAAACTGGACAAGTGCACTGGTCTGATCGTGATTGAGTCCCAGAGCGGCCGGTACATCTGGTAGAGACGCAGGGGAAAATGGTCTCATCCATAGTTCCTGGAAAGCGAGTGACTTTCTTCCCGCGAATAGGTTCTCCAAACACAGATTTTTTCGAGATTCAGGCATTAGAGAAACCTCTCCGGACTCCTCCATTGTATTCTCATAAGCTCTCTCGAATTCCTTGCCCACAAGGTGTTTCTTGAACCAAGACATATGGATGTCGCGCTTCTGCTGGAGATGGGTAGGATTTCCAGCAGGCACAATTTGGACATCATACTCCACAAACATTGCCAAAAGCTGATCGATGGCCGTCTGCTGGGCTGGACCCTGTAAAACCGCATGGTAGGGTGCGTCGCGCACGAGCTTCCATTTTGAAGCCGAGGGAAGGATTTTAGCGAAGTACCCAGGGCACTCCTTGTCGTGAGACAGAGCGCGGCTTCTTGAAAACATGTCTTTGCCGATTAAGACTATAGGCTCTCCAGCATAGACACGGAAAGGCCTATCCTCTTGTGGCCAAATTGCTAGAATAACAACTTCACCATGATTATAGGCGCGGACAACGCACTTCGCAAGCACTTGAATTTCCGTCGCTGCTTCAGCAGCGATGGCAGTATCATTAACCTTCAAGTATAGTCGAGTCTCAGGTTTTAGACAATCTGTTTTGTGGCGGCTCCCGAGTCCACCCATAATCATGGCCTTGTTCGACTTCCACCACCTGGATCTTGGATTTATCGAATGTCTAAAGACGAGGCGACTTCCCTTGGGGAAAGTGACACCGGCACAGGGCAGAGTTTTCACGAAGTCTCTCATGCTTATGCTACCCCAACTGTTCTCCTCTGGTTTCAAGTCGCTTCGAAGGGTAATGTCCCACGAAAGGATCCCTTCTGTTTCATTCAAGTTCACTTTGAATGATTTTAGATCCCTGTAGATGAAACGAAGGTATGTGACCGCTCCATTGTCCCCCTCGCTGTACTGCTGACAGAACAATGTTGACCATTGGCCGACACCAAGGGTGCATAGGAGTTTTCGTTTGGCAGAGTCAACAGAGGGCAGGATGAGATGTGGTCCATCGGGGAAGTACACGTCTATCTGGCGGCAATGAACCCAGATACGGTGTTGGTCATTCTCGGGCAAGACGGTAATTAGACCTAGGACCGAAGTCAGTCAACTGTACAAAAGGGTCTGATAGTAGGTCTACTTACTAGAAAGAGCCATATCTGCGGTTCCTGGTCGCCTGTCAGGACAGGAAAAGGGTAACACGCTACATCATCGAGCAATCAGTGGACAACACAAGGAAACTTTGAGTAGTGAGACTTACGAGACAGGAGCGAAAGAACGAGCCCAGGTATGGTTTTTGGCCGAAGAGCAACACAGAGGACAAGGCACTCCTGCTAAAATTGCAGTATGTGCTTCATCATCGAGCAATCAGTGGACAACACAAGGAAACGCCGAGTAATGAAATTCACCAGAATGGAGAAGAAGCACAAAACCAATCCGCCGACCGCGGGAGGGCAACGGAAAAGACAGCGATTATCTGCGAGTTCCGGGCCGAGCTTAACTCTCGTTTCTCAGTAGGACGATAAAGACATCAGTTGAACTAACCTTCCTGGTTCGGATGAGGACACTGTAGTAAGAGAAGACCGCGAGAGGAAGGAAGAAGCAAAAGCAGTGGAAGGCGGAGGAAGAACCCAAATAAAAGCAGCTAGGGACGACAAACGATTCAGTGTTACTAAGGGGAAAAAATAGGCCTAGCCGGAAGAAAGTCGAGCGGAAGAGGCTGGGGACGACGGGAACGACCTATTCTCTCACAAAAGAATGGACTTACCAAAAGAGGCTCTGGCGAGCTTCTTGGGATGATGACATATGAATCTCGAGATAAGGACGAGGCAGCTCAACCGGAGTTGGGAGGCTATCTTTCTGGAGCCCGAAGCGTCAGGGCGAGTTGTAGAGAGAGATGAATTTTCAGAATGAGATATTATCTTTTGAGTGTCCGTAAAGTCAGGGCAAGTCCTAGATATAAGAAAGTCCGATTCGGGAATCTCGAGAGTCTTTTGGGTGGTGGAGTTGTGAAGGGAAAGACCGACGTAGGGAGTTTGTGAGTCTCTTACAGCTGCAGTTCGAGTGATCTCTCCAGAGCAACAATAAAAAGTGAAGATATGGCTCTTTTCACCTCAATTTGAGTCGTGATGAGAGTATCTAGGTGAATGTATGATAGCCAGGAGCCCCCTCGGCCTAGACACGAGACTGGGGATTGATGGTGAATCTTCTTTGGATGAACACGGTCATACTGAATGTGAACTATGGGGTCGGGATATATCTTCTTTTGGTCTTTCGCTGCTGACCGATGGATTGTACTGGCTACGTTAGGTATCAGATAGGGAATTGAAAAGTCAATTGTCTTAAATGAAGAACAGGATCTCTGCTACATACAGGATATATAAGCCCATTGCTTCACCGCTACTTAGTACATTCAACCGTTTGTTGAAACTTCTGGCTATCGACCTCACCCCATGGTAAGGCACCTATTCAAACGGGATGCTCAGCTGCCTCCGGAGCCCTACCAGAGGCCGACAGACTGAAGATTGGATTCGACTGCGGGGCGGCTCTGTTCCCACCGAGCATAGAGAAGTATTAATATTTTTTTAAGATTCATTACATACTAGCGGGGATGATGTACTCAAACAAGAGCACTAGCATACGCTAAGGGCAACCCAATATTTTTTTTTCTCACTGAATGAGCTGGGCTATTTTCAGTGAGCCAAGCATAGGCGTTAGAACAGGTCCACTAAACACTTTAGTTGATCTTCCTTGGCACTTCCGGTTCACCTAAAAGGAGCAATTTTGGTGCTTTCAAAGCTACCTAGATAGAGCAATCCGCCATTTTCGGTGTAGGTGTGCTGCTCAACAGAAAGCAATATGTAACCGCCTGTGAGGCATACAGAGTAAAACCCACAAGAGCAGTTGTAAGAACAAGCAATGGGAAACTTGATACCAGTCAGGGTAGTTGTCAAGGAAAGCTTGTGAAGCCGACGATTGTAGTTGAGATCATGACTCCCGCCAATCTATAGTATATCCTTAGTCTTATTGTCGGCAATTGCGGGACAGGGTGAGTGGTAGCTATGTACCTGGCAATGTTCCATACTTTTCGAACAGACATATGTTTTCCTATTGACCTTGCAACGGGGAGGAATCTTTAAAAAAAAAAAGTCAGAGACCTATCAAGGACTGACGGTGTATAGACTCATGCTCGGAATACTGGAGCAGCCCTTGTACAGCTGTGGTTGGAGTATCTGGTCGATCTGCAAAGTCTGCCAGCGACCAACATGCATTGAGACGTCTTCCCAACTCTTCGGGTCCTGGCCGGGGATGCGAAGAGTGAATCTTTTATCAAGGCGTGCATCCAGCAGGGTCCGGGGGATCGTAAAGCCCATGTATATCGTAAATTCGTAATTCTCGCGCCCGCTAAGGGAATTAGAAACGCTTTGTAATTCTCAACCGCGATCTACCGCTGGTATACGCCGTAGTTCATCTCCTATCGTGTGCCTCACTGCTTGATATGTATGATAGTAACTCAGACTGAATCACCGGCGTCTGGAGCTTTCGCTGAACTTCAGGCCAATTGACTTGATCACCGTAGTTTTAATTCACGGCAATAGCTTCTTGTGAAATATGTTGGTCTGAAAGCTCGCGACGACACCTTGCGGGTTGAGAAGGGTTCTTCTGGAGAGCGAGATAGGCGAATTAAGGCTTGTATCATTGTCTCAGAAGACACTATATAAAGCTACATACATTGGTTATATAGAACAAAGCCGAGTTCAAGAATAAGCATCAGACAGAAGGAAAACTTCAAACAATACAGTACCTCCGGACGAGACAAAACTCAGATCAATATCACATGAGATGATTAGAATACATCATAAAAGTTTCTGATCATGTTCCACGAGCCAGTAAACAGAAGCTCACAAGCTCACATCGGTCCAAGGACAAGATGGAGTTCTTCAGAACTGCCGACGGTAGGATCAGGAGGATTTCATGGTAGACATTTCATGTCGGCTACTAAGCAACGATGTGGCGATGTCACGATTCGTGTGCTCAGCCAAGATTTTGAGAGCCTCAATCTCACCATGGTCTTTCTTGGCCTTCGCGATATCGAAGAATACGTCTGGTGGATTGCATTTAGATCTCTTTCCCAATGAAAGAGTAAGTTCATGCCGCTCCACGTAGAGAGCAATCCAGACCAAAAGCAGCGAGTTGCATTCGATCGCATCTGATTTCCAAGCCTTGGACGCTTTTTGCGCTGCTCTGCAGATTTTCTGACGCATCCATTTCATTTCATCCTTAACGGGCCTGGCCTCCCTGGGTATGCCTTCGGATATTGATGTGGACTTGCGTTTGGACCGCCCCTTGGGTCTGGGTGGTATCTTGACTTCTGCTTCGTCCAATGCTTTGACTGCGGCTTCGGCCAGCGCTTTGGCTTCAGACTGCGTCTTGCCTTCGGCCAGTGCTTCCCTAAGCGTTGCCATCTTGATTCGTGACCTGTTATTGATGATCCTCTTCATGGCTCTCACCCTTTCCTTCTCCTCCTCGGTCTTCCGCGCCCAAGCAGCTTGTTCTTTTATTTTGCGCCGACCTGGATACGCTGCGCGATGTTTTTTCAGAGACATTCGGTTCCTTGCTCGGTATTCGTCGGAGTTGACACGCTCAAAATTAGCTGCTCGCCAGTTTCGACTGGTCAATTTTCTGAATTCTCGCAGAGCATCTTTCTGTTCTGCTGTCATATTTTGAATCCATCTCATGTAGGTGGCATGTTGCTGTTTGGCCTTATGCCGCTTTGCTGTGATGACTGGGTCTTCGATACCAGAGAACGATTTGGTCTGTGTACCAGGTAACGCCGCTATTTCAATTTCATCGATCTCGTTGGTGTTGTCGGCATCTTCCCAATTGTCACCGTCGTCGGAATCATCGATATAGTCGACGGTATCAGGCTCCATTGAAGAGTCCGCATCATCAGGGCCATCGATGTAGTCAACATCGTCAAGGACATCGACCTCCATTAGAGAGTCCGCATTGCCTTGGGAACCCTGGGTTGATACTGGCGGACATATCATTTCTGGATGTTGCGATGGCGCTAGAGGCTCCTGTAGGGTAGTCGGTGTTGAAGGAGAAGAGTCATTGGTGTCAGAAGTAATGCCGTCATGGTCGCCAGCGCCATTTTTGAAGAGCGACATGGGCTTGGAAAGGCCCAATTCGTTGTTGTGGTCGTTGCTGTAGGCGATATGTATGGGCGATGTTGCTGACGTGACAACGGTTACTTCACTGGAGCTGTCGACGAGCGTTGTATCCGAATCTTGCCCTTCGTCTGTAACAGCTTTCATGTATTTGAACATAGCGTCAATCAAGGGTTGGCTATTGAGAGTCTTCTTCTTCAAGCCACGCACGCCTTCGAGCAAACAAAAATGGCTACAAGCGCCATACCATGAAAAGACCTCGCGGGCGTTTCCATATACCGATCCGTGGAGACTGGAATCCGTGACATGCTCAGAGTATACTCCAAGTATCTGCGCAAATACAGCCTCTGCTACTATGCAGATCTGTCGGATCGCCACAAACTCCTGATCTGTTAGTCCATGTGTAGGAACACTAAACAAGACTCCAAACTTCCTGGACCGTTTTACCTTGCCATGGACAAGGTACGAATGGAAAGACTTCTTCTCCTTTTCAGATGGATGGTCGTGTGTGTATTTACGGGCCTCAAGGCCTCCGTGCTTCCGAGTGGCCGATCCAACATATTCAAAATGAGGTTTATCTAACCGGGGCTTGCCAAGGGCGTCTATCTCGAAGACCGCCTTGCTGTAAACTCCAACCCGCGAAGTATTTTCCCATTTTAAGCCCACCAAATCTTCGAAGGAAGGGGGATTCTCTTGGTTGAGCAACTCGCGAACGTCGTCTGGGGTGCACATATGTAGGGCACTCAGGATGAGATCTGTCTGCTTTAAGAATTCGTGCATCACTGGCGATGTTCGACGTTCTTTGACGATTTCAAAAGCTGTCGTAACTCGATACGAAAAGGCAGGGTAAGGGTAGGGCTCTTCAGGCGCAGCGTTCTCATCGGGTTGCCTGGGACTGGTGGCAATAGTGGCTGTGCCCAAATCGGACACGGCCATGCCACCAGTCCCGCCCACGGCGCAGCCGTTATCGCGTCGGTCGAGGCTCACATTGGATGGCTGGTTGTGATAGAAAGCATTTGGACTTGAATCCAGAGCGTGCCCAACTATGTCAGAGATTGAATGATGGGTATGGTGTTGGAGGGCAGTATTTTCGTCGTCTGGCCTGAAACGACCGAGTAGGCTCCCCATGTTGAGGACAAACGAAGGAATAGGTCCTCGTGCAGGAGAGAAAAAGAGAGTATGAGCAGAGGAGGGAAAAGAGAGGTATACCCAGACGACGAAGCTGGATTTGACAAAGCCGATGGACTATTTGCAAAACGAGGGTGATTTGGTTCTGGGGGGCATGGGGGGAGACCTCGTCCCTCCCCTTGTCCACCACCCGTGCGATTGAGGAAGGTGCCATTGAGGCGGCCGCAACCTGACGTGGTTGCCCATGTTAGAAGGAACGAGAAAACATAGAGAATGTGGGCAGAAAGGACAATCAGGGCAGGAGATTCTGTTTATTAGAAGAGTCAAATAAAGATGCCGGTGACATGGTTTCGATTGAGAGTGGTATATGATGATGGGTCGCCTCGCATTTCGATGGGTAAGCTGAGTGTACACAGGTCTGTAGTAGAGCATCTCTCGAGCCTTAGAGTATATTTTAGTTGTTTCCATGGCCAGAGAGAGAGGGTGTGTGTGTGTGTCTGGTGTAGATTGTATAATTCGAAAGCCCGAAGCGTCAGGGCGAATGGAGTCAAAAGGGGTCTTCTTTCGACGGAGTCATAATTGGAGCTCGAAACATCAGAGCGCAAGTCGTTGCAGTCAAATAACCTGCCATCTATTATTCTCTCCTTGCCCATGATAGCGTATAGGTTTTGCTGGGCTGGCTACCACCGCTACGAGACGGGTGCTTGTCGATCATCCCTGTCTTTTAGGGCTAAAGTCGTCGGGATGGACTTTGCGGTAAGCCGACGGCGTGGCGCTGGGCTTGCCGAGCTCGGTGGCCCATTTTTGTCTTCAGGTTTGCGGTATCGCGAGCAATCTGTCGGCGAGGAGCAACACAAAAGTCCGATAGAACGCTCAGTGACATTTAAGGGACCGGAACTTCAGCAGAACTGTAACTCCATTGGGAACAAAAGTCCAGTGTTCCAATCTCGGCTGATCCTGATCTCGGCAAGGTTCTCAGGGTCGCGGTCGTAGCCAGGATTGTTGCGCGCATACCGTTTCGCGTCGCTCGAAGACTGTCGTTCAGCTGAACGGTTAGCGTAATGATGATAATAAAAAAGCATTGGTACGGCTTAAAAGGAGAGCTCACAAGTACTGACTGCAGTGTGGGAGACGTGTTAACGAGTTTGACCGCGAAAAGCCGCGCAAGCCGAGATGAGGAGAAGCGGGAAAATAGAGAGGTCCTGGCGAAGCAAGGAGAGATTCAAATGCGTAGTCATCCAAGTTTCAGAGCGTAATCTGAGCTGAACGAGAGAAGATATTGAGTGAAGAACTTGAGATTGCTTGTTCCGTAACGGGGAGCAGGGAAGTTTGGGGCGCGCCGAGCGGCGATAATCTGGAGGAATAACCAACCTCAGATCAAAGCAATGGCTACTCTTTCGACGAGTCCTTCGGATCTGAAGCCAAATCATTGGGCGTTTCGTATATGTTGGTAGCTTCCTATGAAGTTCATAGCGCCTGGGGAACTCAAAGAGCGTGTGATTCCTAGTGGTCCTCAGGAAGTAGGGCTGTGGATGTTGGAGGTTCCTATAATATATCAGGACGAGAGTTTGGCGGAATGCTCGGGATGCTATCCTATCTACACTATCTACTTACAGAGGCTGCTAATAAACAAATTCTTCAAGCTCATTCTACAGAATGAAGAAGTCCCCTACGGTGAGGTCAAGATGATTTACCCCCCGGCTTGTCCCAGTATTCCGGGGACGCCTTCACATCTAAAGAATGGTCCTTGTTATTCTTCGCCTATGACTCCTGCTGCCGTTATTTCAGATTAGTTCAACTGCTTGCTGCTGGCCAGGCAGCGCCTCTTCACTTCGCTCATAATCCTGTTAGCCTAGTAAATACGACCCCGCAGGTTACTAGAGGATCTGGTCAGAGAAGACCTGCGGCAGAGCTATGTATCTGTGAATGGCTATTTTTTCTCGGTCTTTCCTGGAAATACACAGCTTCCTGTAACTCATTGAGTAGATATCCTCCACCAATTAGGAATTGCATGTGTGCTTTGCTAGCCAGTTGTGAATGACGTCTAAATGGTACTAGTACTATTTCCTGATTAGGATTTCATCCGTCACGCAGCAAACAACAATGGCATGTTGTGTTCGTTTACTTGAGACAATAGAACTTGGTCGAATACTTGGAGTGAAGCTTCTGAGAACTTTTCCTTCCCTTTTCGTTTGCCAGTGGGAACATAAATATCTGCGTCTTTTCCCACCACATCTCACTTCTCTCTCAACCCTCATCCCATTCCCGACTTCGAGTAACACCGATGCCCACATTGTCTTATATTTTCCCCCTTTTCTATCCCCGACTCTGACTTTTCGAGTCTTTCTTTAACTCCGGTCATTCGAGTCATCTAACACCAAGGCCTATCCTGTTTCCCATATCTTCCTTCTGTCCCTGGTCCTGACTCTGATTCTTCTATCCTGAAACTGAGTCCTACCCTATCCCATGTACTAGTCCCCCTCTTACACTCTCCGACTCTGATCGCTTGACCCTTTCCGATTTCCAACCATCACCACCCCCATTCCAGACCCTCGCATCAAGAGCTTTTGTAAGTGACCACCCTTTCCCAAGGTTCCATGGTCCTCTCTGTTGCGGCGTTGTGGTGGACCTCATCGAATATTCAGTAAAGCTAATCTTTCTTTCCGACTAGGGTACAATGGAGGAGGTTTACACGTCCGCTGACCCCTCTATTGAGCCCACCAATAATGGCGACGAATGGCAGGTCTCCGATTTGGAGGCCAGCCCGTCTGAGGCCATTGATACCCACGAAGACACCGACAGTATCATCGACCCCTCGAACAGTTATAATCAGAGGAAAGCAGATCTCCAGCTACTTTCCGAGCTCGAGCTTTTCCCCGACGGCTACAACTTCGACGGATCGGAGTTCGAGAACGTCCAAGACGTCTTGCAGTTCGTAAGTTATTTGAATCTGCTCTGTTTCCTTTCTGATATGCTAATGTTACTCATCCAGGCACCGGGTCAATTCGAGGCTGCTCCAGAGCTCTTTGTCCCTACCTTGATCCCGCTGCTTGGTGAGAAAACCGACACGGCGAAGGACTTCCGCGGGACTCAATGGAGAAACGCACAATTTTGTCTGTTTAGGAAAAATCAACCCAGAGATTTCCTACCAGTTTCCTGGTCCGTTAGGGAAGATGGCGTTAACTTGCGGGCCCGAATTCAGGGTGGCACTGCCGCAAGGACGCTAGTTCTTGAGTTCACTGTGTTTCGTGACCATAAACCCGTCCACCAAGCCTATCTCGAGTTTGATGTCGCTCTGGATATACAGTCGTATAATCCTCATGACAACATCAAGAAGAACGTTAGACGTGGCGGCAACAGGAATCAGAGGCGGGGGGATGAAGAAGACCAGGTGAACCCTAACAGCTATGCTGTATTACGATTCCGCACTGCGGGAGGTGTCGGCCGTGGTCTTGACTATGATGTCGCCGACCTCACGGCCGATGATCAAAAGGTTTTCTCGTACGGAAGGCTGCTTTCCCGGAACTTTCGTCCGACCTTGCCTGGGCAATCCGAGGATCTTCGGACAGTCGTTATCCGTATAAACGCCAATCATGTGCTCTACGGTAACGAGACCAGTCAGGGCCGCCGAGCCAATGCAAACAACGACCGCTTCTACAGACTGGTCTTCCAGTTGGATAAAGACGCCAGGCCTATTCTGTGGCCATACTGCACCGAGCAAGGCAACCCGCAGTTGCAATAGGGTCAGCTCGTCGATCGAGATGTCGTTGCAGCGCGTAGTGGAGGACTAGTCGCGTTTCCAGCGAAGATCTCTTTTTCTTCCATTGTGCATGGACAGATTACCTTCGTGTATGGATCGTATCTAGAGTGGAAACGCGAGGACGAGATAGCAAGAGCAATTTCGTCTGCTAGACATCACATCGCCTTCGTCGTTGTGGATGACCGAGTGCTGGTTCTGGTCAAGTTTTCAATTCCGGCCAATGCTGGAATCGAGTATTGGGCTCCCAGGGAGAACACTTTGGTGAAACTTCGCTTCCTTCCACCCGGCGGAATGTCTACCAAGGAGATGGTTCGTACCGCGTACTGTACTGCCAACACCTACAATCTTCCATATTCGGATTGCTCGCTTTTCTATCTTCCGAAAGCCAATCCGGAGCAGTTTGCGCAGTACGCGGTCAAAGCAGGCGAACGGCCCAGATATATCAGGGCAAATGTCATCATCAACGTCCCTTGCTCTGGCGCACAGAGAGAAGTTGACGCCATCAACCGTTTGAGTTTACCTGAAATGAGTCGCTTTGTCGGAGACTTCCTCAATCAGAAGTACCAGCATCACTCGGTCAATGACCCAACCGCTTGTCTGGGAGTGCCCAAAGATTTCGTGCAACGCACGATAAAACAGACACTTACCATTCGCAACTGGTCTGATTCGCAAAAAAGATGCATCTCTGGAATCGATAACTTTCCAGGGATGCATCTAATTGTGGAAGGATATCCCGGTACCGGGAAAACTTCCACGATTGTGGCAATGGCGTCCATCTATGTCGCCTGTGGAGGACACGTTTTGTTCACAGCGCCAACCCACGACGCCGCCGATGCCATTTGCGAGACTATTGTGAAATGGAACGCTATCTCCAAGAACAAGAACAAGATTGAGTTTGTCCGCGTCTACCGTATGGTCTCCGAGACGAAGGCTTTTCGCCGTCACGGGATAGTCTCTGATGAAGATGAAGACGACAAACCGGTTGAGGAGAAAGAATCTTCGGGAGCCAAGTCCTTCGCAAACATATTTAGTGCATCTTTCTCCAACCTTTTCCAGCGTTGCCGACGTGCTTTCGACTTGGCCCTTGAAGAACAAGAGGATCTCGAAGAAGATGAACACGAAGGGAGTCTAGAGGAAACACCTGTTCAATCCCCTGTGCATCTTGTCGAGAATGAACACGAAAGACCTGAAGAAGATGCTCTCCACCGGGCTCTCGAAGCTTTTGACCAGCACGCTGAAGACGGTCAACTTGCCATCGCAAAGGCTTATGAAGCTTTCAATGAGCCTCCCGTGGAGGCCTCCGGTGGCCTCGAATGGCCAATCTCCAATTCGGAGGCCCGCCCGTCTAAGGCCATTGCACAGTCCAACACTGGCTACCATCCCGATGACGACGCTTTTGTCCCCATGGCAATCTCATTGGAAGACCAGCTCGCGATGAGTGGTTTCCTTAAGGAGATCAAGAAGGAAAACTCGGCCAAGGGATATCGCATGCCAGACCACAGTCTTGAAGCCAACGTGTTCAGGCTTGCTTTCAAAAAGGGAGAGACTCTGACGGGCCGCTTTCCCACGGATGACCAGATAGAAGATTCGCCAAAAAGGTTCTGGGTAGATGCTGTCGAAACCGGAGACCTCATTCCAGAGGGGCCCGAAGTCGATATGCTCGAAGTTCTCAGAGAATACGCACAAAAACTGGAGGAGGGCAATTCGAGACAGATCGACCAAGAGCTAGCCTCCCGCGCGCTGCTTGCTTTCAAGCAGGCGTGCAGAAAAGTCATCCGAGATAGCCGTGTTGTTGTTTGTACAAACAATACCTCCGGTGATCCACTAGTTGCGACGAGCTTTGGCTCATGTGCGCAGGGAATCCTCATCATCCGCGACGAGGATCCCAAAGAGCTAGAACCTAATTGCTGGGTTCCAGTTACGAAGCTCGCAGCAAGCGCCAGGATCACAGGAATCATTGCGGCTGGTGATCCGAAGCAGCTCACTCCCACTGTCGTATCAAACCAAGGTCCCGTCGGTTACAACGAGTTCGAACAGCAACTCTGCATGTCTTTTGTTTGCCGAATGCTCAAAATGAACCATCCCTCGATAAAACTCACTGAGCAATTCAGATATCGGGATGTGTTTGTTCCCTGGCTCAACCATCAAACTTACGATGGATTACTGTCCAGTCACACGTCTACTGGGAGCATCCCAGTTAATTCGGGATTCCTCAGCGCAATGAGAGTGGTTACCGGGCTTCATAGATCGGCCACTAGACTTGATTTCGGAAATGTGGTCATCAGCGTTGACAATGCGGTTTGTGACATCGAGCCAGGGACCATGTCTCGGTACAACGATCAGCACCGTCAATTCATCATACAGCTTCTGGTCGAAAACTCCAAACAGGGCGGCTATAGGGGCTCTGACGTTACAATCATCGCTCCGTACATGGCACAAGTCGTTCGAATGCGGCAGGATCTCTTCCAGGCCTCCCGTGATGGCCTCCTCCCTGCCTCCCAGCTGCCCAAAGTGGCTACAGTTGATTCAATGCAGGGGAAGGAGAACGAGCTCGTAATCTTTGATTGTGTCATCTCGGCCGCCGACTCATGGAAAGACATTGGATTCACTGCCGACCAAAACCGGGGCAATGTCGCCATGACGCGCATGCGCCAAGCCCTGGTTGTCATCCTGCCAGAGGCGGTTGGATCCGGTGCCAAAAGCGAGGCTGAAGGCGTTAGGTATTCCGCATATGGAGACCGTATTGAAAGGAAAGCGCCTTATCCCTGTGCTCTGATGCAGTTCGCGGCGAAAAGGAGTATTGTGCTACGCGCCAGTTGTAAGTACCGAACGCTCTATGTGCAATGAGAACCAAACTAACACAACAATAGGTCCCCAAACCAGCGAGACGACCAGCAGAGCCGATTTGGCCGCTGGCCCCATGGATAGCCAGGAGAACAACGATGAGGGTGCCGGTGGTGGTTCTTGGTCCGCTGGTCCTACCGACAGCCAGGAGAATGGTGATGAGGTTACCGGTGGTGGTTCTTGGTCCGCTGGTCCTACCGACAACCAGGAGAATGGCGATGAGGGTACCGGTGGTGGTTCTTGGTCCGCTGGTCCTACTGACAGCCAGGAGAACAACGATGAGGGTACCGGTGGTGGTTCTTGGTCCGCTGGTCCTGCCGACAACCAGGAGAATGGTGATGAGGGTACCGGTGGTGGTTCTTGGTCCGCTGGTCCTACCGACAGTGAATGGTGAAGAATAACGCTGACGGTGGTTACTGGTTTGCTGCTCCCAATAATAGTCAAGAGTTCAACTACAACGGCAATGACGAGAGCGATGGAAAAGCTGTTGTTTTCAGGTGGTAGTCAGACAGTGTGCCTTTTCCCTCGAGATTCAATTTCGCGGTCAATTTAAATGTGCTTAGAGAAGTTCAAATCAATGCAGTCCATCAACCTGGATATAATGATACAGCTTCATTCAAAGCCCACATATCTGTCTTCAGGAGGACTTATGCTAATCGAAGTAAAACTTTGGTAGAGCCCTTTCTTAACTAGTCGTAGGGTCCTGTTCTAATTCCTCAATTGAGCATTCGCTCCGCTCCAGTATAGGTGGAACATGCGTTACTCTCAATGACCTAGCGCTAAACGTACAACTACTGATACAATCTCAGTTGTTATCCCCCTTGATCGTGAAGATATGTTCCAAGTGAAGTATTGCCATCGACCCGAGAGACGTTGGAAAGGCGTTTTGAAGCATGATGTTTGGCTCCTGCTTGTAACGCCGAGAGAGCTATATGCGCCAGGATATTGGAAGGATACGCATGGTAGACGGCTTTTGATGTACTATTCCAGTACATCTGGTAGGATTATTTGACTATTGACACGCGATTAAGGGAGAAGAAACAGTATCAACAAAGGAAGGCGACGATCGACTATTGTTGGACCACCGTGCCGGGCCCTTTTCAACTTCATTCTGAGCGGCTGCACCATATTTGACCAGGCAGTTGATGCGCTTCAACGCGACAATGGTAGTCGTGGGCAACCAAGTTCCTCGCTTCAGGTGGTTGTACAGGACCGTCAAGCCGCACGCGCTTCAATCTAGGTAAGGACGGTTGGTTTGGATGCTGGCAGAATGAAGAACAAAAAGGCTGGCGGCATGCGGAACGGGGACGCTGTCGGGAATCAGGGCGAGAAGGCTGGCGAGATATAGAACGAGCTCGATGCGCTTGAGGAGCCGTAGGCTTGGGGGTGGGAGGCGTTGGGGGCGTTATTGGTGCCTCTGCGCCATTTAAAGCTCCATTCTCTTTATGATTGAATGACCCCATCGTTTAGCTCCATTTTTCTATTTGCTAAATCCCGCGCTGTGCGGCCGCTCGCACGTGGTCGCCTGGTATCTTGTCTCCTTATATATCGCGGGGTGTGGTTTCGCCAGAGGTCGTATGTATGGCACGTTGACACATTTCGAGGCACCTCCGATCCAGAGGCCCGTGGCATAGCCGGGGGTATCCTCTGTCACAGGACCTGGGTCTGGGAAGCGCACCGTCTTGTGTAGGTGGCGGGGAGTCTTGCAAGCTCGGGCATGAACCAGGTGAGTCTTCTAAGCTTGAATGTAAGAGCTATGCGCAGCATTTGAGGCAGAGCTTTTGCACATCCTTCTCGAGCGCTTCAAATCTCCATAATGATTGTTCGGCAAGTGTAGCAGCAACGCGCAAGTGTGTAACTCAGTTTTGGAGAGTTGTATGATGAGCCAACTGCTACACGAGCAAGTTCATCCCGCCATTTCTCGGATGATGCGCAAGTAATCTCTGTAGGACAGTGGATAGTGTTCCAATAATGATGTTCTTCCAGTGGTGTGAATTTAGTCGAGTCAGGGGTAGTTCGAATTGTTCAAGGGTGCGGGTGTGGGTGATGATAACGAGGGGAGCGGTGGGGAAAGGCTATTTGGCGGTGCGATCGCGGAAATTGCAGTCGGGGTTGACACTGTGCTATTGATCGTCGTTACGTTGACTTGGTGGTTCATGCTGAGGAGGAACAAGAAGGCTGCTGGGGCAGGACATGAGCGCACGCCGACCATTGTCGAGGTGAATAATATGGACGAGCGATTAGTTAACTATCTAGTTAGTTAACTTAACTTAGTTAGCTCACATTCCTTACTAAGCCCAGGGCTGTTAACTAAGAGAAGTGCCAAGCTTTTTACCCGCATGTTGATTTCGTTCCTTAGCCTTCTAAAAGTTAAGTTGATGGATTCTTCGTTCATCAACAGTCTTTTTGCTTATCCCCTGTGGATAATGGTTACTGCCACATCCAACGGCGCTCGAGGAATGGGCACCCCACATTCAGTGCTTGCCCTCATACGATCCAACACAATTTTACAAAAGTATGGCTCGCAGGCGCAGTGTTCTTATTAGTCCATCGGGGGAGAGTCTTAAGTCAAGATTGACTTGCGCGCAGCCAGTTACCAGTGAGTTTAAAGGCCATACCCTTTACATGAACATCTTATCTAACATTACCCACTACATAGGACGAACAAGGTCGCGCCTATACAAAGATCCCAGCCTTGGCGCGTTTCGAATACGCTCAGAGCGAGCGTCACATCGAACTACAATCTAGCTGCCAGTCTCCATACCCGTCGTTGTTCCTCACGCCAGAACATGCCTCAAAAAGCCCTCAATATGTTAATACTTCGTCAATTGGCACTGGTGAGCTCAGTGTGTCCAACGATTATTTCCCTCGACGTTTCGCAAGACACCTTGTGGGAAATAATATCATCTTTTATGCAGAGGTAAACTCATGTGTTTGTGATGATGGGACCTATGTTTCTGATTAGCAAGTGCTAGGCTGAATCTAGGAAACCAGGAATAACGGGCAATCTGCATCGGAAAGGCCTACTACTGTGGTGCTGTGGTGTTCCGATCGGGTTAGAAGGAAATGATGCGTGTTTTCGCCAATACATCTACAGTTTTTTGACACGAGTGGCGGATAACGTGTTACTCTTGAAATGCCCCAATACACTCCTTGGAAGTTTTCTCTTCTCTGCAAAGGAGAACGATCCACGCCTTGATCATTCGCGAAATCAAGCTCTTAATGCTGTCAAAACAGTTTTCAAGGGGATAAACGTGCTGAGGTATACACCCACGCTCACTCCATCCGTTTTCGAATGGAATTTTATCCAGTGGGGTTATAGAATCCGTGCGTATATCAACAGCGTTCACATCATATGTATGCTCGTGAGTTGATTAATATCGCTAATTTGTGACAGCCCCACGACTTCGGCATGATATCGAGTCATTGACTACAACATGGTGTTCCATTTATACTTACCCAGGCCGCCCGGTACCACCCGCTCTGATTTCGCAATGTATACAGTGCTTAAAGCCCTCAACAACCCAATTACTGGTTTCCGTCCTCTATCAGAGCGGTCAGATTCCGCAGGTCAGTTCGCCATACTTTAGGTCAAGATGTTTCTGTGGCTAAATAGTCGTTATAGATGAATCATCGTTTCATCCTTCCTTTTCTTTATTCAGCTAGTATTCGACAACGCGCACGCCACCGTTACGATGCGCCTGCAAGCTCGGAGTCTTAAAGTGGCCCGGACGTCAAGCTCACCAAGTCAAAGGCTAGATGTCGGACATTCTTGTGCCCAGCCTGAGTTAGTATTTTGTGGTTTCCCACATGTGACTACTTGTCTGTTGCTTATCGGGAGAAGTAGTCAACTTAGCAACAACGCCAACAACGCGGAGCATGAAATATCAGCCCAAACAGCGCTCTAGCCAGCTCCATCAGAGCGTTAACTCCTGGCCCTCCCAGAATCATATCGTCAAAGGCGAGCAGTCTAACCTGATCATATCTTTCAGAACCCACCTGGAACAGCATGATGTCCACCAACGCATACAAGGACCCTGCCATTTCTTCTACCTTGCGCCAGTGAAAGAACTATCCAGAGAGGGATAAGGCTCACTCAGGCTCCAATTTTATTTTACAGCTACGATTTGCTAGAGTACATTGGCATTCCAATGCAGGTCAACGAGCAAAGGTAGCCATACAAACCTAAGCCTCGGCCTAGCCAACGGCTGTGTCTGCTATCCGCAAGATATTTGTTGGCACGGATGTAGTCTGTGGCCCTCACACCCTGCACACACCCCACACGCGTAACATACCACAACATCCCCTGCATAGGTATAGGTAGTTAGTCCACGGTGGCCTTACTACCAGAGTTTCGCCTCCCTGAACCTTATAATATCATTAGATATCTGCTCTTATCAGGTTATGAACGATTATTGCTTAAATTTCGCTGTGTAACTTATCAATCCTCGTGATTTTGACGAGCTAGTAGCTTTGGTACGTAGAATCCTTCAAAAGAATCCTTCTCCACATGGCCAGAGCAGCCAACAGAACCGATAGACCGGATATCTGAGCCAAGGTCAATCGACTGAGTAACGAACAATATTACAGCAAAGCTGAAAGGGGTGGTATTACTACATAGGACTAGAACCCCAATCACACTAGAACCGCTAATGATACTACTGCGCTACAGAAGATAGCATAGCATTGAAGTCATGGAACATGTTTCATTCAACTACGGAATTCTAAAGTCCATCTCTCATCTTAGTCATTAGGCTTTTGGGTCATCAAGTCGGATCAATCCACTCATTTCTTTCCCGCCTAAACAAATCGTCAGTATATCAAAGACAGCGGGACGAGGGTTCCTATTCATACCTTCTGGGCAGCCTTGGTAACCTTTCCGGAGCCAGCAACAGCCTTCTCGACGGATTTCACGACACCTACAGCGACGGTTTCTTGAAAAGCGTTAGCAATGATCTAGATGAGATGGGATGACGATGGGGTATCGATAGAGGCGGCTGGGGCTGATCTGCGTGAGGCCGAACTTGACATTCGGTATGGCGGAGAGCCACGGCAGAAAGAGGGAGGCGGCCGAGGACCGGAAGTGGGCGGTCGAGGGAGGCAGAAAAACAAAGAGGGGGAGGAACTTACGACGCATGTCACGGACGGCGAAACGACCGAGGGGAGGGTAGTCGGTGAAAGACTCGACACACATGGGCTTGGAGGGAATCATCTTGACGATGGCGGCATCACCAGACTTGATGAACTTGGGGCTGGATTCGACCGACTTTCCGGTACGGCGGTCAATCTTCTCCTGGAGCTCAGCGAACTTGCAGGCAATGTGGGCGGTGTGGCAGTCGAGGACGGGGGCGTAACCAGCGCCGACCTGACCGGGGTGGTTGAGGACGATGACCTGAGCGGTGAAAGAAGCGGCACCGGCAGGGGGGTCGTTCTTGGAGTCACCAGCGACGTTACCACGGCGGATTTCCTTGACGGAAACGTTCTTCACGTTGAAACCAACGTTGTCACCGGGAACACCCTCCTTGAGCTGCTGGTGGTGCATTTCGACGGACTTGACTTCAGTGGTGACGTTGGCGGGAGCGAAGACAACGACCATGCCGGGGGTGATGACACCAGTCTCGACACGGCCGACGGGCACCGTGCCAATACCGGAGATCTTGTAGACATCCTGGAGGGGAAGACGGAGGGGCTTGTTGGAGGGACGGACGGGAGCCTCAATGGCATCGATGGCCTCGAGGAGGGTCTTACCAGTGACCTTGCCGGCCTTGGTCTCCTTCTCCCAACCCTTGTACCAGGGGCAGGCGGGGGAGGGCTCAAGCATGTTGTCACCGTTGAAACCGGAGATGGGAACGAAGGCGACGGACTTGGGGTTGTAGCCGACCTTCTTGATGAAACCGGAAGTCTCCTTGACGATTTCGTTGTAACGGGCCTCGGACCACTGGCAAGTGTCCATCTTGTTGAGGGCAACAATGAGCTGACGGACACCGAGGGTGAAAGCGAGCAGAGCGTGCTCACGGGTCTGGCCATCCTTGGAGATACCAGCCTCGAATTCACCAGTACCGGAAGCAATGATGAGGATAGCGCAATCGGCCTGGGAGGTACCAGTGATCATGTTCTTGATGAAGTCACGGTGACCGGGGGCGTCTATTTCACCTGTTAGACGGGTAACACAGGGCAAGGTGGATGGAACATACCAATGACGGTGACCTCATACTTAGGGGTCTGGAACTTCCAGAGGGCAATATCGATGGTGATACCACGCTCACGCTCGGACTTGAGCTTGTCAAGAACCCAAGCGTACTTGAAGGAACCCTTTCCGAGTTCGGCGGCCTCCTTCTCGAACTTCTCAATGGTACGCTGGTCGATACCACCGCACTTGTAGATCAGGTGACCTAGGGTTGTGTAAGTGACGGACGAGCACGGGTGGGTTGGAGGCCGGCTTACCAGTGGTGGTCGACTTGCCGGAATCGACGTGGCCGATAACGACGATGTTGATGTGAGTCTTGTCCTCCTTACTGTTGATAGATGAGGATGGTTAGCGAACATGTTTGACCACGAGATGACCTGGTGTTGCTCGACTTACCCCATTTTGGCGGATGTGAAGTGTGTTGATTTATGAAAGAGGAAAAAGGATGCTCAGATACTACGGCTCGAATGCGTAGAGGTGCTGAGCAGAAGAAGTTAGCAAGAGGATGAAAGAAGGAAGAGGATGAGCAGCGAGGGAGGGGAAGATATACGTACTGAAGCGGACAAGCAAAGGAAGGGAAAGAAAATTCTGTGGGAGGGGGAGGGGAAATCCTTATATGGAGGGGCAAGCGAGACGACGACTAAGCGGGCGGGCTCAAACCCTTGGCTGGCTGGTCTTGTTATTGGACATGGAGGGGTAATTCTGCCCCACTACCGGTGCAAAAATCTTCAATGCTCCAGTGCTCCTTTGGGCGCCTTGCTACCAGAAAGCCAGCCCAGCTGCGTTGGGTTCCTTGGTTCTCGCGCTCGGAGAACCATACGGCTCCACCCCGCCCGTCGAATTCGACGTCTGGACGATGAAAATTTTTTTGTTTTGCTACGCTCTACTTGTCCTTTTGCCGCCGGAGTGGATTTTCGGACTAAAATCCTGGGCATCAACGCAGTTGATGTTGGGATGGCGGCTTTATTGGCGTTGGACCTTTCTATCCATGCCCTAGCACAACCCCGCGGCTGTACAAATTCTGCGCACGCTCATTTGCCGGTGACCAGACCATGATCCAGCGACCGAGTGGCGCTGCTCTGCCCAGTGGTCCACAACAATAAGGAGATCAACATGGCAAAAGGACAGACCGCAAGAAAGATAGATGAGATTTGAGTGACGAAAAAAAGAACACTAAACTGTGTGAAAATTTTTCTTTTTTTTTTGCCCCTCCAGGCTGCGTTGTCTAGGAGCCTAAGTGGGATGACCGAGTCAACTGCCCCTCATTCCTCTTCCAGCCGCCGCGTCTTTGCTTTTTCCCGAGTTTGACCCATTGAGAACCTTGAGCATCAAAAGTCACAATAAGGCTTGACTCGGAAAAGTCTAAATTCATTGTCTGGCAGAGATGCCGAGCTATCGACCACGGGAAGCCCACCTCGACAGGATGAATTTCCCCATTGCTAGATTTTGCATTTTCTTTTTTTTTTTTGGAGCTCGACGAGGGGTGCGGCACGAAGGATCAGCCGTAGTTTCAAATAAGTAAATTGCTAGGAGTGAGGGGTATCTTCGATGCACTCCATAAAACAGTCGCTAGAACAGCATATCACAATCAACACCAGCAGTTGTTTCCAGGTTCGCCTGCTCTCCTGCGCTCGACAATGAAATCCATGAGCCAATAAAAATCACCAGAAAATCCATACAAGCGACGCAAGTATATCAGTTTTCTCTCCACCGAGCACCGCACGTCGTACACTATCAAGCTCAGTCAGTATCAACCAAGCAATATGCAAGGCATCCGCGTGAGCCACCCACCTTCAAGAATGTAGTCATCGGCTCGTCTGCACTTCGAATCTGCAGTTGGAAGAAGTACGCACGGTCGCCATTGCAGCCTTCCGCGGGGCATTGTGCTGCAGAAGATCCAGGTCAGCTTCCACTTCCAAAACCAAGATAGTATAGTAGCTGGCGCAACGTACTGGCCATGCTGTCCGCGTTCTCGAATTCGGTTTTTCCTCCAAATACCGCCTCCACTTCCTTTTGCTTCATGGGTGTTTTCTCGAACCAGGCTTGTTCTAGCACGTACTGGTATGGGCAAGCGCGGCATTCGAATCGATTAACTCCGATTGGATATTTCGGTGTGGCATCAGCGCGAGAAATCGTAAGCGCATTGCTGCAGTTAGGGCAGACTGTTATACGAAAAAAGGGATCGTCATTCACACTGTCAAAGGGCTTGGGGCGGGGGTACATACATGTCAAAGGCATCTTGAAGTAATTGCGATTGGCTTTGTAGAAACCAGAGAGACTCGGGCAGTGTGCAATGCACGTTTAACCAGTTGGCGCAGGCTGTTGATTGAGACTGTCCCCTGTACTGGCCGCAACGTCCCGCAGCAAGGGCGATATCACAGAGCTTATCAGCCAGCGGGGAGAAAAATTGTTATACACCGCCTTGGCCAGTGACTGTTCCGCTGTTTCATGCCTCAGGCTTCAATCTATCTATAGATCTGCCTAAATGATGTTCGCCGATTGGGCGCGGGGAATTCTACACGGAGCGGTATAACAACTAATCCGGCTGCCTATTCCGCGGCGGGAGGCATCACGGCGCCATGCCAGCGGGGCAGCCAAACAATCAGGAGGCTTACTAGATCTGCAGCATTATTCAACCTCAACCGCTACAGCACTCCTCAGAGATTTTTCGGTACGTCCATCTGCTCGCCCTCTCACTTTGATAATACTCAGGCCACTTCAATTCTACCTCTTTTCCTGTTTTCTTTGTCCAACCTGACCCTCCCTCAACTAGTGCTACCCCGGTCTCGGCGGCTAAACAGCTCTTCTGAACATACATCCTGCGCTTCCGCTACATAGTCACCCCCCGGCTCCTAAAAGAACTCCCTATTGCCCTTCTCCAACCGTCCGCTTAGGTTCTCTTCTCCTCTCAATCAGCCAGAATGTCAGACGAGGTATGCTTACACCTATACAATGACCGAAACGAAGCCCTGACGCTCATGCAAACAGGGTGCCTCCCCCCGCGAACTCATCGTCGAAGCCTGTCGCCGCGACCAACCCCACCTGATAGAGCAAGTCCTCAACTCCCTGGAAGGAAAGTCAAACGAGGAGGTCGCCGAGTTCTTCAACGGGGTCACGGACTCTATGGGAAACCATGCCCTTCACATTTGCGCTCAGTACGGAAGCTGTACGTCTTTACCTTCCTCTCTTTTCTGCCTCCATGATTCTACGCTGTGATGTCTGACACACCCGGTTGATCCCTCTAGATGAAACAATGGATCACCTCTTCGACATCCAATTCTTCGAATGCGATCCGCTCACTCGGCTAGACAATGACACACCCTTGCACGTGGCCGTCCGATTCGCGAACGAAAAGGACGCCGAGCTAGGAAAGGAGATGATCGAGATGATGTGCGAAGCCGGGTGCGACCCCCGAGTGCGCAACAAGCATAACCAAAAACCGGCGGACCTTGTCTATAATAACCAGGAGATCAAGGCGGTGCTGGCAAAGGCGGAGTATGTGCTCTCAGAAGGGCTGAGGAATGATGATGTTGCCGATGCGGATGACGCGGGGAGTGCTAGTGATAGCGAGTAGCGAGCGGGTGGAGATAATCTTGGTGTTTTTATGGTTCTACTGTTATACATAGATATACATATTCGTATTATTGACGATTGGAAATATTTTTACCATCTTGATGTACACAATCTGTTAAAAGTGGGTTGTGCTCTCTCCGAGTGTACAAGTAGCGGAAATATAAATTTGGCCCATCAGCGTTCAGCACGTTCCAATTTCCGATATCACAACCGACCGTACAGACGTAGCTAAACCCGGCTATTCTGAGTTTCAGCACAGTATCTACCACCCCAGCGGCAGGATTTGGCAGACGTTCTCGACTAGGTTGAAAGTTATGAACCAAATTCGAAAGAATATCCCGAGGTATCAAAAAAAAGGGCTAGGCTAGCAACCGCATGAAACAAAGAACATCCTTAATCACTCTCAGACTCAGACTCAGACTCAGATCCAGACTCCGCGCCGCGCCGCGGCCGCCTTGTCTGTCCTTCCTCTTGCGCATCATCATCCTGGTCCTGCGTAGCCGCTTGACCCTCCGGCCTCTTCAGGCCCAGACTCCTCGACAGCCGAAACTCAAACTCTTCCATCTTTGCCTGCTCCGCAGGCGTGATGTCGTCACCCTCAACCATAGTCTGACGACCGTAGACCTCTCGAACAAGGCCCGCTACGCCCCTCGCCCCGACTTCGACCTTCCCACGTGGTCCAACCATGTATTCTATAATCTCGTCGCCGCCATCCATCTCACGGGTTTTCACCAGGTACCCTTCTCTGCAGAGGCGTTGGAGGAATTTGTCTGTGCGGTCGATGGGCGTATATGTGTCGGCGTTCATGCGGCTGAGGTAACGGTCGAGTTTTTGCTCTTGCAGGACTCCGCCGTTTAGTAGGATCACGCCGATGATAAAAGTGTATAGACCCGTGTATGCGCCTTCCATCGGCGCTTTGGCCGGGGAGAGCATATCTTGTTTTCGGTATGCGGGTGGGAGTGTACTCGTAAGGATCCACGACCTGTTCGTTGACGACGGCCTTTCGACTTTCTGGGCGGCTAAAGTATGGCAACACACATGTCAGATCCAAATTTCTATTTCTCACTCCATCCACGCTCAAGGGAGAAAGGTAAACTCACCTCTCCGCTGCTGAATCGTAACCTTCTCCCTGACCGGCAACTCCGTCATCATCATCCCAAACGTCTCCGTGAGAACCTTCTGCGCCTGATCAAACACCAGCTTAAACTGCCGCGACTCTCCCATAACTTTATTGCTAATATCAGACCGGCGAATTGGCTGCCGCGAATATTCGCTCGAGAGCGCTAACCGCACCAGCTTCTTCACCATGACGTCTGTGCTGGTCGGCGCGCGAACTTCGGCGTCGCTGTCATATTCGCTTTCATCCACAGAGGCGGCCTCTGTCCGGCGGCGCTGGCGTTGGGTGTTTTCTTGTGTGGAAGGTCCTGCGGAGGAACTGGCTTCGTCTTCGCTTGATTCGGGTTCCTCGGCGGGGGGCTAGTGATGCTCAGGAGTTTAGTTTGAGTTGCAGAAGAAAAGCGGCAGCGAGACAACATACTGCGCGTCGCTTGCGAATTAGAGGCATCTTGCTGGTTTAATGGGGCGATTGACGAGGAGGAGGAGGAGGAGGAGGAGGAGGAGGATGATGATGATGATGATGATGGTGCTGGCCTGGAAATTTTGGCGACGATAGGAACGCGTTGACGCGACGATAAGATCGATTGTGGGTCTAGATGATTTATCCAAATCGGGTAATCACATGCATCGGCGGCTGCTTTCACATGCTAGCCCTATAAAGAAAAGGTCCACGATAATTTTCAGGATAAAACTTTTGAAGTGGCAAGGGAGATGGTTCGATATTCAATCTGGCAGCCTGTCTGCTTGAGAAACCGCGGATGAACGCCATTGAAAGGTCTGTTGGACGACAAAGAAAGGTAAGAATGGAGCGAAGTGTATATAGTATCCAACCGCAGCCTGCAAAAAATAGAAAACAGACAATGAACTTCACAGGACCCTGTAATAAAGGAATGAAAAACGCTAAGAGTAACGTCTAATTATAACTCCCCACCGCACATGAAAAAGACGATTACGATGATCGGTTTTAGTTCGCAACCTGGTCGTTGACAATGTCTTTGACCTGTGCCTTCTTCTGCTGCAGCAAAGAGCTGAGGAAAGCCAATGACTCTTGGGAGAGTACAAGCCCGGTGGTAACGAGGGCCTTGCCGCTGGCAACGTATCCATCTCCGCCGCACTTTTTGTACTCATCTTCATAGGTGCTAAGGACCTTGCTCTTGATGTCTCCAGCAAATCGTAGCGGGACAGACGCGGTTTCGTAGATTGTGTTCTTGAGAGTACCAGTGTCTTCCTTGATGAAGGGAAAGGTTGCATCCACCCTCTGCAGTCCCTTATCACCAAGAGTATCTGCACGAGCGATATAAGGCGCAAAGTAGCCGTAGGGCTTGGAGAGGTATGGGAGGTAGGGTTTGGCGATGTCATAGCCCTGGTCGGCGAACTCTAGGGATTTGGCGCCGTACTTGTTGGTTCTGAAGACGGTGATCGAGTCCGAGACGACAGGATACGATGTCAGGTGCTACACAGCCAGCATAATACAGTAAGTACAAGTCACGCAGGAATACTGAAGCGGGCGATGACTTACATCGAGGAATTGGGACTGAGCCCGGTCGCCGTTGACTGCGTTTTCGCCCATTGTGCCGTTCTCAAAATGAGGCATAGATTGCTTATCAAAGTTAGCGCAGGTGTTTCAAGATGTACTGATAAGTAGTGATAACAATGGAAGTGATACCAAGAAAGTGGGCGAGGGAAGTAGCTTAAGAAGATGGGCAGCGAGGGAAATAGGGAGCCGATCACGTACCTTTTAGAAACTCTCTCGTCAACTTCAGACAGAGGTGATGAAAGTGATGGGAAGATGCTACCTAAAGATAGGGCAGGAGGAGGTGGACGGATCCGGAGGGGGAAGGTAGCTGATAGATGAACCGTAGGCGAGAGCAGCTCGACGAAACTTAAAAAAGAGGGTTCCAGCCGATAAATAGCTGACTGACGAATTGCCTCGAGCGAACGCAAAACTTAACAGGTCTTACGAGGTCCAGTACAGCACCTATCAAGCCTGTGGATAGCGGAATCGTATGCTTTTTTTGGGTCTTGAAGCTGGTGTTGGCAGCATGTGATTGCGGGTCGCGCCCGTTACTGCTCACTCTGCAAGCACGTTTTCTCTTCCCTTCCCCTCCACCTCCCTCACTACTATCAATCTCGCCTTATCGGGTCGAGACGAAACAAGGAAGTCTTCTAGGCTCGTCTCATCCCGGGCGCATTCCATGCAGCTAAATCGACAAGGGGGCAAACATGGCGGAATTGAGGAATGGAATAGCGAAGGCGAGGGGACTGAACACCGCGCGGATCTGTCAAAAGGTACGAGGGTACATCGGCCGGAAATGGTTGCGCATATCGAGTCAAGACATCGTCATCACCCCTGTTCATGATAATAGGTTATCGGGTGGCGAGCAAGGTGTGATATGACAGGATGGAACCAGGGAAAGGACTGACTCGATTGAGTTTCGAGGTGACTTTTCATGCCTTTGATCTTGACAGTCGATGATTCTTGATACTAGCTTCCAGACTAAACTCGTCTCGGCCACAGTCTAGAGCGTTTGCTAAGACGCCAGCATGTGAATGCGGGTCCCTAAGCCTCCCGAGTCTTGGTTGCGTTTCCTTCCATCATATCAAGCCGCTGCTGGGATTATGCCCGGGATACCCGATATAGTCCTTGACTCCTTGCGACCGCTACCAGGGTCCAAAGCGAAAAGAGCCCTATTGTTTCATATGAAGATGTCACCTCGACCTTGGTCTCCTGTTCTGCCCGAAACTGATTGTTCACTACCACGGAGTAGTAATCAGCTCCGTATAACTAGCATTGACAAGCTATGCGCCGTCATTCCAACAAACATTCTGGCAGAGCTGTCTTCCGAATTACGGATGCCGTTATTTTAAGAAAAATACTTCTGCCCCTCAGCATCCCGAGGATGTTGCGCCTTGGCCTCTTGCCATCTTCGCAATGCATCTGAAACGCCACCTTGCACCCTTCTAGATTCTCGTTGTCTGAGCACGGTCCACCGGTTGACTTAAGCGCTTTCTGTGGAGCCAACGGTTGCTCTTATTCTGGCTATCCTCGATGTGCTTGTTGTCGGCGATCGGGATTTTCATTGTCGAGGCTGACTCAAAAGTCTAGGGAGATACTCATCTACAAAGTATCACTCGCAGCGTACTTTTGCCTTGCATAATGCTGCACCAAACCGGAATGTTACGCTGCAATCGCTTGCGGTGGCTCTACGCCACTCTGCCACCGAGGACATGTGGTGATTCATCGTCGCGAACAACACATTCGCAGGCAGACTTAGTCTATACCCGTCGCTCTCCTCGAGTGAGAGACGTCAACACAGTTTTTTATGTAAACATATTGCAATTGAGCGATAGTCTTGGTATGTCGATGCGGTCTATAATAATATGTACATGCAAAAGGGTGGAGTAGCTTGTGGATATTATGATATCTCGACGTTATCACTTATCAGGCCATCTCTGATGACTGCTGCATGCATGCCGGCTGAGACACATAACGGGCACCAGTGTCTTTACGAATTCAACGGCTGCCGCCGTCGGATGGTTGGTAGAAACTGCAGATCGCGCACATCAATGGCCATTCGCAGCAGCAATTGGTCGCTTCCTGCATTAGCATGGGATTCCTACTTCAGAGACATATCATGTGAAGGTATCGACAACAAAGTGTTCAGCAAGCTATCGACTAGCGCTTAGAGAAACACCCGCTTCGCCAGCGTCAACTATAGCGAGGCCTCCGATCACGCCTTCCAATGGCGAAGATTAGCGACGGAGGGGAGATCTCCGGAACGGAAGCTTTCTCACCGCGAAAGTACGAGGCCTGAACACCGACCTAGAGTCTCAGGACCCGATGCGAGAATTCGTGCAAGTACGGATCGCCCGATGATGTTCTGGCCTGTGGGCCCGGATTCGGGTTGCTCTCGACAAATTTATGGTTCCGGACCCTCCCCGTAAATGAAGAATGAGAGCCAACCCATCGAAGCATGGCTTGGGCATGCCTTTTTCATAGCACCTTCAATCTAAGGAGGACCCATTGGCGCCTAGCATGAGGAGTTGAGATTCGACAGGCCAAGTCTATGCTATAGTATACAAGGGATAACGCCGTTCTAGCGCTTAGTGCTGTGTATGCTGAACAGGCTGATCCTGCTGCGCTTTCAAGATCGCACATTGACCCAACCTCGCAAGCTCGGCTGTGAACCCATCCAGAAACCGCATGTGGATGACTTCACCCAGCGTAAGCGTGCTGATGGGTATACTACGAATTAGACTCGGAAAGTCTTGCAGGATGCGTACATGAGTAGAGGCGTCGGAGCGCAGGGGGTCCTTGAGGATATTGTGGAAAAGAGTAAGGACACCAGTTATGGCGTAGAAGATCACGACCCTTGTCCTGTTATTTGCCGGAAATATCAGGGATTTAGGGGCGGGGTTGGATGAGTAGACGTACCAGAATACATGGGCCTTTAGTGCAGGGATTGCGACTTGCAGGTATGACAGCGTCGACCAGCTCGCGTGGATCGTAAGACTTATACTCGAGCTTATACCCTCGAATTGACTCTCGTGTCCATACCCGGACAGCGTGCATCGCTCGCTCGCCTGATGAATTATCGTAAAACAATGATGGTACGCAAGCCGAAGCATAGCGGCCTGCGTATTCAAGTTCGCATTCACGCGCATCTCCTGTGTGAACCATAGCGTGGGCCGGAAATCAGGATGTAGCGAGACGCGCCACTGCTCCAGCACCTGATCTAGATTTCGAATAGTCGATAGGATCTCTGTATCTGATTTCCTGCGCGCACTTGCAGAGTACAGCGATTGGTATACTTCGGATTTTATCATGGAGAGGCGGAGGTCGAATGGGTAGAGCGGGACGGTGCGGTCGTCGATGGGTATTGCCGGCTGTTGGATGTTGGTGTCTTGCATTTGAGCGTAGTTTGAAGGGAGGGATAAGTCGCATGAGCAATCGAGTATGGAGGGCGGCTGTCCCGTCCTGAGACAGAGGTCTTTGTCCCAGGAGTAGCAGAGCCAGAAGAGGTCGCGTAGGTGGCATTCCAGGATACTTTTGTCGTAAGGATGGGGATGGTCGAGTGAGCTCACGTCAGGCGATGTGTGAGCTTCGAACTTGTATAGCAGACGTATAGCGATGGAGACGGAAATTGACGCCGCCTGGAAGTCGCCCAGAAAGTACTGGAGCTGAATCTGATGGCATGTTAAAACAGTCCAAGGGCGAATTCAAGGAAGATAACTCACGAGCATCACCAGAGCTTCCAAGCCACTGGGCGTCATCTCCTGCGTAATTTTCGGCATCAAATTCTGAGCAGCCAAAGCATAAGACCCGCAATCCATAGCCCCGTGCAAGTTGTCGCCAAGCTCGAAAAGTGTCACAAGCGCGAGAAAGGAATAGATACAGGCTCTCGCACTGCCCCAGCCAAATACTTGCCCCGGTCCATAGGCGAGATCAAGGGTCTCGGTGAAGAGCCACTTGCTGATTACGGGGAAGACGAGGCCTTCAAAAGATGTACACCAAAGCCTGGCGTAGCCCTCCACGATCGAGCGGCTGGGGAGTTTGAACTCCGAGCGTGTACCGGAACTGTCATGTATGCGGCTTGTGTTCGCCCATGGAAGCTCCATTGTGTATATATTCTCAAAGTTGATGGACTCTCCGGTACGCGCTTCGATCCACTCCCTGCTGGAGAACATATGTGCTCCGTTGAAATAGGCCATACCGCTTAAGATAGACTTTGCACGGTTGACAGAATTATGTCCGCTGGGAAAGGATTGAGTATATGCACGTTTGGAGCGTATACTATGCCCTGTCACATCTTTAGGAAGGTATATGCCGCCGTCTTTCGAGGCAGCAAGCCTGTTATAGGTGCAGGCGAGACTTTGATGCTTGCACCAATTACATTGTGGGAACTCAGCATCACATTGTATCTGAAAAAAAAAAAATCAGAGTTAGTATAATCGGAGGGTAGGAACGGCAAGAGTCAAAGCACTTGAGCTCCATACCTTTCTTTTGAAGCATATATCGCAAGCCCTGCGTCGCTGTTTCTTGCTGGGCTGCGGCTTCGGCACTGACGGGCCGGTCTTGCGCGTGGGAGGCATTGTTGGGTGATAAAGCTCCCGCACTAAACTGGTAGCGCTGGCTATGATAAGGGTAATCGTCGTCGCAATGGAGACCGTGACATATCAATAGTATCCGTAAAATTCTGAAGAATCAGGCGAAGGACTCCTTTCGATCTGCCCAGATCGAGGACTCCACCCCGATTACTCATCGGCAAGTTTAATTCATGTGAGCCAATCAAGAAGTCTTAATACTTTTTAAGGCTTGAGTGTGGGACCCACACCTACTGAACTAGGTATAGTTCCAGGCGCATCATGAAGAACTTGCTATACCCTTGAAATGCCGTGATGATCTTCCAAAAGCCTTTTATGACGAAAGAAATGGGATTAGACTTGTTATGTAGTTGACTCTACATCGGAAACGAAATTCCTGAACTTAATACCTTTGCCTCCTTGTAGACTTGTAGCCCATGAGTTCGCAGTCCTGACTGAAGCCTGGGATGTTAAAAAACCCTCCGTTGGCATGGTCTTTTCGTCGATGTATCTGCTCTATGTGGACTGTTGTCGAACTTGCAGCTATCCGCAGCTTAGGGCACCATCATCACGTGACAATGCCTCACCTTGACCAAGCTCCTCAATGGCTTGCCTCCATTGCTTATCGCTTGAGATAAGTTTCTGTGAATGACTGATTGGGATGAATGGGGGAACAAGAACGAGCGAGACTCACCTTCTGGGCAGCCTTGGCGACTTTCTCGGAGTAGCGACGGCTGTTTCTGCTGTGATGCGCCTTGGACGAGAGATCTATTATCCGGACTTGAACCAGAAAAGACCTGATGACCATTTGCTTCGGCCTCTGCTGCATCCGGGTATAGTCTTATCAATAGGATAAATGGAAAACTTGTGAGAGGATGGGGTATTTAACACCCTTGGAGAGCGGCGGCAGTCGAGATTGTTAGCGAAATGCCTTCCCGAATAAGACATTCAAGAAGCTCAGCAGGGTAGCAATAAGCGTCCTGATCTGCTTAGAATATAGGCCGACGCTTTCTTTGCGTTTCTCTTTTTTGGAGGTACCATTGGCACAAGAATGTGCAGCCGTCTTGAGCATGGCCATCGTGGCAAGTATCGTAAGGGTATGGCTTGCAAAGGTGGAAAGTCTGTCCGTCTGTCCTCGGCCCAATATCCCCATTCCTCGCAACCTGTGCAGAGGTAGCTAGCCGTTCGATTGAAGTTACGTGAAGTTTTCATACCTTGAGCCAGCCTAACCTAAGCACCTTGGAGAGTATCCTTGTTGAGGCAAGTCATGAAGAGCATTCGATATACTCTATCAGAGCCTATGGCACATTTCGACGAGGCCGACAAGATCATTTGTATATGTTAAGGCACCTAATGTGGCTTTGCCGGTTGTCAGAAAAAACTCCTGGCTCGAAGGTGGTTTCACTTTGTACGTCCAGGAAGAGGCCTTAAGTCTGCGAGCCACTGAATCGGCCAGAGACTTGGAAGAAACATGAGAATTCGGAAGGGGAAGCAAAAGGATTATAAGAAGGGTGGTCAGCGAGGACCAGGACTAGGCTACACGGCTCAACACACCCGACCTCACCTGCAAATCGAAGGTGTTGCGCTTGCCTGGCAGTCCAAGCAAGGGTTAGTAAGTTCAAGAATCTCATTTCCGATGTAGAGTCAACTACATAACAAGTCTAATCCCATTTCTTTCGTCATAAAGGCTTTTGTAGGATCATCACGGCATTCCACATGCGTATGGCTTAACCTTGCCTGGGGCGGAAACCAAGATATCCTCCGTAGGATATCCATGAACATGTCAAGTCTCTCAGTCGGCATGAAGACCGAGGGCATGATGCCGACTTCTACTCTAAGGCCATACTGTTACTGGGGCCAACGGCTCTGAAAGCCAGGAACCAGCTATGGACATGTAAATAATTCAGCACGCATATTGGCATTCCATCTATAGTCTAGCAGTGCTCCAGCAAGTGAGTACACGCTAATCTTGATCATACAACGGGCCCTTGGGGGCATGGATGGAGAAATGTGAACTACGGTCATGTGGATAGGGCAAAGCGCGCATTGTCACAGCCTAACCCTAATTCTGAAAGGAAGAGAGCCCTCAAGTATGGCGGGAACACGCCCTGGCGCTCAAGGCAACTTATGAGAGTTACATGAAGACTAATGAGAGTAATATAAAGAATAATAAGAATAATATCAAGCATAAGTGTCTATTCAAGTGGATCTATAGATGATGGTTCACGACCAGCCTTCCTGCAGCTTCTCGCGGTATTGAGCAAGCATCTCTGCAGTGATATTGCTCCCACCGCAGACGATGACAACGACCCGGGTCTCAGGCGTAAGCTCAGGAACAAACTCCTTAAGCCTCGCCGCCGACGATCCAACTTCAACACTGATACCGCAGGCCAACTCGGCCTGCAACCGCAGGGCATCCGCCAGGCGAATCGACCCACGAGCAGCCTCTGCATCTGACCCGACAACGCTCGAGACTTCTACCCCAGCAGGTGGCGACTGCGCATTCTTCAGTGTCTGCGGTGCAACCTGCAGCGCTCCCAAAGAGGTCGCGAGAGACGTGATAGCGGGAAGCGACTTCAGACCCCCGCTTTTGATGGCAAGAGCAAGCGAGTCCGCTCCCTTTGTCTCAACAGCCAGAACACGGACTTTCTCTCCATCCTGTCGAGACTGCATATGCCGACCCAATCCCTCAACAACACCATTGAAAAGTCCCCCTCCACCGACACTGCAAACGACAACATCCGCGGGGAACCCACCTTCCTCTCGAGCCGGCATCTGTCTCTCGATCTCATCAACCATCGTCGCAGCCCCCTGCCAGATATCCGGATGATCAAACGGCGGGACATAGACACTCCTCGTCTCCGCCCAATCATCCTGGTTCTCGATAAATGTCTTCCGAAGATACGTATCGGCCTGGAACCAGCTGTCGCCGTGCTGGATTACATCTGTTGCGCCAGCATCACGCAGCTTTTGAATCATCATTGGCTTCGTCGAATGCGGGACAATCACTGAACAGGGACAGTCAAGGTCCCTAGCCGCGTAAACAGCTGCTAGACCGGCATTTCCGCCGGAGGAGCTATAGCAATGCAGCTGTTTTCCTGCATTGGCTGGATCTTGTAGGGCGTTGCTGATGAGGTTGCCAATTCCTCTGTGAAAGGTTAGTTATGCTCGAAACAAATAAGAGGAGAAATTGAGGAAGTATACCGAGATTTGAAGGAGCCAGACGGCTGCAGGAGCTCCAGCTTGAGAAATACTCTGCTAAATTGAAGTTTAGTAAGTGTTGCCACCACCTGGGGGATGCTGCTTACCATCCTGCTGTTTTCGAAAGAGTGGTCGACTCGATCAATGGAGTCTCGATCCAGGGCTTTTTCTCTGTGTGAGCCATTTTATTCTATACTGTTGGTGAAGCAGGAGGCAGTTTTATGTGTATGAACACAACAAAACAGTTGTTTTTTTGGGGATGGGAATTGGTTCCTTTTAAGGTGGTATTTCCACACATTGAAGTGGAGAGCGAGCGATACTCGCGCCCTGCGACATTCGACATACATGCTAAGGTCAACATACTTAGCAGAGAGGCCGTTCTGTTCTCTTTTTCGAGTCCACAATCTATAGAGTAATTTATTTGATGATATCTGAACGGTCAAAGGGTAAATTGCCCACCACTGTAGCGGATATTTGGGCGAAGGGAAAGTTTCTCATGTTGCGAACAGGGAACAAAGCCAGTGCCTCTATAGAATCAGTATCTGTACCCAGGGCCACTCGCAAGAATATCGAAAACCTCCAGGCTATGACCTTCCATAATGTATCTGCAAAACGACACTTATTTTTCCCGCGGAAGAAAAGCCCAGTCACGTGAGACCCCAGCTCTGTTCCTAGCTGCCCGTGACATCAGACCATACATACACACTGTTTCTGCAGTTGGCACAAGAGCACAACCCTCTACACATTTCCATTGCCCGAAACGATGGCGATGAAAACACCCCTCTCAGTCCAGCGCACTTGTGGCCAATGCATCCGCCAAAGATACCTCCATCCGAACCGAACAACAGCAACCCGATACCTCTCCACGAGTAATCCGCTCCGCTCCGCCCCGAAAGCGAACCCCCTACGCACAACCGGGAACGCGCGAGCTGTGCGCCCGAATGAACAGGATGTTGCGAAGTACCGCCGGTCGATGATCATCTCCGCGAGCGGGATCGCGGCGTGTGCGGTGGCCATGTACGGTGTGATTACGCTCGATGCGTTTGGGTTAGAGGCTACGCAGGCCAAGGAGGCGGATGGGAAGGATGAGGTCAAGGATAATGCCCCATCGGGGATCAAGCTGGAGGGGCCGGAGGGATTCCCTCATAGTCCGTCTGTGATTCGGATCCAGGGACAGGACGGTGCGGAGGAGGTCGCGACGGGGACGAGCACGATCCCGACTTTTCCGTCGACGATTCGGTTACCGAGATACCAGCAATCATCTGCTACGCTTGCGCCTGGTGATGAGATCCCCGTCGCGACCGGCGCCGAGGATGAGGACGAGTATCAGCTCCTGGGACTCGGTGTGCGCACGGTCTCGTTTTTGAAGATTCAGGTCTACGTCGTTGGACTGTACGTGGCCAAGTCTGATATCTCGGAGCTGCAGCGGCGTCTCATTGAGACGGCTGTTCATCCGCCCACCGATGATCAGGTCATTGCGAACCCCGTTGGAGCTACATCTGCTACATCACTTGTCTCTACCGAACGCCAGCTACTAAAGCAGCTCCTCCTCGACGAGGAAAAGGGCGAAGATGCCTGGAACGCAATAATCAAGGATAACGGCCTTCGCACCGCCTTCCGAATCGTCCCAACCCGTAACACAGACTTCATCCACCTCCGCGACGGCTGGGTACGCGGTATAACCGCGCGCGCGCAAAAGGCCAATGCCAAGGCTAATGTCAATGCTGAAGGCCAGCCAGTGTCCACTCGCGGAGAATTCGAGGACGAATCCTTCGGCGCCGCAATGAGCGACTTCAAGAAGCTCTTTGGCGGCGGTCAGCGCAAGAACGTCCCCAAGGGCCAGACACTGCTTCTGCTGCGGAACGAGCGCGGCGAGCTCGATGTGCTGTTCGGGGCCGACCCTGAAAAGCCGTGGCGGTTCATGGGCCGTGTCTCGGATGAGCGGGTTAGTCGGCTGGTTTGGTTGAATTACCTTGCCGGAAAGAATGTTTCGAGTGAGGATGCACGGAAGAGTGTTGTGGATGGGGTTATGGGTGTTGTTGAGCGGCCTGTTGGGACGCTTGTTCAGAAGGTCTTGTAGTTTATGTACTTACAGCCAATCTCCCCTACAATGTATATCAATCCAGTGTATAACTCGGAGGTCTCGACTCTCGAGAAGTGCCAAGCAATTCAAAAGACGTCGCCGCGTTGAATCCTACAGCAGCAGAAGGACATTGTATAGTAGACGAATTATGTATTCAAGGCTTCAAAGTTGAAACATTCTCCTAACACGTACAGACCACGATAAGTTCTATAAATCACCGCTTAGAGAGCACCAGCCTCCTTCAACAACTGAGGAAGTTCAGCCTTCTTTGCCTGCAAGTCCGAGTTTCCGCCAATGTGCTTGTGGTTGATGTAGATGTTCGGCACGGTGCGTTGGCCAGAGATTTCCTGGAGAGCGTCTTGGAGGGCAGCGCCGTCGTCTATTTCATAGAAGGGTTGTCAGTATGCGTTTCTTATCGTATTGGAGCAAAATAGCGTCATATCTGCTGTTTGAGGTGGTGGGGCGCATACCGATCTGATCGAGCTCGAGGACCTTGAAATTTGCGCCTAGCTCGCTGAGAAGGCTCTTGCTGGCCTTGCAGTACGGACAGTAGCTCTTGCTGAAAACCACGGCGCCATTTTCATCAATAATAGTCTGGGCTTTAACCTTTGCAGAGGCCATTGTGGTTGGAGAGATGGGGCTAAAGGAGCCGAAAAGTCGTCGGAATATGGAAGCCAACTTGAAAGCGGGAAGACTGGGTCGGGAATGCGCCCAGGTATTTGTAGCAAAGAAGGCAAGGAACGAACTTTAAAATGAGACGTATGATGAGGGGTAATTATGGAGGGCTGAGTGAGAATGACGAAAGAGGGGTTACTAATGTACTCCGTAGCCCAGGAGCACGCAATAAGTTGGATGGTGGATGATTCCAGAGCGAAAGCGGAGGGGAGCCGGCTAGCGAGCGGGCAAAAATAAATGGGCTGCAACCGCCGCCACTTCCGCCGAGGCTAGCCTTGATTACCGATCAGGGTCAGTGCTGCTTTAGCCTATGTCTCCCATCCAGTGGCGCCAGGGCCGCTTCGTATACCACTCCATACGAGTGCAAACAACGACAATTTCAAATAATTGTAAGCAGCGCGAGAGCTGCAAGAATATTCCTAGAAAATTGATTTGTAGATATTTAAAGTACCCGGATGCATCGTAAGTCAATGCTCACTCACCCCGGGATTTTGCCACGGGGTCCAGAGAAGAAACTGCTGCATTTTTGTAGTCGAGTAGCGCAAAGGTATCGAATGCAGAAAATCGCACAAAGAATGAGCTGACATGGCTGAAATACCATCGGTGAAAGATGTAGGAGATAGCAAAAGAGGGCGGAATATGACGAAGTAGGAAATATCTAGGAGAAAGAAGAAAGCTGTCGAAACACGCAAAACACCGGCCTTCCCTAAACGCTGAATGAACAAGTGAAAGAGTTGTAATAAGGCAAAAGGTATCTTCCGAGAATGCTACATCACAATACAGCAGCCGCAGCCCTTGGGTTCTTTTTCTTGTGGAGGTGGCCCCTGTGCAGTAACAACAGTCTGAGAATTGAACCTCGGGGTCAACCCGGTGGGCGGCGTGTCTTGCAGCTTCGGCATTGGACTGTATCCTGTGCTTGTACCAGGCCGAGTTCCTGGTTCTGGGCTCTTGGGCAAGGAGTGCAGGCCTAACCCCTCTGGCTTCGGCGGCTCGGGTTCCTGTGGCTTTTCCGTCTCCTTCTCAACCTTGTTCTGGACAGGGAGTGGGTCGGAAGCGATTGCAAGCGGCGCAAATTCACGATCGTATGTTGTAGGCGTCTTGCCCTCCTTGGCCCATTGCTCTTGTTGCATCCTCCGCGCATGGGTGGGAAGGATTTGCTGGTCGGGGGGAAGTCGCGGGTCGGGCTTGTACATGGTAGCCAGCCATGGAGGATCGCCTTCTGGACGGTTGACCGCTGTAGGCGGACGGATTTCACCTGACCTTGTGGTGGGACGCTGAGTGTTGTGACTGGACGGTGCTCGGCTTCGGGGTGTCGTACTCTTTTTGGGAAGGGGAGCAGACGCCTTTCTGTTTGTTGGGCTAGCTTTAGCAGGGTTCTTCTTGTTCGCATTCTGAGACGTCTGTACGCCTCGGCTACCGGGCCGGCTGTCGCTGGGCGGGCTGGAAGTCGAGGCAGAGTCTACTGTAATTGGCTCACTAGCTCTACGAGGCATCGCAATTGAGGGGGATTCCTCCTCTTCATTTGTCGGTGCCCGTGAACGTGGCAAGAAAAATTCACGGTCGATCTGATCTGGAGACAGGGGAGCCGGGCTTGCGGTTGGTATCGGAATTCGAGACGAACTCTTCCGCAGCCCAGGGTTGCGGTACATATATGATGCACTATATTCCAATTCCGCCGCAATTTCTTCGGGCCGGCGAAGGTCCCAGTGTTGCCGTTCTTCATCTCGAGTATCGTCACCGTTGTCATCATCAAGGACCAGAGAAGTAGTGCGGGTTTCTTGCTTCTCCTGCTTTAGCTGGATTTGCTGGTCCTCCTGAAAATCCGGCCACGGTTCCAGCGGTTCGGTTGGCGCGGGCGTGGTTGCAGTAGTTCCGCTGATACTGCCCTTTTGCTGGTCTCGGCTTCTACCACGTCCAGCCCTAGTACTCCCAGTCCCAGGTCGGCGTTGGAACAAAATTGCAGCTTGCTGGAGCTCCTCGCTCTCGATGCGCGCGAGTTTATCCCGATGAATCCAATTCTCGTCGTTTAGATCGCCCGGCTTGATGCCGATACCATCCTTCACGTCACCTTTCTTAGCACTTCCGTTGATGTGTGTACTGCCTCCGTCCTGCGCCGCCTTGGTCTCGACTTCCTCGCGACTAATACTTGCATCGGGTCGTCCTCGGGTGGCATAATGGGATCGGTCGTAGGCGTGTCTAGACATGGAAGAACTGCGAGAACCTTTGGAGCCACGATCTCTCGATTTTGCATCACGGGATGTTCGGGATTTGGAGCGCTGTCTGCTATTATTGTTGCTGCTATTGCCCTTTTGAGGTGTCAGCTAAATGCCAATGTCGTCCGTTGAATGCGCCAGAAGACCTTTTGGTCCAACACTTGACTTACATCGTGATTGACCGGGACAGAAAACTCCCATGGTTGCTGGCCGCCATCTACACTGCTAGCTGATGTCCAAACATCTGCTGAATACGTAGCAGTAGCTGTGCCCGCCATTCCGGCAGCTGGCAAACGAATATAGATTCAATGAAGGAACGCCAGGCCAGCTGGCTAGATTGGAAGGATATAGAAGTCGACAAGTGATAAAGCGAGTGCCCCTGGGTCCCGTTTACCCTATCAGGCCATCCTATTGAACAACGCAGTGCTGGTGAAGGTCGCGCTCACCTTGCCGACCCGAGATAACGAGGTTATGTATGCAGTATGCGAGGGCGGGGAGGAGGCTGTACAGGTCCTCTCCGACGAGAGTTTCCGGGGAGAATGTGCGGTTGAATGAGGAGGCGGAGGGCCGAAAACAAAGTCGCCAGAAAAAGGAATTTGTAAATAGGAGGAAAAGTGGAGATTTCACGTTTCTTTGGTACTGCTCGAACTGCGGCGCGGTTTGGTCAGGATTTGAGGGACCGCGGGTCGTACCGTGGAAATGACTTGGGCGAAGGAAGGTTATAGGTGGACAAGGGCCGCTCGGTAAATGATAAATAATAATGGGCTAAAGAAGTTGAAGAATGGAATCGCAACGAGAGAAATGGGCCAGAGAGAAGAAGAGAAGATGCAGTCGGGCGAGGCGGAGAGAAGAAGAGGGGAGTCTGGAAAAGAGGACGCGGAAAAGGAGTGAGGGAGAGAAGCTGAAGGCGGGACGGGACTGGCTGGAGCGCTGCCCTGCGAAAAGCCGCGTGAAATCAAAGAAATTCAAAGAGTGACGGAGAAGAGGTCATTGAAAGTGGAGCAGAGTCCAGACGCAACTGCCAGCAAGATTAGAATATTATACGGCAATCGATGAGGTTCACGACGCCGCAGCGAAGGAGGAAGGAGGCGAAGAGATGGAAAAGCAGGCAGGGAAGTCGCTACAGCACCAGCGCAAGAATCACTCACCTAGTTTCGACGAGACTATCACGAACTAACTGGCCACCCTATACTGAACTCAGTCTAGCGGACAGCTAGTCTCAACAACCTCCCTTCCCCGGCCGCAACAGCCTAGAACTTCGACTGTTCAGGGAGCCAATCACAGCGTGAGATGGAGAAAGGCGCAAAGCAGATCGCACTCCCGTCAGCCTGGGTCCATCTGAACAACCATGTGCGGCCAAATATTGGTCGTCTGGGCGAGTGATGTCTCACAAATCAATGCTACCGCAAGAAAAAGGAAGTCTTTGGGGTCGGGCTCCGAGCAATATGACAGGTCGCCGCTGCAATGGCCGTCAGTTGGGCAATTGGAACAGTTTCCAACCAGACCGACCGTTATCAACGAATGATGATCTGCAAGCGCAATCATCCTTCTTTATTTAACTTCACGCATTCCAGGGGCCTGAATCGCCGCAGAAGCAGACCCTCAGAATTGACATCAGAGAAATATGTGTAACCAAAGTCGCCCAAATATCTGCCAGAGCACTCATCAGTCAAGCACTTCCGAACTCCGCAGAAGCTTCTTTCAGCCTCTTCCTGTTGACTAGGAGGGGTCTTCCACGCCCGGTGACCGGTTGTCTTGATTCACCATTTTCCCCAATTCGAGATCCACCTGTTGAGTGGCTTCAAACTCTATGGCATGATCTACAGACGTCAACGGTCAAGGATCCTGGCACCTGCCCTTATGCGTGTGCTTGAAACTACAGACCCTGGCTCAGGGTCCTCCTGATGACCAGCTTCATCCCATTCCTCAATCTCAGGGCCCCATGCCATCAAACATTCCAGCTTTCAGCCTCTCAAGCTGCGATTCCATCGGACGCGATATTGGAGTGCCATTTGCCATGGGCCCTGAGGTCAGGACGAGAAGAAGCTTACAGAGCGCGAAGATGCAGCCGCAGGGCTCCGCAAGAGAACCAATTCTGGAAAGTGCAAACGCGCAAGCCAATGGTTGTCTCATGTCTTTGAACTGACGGAGATTACTGCCTCCTAGTGGAAGATAACAGGAAAACTTGGCCTCTGTTCTCACCCAATTGTCTTGAGAAAAAGGCTGGCCTCTGTTGCCACCTCTCGATGGGTTCCAGGTTCGACCAAGTCCAGACATGCGCGAATGACCTCTGGCCGGCGTTATAAAAGTCAGTGGTTCTATCCCTATTCTCAGACGTCCGATGCCTTTTTCCCAGATAAAAGGCATTGATGGATTAACATAAATTATAGCAGACCCTATTCCACCAACGCTGGATAACATCCACACAACTGGGTATATACACAAGAGCGGATCGAGTCAGGAAACATGGCAGGTTCAGGTCACGGACGGAAAATCCATTCCTCGCTATCACTCCTACCAGCCGGGTTCTGTGGCCCATCCCATCTTTCGTCCCCGGATTTTTTTACCACAGAGAGCTCTACATCCTTCCTCACGTGTATCGAATGTAGATCCTGGAATTCATTCCCCGACCTTAATCCGGAGCTGATCTGTACGTGGCTAATTTTCCCCCGGCCAGAGTTGAAAGTTGAGCTCGTCAAGCCGGGGAAGATCTTGGACATTAGCGGTCTGACACCTGGTAGACAGCCACAGACAACGCCCAGGTTGCACTCAACAGCGACGATAATGAAGATGATGGCGCCATTGTCTACTTTGAAATCAGCTTTCAGAAAAAAAAGTTTAAGGCCGAGAGCGTACAGGTCTGATCCCAGGAATTGGCGAACTTGGTTTGCCAGGTAATACGGATAATTCCTGCGATACAAATCCTTGAGATTGTCAGCACGGCCGGTGTTCAACCAGGACAATGTTCACTTACAAGACTCCGACGCCAAAGCAGACGATCAACCCAATTCTCTTGGGCAGACTAAGCTTTACCTTCCAGAGGTAGTGTATTGGCCAGAGGTAAACCATGAAATCCGTTATACTATTCATGGCGGCGACGGCAATGAAGAACTTCTTGGAATCGATGCATTGCTTCTCACTATATGGCTTGAAAACCGCCCAGATATCCGAAAGAGGTCTGGATCACGTCAACGAGGGCTTCTTTGAGGTACCATATTCTCGAACTTACATGCACTGAACCAGCATTCCAACCGTCGTCGAAATCCCAAAACCAGTGAGGATGGCTATTGAGATATAGTTGAACCACTTGTTCGTCCTCGAAGGGAAGAGGCGCAAGTAGGTCAGACATATTGAGATCTTTGTGATTGCAGAGCATGGCGCAAAAAGAGCTTGAACCGCCACAGTCAACTTGACAATGTCAGTGATGAACCCCTATAATTGATAAAGTGCTAACCTTTCCAAGATGAGGATACCACTCCTGTCGGACGTCGTAAAGATGGCGTCCAATGCCATACTTGGGCTCTACCAGCTGGCATGCCGACATTGCCATTGCCAAGACCTTTCGACAGGATTAGCACAAGCTTGTTATCCACATGCTCCAGTACGTACATAAGCTATCAGCATTGTCCAGTCATCGGCCCCAAGTGCGTTGCGCACTAGATATGTGCGCGAGAGGAATCTCCCCCCAACGAAAGCCGTCATCAGAACCATCAACGGAATGTTGACTCCGTAGATCACGGGGTCCAATGGCTCGTGAGGATTGTCATAATTGGGTTCGGGCCAGCTCAACATATCCTTGAGGGTAGGGGTCGCCATTCTGGCGGTGATGCTCGTGGGACAAGCAGTACAGGAGCAGGACGTGGCAAAGGACGTGGGATTGCGTCCTCCGATCCTGGGGAAATGCCTCCACTAAGTAATCCTGTCTTTCTATGGAGAATGGGATCAGATTCTAGAGTTGCGGGGAACGAACAGCCATCATGCACGTCAAATCTCGCCAGAACCATTTAGGCTCAGGCGGACCTAGTCGGAGGTTGCTCGGTAAGTCGGTTCCAGGAACGCAACGCCCATGCAAGAAAGTCCTGTGCCTCCATCCTGAAAAGAGGTAACTTCGACCGAAGCAAGCCAGGGATGGAGTGTGGTCTCTGTTGTGGTGAAGGGTCTCGAGGCGAAGGACAGACTCCACACATTAGCGTGCGCTTATCCATTACATTATCGATACATGTTCTCTGTCCCCCACATACATCGAACATTCTGAGTGCATGTCATATCCTCCATACATGTTGTGTGAAAGGATTTCAGGCTAACTATGCAGCATCGATGGCCGACATGAAGTTGAAAACAATAGAGCGATTGCCACTTCTCCCGGGCCCCTAGCGCCAAATTCAATGAATGAGGACCAAGACAATAGATACGACTGCTGGAGTTGTCTGTATGAAGACTGTAAACGAGGCCAAGGATGATCATTTTGGACCTCGACTAACCGCATCCGGCCGAACTGACTCAGGCCTCATGACAACTACCTCTCTGATTCAGTCTATCCTCCACATCAATCCTGCGGGATTCATGCATCTCGGCCTTCAGGCCAAGGTAGCGTGGCGAATGTCAAGCGGAATGTACGCGAGAGTCAGATTATCGGACACAATCTCGGAGAAATATCCCCAAAAGCCATCTTCCGCGAAGCATCAGTGTCTGCGCAGCAGAACTATAGCAGTCGACGTCGTACGAGACCGCGTCAATGGCATTCCTTTCTGGATATCAGAGCAGTCGTGAGCTGCGGGGGAAAGGATTCGAGTCAAGCACAAAGACTAATATGGAATCAAAGCTCAAGCAAGGAACAACGGGCATCCGGAGGCTTCTCAACCCCTCCCATCCTCTAGTCCTCCAGGCCTTCGCTCCATGTCACTCAGATAACGCCGCAGATCTGACTCGCTTAGAAGTCAGAGTTAATAATGAGGTTGAGAATCAAGAATGAATGGCTTTGTCGTGGAAATGAGCAACAATCCAGCCCGGCCTAGTGTCAGGCACCGGCAAAATAGAACAGCCACCCGAATCAGATGCAACTTCCTCGTGTCAAAAAGTGCATTCACTGAATATGAGTGGCTCGGCTCGAGGTACCTGGGCTATGAACGCTGGGGATAGTCTCCGCTGCCAGATCGACTATGATGTGCTAGGAATAGCCTTCACGCCAGTCGGGCAGTGCCCCCGGTTTGGAAAAGAGAATCATTCCATTCGGTGCTGGGAAGTGGGAGTCCGAGTCGCTCGCGAACCTGGACGGCCGCGGAGGAGAAAGATACCGATATAGTGGCCTCAGAATGAAGATGGCCGGCTTTGTCTAGCGAGATTCCCAGGGGCACTGCGCCGCAGCCTGCGAGATACCTATAACAATGAGCCCTGCCTTCCTTTTTCTTCCGTTTCCCCCTTCCTTCACGCATTGCCTCTCTTCCGACACTCGTTTCTGCTGTTTTGGGTTTCGTGCTTATTTCTACATTTTGTTTCATGAAAGAGGATTGATCAAGCCTGCCACTCCTTTGAGTCTATTCTCGTCCCTCGCTTAACACCCTGTTTATTTCAGCAAATATAGCTCAATTGGGCTGTCATCTTTAATCATGACATTCTCAAAGAGCGTTCTTCTGTCTCTTGCTTACCTTGCAACACCCTCTCTTGGCCTGTTCAACATCGGTGTGCCCGGGATCAGTTGGTCCTATGACTATGTTGTTGTAGGTGGTGGTACTTCTGGCCTGGCTATCGCCGCCCGCCTGGCTGAGAATTCGAAAGTGACCGTGGCTGTGGTCGAAGCTGGTGGACACTATGAGATTGAAGGGGGAATGATGAGCATTATTCCTGGATTTGCTGCTGCAGCAAACACCGGCACAGACCCTTCTGACGATTCTATGCTGATCGACTGGAACTTTGACGCTGAGCCTCTGACGGTAAGATCGTATTAAAAAGATCCAAGATAGTGGCTAACATCACGGCAGGCCGCGAATAATCGGGTTCTCCGTTATGCTAGGGGAAAGACCCTTGGAGGTACCTCGGCTCGCAACTATATGGTCTACCATCGGTATGTTTAGGGTTTGAGGTTCTCGATGACGGCTGGTACTAACATTAACAGCGGTACCAAAGAGACGTACGATCAGTGGGCAGATATCACCGGTGATGACTCTTGGGATTGGGACTCAGTGCTACCATATTTCAAGAAGAGTTGTACCGTCACTCCCCCTGACATGACAAAGCGTGATGCAAATGCAAGTGTGATCTACAGTGCAGACGCCTTTGACAACAGCCTAAAGGGGCCTCTGCAAGTTACCTGGCCCAACTTTGGGTCCCCATTCAACACCTATGTTGAGACTGGCTTGGAGTCAATTGGTATCGTTCCAGGACAAGATCTGAACTCCGGAAGTCTTAATGGTTCGGCCTGGGCTGCTACGACTATTGACCCCAAAGACCAATCGCGGAGCTCCTCCAAAACAAGCTTTCTTGGGCAAATGCTCCTGAAGCTCAACTTCAAGGTCTATGCGCATACCCTGGCAAAGAAGATCAACTTCAGTGGGACCAAGGCCAAGAGTGTCAAGGTCGAAACTTTGGGGATTTCGTATACTCTGACCGCGAAGAAGGAGATTATTATCTCTGCTGGCGCCTTCCAATCACCACAGTTGCTCATGGTATCAGGCGTTGGGCCAAAGTCGACACTGCAGAAGCTTGGAATCAGCGTCGTGAAGGATCTCCCAGGGGTTGGGCAGAACCTCTGGGATCACGCTCTATTCGGTGTTGTCAACCGGGTGAACGTTGTCACAGCAAGCAGACTGGTCAACGACATGGCCGCTGCCGCCGAGGCTCTTGTCCAGTACGCCCTGAAAAAGGGACCCCTAACTGCCCCTGGATTTGGAGTCTTGGGATGGGAAAAGATTCCCCAAACCCTCCGCACGCACTTTACTAACAGCACCCGCGCTGCCCTCGACACCTTCCCCTCCGACTGGCCCGAAGTCGAGTACCTCGGCCTCGATGGTATCCTCGATGGCTGGCATAGCGCCGATGACCAGAACCTGGGAGACGGCTTCAACTATGGCACCATTGGCGCTGCGCTCGTTGCTCCTCTCTCCCGTGGATCAGTCACCATCTCAAGCTCCAATACAGCAGATGGCCCCGTCATTGACCTCGGCTACCTCACCCACCCAGCCGACCAGGAAGTGGCCGTTGCCGCCGTAAAACGTGCCCGAGCAGCCTTTGCTGGCACCGGCATCACCATCGGCGAAGAGCACCGCCCCGGCCCCGACGTCCAGACCGACAAAGAAATCCTCGAGTTCGTCCGCTCCACAATTGTACCCGTCTGGCACGCCTCGGGGACATGTGCAATGGGCTCCTCCAGCGATCCCAACGCAGTTGTCGACTCCAATGCCAAAGTCATCGGCCTCCAGAACATCCGCGTTGTCGACGCAAGTATCTTCCCCACGCTCCCACCGGGCCACCCACAGAGCACGTGCTACATGATCGCCGAGAAGATTGCGGCTGCGATTAAAAATGGGAACTAGATGCTGCTCCCCGTCTCTCCCTTTCAACTCTCGGGTTAGGTTATGTATCAATCCGTCCTCCGCTCATGACACCGCCTCGGACTACTGCGTGAATGTTTTCGATTTTAGATAGATCAGATCATGTAATAGCTAATAGTGCGAAACCTATGTATATATAATGGCAGCGAATTGACAGATACCACCTTCGTTTGGGTTTGATGTAGGATGTCTTGGACGAGGAGGCGGCTCTATAAACCATGGCGAGTAGGTTTGGCCTACATTGTCTTCCATATCTAAAACATCCTAAGGCTTGGTGACGTCGGTTTCATGGTGAACGGACGGCGGGAGTAGCCTGATCCTTCCGAGCCAGAAGATGGCTACGAAGAACTACATCTAGAAGGTTTCTCACGTCATCGCAGGAGTCTAATTGCTGTACGTGGATCATCTGTCGGCGCGAGCATCGTGGTATGATATAGCGTAGCAAAGTATGAGATTGAGCTGAGGTCTAGAAGCCGGAAAAAGGCAAATCTACTCTATCTTCCTTCCCACGCTAATCAAGAGAAACAGAAACACCCGAGAGGATCATAACCTTCCCTCCAAGTCTCAATTAGTCGAGTACCCACATAAGTGAACGCACTCCAAAAAAATAGAATCATGTCCATCGAAGTCAGGTAGGTAGCAAGAAAAATGAATAGAAGGGTATGGAAGCCAGGTAGCCAATGAAAAGATCAGATGTGGTAAAAATGTCTCAATTTGTCAAGAAGTAAATTTACTTATTCACCGCGTCCAGGCTATTCAATGCGGCCTGTGCTTCTTTGATGAGGGCCTTGCGTGCGTTTCGACTTTCGTCAGTGTCTACCTCAATTCCGTCTGCTTTGAGGATGACCTGGGCCAGAATAGTCTCGCCGAGTTTCTTGTGCTCAAAGTCGCGGGCTTTCTCGTCCGCTGGCGGGTCTGTAATGTATCGATTGCATAGCGGGGCGAGTTCTTTGTGGAAGTATGAGGCGAGGGCGAAAACTTGGTCGAGGGGCGTGGGGAAGGATTTGAGGTTTGGCGCTGGGGGTGGTAATGAGGAGCGGCTGCCGGAGGAGGAGGTAGGTCGGGGCGGTTGAGGAGGGGGCTTGAGCTCTGTTGGCGTGGAAGCTTCGCCGTCGTCATCTGAGTTGGCGGCGGGCTTCTTCTTTTTCCCTTTGCTCTTCTTCTTGCGCTTGGATCTCTGATCTGGTTTTGGTGAGATCTCGGTGAGGTTTGTTGGTGGGCGGATTACGTCTTCACTTGTTCGTTCCGCGTCGGAGACGTCGCTGGGTGTTCTGGCTCCGGCCTCGGATACGACGCAGAGAATCTCGGAGTTTTGTTTTAGCCCTTCCGATCGGCAAGGCAGTGTGTCATCGTCTAACAGCTTGCCCTTGTATAGTAGTTTGATGCGATTCGGGTTAGCGGTATGTGTGACCTCGGCGGCGCGTTGTCTCAACTGGCCGATGGTCAAGGCACCATCGTTGATCGAGTACGGTGGGAAGTGGAGCTCGTACGTGACTCTGCGGTGATTGAGGATGAGCTTGTCCGGCTCGAGGTCATCGTCCTGTCTCCTCCCATGTCCGGACGGAGGATCGACGATATCGTCCGGTGTCAGATAACCATATCGGTCAGTGTTGCTGTAGGGGGGCGAGCCGCGGCGCCAGAAGCTGCGCCAAGACATGACGACGAGCGCAATCGCACAGATAACGAGGGTTAGGAAGGCAGGTACTTGATTTTCTTTGTCGGTGTAGAGAGCGGCCCAGTCGAGCGGAGAAGCGAGGGCGCGCAGCAGAGGGGATGCAGATGAGGGGCGTGAGATGAGGGGCGTGACGAAGTTATGGTGGAGAGAGTGTAACGATGAGGGCAGGCTGGTGGTGATGTAATCCAGGTAGAAGGCGCACGTCTCAACCAGAGAGCTCTGGGAAACGTGTGGAAGCAGCTGGTTCATGGATCGAGGGCGGGCATGGAAACGTGGAGTATTTGTATTCCAAAACGAAGACAGCCTCAGCCTTGTAGAAGGGTGGCCTCAGTTTTTCAACAAACTGTCATTTCCGCAACTGTTTTAGACCAGTCACTGCTTAGCCACAGTTCAGCCACGACTGAGCCACAGTGGTGACACTATTCTTGATGCAAACACACCTGACAAACGCGTTTGAGACGTGACAAAGAATTAACAATCGATCAAATTGCAAACCAATACCCTTACATATGCAAAGGGTCCAATATGGGCTGATGTTGCGGTCTGATATCTAGAAGCTGAGAAAATGATCGTATTGCGGAGTATCTACCACGAGATATTTTTGTACCTAACAACCCTGGTGGTCTTACAAACTGATACAAATCACCACCCAAATGTTGAAAAACACACTGACGATTTCCTGCCTTTACAGTCTCGTGATAATAGCCACGTTGGAGTCCTTTCTTTTTCCACCCCTGTTCATGATCCTGGCTCCAAAAAGACCAAATACAGCGGTGCTGCCGAGAGGTTTGGGAGACCAGTAAGCTTGACAGAGGACGGTTGAGGGTGTTGGCACACTAATGAGAACGACAGTGATGGCCGTTATTATACAGTATATTAAAAATTATCATACAGTGAACCATGTCTAAAACGCCTCTGTAATGCACCGGACACACAGATCCAGGTCATATTTGTACTCTGCCATTGGCAGGACGGCCGCCGAACCATCGCCCGAGGCCGCTGTTTCCGTCGCTGCTGCCATCGTTGCTCATCCACCGGGGCAGTTGGAACGGATCGCCTTGAAGCCACTGTGGCCGGCTGGCCGTCTCGATTGTATTCCTCACACGGTGCGCAAAGGACTGAAAAAAGCTATCCTCCTCATCCTCTTCTACAGACGAAGAGGTGGCAACAGCACCCCGTGTAGACCGCGACGGCCGTGTGGCCTCGACCAAGGGCGTGCGTGAGGTTGAGAATGCTTGCGTATCTCCGTCAACATTCGTCGGCTGTCGAGATGACCGCGCATTGCGCGCAGAAAGTCCCAGCGAGCCAAGGCCGTTGAGCTCTCGCTCAATCAGCTCTCGACCTTCTCGCCAACCACCGATTCCGTAACCACTAGGGTTATTTTCAAGGTCCTCATCGTCTTCTTCCAAAAGACCAAACCCGCAGATGTTTTTTACACGACCGTAGAGGTTGAAAAGGGTGGCCCCAATGGGGATCAAAATGAATACTGGAAATAAGTAATCAAATCCCTGACCGAGTGGGGTGAGGACGATCCATTGGCCAAGGAATCGGTAGAATGTAGTACTTTTCTGCACATCCTTCGGCAGGAATGTCAGAAAGTTGTATGCGATGGGTACGGTAAGCCTCGCAACTAGGCCCGCATACCAGCATGCGCTTTCCCCATACGTATTGCGACGGACTAGTGCTCGATTGCCCCAGACCTTGGCATCATTGACACCAACCAATGCAGCAGAGCACATATACAACAGCCACATGGAGGCAATGACTTGCCTCCCAAACCCAATGGGCGTAACGCCATCATGGTATGAAACGATAGACAGTGCTACCACCGATAGCCGAGGCGCAATGGATTTGATCAACTCGGACCAGACAACACAAATAGAAGCAGCCGCAAAGAGCGCCCCGAGAACCAGACGTAAGTTTGGATAAAAATTCACATACAATTGATAGCGCATGTAAGGAGTAAGAATCTTTGGGAGCGGGGAGGTCGATCGCTGGGAGTAATGACCAAACTCGAGCTTTTTCGATGCGGATGAGTTCATGATCGCTTGAAGATCGGCAGCAGTCAGGATTAACCGATCCCACTCATCCACGAAGCGGGCCTTCCGGTGCCTCGCTCGTTGAAGGCGTCTTGTCAGATCTGCTAGGTAGCGTTCAGTGATTACAGCTGGAATAGTGCCAGAAATGCTGGAGGGCTCAAGAAGTCCAGTCCGAAGCTCTGGTGGAGTCGAAGTCTCGGCAAGTTCTTCTATCCAGTCCTGGAAATCGCGTGCGGTACCTGTTTTGCGATGCTGTAGCTGTGCTACCTGAGCCTCGAGGCTCTCCAGATCGTTGATGGCGTCCATCAGGCGGTCATGCAGCAGTGGCGCGTGTGCCTGAAGCCTCCTTAGCCTGCCACTCGCACTGGCATTGCGGAACAAGGTACGCGGGATCGAGACCAGCCCGTGGCCCATTAGGTAAATCGCAAGGACGAGACCCCAGACATATGCGAGAGCCATGACAAGAGCTTTGATGGTGGAGAACTCGAACCCATTTTGGATGGAAATATAGATCAGCCCGACTGTCGCACAGCCGAGCACAATCATCTGGTACCGCGCATTGGAACGGACGGAATATTGGATGCGGCTTCTAGCATCGCGATATCCGGAGTCGATATATTCACCAAGTAAGGGTAGGATAGCCCTGAACGTGAGCCCGAAAGTTAGCTTCGTATCGGGGACGGAGGCTCAAAAGCATAGTCAGGGCATACCATGTGAGGACAAAGATCAGCCAGTAGGCGATGCGCCAGGACACCAGGAGGAGGCGTTCAGGAAGCCAAATTGCTCTGGGACCGCCGCCATCACGCGAGCTGGAGGCTAGGTCAATCGGAACTAGAAGGACTACACTGGCGGGGAGAGCGAGTGCCAGGAAAACAGGAATGGACAAATATGCCGGGGTAGCTCGCAGTGTAAGAAAGCGTCGGAGGACGAGCAGCACAAGCACGGAAATGGTGAGCAGGGCCAAAATAAAAAATATATTGGAGCCCACCGAGATGGCAGCTATCGAGAACATGGTGCTTGGTGTGACGAAAGTAGATGAGACATATATTGGAACAAAGAAGGGGCCAAGGCTTGATTCGATCAATCAACAATGATTGACCATGTCGAGGCCAGCCCAGCAGATTAAGGGGACAGACTATCGACCAGGAACCAGGCAGCTTGACAAGAACGGTCGACAGGGGATCGGGAGCGGATGACGAAAAGAGCGAGCGCTGGGGGAGAAAGGAGCAAGGGGAGAAGAGAATAAAATTGGAAGCCTGAAAGGTCCTGTATCTTTCCAGAGAAGAGATCCAGACTCCCAAGTCACTCGCCTGAAGCTGACGACGCCAGGAAATGGAACTTGAGAGTGCCAATCATAATATAACCTGGGCCAGTGACGACAGCAGCTCCCCGCCGGTCACGTTAACTCACGTGATACTCTGCTTCCGGCAAAACCAAGTCGGTCCTGATTGGCCTATGCTATTTATACACTTAGCCCTGGAGCTGTTCGAAGTATTTCGAAATGAGAGATGGAATCAGTGGTGGTACAATCGATGGCGCCTTGAGCCATCAGGTACCTTGGTTGTGATTGGAATTACTAATAACGGTATTGCGATGCCGACTGGGTCTGTTGCAGGCTTGCAAAGATTATGATACCTGTACTATCGCCTAGTAGACATAGGCTGGATCGAGGTCACTGGGACTGGGTGCCTGATAAGGCGGGCTCGTCCAAGAGTCGGACTCGGGCTCGGGAGAGCCACTCCATGTTGTATGAGGATCCCGCCTCCAATCCTTCAACGGGCACTGCAAGAGACCGATGCCTTAAGCGTCACTGAAATAATGGAAGATTCAAGGGAGTAATGGCCGCTATTAAACTCACTGCCGTCCTAGTAACGACTTTTGCTACACAAGGCTTGGCTCGTCAGACCTTGCGTCTCTAGAGCCAGTCATCGGCCAAATATCGTCCAAATGACTTGGTGGACAGGTGCTGAGCATCCGATCTCCAGTCCCAGGCTTCTGGCTTCTGGCTAATATTGCTAGTGTTAAGGTACCAGAGGAACCACAGGATGGCCCGCCATTTGGTCTCCATTCCTTTGCTGTCAATTGAGGAACCAAAGCCACTAACCTTTTCCCTAACTTTGACCCAAAGGCAGATCAAAAAAGTGGTTCTGGACGTTGAGCTCTTGTTCGTCCCGCACTCCTCCTCGTCACCACCACCATCCTCCATCGCTTGTTTCTCTCTTCTGCTCCCCATCTTCCATCTTTTGCTCCCTTGTTGCCCAATTAACGGGCTCTTCTGCCTTGCGCTTTTTTTTCTTTTCTTCTTCTTCAACCCTTTTGGCTTTTACCCTCTTTCTTCGCGAGTCTGTCACCCTCCCAGCTGACCCTTCAACCCGCCACACCATTCACTGGGCAGCAACTTGCCCGTTTCTCCTCCTCTCGAACCCTCGAGGTAAGACTTATCTTTCCCCTCTGCGTGCTACTCCGTAACCTGCCTTTCCACCGCCACAACACTCCGACCGGCTTTTCTACCTGCTAGTAGTAGTTGCAGCTCCCGTCGTGTCTTTTCTGTTTTCGAATTCCACCGTTCTCCCGCCCAACTCGTTTCAAACCTTCCGCTACCCCATATTACGATCATCCTGACATTTACTTCCCAGCTTGACCTTTAGGACCTTTTCTTTTTCGGTCTTTACTTTTTCTTCCTTTTTCCGCTCTCCTGAAACTCGCCTCGATATTCCCACTCGATCGAAAAATCCCCGTCGTTCGCGAGCCTTTAGCTCGATCCGAATCGTTCTGCAGCCACTGGATCCCGTGTAACTGCAAACATCCCTGCCAGTGAACCAACCCTCGCTGGTGCAATCCTACGAGCGTCTCTCTCTCCCCCAAAGCCACTCGCCCGCATCTCCCAGCGAACTCGCCTTGACTGAACGCTGGTGCCCGAACGCCTTGTTTTCGCTTTCTACGCCGCTTTCCTCGCCTTCCTTGCGCACCTTCTCTCTCTCTCTCTATCTCCTGCTCCATTTACTCTATTCCACACCCATCTGGCATACCACTGTTACCAACCTTTTACCGCCATACACCACCGTGTCCCCCGTTCGAGTCGCGAGCCTCCGTGTCTTAACTCTCCTTCCGGAATCTTATTCTCAGCGCTGACCTTGGTCCCGCCCCATTCTCTACGCCTCTGACCTTTCCACTTTCCTCCCTCGACCAAGTACAACTTCAAGTGTGCTGCTACTTCGCCGGCGAATGCTGATTTTACCAGAGAGCTTGCGCGGACTTCTCGATCCCCGTTGAGGGGGTTGTTGTCATGAACCCCGCAAACTTCCCCAACGTCAATGGGGTAATGAACGCTGGAGCGAAGCCCCCGGGTCAAATGCAAGGCCATAATAAGAATGACAACATGCAGTACATACTCGCAAATGTTGCTCATTCTTTACAAGCGCAGGGTCCTTTCAGTGGGTGGAGGGCAGAAGTCTCAGTGAGGGACCGAACTTATAAAGTACATCAGATGTGAGTTTAATCTTGGCTTTGATGCCTTTTTCCCCTTTGCGAAGCTAATACACCATCGTTCAGGATCACTTCTCTTCGCTTAATACAACCTCAGATCGAGCTTCGCAACGCTGCTCATGCAGCTATGACTTTTGAAGGGAAAGCCTTTAGGGAAGCTGCGTCAAAGGTCAGACTGCCTTTGCTAAAGTTGTTCTGGTTGTCAAATCTAAACTTTTTTTTTTGCCCCCTAGGCCGATTATGACAGAGAGTTTAACGATAAACTCGTACATATCCGAGATACCCGTGTGAGACAAGCACAAGCGATGCAGGGGAATATGATGCAACAAGGACCGGCAGCAGGCATGCCTGGTGTAGGCCAGTCTCCATTTCCGCAGCAGATGAACCGACAGATGCAGGCCTCGCCGATGCCCGGACAACAGCAAATGCAGATGGGAATGAATGACCCGAACCAGCAAGCAATGCAACAGCGCCAGCAACAGCAGCAGCAACAACAACAACAACAACAGCAGCAGCAGCAACAGCAGCAACAACCACAAGCTATGCTACAGCAACAACAGCGCTCGCAGCCACGGCCTGGTGGAGCTGCTGCATTGAATGACGAGCTCAACTCCCTGTCGCCTGCAGAGTATGAGAATGTCTGTCGCGTGGCGACCCAGATACTACAAAAGACCTCGCCTGATGATATGAGCAAGATCAAAGTGAATCTACAGAATATGAGTCCTGAGCAAAAGGTTTATCTCTCCAAGAAAGGCATGGACCCTATTACATACTTCTTCCGGGTTCAGGCTCTGAACCAACTTCGGCGGTTCAAACGCTCCCGGATGGAAATGGCCCGTAACTCTCAAACCAATGGAATTGACCCCGCTAATGCTATGATGGGTGATCCCATGATGAACCAGCAACGTCAACAAATGTTCCAAAATATGGTCAACATGCAACAGCGAAATTCTCCATTCCCCATTGCAGGCCAACAAGGCATCGATCCGTCGTCGTTTATTGGGAATGTCGAGAATATACAAGGACAGCAGGCGGATGGTTTGCGCTCCCAGGAAGCCGGTCAGCTTGTGGTTCCCGCCAGCTCTCAGATGAATCAACAGTTCAATCCTCAAAACATGTTAGTTGGTCAGCAAATGGGCCAGGTCAATATAAACAATGCTGGAATAAGCCCTCAGTTCCTCGCTCAGCAGCATTTGCCTAATGCTCAACCTGGTGTTCCGGATCGATCTCAACAAGCTTTGCAGTCACAGTCCCAACCTCAGGCGCAAACACAGACTCAACGTGTTCAGGCAGCCCAGAAAGCGCAGATGGCCATGTCACAGTCCGGACAGGCGCCTTCTCACATGCAGCAGCAGCTTTCCCAGAGCCCCGCTATGCCTATGCTCAATCGTCCGATGGCTGCCCCAGGACAGATGTCTCCTGCCCAGGCCGCTGCTCAAGTACAACCGCCTTCTCGACAGGCGGGCATGGGACAGCTTCCGGCAAATGTGCAGTCCATGGGAACTCAGCTCGGAATGCAAGGTCGCCCCAATATTCCCACAAATCTACCAGCTCATGTCCAAGAGCAGCTTGCCCAAATGTCTAATGAGCAACTCACCGCGTTTTTCATGAACCAGCGGCGCATGATGGCGAACAATCAGGCTCTGGCTAGAGCGAATCCCGCACAGCATAATATGGCGTTGCAGCAGAATCTTTCGCAAGGCAACCAAGGTCAACAGATGGCTAATGGCCAGATGGGTAATGCTCAAAACATGCGGGCATCAATGGGCTCCTTGGGCCTGCAGCAGCAGCTCGCGGCAATGGCTGGCGCCCAGCAGGCGAACCAGATGATCCCTGGGCAACAAATGTCCGCTCAGCAGCGCCAACAATTACACCAGCAGCAGCAGCTACATCGGCTGCAACTTCTTCGCCAGAGTGGGGGGCCGGGCATGGAAATGACACCCGAACAGATTAGGGAAATGGACCGTGTGCCTTTCCCCCCTCAAATCTTCGCTAATAACCCAAACGCGGCTTCCATCCCCAAGAACATCAAAACCTGGGGTCTTTTGAAGGAGCTTGCTACCACGAACCCGCAGCTTCTTGGTGGAACCGACCTTCAGAAACTGGTGACTCTGCAGAAATATCACCTTGCCCAGATTCTCAAGGAAACTAGCAATCGGAATTTGGAGCAGAACGGTCAGATGCCTTTCATGCCTGCAAATTTCCAACGTCAGCAACAACCATTCATGAACCCGCAGCAGTTCCAGCCTGGTCAGCAACACGCACAATTCGTTATGCCGCAGATCCGCCAGATTACACCTCAGGATCTTCAAGTAGCTCGCCAACGCTTGGGCGCCCAAGTACAGAATCTTACCGATGATCAGCTGCGCGATGCACTCCGGCAGAGACAGATGCATGCGGCTCAAGCACGTGCGGCACAGGCCCTTGCCAGCCAACAAAACCAACAGCCGCAAGCGCAAGCCCAACCCCCTGTTTCGGCGGAGGCCGCTCCCGTTGTGAAGACCGAGCCGGTGCCTCAGCCACCGGCACAAAACCAGGCATCGAAACCTCAGGCTGCTACACCTGCAAAAGCCACCAAGGTACCGGCACCAAAACAAACGCCACCAGCGTCCAAACGCAAAGTACAGAATGAAGAAGCCGCGACCAATCAAACTTCTCCTGTCCAGGGCTCAACCCAGCCTGCGGCGTCTCATGGCTTACCCTCAGCGCCGACGACGAAGCCAGCCCTAAATCTTTCGAATCTGTCCCGGGAACAGTTGGCTGCAATGACTCCTCAACAACGCGCACAAATAGAGGCACATATTCGACGACAGCAGGGCCAGGCTCGGGGTACAGTTAGCAGAGCTGCTGCAGAGGAGGCATGGAATAATCTCCCGGAGAGAATTCGACAGCAATACAACGAACTTGCAAAGAATGCCCCACCTGAACAGCCAGTTGCCGTTACCCCAGAGCAAAGGACTGCAATGAACCAACAGCTCCGTGATTGTACAGATTATCTGGGCAGGATGGACACACTTGTCCAATTTATCTCAAAGATCCCTAACCACGACAAGAACGTCCGGAGCTTGCTTGGGATGGTATGTGCCCTAGCTTTATTCTTGATTTTCTCTTGGTTACTGACCCAAAAACCAGCGTATTCAACTCATGCGGCAATTCAAGGCTGGGCCTGATTGGACATTGAATGATCAAGTTACGATAACTCCCGAGTACTTGACGGGGACTACCAGCTACATCAGGAAACTGTTCCACCACATGATTGCTCGTGTCAATCAACAACAAACCCAAGGTCCCGGTCAGCGGCCGGGCGCGACTCAGGCACCCAACGCGCAACAGGCCAACCAGAACATGGCGCCCCTTAACGCAAGCAACCTTCAACAGCTCCAGCAGCAGGAGGAAGCTCTGCAGCGGGCCCGCAGAGCATCCAGTCAGACCGCTGCCTCAGGAGCCTCCGCTATCCCTCCAGCGCCATTCGGGGCTCCGTCGCCTCACGGTGTTCCGCATGCCTATGGGCCGGGCAGTATACCACCTCCTGAGCTCAAGCTGCCTCCTCCGAAGAAAAGGAAGCAGTCCCACCCGAGCACCACCCCTGTTTCAGGACCATCTGGACCTAAGGTACAAGCGAAAGCCGCTGTTGACACGAAGCCAATCGTCGGCGCTTTCAAGTGTGCAGTCCCCGAATGTCAATATCATTACCAGGGACTCGTCTCTCAGAATGATCTTGATAAGCACGTTGAGGAGAACCACAAGGCCGAGGAACCTATTGAGGACGCTCTCGAGTTTGCGCTACAGAGCTTCGGCACTCTTATCAAAGATGAAGACAAGGCAGATGCTCAAGGACTTACAAAGGGATTCAGCTTTACCGCCGACCTGCCTACAATGGTCTCGAATAAGTCTACTGCTAGCACGCTACTTGCGAAGTCCGATTTGAAAACCGAGGGAGTGACCCCTGCTTCTGGGACAACACCTATGGGGCGGGTCTCAAGCCAAATGGCCGCTAAGCCCGCCTCTCCTGCGTCCAGCCAGCAGTCGACCAAGGCTTCTGGCTCGTCCCTCAAGGTGACACATGATGGTAAAAAAGATGAAAACAAGCTGAACTCGATGACTACGGCAGCGAAGGATCCCTGGGCCGACAGTGCGATTTCCCTTGAGGCTATCCGCGACACTTTCATGGACCTTACGGATGACAGCGGACTGGGTTTTGGTCCGATGGACGAATTTCTCAACGCTGAAATGTTTACTGGCACTCAGGATACACCGGACTCAGTTGAGACTGGCGTTGCCACACAGACGCCCAAAGACACCGATATGCCCAAGAATGATGAAGAGGGCGGCAAAGGTGTCAATTCAATGGAAGACTCTTGGATTCCCATGGATTGGTTCTGTCTTCCGGGTCGATTTGAAGACGGCCTCTTGATGAACGAATCCTGCGAGGACATTGACTGGGAGATGGTTGATTTCAAGCCTGTTGAAGACAACGGTATGGCCATCGCTGCCATGTGAGTTGGAAGTCCCAATGCTTTGGGCTGGCGAACGGCATGGTCTAATGATTCCCCCTTCCATGTTAATTTCTTGTTCATCATTTTCGCATAAATATGGACGAATCATGTATGATAAAAGCTGGAGGGGCCTTTCTTTGTTTTCTGCATTTTTTGAGTTTTGTTTCCTGAGGATCTATTAGCCAAGGCGTTGACGGCAGAGTGAGTGAAAAATGGTCTTGATGAATATCCTGAAGTTATTGACAGTATGGAGCATCTGGGATTTGGCAGCCGCATGAGATCGATAATGATTCCAATATAATAAATCTAATAATCATTAATTCATTCGACTTTGATTTCAAGTTCTTCAAGCTGCCCTCCACCTTCACCAATAATTAGTGATGTTAATACGGAGTACGCAGACTCGACATGACTAACACTGCCACGGGAAGCTCCACCAGCGATAAGACAAAGGCTCCCTCCCGCCTCTAGATCTCCAACTCCATCTCCACCCAGCATCATCGTCATCGTCACTAGTTAAGATGCACTCTCAATAGGACATCTCAGCTTTGAACTTGGAATTTATCTTTATCTTGATCTTGCTCCGAGCAGGGTACAGTGACCACGATATATCGGTAGCTCATCGGTCAACAAGGTCCTCGCGGCGGCCTGCCTGTCATTCAAACAGAGGCGCATCTCTGTCTCCTCACCTCTTCCACGCCGCTTCTTCCAGCACGCCACTCCTCTATCATCAGTCAAAATGGCGACGAAAGCGGCTATTCCGTTTCTGGTCACAATGATGCTTGTGACCGGGGTGTGCAATACGATTCTCAACAAGTATCAGGTGAGAGCGCGCCGTCAATTATCCTATCTCCGCTCGAAGGATGTTACTCATCAATGAGATTTCAAGGACATGCAATGTGTAAGAAACTGTGACTCTCCGAATCCGAAGGATCATCGTCTATTCGAACAGCCAGTTATTCAGACGTAAGTTCGAGATAGAGACCTCACACGTCGTTTTCCTCATGCTTACTCGCTTTCAATTCCAATAGTATCCAGATGTTCATCGGCGAAATGGGCTGCTGGCTCGTTGTTCTTCTCTCTCATGTCTACCAACGCTATCTATCTCCCCGTCTTTCCGGAAACCAATCGCCTCTCCTCGCCGGTGGCTACCGCCCTGTGAATACTGCGGATGGAGACCAGGATGAGGAGGATCAAACAATTGACGGGCCCAATGATGCTGAGGATCCTTCAAAGCCTTTGCGTCTTGCCGACGGACGTATCCCATTACGAGGCGTCAGGACATTCCTTCTTGCAGCGCCGGCATGCTGTGACATCGCGGGGACTACTCTGATGAATGTTGGTCTGCTATTCGTCGCGGCCAGTATCTATCAGATGACCCGTGGCGCACTGGTCCTTTTTGTCGGACTCTTTAGTGTTATATTCCTTCACCGCAAACTTTATCTCTACCAGTGGTTCGCTCTCTTTGTCGTGGTCCTTGGTGTTGCGTTGGTCGGTCTTGCAGGTGCGCTCTTCGGCAGCAACCAAGGCCACGATATTACTCAAGAAAGTATCGTGGCGGCCGTCGGCTCCGCAACTGTGGAGATTCGGACCGTCGCTCAGACCCCGGAAGCTCTCAGAGCTGTTGTTGGTGTGCTTCTTATTGCTGCGGCTCAAATCTTCACTGCCTCACAATTTGTTCTCGAAGAATGGATCCTGGAGAATTATGCCATGGAGCCACTCCAGGTCGTCGGATGGGAAGGTATCTTTGGATTCAGTGTGACTGTTATTGCGTCAATTATCCTGTACTTCGGCGTGGGCCGCACAGAAGCAGGCCGCTACGGTTATTTTGATGCAAAGGAAGGTTGGCACCAGGTCTTGACTCACAGGGCCGTCGCTGTCTCAAGCGTCATGATCATGATTAGCATCGGGTATGCAATGTTCTTTTCCACCTATGATATCGAAGCTAATTTCAATTCTGCAGTGGTTTCAACTTTTTCGGGCTCTCGGTTACGCGAACCGTCTCCGCGACAAGTCGATCGACGATTGATACCTGCCGCACCCTGTTCATCTGGCTTGTCTCCCTTGGCCTAGGCTGGGAGACATTCAAATGGCTCCAAGTCGTCGGATTTGCCCTGCTCGTGTACGGGACCTTCCTCTTCAACGACATCATCCGCCCCCCGCTCAAAGCCTGTCTTCCGAGCGAACATAGGGATCGTGTGCTCTTACCTGAAGAGCCCATTGAACACAACTAGATCTGATACCTTTTGCGTAACGCCGGGTGTTTTGGATACTTTCCATTGGACATGCGATGACGTCTATTTTGGTTTACTAGCCTGTGGCTAATACACCTACATCTACATGTTGGCGTTTTGGATAGGCGAGTGCGTTTTTGACTTTTCGTTTGATTGAAGACGGCGTTGATTGTCTATTGCATGTTCCTTCTGTGTACTTTTGGAGTAAGCGTTCGACGATTGGCTACCTTGGCTTTATACGCACTCTTCAGAATGCTGCTCCCTAAGACGTGGTCTAAGACTGGGATACAATTACTTATACAAGAAACTTGTATTATAAGCTAAGATTCCCGGATATGCTCCTTAACTCTAGAATCCATGTAAGCAGCCTCGAACAAAGCAACTGACAAGGGGTAATGATGCAGGTTCAATAACAATGTAATGCAGGGCGGGTATATTGCGAGTGAGAGTTCAAGGTTCAATGAAGGAATGCGAGTGGTATACTGGGTCTGAGGGGAGAAGTTCAGCTTGCCGACAGGCTGGCTACGCACGGTTCTAGGTTGGCAACCAGGGCGTAACTTTAGACAAGAACGTACAAAGTGCACATCTAAAAAAGATACGTTAGTGATCGAGTATCCTAGAAAGGAATGGTGACAGAGGTCGCACCAGAGAGAGACCGAAGATCATCGAGAGCCAGAAGAAGACGTTCTGAATAGGAAACATGGTTAGCGCAACTGCCGTAGAGCAATATAAAGGCGTGACTTACATTCAGAGTCGTCTTGTCACGGAAGTACTTGGACTTCTGAATAGCAATGATAGGGAGCTGTAGCATCATAGCTAGGAACCCGTACCCGCGGAGCTTCTTCGTGATGCAGCTCATGACCAGCTCATGGAAGATGGAACTAACAAGGAAAGTGATGAACATAGCGACAGGTTGAGAAAAGTGTGAGAGGGAAGAATGGTAGACGTGTCTGCGGAGGAAGTGGTGGACGGGGATATTCCACTCGCGCGAAAACTCGAGCCAGTCGCACGAGTTCCACCAGTCCGAGTAGAAGTGGCGATCGGCGAAGCAGGTGAGTTCTGCGAATGCGCCGAGGAGGTATTCAAAGATCACTAGGAAGACGAGAAGGAAGGTGATCATGAAGGGGAATAGGAGCATGCTGATTGCTTCTGCCATGACGAGGGCTGCTTCTGCGAGGCTGCTCGTGGCGTGCAGGCGGACTCCTGCCTCGGTAAGGACTGGGAGGATGAACTCTTCGCTGGTGAGCGTTAATAGGAAGATGCAGCCAAAGACGGCTATGGTTTTCAGGCCGACTTCCATCCAGGAGCGTTCCTTGTTCCGGGGGTATTCTAGCTCGTAGCAGAGTGTAGGGCAGAAAATGAAGTCGATATAGTTGGGGAGAGTGAGGTTTTGGGGATACGTCACATTTCCCATGGGAGATGTCAACTCGGTAGCTAAGTCGTCGCGCAGTTGCGTCACAGAGCTCGAAGCTCCATGAGTACTAGGTCTGCGCAGCGGCTGCTTAGGGGACGAGACTTCGGGATACCGGACGGCCGCGTCCATCGACGCTGATCCGGGCTTGTCAAGAGCGGAAAGTCGGCGTTCTGTTGCGCTGAGATGGCCGTTATAGAAGGCATAAGAGTGAATCTTCATGAGAATCGTCAGGGTGTGGAGGGTAAAGAAGACCTGAGCGGTCCATGTCCATTGCAGCATGAACGGCCACCTGTAGCTGTCAGCTCATGGCCACTACTTGGAATGTACATTTAACTCACTTGATCCACACGCTCAGCCAGATTGCCTCAAAGATGCTCTGTAGAACAATGCCCCCCCGCTCCCATCGAAACCAACCTTTGGTCCGAGAAAGGTATTGGAGTGGAATCACGAATCCACTACTACTTACCATAGCGAGATCGCTGAAGCCCAGCGACCATACGTTGGCGCTCAGAAGCGCCCAGACTCTGACTCGCAGGGGATACCCGGTGTCTTTGATGTTGCGCAAAACTGTCGTCACAACCATGATAAACAACCCGATCCAGAACAGGGTAAAGAAGCCGCGAAAATTATGGTAGTCGCTTCGCGGGTCAAAGTGCGACACTCGCGGGACATAATTGATTGTGTAGAAGAGCCGATTTCGAGCTCTAGCCTGTTTCCTGGCCGTGGATATCGAATGCGCAGACGGAGGGGCATCTTCAGGGATAGGGGTCGACCGGCCGCTAAGGACACATGCGTCAGTGACGGGGCATCTGCGCCTTGAATTCGCGAACTACATACCTTGACTCGTTATCCAGCTTCTCTACCTGAGAGGAGAGCAGAGCGTCGTCGTCCTTCCTTGCGTCAGGAACCGCACGTGGCCGTAAGCCTGCGGAACCATTCTGGTGTGCCACGGCGGATGACATCCTGGGAAACGTTCGGGGTTTGTAGGACAATAGCAATGAAGATCAAGAATAAGATTCACATCGATTCGGGAGATTGGTCGCAAGCTGACAATTTAACGAAGCTTCCCGATGTTTATAAATGCCTAAGGTGGATAAGCCGGGAGGCCTGGGAAAGAGTCCGACTGTCCGAAGGGCCGTAATGCTTATATGTGGGGTTCAGATTCCGAGAACAAAACACCGTCATCATCGTCAGGGCTGACCGAGACAGGGATCATCGCGAATCTTCCAGGCAACTGGGGGCCACTGAGCAAGAAATAGCCTACCGGAAGTCCCAGGAAGTCTCAAGATCGACCATGCGCCATGCAAACAGCAACGAGCCGGAACTGAACTGCCGTCTGGCGCGTTGGAGACTCCGAAGGCAAGGAACTTCCGGAGGCCGCGGTTCGTCCGACTAACCACTGCGCCTTGCACATGCCCTGCATTATTTTATACGATACGCCCAATAGAGTAATCATTACGTAGCTGCCCCGTCGTTCTCGTTCTGGTGACCTTATGAGATGGTGCCTTGCTCGTAAGGCAGATCCTGGCAAGTCTTGGCCCGCTGACATCAGCTCAGAGTCATGTGATTTAAATTAAGGGCACAAGATACGCTAGGCCGAATCGGGGAACAGTGCCAAGAGGGACAAGTCGCAAGCAATCGGAGAGCCAGAGAGCCAGACGGGCGAGGCTCACCCGCACCGGAGACGAGACATCAACATCAACCACCATTGCTTCCAGATACTTCGCGGGATTGCGTTGACTGGCTTCTTCGCATCCCTTTCAGTCTTCGACCCCTCTGTGCTTTCATACTCCCTCTCCCTTTCTCCTCTAACCCACCCCGCCGGGGGTCCTTGTGGCCGCCATGGCTTCCCGTGAGTTTCTGCCCATTGCTTAATCCCCCACACTCCTATTCCGTGAAGCTCAATATGGCTAACCACCACGCCCGGGTTTAAATACAGTCAAGCAATTCATCCGAAATGTTCGATCAGCCAAGACAATCGCCGATGAGCGAGCTGTTATTCAGAAAGAAAGTGCCGCCATTCGTGCTTCGTTTAGGGAAGAGAGCCATGATTCGGGCGTCCGGTTAGCATTGCCTGCAGCTGTCCTCTATATCGCGTGAACCACCATCTTATTTACCTCGGCAGGAGAAACAATGTGGCCAAGTTGCTCTATCTATTTACACTCGGAGAGCGAACGCACTTTGGTCAGATCGAATGTCTCAAGTTATTAGCGTCTCATCGGTTTGCCGACAAGCGGTTGGGCTATCTGGGCACAATGCTTTTGCTGGACGAGAACCAAGAAGTATTGACTTTGGTGACGAATTCATTGCAGAAGTAAGCGTCTCCGACAAGCTTATTTACCCTCAACTAATTGGAATTCGCCCCTAGTGATCTCAAACACTCCAACCAGTATATCGTCGGTCTCGCCCTCTGCGCTCTAGGCAACATTGCGTCCGTCGAGATGTCTCGAGACTTGTTCACCGACGTCGAAGCTCTCCTTTCTACTGCCAACCCTTATATACGGAGAAAAGCAGCTCTCTGCGCCATGCGCATCTCCCGCAAGGTCCCCGATCTCCAGGAGCACTTTTTGGAGAAAGCAAAGAACTTGCTGTCAGATAGGAATCACGGAGTTCTCCTGTGCGGCCTTACATTGGCAGTCGATATGTGCGAAGCGGAAGAGGCAGAGGAAGGACAGGAGGGTGTGATTGAGATGTTCCGGCCTCTTGCTGGTGGTCTGGTGCGCGCTCTTAAGGGCTTGACCACATCTGGATACGCGCCTGAACATGACGTCTCCGGGATAACGGACCCTTTCTTGCAAGTAAAGATCCTACGTTTGCTCAGAGTCCTAGCGCGCGGCGACACTGCCACCAGTGAGCTGATCAATGACATTCTCGCCCAAGTGGCCACCAACACCGATTCCTCGAAGAATGTTGGCAACTCAATCCTTTACGAGGCGGTCCTTACTATCCTCGACATCGAAGCCGACTCCGGTCTCAGGGTTCTAGGTGTCAACATCCTCGGAAAATTCCTCACAAACAAGGACAACAACATTCGCTATGTCGCCCTCAATACGTTGAACAAGGTTGTTGCCATTGAGCCGAATGCAGTTCAGAGACACCGCAACACGATTTTGGAGTGTCTCCGTGACCCCGATATCAGTATTCGGAGACGAGCTCTTGACCTCAGCTTCATGCTGATCAACGAAAGTAACGTCCGAGTGCTCGTACGAGAGCTGTTGGCCTTCTTGGAAGTTGCCGATAACGAATTCAAGCCGACGATGACGACCCAGATTGGTATTGCTGCTGATAGGTACGCGCCCAACAAGCGCTGGCACGTTGACACGATCCTGCGGGTCCTTAAGCTGGCCGGTGCCTACGTGAAAGAGCAAATCCTGTCCTCCTTTGTGCGCCTCATTGCAACGACTCCCGAACTACAGACTTACTCCGTACAAAAACTCTACACGTCATTGAAGGAAGATATCTCCCAAGAAGGTCTGACTCTGGCCGCTACCTGGCTCATCGGTGAATATGGCGACAACCTTCTCCAAGGGGGACAGTACGAGGAGGAAGAACTCGTCAAAGAGGTCAAGGAAAGCGATATTGTTGGTCTTTTTGACAGTATCCTCAACAGCACATATGCCACACAAACTGTCGTTGAGTACATCATCACTGCTTCAATGAAGCTTACTGTGCGAATGAACGACGCGGCACAGGTTGAGCGACTCCGCCGCCTTCTCAACGGCCGGACCGCCGATCTGAGCGTCGAAATTCAACAGCGTGCTGTCGAATACGGCAACCTGTTTGGCTATGACCAGATCCGTCGGGGTGTGTTGGAGCGGATGCCTCCGCCTGAGATCCGCGAGGAACAGCGAGTCTTGGGCCCCTCGACGAAGAAGCGAACAAGCAAGATCCTCAAGGACAAGTCGAGGAAGCCCGTCAAGCAGGCCGAGCAGGATATGCTCCTCGACCTCATGGGCGGCTCCGATGTTCCAGCAACCAGTCCTACGACGAACGGATCACAAAACACCGCGGACTTACTGGCGGACATTCTCGGAGATTCAGGCCTATCATCACCTGCTCCTCAACCTTCTCAGCAACCTACTTCCATGAACACGAGCGCCATTATGGATCTTTTTGGCTCAAACGGAGGCACTCCATCTCCTCAACCCGCCACTGCATCCGCATCTCTTGACCTCTTAGCAGGCGCTGGCGCTCCAGTCTCGACCCCATCACCTTCCGCACCCGCTGCTTACACAGCATTCAACAAGAACGACCTAGTGCTTTCTCTGCAGGTTCAGCGAGGCAACAACACGGCGCAGATTCAAGCTCGGTTCCGAAACGACTCGAGTTTCAGCCATTTCTCGAACGTTGGGTTGCAAGCCGCTGTACCCAAGAGCCAGCGTCTCCAGCTAAGCGCAATTAACAAAGGCGAACTTGATGCCGGAGAAGAAGGTGTTCAAATGCTCAAAGTGACAGCTCTCACCGGGGTAAGCCGTCATTTCTTCCCTTCTCAGGTCATTTCAGTATGCTAATGAATCGAAATATAGTCCCTTCCACCCAAACTCCGCCTCCGCCTCCGCGTCACATACGCAAAGGACGGGTCGGACACAACAACGGACCAAGTGGATTGGTCCGAGTCGTAGAAGACGACGACGATGACATCCGCCTGCTTCTAGCATATCCATTCCATGTCTTAGAGAGTGCCAAAAGGGGATAAATCGGTCGCATCGGTGGTTGGTTCTATGGAGAAAAATGCCCTTCCAATTCCTTCTGCCTACTCCCCACCTATCACGTCACATAGTCTTTATAATACCATACATACATACTTCAATGATCTTCGCGTTTTCCATTCTTTTTGTGTTTTGTTTTTTGTCTTCTTCCTTGACTCTTTTCCTCTTTGATGACACGAAGAATGAGCCTATAGAGATGCAGTCTAAGCAATTCAAACCGTCCTCTTCCTTTTTTATATGCTCACCGTGTATATTCACGAAGCAGTCCCCTGTCCCAGATTAAACCAATTTAGAACAGCCAACCAAGGCTTACCTTGACCTTAGTACCTACTGCTTACTTACCACCAAGGTGCCTGACATCCTGAGCAGTGTTGGCACCATACGAAGCACAAATCTCTACTCACATTTAGTGCTTTTTGAGTATCGGGGATTTCTCCAGAAACTTTTCGATCCATCACTCATTGCCATGAGCAGTGCGTCGCTACTGGAAGAAATGAGCGAGATTCATACGACTACGACTATCGGTTCAAGTCGCCAGGATATGCATAAGAGTAGGGAATGGGAGAAAACGGTTCTGGACAAACTTACCCAGTATAGTAGTCTTTATTGTTATAGTATAGCTGGGGAGCGAGGCAGGGGTGCCTGTATGAAGAGGCAAGGAAAGAGAATATTTCACTGAATGTGTACTATTGATAAAAAGGATGGAATATTCATGATAAAATTCTGTAGATTCATTTCAAATCAGTCTCTGTCATCAGGTCGTTAATAGTTCATAGACAAGTCATAATGTAGATAGATACTCCGTTCCCTTATCTCAAAGGCACCATAGGCCATCACCCACCCCAAGAACGATCCGAAAACGCAAAAGCCATGTATGTGTGTCTGTGAGTGTATTAAAAAGATAAACCGATGTGCCGACATGTGTTAAATGCAAGGTAAAGTGGAAGGAACAAAATTGGTAGATCTCTATCCCACGGAGCATCTAAAATGATAATGAAGAGAAAGATGTATGGGTTTGATGGGTAGCTGTTCCGACCCATGCGATGCAAGATGAACATGGAAACGATAAATAATAACGGAGATTCGATCAAAAACCGTGAAAGTCGATAATAACAGGGTTCCGTGCGTACTGAGTCTCGTGTAATCATGGACCATGCATTTCATTAGTCTAAAAAGCGGAAGCGGATTCGCGTCTTCTCATGTGCTGACTGTAGTCGTCACGGTACGAAGCGGAGTGAGGGGCACGAATATATTCCACTGGCACTTTTGGTTCCCGGACCTCCCGAATTTCCCGTGCATGCCTCAGCTCTTCTTTGAGATGTGAATCTTTGCTAGAAACTTCTCGGAAGAGCTGGCGAGTGGAAGGCTGGTAAGTATAACTCCGAACAGGCGTTCGTCGCTCTTGTCGAGGAGGCGAGTATGTTTTCGAGTGTCTCAAGGGTGGCGGTTGGGCGCTGTGTGCGCTGTGCGGGCTGTGTGGGACACTGGGGTCAAGTATGATCGGCTTGTGGCGCGAAGACTTGGGGGAAGCCTCAGTAGCTTCAGGGGTACTTGAGCTTGCGTAACCCGAATCGGGTTTCTCGGCCCTGAGCTTTGTCGTGCGCGACGGGGCATCCGGGTAGATATGAGCCGTCTCTGGTCGACGAGAACCTTCTCGGTTAGACCGCGACGAGGAGCGTACATTCGTTGAAGATCTTGAAGGTGGGTGCGAAGGCCGAGGAGACGAAGGCGCTTTTGCGCCGGGGTACGTGCCGTGAGTTGGCATTGACGGTACCTTCTCGTGCACGCGAGGGCCAAGATGTTCGCGTGAGCCGTGGCGAGAAGAGGAAGGTCTGACAGTGTCGCGGCTGGAGCGTTTTGGGCGAGAGTGTCGGGACGAGACTTCTGGTTCTTCCGAGTCGTAGCGAAGAGGGGAACGGGAAGACCGGTGTCGCCGATCCTCAGTGACAGTTTCCTTTGAGCGGCGAATGTAGCTTTGGGCGGTAGAATAGAGATTGTCATGTTTGTGGTCCCGTTCGTCAGAGAACTCATCTTCGGATAAATCGCGGCGTCGAGCCTCAGACCGGCGACTTGACTCGGTTGGTCTAGCCTTAGAATCACGATGCCGTGCTGATGAGGGCATCTTAAGAGGAACGTAGTAGGTCCTGTCCGGCCCCACAGAATCATCAGAGTCGTAGGAGTCAGAGTTATCTGCATAGAATTTATCATAGGCTTGCCGTCTCCGTTCCTTGGTTCGGATCCGGTCCTGATCCGCTCGGCTGGCTCTAGTGCTTTCGCGAGCTTCCCTTGCAGCACGGGTAGAACTAGACGGCACACCTCGTGACGACCGCTTCTTCTCCTCTGTAGCTCTGGATCGCGGGCGCGCCCCATAATCGTCGTGCTTTCGCGATGTGGGCCGTGGGGATGCGGTATACCGGCCCTCGTCTTCAAAGAAGGCTTCGGTGGACGATCGAGCGTCGGCTGGGGCCCTCTCCTCGTAGTAGCGTCCGTCTCGGTATTCACGGGGGGTTGCCGATTTTGAGTAAGCGCCGCGCGCCATCATCTCGCGCTTTAGCTCCGCCAATTTGACCTTGTTGTCATACTTTTCCCTGGCCTTATCGTCGGAGAGGAGTTCATAAGCTTGCTGGACTTTCTGGAATTGATCCTGGGCCTGACTGCGGAGAGATTCGTCCTTGATCTTGTCGGGATGGCATTTTAGCGCAAGTTTCCGATGTGAAGATTTGATATCAGCCAAGGTCGCATCCTTTGCAACACCTAATGTCTCGTATGGGTCGAAATCTGATTGCGATGTCATGGTATCGGGGAGGGTTTGTCGGCGGTTGACAAACCATATAAAACAGGTGAATGGTACTTGGGTAGAAAAATTGGGAGGTCAAGAGGCGAATCGGTCCAGACAATGGAGTATTTATCCTGAGTCAAGGGCGGCAAACGCACGGGTAGCAAGACACGGGGATCGGTATGGAGCGACGCGGGATGTGGCAATCAGATGCGCATACGATAGCAAGCCTTTCCAGATCAAGGAGTAAGGCGACTGGAACGGCGCAGAATGGGGAGGAAGGCGGAATAGAACGTAGCGAACATTAACAGGCAGTATTAATAAGGGGAGAGTAATAATCGGTCGAATATGATGCAACAGTGCAACTCCGGGCTTTTCCCCTGCCAGGCACAAGGAAAGCAGGCTGATGGGCTGGAGGGAGACAACGGACCCGGAGGAACTTGAACTCTGGGTGAGAGGGGTACAGCCGGCTCTGTTACAGAACCGTACCGGTAAGGAAGGAGGGTGCAGGGGCAGCCAATAAGCGTGGGGTACAGCTCGTCTTGGCGCGGTAATTCTGGCAGGAACTGGTCTCGCTAGTACGAGGACTGGTGACCGAGGGGCAAACCGGAGAACAACGCAAGCGCACTGCGCCACACTGCTCTTGACGGGAATAGAAAGAGAGAGAAACAAAGACTGAAAGAATCAGACGGAGCCAATGGACCAAGAGAGCGAAAGAAGCGAATTGAAGTCAAAAGATGGTGAGATGGTCGGCGGAGTGGTACCACGTCAGAACGAGTCGAAATGGGTCGAATGATGATCAAGGCAGTGGGCGACAGTAGAAGCCTGACTTATCACTGCGCTGGAATCCGGATTGCACTGCTGGAAGCTGCTTGATGATGCCACTCTATGGAGCGGCCTGCGGTGGCTTTGCAGAGTCAATGCTATCGAGTGGTGTAGTAAAAGAAGGACTTCGTCTCCCAATCCACAGAAACACGGGGTCCGAGGCTTTGCATGGTCTCAGTTCAGTTGGTCCCAAGAGATGCTCATTCCCAAACAAGACACTCGTACCTGAAGACGCAAAGCGGCGGTGAAACCAGCCTGAACTGGGGACAGAGGGGGAAGTCAGCGCTGGCAGCTGGTGAAGGAGCGGTCAATCATGAATGGGCCCTTATCGGCAGAGTTGAGAAGAGTCAAGGCGAGAAGGGGGTTGCGGAGAGGGCAGGTGGATGTGATACAGATATAACAACAATCCCAAGTTGAGGACAAGAATAAGCGGATCCTGCTCCATACTGTTTTGGGGGATACGTAGACCAAAGTCCATAGCGGAGCCTATCCTTCGACGCCGACTGGAAACGTACAGCAGCGACTCAGCGAGCCCATCACCCTAGCATCGTCTTTCCCCATCGGCCCCCTCATTCTCGGGCTCTTACTTGTCATCACGTTGCCAGCCCATGCTTAGGTTCGCCCTGAACCTACCCAGTCGTGTGTACACTGCCTGGTCATCCAGCTCCTGTGGCAGATGAGCAACCATGGCAACCACCACCTGTCACCGCGAGGGACGCCTGCTCTGTTTGGCTGCTTTCCAGTTGATAGATCTGTTCGTTAATTTCCATCTTTCCTGCTTGAAAGTTTCAGAAGCTTCCAAGCTTCAAGGCTCTGGAGCTCCAGCGCCCTCTCAGAGCCAGCCAAAAAAGCAACCCCGCAGACTCTCCCAGTTGTGACTACAACTGCGTTCTGCAGGCCAATTTGGGGCCGAGACAGGGACTCCTATAGGCTGAGGGTGTTTCAGCACCATGCCATTTTCTGCGAGAGGGGGGCGAACTTGTTTGTCCAATCATGCAGCGCATGCTCAGCGTCTTGTTCATCTCGCCTCACCGAAGATGCGTTGGACTCTACAGCCTCGAATTGGCTCAGACCCTTTACCTTCTTCCCCTTCTCCTCCTTGAGCCTCGGCCAATCATATTTTGCCCTTTAAGCGCTGTGGAGGGGCCTTTTTTCTCCCATACGATCACCAGTTTCACCACCTGGCCTGTTTCCTTAGTCCAATGCATGGAGTGCCGCCACCTTCTCCAAAGTCAGCGAAGATCCGTGTCGTACCTGGCCTTCTGAGTCTCCGGACTCCTGAAACCCCATTTACGGGTACAGCCATCATCGATCCTATCCTGGCCTCGTGTGTGAGACCGTCCCATGGATGAGCCCGGGAGCTTCCGTGCGTGAGAACCATGGATGCCTCTCCACAGGTCAACTCTTACCCACTTGTCTTCAACTGAGACAAGCGCAAGAGATAGCGAGGAAATCAGCTCGCCGAGTCGCCGTATCCTTTCTCAGCTCAGACAATGACAGGCTACATCGATATACGAACTGGATTAGCCCTTGAGGCGAGCTGGGGCTAGAAAGTCAGTGGAACAGCCTTTTCAGGCAAGTCGAGCACGGTGCCATTGCGAATCTGTAGAGGCTGACGTGCGGGGATCAATAATGGGGTGGCTTTATGCGAAGTATTTCGGCGGCTAACTTGTCACAAGGTGCTTGATCACATCGCGGGGTAGCCTTTCCGGGCTCTCACCCAAGTCACCCCCCATGGTCTATCTTCCTTCCAGCCAACAGCAAAACCTCTTGCTCAAAAGCAAAATCAAGTAAAACATCAAGGAGGGGAGCCATTCGCATTTATTCAACGACAAACTCCGATCGTCCTTCTCACCATCGACCAATGTCACGACGTAGAACCTGTGGATGTCGGGTCACCTCTTCCTGTCCCACCAGCCCTTTGCTAGTCAACGATCCGGCCAGACTACTGCGTGCACTGTGAGCATGACAGGACTCCTAAAACCCCTTCTCGTGGAACAAACCTGATCATTTCTCGAATGCGTGGCTACTGGTCCGAGTCATCTGCACGCGGGGGTTGAGCATAAGGTACGTATCTCTACCCTTGACCATCCCAGCCAACCGAGATTGATCCTTACAGAGTTTCCATGCAATGCAATGATTGTCCTGGCATTAAGCTAGTAGTAGATTGATGCCGAGCTTGACTTTATGGACTCACACCGTCCAATTATAGCCCCATGATAGCTGCCCTCCAAGGTGGGCAACCCCCCTTCTCCCGATTTTGGGAATAGTCTCCCTCCACGAGGTGGGAGTCTAGATGGCTCCGACATATTCACTTCCCTCATGATCACAAACGAAGAGAGAGGCTCTTCATACCTACCCTCCATGTTGAGGATGCATCCTTCACGGGTTAACCTAAATTCGACCTATTTTCGAGCCGATGGTAGCATGAGGCAACTGTCGTCACAACGAACTATCTATCTTGATCACGTCTGTATAGATCAGAGACACTGCCTCTCTCATTTACGCAAAATAATGCCGATAGCAAAGAACAAGCCCATCCCATGCAAATGCAATGCGCATGGAACGTCCCAGGGCGCTCACAACCAAAAATAATCTTGTGTAAGAGCGCAATGCAGCTCTATCAGATTCAGATCGTCTTTGCTGCAGACAGCCTTACCTCTCTCTCCTTGATCGTTCGCATGGGTTCCATGCATCTCACCCATGCTGAAAGAAGGCAAGGGCAAGGGCGATTGCGAAAGGCTGGGGGCTGGGGTGGAGGCAAGCATTTACCCATCACCCACATACATATGATATGAACCTCCAAGCCCAAAGACGGGGTGAAAGGCACCGTGCTTATGAGAAAGGCTAACTTTATTACTCTTTGTATTCAACCAACTTATTGGGTGCCTCGCTCGCTACACTGCATACCCTGAACTTTAGGCAAGTGATGGGTTCGTGATAACCTGTCTTTGGCGGGTAATGTAAGTCGCTACTGCGAATATGTTGAGATCTTGCGCGAGTGGGTAGTAGAGCAAAAAGGCTATGCTGGGAAGCCTCGGTAGTAGATACCGTACTGGGCGCATGGTGGAATTGACAATGATCACCAATCCTAAGACGGAGTACAAATAGGGTACATGCTACAGCTGAGGAAACCGATCGAAGCGCGGAAAATTGCTTTATACATGCTTAGCGCGCCAACCTCACTGCCTCACGGACTTAACCTTCTTACTTTACTTACAAATCAACGAACCTCTAACCAGAAAAAATCGGTACCTACTATTCCCACGCTTGCTGGAGTTCCTGAAAGGGAATTTTCTAGAATGACAAGGAGAATCAATTAGTTGCGAGTCATTGTACGACACGGAGACCTCGGTCACCATAAAGTTGTGGGCCCAAGGCCGAGTCATTTTCTCGTAATCTGTTCCCAATTGAATAGTATCTCCGGACCCATCCAAATTTCCATGAAGCAGACTCACAATCATAATCGCTCATCGTCCCCAGAAACCAATGCCAAACACCGAGCAGCACGCGCGTCCTCTTCTCGCATCTCTGCCTCCAAGGTTCCGGATCTCCGAGTCAATATCTAAATCCGATTTCTAGTCTCAGCTCCGTGTCCTCCGTCTCATCAGCTTACGGTGTACTCCGTGCGGACCACGGTAAGCACCATGGAACCGTGGGCTGACGATCAGACTGTGGCTGCAATGCGGATACACTAACGGCCGATGTTTCAGTAATCGTAGCCGTATGCTGTATGCGGATTGCGGATCCGTAATGCTTGACCTGGAAGAGTATCTCTGTGCGCTGGGATCCTGTAGTACAATAATCATCTAGTCAGACAGAGACAGGGCCGTTTGCTGTATAGGGTTAAAATTAGTGCTGCAGGTGCTGTGCGCCTAATAACCGTCTCTCGCAACCTCGCAACTTCACGACTTGGCGGGAGCTACACTCGTAACCTCATCCTCGGACGAGCGAATTTCTTCAGTTTAGGCGCCAGCTTAGTTACAATGGGTCATTTGTACCTCAGAACAACGCGGGTCTCACACTGAGCTCCAGTCCTCAGAGACCTTACGCCCGTATCCAGAGGGGATGGATGTTCTTGCGCATGCTCAGCCCCATCGTTAGTACTCAGCCGAGCTCGCATGTCAGCCCCCACTTCCAGGTTGGGTCGGGAACGGCCTATGAAAGACTATTTGGCCGATTACGAGAATGGAATGATCTGCCAACTCAAATTCTCACAGAATTCGGGTCATTTGATGGGTTCAAGGTTCAGGGTGGCACCTGCAGTCGGTAAACTTGAGCGTTGGCTTGCGGGGCATACTATGATGTCATAATTTGTCCCGTCCCTTGCGGATGGTTTGATTGTATACAGGAAGGATTCGGTAAACATTATATCATGATCATCTAGGAACTGGTGCAACTGATCAGACAATATCGAGATGTTCGAGATGTTGTACGATTTCAAGCAGGTTTTGAACGAGCAATACGTCAAAGTCTAGGTCAAAGCGCAAAGTCCCGTGGCAATCGTGTTGAATGAGATGTGAATCGATATCAAGGTTTGTGTCGATTTCAACCTCGACCTTGATGAGCGACACTGTTCTCTGTCCAAACAGGAAGCTCCAAGTCAACAATTATTGGGCCAGGGTAGAATCTTCTGCCTCCCCGGTGCGGCCAGCCGCTCCTCATGATCGCGGCGTTGACGATACACGTCTCCTGCCTTTGCGCTCGAAGCCGCTCAGCCTCTGTATCTTGAGCTTCCGTCGGGCGTGGTTGTGAAGAGAGCCCTGCTGCCTGTTCTTCTGTGTGGCTTTGCGGCGGAAGCACCAAAAACCTCCCGGACGGCGGGAAAGGCGTCGAGGGCGACGTGCTCGTGTTCCCAGCAAGTCCCTCATTTTGAAGGCGAGGGGTATTCTTGCCTGTGAGATCAACAAGGCTTTGCTTTTTGCTTCCAAGAGGAGGCAAAATTCCCTTGATCACTTTATCCTCGAGGCTCTCGGCGTCAGTCGTTTCCGACAGCGAGGGCACGGGGCGCCATCGAACCCGCTCAAAGCCTCGGGACTCATGGATATGGCCACATACTTCAAGCAGCGGTCTAACTCTATTTAGGTTTCGATGCAGGGCACGACATCCCATCGGCTCGCCGGAGATTTTATCGCAGTGACCATGAGGCGGCATGTGTGTGACGACAATGTCGGTGTCCAATGGGATTTGGCGCCAAAGCTTCTCAGCCTCACCAGACTCGTATAGGAACGCCCAGTTCCCATGGCATTGAGAATACGGGGATCCGAAGACCTTGAAAACGGTGTTTGGCCCGTTTGCCTTGTTTAATCGAACTAGTGCTGACTGATGTTTGAGGAAAACGATCGAGGGCGATGCGCTGGTCATAATATCCATGCATTCCTGGGAGTCTTCTGGGTGTTTGTTGTGGAAGCGCTCCTTGTTCTCTGCATAGAAGGCCTCGTCCAGGGTGATGTCGTGGTTTCCTATCCGTGTCACAGTTCAGCGCTTCGCATACACAAGCAAAAGAGGGCAATTGCCTTTTCCACCCGAGGGGCGCCTCGTCAAAGGTTACACGACGAGGGAAACTAACCACAGATCACAATCTTGACTTCATAATCTGCAGCCGCAATCCAGTTTATGGTTTTTCGCAGTTCTGACTTGCTCCCCTGATTTGTCAGGTCTCCTGCGTGTATCAAGACATCTCCAGGGGGAAGTCTGAATCCCGCCTCAGAGGGCGTATAGCCGTGTGTGTCCGAGACACAAACAAAGCGTGTCTTTTGGCGTAACATTGTTTGTCGTGGAGGTTAATTTCCAAGCTCCTCGCATGGAGGTCCAACAGTGCGTTCATAAATGCTTTTAATGTGTCATATTCAGCCCCGTATTTAGAAGGCTAATAATGACTCATTGATGTTGGCAAGCCCCTCTGACTGAGTACCAGCATAGGCCTTTGAGTCAAACGAAGAGATGGCGCGGAGCTGCCGAAAAGTTCTCGAATTTGAGAACTGTTTGTCCTCTTTTTCATCATGTGACCTCTCCAGCTCTATGACACTTTCCTACCTAGGTAATTCGTATGCCAAGCCAAAAGTAGTGAATCTAGCCAATGATGTTTGAGCTTCAATCCAAAATTCCATTGTAGTGAGTCCAGGGAAAGAACCAATTGCCGATGTAAGGCTATGGTGGATACAGCGGGGCCCAGTATCACTTTCCCACTGTGTTCAACATAGGAGGATCTAATTGAACCTGAGAGGGGGCGGTACAGCCATGACCGACGGCGCACTGTCTGCGTCTAGGAGCATCTTTTTCATAGCAGCGCAAAGCCATTCTCATACCTACCTAGGGAGATCGCTATTCATCCTTGTTGCCTGTCTACGCCAATCCGTGCCGATCTTCTACAATGCCTCCATGGAGACGCAAAGAGAAACCGCGTCCCGACAAAGACCCTCCGCTTGCCCAGCAAGAGTCCCCAACGCTGTTTGAAAGCCCAGGCCTCGGCCATCGTATGTCTCCGCGCAGTGACGAGAGGTACCAGCGACCCGTCAAAAGCAACAGCAGCGCCGTCCGATCCGACTACGAGTGGTGATCCGGCCGAGAAGCTAGAGAAACAGCACGCCGAGTTCGGACCACTTGGCGATCCATCTCACCTCTGCACGAGCTGTCTCGCGGGCAGTGCGATGCCAGATCCAGTGGTCGACGACCCTCCTTACCTGATCATCTTGACGACATATATCAGTTTCCTTGTCGTGATATTCCTTGGTCATATTCAGGACTTTTTCGCCCAGTGGTTTCACCCAAGCACATATCAGCATCTTAGGCCTCAAAATGGATACGCTTCGCTATATGATGACTTTGAGAGCTTCTATACCAGGCGGATGAAGCAGAGAATCAACGACTGTTTTGAACGGCCTACGGCGGGTGTGTCTGGGAGACATATCGTCTTGCTCGACCGGACCACAGAAGATAATGTCAGGTTTCAACTTGTCGGTACGGCAACAAGCACGCTGAATCTGAGTTCATACAATTACCTTGGTTTCGCACAGTCGGAGGGCCCTTGTGCAGACGCGATAGAGGAGGCCATCTGCCGAGACGGGATAAGCATGGCCGGGCCATATCGAGTGTCAACAAAGCTCCATGTTGAAGTGGAAGATCAGATTGCGCGGTTCTTGGGCAAAGAGGCTCCAATGGTCTTTTCGATTGGATTTGCCGCAAACTCCACGCTCTTCCCATCCCTGGTGGAAAACGGATGTTTGATCCTGTCGGACGAGCTTAACCACGCCTCCATCCGATTTGGTGCTAGGCTATCAGGAGCGGCCATTGAGGTCTTTGCGCATAATAACATGGCCAGTCTGGAGAACAAGCTTCGGGAAGCTGTATCGCAAGGGCAGCCCCGAACGCATCGTCCATGGCAGAAAATTCTAGTAACGGTTGAGGGACTGTTCTCAATGGAGGGAACAATGTGCAACCTCCCTCGAATCCTGGAGCTGAAGAAGAAATACAAGTTCCACCTCTTCATAGACGAGGCACACTCTATTGGAGCGATAGGTAGCCAGGGACGTGGATTCTGCGATTATTTCAAGGCAGACCCAGCCGAGGTCAACATCTTGATGGGCACCTTCACCAAGCCCTTTTGGGGCAAATGGTGGTTATGTGGCGGCCAGCAAGGAGATCATCGATAAGCTGCGTTGCACCAACGCAGGGCTACATGGTGAAGCGCCGGCGCTCCCAATCCTCACACAGGTTTCTTGCTCACCTCGGCTGGTAGCAGACGAAGACCCTCAGCATCCGGGCAAAGGGAAAGAACGTTCGCAGCGTCTCACATTCAACTCGAGGTATCCCAGGTTGGGTCTGAAACGGCTTGGCTTTATCGTGTATGGCCACGATGACTCTCCAATAGTGCCTTTGATGCTCTACCATCCAGCCAAGATGCCTGCATTTTCCAGGGAGATACTGCGGCGCAAGATCTCAGTCGTTGTGGTGACATATCCCGCCACACCCTTGGAGCTTTCCCGCGCACGACTGTGTGTGTCGGCTGCGCATACTAAGGACGATCTTGATCGAGTGGTGAAAGCCTGCGAAGAAGTTAGAGAAGCGCTGCGATTGAAGTTCTCTTCGGGAATGGCAGGCGGGCTGAGAGAGCCCAAGACAAGCGGCTCAATGGCTGCGGGCAGAAATGGAAATGAGGCTCCGCGCTGGACCTTGACGGAGGTAATCGAGAGAGGAACCAAGGATGCGAAATTGACTTTATACTGAAGTGAATCTCTGGCAATTAGGTTTCGGCCCAATTGTACTGGTGTCTTTGGAACAGCAACTCCATCAATAATACTGTAGATATAGTACTAGGGTTTATCTCTTCGATTGCCTTGACGAATGAAAATATTTTCCAAGTTGCCACCATTAACTCGAATGGATCAATATCCATGGAAAGTCTGTATGGTCTCACGTGACCGCTCAGCCACGGGATTGGTGGTTAGGGCTGTGACCCTCTGTCGATTTCCCGCACAAAAGTAACGCCGCTCTCGCTTAGCCGACCGCCAACCTGCGAACCACATCCGACTCTGTTGTGTGCGTTGAACCTGCCCACAACGACAACAACCGCCGACAACATACATCCCCAGGGAGTATCCTAGAGCAGTGCTCTTCCTTTCGCTGGATATTTTCCTTTTGAACCGGTGACAGCGCAGGATGTCCTCTACCGATCCAGTGGTGCGTATTACCACCTTTCCGATGACTCGACCGCCGTTATATCTGTGCACCAGGGCGAAGAACGGCCTTTCTATATCATGCAGTGGCTGACTTGTGCTGGGTTATTTTTGCAGGTCGTCATCGACGGCAAGGGACACCTCCTTGGTCGCCTGGCCAGCACTGTTGCCAAGCAGCTGCTCAATGGCCAGAAGATCGTCGTCGTGAGATGTGAAGCCCTCAACATCTCTGGCGAGTTCTTCCGCGCGAAGCGTACGTTCATACCCGACCCTCTCGCATTGTGATTATGGAATTTATTGGTTGTTTGTGAACTTGGATGGAATGGCTGGGGAAATCATATCGGACGGCGACGGAGTTTCGACATGGGGGGAAATGGATGGTGGATTCGGTGGCGCTCAGATTTTCGCATACGTTCTGGAATCACAAACGGCTGACCTGGGATGTTCGCAATAATAGTCAAGTACCACGCCTACCTTCGCAAGATCACCCGTTTCAACCCCACTCGCGGAGGTGAGACTCTCCCGATACCAGAATACGACGAGATCGTTTGCATGGACCACCCATACTGAACTTTGCAGGTCCCTTCCACTTCCGTGCTCCTTCCCGCATCTTCTACAAGGCCGTCCGCGGAATGATGCCCCACAAGACCGCCCGTGGTGCTGCTGCTCTCGAGCGCCTCAAGGTTTTCGAGGGTATCCCTCCCCCTTACGACAAGAAGAAGCGTGTGGTTGTTCCTCAGGCTCTCCGCGTCCTCCGTCTCCGCCCCGGCCGCAAGTACTGCACCGTCGGCAGACTCAGCCACGAGGTCGGCTGGAAATACCAGGACGTTGTTGCCAGGTGCGTACCCGATGATTCCCACATTAGATGGGTACCCGATTTCTTGGAATCGGTGGCTAACACCTCTCTTTCCACAGACTTGAGGAGAGGAGAAAGGTTAAGAGCAGTGCATACTACGAGCGCAAGAAGGCTGCCCGCCGCCAACTTGCTCACGCACAAAAGTCGGCGGCTGTCAACGAGACCACCAAGAGCCAGCTCGCCGAGTACGGATTCTAGATTATACCTGGTTACGCGGCTGGTTTTTGTGTCTTTGATGGGATGGGTGGAGATCGCGAGCGGTTTTAACTTTCAGCGAAGTTTGAAAGGGAAGCTGATCGACGGCCTTTTTTCTCGCTGTTCCTACCTTTTCATGAATTCCCACAATGCTATCTGTTGTGATGCCCATGGATGGGGGTGGAGAGACCGGTGTCGTATTCAAAACAAAAGTACAATACAGGAGTCGCATGGGGTGAAAAAAGGTTGTTCAAGTTAGCTGACCCGTTATTTCGCGCCGTGGCGGTTTAATCCAAGACATTTCAAGAGTTCATGACCTGCACTTTGCCTTTTGTACGTTTCAACTATTCATATTATAAGCTATCCTTCAGTCTCTATCCACCTTGCAGACTAAATACTTGGAGTACCCGGTGATCATCTTGGAGGATTTAACTGAGTGGAGTACATATACCCTCGGTAACTTGACGGCTAGATGCTCGTCTCAATCGGGTAAACTATGAAGTCATACTAACTCGGTGCCTGGATGCGATAAGCGACGCGACATCCGACCACTCTTAAACCAATCCGAGATCGAATTGATCGAACTATCAGCTCCCCGATGCTGTATTCTCGCCCAAGATCTGCCATTGATGTGGCGCCGAGTTCTTCCTACTCGTACTTGGTGGTCGGGTTGGCCTGATGAGCGGATCCGAGGTCATCGGAACCGACGATACCCCGGTCTGGAATAGTTTGTCTGTAGATTTGATGCCCTACTTCTTACTATCAAGAGACTGGGAACTGATTTGCAATACATCTGGGTTGCAGAAAGTGTAGCGGAAGACGAGCGGAATTGTTCACTCTCGGTAGGTTCAAGGTTATGCTCTGTCTGGCATTCTCGCTGACATTGATGCATAAGCTCAGTACCTGGAACCGACTCGACAATTCGAGATAAGGGCTACAATGTTTCCTCGTATCGAGAAAATCGTAGTAAATATCAGTCGGGCTGCATGAAAGCCGCGGAGCAAGACAGGTATTCCGAGTCAAGCATCTCCCAGACTGGGGTGATCATTGATATTCCGCTTCTCCGCAGTCTCATTAATTTCCCCCGCACTCCACTTGAACCCGCTTCGCCCTCTCGGGCCCCCGGCGCCCCCGGTTTGTAACTCGGCTCGACCTCCGCTATATTATCTTCTTCTCGATCCCGCGAGCTCTAGAGAACAACTCCCCTCTCATCCCTTAGTTCTTCCTTATGAGCGTCATTATTCATATTACATAGTCTACAATGTCCGTCGCAAAGACCCGCCTTTCCAGCTTGTTGGGCCACTTCAAGCAACCCCTTGACGCCAATGGCACAGCGGCTCCCGCGCCAGTAAACACACCCAAGCACGGTGTCAACTTCCACACTCTATCGCCGACTTTCTTCTTGCCGCGAGCTGCGGCAATTGAGCCGGATGTAAGTAGTGCTTTCCTAGCACTAGGACAAATATATATCTTTGATCTAAAACAAGACTAACTCTCTCGACTCAAAACCCAGGCTGAGGCTATCTACCACATTACTGCGAATAATCAGATCCTACGCCGAACGTACTTGGAGACTGCGGACCGCGCGAGAGGGCTTGCATATTATCTCAAGAAACATGGGTACAGGAGAGTTGGAATTCTCTGCCCGAATACACCGGCCTTTTTGGAGAGTATATTTGGTATCGCAGCTGCGGGAGGTGTCAATGTTGGTAAGACCTCAATACGGTCCGAAGCTACCCAGGAGTTTCAACCTTTCAATTACTGCGTGAGTACTAATTGCACGTGATAGCTGTGAACTACCGCCTTAAAGAGGACGATATCGCTTACATATTCACCCACTCCGAAGTCGAGGTCATTATCGTCGACCAGGAGTTCTTACCTCTATTGAACGCATTCAAATCCGCGAAACCAAACATCCCCTTCATTGTGGATACAGATACAGATGCGATAGAAGGGCAGCTAGCAGGACCCTTTGACCTGGCTGTTCTTGAGGGCCTGAACCATGACCGGGACACAGGAGCCTCGGGTTGGACTCGGCTTGAAAGCCAGGCTGCTTCGGAGGATGATATCGTGGCCCTTGCGTACACCAGTGGAACAACAGCGCGCCCAAAGGGCGTTGAGTACACCCACAGAGGGTGTTATCTTGCGACGATGGGGAATATCATTGAGTCAGGGCTGAATCCGTTTGGAGGTCGTTGTGGCTATTTGTGGATTCTGCCGATGTTTCATGCTATGGGTGAGTCTGTCTTGGTTGACTATAAAAGCCTTGTTCGGCTAATGCTGAATATGTAGGCTGGACATTCCCTTGGGCAGTAACTGCTGTTCGTGGAACTCACTACTGCCTGCGAAAGGTCGATTATCCGCTGATATGGAAGCTCCTCAAGGAGGAGAACATTACCCATTTCAATGCCGCTCCAACCGTCAACACGATTCTTTGCAATTCTCCCGAAGCCGAGCGACTTCAAGAACCGGTGCATGTTACAGTTGCAGCGAGCCCACCGACGCCTCACCTATTCGAACAGATGACTGGCCTAAATCTGCATCCGGTGCATGTTTACGGAATGACGGAGACGTACGGGCCCATCACCAAAGGCTATCATATGCCAGCCTGGGAGAAGCTTCCCCGCAAGGAGAAGTTTGGCCGAATGGCGCGGCAGGGCCATGGATTCGTGACAAGTCTTCCGGCGCGAGTGGTCAAGACTGATGTGCCCGAGGGGACCATCGTTGATGTCGTGCGAGACGGAAAGGAGATCGGAGAGATTGTTTTCATTGGAAATATCTGTGCTCGGGGTTATTATAAGGACCCCGAAGCCACGCGGAAACTGTTCGCAGGTGGTGTCTTGCACTCCGGGGATTTGGCGGTTTGGCATCCTGATGGAGCGATCCAGATCCTTGATAGGGCCAAGGATATTATTATCAGCGGTAAGGCATTCCCTGAACATCCTCTTCTCCTTCATGTCCTTACTGATCTGTTATAGGAGGGGAGAACATCTCGTCTGTTGCGCTCGAGTCAATGTTGGTGACTCACCCGGACATTCTCGAGGCTGGTGTCGTCGCTGTGCCCGATAGCCACTGGGGAGAGCGACCTAAGGCGTTTGTGACCGTCAAGACCGGTAGGCAGCTGGAGGGCAAAGATGTCGTCGACTGGGCCAGAAACAGCAGCGCAATCAGCAAGTTCATGGTCCCACGCGAGGTGGAAGTTGTCGCGGAGCTTCCCAAAACAAGTACAGGCAAAGTTAAGGAAGAACGTTCTGCGGGACTGGGCGAACGGTGCGAATCGGACGTGATGAATCTTGAGTTAGATATATAACGATTGGGTCCATGTGCCATGTTTCACTAGACTTTGAAAACGGGACCCTGATGGTCCCCAGATGAACATGTTAGAGTGTCAGACAATCAAGCCTCATAAAGACTCCCAAATGCTTATAAACCATCAGTGGTCAGCACATAGCCTCCATTGTCCAGTTGACGGAGGTTGCCCCTTTGCCACAACCAATCAAGGCTGAAGCTGCATCAAAGGATTGATCATCCGCTTCGGGACTTGTGATTTATGAACTCAGTGGTACCTTAGTATCCGTCATTATAACCTTGCGATCCCCCCATCTTAACCTTCCCCGACACAACTTTCCCCTCTCAACCACAATCTTACTGTGATCTGGATTGTAATCGAACAACTCCGGTAAATACCCCTCGTTGTAAGGTACCTAACCCTACTCGGAGAAGATGTGGTGGTGGTCTCCTTGTTCCCCTCCAACCAAAGTGGCTCCCGCCTTGAATCGCAGCCGCCGCCGCCTTCCCCAACCTGTCGCTTGTCGTCGTCACAATCACATTCCATTACCCTAGCTTGGGCTAATAATAACCACTTTCGACCCCTCCTAGATCGATTATCTCGAGCTCCTTGCAAACCCGACTGCAATACCTTCCCCCAAGAGTTCCTGTCCTCTCCCTTGCACTGACCGACGCCGTCCCTTCGACATCCCCCTCGAGCCTCCCTGCCATCGCCATATTATTGTGGATTCGCTGCAGGCACGCCCAACGCGCGCATCCTCTTCGAAAGCCTTTCGCCTTTCGCCCTTCGGCCGCATCCGTTTCTTCCCAACCATCCACGCGAATCGACATTTCCAACCGCAGTTAATCCGGTCAACGGAGACCGATCGTCAGAAGAAGAATTACAAAAGTGAGAAAGATCGTCTGTGCAGTTCCTGAGTGACGTAAATATCACCTCTTTTCCATGTCTACGGGGCTTTCATCGCTTGCAAGGTTGAGATAAGTGGATGAGACGGACAGCTAAAACAGACTACAACCCACTTCAACCCATCCCAGCATGACTCGCTCTCGACAACCGGCGCGGTTCTCGAGCGAAGCCCCCTCTGCGTCCTCTACCTCGACATCGCCGGAACGTGCTGCCGACGATGATACCGACTCCTTCACACACCAGGCCAACGACTCGCAGTCGTCGATAGGCGCCGGAAACTCGCGTGATTCGACCATGCAGACTGGCCACGAGGCCACACTGCCCCCGATCGCATACCTTCCGCCGGAGATTCTTATTTCCATCTTCTCAAAGCTGAACTCGACAAAAGACCTGTTGAGCTGTTTGCTAGTGTGTCGGATATGGGCTGTGAACTGCGTTGGGCTGCTTTGGCATCGGCCATCCTGCAACAACTGGGAGAATCTGAAGAAAATCACGGCGGCTGTGGGGCAGGAGGACAGTTTCTTTCTATATTCAGGGCTCGTCAAGCGGCTGAACCTTTCCGCTCTCACTGCAGATGTTAGCGATGGCACAGTTGTCCCGTTCTCACAGTGCAACCGGATCGAGCGTCTAACGTTGACCAACTGTCGCAAACTTACCGACAACGGAGTGTCTGATCTGGTTGAGGGTAGCCGGCACTTGCAAGCCTTGGACGTCTCTGATTTGGAGTCTCTTACCGATCATACTCTTTTCAAGGTCGCCGAGAATTGCCCGAGGCTCCAGGGCCTCAACGTTACTGGGTGTACAAAAGTGACAGATGATTCGCTGATCGCCGTCTCGCAGAAGTGCAGGTTCCTTAAAAGAGTGAGTCTTTCGTGCTAGTTAAACCTCACAGTCTGTCACTAACCAATCCCAGTTAAAACTCAACGGTGTTGCACAAGTCACGGATAAAGCCATTATGTCATTCGCTCAGAACTGCTCAGCTATACTCGAGATCGATCTACAAGAATGCAAGCTAGTCACGAATGCGTCAGTGACGAATCTTATGGCCACGCTCCAGAACTTACGTGAACTGCGGCTCGCTCATTGCACGGAGATTGACGATTCAGCTTTCCTGGACTTGCCCAGACATATCTCAATGGGTAGTCTTCGTATCCTGGATCTGACTGCGTGCGAGAACATTAGAGATGATGCCGTAGAACGCATTGTGAGTGCGGCTCCGCGCTTACGGAACCTTGTTCTTGCCAAGTGCAAATTTATCACGGACCGGGCCGTCTACGCTATCTGCAAGCTGGGGAAGAATCTGCATTATGTTCATCTCGGCCACTGTTCTAACATTACCGATGCTGCGGTTATGCAGCTGGTCAAGTCCTGCAACCGAATCAGATACATCGACGTGGCATGTTGCGGCCGTTTAACGGATCGCAGCGTCAAGCAACTGGCTACGTTACCTAAACTCAGAAGGGTCGGTTTGGTGAAATGCCAACTGATTACAGACGAGAGCATCTTAGCCCTTGCACGACCCCAGAGCTCAGAACACTCAACTGGGTTCAGCAGCCTGGAGCGAGTACATTTGAGTTACTGCGTCAATCTCACTCTGAGGGTAGGTTTTGCGCTCAATTTCTGCACTTCCTGTGTTGTGGCGGCTGACTGATTCTTCTTTAGGGAATTCGCGCCTTGCTCAACAGCTGTCCTCGGTTAACACATCTGAGTCTCACGGGTATTGCATCCTTCTTGCGAGAGGAGCTGACCGTATTCTGCCGCGAACCCCCGCCAGAGTTCACCCGTCAGCAGCGCGAGGTATTCTGTGTCTTCAGCGGAGAAGGTGTACACCTCCTTCGCGAGCATATCAACCAAGAAGCTGTCCCACAACGGGATATGAACGAGGCCACCATGTACGACGACGATGAGGAACTAGACGAGGATGAGGGCCAAGTGACTGGCCTCATGCACGCCGCTGCAATTAACGACGACGACTACATTGACATCACCCCTCCTCATGCCTGATACCCCTGTCTTCTGCTTGAGCGTGTTTATTTTTCTCCGGATTTCCACCCGTTTCCTTCTCTCTAGCCTGAGTTATCTTTCCCGAGCTTATTCAGCATGTCTTACTATCGTGGAAGTTATCGCTATGTCTTATCAGTTTTGGGCCAAGGAGCACAGTACAGCATCGCGCTCCAAAATCGGGCTATCATGTTCATTTATCTGGGAGTTGCATCGGCGGCGGTTCTATGGGAAGCTGCTGCCAAGGTATATTTTTGTCGGTTGCAGGTATATTGTTGAGGTTGGGCACATACGGGAATCTCTATATGGATCAAAGCTGCTGGCCGTTAGGAGCGGTAGCAAGTAGATATCCGAAGAACGGACATCAATTCACAGCTACTGGTGCCGGTGTTTTCTTGCCTGGGCGGTGATATATAGACCTATATAAGTATGGCGTTTTGAAGCTGCCATTGCTATTCTGGTGGGTTAAGTAAAGATCAGAATGGGATCGCCTTTCTCTTCCAAAGCAAAATTTCTCGTTGCTAACTATAAAGGACTTGGGTAGACGACCTCATGAGGCAATTTGTTACCAGAATGCGTATTGATACTGTCAGCCCAGGTCCCCACCGCAGCTTCCCGTCTCGTACCAGTTCCAACTCCTCATTTATCTCCGCTTCTCCTCTTTTCAAGCTCCTCCTCAGTTTTAACTTGCAAACTCACTCTTGTTTCCCACGGTTTCAATCTCCTTTTCATGGAGTCGATATCCGATGGATTCCTCCAAAGCATCTCGAGGCAATCCTCTAGCGTTCACTCCTTGGCCAGTTACCCTCATCACAGCCGCTGTGTACCTAGCCTTTGCGATTCCTCTTCTGGTTGTCCACCATGTCGTACCCTCCGCTCCCAGTTCGGACCCTGTCGGCTTGAACCTCACCGAAGCCTGGAGCGACCTGCAAACCCTGACGTCCGGATACCGCCCGTATAACTCACGCCAAAATGACAAAATTCACGAATGGCTCTTGCAGCGAGTCAACGAGATTATAGACGCAGCGCCTTCCGCGACAGCCGAGGAGAAAATCCCTGACGTTTTTGTCTTCGACGATACGCGCTCTAATTTGACGTTCTCCCGCGATAACCTTGCCGTCTATTTCGAGGGAACAAACATTTTGGTCTATATCCGGGGCGAGGAAGATGGTTTGGATAAGTGGTGGGAGACCCCGAATGGCCGGCCAAAGAGCAAGGGAGGCGTATTGGTGAACGCACATTATGACAGTGTCTCGACGGGATTCGGCGCGACAGACGATGGGGTCGGTGTGGTCACTTGCTTACAGCTCATCAAGTACTTCACGACGCCCGGGCATGCGCCTCGGAGAGGCTTGGTGGTGCTGTTCAACAATGGCGAGGAGGACTTTTTGAACGGCGCGCGCGTGTACAGCCAACATCCGCTGTCCAAGTTCCCGCATACGTTCCTCAATCTGGAGGGCGCAGGAGCTGGCGGGCGTGCGATCCTCTTCCGCAGCTCAGATGCGGAGGTTACAGGGCCTTACATGCGGTCGCAGCACCCTTTTGGGTCTGTCCTTGGCGCGGATGGGTTCCAGACAGGCCTAATCCGAAGCCAGACGGATTATGTTGTCTTCGAGGGTGACCTAGGACTTCGTGGGCTTGATGTCGCCTTCATGGAGCCGCGTGCTCGGTACCACACAGATCAGGACGACACGAGACACACTAGCAAGAATTCTTTGTGGCACATGTTATCGACGGCAGTTGCGACTACAGAGGGCCTTGTATCCGACTCGAGCAATGACTTTGAAGGCCCGGCACGCGACGATGGCAAGGTAGCTAGCGGCACGGGGACCAAGGCTGTCTGGTTTGACCTGTTCGGGAGAACATTTGTCCTCTTTCGTCTGCACACCTTGTTTGCGCTTTCAGTCACTCTTCTAGTGGTGGCGCCGCTGGTCTTGCTCATCACGAGTATCATCCTCACAAAGGTTGATAAGATGTACCTTTTCAGAACATCGATACGGCCAGAGGGTAGCCTGGAGGTACTTCACCTATACGGCGATAGGGGTTTAATCCGGTTTCCTTTCCTTTTCGGAATTCCTACTGCTGTCTCCATTGGCTTGGCGTACTTGCTGACGAAGGTCAACCCGTATATTGTCCACAGCAGTCAATATGCTGTTTGGAGTATGATGGTGTCTGCCTGGACGTTCCTCGCCTGGTTCGTTTCCCGAGTGGCTGACTTTGCTCGACCGTCTGCCTTCCATCGCATATACACACTGACCTGGACTTTTGTGCTCATGTGGGTCCTTCTGGTTATTTCTACGGTTTACGAAGACCGCTGGGGTCTTGGGGGCACCTATTTCATATTCTTCGGTTTCTCGGGGACCTTCCTCGCGACGTGGATCTCATATCTGGAGCTTTTCGCTTTGCCACGGAAGTCCGAATACGCCAATCACTTGCGGCCGGTATCGAGACGTGCCAGCAGCTATGGTAGTCGACTTGGGGCGTCTGACGAGGACGAAGAAGACGAGGGTGACGAAAGCGAGGAACCGACGGAGTCGACGTCCTTGCTTGGTGCCAGTGGGCAACGGACTTCATTCGCTAATTACGTTCGCGTGAATGCGGAGACTGCAGTGCACTCTGATAACGAGGAAGTTGACCACGACGTCAATGTGTATGGTTTTGAGCAGCGATGGAGTGCCTCTTTGCCGAAATGGCTATGGGTGTTGCAGTTCCTTCTAGTCGCTCCCATTGTCCTTATTCTGGTCGGTTCTCTATCTTTGCTCCTCACCAGTGCCCTGCACCAAACGGGACAGGACGGAAGCTCGACATTGTTCATCTACATTGCTATTGTTACGTTCACAACTATCATGCTGACTCCTGTTCTGCCTTTTATCCACCGGTACACCTACCATATTCCGGTCTTCCTATTTGCCGTCTTTGTCGGTACCCTGATTTATAACCTGGTTGCCTTCCCCTTCTCCGATTCCAACCGATTGAAGCTATTCTTTATTCAAGAGGTCGATCTTGGGACGGGTTACAATACCGCTTCGCTGATAGGTGCTCAACCCTTCGTTCACGACGTCGCCGTTAGTCTGCCTAGTGCTGCCGGGCTGGACGTCACTTGTGATGCCTTTGGAGACCGGGTAAAATGCTCGTGGGCTGGAATCCCACCGCATGTTGTCGCAGGCGACAAGCCCTTTGAAGACTGGGTTTCAGTCGAGATTTCCAAGCCTACCGGGAAGCCTCGTCAGGCTCAGCTCAAGATATCTGGTCAGGATACTCGCGCGTGTAAGCTACTCTTTGACACACCAGTTAAGAACTTCCATGTCGCCGATTCCGCCTATGACTCTCGGTTCCCGCACACTTCCTCCAAAGGGACTAAGGAAATCCGACTCTGGAGTCGTACATGGAACAACACCTGGACGGTCGACGTTGAATGGTCAGCCTCTGAAGGCTCAGACCACGAGAAAACCGTCGATACTCTTACAGGCCAAGTTGTCTGTCTATGGAGCGATTATAACGAGGCGGACGCCATTCCCGCTCTTGACGAAGTACGACAGTACGGTCCCTCTTGGATCGGCGTGAGTAAAGCAGCCGACGGGCTTGTAGAGGGCCGCAAGGCATTTGAGATCGCCTAATAAAGTATCACGAGAAATGTTGGAAGAGTGTAGTCTTCTAATAATACTTCCACCTTCCGGCGTACGGCTTATGAGATATGATTCTTTTTTTTACTCGCTTGGCTCGGCTCTTTTCTGCATGTTGCATCCGTCACATTGTCATCAGTACCATGTTACTAGTGAATGTACCGGTCATCTAGTTGCTACCTTGGTACTGTTGCTTCCTAATATTAGCGGAAAAGTTGTTCCTCAGTGATTTCACCCGTCAGGTGCCTTTTCAAAGGTTACTCATAAGTTGGCGGAGCTCTATATATATATATAAAGCAACGCGGGGTTACGCCGGCAAGAAATATCCACAGTGAAAGAGCCGAACTACAACCTCTAAGTTTCAAGGCACCTTATCCTACGTAGGCCTTTCGTCTAAACAGGACGTTTCAATTTCACTCTGTATTGTTTGATTTGTTTGTTTTATCTATAGGATACGTTTTATCTATAGGATACCCTAGTCTGCAAGGTCGATGATGTAGCATAGCGTAGCAACCGACTACTACGAGTATCACTAAATCCTTGGGGAATTGTCATAATGACAACAACTGTGATGTACACATTTCTGTTCCCCCTGTCCTTGCTTCTTCCCCGCTCTGCCCTGCCGCAAGCGATAGGTACCGAAGCCCTGCCGATGTCTTTCGCATCGGTAAGATATACATCGATAATGTATGCGTTCGCAATCGCAAGTGAACAAACCAAGCAAAACTTGGATCTGGACTGTATCCTGCCTGGTTTTCCTGCTTTGCAGATTGTTCTGGGATTGATTTGCGCACGGTACGGCGGGGGTTATAGTCGGTTGAACTGAGCTGTCGCATGCCGTTTTTTTTTGTGTTGGATGGACTCCTCCTCGTACCGCTAGCCTCTTCCCATCTCCGCATCGGAGGTTGTGCTCAGCGCGTCGGTGTGGAAGAGGAAGAAGAGGAACAAGAAGAGCCAGTCTCCGTACCGTACCGATGTACAAACATATTCCTTCCGCAGGCAGTTCAAATGGATCAATTCCTTCTTCCGAAACGGCACTGTCGTTCCTGGGTGACGAATCGAATCCGAGTTTCGAGCATCTCGACTGTTTTCTTAGGTTCTCAAGACCGATGAAGTAAAAACCGGGTATATTTCTGTTTGTGTTCTGACCGTGACCTCGTCATTCATTATTCGTCTTTTCTTTTTTCTGCCGTGAAACACGAGAAGATAGAGGAATAGAGAGAGTGATTTCGATATAGAAGTGGATCTGTTGATAGATCGAGATGGTTGGTGGTCGAGATAATAGATGGATCCGTAGATCGTAGATATTCGAGAATGGTGAAGCAGAGAGGAAGGAGACCCGCCAAACCAGGTCATTGGTTTCACGCGTCGCACCCAGAATCCTTAAGTTGCAACGGCGGAAGTCGATGCGGCGAGTCCGTAAAGTCCCTCTCCGAACAAGGTGGGTTATTCGTCTGCGTCTCGCCGCTCAGCGCACGCGAGATATCCGAGTGACCGGTCTCCGAACCCCTAGGCAAACCCGAGTGCTCGAACATGGCAATCCCCACATCATCCGAGTCCATCCACGGATGCGAGCGCTGGCGCACCGTTGGCGTCGCATGCGTAAGATCCGACGTAACACGGGTCGCATCGACAAAGTCCGGGAAATCGGTTGTGGGCCCTCCGTTGGTGGATTCCTGCTTCCAGATGTGCGAGCGGACGATGTAGACAAGTTTACCGAGAACGGCGAACTCGAGCTTGAGCTTGACGCTGTAGACGACGCCCTTGATCATTGTTTCCATGATGTAATAGTCCATGTATTCGACGACGAGGAGGCCGATGTCCATGAGGATGATGATCAGGTTGATTGCGACGAGCTGGTACATGATTTTGCGCTTGCCCTTGTCTGGGTCGAGGCGAAGCATGCGGGTTGTTTCCCAGATGTAGAGCGCGGAGAGGACGAATTCTTGAATGCAGAAGCCTGTCATTTGTATCTTCTCCATCACGTTGTATCCGTTGATGTAACCGGTTCGTCCACTTGCCAGGTTGGAGCCGTAGGTGAGGACGGTGGTGGGGAAGTGGAGGATGACAACATTGATGATGATCATTGCCAGGACGCGGCGTAAAATTTTAGGGTTCGGGAGAACGAGGTGGAGTCGCGAGTAGAGGACAATTGATTGCCCGGTGACCATGCAATACCAGCCGATGGTGATGAAGGTGACGGAGAGCCACGTTGCGGAGGTGAGATTGAAGAATTTGAGCAGGAAACCGAGCGAGTAAGGTATGAGTCCCACCGACGAGGAAACTAGTAAGCTCCAAAAGTATAGACCCCGATATTGGCTAAAGGTGACAAACACAAGGGCGATAAGCTCGATGGCGTTGTACCAAGTGATGCCGGCGAGCGTCGCAATCGTGATCTGGATCCCTAGGCTGTTGCCCGAATAACCCCCGGTAATGCCATTGCCAGGCGCACTGCTGTCAGTGACCATGACGTTAGTTCTAGGAAAGTTGCTCCTGGTTGTGGAGTGAGATAATAGGAGGCATGGTGTGCATGCGAGAGAAGCGGGGTGACGGAGCGGAGAGAGTCGAATCCGGGGAAAGAAGAGAGTCGAGAGAGAGAAGAGATCGATAAGGAGAGGAAGAAGATAAAAACGAAAGAAGAAGCCTGGAGAGATCAACACAGAGAAGGGCGAGAGAGAGTCAGGTGAGAGGCAGATTGAATCGAGGAAATACCCCAGATCGTGAAACTGCGCTTGCAAGACAGCCAATCTCCAGATACGGAGTACCCCCAACGGCCTCGAGTCAGAAAAGTCAAGTGGCCCAGAGACGCCGACTCTTGGAACCGCCCGCGATGAGATCACTACGATGAACGCTAATCAGCCCTCAAACAAGGTACAGCACAACTATCACCAAAACCTAGTGCCCGAGGCCCGCGATCCTGACAAGCAGTCACGCACACAAGAGGAAATGAACCACAGCCCCAAGATCGGATCTAAAACAAAGTGAGTAAGTGAGGAACAGACCAGGGCAACGACAAGTCTCGGCGATGATGACAGACAAAAAAGATGGACGATGATGATATGCTCGAGTCTGTCTCAAGTGCTGCAGCCTCCACGAGGAGAATCTGTTTAGATCAGTCAGGCTTCAGTTCAGGCCTTCGTGCACCCCTTTCTTTTTATCCCCAAGTGCTTCCTTCTTCATGTGTGACGGAATTGGCTCTTTCATCCAAAAATCAGCCGTTACGTTACCCAGCCAAGCGCCATTTGCTCACCTGGTCCGTGATCATTTCCCCAGGTCTTTCTCCTTGTGCCTCACTCCCTCTCCCTTGCGGTCAATGGTTCGGTCAATTAGATTCGCCCATTGCCCTGCCGAACCGGAATTGAATCGTTGGATCATTGGTGGAGCCCCATCAGAGCCCCGGAACCAATAGTGGGATTCTCCTCGTCGCAGGAATATGATCCTCGCCAGCGACTTGGTTACTGGGACACTTGGCGTTGTTGGCGCTTTTGCGGGCGCAGTCCGAGTCTGACCAACACCAAGCGCTTCTCTGCGTTCAGAGCAACAAAGAGATATTCTAGGAACTCATTCCCGCAGCTCGGGAAAGGGTAGCAGAGACGGGGAAGGTTGGGACGGTTTGTGGCATGAGAAACTTTGGCGTGGCGTGGCCCGTTCGTGATGCAGTGACTCCAAGTTGATCCGTCCTCGTCCTATTGCTCCGAGTTACGGCGCATGTCCGACACTGGATGGCTCTCTTCCACATTCCTGTTTCGCCTCTTGAGTTGAAAGTTAAGTCTTGTTCAACGCCGTCCCTCCGTTTTTCCTGCCGATGCCCCAGAGTACTCCTGACATGCTCTCATTATTCTTTCTGTCGCGGTCAATGTTGCGTTGGGCAAAAGTGCCCGTGCCCGTGCGCCCTCCAAGGACTTCACATGCAGGTTTGACCAGGATCAATAATAATCAACCCGCCAGATCGAAAGCTAGCTCGAACACGGTCAAAATGCTGTCCCATGGAGAAAAAAGCGCCGCCTTCGCTCGCAAAGACCTCAACGCTCATCAGCTAGCACAGAAAACCCAAACAACGGCAACTTCCCAAGGAAAGTCGGATAAAACGGCTGGCGCAACAAAAAAAAAGAGCAGCAGCCTGACATTCGCATTGCCACTGCCACACTCACCAGTGAGGTGACAGTTCTGAGTTGTGAGGTATCCTTGTCATTATTGTGCGGGGATTCTCCTCCTCGCCCCAATCATGATTTGTCTTCCCCGACGAATCAGAAAGACCCTTCATTTCCCGAGGCACCAATTGGCACTTGCAGGCTGCAGCATCCGCTGTGGGGACGACGATGGACGACCTCTCTCCAACTTTGGTTCTCGCTCCTGGGAGTTTGGGTCCTGGGCTCCTGGCCGGGACCTGACTCCTGAGACCCAAGTCGCTCAACGTTGGCGGATGCTTTGCGATTCGATGAAGCTGCGATTACATCACCCAACGCACACTGTCGCTGACTGGCAGTTGACCTTAATTTTCCCAACCTCTTCTGCTCGGCAGCTCAACAGAGTTTCCCGTTCTTTACGAGTATCCGTAGTACGTTCTAGGCAATTGGCTGCCTTTGTGAGCTCGAAAGCTTGAGGAGTACGAAGGAGAAAGAAAGTGACGGTTCATATTTCCGGAGACCCGCCGGAAACTCGTTAACCTGCCGCGGAGTCGATATCTCACATTCTAGGGCTCAAGAATAAGATCCACGTTTTCAGTACGGACCGAGTCGATTGATCTCCCATTATCTACTCTGTATTGTCGGCAGGAGCAATCTCGAACTCTAAACATAGACATTGTTCAAACTTTAGTGGACGCGGTACATACACTTTTGTACTTTTGTCAATGGAGTCAGTGTGGAGGCCTTGTACTCTTTGAGTGTACTTTGTACCTCCTGAGGGACCTCCTCAATACAACTCTGCGAATCTCACAGCATAATATTATTATCCCGTGACTCCTGGGATTATTCCCGTCAGTCTGCAACAAAGCCACATATTCCACCTGCTGACCGCCAAAATAAACAATAAACCCTGACTCAGGAGATCCAAATCCAAACTTGCTTGACAGGCGGTGAACCTGAGACTGAAGCATGCATGCATCCCAGCCTGCTGCCACCAGCTAATCCCTGGTATCTGGGCCCACCGGAACTGCAGCTACCGTAGCTGGAAATTTGGAAAGTTGGGTTTAGCCTCGAAAAGCACGGGTTACCCCTGCTGTGGCTGGCACGTTTTCCTTCAGAACACTGCTGCTCCTGGTCGGGTGTTTCTTCACACCAGCCTCCGGTGTGCATGTATCTATGGAGTACAAGCGCCAGACAGGTCGCCAGGCACCGTTGTAAGGGGTCAACAATAGCAGCGGGAGCCGACAGGTCACAGCGGAGGCTAGCTCCACTCGTAGTACAGCGAGGAACGCGTCACTTCTGATAGTACTCTAGTTCCTAGGTACGAGGAAGCTTTCGCGGGCTTGAAGCCGAACTCCGCAGTAACGGCTCCCGTTCTTCAACGTCACGCGACCATCAATAGTGGTCTATATGGCAACTCCTGTATGACTGTATGACTGTGCGACGCATTGCCGTAGATTATCGTTACTAGTGGAGCAGCGACATGCTATGACAGTCTCCGCCGAGTCTTCACCTGACCTCGATGGCAAAGAGCATTGCATTGGGGGAAAGAGCTGCAGTTGTTCATCGAGAGCAGCTGGTTCCGTCTGGAAGACATGGGCCACCGAATGCCGTCGTCGTGTGTCAAAGGAATGTATTCTGTGCCGGGACAGACGTTGCATACCGTTTGTCTACCGGAACCAGGGCCCACGATGGTCTTTGGTTGGCGAGTTGACTGCTTGAACCGTCATTCATCCCTGTCGCGTGCATACACCCCTGAAATAGCCATTGGAGCATCTATAACTCTTCGACTTTGTTACTCCCTCATGCAGTCCAGGGATGACATCGAACTTATGGGCTTAGTTATGGAAGCCTATAGAACCCAGCTCTGATCGAGTGAGCCTTTGTTTCGGTGCAAGATGATTGATTCACAAAGTACCCTGGTCAGATAGCCACAAAGAGTGCGCATTCTCGAATTCTTTGTTGTATTTTGACAAGCCGACACTCCAATCAGGGCTTCGATTGAGCTACGCATGATATCACCGGTCGATATCCTGTTTGCCACGACAGCAAGAGAGTTGGATATCAAGGATCTCATGGTCTATGACAACCCTTAGCAGAAAGGACTGCTTTCGTTTTGAGTATCTGCTGATTGCACCAACACCTACCCTGCTCAAAATGGAATCGCAACATTATCTTCAGAAGTAGGCGGTCAAAGAAGCATATCCGGGCATGACAACGGTTTCTGCCTTAGCACCGGAGACTTCTGTCGCGATATTCGAGGTTTTCCAATAATGAAGACATAACAAGTCTGTTCTCAAACAATTAGCATATAGTGAATGAAGCAAGGCGCCCATCTTGTTCGGTGAGAGCCCTGAGCTAGATGATATGACGCTGGCTTGACTGCTTAGTACGTTGGAAGCATGTCCGCATGGAACATAACAAAGAGCATTGCATCAGCCGTCCATGTGCATATAGCCCCGCTCACGCTGTTCGCCTTGTCCAGTCGCGCAAGCCGAGAGAGTCTGACGATAATGTAGATGAAACTGGCCAGCAAGCAAGATTTTGAGATAGACTTGGTGGCAAAGGTGTGTAGCGATGAGGAACCTGCATAGACATTCTGACATAGACGTTGTGACAAAGATTGGACCAAAACTAAGAGATCTTGTTGTGACGGCTGTTTGAAGCTTGCCAAAAAGGAACCTTGAGTCTCAAGAAGCACAGCATGCCGGCAAGGTCACGGAACAGCAAAGACGTTAAATCCGCCCTGGCTTTCTTGAGATTGAAAGCTGCGAGCAGCCACGATCTGCGAAGGTGAGGAGACTTTGAAAATGTCACTAGCCACAATTCAGCCAGGATCCGAAGGCTCTAGCCGATGAACCGCAATCCACCGGAGCATAGGCGCGGTTTGGCGAGGTCGATCTAATGTCGCGGTCCGAAAAATCCATTCCGAGACTAGAAGCGTTGGCCAGTCAAAGTTCTTGTCTTTCTTCGATGAGCAACTATGCAAGTGCTGCCCCCAACAGGTTGGACAGACCGTACATGACGAGATCCGGGAATGTTGTCGGACACAACTGATGCCGGATAGGTTCGGGTGACAAACCCTTGATCCAATGGAAGCGAGAGAGGTAGACAACTAGTTAAGATCTTGCCCGTTAGATGCAACTTCAAGGCAGTTTGCCGTCAAGATGAAAGGCGCAAACAGAGTGACATATAGGACTAGGCCACTACCGTTCGGGCGAAGGCAGATTTCATCTTTCATAGATAATTCGAAGCAGGTGAATTCCAATCTCCGTTGCTGTTCCCCGAGTCCTAGATGTGGGTCAAGATGCATAGTGAGAAATGCAACCAGTGTTGCTCGCACATGCGGGCACGAGTCACACTGGGTTCCCCGAAAACTTTGTTATCATTCCAGATCACAGTGAGCGGACCCTCGAAACTGGGAGCTTCCGTGGACAAGTCTTGATACTTTCCTCGCTAAGCGCTATGAGCCCTCGACCCCAAGTCTTTAATCCCCACGTTTCTGAGGCGTCAAAAAAATGGGTGGGACGGTTTTCCTTCATTAGAAAAACAAAAATAAGCCGAAGGTAGGCGTCGTAGCCAGTAAACTTTAAGCTCTTCGAAAGTGTCTATGTTTGAGGAAATTGGGTGGCATAGTAACGAAGGGATTGTGCAGCCCTGCAGCGCGAAACGCGGGCTGAAATCCAACGAAGAGGAGAATCTTGCCAACCAAGGGATCATAGGACCAGAGTCTAGATGAGCGATCGTCTCCTCAACTATAGACGGGGAATATGGAAAACGAAAAATAGCCAAACTTTCCTTGGATCAACGGCGGATTATCTGGATTCGGGAGGCTTCGCTCGCTCAGTTGTCAAAACGATGAACATTGTGGATTGTTTGTCACCACGCAGAGAAGATGTATCCCACTGCATATGCCAGATTTTGAGAATTTCAAATCAGGGATTCTGGTTTCATGAAACATCTCGTCTGGATGCTTGCTTCAATATCGCTCACGGACGAATAGATTTCACTCCTTGCAAGTCACCGAAGCCATTACGGCCAGATGCTGCTGCTAGCGAGTGAAGGTTGAGAACCGGAGTTGTACGGGATTCATCGTCCATCCAGTGCTGCAAGTTGTGCTGCAAGTTTGACGGAATCACTATCGTCAGTCGTTAATTTCAATGTGCGTCTGAAATTCCTCCACTCCTTTGTTGTAAGAGATACCGAAGTCAATCGTGTGCCCTTGAGCCAGTTATAAAAAGCGCATGAACTGCTCTAAGACGGAGTATCCTAGCAGCGAACTGAGAATCGCATTTCTTCTGACTCGTTATCATTAGCATTGCCAATCGATCATGGCGCCAGCAGCTGTTAGCGTTAACTTCCCCCCTACAACTGAGTTCAGTGTAGCCCCCGAAGCCTACTATTCGTCTGGCTTGCGTGCGCGCTTCCTCGTTGATGCGGACCGGACCGCGGTGGCTAATAGTCCAGCAACCTTTGCCAAAATTGGGTACGAAGTGGACGAAATAGCCTATAGGAAGCGTGTCCAGGCTAGCCTCGCCGCGGGAAACTTACCTACCAAAGTCCCTGCGCGTTGGCCCACTCAATTGTCTGGGCCTCTCGTCTGGAAAACAGGCGATTTTCCAGACGAAAATGAGTATGTATATCACTTGACAGACGAGGACAAGCTTGAGATCTCCAGAGCTTTGGAAATATTCAAAGGTTCGCACCCCCCCTTTCTCGATCGCTGACATCTTTACCAAAAGTGCTAGTCAAGTGAGCAAGAAAGCTGACAAACTCGAGCAGGCCATGGTCTCGGTGGCCATGAAGTCTCACAGGCGACGTTTCCTCTCCCCTCACTCGGAAAAGAACTCGTGAAGGTCCGCAACGATGTGTACGAAGGCCGTGGGTTTGGTATTGTGCGCGGTTTGGATCCAGACGCGTACCCGCTGGAAGACCTCACAGTGGTGTACTTGGGCATTTCCAGTTACATCGGCGAGCGGCGAGGAAAGCAGGATCAGCGTGGTTCAATGTTGAGTACGATGCCCGCCCTCAAAATGGATCACATACAAGCCCCAGACTGATCCGGTCCTGTTTCCCTATAGTGCATGTCATCAAACGCGGCGATCAAGAACGAGACATCCAATACAGCGAAGACAAGGTAAGAGAGGACATGTGAGGGAGTCTGGTGTCTTTTTTACTCCTGCCGTACCCTCTCCTAGACATTATCGCTAACGAGCGCGGCCCTAGCCATTCCACACCGACACCGTCACCGACTGTTTGTGCTTGTTCACCCGAAGCCTGTCCGAAAAGGGTGGGCGCAGTATTCTTGCGTCGGCATGGACCGTGTACAATGAGATTGCAACAACTCGACCGGATGTTATCCATGTTTTGGCCCAGCCTAACTGGCCGTTTGACACGTAAGTTTCCGTGCTTCGTCCTACATCGCAGTAACTGCAGCCGGTGCCAAAGGCCAGGCGCATGCGGATTCCCTGCCACAGGTAGCTGACTGGTAAATAGGTTCGGTCGTACGCCGCCATATTATACCCGTCCAGTGCTATTTTATCACCACAGTAAGCTCATCACGTCCTTCTCGCGCCGGTTGCTGGTGGGACATGTGCCATTCGACAAGCGGACTCCGGGAATCCCTGGACTCACAGAAGCCCAGGCCGAGGCGCTGGATATGGTTCATTTTGTGGCACGGAAGCATGAAATTAACCCTCGGATTGAGCGTGGGGATCTGCGTTTCATCAACAACATGGCCGTGTTGCACCGACGCGAGGCCTTCGAGAACAGCGCAGGAAACGCCCGGCATCTCATCCGGATCTGGCTGAATAACGAAGAAATGTGCTGGAAGCTACCGCGAGCTTTGCAGCTTTCTTGGGCTCGGATCTTTGACGACAACGAGCGCAGGGAGCACTGGGACATCGAGCCTCCACGGAAAGATGGCAAAATCCTGAGAGTTGCCGGGTCATGTGATTGAGTGTCCCTAAGCAGGGGACGGAGCGTCGTTGAGAGGCAAGAGCGAGGCGAAAGAGGACGAGATGAGGAAGGGGAGAGCTTCGAGGGCTTGGAACTGGGGGTTGGAGAGTCCCGGGTTGTGGATCGGGAAAGACCGAAAAAGTTGACATGACTTTGCGACGAATTTTCAGCCGAACCGGCATGTTTAATTAGCTCACTGGCTTCTCCAAAAGTTATCACTTTTCTACTAAAAGAGGGTTTTTTTAGTTATTGTCTTGTCATGATCATTATCAGTCATAAATCCTCTATCTATTTAAACCTGGTACAGCCTCCTTTCCATAAGAAGCAGGTCGCGATTATACTATAATTGCCGAGCTCTATGCAGTCGACCCGGGCGTCCAGTCAGAATCATACAATTGCGAAATCCAATACAGATCAGCGCCAAAGTTAACAGTGGAACGAATTTCGGCCATGTGCGCGCCTGTTGTCGAGGTCAGCTCAAGTTGTTGGGAGGGTTAGATGACTGCTACTGCCAGGGACATCACTCACGTCGAGCACGGTCGTTGACATAGAAAGATGTTTGTTTGACGAAGTTGAGCTCATCACTATTCAAATCCGCCATCGCTCTCAAGTTGTTTAATGACTCCTCGTCATAAGTCATATGGAAGGGCAGGACGCCTTTGTTCAGGTAGTGGAAGTGCGCCAACATCGTGCGCATACCGGTCTGCATTCCTTGTATGCTCACCAGGTTGGCATATTCCTCCTATGTGATTGTGTGCTGGGTCAGTGTTATCCGTTCATATCAGAAGGAGTGAAACAAACCTGCAGGCCAAATTCGCGGGCTGTCTCCCAATCGCGCCTTGTGAGCAGCGCGCAACTGTGGAGCAATATGAACAGGGTCAAGTAGATGGTCAACCAATGTTCGCGCTTGTTCTCCATGATCAGATCCTTCAGTGCCGAGAGTACTTTGTTGCTAAGCGGACGGAGTACTCTGGTGTACATGATGCACTCCATCTGAGGAATCATGATCGAGGGCATCGGTACAACCCCATGGAAAGGGCTGCTTGGATCATCCACCGGCATACTTCCAAGCGTTTCATACGAGCAAATGCGCTCTGGGTTGCTGATCTTACGACAACCGACCCAGAACTTCAGGCAGTCCACGATCAGGGCTTTTTCTCGGGCAGTCTGCCTCGAGTAATGAGTAAAGGTTACAAATCGCCAAGGGTGACAGGAAGCCTACCTTTGCTTTTGTTTGATACTGAAAGGCAAAGAAGTAGGTGGTCCAGATCAGGAGGTCCAGATTCCCAATTGTTTGCACGATGTACTTGCCCACATATTTCTGTGTCAACCATTTCAGCGTTGACGCGGCACTTTCCATGCTGACAAGCGCGTACATTGGCATCCTGTGGCGTTTGACGAACGGCCCTGATAACCATGTCGACTCCAGCATATCACCTTCCATCGGCACAAACTCTCTCACCTGCACATCATAGGGAGCGTCGACACAGATTTGCGACAGTGTTATGGTCTTGATTTCCGATGATGCCCATTCTGTGATGTCGATTAGGTCCATACTCTGCCAACGCCTGCTGAAGAGTTGACACGGCATGTCTTGTTCTCGGTATAGCGATACGTCGGTGATGATCCATCGGAGACACGGTAATTTTCGTATACTAGGAGCCTTTGAGTGATGCGAGCGTTGGCAGGTGAGACAGTCACCACCGAGGTTCTCTGTATCTGGATCACACTGCAGGCGCGCGGTGTCAGCAAATTACCCAGGGAAACAAAGGAAAACAGATCAAGCGGCAGTTACAAACCCTGATACGCATCATGCGACACCGGATACAGCCCTTCAGGATCCTTGTAAGGGCTGTGTTGCGGCGCTTTCCATCATCTTTAAACGGGCCACGGCGGCGGGTGCCGCCGGATTTGCGATGCTTTCTCTTCGATGAATCTTCAACTGTAGATTTTCGCTTTCGTCGAGTTCTCTGGTAAGACAGGCATTGCGGGTTAGACAGCGATGGCCTTGGTTTGCAGAGAGACGCGACGTACCGGTGGAAGAGACCAGGTCTTACTACAGGGTCCGCGCGGGGGCGCATTTACGACATTCGAGATTTGGTCTTCCAGTTCAGCCGCCATATCGTCCTGCTCTTCATCTGAGGCGACCGACGAATCACTCTCGGATCCTGTCATCGACATGACCCAGGATGAGGATGCGCTGGATGAGGGCCTGGTAGGGCGGCCGTACTCCAACCGCATCGCGACCGAGTCGCCCGGCTCGCTCGACAACGAGCCAGGGGAGAGATCGTACGAGTTTGGTATCCGGCTGCTGTGTTGGCTATTGAAGGCGCTTTGGGCGCCGAGCAGAGGGGCATTCCATGAAATCGGGTATTGGGTACAAGAGAGCGACATTGCCCCGTGGGTTTGCAGGTCAAAGTCTGGCAATACAAGCATCTGATCTCCCACGACTTCCTTCGCATCACTGACTGCATCGAACGTCGGGGCTAGTCCATGCAAACCAGTCGTCACTGCAGCAGGACGAGGTCTGGAGTCCGACCAGTGTCGTCCAACGTCCATGTTAATCATCCGGCTGGGTAGTGGGGGTGGCGGGTTCAGCGCGTCTACAGCAGCCGGATTATTCCTTGCATCCCTGCTCGCTTTAGTTGGCAACAATATTGCGGTCATTGGGCGCATGCAACAGTCGCAGGTCAGAGGCCAGGTCAGCAAGCAGTGCTGGCGGGAAAGGCGCAAATAAACCAGCAGAGGGGGTTGTCTCCTCCTCGAGCCGTGACGGTCGGAGGATCCAGAGAGGCCTGGGAGTCAACGTTCAAAAGGGAAAAGAAAATTATTTGGCGGGTTGGGGCCTTGCAAGACACCATACCATGTTGATCCGTGGGTGCAGCAGGGATTGGCCGCGCTGGCGTTAAGGGAAGATGACAGACGCAATTAAATCCTTCCTTTTCAGAGCGCTGGGTAAGCCTTTATCGCTTAGAGCCTGGGCGACGTTATCGAGATCTTTCTTCCGCAAATCCCAACAGCCAGAAAATGGACCTGTCAATTTGCGGTGCTGGAGGAACATCGTGGCTGCGGAAATGCCCAGCCGGTGTTGATGCCATCGCAGCCTGCGCGATCCGGCACTTTCCCAATCTCTCGCCAACACGGCTTTCGCTTTTCCCTTTTCTTTTTTTCTGCTCGCTTTCCCACATTGTTGGCTGATTTGAGCTTATTCATGATTTCGTCCTATTTCATGCATGAGGGGTAGCCTCAGGGCTTACGAGTCCGAGTCCGAGTCCCTCCCTCGGACCTCCCTATTTCTCCCTCTCTTATTGCGCCATTTCGCCCCATCTTATCAGCCTCGCCTCTTGACGCCTCCCTCCCGATTCTAGCATTCCTCGCTCGTTATCTTCCTTTCATTCGCTCCTCACAAGCCGTGTTGGCTTGGCTAGGCGTTCCTGGCGTTTCTGGTGCTGCCGGTAACCCACTTCCTTACATACGGTCTGCTGATAAACGGACACGACGATCAATGGAGCTCAGTCATCTTATCGTCGACGCCGTCTGGCGTCCGAGCTTTGTCTTGAAGTACCACGAGCTCCAGAATCACCTGCATCCCTCCTCCAGCCGAATCGGACCTCCATCGTGGCATCGCTCCTTCCTCAACCCTCGAAACCGAGTCGACAATCTCGACACCACCTCTTCTCGCTGGCGAGTTGACGGAGCGACAATTTGTGGCAATTGCATCTATGCCATCCCGTTGGACCTGCTTCCAGATCTGCCACCGTTGCGGATCCTCTTATATGTCGCAGACCAGACCGAATACCCTACCGCACTGCGCGAAGGCCTTGATGCATGCGCCGGCGTGCCATTGCGAGACGGAAAGGCTATTTCTCAGCTAGGCCTAGCAAAACACCTCTGCCGTGCATTGGATCATCACTGCGCTCGTGATCCGAATTTCCTGCAGCAGTATCGGCAACTGCCGTTTGGCTCGCGGCTGGTCTTCGAGGATTTAACTCCTGATGTTGCGGACATGAGACTGGATATCGAGCGGGACTATGATATTGAGTTGAATATGGAGACATTCCAGTCTCTCCAGCAGTCGTGGCCTGATGTTTCCTCGGATGCCTGGCCGCCGACTGTGGACATTTATGATTTGCGCCTCATCCAACAACTCAACGAAGCTATAAGCCTGGTCGAAGCACCTAGCCATCAATCCGTCATTTTCAAGGCTGCGACCAAGTCGTTGCACCATATGTATCATGAGCTTCATTTTTTGCTTACATGCCCGCCGCACCCTCACGTCATGCCTCGACCATTGGCGGTTGTGACTAAGAAAAGTGCCTTTGGGGGAAAGGTTGGAGTGGTTGGCTTTTTACTCCATCATTTCAAGGCTGGTTCACTGCGTGATATTTTGCCTGCCCGACAACGTGCGAGGACTCTGCCGAACTCTCTCAAGCTCCGGTGGGGTCGCCAAGTGGCTTCCGCACTGGTTCACCTCAACCGGGCGGGGACCTTCTATTCCGACTTGCGGCCCGACAATGTGCTTCTGGACTCCGAAGACAACGCTATACTGTGCGACTTCGAACAACGCGGAAACTGGTATGAGTGGTGCGCACCAGAGATTTTATACCGGCAATACGCTGAGAATATCCGGTCTCGCCTCCCGGAGAGGGTTATCAGTTCGCCTTTTGACCGCATGTTGAAGGGATACACAAATCCACACACGTTAGCTACGTCCACGTGCTACACATCCGCCGAGACACCGATTGAAGCGAGAAACCGTGCTTGGTTTGCCCTGCCAACGATTGCACAAGAGAAAGCCGCTGTATACTCTCTGGGGCTTCTCTTGTACACGATCTTTGAGGGGTTGAGCAATGTCCAGCGCAATGTGGCGAATCAATTCCCAATCGAACCAGATTTGGAGTTTCCAACCATACGCCGGACACCAGACGCCGTCGAAAAAATCATCAAGCAATGTACCAGTGATGTCCCGGATTGGCAAGCTATAGGTTTACAGTCCGAATCGTCCCGAGTAGTCCGAGTGGGTAGCTTGCTATATCCTGAAGCACAGACTGATCTTCCTCGTGACACGAGAGAAACCTTCGACACTATCATGACTTCATTTCTTAATTTTTGGCGTATCGAGCTGGCGCGAGCGGAAAAATTTCTCGACAGCCCAGAGTGGGAAACGGGTGATTTTGGGACAAACCGGCCACGGCTATACGAAGTTTTGGAGGCCCTTGAAAACCTATCGGACGTGGACTAACAAGTATCTCACTTCATGAGCGCAGGAGAGCGCGCAGGCTTCAAAAGGTAGAACTTGGCCGATAAACCACGAATCTTAGGATTCTACTAGCAGTACATTTCATTAGTGTGCTTTTTGTTACCCCTTGAAATCGCAATCTGCCGGACTCTGCTGATGTCACTCGCCAAATTCCGCTCTGTAGTCGGTCAATGCTTCGACTACCAGCTGAGCTAGCGAAAGCAGCCTTTCTTCGTCCAGTCTGCGCCCGACAAGTTGCACAGCGGCTGGAGCGCCATGGTATATTTCGGGATCGTCTGTTGTACGTCAGAACGAGGTTTTCAAGCCTGGGAGGGGGATCAGACATTCATTCATATTCAGGCCATCCTCATCGCTCAATGCTTTGAAATTTGGACTGACGACATCTATATCTTTGTTCGCAAACGTGACCGGAATGACGACCGAGGCGTAATCCAGTACGTTGACGGAGCTGCTATATGCTGGAGCCCTCAGTCAGACCATAGGTACAGCCGAGGAGAAGGTGCAACTTACTTGATGGGTAAAATTTACCCGGCAGTACGCCTGCATATGGCGTTACCGGGGATATAACAGCCTCGACAGGACGATCTACTCTGGCGATGAGCGCCTCTTTTGTATTTCTGAGAAGAAGGACTTACCGCCAGTTCGCTCAGCTGTCGATGTCCAATAATCAAGGTATCGTTGCCGGTAGTCTTTCATACGACTGATGACCTGCTGGTACTCAGGGAGGGGTAAAGGTGCTCGCGGCTTGCCGTTGGGGAAGAGGTTTGTGATTTCTGGAACAAACGGTTCTCCGGAAAGCTGAACCGCGTCATAAACATCCGGACAGCCATCGCCTCGAGCAATCAAACTCTGATGCATCTGTTACAAAAATGCTAGAGGAGCTTATGACTGAGATGGTAGGCTTACATGCATTTCGAGGGTGTCTCTGTGGTGAGGCCAGTCCCATTCAATCAACTGGCATGGTTAGCATACCTCGACACCATCACGAGAGTGACAAACCTGATGTCCTTTGTTTGCCAATGCCTCTTTTACTATCTCCATAGCACGCGAAACAGGAGGATGGGGGGTAAGCACACCGTCATTGGCCAAGTACCCGAAAGCGGGCTTGTATCCCAGCTCATTCCGCGGATTATATTCCTTTTCAGATCTCCATGGAATCGGAAGAGCGTAAGGGTCGTGAAGCCACGGTTCTGAAGAGAGAAGCGACTTTATGATCATTTGGAGTGCATCGACTGAGTGGCCCATGATCCCAACCACGGTTGGCATTACTTCCTGTCCTTCTCCCTTTGGATGCAAATGTTAGCACAGCTGGTCTCTCGAGGAATAGGTAGTTTTGCCATACAGTGTTTGCTGTATCCTTGAAGGATATCCGCCCTGCTGAGGGCTTGATGCTGAAAAGGCCCTGGAACGAAGCCGGCATTGATACGGATCCCCCAATATCAGTTCCAAAGCCAAATGCGCTTCCCCTCAATGCTTGCATAGCGCCCTCGCCTACGAAGCATCAGTTCCGCGGAGCTTACGCCGAACATGGGTGAGGAGGAAAAGAAAAGAAAAGTGTGTCTGCCAGACCTCCTGATGAGCCGCCCGTCGAGAGGTTTCGATTGTAGGGATTGAATGCATATCCGAGAATGTTGTTATTCGTCTCAGGGGCCTTTTCACCGGTCAGTTGATTCTGAAAAATGTGCGATGCGCATCAACTCACCCAGAGACTCTGCATTAATGTCGTCTAATGCTCCGTACTTTTTTTCAGCTGTTGTTTGACCGGTGAGTGGCAAATGCGTTTGTGCGACTTACCTTTCCAATGGGAACAGCGCCAAGTATGTTGAGCTCTCGTATAAGCTCGCTCTCGACATTTCGTTCTTTCCCCGTACCTTTTTCTCCTTCAAAAGTACCGATCCAGCCAATGAACCCCATGGATGTATCGAGTCCCTTGATGTGAAACTGGTCCTTGAGGGTAACGGGAATGCCATGTAGCGGGCCAAGAAGGCGCTTATGCTTTTCGAAGTAGGCGTCGAGCTCCTGGGCTCGCTTGATGGCTTCATCGAATCTAATTTCAAGCAGAAGATTGCTCTGGAACAAGGAGACCACGGTTTTAGGAGATGCTAGCCTTCTCTCAATCTAAACAGACATGGAGCCAACTCACTAATTGATGAGCATAGGCAGCCCTCTTGCAGAATGCCGTCACCACGTCCACCGCGGTGAGAAGTCCGTCCTTCATCCTAGCTACAAGCTCAGGAACATCCATCTCAGTGATGTATCGGGCTTTATCGTCCAGCAGATTCTCTATGTAATCACCAACAATGCTGAGGCGAGTCCTTCCGTCTTCCAATAACTGAGGCTCTAAAATCCATTCCGGCGGTATTTTGGCCAGGTCTGCTTGCCTCTTTTCGCTTGCGATCAGCTGCCAGCTGGCCTGGCGGCGGGAAAAGATTTCCGAGAGCTTCCACATATCAGACGTGCCATCCACGAGTGTCAAGAAGGCTGACACGAGGATGACGACGGCAATAAGAAAATGGAACACGGATTTTGCTGCCATGACGGGCGCTCTTTATACTTCCTGAACTCTTTTATGGAGACGCATTTTTTTTTTTCTTTGATCACTCACGCTGCCTCTTTATAGCGCCGCATTTCTTGAGTGCCTGCCGTGCTGAAAATGCGCTGTGGATCAGGGCAAAGAGTGATTGAGCAGCGAATAGGGGACTCGGATCCCAGAACCTAAGCAAGCGAACCTTTCTCTGGAAGTTTGGAAACGGTCTGTATAGCGACTTTATTCCCGGGGAAATTTTGGGCCAATGACCAGCGATTTTAAAGTTGGACCGATGAAGAGACTCCTTTGATTAGGAGGCTAGCCAATCAGCGGTCGGTCTTACGATATGCTCACATCGACTCGCACGAGGCACTCGAAGTTGCGGCCGTTCTGGAAGATCACGAAAGACAGTCGGCTCCAAGGCAGCTGCTGGACGCTGAAAGGATGTGGAGCCCGTCCATGTCAGGTGGCTGGGAGAATGCCTCGTATCATTCTCCCGGTACATCCTGGGTCCCGGTAAGTGAATTGCGGTGTGGAATAAACATCATTCCCACCGTTCAGTTCGATCAGAGGACAGCTGTTGCAGGATCCGGCGGGCTTCGCGAGACAGCTTTGGATCCGCAGAGCACAAAAGTCTTGGTTCTGTCGACGGATACACGGCCACACATCCGTTTTGAAACGCACCAGTCCTCTTGCTGCATCGTACTTTGGTGCCTGTAGATCAACAGGTTTGCTACGATATCCCTTTGGTCTGCGTCCAAATCGCTCAGCAGCGAAGCCTCGCAGGCAGATTTTCTAGACCTCGTAGACTATGCACATAAGCACCTTATCAGCAGGGGTTTACTGTGTAAGACCGAGTCTCAGCAATCAGCAAAGCACAAAGCAACTCCTGTCAGACGTCGGCAAACAACAAACAGCCCAACGAGACGACAGGCCCATCTTTCGAGTCTGCATGTTCAAAACACAAGAGACGGTGAGATCCCAGCTGGCACATGCATGCATGGATGGCAAAATGCATGCTTACATCACCCGCACGACTCGTTACGACCTCCGAGCCCTCAGCCCTCAGCCATCGCATGGTGAGATCCAATTGAACTCGCCGACTTCAGGACCCAGGGGATGCCCGGACCCGGAACGGAAATTCAAGCTAGGCAAGGCCCTAATGCCGAGTTCCCGGCAAACATGTTTTAGTCGACTTGAATTCTGGGTAGACTCAGAGACGTCCGTCAGGACGGAGGACTAGAGTCGCAGACTCGCAGATGATAGATATAGTCTCCGGAGCCAGAGCCACAGGGGCGGCCGGCCTGTGCAGGCTACCCGTCCGGCGTCGGGGCGCCGCTAGATACTCCGTACTCAGCCTACCACTGCGAGTCCCCCTAAACCCCGCGAGAGCACTAGAGGCTGCTGCTCTGGAGAAATCTCTCTCGAATAAATCACTCCCCGAGTCTGAGAATCCTTGATCCTTCATGACTCCGGCCCCGGTCCCAGACGCCAGAACCGCGCGAAAATTGTCCACATAGTAGATAGATATCCACTTTCTCGGTCCGGTCAGGTGAGCAGTTGCCCAAAGGAGTCCGACTCAGGAGTGCCCAGTGCACAAACCTCGTGACCATGTCCGTTGAAACCTTTCCTCGGCTCGGGGGAACCGGAGAGCTGAATGCGCTGAATAGACTTCAGACTCCGCAATGAAGAATAACAATATACATCCATGGCCCCAGTTCCAGAAACTCCGAAACCCAGAAACTCCTTTCGAGAACACCTTTCTCCCCTTTGTTCCTTCTTGCCTTCCCCGTCACTATCAAACCATCACCGGTTCCATCCAAAACTAATCTCACCTTCACCTCTGATCCTCCCTCTCCCCCCCCGTAGCCCTAATAACCCTCTCAACCTCCCCCCTAACCTCGGGCATAGCCCCCCTCATCTCACGCGCAAGCACATCCCGAAAACTCGCAAAGGCCTCCTTCTTCCCTTTGAGATCCTGATTCCCGCGCTGCACGAGCTCCACGAATTCACGCGTGTAGATGTCCGGGTTGCGCGCCGCGTCCACGTAGTCGATTATCTCCGGCGGGAGCGCAATGGATGTTATCGGTGGGTCGGAGGGGTTGATGTTGGCGTTGGCATTGTTTGTAGAGGTGGAATGAGGGTTTGAGGGGTCTGTTGAGGAGGGATCGTCGCTTGTGTGGATTGAGAGGGTGTGGAGGGATGCTGTGAGGTTTTTGCTGTAGATTGGTTTCTCGTGTTAGGTATGGAACTCACTTAAAGAAAGACGGAAGGGGAATAAGAAGGGCGAGATACATTTTCCGTACGAGCTCCTGCTGTGTCTCGGGGCCTAGGTAGCCATGGACGGCCGATTGGATCTCGAAGAGGTGCTGGATTATATCCTTTATCTCGTCTGTGGGGGTGAGTGTTAACCAGAGGACCATTGAGCGTAGCAAGAGGGTCAAGGGACGCAGGAACTGACTGTCAACTGTGCTTAGTGTTATTGGCGCCATGATTATTTTGAGAGTAAGTGGGATTGTGAGGAGCTTGCGGAGTGGAATGTGAAACTGCGGACGATAAGGTTTGGTGATGTTGCCCGTATCGTTGGTCTAACCACTTTAGGTAATATACCTTATTAAGGTTTGAGGGAGCTGAGGGCCTGAGGCCAAATGGCTGCCGTCCATTTTGGGGGCTCGATTATTGAAGGTTTGTCTGTTTTGAATTTATCTGGTTTAATCCATGACATATGATCCGATTAATCTGTATATATAGGTGGCTGGTAAGATACAATGTATAGTATACCGCACGGACATCAAGAAGCCAGTCTATCAGACACTGCGACGCAATCGCCAATGCAACCCCGCTCCGAGCACCAAATGAGTGTTCCAAATGACGATGACACAGACAAGGACAAAGCACAAAGCAATACAGAGTATATGGCTGAAATTGAATATGCAGTGGAGAGAAAGGAGAAGTAACGTTACACTTCTTTAGTCCGTACAGCGGGGAACTTGGGTATCTCGATTTCCGTCTCGACCATCTCCAGCCCCGAGAGACTGGGAAAGCGCCGGCTGAAGTTGGCCTCCCAGTCTTCGTTGGGACTCGTGGGGGCTGCTGCGTGGGTGGTCTGACTCCGGCTTTGTGGACGGTCAAAGCTGCTTGTCGGGCCTGGGGCTGGGTCCGTGCCCGTGGTCCCGGCTCGAAGGCTCTGTGGCTTGGGAGGCGCCGTTGGTCGGGGTCCCGTGCGCTGCGTCGCTGCGTAGGCTGCTGATGAGGTTTCCTGCTTTGGAAGTGGTGCCGGTGGGGCTCCGCCCCTCGTGCTTGGTCGCGAGGAAGAAGTAGCGGGTTGTACGTCCGGTTGCTTTGCCTGCAAAGCGGGATCGGAACTCTCAGTGAACCTCCCGTATCCTGTGGCGGTCTTTGGTACGGGCGCCTTGTTGGACTCGCCGAGTAGCGTTTGCACCCTGTTCAAGATCGCAGGGCCTCCCTGCCGGCCTCCCTCCCCTTTCTCGGCGACTCGGCGACGGTATTCGGCGGCGGCGTTGGCAACGCGTTTCTCTTCCTGCGAGAGGCGGCGGCGTTCGAGCTCGCGACGCATCTCGGGTGAGATGTCGTCATCCTCGTTGTCTGAATTCCCGACAGTTTCCCCTGCTGATTCGGATCCCGGAACAGGCGACAAAAACGGCCTGGGTAAGTCTTCTTGGGCGGGGGATTGGGCCTTGCCCTCCTGGTTCGCTTCGAATCGGCGGAAAGCATCGCCGAATCGACCGGCTAGCAGCGTCTTGGTGCCGGAAAGGGACAATGTTGAGAGACTGGAGCGTTTGGTATGTTTCGAGGAGCTCCCGCTGTAGCGCTTTTCACGCTTCCGATTCGATTCCTCCTCCTTGGCCCGTAGATAATCAACATCCGAGGAAATGTTCGCGCGGTCATACTGGTCAGCTTCGGTACGTGCATGCTGCAGAGGTTCTCCAACGTCATATGGAGACCTTGGAAGATCGAGTGACGACCGAGCGCTCTCAGCACTTCGTGGCGGTAGCTCAAGCTTAGTGCCTGCGTGGACAGACACCGGTCGAGACCTGCCGTTAGCGGACTTTGACCGGTGCGAGAGGTCATCAACTTCCAAGTGGGACGGCCGAAGCGCCTCCAGAGATGGCCGTGAGGATGCTGAAAGATTAGAGAGGCGGTCGGATGAGATCCTGGGGTCGACCTCTAGCTTGTGAGAAGCGGTTGGCGATATGCCTTGTTTCGATTTCCTCCTCTCACTGTCCGCGGATTTCGGCTGTTGCTCTGAGGACGGGAATCTATACATTGGCCGGCTGGACGGTTTCATTTCCGACAATCCAGGACTTGCAGGCGGTGATGTCATTGTGCCAGTAGAGATCATGATGGGCCTCTTGGGTGCTGGTTGGTACAAAGGCGCCTGTGACCGGGAAGGCTCGTCACGATACTGATTATATTCCACAGGCGAAGTTTTGGCCGGAGCTGGTGCAGCTGGTTGCGAGCGTCTGCTTGGGATAGGCTCGGAAGCTGGCTCTTCAGGTGGCGATGGGCGCTTGGCAAAGGCCTCGTCGGCCAGAGCATTGGTGAGCCTCTGCGCAAGGGCGTCGTCCTCTTTCTTATCCGCGAAGCTAGGTTCAAAGTCAAACTTGCCACGTTTTTCGTGCAAAATATTGAACTGATCGAGAGACGGGAACCTGTCCGAGAACTCTTCTCCAGCATCTGGCGACTTTTGCCCGTCCAGCGCAGCAAAAGGGTCTGTAGATGCACCGCGGAAAGGCGACGGGCTTGGCCGTGCGGAGTTATGTTGCGAGGCATCTGGCCTTGTAGGGCGTCCACGGCGCATCGGAGCTATCTCAGGAATACTGATCTGAGTCTCCTGGATCGGTGGAGAGAACACAGCGCCGACTTGTGGTGTCTCCGTAGGGGACGGGGGAAGTTCTTGGTATCGCCGGGCTTCGGATGTAGATCGATGGGCATAAATCTATTGATGTCAGCCTTGGTTCGCGCCCCATATATAGTATAGTCATACATCTTGAATGGGAACCTCTCTTCCTTGCATTTGACAGACTTCGCTCAGAACTTGATAGATATTCGGGCGTTTCTGCGGGCTTTCTTTGAGCATCGATGCTGCAAGTCGTCAGTATCCACGTCGTTCGCCATGCGACAGTATACTCACAAATAAACATCTTCAGACGACTCGAAAAGGGTGGATAGGCGGGAAACTTGTAGGAAGCATTGAGAATGGCCATTTGCCCCACTTCCTCAAAGGGCGTTGTGTAGTAGCAGAGCTTGTAAAGGAGAACTCCCAGCGCCCAAATATCACTTTTCTCATCAATCGGCTGCTTCCGGTATACGTCAATCATCTCCGGGCTTCGATATTGTAACGTTGTGTGTCGTTGTACGTCGTCCTCAATCAAACGCCCCTCCGCAGCCGATGTTGCGGCGGGACGCGGAGGCGCAGCTGATCCAAAATCACAGAGCTTGTAAAGAACAGAACTTCCCTGGCGAGATATCAAAACGTTCTCCACTTTGAGATCCCGGTGCAATAAAGGAGGCTTGAGATAGTGCATGCAAGCGACACCTTCGGCGACATCGGAGAAGATCTTGATGACCTCCGGCTCCGTCAGCCTGTTCTGCAACCGGGTATTCATGAAATCTATCAATCCTCCACCCGCGCAGTATTCCATAACAAGAAACACTTCGTATCCGCCGCCCTTGAGCTGCGAGGCATGGGAATCGATGTACTTGACGATGTGGCGGTGGCCCTTGAGCTTCTTCATAGTCTCAACCTCGGTCCGCATGTTTGCGAGCGCAGACTTGTCGGGAACTGCTACACGCTTCAGAACAGCTTTGTCGGAGCCATCGACAGGCTGTGAGAGTCGCACGACGTAGACGTGCGCGAACCCGCCTTCGGAGAGGTACTTCTCGACAACGACTCGATGGCTACCGACCTGGACTTTGGTACCCGGTAGGAAGGTACCCGCGGGCGCATTTAATGCAGCTACCGGGTTGTATGAAGGAACTTGCCGATGTGACGCCGCATGGCTTTGGTAGGATTGGGGGTTGGCTTGATAGGAGGAGGCCATGGTGGGGAAGGGGGGAAGTCGGTGAACCCCGTGGGCAGGGCGAGAGGGATGTTCTTGAGCGCAAGTCGACTACCGTTGCGGCATAGAGGAGAAAGAATGCGATACTCCAGATAAAAGGATTTGGATGCAATCCGAGGCAGGATTATGCACGAGAAGGCCAGTTGTCGGCGGGGAATGGTCGGCTCAACAAGATGAGGCGGTGACGTTGGAGGCGGTGCCTGACAAACCCAAGGGATCGGTCAATGGGGTTGCGCAGGAAAAGCAGAAAGGAAAGCACGAAAAAAAGACACGAAATTTAAAAAAAGACGCGAAATTAATGCCACCTGGAGAACAGGAGAGGAGATGGAATCTGTCCAGCAGAAGCGGTGGTGCTCAGCCTCCGATTATGGGTGCCTCAGGTACGGTACGAAGCACGCAGCACTCAAGGTACGGCCTAACCTTAGCTTACCCCAGGCATCACCAGACGAGACGGTAACAATACAGCCGGGCGCCCAGCATCTGCTCAAACTATCCCTTCTTTCCCTCTCGTACTGATACAGTCCGATACCGCCGTACTAAACTGCCCTCCGCAGTCATGGGATGCCTGTAAGATGATGTCACAATCACAAGTCCGAGTCATTCGATTTCTCCAAGAGGTCATAGATTGATGAATAGTACCCGTGATGGAATGACATGAGCATGAGCTAGGCTTTGTTCCATATGTTGAAGGCATTCCGGGCCAAGTCTCGATTTGAAGCCTGCCTGAGGCAGCAGCTGGGGGCCTCCAGGGCTAACTGTTTTTGGGCAGCGCAAAGTTCACCTGCATTAGATAAGCGCAGCTGAGCCAATCATGGATTACTACGCTAGACTAAAATCAGCAAAACAAAAACAACAACACAGGGGGAGGTTGGTTCTGTGTGGCATTGCATCGCTGGTGATGAGGCCAATGTACTGTTGCTCGAGTGTGTACCTCTTCTAAGAGCGAGAACTCAACCCAGCAGCTTGAGTAGGATCATCGCGTTGTTGATTAGTTGTGTTAAGGTTAGTTGGTAAACCCCCGGGAATGCGGCATTGCAACGAGCTGGAATGCCTCATGGACCTCAAGACTCATCAGATCGATAAGATACGGGAATTTGATCCAGCTGGACAGAAATGTCTCTAAAAGCGAACCGATTCAGCGGTGCTCCATCTCTCGAGGACAAAGGGCTTGGAGGGGAACAATGTTGACTGTTTATATTTGTTGCTGTCGACCACCTGCAGCTCTCCGAGTCGGAAAAAAAAGAAAACATGGCAGAAAATTAGGGAACTTTCTGCCTTTGCATCCTTTTACGAAAGGATTTGAGGCCTTCTGTTGGCTGCTGTTGGCGAGTTAGCGCTGATCCTGGGAGACGCAAGCAGCGCATCGTCTGGTCTCGCAGCTCGGGTTGCCGCCTGCCCACTCCCTTTGCCTTCCTCGCGCCATCCCATCCCACTTCCTCCGTCTTCTTGTTTGCTTCGTCCGGCTCTCTCCCCTTCCTCACCTCACCCACATCGACCATTTCCCCTTCATTTTTACGGCTATTACTATCATACTGTTATCGGTGTCGCTACGGCCTTCACACCGCTGCTTCTCTCCGCGCTGACCTGTCAGACAAGCGCTGAGACACGACTCAGCGCCCACCCTATGCCGCGGCGATCATGATCTATCCCCTATCCGTTACGCTTCAGATCCTGTCTATCTCGAAATAGTCGTGGGCGAAGTCAGCCAGAGCTTGGAATAACCAAACCGCATCGCAACAAGAAGGCGGATAAAGTGGTTACTACTAGAATTTTGGTTGGCCTCATACACCACTTGTTAAACCATGGACGAGGGTCCCCCGCCTCCTCCACCTCCTCATGGCGAGAAGCCAAACACCACACATGGGGAATACCGCAAGTCGTCAGACCTACCACAAGGGAACTACGATATTTTTGTGATCCCGCCGCATTCGTCTGGAGCTGGATTTCTATATCTTCCGTCGCTACAATGTCAGCGGAATAGCTTTCTAGCTGGGTCTGCGTGCACACTCGTGGCAGTCTACCTGTGGATGACTTTGTCCCCCATCATAAGGCTGTGGTATGCGACAACAATAACCAATGGTGGGGGAACAGGAATCGCAATGCTCGCCGTCGGTATTGTGGGGGTTGCGGGATGGGCCTTTGGAAATTATCAGGCAGGTAGTGGTGGAGCATCACAAGGGCGTGGTGGTGGACCTGGTTTTGGACCCAACTGGTTTGGGTCTGGCGGTTCAGGCTCGGCCGGTGCAAATGGTCCAGGTGGTGCCGGCGCGAATCATTCGAGAGGAGGGAGTTACGGGAGTCACGCCGGAGGGCCTCATCAACAGGGCAACTACGGCGGAAACTTCGCTGGTGGGCCCCCACCAGGAAACCAGTATTCAGGAAACCAATATAGGACTAACAATGACCCGCCCCCGCAGACAACTCCTGGTCCTAATCCGACTCCAGGCCCTGACCCGGGTCCATCCCCTGGTCCACCCCCCGGCCCGAACCCCGGTGCTGGCCCCAGCGCCAAACCGGCAAGTTCTGGCCCCCAAAGCGACAGTAAGCCACAGACCGCGGAAGATTGGGAGAAGGCCCGGGAGGAAACAAGGCGGAAGGAGGAGCTGAGGCGGAAGATGGAGGAGTTCAAACGGAAACGAGAAGCGGAAGCCAGAGAAAAAGAAAGACAGCGGGAGGCAGAAGCTCGAGAAAGAGAAAGAGAGCGCGAACGGGAGAAGATGGAAAAAGAGTTGCGTGAACGCAGGGAACAACTCGAGAGGGAAATGGCGGCTGCGAGAGAAGCAGCCGCTAGGGAAGCGCGCTTGCAGGCCGAAAAGGAGGCGGCAGAACATCGCGCGCGATTAGAGCGCGAAGCAGCGGAGGCTAAAGCTAGGGCTGAGCGATTAGCGGAGCTCGCTCGAAAGAGGGAGGCAGAGGCTCGAGCGCGCGCTGAGCGAGAGGCGGCGGAGGCCCGAGCCAAGGCCGAGAAAGAAGCAGCGGAAGCAAAAGCTAAGGCAGAGAAAGAGGCTGCAGAGAAGGAAGCAGCTGCAAAGGCCGCTGCAAAGAAGGAAGCCGATGCTAAGTTCGCGGCATTGAAGGAGGCGGCCGCGAAGAAGTATGCAGAGAAAAAGGCACGAGATGCAGAGCAAGCAGCAGCAGCAAAAGAGGCGGCCGCAAAGGAGGTTGCAGCAACAGCCTCGAAGGTATCAAGTGCATCGGCACCACCCCCTCGGACACCATCACCGAAAAAACCAGCGGCGCCTCCGTCAAAGGCCAGCGCACCGACGGTGGAGGACGATGCATACTCGTTTCGGCCCTACGACCGTCCCAGGCGACCATACGGAGGAGCTTCTCAGGCGTCGGTATACTCCGAATCCTCATACGCACCATCACAGTCAACAGCACGGACAACACCACCGCCGTCTCATCGTGGGGCTTATGAAACCAAGGACCCTGACAAGATCGTCATCAAGGGAGTCTACCAATTCAACAACGCCTTCCTTCGTACACCAGTGGCCCAGCTGGTGTCAGGTCAGGGCATGGTAACAGACGGTCTGGTGCTCCGCATTACAACTGAAGGCCTCTTTATCGATGATGACGTCCGCGGGGTTCCCCAGCGGGAATGGGATGTCAAGGCTTGGACCATGAAACTAGTCGAGGTCTGGTGCCATCGAGTTGGCCCGCCAAAGCCAAACGCTCCAAAGGCCAACCAAGCATTCTTTCGACGGAGCAACGAGAACCCAACCCCAGAAGAGTCAGACGCATATCTTGCGAACTTCCTCAAGGTCTGCAAGAACACCTGCCGCCTCGCCTCCCCAGCCTTCCTCAGCCGAAGCAGCACCGACAGTAAGGACACCCGACCACACGACGGCCTCCACGTCCTCCGCGCTACCATCCGCGACCAAGAGGGTCGCCGGTACGTCTTTGTGGTCCAAGAAACAGAGGGCTGGAAGGTCGCACTGGGTCTCCAGCGTCTGCGAAAAGGTTCGCAAGTGCGAGCCCTGGGTGTCTGCGGTATGGCCCTCTCAGAAACACGAACAATACTTTCGGGTCTTGGATATTGATTGATTTATTTACATTTGATGCTTCCCTCATATCATTTTTCTATTAGCTATCGTATGAGATGTTTATGTTGACGACCTACCCATCATTCCCATTCCCATTGTTTTTGGCTTCTGGTGCATTTTCTTTGGATATGATGAGCATGTATATATCCCCTCCTGTATCTATCTATCCTATCTATAATTGAATATATCCCCTCGTGCGTTGTCATTGTCGGAAGCTGAGTAATAATATACATAGAATCGGGAATTGACTGGTCTCGAAGTAACGGCCAACACAATATCATGACCTTATCTCACCCTCGCTATATATTAAGTCCTTAGAGCAAAGCCAAACCAGCCGAAATACCGATGATAGTACTTGTCCATACACTCGACCAGATGACATGCGCAGTAGGTAGGTAATTAATTGATCAATCATCATGATATTCATCCCAACCTATGATGTTCTGTATAGCGTACTAATGTAGTAGAACGTACTATGACAGCGAGGAGCAAAACGCAAAAAGACCAAGTAAAAAAAAAAAACCCAGGTATATAGCAAACGCCGAACAAAAAAGTGATTCTTCCCCGAACAAAACGAAACCGAGTGTTTCCTTTCCTCTTGCCGTCTTCCATTCCAATCAATTAATCAGGGTGACCAAGAAAAATGGAACGGAAAGAGGTAGAGAAGTAGGAGAAGATAAGAAAAAAAATGAAATAAGACAGATCAGATGAAATGAAATGAGATGAAACAACGAAAAAAGGTCTATCTGGATCATGCAGGCGATTGCAACCAAGCAGGCCAAAGAGCAAAGTTAGCGCAGGGGATAAAGCATGTCATAGCATGGCATAGCATAGCATAATAGAGACAGAGGATGATGATGATGAGAACCTCCGTATGAGTACGGAGGCCATGTAAGGTACGTGAACAACATGACTGAACATGAATAAGAGGGCGACACCGTGCAATGCAAACCGAAAAGCAGATGCTGTATGGGACATGATGATGTAGGAGGGAGGATTTGAGTAAATCAGTAGGTAGGCGGAGATGGTTGAGAATGTATGGTATGCATGCGTGCTTTTCTTTTCGACTTTTGGGATTGAGACATGGTGACCCTTTTGGTTCGTTTTCGTTTTCCGTTTTCTCGGTTTTCGTCGCATCGTTGCGTTGCGAGATACGTAGCATGGTACGTACGTCGTGGGCGTACGCAGTTGTGTGGCTCGGTGGAACCTCGATGACCAATGTGGCGACTGGCGAGAGGGTAACGGCGCGCTTAGAACGGGAATCCGCCAGGGAACCCGCGGGACTGACCACCTCCGCCAAAGGGGTTGCCGCCGCCGGCGTGGGCGAAGCCGCCACCGCCGCCGTTCATCATGTTGAAGAGCACGCTCGGGTCGATGTTGATGTGCGTGCCGCCCATTCCACCCATACCTCCCATTCCTCCCATACCGCCCATGCCTCCCATGCCGCCAAAGCCGCCGCGGGAGAACATGTCGGCTGGGTCGATGAGGTCGTCGCCGTTATCGTAGGAAGCGCGTTTCCTGTGGTCGATTGTTAGTTTCATGTGTACAATGGTCGACGAAGATATGAAAGGGGGACATACTGAGGATCAATCAGAGTCTCGTAGGCTTCACCAATTTCCTTAAACTTCTCATCGCCTGCTGCGCCGTCGCGGTTCTTGTCGGGGTGGTACTGGATAGCCAGCTTGCGGTAGGCCTTCTTGAGCTCTGTCTCCGTGGCGTCCTTGCCGACGCCTAGAATCTTGTAATAGTCTTTGCGCTGCGCCTTCTTGAGCTCAAACTCTGCGCGGCGAATGTCCTCCGCGATACCCTTCTCAGCGGGGTTCGCCTCAGCAACAGCCTTGTAGTCCTGCACGGCCTCTTCCCAGTTACCGGCGCCAGCGTGGGCCTTGGCGCGCATCTTCTGGGCCTTGGAGTATGTAGGGTCAAGCCGGAGGGCTTCCGTGCAGTCGTTGATGGCATCGTCGTACTCCTTTAGGTTGATGTAGGCCTGAGCACGGTTCTGCAGAATCTTGGCGTTCATGTCCTTGTTGGCGGGGTCCACGTTGAGGGCTTCGGTGTACAGCTCAATCGCCTTGCGGTAGTCCTTGGCCTTGAAGGCGGTGTTGCCCTCTTCCTTTGTCCGGACGAGCTTCTGAACCATTCGCAGAAGTTTGATAGCCGACTTCATATCGGGATCCAGCCCGAGGCAGAGCTTGAGAGACTTGAGCGCCTGGTCCGTCTCACCGAGGCCGTAGTAGGCCCGTGCGCGGATGAGAAGCGCATCGGGATCCTGGTTGTTTTCTCGGAGCAAGTTGATGGCAATATCCTGGGCCTTGCCGAAAGAGTTACCCGTGGCCATCTTCAACTGCGCCTCGGCCGCCATCAGCGTCCACGCACGGGGCTCCTTCACGCCGGGCCCAAGATACTGTCGCGCCTGTTCGATGCAGAACACCACCATGGACACGCCGCGGTCTTCGGCCAGAGTCTCCTTTGCCTGGTTGAGGAAGCGCAGCATCTTCTCCGGGTTCTGTCGGTCTGCCGCGGATGCGGGTGGTTGGATGCGGTCAAGGACTTCGAGGGCTTCGGCGGGGCGACCCAGCCCCGTCAGGATGCGGGCCAGTCTGTGCAGAATCTTGGGATTGCCGGGATCCAGCTCGTTTGCGCGTTCTGCGTCCTCAAGGGCATCGTAGTATCGGTGGGCGGCCAGGTTCGCCGCAGCGCGGTTTGATCGGTAGATTGATGAGTTGGGGTTTAGATCGATGGCTTTCTCTACGTCAATCACAGATTCAAAAAAAAAAAAAAAAAAGGAATCAAACAGAAAGCAAACCTTTGGTGAACTCCTCAATAGCGCGGTTGTAGTTTCCGTCCTTGAATAGCTTGTTTCCGGCCAGCTTGAAATTGTCGGCTTCATCTGAGGTACCATTGGACCGATGAGGTGGCGGGGTCGGACTCTTCTGGTGAGGCTGTTCGGGGGCGGCCTGGGCCGGAGAGGAAGGAGTGTCGAGGTCCATAGACCTGCGGGGGTCAGCAGCAGCGGCGGCGGCCATGGCTGACAGGCGACGGAGCTCGTCGGGCGGGAGATTGAGCGGGTGCGAGTTGGGATCGTGAGAGCGGCGATGCGGGTAGCGGGGACGGGATGAAGGCGAGTTGGTGGAGGGGTTGGAGGAGGAGCGAGAGTGGGATTTGGAGGGGGAGGAAGAAGAAGAGGAGGGCTTCTTGTGCGAAGAAGACTTTGTAGGAGATTTCGGGGATTGAGGCGACGCAGACTGAGATTTGGAGCGAGAGAAGAAGAAATGGGCCATTTTCAATCGGGGGGAGCTCAGCCGCTGATTGGCGGGGCCGATCGAAGAAGAACGAAGGCGGTGGAATTATTTTTTTTATTCTTTCCAAAGAGTTCAAGGACCAAAGGGCAAACGGTTCAACAAGGAAGCAGAAACATCACAAAGAGAGGGAAAGGAAAGAAAACAAAGACTCGAGTCGAGTCTTCTTCAACAATACCGCTGAGCTGTCAAAAGAATCTCATCGAACTCCGATAGTCGCCCCGGCCGGCGTTGAGAGGACGAGAATTCGAGAGGCTGGCGCTTAGCGTGTGCTCTTCCTGCTCACCAGCAGGCCTCGTCTGCCTCGTCTGCCGCTCCTATAGGTAAATCCAACGCGTGCCTATCATCCTGGGCACCTGCAGATATGTGATCTCCCGACGAATCGTCGTCTTGCCTCGTCGGCTGTCTTGAATTTGTGGGCATATCCGAGTCCAAGTCGGCGCTGAAGAGTCTCTGCCCCCACGCTCTGGGAGTTCAGATTGGCAGCACCCCAGCAGTTCGTGTGTGGAGATATATTTTTTTCAGTGTCAATGCGTCCCGTCATGACTCTTTCTGACATCAGGGTACAACGGGGAGGCCAATTTCCTGCTTATGCTAGCTTGTATCGGACGCCGTGTTGGGCACTCAAACAATGTATCACAACACCGGCTGGCTTACTCTGGACCCAGTCGGAACTAACCCAACCTTACAGGACATACCGGCAAGCAATCATGACTCACTTCCTAGACAATTAGAATGCTTTAAGATTCATTGAGGTATCTTGAGCTAAGTAATGCACCGGAGTAATAAGGTCTGCCGAACGCTAATCAGTCAGTCAGATATATATACAAAAACGAATATAGTAGATGCCCCAGGCATCCAATGAACCTGCCATCAATACCCAACGCCTTTAGATGCGAGCGAATGTATTATTCCCATCGTCAATTATAGCAATTCAAGCGGCATTTTTCGCCACTTGCCTCGTGGTGCGAGTCGCAGCATAGCTCGAGTAGGCTATACTCTCAAATTGCACCTCGGAACGAACCATTATGTAACCCTCCTCCCAACCGCTGACCACCTCGACTCCCGGATTTGTTGTACTTCCTCACGCGGCACCCTGCGCACAGCCGGCAGAATCGGTCCTAGCGGCCGATCAAAGATATGCTGCTCATACGGCGGCGGCAGATCTTCGGGATCGTTGATATCACCCCAGAACTCCGTTATCGACGTTGAAGAATTCAGTTCCATTGACCGTGAATGCGACAATGTACTCGGCGCGCCTGTTCTAGTCGCAAAACTTGGATTCGGAGCTGGGGCTAATGAAGGATGGGAGCGGTAATGCGGGTGAAGGTGGTGAGGTGGCGTTAATGTTGAAGGTGTTGTGCGGGTTGTAAGGATCCAGATCTGCTCGCTTTCAACCCAGACGAGTTGGTGGGGGGTGGATAGGCTGCTTGAATGGGGCCGAGCGATGGATCGCGTTGGTTGTGGTGAGGATATGGCTGTTGAAAGACCGACGCTGGTGTTGGTGTGTGTATTCAGATTGCTCGCCGTTGATGGTCTATACGAAGCTGCATGACTAGACGGTTCAGCCGGATGTGATCTCGGCGCGGTTGTTACATGGTTGCTGGCGCTGCTAGAGTCCGGATGCATACTTTGCCAGAAGCCATTGGACGAAATGTTTGGGTACTTGCTGCGGGGAGGGATTGCGCTCGTGGAGGCGGGCCGAGGCGGAAGATCCCAACTGTTCGAGTCTAGCGGGCTCACTGGGCTTGTGACATCCTCAAGGCGAATGTGAGGGACGCTGTGTGTGCTTAAGGCTGGACTGGAGAACGTGTTATCGAGCATCGGCGGGCCTTCGAGGGAGGAGAGATCCATTTGGACGGTGATTGCGAGCATCAACTGTAGTACCAGGCAGTGGAGAGAAGAGCCAAGAGGAACGACTGTAGCAGCAAGGGCTTCTCCAGCGATATATAGAGGAGGGGACCGAGGAGTGGCGCGAGTACGAGGTGAACCGACAATCGACGATACCCAGTACCAAAAATAAGGTGCGAATACGATCGAAAGTGGATCGCCACACGAGATAAGTCGATCACTCGCGGGAAGGTTCAAGGGAGAGTGTACAGTGGATAGCAAAGACGGGGAAGAGCAATGGCATGGCATGGCCATGCCAGGGGTTTCAGGTAATATTTATCAATGGTTCAATAGCAAAATGGGCTGCCCGAGGCGGTGCTTTGCATCCTTTGACCCTGACGACAAAGGGAGCAACTTCTCCATAAAGGACCCGTCACACAACAGGGCTAACCAATACTGCGCCGACTTATGGAGTACCTGTTAGCGGAAGTGCACCGATCGAATGCCAAATCGTCGTATGAATGTACCTATGGGTTTTTGGAGTCTGGCGACGTTGATACATAAGCCGGGTCTCAGCGAAACGGGTCAAGAATGGAGAGGTTTGAGGGAAAAGGCGAAGTGAAATGGTGATTTTGCCCCGCCGAAGCAAGACCAAATGACTAGAGCCAACACTTGGCCCCAAATCCTTTCAGGCCCATAAGGGAGGCTGCCTGAAGGAGATGAGCATGGGAGACTTCCACATGGCAGTGTGATTGATGTGGAAGATAGTTATTCTTTCATCTTTGTTCTCCCCATGTCACGCGTAAGAGCGGAAGAAGAACACGAGGAACAGCTTCGGCTATCTCGCAAGACCCAATGGCGGAGTCGCAAGCAGCATGGTCGAGAGTCTGCAGCGTAAGAATCCAAGCGCTGGGGGCGAAATGGGTTCCTGACTTGGCAATTGGGGCCAATCCATTGTTCGCGCGGTTGGGAATCGGACGAGGTTGATGTTGTTGGAAAAAGAGGAGTCGCAAAACCGCAGCAAACACTGCCACGCCTTGGCTCTATATTTGTTTAGCGCAACCGCGCCATCGCCCTGTTTCGGGTTATCTGATCATAATGGTGAGATACAAAATGGTCTCAAAGTTCTTATGACACCTGTCTTGTTCGATTCCGGACTTTGTTATTGTCGTTGTTGTGCTCCCCGTGTCAGGATAAAAATATCTAGGTCGGAGTTACGAGCTTCCCGATGCAGTAGTCAATTGCGAGCCCAGGGACCATACATACCATATATTCAGCCCTAAACCCTGCATGATGTAATAATAGAACATGGAGAACAGTTACAGAACGCCGTATCCTCGCTCACTCATCTGCTCAGCAATTGATGATCGGCCTTCGAAAACGAATACGCTCAGGTTACCCCAGCAAGCAAATGACGGGAACGCGAAAAGAAATCTTGCAGGTGAGATTGAGATAAGCCTGGCGCAGCCGCGCAGGAATTAAGGGTATTGAAATAAGCAGGACGTGGTATGGTATCATCTAGACGCGAAACAACCTATCACGACCGAGTGGCAGGGATGACAGCTCTCGACCAAGTTGATTTGCATTCCGTCCGTCAGCCACAGGATGCACCCCAGGTATGTAACTATGTATGTGGACGGGAAGGATGGCTTTCCTGTCGTACCATCCCAGACAGAGCCTGCTTGAGGTTCAGATACAGTTTGCAGAAATTGATCTTCAGTTCCAGTGATTAAGATTAGATACTAGTAGATATTACTTCGAAGAAATTGACCAGGATGTGAAGGGCGTTCATGGTTTACATTAAATCGTATCCAGCCACCAAGACTGAGCTTCACAAGAACTCCGAAGCAATAAGCCGGCAAGCCAAAACATGTATCAAGAAAGCGAGAAAATGAAGGATCAATAATATGACTGAAGAATCAGAATCGGATTACTTCTCTCCCCGAACCACAACTAAACTCTTAACTGCAACACCGATGCATCCCCCCGTTTCATCATCATATACCCACGGTAGACAATCCGTCCATCGCGAATGATGAGAATCACGAGTGATCCAGGGCTATACTATTGACATGAAGTGAAGAAAATCTAGGCCAGGAAGATAGCAGCGACGGCGGCAGCGCCAGCGAAGCCAAAGGAGTTGGTGATAGCGTTGGCGGCACCGGTGAAAGCGGGAGGAGAGGGAGAAGGACTGGTACTGTTAGAACTCTAACTGAAGCTTGCATCTGATATTGACAACTTACGTAGCGCTGCCGGTAGGAGCAACGGAGGTAGGGACCACCGGGATGACGGGCTTGGAGGTGGCAGGAGCGGTGGGGGTAATGGTGATGGTAGAGTAGGTGACGGTGGGGATGCAGGTGGTCACAGGGATGACGGAGATGCTCTCGGAGGGGACCTCAGGCTCAGGGGCGGGGACCTCAGGAACGCTGGGGGTCTCGACCGGGGGGGCCGGAGCGCTGGTGGGAATGACGGGGCTGCTCTCGGTAGGGATAGCAGTGGGCGCGGTGGTGCTGCTGCCGGGGCAGTCAGTCACGGTGGGAGCGCAGGAGGTGATGGTGACCTCCTCGGTCTGGTAGATGGTCTCGATGTCACCACCAGGGAGAGCAACGGCAAGGCCGGCGAAGAGAGCAACAGCAGCAGCGGAGAAACGCATTTTGATTGATGTGTTGGTGCGAAGAAAAAACCGTCAAGGTAGTTTGTTGTGGAGGGTGGAACACGTAAAGTGTTGTTGTAAAGAGTGTGGTTAGTTGGTAAAAGACTGGACGACCGAAGTCAAGTTGTGTGAATGCTTCAAGCAGGAACGAAGTCTGGGCTTGGAGAAGAAGAAAACAGAGGGAGAGGACGGGGGCGATTGGGGCCTTTGTATCGTGTGGGAGATTAGTTGGGAGATCGCTTCAGGGACGCAATCGGGAAAGGAGACAAGCGAGTGGGGGGGAGGGGGCGTCGCAGCGGTGTATTCAGCATGGAACCTGCGCGCTGCTCAACCCCTGAATAAACCCAAATAACGGTGCAATCGTCTCGTGCGCTCAATGCCGCTCACTGTGGTTGGTGGAGCTGGGATTGTCGCGGCACAACTACTGGACTGCTAGCGACTAGTCCAGCTATTAGCTGGCCACTCCAACGATTGTTTTTCTGTTTCCTGTTCCTCCGAACCAGAGTCTGGATGTTGATCTTTGGTCAAATAGATTGGCCTTGCGCTCTGACTGGCTGTTTGGAGCGACCGCGTCTTCTCGCCTGATCGGCTTGACTTCTTCCTCGCTGATCGGACTATGCCGGCCTCGACGAGCCTGCGCAGGACAGGGCGGCAAGAAACGCCTCTCAGCAGTGGACTCGACGCAATGACACAATGTCTCAGTGCCAGCCGATATTGTGAGTGGCTCTGGTATCCTCCGATCCTGATCCTCTTATTTTCAGGGGAAAACAAACGTTGTGCATGGAAGTCTTGGCGCCTGTTTCATCCTGCTGTTTGGGCAAATCAGCGGCATCTCAGCGGAGACTGCAGCTCCGTTCCTGACGCCATTCATCGGCCTGTCTCCACTGGTAGCCCACTCTTGGTTTTGCCATCCTCCCGGTTGACCAACCATGCTGTGACAGACACCAGCGGTCCACTTTACCCCTGGCTTGCTCGCCTGCCATTTTTATCATGGATAAACTGGGGCGCTAAACACAACAATTGTCAGGTCAAGTCAGCTTGAGCGCAAACGCGGTTATTATGAAAAATATGGACCGAGAAGAAACCGGAAACAGCGCCGACAAACCGTCATTTCCACACGGGGGAGGGATTATATGGGGCGGGGGAAAATGCGGACTGAGCCCGCTTTTATCCCGATTCCATCCAACCCCTCGTTTCTTCCCATGGAACTCCAAGTTGAAGGCTGAAGTCACAAGTCATGCCTTAAGTGAGGACTTCGAAACAGTCAGCCTTGAGCTCCTGCAGATGTATATGCGCGGCGGAAACGCGGCCCTCGGCTCGGTTGGAATTTCGCTCAAATCTGAGGCAGAAAGAGCGGTAGGGAGATGGACGCCATCAGAGTTTCATGCATATTAGGACGCCGGCTGCCATGATAGAATCACAGCCTTGGCGATTGGCCAGACAGGTCTTGATGCGCCATCCTTCCGTATAGATTGCTTAATTAAAGCTTAGTGGGAAACCTGGGCCTTCTCTTCGTTTCCCGTTTTGCAACGCCCGAGACAAAGATAAGAAAGTCGGCAACACCCGCCTTTCTTTTGCTCCAGAATTATTCAGAATTCCTGGCTCGCAGCTGAGCGCGTTGTGAGTGTGAGATTTGAAGCAGGTGGTAGACATCGGTGTAATCTAGCGGCCGACCGGCCATGGCGTTTGCCTCGGAGACGCTCCAAACAGGATCGGCTATTCTTGCTGAGAGCGCCATGGAACCAAGAGAGTTGTCCACGTTCAGTTTGGCTTTTTCCGTCCTCAATTAATGCTGAGCGATCACTCTTGGCCGAAGTATTTCCCCGATGAGCAGCTACCGACCACGGTTCTAGACGGGGTTCTACTCCAGAGTCAGGGGCAATGAACTGTCGATGAACTGTTTCCAAATGATCGTTAAATCGTTCTCACGCCGCGCCTCGTTGTTAACTCGAAGCGGTAGCCGACTAGAGCAAAATGTGGCGGTGATTTGGGCGAAGGAAAGATAAGCAAGGTCCACCGATTCTCAGGGGAAGGGTCAAAGAGTTCTGCAATATGGTCCCAACTCCCGATCCCACGGCGGGTGAAGACCCAAAGTCCACTTCCTTCTCAAGAAGGAACTTGGAGGTCCGGATAGTGGTGGAGAGTGGACACCAGTTCTCGAGGTCCGTTATTCTTAGAAACCGGCAACTCATCGTCGACAATTAATGTCGTCGTCGAGTCCAGACTTTGAACTTGAGGACTGACGATGTGTCGCTCAATCAGGGGAAGGAGATCTCTGATGAGGGCGCTCGATAAAGGAGAAGGGCTGGTCGAGACCATCACCTCTGCAGTTTTCTCTGACCAGCGCTCTCTCCTGAGCCCGAAACCTTCATCCTCCAACTGCTAGTTGAATCATATTTCCCATCGCATGTCGTTGTCTTGGATCTCTTCTGGGCGCCGAGTCTGGCATCAAGGAACAGGCGAAATGATCGGAGAGTGTGGGGATCGCACAAGATGATCGGCTGCCGCCGCGCGTCTATGCCCACTCTTCGCCTTCTCGATAGATAGTCAGCAGAGCGATGGATTGTATACAAGAAAGGAGTGGCCATCTCACCGACAACAAAGCATCGGAGTTTTTACCTGAGCAAATCGATTCGAATTCACCTTAAACGGAAGGCATCTGAAGTTGCAGTGGGAGTCGCAAGGAACGACACCGCGGCCACGCGACTCAAGAAGGACGAGCAGTTTGGGTCAGGAACCGATGGATTCGGATGAAATCAGATTGTCAGACGTCACTCTGGATTGTTCCATTTCTCGAACAGAATCACATCATCGTTGCGATTGATCTTGTTCGCGATGTGGTCAGTACGGAGTACTAGTGATCGCGAGCATCCGCTAGCGACTACCCTCGGTAGGAATCGATGCTGCGTCAGCTGGAGTTCCGGATTGCAGGTGCTTGGCCTGGCAAGGCTGACTCCGGGTCTGCCATGTCATGCTCACCGCGGTCCAAGCGCTTGTTCAACTTCTGTTTCATTGTTTGTGGCATACTTTGTCTCTTAACACGCGCTTCGCTATCGCTGCACTCTGGAACCTGAGTATAGCTCTTCTGTACAACCCCGTAGACCACAGCAGACCGTCTTTGATAATTATAGAAAGTGGTGCTCGAGGAATGAGGCGCAGGCGAGTGGGGGTGGATGTCAAGCCACACTTGCGAGACTCCCCAAGTGAAACTCGCTCAGCTTGGGCTTGGTGTCTCAGAATGAAGGCTTGAATATGGAGACAGCCCAGAGTGATTCTGCTCAAGATGAAATCATCGAAAAGAGTTTGATGGATGCCTAGCGATGCCTTAGCGAGCCGGGTGCTGGCCTCAAGAGTCAAGAGCTTCAACATTCCAGCACTCTGCAATCCACAAGTTAAGCGCCGACTGTCTGGTAACCGTTGAACCTCATTTGTAGTCCAGCTTGGTCTTCTTGCATGAGACTAGCCAACGACGAAATAAGCCCATTCCAGAAGGTTTGCAGGGCATCGCCGGCTTAACCGCCTGACTGAACGGCCCCAGACGCTGGTTCTCGCCTCATCTCTGGCGTTCCCTCTCTCTCTCTCTCTCTCTCTCTTTCCTCTCTCCTCAGCTCTTGCTCCTTCCTTTCGTCTACATCGCCCTTCGGTCGTTTATTCATCGATCGCTTCGACGTTTATTCGTCGTTGACGTCGCCATCGCCAATTTTACAGGTCACTCGCTACCCTGGGGATTGCTCTTCGTTACGCTTCTTGATCCCTCTTTCACTGGCCACACTTGTCGTTTCTTCTTTTGATTCCCCTCTTCGCCCCCTCACCTTATCTTCGCTGTCCTTCAATTCCGTTTCCGTGCACACCAGACCTTCCTTCTGCCTCTCTCCGCCCTTGGTCGACCCCTCCCTGCCACCTGCAGCAGACGCCGCCTGCCTCGCCCCACGTCTGTCTTTGTTCCGACTACCGCCCCCAACGCTCCTCTCCTCTACCCTCTTCTCTCGATCGAATCGAAGACAACCGTCATTGTGGCTACAATCACGGATCCAAACGAGTTGTTCTTGCCCGGTGACAGGCAGGACAATCTCGCAATGTCTTCCCCGCCCGTTCCCCTCCTCAAGGCCCCGGTGCCAGGCAATCGCGGCAATTCGAATAGTCCCCGAGCGCCCAAACTGACCTTGGGGATTCCTCCGTCTGCGACAAGTCGCCCCGTCACCAGTAACGGCGTTTCCATCGCTTCAGACGCACCTCAGCCCCAGCTTCAGCCTCAGCCCCAACCCCAGCGACTTGCCCATCGTCCACCTCCTCCCCAGCTGCGACTCGCAACACCAAAGGGTAGCACCCAAGACGTTCCGCAGATCAACACGCGGCCTGCCCCGCCACCTTTAGCGACAACCGGATTGAACGACGCAAATGGACACTCGCGATCGGGGAGTTTCACCCACCTGGATGGGAAGGGCAGTGGCCCGGCGTCCGCCTCGTCATCAAACTATTCAACCCTTTCGTTCGCCATGGGGCTCCGACAACCTCATGGGGGTACGCCAGATCCGTCATCAGCAATCAGCTCTGTATATTCGGACCGCGAAGGTGGTGCGCAGATGGAACGAGATAATAGTGTCAATGGTCTAATTCCTGACTTGGACAAGCTCAGCTTGGAAAAAGGTCGACCACTGGATGTGGAAGACTTGGACGACCAAGGTTGGCTGGCTGCTAGTGAGCAGAAGAAAATCGTCGAGTTGGGGAGCTTAGGCGAAGGTGCCGGAGGCGCAGTTACGCGCTGCAAGCTTAAGGATGGCAAGACTGTATTTGCATTGAAGGTGAGATTTACAAGATACACTATTGCTTCTCGAGCTAACGAGATGCTGTCTAGATCATTACCACCGATCCCAACCCCGACGTCAAGAAGCAGATTATTCGCGAACTCAATTTCAATAAGGATTGCGCATCGGAACACATTTGCCGCTACTACGGTGCATTCATGGATAAGTCGACCGGAACAATATCAATTGCGATGGAATTTTGCGAAGGAGGCAGTTTGGACAGTATATACAAAGAAGTCAAGAAGCTCGGCGGACGGACAGGGGAGAAGGTGCTTGGAAAAGTCGCAGAAGGCGTCTTGAACGGACTGACCTATCTTCATGGAAGAAAGATTATTCATCGAGGTACGCTCTTATGAGAGGGTTTTTTTTTTACACTATGCTGACTGGTGTATAGATATCAAACCGTCGAACATCCTTCTTTGCCGCAACGGACAGGTGAAACTATGCGACTTTGGAGTCAGTGGAGAATTCGGCACGAAGGGCGACGCGAATACGTTCATCGGCACTTCGTATTACATGGCCCCCGAACGAATCACAGGACAATCATATACCATTACCTCCGATGTCTGGTCACTCGGTGTAACGCTACTGGAAGTTGCGCAACACCGCTTCCCCTTCCCCGCAGACGGAACCGAGATGCAACCTCGTGCTGGGCTTATCGACTTGCTAACGTACATTGTGCGGCAGCCAATTCCCAAGCTCAAGGACGAACCAGATAGTGGCATCCGATGGTCCAACAACTTCAAATACTTTATTGAATGCTGGTATGTTATGCCCTTGAAAATTTTGTCTCGGATACTGCTGACCAGAACAGCCTCGAGAAAGAACCCCCACGAAGAGCGACTCCATGGCGGATGCTGGATCATCCGTGGATGCTGGACATGAAGAACAAAAAAGTGAACATGGCGAACTTCGTGAAGCAGGTCTGGGACTGGAGCGATTAGACGACCGCCGCCTGACCAATTCTACCTCTATAATCTATCTACCCATATAACGGTCTTTTGACGCAACGGTCTTTGACGCTTACAAGTGGCTGGCCCTTGATTGACCCGGATGTCAAAAAAGCATACGATTTTGTCTGAGATCACGACGCTCCCTTTTGTTGTACCTACCAACCCATCGCCCGCATGCCTTGATCTTCTTCTTTCTCGGATCTTACGGAGTCGGAACCCATCATTTGCAGCATGACCATACCATTACTGCGTGTCTTGTCTTTCCTTGATATCATCATCGCATCAGCGTTCCATTGTGTCCGACTCCATTCATCTCGGTTTTTCACTTCCTTTTTCAGCCTTTGTTCACTGCCAGCAACTGCCACCGTTTGCAGACTAGTTGCTTTGTCAGATCTATCAGTGTTTGATTGACCTCCGCCATGCTCGACTACTCCATCGAGAAGATTGGTTTTCCATCTATGTTTTCTTTTTTGTTGTGTCTATGATGACTATATTGTGCCTGCGCAAATATATACATCTGCATATAGGCCTGTTGATTAAATTGTTTTACCCTCGCAGAGAGGGTGGATGAGAGAAGAGACCTATGGAGTGACTATACAAATCAGTATCTACCGTTTCCTTATCTTTTTTCACGTTGTACTTTTCTATCAGAGCCTCAGCTAGATATCCTGGCCAGATACCGAGCTAATCAATACATGAACGCTGGTTCTCAATTGAAGCGCATATATTATGTATGTATGCATCTCGACTACCATGTAGCTCGAGCAAAACCTGAGTCAATTCTATCTCATGATTTCATAACCTCATGTCTTCGCCAGCGTGGCCGCCATGCAGAAACCGGACCAAGCACCAACAATCTGAAAATACCTAAGTACGGTGCACCTCACAGCTGCCTATTTATTATTCATATTAACCGGCTGCGCCCCGAGCACCCACCCAATCCCACTCGCCAACCCACCCGTAACCATATTACTAACAACATCGCGCTTGCGCACACGCTCGCCCTCCTGTCCACTAGGATTCTCACCATCCCCATCCCAGCTCCCACCCTCGCTGTCTAGTCTCGAGATCGACGATGAAAGTGACGACGCGGAGGGTATAGGCAGAGCCTTGCTAAGCGGGAAAGACGAGTTGACGTTCTTGTGTAGTGCCCGTGCAGCGCCGCGCGCAACCTCGAATAGACCCATGGGTGCCTCCTCGGAGTCGAGCCGGTTATGCTGCGCGGCACGGGCGGCGCGGCGAGCATGGTGCTGGCGCGTTTCGTGGGCGTCTGCTTCCGTGTCGAATTGGGAGGTGTTGAAGCCGCCGGGGAGGATGCGGGATGTTGCTGCGTTGTCGCCCTTCGTATCCCAGAGGTCTTCTTCTTCGCTCTCGCGCGTGCGGAGGAGCGAGAGTTCCTCGTCTGCGCGGCGCCAGGCGCCGAGGATTTCGGGGAGCGGGTCGGGTGTTGGAGCAAGGATTAGGGAGAGGGAGAGGAGTTCCATGCGCTGGGTCAGGTTTGTGATTTGGGAGGAGAGGGTTGGTGGGGTTGATGGGGCGGTTTGGGGGCGGTAGCGGCCGGCGTTGTAGACGGCGCGCCAGGTGATGTCATCTTTTAGGGAGGACGGGGCTGGGGCAGAGGTAGTTTGTGGCGTGAGGCGGGTGAGGATGTAGGAGTAGGCAGTGCCGAAGTCGTTGGAGGACAGGGCGGAGGAGATGGCAAGGGACATGATACGGCGCTCGGCGGTGATGAGGGCTTCATCCTGGGTGAGAACGGGAGCCCGCGTGTAATGTGAATGTGAGGTGTTCTCGTCGACTGGGCGCGGGGTGAACCCGGCTAGTACGAGGTTCCGCCCGATGCTGAGGAGGTCGTCGAGCTTGGTGTAGCTCTTGGAGTTTTGATCGAGAACCTTTCCGATGAGGGAGAGGGGATCGGGATGCACGCGGAGACTGACGGGTTGAAATGGAACGCCGTGCTGGAGGGTTAGGGAGTAGAAGGATAGGGCGTGTGTTGCGGAGATGAGGGCCTGGGCCTGTTTGAAGGAGGTCGACTCGGGGAAATGTGGTTCGAAGGCTTGTAGGCTATACTTCGTTAGTGGTGGGTGATCTTGATATTGCCCTCATTGACTTACATTTCGTGTGCCCGTTGCATCTTGCCTCGTGTCCTGTTGCCGTTGCTCGCATTGTCGTAGGCTTCGAATACGGATTCCTTGACCGCATTCTCTACTTGAGCTGGGTCTAGTGCAGAGGCTGACTTGACGTAAATTTCGATAGCAAGGTCATACTCTGGAGACCGTTAGAGCAGTCAGCAGCTGGGGAACGGCGAGTCTCACCTCTGACTTGGAGTAGAACTTTCAGGATCTCGGCCTCAAGAACATCTTGCGGAGCCCGCCAAAAGAGGCCGTGAAAGTCTGGATTGCTTTGTGACCGGTCCGTCTCTGATCTCCAGTCCCGCAGCCATAGAAGCTGCTGACGAATAGCTCTCCAATCTCGGCCGGACTTTACCTGCTGGCCGATAGATGCCATCATACTCCGCAGCTCAAACAACTGCATGTCCTCATTGCTATGTAGGCAGATGTTGGTTGCTGTTCTGCATGGGATGGAATGTCCGAGCTCTTCGAGCGTCCGCAGAGATAGAAGCAAGCCGCTGAGGAACGAAACAGACGAGAGTGAAGGATATGTTAATGGATTTGTGGGCAGCAGTAGGGCGTTTTGGAAGAGAGTTGCTCTTGAAGCCGATCGGATTTGGCTCGCATCAAAATCCACGGAAGGGAAAGATGAATTACGGGAAGTATATAAAGCCTCCTCGAGCCCCAAAAGGCTGCTGACTCGGTCGAGAATGCGGATGGAACTATCCAGGGAAACCTCTGGACTTTGGTAGATCACAGCGAGCCCTGTTTGGCCAAAGCGGTTGCGGAGTTCCTGTAATCGATCGGCGAATGGCCGCTCATGCTCGTCGACATAGCCTCCGAGGTCTACATCTTCAGGACCATCCCAGTTCACGAATGCGCCTACCACTGCGTCTGGGTCCACCAAGCTTCGGGACAACAACCACTCATTGACGTATTCCCAACCGGAGTTTTCATCGCCTTGTACATTACCCTGGAGAGAAATCGAGTTCCGGCGTGCTGCATCGCTGAATCTCTGTCTTTTGGGCCGGTTGCTGCCGTACATCCAAGGGCCAACAAGTCCACGTAGGTTCTTGATCAAGTCCGTGTCATTCTTCGGCGTTCCAGAAATCGAGAGAAGGATATTCGTAGCGGTCTGACTGTCCAAAGATTCCAGCGTCTCCACGGAACACGATTTATCTTGACTGGGGTAGTATTCGTAGTTGAATCGGAGGAGCGGCAAGAGACATGAGACGAGCCATGTTCGCAGGGTCGAAGATCGCTGGTAGAACGGGAGGAGTAGATCGAGGATGAGCGGTTGAAGAGAGGTCTCGGAATCAATTCGGTGGGCACGATGGATTATAAACTGCGTGAGTAGGTCTGTCGGATCCTGACTGTCCTCGTCTTCAGGATGCCTCAGTGGTAACAGTCGGATCTTGCGTACACGTTTCCTTGCCGCATCCTCGGAGAGGTCCTTGATCGGAGAGATGTCGACTTCTTGACTTTCGGAGACCGGTAAACCGTCGACCAGGCTCTGGACTACTGATACATAGTCTTCAGGCTCAGTACTTTCAGGAAGAAATGTTAGAATAATGCGCAGCAGCCGCTCTGTCGTCAGGGTGGCGGAAGATCGAGCTTGTAATTGCGGGAGAGGAGACGCATCTCCCCTGGCGCAGAAATGGATCGCTAGGAGGATGGCGTGTGCCCCAGAGAGCCGTGCAGGATCAGCCATTGCATCGCAGTTGAAAGCCCGGCGATGAGGAAGAGGTGGTCGCATTATTGTCTACGTCGACGTATTGGTGATGGGGACCGCGTGCACGTGCCACCCGGGCGGAAAGCAGTCGGACTGAATGCGAAGAACCTCATCGCATCCGCTCCTCGCTCTCCCCCATTCGATTCCCCGCCCCTTCTCCCCATCAAACACACAATGGCGTCCGGTTTCGGTCTTAACGGCGGTATGTTATCCTATCCTCTATCATGGACCGAATTTTTCCCCCGTCAATGGCTTTGGTGTTGGTGTTTTTGCGTGGTTCACCCGCTTCTCCGAGCTCCCGGCTAACATTGGTGCTCCTCTGCAGGACCTTCCCGCTGCTACACCTTCTGGCAAGAGCTCCTAGGCTGCTATGTTGTGAACTCTGGAGATGGTCAGGAGGGCAAGAGAAAGTGCGCTCCCGCGCTTGAAGATTACTATGAGTGCCTGCACCACAGGAAAGAGGTATGCGTCAGGCTTGACCGGATAACTCGGCTGGATTATCTCGCAGCCTATGGCTTAGATTTATTTGAACTACCTTGACTGATTCTCTAACGATTTGACAGGCACTGCGAACGATGAAGATGCAGGCTGCCTACCGCAAGGCAGAAGCCGCACACCCCCGCGAAGTTGCGGCACAACCAGAACAACTCCGGAGCCTGGGTTTATTGAGATCATAGAAGAGACGGTGCACATTTAAAGTCGATAAGAAGTGAAGAGGGAAGGAGGCAGCGACCTTGGCGAGGAGCCAAGTTGCAGAGGACCGGAAAGAGTGATACACTAGGCGCTTTCTCGTTGATTTGATATCAAACTACTCATGGTTATGTTCGTTTACCTGTTACCTACTGTATAGAATCGAAAAATTCTCTATATATGAAGCATGGGCGCGAAGCTCGAAAGCACAGTGATAAGAAGACCGGCGTAGGATATATAAAGGCTGGATTAAGTTTGGCGCGATGACTCGTCAACGTCACTGAGATGAGCGTTGGATGTCTGTTCCTAATGGTGCTCGGGTGATTGGCCAGCAATGACGGAACTCACATCAGGTACCGGCGGCACAGAGCTATAATTTCTAAACGATGTCTTACAGGAGATTGAATTGGACGGGAGGAAGCGGGGTGATTCGGCTTAGTTTTGAACGACAGGCTCTCGAGCAGCAGCATGCTAAGCTCTTGCCTCTGCTGTGCCCACTCCTGCCTTGACTGCTTGAGGCTTGAGGCCATCTGGCAATTCTTGGCGCTTTACCCGTCACGTGACCACAAGAAAACCTTTCTCACTGGTGGGGCCGGCCAAACCCGACAGAGCCTAGCGCACCAGGCCCAAGCATGGGTAGGCGCGCCCAGCCAAAGATGTCCCCAATGATATAAACAGGCTGCGTGACCTCGACCGACCGCAGACCCAAAACCAACCTTACCTCCGGACGCCGCACTCAAGCTGCGCTGAGCTGTTTACTTTGGCCTCACCTGACTTCCGTCTCAGTCAATACTCTACACGTCGTCTCCGCGCTTTTGTCACCACCAACAGGGGAGTCCCAGGTGATTTCTTGATCCTGGGTGGGCCATTTCTTTTTCTCATTTCTTTCACTTCGACTTGCGATCTACATCGTTTTCTCGCCTCTATACTGTTCCTGGGTAATTTATTTTACGCCTTATTTTCGCCGTAATTTTCGATATACTCCAGATCCATGTGCTCTTGGAGTTCAACCCTCAGATCGACTCGACCACCGCCATCTCCACTTCTCTCGGAGACGCCTTGAGTGTTCTTGGCTATTTGGCCTCAGTTTCATCTCCAGTATCCTCCATGGCTGCGACGTGCGAGTAACCGACCGGTATACGCTACGATCCCAGCCTCATCCTCTCCTCTCCCACTACTGGTATTTTACGCCATACTAGTAATCTCTAATCTTTGAGGCGCGTCGCGGGAATCCTTGGCTTCTCTTTGACCTTATTCCCTCACCTTCTCTTGAATACCCTTGCTACTACTTATTTGTCATTTTAATCTTTTTCGCTTCTTGAAAATCACGACCGCCATGACTTCCAGGTGAGTTCTCAACCAAATTTTGGTCATTTAAAACATGACGCTAACCTTCGCCCTAGACTAGATCGCCTCGTCACGTGAGTTCTTATCACTTTCGAGGCCGATAATGCGCTAACCAGATCGAAACTTGTAGGTTACTTGAGACCGGAAGCACGCCTCTCATCCGAAACACAGCCGCCCAGCAGCTAGCCGATGTCCAAAAACAGCATCCGGACGAGCTCTTTAATCTACTGGGGCGTATTCTTCCGTATCTCAAGTCAAAATCATGGGATACGCGGACGGCTGCCGCCAAGGCCATGGGCCTTATTGTCACAAATGCAGACACCTTTGACCCCAACGAGGATGACGATGAGGATGTAAAGAAGGACGAAGACGACGAGGAACTTGATGTCAAGATCAAGTCAGAAGATGAGCCGACACCGTCACCTGATGATCAGATGCTACGCCTCGAAACTCTTGACCTACCCGCTATTCTAAAGCATGGAAGGCGATTGTTAGGAAGTGGAGGAAAGGAGCATGAATACGCCTTGGCAGCCATGGATCCTGCTGCTCGGCTACAGCACCAAAAGAAGACGCTAAGAGCGCGACTGGGCCTCGAGGGTGAATATCTCGGCGATGATCTCTCCGATGATATTGACTTAGCACCAAAGACGCCCGGCGCGAAGGATCATCCGCCGAGTTTCCTTTCATCAAAGGAGAACAACCATCTTCATTCCGGCGTGCAGCCCCCGCCACCTCCCAGCGAGCCTGCCAATGGCGAGGAATCTGGGCTAAGCAGACGACAGCTCAATCAGCTGAAGCGGAAAAGCAAGCAACACGCAAAGCTGGGGGCGAACAAAGTGCGTGTGGTCGACTTGTCAGCGCGGCGGCCATCCGAGAATGTCACTACCCCTTTGATCAATACTCCTGCAATCCCTACTCCCCATCCGGTGAAAACAGAGAATGGCCATGCCCAGAATGGCGACACGAAGCCCGACTATTTCTCCCTTGATAGACCAGCGGATGAAGATGACGAGTCAAAAATTGTGTCGGAGTTCAAGGGAGCAATCGCCCCGGAGAAGCCCTTTATCCAACCCGAACTTGAGGATGATAGCGCCAACGTCTCTTGGCCTTATGAGCGCATGTGCGAGTTTCTCAAGGTGGATATTCTAGATCCCAATTGGGAGGTTCGGCATGGTGCGGCAATGGCCCTGCGAGAAGTTGTTCGTGTTCAAGGCGCTGGAGCGGGCCGTTCACATGGGAAAACCAGAGCAGAGAATAATGCACTGAATCGTAAATGGCTAGACGACCTTGCTTGTCGTTTACTTTGCGTTTTGATGCTGGATCGATTCGGAGACTACATCTCCGACAATGTTGTTGCTCCTATCCGGGAGACTGTGGGTCAGACATTGGGTGCCCTTCTGTCACATCTCCCTTCGCGGTCCGTGATTGCTGTGTACAAGTGTCTTTATCGGATCATCATGCAATCCGATCTAGATTTGGAGCGGCCGATTTGGGAGGTGTGCCACGGTGGTATGATCGGGTTGAGGTATCTTGTCGCGGTGCGGAAGGATCTCTTGGTCAAGAACTCTGATCTGATGGATGGGGTTTTGGAGGCTGTTATGCAGGGTCTTGGCAACTACGATGACGATGTGCGTGCTGTTAGTGCTGCAACGCTTGTGCCGATAGCGGAGGAGTTTGTCAACTCTCGGCAGTCGACTTTGGGCACGCTGATGAATATCGTGTGGGACTGCCTTTCCAACCTTCAGGACGACCTGAGTGCGAGTACTGGCTCGGTCATGGACCTTCTAGCGAAGCTATGCACATTCCAGCCTGTTCTGAACGCCATGAAAGAAAACGCGGCTGTCGACTCCGAGTCCTCATTTGGCAACCTTGTTCCTCGCCTGTACCCCTTTCTTCGGCATACCATCACCAGTGTACGTTCTGCGGTTCTCCGCGCCCTCACAACGTTCCTTCAGCTTGAGGGTGACGGCACGAATGATTGGGTAAATGGAAAGGCACTGCGCCTGATCTTCCAGAATCTACTGGTGGAGCGGAACGAAGGAGTCCTCAAACTCTCTCTCCAGGTGTGGTCAGAGCTGCTCAAATCTCTGGACCGTCGCGGGTCATTCAAGACAGATCAGGATTTAACCTCCCACATCCAACCGCTAGTCGCTTTGAGCATGGCGCCCTTTGGTGTTCCGCGTTACCCTATTCCCATGAATGCGTCGCTGTTCATCAAGCCGTCCGGCATTGCCTTCCCGATGAGTGCATCGGTTCCCGCCAAATCCTCACCTTCCAATGCTGTCCCGACAGATGGAACCAAGAAGCGCGGCCGCAGATCCGAGAAGAAGGAAGTGGCACCTCCACCATCTGCCCACAATGTCGACGGGCATATGCTGCAAGGCGATATTGATTTAGTCGGGGCTGATACAATGCTACGATCCAAAATCTATGCCGCCAAAGCTCTTGGGCAGCTACTGTCAATCTGGGATAAGAACGGTCTTGACAGTCTATGGGAATCGATACTGAACGGGTTGAGCCAGCCGGCATCATCATCGCAACTGTCATCCGCCATGATTGTGGAGGAATACGCCAAGATAGCCGGATCGGACAGCAAGTACATGTCTGCTCTGTGTGACAAGCTCCGACCAATTGTCGAAGGAGACCGTCCGCCATGGTACAGTGATATTGCTTGCTATTTACATGTCGCCCGCGCGCAGTGCCATTCGTTGCTAAATGCCTTCCGAGACCACGCGCATGTTCCTAGCGGTCGACTTCCTACTCTTGCTGTCGTCGTTCAAGGAGACTCTGAGGCTGGACCAAACGCGTTCTCCTTGTCTGACGCCGAAAAGGTGATTGGACCCGACTTTGACAGGCTGAAAAAGAACCTTGCACCTGCGCAGCGCATTACTGCTCTTCAAGTCCTCAACGATACTAAAGCGACGGCGGAGAATGCTGTGAGCGAGGCTAGAGATGCCAGAGAGCTAAGGGATATGCGAGTCAAGGCCGCCGCCGCGGGGGCCTTGGTCGGCTTCAAGGACATTCCAAAGAAGCCGGGTCAGCTCATCAAGGGCATGATGGACAGCGTCAAGAAGGAAGAAAATGCCGAACTTCAGCAACGCTCTGCAACTGCCGTCGCGGCCATGGTCGAGTATTACACTACGGCGGCCAAGCGAGGACCAGTCGACAAGGTTATTGGAAACTTGGTCAAATACTGCTGTGTAGATACTTCTGAAACTCCTGAGTTCCACCACAACGCGAACTTGCAAGAGTCTATTCTATCGCTTCGGAAAGAGGAGGACCGACGCGAGCATCCCGACGCTGCCAAGTTTGAGAAGGAGGCGCGAGACGCGAAAATCATGCGCCGCGGAGCCAAAGACGCGCTCGAGCAGCTGGCTATCAAGTTCGGCGCGCAGCTCACGGAGAAGGTACCTAACCTTGCAACACTGGTTGAGCGACCTCTTACCCAAGCTCTCTCCGGCGATCTTCCCGAAGATATCGTCGATCCCGAGAACGATTTGGGCCAGGAGGTGGTGGACGGGCTGTCTACCCTACGCGCACTGCTTCCCAAGTTTGATCCAGGGCTATATCCATGGGTTGTCAAGCTTATGCCCCTCGTTGTCAAGGCGCTACAATGTCGACTCTCTGTTATCCGGTACGCAGCCGCCAAGTGCTTCGCCACTATCTGCAGCGTTGTCACCGTGGAGGGTATGACCATGTTGGTGGAAAAGGTGTTGCCGACAATTAGCAATGCGCTGGACGTTCATCACCGCCAAGGAGCTGTGGAGTGTATTTATCATCTCATTCATGTCATGGAGGATGGCATCTTGCCGTATGTTATCTTCCTCGTTGTCCCGGTCCTTGGAAGGATGAGTGACTCGGACAATGATGTTCGACTACTTGCTACAACGTCGTTCGCGACTCTGGTCAAACTGGTACCTCTGGAAGCAGGAATTCCAGACCCACCTGGCCTGTCAGAAGAGCTGCTCAAGGGTCGTGATCGGGAGAGGAAGTTCATGTCCCAGATGCTGGATTCCCGAAAAGTCGAAGAGTTCCAGCTGCCAGTTGCGATCAAAGCAGAGCTTCGACCTTACCAGCAAGAGGGTGTCAACTGGCTTGCCTTCCTCAACCGGTACAACCTTCATGGTATTCTTTGTGACGACATGGGTCTTGGTAAGACGCTGCAGACCATCTGTATCGTTGCAAGCGACCATCACATGCGCGCCGAAGAGTTTGCCAAGACTCAGAAGCCAGAGGTCCGAAAAGTCCCGTCTCTCATTGTGTGCCCGCCATCGCTTTCTGGTCATTGGCAGCAGGAGGTCAAACAGTACGCGCCGTTCCTCAACTGCGCTGCCTATGTCGGGCCGCCTGCGGAGCGGTCGCGGCTGCAGGGCTCACTTGCTGAAGCCGATATTGTTGTGACGTCTTATGATATCTGCCGCAATGACAACGACTTTCTCCGGACGATTAGCTGGAACTACTGTGTTCTGGACGAGGGACATCTTATCAAGAATCCCAAAGCCAAGGTTACAATTGCTGTCAAGCGTATTCAGAGTAACCACCGTTTGATCCTGTCCGGAACGCCTATCCAGAACAACGTGCTGGAATTGTGGTCGCTGTTTGACTTCCTCATGCCAGGCTTCCTTGGTACGGAGAAGGTGTTTTTGGACCGGTTCGCCAGGCCCATCGCCGCCAGTCGATTCAGCAAGTCGTCGTCGAAGGAGCAGGAGGCGGGAGCTCTTGCAATCGAGGCTCTGCACAAGCAGGTGCTTCCGTTCCTGCTGCGTCGTCTGAAGGAGGAGGTGCTCAACGATCTGCCGCCCAAGATCATCCAAAACTACTACTGCGATCCTAGTGAGCTGCAAAAGAAACTCTTCGAGGACTTCACCAAAAAGGAGCAAAAGGCTCTGCAAGAGAGGATGGGCAGTTCCGAAAAGTCCGACAAAGAGCACATCTTCCAAGCCCTGCAATACATGCGCCGTCTCTGCAACTCTCCCGCCCTCGTTGTCAAAGAAGGACACAAACAGTACAACGAAGTCCAAGACTTTCTGCAGACGAAGAAGTCCCATATTCGAGATGTGTCGCACGCGCCCAAGCTCAGTGCTCTGCGCGACTTGCTTCTTGACTGCGGCATTGGTGTCGACCCGTCGAGTGAAGGTGACTTGACAACTGGTGGTAGCTATGTGAGCCCGCATCGCGCCTTGATCTTCTGCCAGATGAAGGAGATGCTGGATATCGTGCAGTCGGAGGTTCTCCGGAAACTCCTTCCGTCCGTCCAATACCTCCGACTCGACGGAGGTGTCGAGGCGACTAAGCGCCAGGACATTGTCAACCGTTTCAACTCCGATCCCAGTTACGACGTGCTTCTCTTGACGACCAGCGTTGGTGGTCTCGGTCTGAACCTCACTGGTGCAGACACGGTTATCTTCGTTGAGCACGACTGGAACCCGCAGAAGGATATCCAAGCCATGGACCGAGCACATCGTATCGGACAGAAGAAGGTCGTCAACGTTTACCGACTGATTACACGTGGAACGCTCGAAGAGAAGATCTTAAAGTGAGTCCACCTATCCCATCCTTCCTTTTCTAACAATGATACTAACCAACACAGTCTCCAACGATTCAAGATCGACGTCGCCTCCACAGTAGTCAATCAACAAAACGCTGGACTCAACACAATGGACACGGACCAACTGCTCGACCTCTTCAACCTCGGCGAAACAGCCGAACACGCAGAGAAACCCACAGAAGCCGGGGGCAACGAAGTCGACATGGTCGACATCGACGGCGAGGTCAAAGAAAAGGGCAAGAAGGGCTGGCTCGATGATTTGGACGAGCTATGGGACGAGCGGCAGTACGAGGCCGAATATAACCTGGATTCGTTCTTGACGACGATGAAAGGATAATTATAGTTTTTTTTTTTTTTTTTTTTTTTTTTTTTTTTTTTTTTTTTTTTTTTTTTAAAAAAAAAAAAAAAAAAAAGGGAAAGGATCGTGTGTTGCCCGCTTATGCTGGGGCAGGCAGGCAGGCTTGTACTTGTGTACTAGGGTGTGGTGTGTGTGTAGCACGGCGTTTGTGTTGAGGTTTGGCCCGGGCGTTGGCGGTTGCGCTGACTTGCTTCGCATTTCATCTCATTTGAATCGTCGCGACTATATGGTCAAGGCCAAGATAGATGACTTGGTTACTGTATTTTATGTACACTTAGCTTATTATCCTCGAATTTCTAGCGATCTTTCATTCTCTTCCACATTGACGCCCCTATTGGAGGTTCACGAACAACCCGCCATCAACCAACAGCTGCGCTCCGGTCTGTAGCACCAGTTAGTGTATACTCTCGTAAAAGGAAAGAGGAAGAAAACTCACCACATAACCACTCAACCCCTCACACCCCAAAAACACCGCCGGCCCCGCCAAGTCCCTCGGCTGCCCCAGCCTCCCCAACGGAATCCTCCCTTCCATATACGCCCTCTTGACAGGATCACTCATATCCTCATCATTAAGCTGCGTGCGGATCGTCCCGGGGAGCAACGCATTGCATCGGATATTGTACTTGCCCAGCGCGACCGCCGTCGACTGCATGAGAGACAGAACGCCCGCCTTTGTGGGCGTGTAGTGTGTTTGCTGCCCGCCGCCGACGAGCGCGCTGATTGAGCTGATCCCGATTATCGAGCCGCCCTGTGGGGACTGTGAGAAGGCCATTTGGCGGGCGGCGGCTTGTACGGCGTAGAAGGCGCCTGTGAGGTTTGTGGATATTGTGCCGCCTATGAGAGTTGGTGTTACGCTGTCATTGTTATCAGCATTGCTTTCTTCTCTCCCCACCAGAGAGATGCAGAAAACAAAGAAAAGAAACAGGGAAAGGGGAAAGGGGAAAGGAGAAGAACACATACTCCAAAAACTCCTCAAACCGACAAACCCCCGCATTGCTAACAAAGATATCGAGGCGTCCAAACTTGTCCACAACCTTCTTCACAAACTCGACCCCCGTCTCGGGCTTCGAGACGTCGCCGGCGACGGCGATGAATCTTTTCTCGAGTGTCGAATCTTGCTTTGTTTCGGAGAGGAGGGTCGAGATTTCGGATCGCAGTGAGGCGAGGTGTGGTTCGTCGGAGGCGCCGCCCAGGTGGTTTACGGCTACGTAGGCGCCGTGGTGGATGTAGTCGAGGGCGATTGCCTATCATCTTTGTTAGAGGGGTATTTCGATCGAGAGTTTGAATTGAGGTGGGAATGTGAGGAGAATACGTACGCGACCGATTCCAGTCAGGCCACCGGTGATGGCGGCGACTTTGCCGGTGAGGAGTTGAGGGAGGGCCATTTTTCTTTCTGTGAGATGAGTGCTGAGAGTGAGAAGGAAAGAAGAGATTCCAATTCGAGGGGAGGAGTCTGGGGAGAAAAGATGGGATATGAGGGGCGCTGGAAGGTGGGGATTCGGTGGTTCGTGGTAATCTTAGCCCGAGGTGGAGGGGTCGCGGCTGCGGGATTCGCCCGAGCTGGTGAACAGATCAGAGACTTGGGATACTTCGATTGGATAAACAAGATCTGTTCCTTTTATGATAGTTGGACGAGTCGACGATGATCCGGGGTAGAGTCATATCACCCGGTCATTGCTGACCTTAATTGTGGGGGTGGGTCCAGATATATATATATATGCAACTGGACGGCGCAGAGGGATGCTTCCAACGTTCCTTATTCTCAGGTACTTGATTTACTATAGGTGTACATATTAATCCTAGACCGGAGTAGCTAAGAAGCCCTAGCTGAAATACAGCCGGATGATCAACGAATCAGTAAGGAGTACCTTTCAGTGTGCATAAGTGAGAAACCAGTGCAACTTGGCCTAGGGGACAGATTTTCAGGAGTCACTCGGGCGAGATGGCATCTCTTTGCTCCAACCGATACCCAGGATTATGGCTAAAAGCTCGACTGACATGTCTGTACCTGGTCTTGGAGTGCCTTTGGGATTATGCCTCGGGATTTCAAACCAACAGTTTGCATCGCCCACCCATTTTGACAGACCGCCCATCGACAACACCTAGGAAGAGAATTAGGGCATGCTTGCCTCATTCCCTAAGCCTCCACTCCATCCTCTCCTCAGGTCATGAGGCGATAATCCAGCGTCCCGTTTCTCACCCACCGCAGCAACCCGCATCTAGGCGCTTAGACATGTTGGGCAACGATTGGACACGATGCCTCGAAAAAAGCAAAGAGGCCATTCTCACACTTGACTACAGGCTCTGCAAGGGCCTCTATGACCGGGGTCTAGGGTGGCAAGCCCAAAGAAGGAGGAGGCATAAGCCATGGGGCAACTCGTCCCCTCTGTTCGCTCACCGTCTTCCCTCCCCGCTCCAGCCCCCTTCTCTTCGCGCCGTCTCACATAAAGTTGCCAAATGACGATAACTTGCCCACCGCACTTTCCAGAAGCCTTATTCACTACCAGCAAACAAGATTATTCTTCGTTCTCATTACTGGAGTGATAGAATGGTCCAAGTCCGCCCGGTCTACGTACTTGGTGCGGTTGCCCTTCTTTTCGTCAGCTGGGACATCAGGTTCCTCCTCCGAATCCTTGCCACGGGAATCATCATTGCAGCTGTGGGAGCCTATGCTGTGTCTCAGGGGACTCGCAAAGCCAAAGAGTTAGCCTCTTCAGTGACAGAATCTGTCGTCAAAGAGGTGAAAGATTTTATCAGCGGGTCCATCAAGAGAAAGTATGAGGAGATCCGCACAGTTGTTACCAACACATCGAGGAGCGTGGGCTCCTTTGTCGTTTACGTTGCCAAGGATATTCAAACTGCTGCTGTCCAGGTACTATCACTCACCAGACTTGTTCTTTTCAGGGCTGCAGAGTGGGTTGGACTGAAGAAGTGCGAAGATGACGACATAGGGAATACCACTGCACCAGGTAGACCATGCTCCCCTCACGTTGTGTCCCCTGACTGACTTGGGTCCTGCTTAGACGCACATCCACTGCGATACCTCTTCGTCGTCTCCCTCAAACACGGCCGTGCCTTCGGAGCCATAAAATCTGAGCTAGCAGGAATAGACCCATAGATGGAAGCCATCGACTGGGAAAGCAAAGAGACAGAGGGACAGCCGGAACCAAAGTGCTTCATTCGACATTTCGTCATCTGTCTCTTGCCTGAGAGTGTCTGGGACGATGAAGGTAGAACTTTGAGAGAAAAGTTCCGCAAAGCGACCTTCTGGGAGCTCGTCGGACCCAGTGTAGTGCCGGGGTAGGGCGATGCTGCTGGCTGGGTGGACGAGAAGATTGAGCGCGTTGACGGGATGCTCAATGTCGGGAAGACGAGCTATACTAACGAGGCTGTTTCAGCACATTGCATGTCGCGTCCACTGGCCTTTCTGATTCTCGCTGACCATGATTAGATCACCAACTCCGCGAGGCCTGGGAAACATATGACACTGTTTGGTGGAACTGCTTCGACTTTGCAATCCGGTTGGCATATATGCTGATTCCCGACGAACCGACGGGCCTACTGGGAAATCTTCAGATGGCTATCTGGGCCTCCCGCATGCATTATACGTATGAGGCGCATGAGCGCACGCGTCGAAGATCCTGGTGGGAGACGAATCGTATTATTCCTTTTGTCCTTGGTAACGGGTTGACTGCAGTTGCAGCTGCAGCTAACCCTGCTACCGCGATAACTTATGCAGCTGGGTTCCTGATCATGCATTATTCCAATACTGGTGACCCACTATGGAACGCAGTCTGTCGTGGGAGATTATCCTTGTGGAGGCAGCGAAACGGCCGACTCATTGAGAGGTTTGAGAGGCTAAGAGAACTGACGGCAGAGCTAGAGCAGAAGCTTGAGCAGACACGGGGACAGACGCAGGCATCGACGTGAGGAATCGATGGATAGCCCTGTTCCACAAGAGAATGGCTCTTGTTGGCATTGGGGAAAAAAGCTCACGATTTAGACTGCAGAATATCAACCTTGCAACTGCGCTGAAAACGACCATGCCCACTTCAATCGCCTGCTAGTTCAAAGTTAGAGCATGTCGGTGATATCCGCCCAGTAGAGTGAAATAGATTGATTGTGTGAGTCTGTGTCTGATGGAAGAAGGCCAACCCAGCTGTTAAACATTTTCCAGCCTTTCGCTCGCTTCGATGATGTTGGACTGCGTGTTGATCCCCGCTTGATTCTTGGCAAATACGGGAGGTTGGCGTGGCTGCACGCTCAAAAGGAGGATAACACTTCAAGTGATGGCTTACCAAAATACTGCGGAAGAGAGATGTTGACATAAAGCCTGGAGGTGAACTTGACAGGGCTCTTCTGGCGGAAACTCATCTTTTGGCTCCGATGGTCTGATGTGGTAGCGACTGAAAAGGGTCTACATAGCGCCCATCCCCAGCTGCGAAAGAACATTGAAAGAACAACCTTCGACCAAGCTACTTAGGTAGCCTCATCCATCAAGATAATGATGATTATGATGATGATGATGACGCCGCTTCTGAGGAAATATTCAGTCATCACTTGCCAAGATGGAATTGCGGCCGTCGGCGATTCAGCCTTTCCAGGGCGGCGCAGGATAGCCATTCCAGAGGTGCCTGCGCTGGCAATTCCTCTTATCACGACACTAAGGACACTGTCCCCACGGCAGCAGCCACAAACAGTCTGCGGAGTCTGCGCCTTGAAGAGTCGAAATCGGAACTCAAGGCTCGAAAAAACCATCGCTCGACGTCAACGCGACGGACAACGCAGAGAGTTGATGCGAGATGGCGGCGGACAAACTTCCGGACCTTGTCATCGATACAAAATGACAAGTCGAAACCCACGAAGGATGCTGTCAAGATCATGCCCAAGCGCGGTCGGACCGATTATTATCGGGAGTTGGAGGCCATTGCCAAGTTCTCACAGAGTTCTAGCGGGGTTTGTCCACTCGCTGTTTTCGCGACAAATACTGACTTTTCTAGTATGAAGGATTGTCCGGCTGGTACAAAACTGAGCGATCGGCTTTTATCGTCATGGAGCATATGAAGCACGGCAGTCCTGTGTCGCACTTAAACTGACCGTTGCCAGAGGAGGAAGTGAAGCACATTACCTTCCAAGTCTTGGAGGGCCTGGCTTCTCTTCATGAAAGTGGCTTTGTGCACCGAGATCTCAAGCTAGATATCAGTGAGGCGCTCCCTGGCTAAAGGGCTTTGCTAATACATACAGGACATCCTGGTGGCGTTAAAAGGGCCCAGATAGTAGGTCAAGTTTAGTGACTTTAGGTTCAGTAAACGTGTCACCAAGGGTAACAACCTACAGATAATCATTGGAACATAGAACTACTTTACACCTGAGATTCTAAGCCTAAACCACTTAGTTAGACAACTAAATCTTGCTGCACATGTGCAGTCAATATGTGGTCTTGGAAGTGACTATCTTCTATATGCTCTGTCACTCTTATCCATTCAAGGATCGAGAACTACTGGCGTACGCCCAGGGCGCACCTTTCCCGGCCGCAGATCTGTCGTTGCATAATGTCATCTAGCACCATTTACTTATTTGGAAGCCTGATGGCTGCCTAAAAGCGGGGGCTGATATGTTGACAAAAGGCCGCGTGAGTCTGGTAGCCTTGCTAAAATGTCTAGGACCCCCAATCTTATCGATTATTTCACCTCGGTCTTCCCAGATTTAAGCTACCAAGTCGGCTATCAGATTTGGAGACGCGAGGTGTCCGACGGACGTTGGAAGACGTCACGCGTGCCCAGGGCTACCCAAGGTGCGTTCCTAACCTCATCCAACCCCGAGCCTTGTTTGACTGACTTCTCACGCTTGAAGCACAATTATAGTTGTCTCCCAGGCGCGCCGAAACCGGCATCATGTCGGATGACTCTTTGGCGAACATACTGATGATAGAAGCTGAGCAGCTGCTCGAAATGTACAATGAAGACCAAAGCCAAGAGAATCTTCTAAACAACGCTGTGCAGGGCGCAAAAAGAGCAGTGCAGATTACGAGGGCGAACCATGTCACTGGCCTATCTTTACTGGCGACCTGCCTCTACCATCGAATCCAAAACCGCTTCTCACTCGATGACTTTGATCAAGCCCTCGAGGCCGTACAGGAGATGAGCAGCCTAGCTCATGATGACCCCGAGAGCCAACTCGAGGCGTCGCAGCTTCTGACAAAGCTCTACAAGCAAAGGTTTGATGCCTTGGGGGAACTGAGTGACCTGGACGCAGCAATTGCCTTTGGACGGACCTGTGCGAATTCGACAGCGATTGAACCTTCGCAACGACTGATACATTTGATCAATCTTTCGACACTGCAGAGTGATAGATTTGAGCTTTTACGACGAGCGGATGACGCTGAGTCGGCCGTGGATTCCGCACGCCAGGCTGAGGAGTTGGCCAGTGGAATGAATCCAGCAGAACAAGCTTCAGCGGCTGCGGCTGTGGGCGCTGCGCTCTTGAGGCTGTGCCTGGCAGGCCGGCAATTGGGTGGAGTTGATCAGCTCAACCCTGCGATTGAGAAAAATCAATAGTGCAATGCAGCATAGTCCACGAGGCCCGGATCTTGCCCGTTGGCATCACAACATTGCACTTCTCCTCGAAATGCGCTTCGAGCGTACCGGTGACAGGCAAGTCCTCGAGGATGCAATTGTATCCACTCAGTCGGCCGTGGAGGCCACTGCGCCCGAGACAAGAAGAGACCCTTAAGATCAAACTCTCCTTGGAACTTGCTTGAGCGCAAGTTTATGTGCACTGGCGAGCCAGAGTACCTTGATTGTTCCATCGAGCAGCTTGAATTGGCCAAGGAGCTGTCTTCAAACTACAAGAGCGCCGAGAGAGCTGGTTGGATCCAAAACCTGGCCTTTACCTTGGCTACCAGGTTTCACGGGCATGGCAAGATTGAGGACCTAGAAAGGGCTGTTGAAAATTCGAGGCAGGCGTGCAAAGAAGAAAAGGGTCGCCAAGACTACGCCATGTAGCTTGACACTCCCTCTACCAACCTTTGCTTGCTGCACGAACAGACGGAGAGTCTCAATTTACTGGAGGAAGCTCTCCAGAGAGGGAGAGAGGGAGAGAGGCAAGGGAATTAGCAGAAGAGAGCGCAAATCTTTGATGCTCAATGGGCTCGCTAATTTCAGTATATAACCCCGTATCCTAAGCATAGCGATGGAAATCTAGTGCTCTCAGGCTGCCGTACCACATCGGATTGAATCCATAAAACCGCCAGGCGTTTCACACCAAGGACCTTCCAATAATCCAGACCGACTTCCAAGCGCGGTTCCTAGAAATCCCAGATACAGCGCCCGAGTGCCTCTAGACATGCGAATGTATTAGCATCCCCACACGCGAACGAACACAAAATCCATCAAGGGGTCATACGTACGCGAAGTACATTTACTATCGGTATAATGCCCGTTGAGATAGCAGCCCAGACTGCTACTCCACTGCCACGACCTAAGCACGACGACGAGCCTCGTTAGCGAATCCAGAATCCACATCTCTCTTTCACAAACCCGCGTCATTGCCTTCCTTCGCCTCCCCCTCATGCCCCATCTCTAATCAAGATACGCATCGTTGCAAGTAATTGGGAAGAAGTATACATACGCATTGCTGACCCCATCAATCACCACCCTCTCGCCCGTAACAAAGCAGTCAAAGGTATACGAGGACCCCCTGCTGAGCTTGCGCTTGACCGACGATCCGGTGCTGAACGAGCTGCGGCAGTTGACCGTCGAGGCGCCCGTGATGGTGCGTCAGCCATCTCACCTGCATATAGGCCGGATTCGCTTGGAGATGCATTCCTGGGGAGGTAAGGTAGTTCGCAGGGAGAGCATGGCTGGCGGAATGGAAGTGTGATAGCATTGCATGAAACTCCTGTAGAAGGGGAAAGCGATAGTCTAATGATTAGATTCTACAAAGCCTTATTTTGCAAGGTACTCCACCTTTACAGAGATGAGAACTATCTCACTGCTGGCTTATATAGGTACTGACTATTCTTCGTACCACTACTAACATGAATTATCATAAAGGTAATTGTGTTGGATAAGTGATTATCTGGGTAGGCTCTCTCTGACACTGATTATTTATCCTTGGTCTTTACGACCTCCGGGTCATACTGCCGTGTCACATGGGCCGGTATTTCAAACGCAGCTGGTATAGAGTATTCGTGCTTACTTGACATCTCAGCCAGCCACAATGAAGATCTCTATTCTCTGGCCAGAGTACTCGAGCATACACTATGAAGTAGAGCGGTTACGCGTTAACAGAGGCTTGGTTGAGGCAGTCATAGAAAGCTACTTAAACCCGGCATCCAGCTCGCAAATCCCCAAACAATCACATTTTCCTTCACACTCAAAGCGCCCACCCACTGCCGCCCTCCCCAAAAATGGTCAAATACTCAAACCTTTTCGCACTGATCACTGCTGCTTTTGGCGTCACAGCCGCAGCCGCACCCACAACATCACCGTCCACTCCTCAACCCATCGTCTCCCTCTACCGAGCCTTCAACCCCAGAATCCACGACCACTTCTACACAACCAACCTAGCCGAATACACCAACGCCGTGCAGAATCTCGGCTACTCTGCCGAGCAGACGGCATGCCGGATCCACTCCACCGAGCAATGGGCGACCGTGCCACTATACAGACTATATTCCGGATCCCGCACCGACCACTTTTACACGACCTCGGCAGCAGAGCGCGACAGCGCTCTCCAGAACTCGGGATACAGCGACGAGGGCATTGCGGGGTACATCTACCCAGCGGATTCGTCGCTCCGGCTGCCCGGTTTGACGCCGCTTTACCGGCTGTATAGCCAGCAGGTCATGGATCATTTCTTTACCGTCTCGCAGGCGGAGAGGGATAACACGATTGGGAGGCTGGGATATTATGATGAGGGGATTGCGGGGTATGTGTTTCCACCGGAGTAGGTGGGTTGGATGGGGTTACACATTTGCAATGTGATGTGGTTCAGCTGCGATAGTGTATGTATGTAGCAAGTCTTCAACAACTTGAATAGCTTATAATTCATTGCTCAATCGATTTTTTTTTTGCGGACTCGTAATTCCACTATGTAAGCAGAGCCTCTTCGGCGTAGTCACACTGACTGATCTCTCTGAATAAACGGACCTGAACTTGAACGACCAACCCAGCCAGCCTATGATAGCCTCGCGCAGCAAAAGGGGATGTCACCTAGCCATCTAGCGTGATGTTATGATACGCAAGGAGTTTCGCGAGCAGGTCCCTGTGAGGCCACACTTGCTTCTCGAGAGACTGCGTGGAAAATAGCTGCTTGATCGTGAGAAGTTTCACAGTTGTCTTCTTGGGAGGAGTTCGAGGCCTCAAAAGAGGTTGCATACGACTTAACTATTACACCACAAGAGAGTTCACGTGCGGGTTCTTGCGGGTGGCTGATTGTCTCATGTGAGGCTGAAAGGCAGTTTATGGATGACTGATAGAACTCGATATTCAACCAAACTGGTTTCTGACTGAGGTACAACTCTACCGTTTTGATTTTCACAATTGAGGCATAAACTCGCAAGCCAAGAATAGCTTGCGCCGCATTCTCGGCTGCGCACACAGCCGGAAGCCATCCTCTTCTGGTTGGAAATCCTGTGGAACATACCCGGCGACCCTTAGCGAGACGAGTTTGGGACACTGCAACTTGGCCTCCCTCCGCAGCTCCTTCAACTGTACACTAAGCTCCTCCGGGTCATCACACGCATGAAAAAATTCGATTACCAAATTATCCAACGACGCTGGCAAAACATCCATCGCGATCTTCTTCGTCCTCGCACCCTCCATTCTCACAAGAATATCGTCAGCACAAACCCTCAACCGCCGCAGGACCTGGAACTCCTTAAAAGATCCAATAAACCCCGACTCCCCAAGCCCATTCACGTGCTGACAGCAAAGCTCCACCTCTTCAAGCGACCCCCTATGCCTCCACAACGATGCATAGAACCTCCGTGAGTCAGTGAACCTATCCACGCCATCATACCCCCCATACTCGTACACAAACGAGACGAGTCTGCGACACGCCCGAATAAGATCCGGGAAGCCTTTTCGGCTATTAGACCCAATAAGCCGGATATGCGTAACATTGGAAAAGGCTTCGGCGCCAGGGTAGCAGCGGAAATTCCCCTCTGGGTCATCTTCGTACTCGGGAGCTGGCTCATAGTCTGAGTCATAGAAGTCGTCTAGTGGACCATCCTCACACAATTCTTTGGCGTCCTCTGGCTGGCCATCGGCTACCATTACCCCGTTGAAGGTGTGGAGCGAGGGGAGTCGGAAGAAGGGAAGGATGTATGAGGATCTGATGCCAAACTCTGAGCGCGCGCTGAGTGTGTGCAATCGCGAGAAGAGGAAGGGGGGTTCTGGACCATGTGGATTGGGGAGAGTACCAGTCGCAGGGCTTATCATTGTGAATAGTTTGCGAATATAGAACGATGGATGAGAGAATGTAAGACTCAACTCCTCGACATTTGGCACGATCGAGAGAATAACCGCAACCCAGGGTTCAATTTCGTCTGCTTCTCTTAGTTGTTCCTCCCATTTTGCGACTAGTTTATTTGCATTTGCTCCCGCATCCAAAGAAGCAATACTAGAAGAAACCTTCTCAATAAGAGGAAAAATAACACTCGGGTCATAGCTAACTGTCTCTTCAATGCGCGAGCACAGTTCAGTCTCGAAGCCTAGAACGCGAACAGCGCGTGCGCATCGCGGGTTCCGCGCGAGGACATGGGTTAGTCGGGTGATTTGGTAGTGCGTCTCGTCGTCTAGCGTTAGTGATGTGAACGCGTGGATGTAAAGCAGGGCGTGCAGCGATCGTGTCGTTGAGGCAAGGTTTAGGATGTCCTTTTGGTTGTTGATGTGGGATGTGATTTGAAGGAGCAGTTCAGGGGGGAGGGTTAGGAGGATGGCCATTGTGTACTGGATTACAGATGTTTTCTTTTGGAATTTGGGCTCTTGCAGTTGGGTTGGGGGCTTATGTATTCGTTCCGCTCTGGTTTCGAAGCATTTCTTGACGAGACGATTGATCAAACCAAGCTGCGCGGGTTGGGGTCCGGAGGCGCATTCGTTCCAGGCAGTAACCGACTCGGGATCTGGCCTAGGCTCCCGTCGCACTGAGACGAACAGGTCGTGCTCACTGCCTGAGATTTGAGCTTGGGCGTATGGCATATATGGGCCTTAGCCCAAGTGGAACCTAATGTTCTCGGCAGATTTCCGGTATGATATTTCCCTTGGTACACGATAGTCCATGACTATCAGTCCGGCTTCTGTATTGCACTGGAGATGGCTGAAAACCATGCGGTAGATGGCTAGATCTGAGATTATTTTAAATGTTTGCTATGAGAAATGCCATGATTGGCTGCAACACATGGGCAATCGCGGCCCATGTGGAGAGCTCGCAGGGAATCGGCCAACATGAGTGGCACGCAGAGGCCGTTCGCTGCAAATTAGGCTGGTAGCCTCCTCGTATTCCCTCACTTAGAAGTCGGCTAGCGGCCGCAGCCAAGGTTGCTCCTGAGGCTTGAGCACTCAACAGTTAGCACGCACAGCTCTCTCCCGCGCTGATACAAGCACGCATCGAAGTCGCAGGCTTGTCCCTACATTGACTTGACTATTGGTCTTGGAAGTGGAGAGAGGCTCTTGTCTCGCCAAGGCTGAACCCCACAAGTACTGGCTTCGGCAACTGCTGGCATTCGATGTCCAATTTCGAGATCCCAAGGTGGGTCAGCACATGTTACAATTAGATGAATGCTTTAATTGCGCTGAACAAGTGATTGTTTATTGTCAGGTCTACTGCTGTAGGGGACTGCTAGCTTACAGTGTCTGGCGAAGGGCATGCATTAGTAGCAGGCACAAGACTCGACCATTTCCCAGCCCCGTTCAGCCGTAGGGGAAATAAGAACAGCTGAAAGCCCAGAACCTTTTGACCATCACTGCTGCTGCTCGAAAACCAGGTTGTCGCAATGCCCGCCCACTCCCTTGGTAATACTGAATCCGACACTGTGTCTGTTCATAACCCCGACCATATAAATGTCGACCCAAAAACACACGCCCAGCAAACGTCCAATGTCCCTACGGATGGGCGTGAAAACACACCGGCAAAATGGGGAATCAATGGCAGTGCCCCGCCATGATGGTTGGCCCTGTGATCTGCGGCGCCCTTTTGGCATTCGGCCATCGCCTGTACTATGACAGCCTCAACGACACGCGTGTCCACTCGATTAACCAGCGGACTTGGGCGCTTCAAATTGGAACAGGCTTTGCATTTCTAATCCGGTCCTTCCTGGTTGCTGCCGTTGGAGTCGCAGCGATGCAGGAGCTTTGGGCGACGCTGCGCAAGAAAAGTATCCGGCTCTATGGAATTAACAGCATGTTTGTGGTCATGGGAAGCCCGCTTGCGCTCCTCACGTGGGAAGTCTGGGTTTACGCGAAGACACTGACTCTTCTCGCAATCCTTGCATGGTTAGGATACAGGCCTGCCGCGTTTTAAACTCTCTACTCACCACTGTCTAGGCTCATCTCCCTAGCCGCCATTGTTACCCCGGCCACCCTCTCAGTCCGCCTCCTCACAACATTCAACACCACCGTACAATCCGCCGTCTTGATAGTTCCTTGTGCGGTGGTGGTTGTGGTAATTTTGAACCGAACCCTCGAGGAACGCCCGTTGGTCAAGGGCTGGGCCTCCTTCACGGCGACATTGGTTATAGATAGAGTTTGATCCTGCTCACATGTCTCAAACTCAACCTCGCTCCATCCCCATGTACAGCTTGTATTCTGTATGGTAGAGGTAGAGAACATAACTCGCACCTTCGGGCCATTATTCCTGTACTTGGTCTTCTCGGCTAACAGACTTGACCTGATCTGCAGATGAGCACTGTGGGAGTTGCGGCACGGACAACTCCAGTGCGATTCGTGTATAATCGCTCGCAATATGCCCTCTGCGTTTTTTCGGACAGCCCGGAGCTGTGGTAACAGCTGCCTCCAATCGCTACGCCGCTCCCGGTTTGTCCTGGTCTGGCTTGATTTCTCGATTAACATTTTGAGGACATCGTTGGCATCTTTCATTGGTTGCTAGGATCAACTTCTGCGGCGAAAGTGATTCAATCGGTCGGACAATACTCACTTCCAGAGAATCTAAGACTCTAGCGCTGGCTTGGTTCTGAACGTAAAGACTTCAATCACTAATTATATAGTTCTAGAAACTACATTAGCACCCTATAGAGTCCAGTATTCCATTTTATTGGTAAACTCAACCAGGCAGTGGACCATTAAAATCAACAAGAGGCAAGGATCACCACGCTTAGCATACAGCCAGGTAGGTAGAGATATGAACGCAGGGTATTCACAAGCCTTTAGCAGTATTCCTGGCGACCTACAACGTCCTATAAGAACGACCTATTAAAAAAGCTCCAGGGCTGGGTCTTGCAAGGAACCACCCGGTAAACGTGGGCGCCCTAAGAGTATCTGATAATATTATCATAATATTAGTAGAAAGGCACATCTCGACATAGGCAGTTAGTTGCCTCCTAACTGCCTCGGTTCCCACAACAACAAAAGGTGGGTTAGGGGCTTGACTTGGGCCGGATAGTCAATTACATCTTAGGTCGTTTCTTAGTGAGCCTGGGTAATACAGTCAGCCAGGGGCCAAGCTACTCAGGGCGTGCGGGCTCCTGGCTGCCTCGAGTAACAGGATATAGATTAGGGCGCATGAGCCTGATGGCTAAGGCTTACAGGTAGTGGGCGTGCCTGCCTGTGGGAGCGCGATAGCAAGGCAGGCACACAAGAGGCCGGCCCCAAATACCCTGATAAAATTCATGACAAAGTATGGGTGTGTTAGAGAATGAGGATTGGCTTTAAGAACGAGTGAGAGTAGGAAATGGGTCATGAGCAAACCCCGGGCTGTTTATATATGCAACCGGCGGCCCCTTCACTGACTATCTAAACCACTCGTTGGAGTCACAGAGTGTACCGAGGCTCGGGTCTAATCGAAACCAAGGTGGTGTGCTCGTTGGAACCTGTGCCCCTGAAGAATTTCAAGAGAGTATGGGTTGCGGCAATCGAGAGGGAAAACATAGGGAAGCTGGAGCCAAGTACCCCTTGCATGATTCTGAAGCGAAGCACCCCGCGCGGATCTACAAGTGTTAACTAGTGCTCTTGGCTTGTGATGTGTTGTAGCCAGGCGGGTGCGAACGGTCCCTAAAGGCTGGTAATTCCGGTGTGGGGGTTGCCCCGCATTCCTCAGACAGGGTATCTTGCTGACTGCTGTAAAATGGCCATCTATATACTTAATTTTATGCCTGCACTCACCGTCAACAAGAACAATCCCACGGCTATGGACCAACCACGAGAAGGGAGAGATGAACCCGTGAGGTCTGGACACTGGCGGCGTTGCGGTCGCTGGTAGAGCGCCTTTACGGGCTGGGGAAGCGGCGTGCTGTAATCAAGGTACCGATATTCAGTCTGCGTATTAGTATGTTTGTATTCTTTTGTATCTCCGTCATCAATCGTCGTCCTAGTGCGTACTTCCATGGTATTTCCGAGCCTGAATTCTGCAATTGGCGTCATTAGCCTGTGCTGTATTTGGAAGACAGTTTCCGAGGCTGTCAGTGATGATGAAAAGTGGGACCAAATTTCCATGCCATTTGTCACTAGACAAGGCTACTGCACTGCACGGACGGTATCTATGTCTGCTCTGCCGAGAGGGTCGCTCCCTTGTAAACCTACGCATCCCCATCCCCATTCCCATCCCTAAAGATCACCATCGCCGGCAACAGCGGTCCCGGCCCATCCTTCTAGGCACTGATTGACCCCATAAGGGGAAAGCCATCACAGACTTCGGATATTGCCCAGATGACGATAACCAACACCACCACTGCCACTGTGGGCGCTATCTCGGAAAATAGCACCCTTACAGAAATTACCACAATGCTAATGCTAGAAATGGAGCTTGGACACACAGGGCAGCATGAGAGCATGGGCAGTTAAAAGAGTTTTTGTTTATAATAGCTAGAATATCCAGCGAGATGCACATGGAGCGTGTGATTTGATCCAGGCCGGAGTGCTGCCTGAGAATAGTCCCCGCGTAGCATCCCGAACATTGGCCAGAGGGATTCCTGCTTGAAATATCTGGCAAGGCCCTAGATTATTCAGACTATGTTACCCTAGTTAGTACATACATAGGCCCCTATCCGCGGAAAGTAGCCGATACTTTTATAGAGATCACCCGCCAGTCTTTGCAGGGCTGATTTAATCAAAATGAAATTGTATATTCCCAGAATGATCTCCATCGCCAGAAAATAGTCTACGTCTTCCTCGAGGTCCCCTACCCAACCGCATCCGCATGTATGCAATGGGATTCGCGAGTGAGAAGATGACCTGACTATTCGGAAACAACAGGGGCGACACCACTCTCGACATCACGGTTGAGCTTAACAATGGCGAGCACATCCTCGAAGCTGCAGGCGCGGATATGATTGTGGAAAGAACACCGGACCTGACACCAGTCCACACCACATAGTATGTCATATAGAACTATATATCGCACCAGCTACTGAGCTGATATCATGACACCTTCCTAGTCTACTAGAAAAGTGTTACATCTCAAGATGGTTAAAGCTTTTCTCTCTCTCAGTGCATATGTCTTATTAAACTGTAAAAAAGAGAGGCCGCTGAGACAGTATGCTGCGGCGAGTCAGTAGGATAAGGCTATTAGTATTCTGGCTAATGCTGGATCGCCGAACCATCTGAGTTGTGAGATCTGTGGGCAGCGTCTTCCACCCTGAGGTCTCGTATGCGGAGAAGAGACGGCAGTGGCACATTTTCAAGGGGCCAGTCGGTCTTCCGGGCCTTCCTCATGACGCAGCCAGTGCAATGCTCAGGGGCGGCTAGAGTCTTATGAAAGAAGGATGAATTTCTGGAGTAGGTGAGCCCGCAACAGCACCACCTCGCCACAAAATGAGCAGATGGTTGCCAAGAGGGGTCCTTTCGTATTTAGTAGGGCTTGATTCGATCTTCCCGAGTCATGAGAACAAGATGTCTCAGTTGGAATCACTCGCAATGACGCAAAAGCCACCCTTGACAACCGCGAACCCAGCCAAGATTGAAGGCTGAGACAAACCCGAGAAAGACACAGTCCCAGAGGACTCTTGACGGCGCAATTTCCCCTGCTAAGCTACCTAGTTCGACCCTGGCGCAGTGCTCGGGCTCCTGGCAAAGTCTATCTCTCGTGATTTGCTCACGCTTCTGGGGGAATACGAGCTCCATGTCTCTCATGAAAAAGGCACACCCCGCCGAAAACGCCGATCTTTGCATGATATAAGGTCCTGCGCAGACGGGGCTGCAGGATCTATCATTCAATTCCAGGAGTCGTGCGACAATCAAGGCCAGAATGCGAATCTCTACCCTCATTCCGCTCCTCTCCGGAGTCTCCGTCGCCGTCGGGCAGTACTACGAAGCTCGCAAGCTGACCGAGATCCAACCCAGCAACACCCGCTTCACCGACCTCGCCTTCCGCGGCGAGACCGGATACATTCTGCTGACCGCAGTCGGGGGAACGGTCCACCAATTCGACTCTTTCCACCAGCACGGCGGGCCGCAGACACTCGCCACAGTCGTGCAGCAGGAACTCGCCGGGATTGTCGAGCTCGACACGGACCGCTATGGCGTCACCGCGTGGTCGCAGAACGGAGACGCGCCTACAATGTCGTTGTACGAGCTCGACCTGACGGAGCCGGCGACAGCAATGTGGCCCATCGGTTCGCCAAACAGGACCCCTGTGAACATCAAGCTCGGTGGGCTCGCGGCGATCAACTCCCACATTTCGTTCCAGGTCGATACTGGCGCCGCGCTCCGGGGCATCAACTGGGCGGACGGGACTCTCTTCAAGGATCCCTACTTTGATCAAATCCAGCCCGGCACTATCGGCATTGCATACCGCGCGCCGAACCTGTACGTCACCGATGCCCAGGCCGGAACGTTGAAGCGGGTCAAGGTCAACGAGGTCACCGGGGCTGTCTTTCCGAGCACGTTTGAGACGCTCGTCACATCGTCTTTCCTCAAGGGTTGCGCGGGCATTGCGCTCTCGCACTGGAATGAGGATATCTTCGTGACGAATCCGACACTAGGAGCGATTCTAAGAGTGAATCTGCAGACGAAGACTGTGCGCTTTGTTAGTGTCAATTCGATCGTCAAGCCTGTGGCCGCGGAGTTTGCGCCGTGGGGCGGGCTGTATGTTGCAGCGCAAGGGGATAACAGTGTGGGATCGAGCGTTTGGTCTGTCAAGGTGCCTGATGAGCCAGCACGGTGAAGTAGGTATGCAGGGGCTGTGTAACGGTCTACATTATTTTATTTGAACACACCAGCCTGGTCAGCCTGGACGGGGACAGTGAGGGGGTTCGAGGCACTCGGGAATATCCTTCATGACTCGAACTATACATCTAATCGATCTTCAAAGTCTTTTTGCTCTTTATGAGTTGATGTTAGTTAAAATAACCTTCTAGGACTTAACTATTACGCCGCAGGGTAAAGCAGGGGTTTTCCCTGCTGCGCCATGACCTTTCCGACGTCCTTCGTCAAGATCTACAATCATCAAAAAAAAAAAAAAAAAAATATTAAATTGAGAAATCGATGCTTCAGCGGCGAGAGACCTGGCCCTGGATGAGTCGCTCCTGCTGAGTCAACCACATTAAACCTAAGGAGGCAGACACTCTTGCGAAAGCACCTTGCCTGCTTTCCGACCTCCCCTCTCACGAAACCGGATTTCCCCGGGAGGGACAGTGATCAGCATGTCCTCCCAAGAAGAGGACTCCCCATTTATAGGTAGAATCTCGTCCTCACCGAGAACCTCAACGCCTTTCTTCTCTAGCAACGCGCGAAGGTCCCATATCACCTCGTCTACACCCTTATACCCCCCACTCCACGCCTTGACAAGAATCCCCCCCATCCTCGCCTCCTCTAACTGGTGAAACCTCCTCTTACTTAATAACTGCCTCTCCTTCCGCTCATCCCACCACGTAGGCCACCCCTCGCCCGTTGCTGGATCCTCGGGGAAAAGCATTGGCCACTTCACCCGTGGCCGCGGCGGCTGATCCACCGCGAACCCATTTGTAAGCAGGAGCCAGAATAGCGTGGCCCAGTCACAGATATCACCACGCGGGGACGCAAGGAGCTGCTCGCCGGTCTCTGGGTCATATTCAGCCTCCACGTCGAGGAGGAAGTCAAGGTACATGTTATTCGCGCGGCAGCCGCCGGATAGGAATGTTGGGTCCTCGTCGCTGGGCACCGTCGCGCAGATGAAGCTCGTCACTGCCATGGAGAAGTCCGCGCGGATCCAGACAGAGCAGTCACAGAAGTTGCTGAGGTAGACCGCGTGCGAGTGCAGGAAGCGGAGGGCGCCAAGGGTCTGCAGCGCCCAGCGGTAGTACAGGCGGAGGAGGAGCGGCGGGGGAGAGTCATTGTCCGGAAGCGGGACGGGGCTGAGGACTGGTAGGCGCATGCCCTCCAGCGAACCCGGGGTGACGAATTCGAGCTTGAACCCGGGCGTGAGCGGGCCCAGGTACCTAGCTGTATTAGCAAAGGCAGCAGCGTCCTTGTTGTTTATTGTTCACTCACTTGACGATGCGCGGATGCTGCGCGCCCCCAGCAGCCTCGAGAAGAAACTCATGCGCATCTCGAGCCCGGACTTCGTATGGATTAGGCTCATCGGGAAAGTCACAATGGTGCTTTCCTGCATAGGCAACTAGACACGTGCCATCCCGGTGAGGAACGACCTGCACTGGTTCCATGAACAACGCGTGGATCCCCGCGCCCTGGTCGGCCTCCGGAGGGACCAGCGGCGGTGTCGAACCACGAGCGGCAGCTTGTGCTTGCCACTTCCGCCGAAGCTCGCGGGCGTCTTCGATGGCCTGCATGCCTGAGAAAAGACCGCCCATCTTGAGCGGGAATTGCTATGAGGACTGCGGATTCGCACGAGATGTACACGGAGGAGACGGTTCCCAGTAGCAGGGGAAGTGCGGTGCGAAAGGAGGGAGATAAACAGACAAGGAGCGAGGTTTAGCTAGAGGACATATGATGCCAAGCACATCGCTCGAGCCAATCATAGTATGTGAGTGCATGGAGAGGCTTGGTATTCACTATCCCAGGGGTGACGGCGTGGTGGCTGTTTCCACGTGACCTTCGCTACGGCGCTGATACCTCAGCCCCCCACGCCGACGGTATAGATGGAGATATCTAGCTGACCACACTCTTCACAAAGTGCCTATACAGTACGCATATCCCGGCCAAAGGCCACTACAGTCCCCGTTCAGCGCCGGATTTAAAGCATACAGCTCCTCGAGTGGAATCCCTGCGGCGGCTGCCATGTCATAACAGAAAATCCCTTCCTGCTGCATCACCCACCGATTGCAGTTGGCGGGAATGCCCCCCTGTGTCGGTCCGGGGGCCGCATTTCCAGGACCAGGCGAGGTAGATGTGGGTGGTGGGGTGGTGGCCGACGTTCCAGATTGGAGCCCCACACACACATAGTAGCCAGGCCACAGCGACGCACAATCTGGGCCGATGGCCGGGTTCCATGTGTACAGCTCCCCCAATTCGATCCCTTGCGCATCAGCAATGGCCCAGCAGCCATCGCCGTCTTGGACACGGTAGAACTTGGTACAGCCCGGTACCATCCCCTCCTGCTACGCTGTTAGCTCAGTATCTACGGCTGGCTTCTTCGGCGGATGTGAACCTCACCTGGGTGGGCATTGGGGTGGGTCTATCACCAGGGACTGTCGGGGTCGGCGTAATTGTCGTGCTTCCACTTCCATCCTCTCCGGAATCGATCAGTCCGATTTCGTCTGTCGAGATACAGTAGTTTGTGCCCAGGGATAGACCGGAGCAGTCCTCCTTCACGGACGGATTCATCTGATAAAACACGGCCAGATCCATCGCCATGTTGGAAAGGATACTGCCGCAGTCGTCTCCGTCGCCGACCTCCATCCACAGGATGCATCCTTCAATCTCTCCACTAGCACGGGGGCTGGGGGTTGCTGACCGCCTGTTAGTAACCGAAGGAGGGAGAGGGGGGTGGGGGGCATCTGGTGTGGACCGAAGAGCTTACCCTGGGTCGGGCTGGCCAAGGCAATGCAGTAAGAAACACTTGGAACCAGAGCACAGTCATACTCGTAGGATGGAGCATCTGCGTCCTCGGCATTCTGGTCAATGGATGGATTCCAGAGTGCAAATTGCTGCGGCAGTGTAAGCGTTTGCAGGGCCGCCCGATGAATGGTAGTGATGAAGTCTGGTACATACAGCGCGGCTCAAACCAGCGGCCAAGGCGTAGCCCCAGCAGTTGAGCCATTCCGAGTCGGTGTTGTTGATCCACAGATAATTCCAACAGTCGATGCGGGTTTCGTTCGCCAGCGGAATGACCAGCAAGAACTCCATGGTGGGTATAGCGGACCACGGTATGGATGTGCTCGGCTACGAAGGTAGTGTGGTCGAGGGGCGTCCGAGATAGCCCGGATACGTGGAAATGTCCCCGACGGCTTGCACGCAGTAGCTGTAATCGAGCCACAGGTTCGTGCAGTTCTCCCATACGTTAGGGTTAAGGAACAGGCTGATCGGTCAGCAAACGCTCAGGCCAGGATGAAGAGAACGGGATGAGATATATACATACAAATCCTGAAGAGGAATGTTATACTTCAAGCCAATCATCGAGCAGTCATCGCCGGCGCCGATATCATGGTACAGTCCGTACCTGGGGTTCACTTCTGGACCAACGTCGTCCAGCACAAGCCTGCTTTTGTTAATGCCACTGGCTGTTAAACAGAACTGGAAGAGTGCACTTACGCCGGAGTCGGGACTGCGGTCACGATCGGAGCATCCGGCAAGCTGAAATCCCCGAGTGGATTGCTAAATCCTCAAATAAGCCTCTCTCTGAACAGCCGGATACCTTGAATTAGATGATGTAGCTACCTGATACAAAGCGTGTTTTCTGCAAAGCGAGCGAGATTACTGGTTCCGGAGGTCAGAGCCATCTACACAAGGTTGGACAAAGAGGTGCTATACTTGCAGAGTGCGTTGATGTTTAGATTCCAAGCTCGGAGCTAAACCTGCGATATGCCAGCCGACGCCTCTATTGAAGCGCACGTATCATCCGCCGCCAGGAGATGCAACGTGCATTGATTCTCAATGCATAATGTGGCAGTGGTTGGGAATTCATCCTGGACGTACCCGAGCCCATTCGAGTGCAGGAGGTTCTCGGTTGACACTGACTGAGATCGTGGGATGGAAAAGAAGTCGTCGTTTGGCTGAATGGTATATAGGGTCCCACTGCAGGTTCTCGGGGTCGCAATCGGACTACGTAGGATGCACAAGCAGGGAGTTAGCTGTCTGCCCTAGCCAAGTCGCCAGGACATATACCTGCTGATCACCAGTGAAGTCGCAGTGCTGGTCGGATGGCCCGAGGCCTGGCACTCGCTGGTCAAAGAAGCGTAATTCTCTTGCACGCCCTCGTCCACCCCGAATGGCGAGTTCACCTGGCGCTGGGCAACGCGCAGGATGCACTCATCGCAGGCCGAGTCTGGGGAGTCGTGCGCCCAGAGATAGCTCGTGCAGAACTGTCCGTCACTGCTGCCTTGCTCAGCTTAGAGGTTGTTATAGCCCGAGTAGCAGTCTTCTCTTCCCCACGCATCTTCGGATCATGCAAGCAATATCGTACGCATACAAGATGAATTCGTCAGGGTACCACGGTAGCCAATGGGTATCCTCGAACTCATCGTGGTACTGGGCCGCTGAGCATGCGGAATGAACATTGTTTCGGTGGGACGCAAGCGACTGCCGGCAGAAACCCTACTAGCATAGTGGCAGCACACCACCTAACCATTATGGGTACCAGGAGATTAACCACGACTACAAGTACAAGTTTTGCCAATTGTCATGGCACATACGACCACAGGGTGTGGAGAACAGGGCTTCCCGTCCGCTCAGCCGTACTTAAGCCACATAGTGAACGCGGACAATAGTTAAGTGAGCCCTGGAGTCATGTGGCTAAGTTGCTAAATTTTAGCGTGGGTATAGGTGAACAGGGTGAGCGGCTCACCCTGGTGGGTAATCAAAGGAAATTAAGGACCTATCTCTTATAGTTGAATAAGGAAGGGCTCTCCTACTTCTCGTGCTTTTACCTTTGTCGTATACTGTGTTGGTGTATTGTATCTATTCCTCTCTGTCAACCTTTAGTAACCGCTAGTATTCTGCTTCAACGCCGAACTTACTATTAGTCAGCGCCCACTCGGTCATTCCTTATATCGTTTCTATTTCCTATTTTAGTTAGTTAGATTACCCCTATTTCTCTTGTATTTAGTGCAGTATCGCTGCTAGATTCAATAAATCAGACCTTTACATTCCTCTAGCGGTGGACCAAATATTACATACGCCACGAAGTCCAACACTCTCACTCTCCCACTCTTACGCCGCTCACGTGACTACAACATGGCAGAATTACAGGGCAGGCTTAAACTACTTCAAAAACTTGCAGAATCTCAAGGGTTCATAGAGTCTTACTAAGAAGAATAAATAACATAAGGAAATATAGTCTATTATAAAAAAAGATCTCCTGCTACTAATAAGAGATATACATGGGCACTTAATTACTAGAAACTATAAGCATTTCATAATGTTACCTGCTCTAGTAGAGAAATTACTAATTAGTTTACCTTATTATACTAGATAGATACTGTCCAAGGGCCTGTCTAAAGATTAATATTTTAAAGATAATAACCCTCCCCTACCTATATAGATACTTAAACTTTTTACTAAGAGCTTTATTATCCTTTGTGAGGGTCCTTTACTAAGTTAGTATACTATCATCCATACTCTTTCCTACTTCATGAGTGAGTGGGAGAGAATAATATCTAAAAACATCCTAAAAATTTATAAGAATAATATCTATAATATATAATCTAGTTAATTCTTGACCCCCTTAAAAATCTTACTAACTAAATTCTAGTATATTAAAAATGTGCTTACTCTCAAGTATAGGCTTTCTACTTAATACTAAGAAAGATTCCCTGTAACTAAACTCAACCTTGACATTCTACTTAGATATTTATATGAAAAGGATAGTCATGATTATATCTATGAATAGTCTAGATTTTAGGACGCATTTAGCCTTGTATTATTCACCTTATTAGGCGCTAGAGCTGGGGCTATTATTAAGTCTAGTTTATATAGAAACTTAAACAAAGCTCTTTATTATAACATTTATAGGCATCTTTTGTCTTAATATTAATAATATACTAACCACTACTAGCATCTCTTATTAAACTTAAGATGGGATGCTTCGCAGCATAGGGTCAAATATTAGGTTATACTAAACCTAGAGTTTCTAAAGGGCTATCACTATAATAATAAGGTAATTATATCTAGTTATCTTAATTTTCCCCTATGATAAGCTAATAACTAATAGTAGGTAGTCTAAAAAATTAGATTAGCAAGCAGAGAAATCTAGGAAGGAATTTTATATTCTAGCTTATAGTATATAGAATTACTAATAATACCTTTAAGGGAATTATAACTCTAGATAAACTATTAGAGAAAATCCCACCTAAAGGGCGTGAATTATAGACCCTTAAGTAGAAGGAATACACTCTTAGATTACTAGTATTTTATAAGGTAATAGTATCTAGGCTAGATCTATCCTAAGCATTAACCTTTTCTTCCTTATAAAATGACTATAGTTCTCTAGTGAAAAGAGCTTATTTTTAAGATTCCCTAAGAGTCCATGGAATACAAGGGGCGGTTATAAATATAGTTAATTATAAGTTATCCAACACCTCACACACATTCAGGGGATGCTAATTAGTTTATAGTAAAGGCCTCTAAAGCGGCGCGCACGCAAGCCATGAATTATTAAAACCTAGATACCTTTAAAAAGTATTAATTAAAAGTTAAATAAATTAACCTTAGTGCCTGCTTTTAGAATAAGGAACCTGATCATAGGTCTCACGCGATAGAAGAGAGCATAACTTATTATCAGGATCCTAATATCCCTTAGAAGCTTGATGCTACGATAGTTATAGAAGTTAAGAATAATCCTATAATAATAGGCATATATCAGTAAGTTAATATATTAAACCATAAAATTACTAGGGATCCGGATAAGCATGAGGACTTAGTAGCTAAGCAAGCCAAGTTATATAATAAAGTGGCTAAATTACGTCGCGCGAAGAAAGGAGAGTATATTAATAATTAGTAGAAGACATCCTATGATGAATATATCTTAGGGAATAAATTCACTAAATAAGATATAACTAACCTTTTTAATATCCGCTGTAAATATATACCAGAGAGAGCCCGACTCCAGGAAAATTTATTTCAAGAAGTACTAATTTATAGTAAACTTAGTAGGTAATGCCTATATAATATACTAAATCTTATTAAATTAGAAGAGAGAGTAGCCTATTACCTAGGTAAATCACCTATTAATAGGAAATGCCCGCTTTGCGCCAAAGAAATAACTAGGTTTATTATACATGTCCTAGACATCTTCCTAGAGCTAATAGTAGCCAGCATTAATATCTAATATCGCTTAAAATATATCCTGTAATATAGAAGAAAATCATTTAATGCTATGCTATATTAGTAGAGGTATAAGAATAGTAAAAGAGCTCATTAGCAGGTCCATACTACTTTTCTTGAGTGGTGCTATTTATGCGCTAAGTGGTTCTATACTATAGAAGAATAGAAAGCATACTATAAATTCCATCTTACTTCTCTATAGCCACGTTACGGGCTTCTAACCTTTTATTTTACCCTGGTCACTCCTAGATTTTGTCCCTTCTATTTAGGTGATGATGCCAAGCAAGCCAATAAATAGTTCTAATAGTGGTGAATAAAGGCTACCTTGTTAACCCATATCAATAGTTATCTAGAGAAGATTAATCTAACAAGTCCCGTTCAATATCCGCATCCCTGTTGCGAGGCTAGATAGTATAGTGATAATATGAAACTCTATTACCACTTTTTTAATGCCTACTCTATTAAGGAACCACGCCGAAATTATATCTTAACTAAATAGAAGTGGCTTTGTGATGATAAGGAGAAAGAAGATCCGGAATACTCAAAGATAAGTAGACTAGAATAGTTTTAAATACATACTATTATTATTATATTTCTCTCTTCTTTTAATTAGTCTCTCTTGTACTCTGCGGACCCAGAGAATGAACATATTAACCACATAGTTCAGAAGCTCAGATCTATAGCCATATTCATCTTATGCGTCGCTTTAGAATCATCACGGTCTAGTAGCTTGCCGTCCAGAAGCTTGCTAATAAGGGTCTTATTAATTCCCTGTCCATCATTTATAATCTGAGAGATGAGAGGCTTGAAAAACTTTAGCAGGCTTTAAGTAAAAAGAGGTTATTTATTTCTAGCCATTATAAATCTATCTACGGCAATGATCAGACCATCTCTAGTGGTAACGGACGCCACGCTAAGAAAGTCACATATTTCTAGGTACTCCTTATAGGATGATATATACAGCTTAACCTATTTTAGGTTAAGCTGTACCCTCACAGTAGTCGGTATCTTAATATTCCTCGAACTTGTGAGAGTACTGTATAGGTTAAGCTTGTCAACGGGCGAGAAGCCCTGACTTTGGCGCGGCGCGTATAAGTGCATCAAGACATGTCTAGCGTCTAAAAGCTTAGAATAAAGAGCGTTCGCCTCATAAGGACCTATACAGCAAAATCAACATTGGTGAACTCGCGGCATGTTCCCATTAGAGAGTAGAGGGGGCCATGACTTGCTCGCGAGTTTTATTAACATTATATTTTAGGATCGCTGGGTTGTTTTTATTCATCAAATAAGGTGATTAACATGGTTATGGGTTCCTCTGCCTCTACTGCTCGTCAGTTATTACAAGCTGTATCTTGGCTTCCTGGCACGAGGATTATATTCCGATCTAGTAGCAGGAGGGCTCTTCATGTAGTATCACCATGTCCTTGGCTCGTGCATATTCTTAGGTACTTTCTTAGAGACCTTCCCCTTCTCTAACTTCCCACTGCGCTGCTTATTAGTGGCTCTCCAGGTGCTCTATATCTACTGTTCTTCCTTCTAGTTTACGTGGCATCCTTGGTGTGGGTTGATTTCCCAGTAATATTACCCCATCAGAGCGCGGCTTCTTTATGGGTTCATAGCATGTTTCTCCTCTATTCTTCTATCCTTGCAGACTCTTCCTTCCTATACTGGCATTGGAAGCTTCATGAAGGGTGATTTTTAAAACAGTTAAGACACTCTAGCTATAACCAGGTCTTTCCCATTCCTGGCACCCTTTGGTGCTATGCGCCTCCACATAGTATCTATAGTTTTCTTAAGCCTTGCAATGAGCCCCTATATGCCCATACTTTAGCACTTAAAACATTATTTAACCTTGCAGGTCCAGTTGTGACACTTGCAGGCATAGATTTACGCACTAAACATAATCCTGTTTAGAATTATATAGTCTACGTCCTCTTTCCAGTCAAACTCCACTACTATTGTGGAGGCTCGCTTCTTTCCCAGGTTACATTTTAGCTAGTTAGAGTAGACCATTCATGCTTTCTCCATGGAAGGGTTATTCCATTAGATTTTTCCTTTAATCTCTATTCTATTGTGTGCCTCCCACCTAAGTACTAAAGGATAGTGTATTCACTACCACCTTCTCTCCTAGTATCTACTACTCTTGGTGTGTGATGAGGTGTTTCGTTCTTTATTAGTCTAGGATAAAGAGGGTGTCGTTTCACTACGATGATTAGGGTTTTCTATAGTATTAGAT